GGATTCATCTATTTGGGCGCCTACCGAAGTAAAGCTCAAATTCATATTATAGGCGCGGATCTGCTCACGGAAATCTCGCCCTTCTTCATTGTCGCTACGAAGGAGACGGGCGATGGTTGGAGGTGTAGGCTCCAAAGGTGGAAGCACAGCGGAACCTTGGCCACAGCAGAGTTGGAACTGCGGATTGGAGTTCGATTCACATGAGCTTTCTTTGGCCCACATGTGTGCCTGACAGAAATTGCAGACAACATTCATGCGTCCCAAGGTATGTCTACAGGGGAGCTCGGTATCATCAGCGGATACAGGTAATCTACGAATGCGTTCCGCAGTATCATTGTCGTTTGCTTCCCTCATAGCCAGTCTCCTCGGATGCAATGGGCAAGCTGAATGGCTATTTCGCTGATGTCCCACTTGCTGGCACGTAGAGCAACGAACTTCTACCGATCTTTGGGCCGTAGCAACCACTGGGTTGTTGGGCGCGGCTGGGATTGTTGGGACAGTTTCTCGAGGTCGAGCGAGCATGTCCTGGAAGACTGCAAGAAGCGCAAAAAACGTTTGAGAATGACATAGGGTGTTTTTTTATTGAAAACTGAAAGGATGAGCAAAATAAAAGGGTTACGGAATAGATCAATCTAGCCGTGTAATGCGTTTCGCTCAATTGCTAAATCGAATTGATGTATCACGGTCTAATCATTCAAAAAAGGGAAAGGTCCAACTCAACCACCACAGTAAATCATGTGATTCATTTCGTTTCAAGCAATCATAAATATTTGTTTTTCAGTAATTACCCAATCATAACCGACATGTAGCAAAAACCCAATGTGATTGTCTTGTGACTGAAAATTAGCGCGCATAACTCCCAAACATTTTAATAAGGTTGAGATAAGGTAGAGAGGTATACTGGGGAAATCCAAAAAGTGATTCTTAAATCGAAATATTCTTGAATCGAGTATTCTTAAACGAGCGGTCACTGTACTTAGATCCATTTTCATTGGGATGGTCCAAATTTGGCTACCGTCGTTTTTTTTTTTTTGACCTGGGTCCCGCGATTCCAAAAAAGGACATGTCTAGCAAAATCCATCTTTTTTAGCGAGCTTCCATCTCGATGAAAAAAAGATGCGGAAAGTGTCAGATTTGCGGAAGCCATGGAAATAAATTGAGCAAATTCATGAGCAATTTAAAAGTTTGGCTTCGATAAGACGAAAATAAAGATGAGGTTCCGTGAGCGGCGCCACTTGTGGACACTCTGCATAAATGACGTGAGAGTGATATTTCCGGCTTATGGCTTTTTTTTTTAGCAGTGATGCTAGTTCACTGTTCCTGTGAACCAGTGCGCGTCAATCATACCGATGAATGAATCTTCTATGTGTATAACAATACACCAATGCCGATCATTACCTCCTCTCCGACGACTATGTAGGCGATGGTCCGGAGGAGTGGAATTGCTGAATATCACACAAAATGCAAAATAGCCGAAAAATCGACAAGGAAAAATAGCTCTTTTTTATTCTTTGCCGCTAAGTGCATCATGTCACATTAATACTAGTTTTTCCGCAACATCATTGGAATGACCTCAGAAAGCATGAGTATGGATGGATTACACCAACACCGGCATCGCAGGCGGACCATGGGATATATATATTTTTTTTTAAAAAAAGAGAGAGAACTGACATTAATATAAAACTGTCCTTGCCAATCGGACGACTAAGGCAGAGAAACCCGAATACGTGCCCGTGTAAGTGGCAGATACCAGTAACAGTGCCCGTTCATCTCCTGCCAGACCGAGGGCCTGACCATCGCCGACTACTAGAGGCAGTGCTTCTCTGTTTCAGCAGAACCCAAATACGTGCCCATGATAGTGGCAGATACCGGTAACAGTGCCCGTTCATCTCCTGCCAGACCGAGGGCCTGACCATCGCTGACTACTAGAGGCAGTGCTCTACTATAGCCCGTCGTCCTAACCAATACTGTAATACTCAACATCTTACCTTCGGCACAACGAAATATTGAAGGGAGAAAAGAAGGAGTGGAAAAATAAGATGAAAGCACTTTTATAGCCGACATATTTGCTCAGTATACGTCATCAAATTTTGCATAACAATGATGGTCGTGCTAGTTTTCCCGATGAGCGCCCTTGCAAGCTGCCCGTTACTGCATTTCTTCCTTTTTCTTGCACTCTTCATCTTTGAGGGTATATCGATACATTTTAGCAAAATCCCTAGTTACTGTGACCAGTGAATCCCTTTAAGCAATCAACAGTATCTTTCTGGAATTCACTCCTCTGGACTGGTTGCTTCCGGATAGCTGGCGGTGTTCATGACGCCTCATGACCAGTTCAAAGATTCCGTCAGAAGAGCAATAATTGCGGTAAATCATACCCTCTGTGGCGGAACAGGTTATAATCCGGACGATGATGCCACAGAAACGGTGCGCCTTGGTGACCATCGCGAAGAGTGATATGTTACTGCTTGAGCTCGTCGTTGCTGCGAGACTGAATATCCACGGATTACCAGGCTATGAAAGCGAAGGAGAGGTCACTGGAAACATACAGAACTTGTTTCTGATTATCTTGGAAGATATGCAGCCTGGACCTCTTTTGGCATGTCCTCCCAAGTCGACTGATATATAACGGTAAGTCAGTTAATTTGGGCACAGGACAATCAAAATAATTTGTCTTGGTAATGAGAACGAGTCCTTGAGGTCTGTAATATTCTGGAGTAAGTGTTGAAAAGAGCCTGGTGGAAATAGAACCGGAACGATGAAGCTGTTATTCCGCATGGCTTTTCGATTGGCTATATAAGAGGCTGTCCATACGCTTGCGAAGAAGGGTACTTCTGCTTTATGACGATGTCGAAGTATTTGCTTAAGGCGAGGCCACATTTCTGTAATACAGCCATTTCACGCGGTTTGAATGTAGTAATCACGGACAGTAATCGGCAGGATTGATGAGCCTGGAGCAAACTGGAGGTAAAGTTATCAAGTTAACAATAGTTTTCGAGCGTTTGACACTATTTTCATGTATGTACTTTTTCGAAATAAAAAATAACTGGTTTGGTACAGCTTTCTAAAAGGGATAATCCATTTCTGCAATGTATCATAAAGCGTTTCTGTACCATCTTTATCGGCCTTCTTTATTACCCAGTTCTTTCGCTGTCTTGCCAGGCCTATGATTCTTAATGCAAGCAGGCCTAAGATAGATTACTTGGGCTTAAGAGTTTGATCTCAAGTGCATGCATTAAAGCCATGAGGATGCACGAATAAAGTTACAGCAATGACATGTTTAATATTTCATTAATGATCTGGTCATGATCAAAGCTTGACTCACTTGGTCACATAGTGAATCATGACATAAAAATGATTCATTGTATTGCATGCCATCAGACATAGTAGGACGTCCGATCTTTTTTATACCGCATCTCTTGTTCACTTTATACCTCTACCATACTGTGGCTAGAACTTTACGGCACAATGAGCACCGCGGGAGACTCCTCTCCAAGACACCAGGTCACGCCGATCTCAGCCAGAGATGATTCCTACTCACCGCAATCCTAAAACCAAAGTTTGCCTCTTACCGGGTAAGGCACTCTTCAATCCACCGCAAGGATTTCTTATTGACGGCTCCTAAAAAATAGCCCTTCCTCGAAGGTTGCCCGAGGAGTATACTACTTTACCTTACTGAAAAGAGACAGCCGTAACCTGGCGCTTCTACATACGTTGCCTTGGACAGATTCAACCGATATGTTCAGTTTCGCCTATTAGCACCGAATTGTTTTGGCATGAGTGGTTTCTGTTTGTTGCTTCTTCGTGCAGAGTGGCCAGAGAATTGTAAGTTATCGTTAACAAATCGAATATTCTTATTTTTGTTTAATGTATTTAAAAACAGAAAACCAGGCCGGCATTCAACTTTCTCATGATGAGCTGAAAGGAATGCCACCCAGTGTCTCCTCCTTGGAAGCTTCAAGATTATATAGATTCCATTACTCATATTCAATAACTAAGTAAATAAAAGAGAATCTGCGAAAGGTATGATGTAAGCTTAGTTTGGCAAGTCAAGACGCCCATTACATTTATATTAATGATGCTGATATAGTACGCAGGTCAATCTTGGCAGAACCTTATTTGCGGCGCCCGATTTACATGCGCCACAGTCCAAGTCGATGATTTCAATACACACGTATCTGCTATTGAGCAGTATACTAAGGCCATTGTCGATCTGTACTCTTCCCAAATGTTCACGGGGATGAACAATCATTCCTATCCTCAAGAAGATGCATTGAACGCCAGAAAGAAGACATGGCGCCGAAGTGGGCCAGCAGAAACGCTCAGATTACGAGGACCATGGGGTGGGTTCCCTGCAAGATGGATACACGCCCGAAGAACTTCTTTTCGTATCCATGTCCTATTTTTGCGAAGAAGATGACGATGGCCTTGAGATCGAATAACGATGCGAACCCTTTTGACACCCGCTGTAGCATATGGTGCACCAAGAACATTAAAGAGCAGCGCATGTTGGTAGTCCAAGAACCCGCAGCCGCTGGTAGCAGTAACAGCGTCAAGCCCAAGAACGACTGGCGTCAGACATGCACAGAAACCCGCCGACTGCGCATTACTGCTTGTCAATCACGATATAATGGATCATGGTATTTTCAAGGTCACAACATTACCCAACTGTTTGAAAGATACCGTAATGTTGCACCAATGCCTAATAAGCCATCATTCAATACTACCACTGGAGGATTACTGCAACGAGATTGCAGCACTTGCCCGCATGCTCGTTTTGGACCAGGAGCAGCAAAGCACGATGGCACAGTTAATCTTCATCTTTAAGTGGAATGACATTTTTTTTATTTTTTAATTTTGGCATTTTACTAAATAAAGTTTGGCGAAGAGCCTCTGGACAATTTGACAGTTGCATTGCGCTTTGGCGCCGTGGATTTACGACATTGGCTTGTCGGACCCTGTGTATCTGGAGGTGTCAACAACTGATCACTGCGCTGAGCATGAACAAGATCACAGCCGACGGCGTAATTATCAAGGTCGTGAATATTAGCGCATCATTGCCCTATGGACAATGCTGTTTCTTGGGAGGCGTGGCTAACATGTAAGTAATGGTCCTTCATTCAAACACGAACAGTAACTATGACTATTTTACGCTCTTGCATGATCCAAAAGCTGCCTGCCACACCTCCCGTCAAAAATAGTATCAAGGAAATGGCTCTATGGAGCACATTTTATGACTCCATGCTTTCATGCCTCCTTGCCGATCCTTCCCGGAAAGTGCACCTCCAAGGGGTCGACACAATTCCAGTTGAAGGTGGACAAAATTTTGTATTAGATGTATTAAAACAACATGGAATTTATTGAAGTGGCATACAGAATGTAAAAGATAACGCGACCAGATGCAATCATCGTGGAGAAACAGCAGAGACTCTTTGTGCGATCCCCTGGATATGGTGAGACGAAAGCTGAAGGAAGAAGCTCCCATGATATTTCTGTGAAATTCTTCCGCCTCACAGTGTCCAACAAGGACACTGTTGATGTGCACCAATTGGATTCGGCTTTCGATTTCCAGATTCACGGTATGTTGCCCACTGTGCAAGGTTTGCTTATTACTCATTCTTTTTTTCCTTTCCTTTTTTACCAGGCTTCATTATCACGTTCTACCTATCCCAACTTCTCCCGTCTGGAGTAAATGTCATGTTCGAGATTGCGCGCACCGGTTATTCCGTGATCGCTAGAGGGATTGCCCATATTTTTTAATCTTCGTAACGAACGTCCACTTGTTACTAGCAATTAATGATGCGTTATGCCGTTTTTGTCCAGCAATATCGTCCTATCCCAAGCAACTGGCAAGATTTTGTGGATGACTATGAAGACACCTCGCGTACGCCCATCGCTGCGTATGGGCCAGTTGATTGAAGTAGTGAATAATATCTATAGTTGTTCGTCCTTGTTGCTAAAGATTATTTCTCGTATCAAAGAACCTTATTGTTTTACGCGTATTAGGAAATTCGTTTACCCCGTTTCATTTCATTGTCTTTTCATCTTGTTTACGTCTGAGTGCAGAAACATTCATCTCGCAGCCAAACACACCCCTTTTGCTCCAGTCACAGCAGCATAATTTGAGAGTTAACCAATCAAAATAGGAGAATGGCAGCTATAAATTCCTTTTTTTTGGGGGGCGGGGGGCGGTTCCGACCCTTCTTTCCTTTCCTTCCTTCAATATTTCGTTGTGCCGAAGGTAAGATGTTGAGTAGTACAGTATTGGTTAGGACGACGGGCTATAGTAGAGCACTGCCTCTAGTAGTCAGCGATGGTCAGGCCCTCGGTCTGGCAGGAGATGAACGGGCACTGTTACCGGTATCTGCCACTATCATGGGCACGTATTTGGGTTCTGCTGAAACAGAGAAGCACTGCCTCTAGTAGTCGGCGATGGTCAGGCCCTCGGTCTGGCAGGAGATGAACGGGCACTGTTACTGGTATCTGCCACTTACACGGGCACGTATTCGGGTTTCTCTGCCTTAGTCGTCCGATTGGCAAGGACAGTTTTATATTAATGTCAGTTCTCTCTCTTTTTTTAAAAAAAATATATATATATCCCATGGTCCGCCTGCGATACCGGTGTTGGTGCAATCCATCCATACTCATGCTTTCTGAGGCCATTCCAATGATGCTGTGGAAAAACTAGTATTAATGTGACAATGATGCACTTAGCTGCAATGAATAAAACAGAGCTGTATTTTCTAGCGCAAAATAGCCAAGGTTGCTTACATTCTACAAATACCATATTCCTTTCATGGGTTGCTCCTTTCATGGCTTGGGAAAAAAAAGATTCACATGAGATTCAGTTTCATTAATTCCATTCATTTCTATTGGATCCGGGTTCATTATTGACATCATGTCGACAACGTCCACTCCTCTGTTTACAACGAATGGGCCAAATTTGGCTACCGTCGTTTCTCTTTTTTTTTTATTTTTATCTGGGTACTCAGTTCCATGGATGTTACCAAAAAAAGGCACAACCAGCAAAATCAATCTTACAGCGAGCTCCGATCTCGATGAAAAAAGACGCGGAAAGTGGGGAACCCACCATTAGTTTGGGCAAGGGAAACGATGGCGCGTTAAAAGTAAAGCGTCAAGATTTAAAGAAGCCTTGGAAATGAATTGTCCAAATCCTTTGGCAAATAAAGTTGGCTCAGATAAGACGAAAAAAAAGGTTGGGGGAACCATCGGTGGCGCCACTTGTGGACACTCTGCATAAATGACGTGAGAATAATATTTCCAGCGTATGGCACTTCCCTCATTTTTGCCAGCAGTTTTAATTCGCTCTTCCTATGAACCAGTGCCTGTCAACATAAAAGATATGATGGGTGATTTTCTGTGTATGTTGCCATATAAAAGCCTACTGTAGTATAAATAGCAAATCCAGAATATTTTCAATCGTGTCGGCTGGCGTCCGCAGCAAGACAGGAATTGCCGACTCCTTTTTTTGGATGTCCGCCCATCATTGCAAAGTTTATTTTAGACATGGACCCGGTTACTCCATTTCCAAGGCTTCTTTAAATCTTGACACTTTACTTTTAACGCGCCATCGTTTCCCTTGCCCAAACTAATGGTGGGTTCCCCACTTTCCGCGTCTTTTTTCATCGAGATCGGAGCTCGCTGTAAGATTGATTTTGCTGGTTGTGCCTTTTTTTGGTAACATCCATGGAACTGAGTACCCAGATAAAAATAAAAAAAAAAGAGAAACGACGGTAGCCAAATTTGGCCCATTCGTTGTAAACAGAGGAGTGGACGTTGTCGACATGATGTCAATAATGAACCCGGATCCAATAGAAATGAATGGAATTAATGAAACTGAATCTCATGTGAATCTTTTTTTTCCCAAGCCATGAAAGGAGCAACCCATGAAAGGAATATGGTATTTGTAGAATGTAAGCAACCTTGGCTATTTTGCGCTAGAAAATACAGCTCTGTTTTATTCATTGCAGCTGACTGCATTGTGTCATATCAATACTACTTGATCTTCCCAAAATCGACCAGGGACTCATGACAAGTAATTGTTCTGGCACAACCAAACATTCTGTCTTGATAACGAAAACGAGCCCTTAGGGGTTGTAATATTTGATAAGCGTTGAAAAAAGTTTGGTGAGAGTATGTAGACTCGGATCGATGACGCTCTTACAGCTTTTCGATTGGCTATTACAAGGGGCAGTCCATTCGCATGCGATTGCGAAGAAGGATTTTTGGCTTTATGACGATGAGGCGAGGCAACATTTCTGTAATGCAGCCATTTCACGCGGTTTGAATGTAGTAATCACGGACAGTCGTAGGCAGTATTGATGAGCCCGGAGCAAACTGGAGGTAAAGTTATCAAGTTAACAATAGTTTTCGAGCGTTTGACACTATCTTCATGTATGTACTTTCCGAAATAAAAAATAACTGGTTTGGTACAGCTTTCTAAAAGGGATAATCCATTTCTGCAATGTATCATAAAGCGTTTCTGTACCATCTTTATCGGCCTTCTTTATTACCCAGTTCTTTCGCTGACTTGCCAGGCCTATGATTCTTAATGCAGGCAGGCCTAAGATAGATTACTTGGGCTTAAGAGTTTGATCTCAAGTGCATGCATTAAAGCCATGAGGATGCACGAATAAAGTTACAGCAATGACATGTTTAATATTTCATTAATGATCTGGTCATGATCCAGCTTGACTCACTTGGTCACATAGTGAATCATGACAGAAAAATAATTCATTGTATTGCATGACTGACATGCCATCAGGCATAGTAGGACGTCCGATTTCTTTTTTATACCGCATCTCTTGTTCTCTTTATACCTCAATCATACAGTGCCTCGATCTTTACAGCACAATGAGCACTGTTGAAGGCTCCGCTTCAGGACGCCAGTTCCCACCGATACTAGCCAGAGATCAGGTTTCGCCTCTTACCGGGTAAAACGCCTCTATAATCCATCGCAAGAATTTCTTATCGATGATCCCAAAAAACTAGTCTTCTTTGAAGGTTGCCTGAGGATAGCACGGTAGTGTACCTTACTGATAAGAGGCGCACATAATCTGGCGCTCCTACATACTTTGCATTGGACGGATCCCAACCTTGATTTTCAATTTCGCCTATTAACACCTGTTTTGGCATGAGTGGTTTCTGTTTGTTGCGTCTTCCTGCAGAGCGGCAAGAGAGCTGGTAACTAGTCATTAACAATTGAAATACAGTATTCTTGTTTTGCTTATATATTAAAAACAGGAAACAAGCCAGCATATAACCGTCATATGACGAACTGTGAGAAACGCCACCCAATTTTCCTCCATGGAAACCTTCAAAAGTATATAGATTCCATTACTCGCATTCACCATAAGTAAGTAAAAAGAGAGTGCGAGAAAAGGTATGCTGTAACTTAGTTTGGTTTCATCCTTAGTTTACACGCTTTCAACTGCGGCTTTTTTTATCAGGAAAACGTGCCTTACTATATCCCCAGACAGATGCCGCGGCCGACAGTCGTTGCTCGGTTACCCTTCCGAGTCAACAATCGTTAGTTGCAAATTTCCCATGATCTGTCTTCCCAACGTATACTAATGTACCTTTCGATAGGCCCCCGCCAGTAGGTGTACAAACACTCCCGAAAGTCCCGCCACGGAAGGAGGAGAAAAGCTTGCGAGAATCAGTGCAAGCGAGAGGGTCCGGCGATAGTGGCATTCAGTTACGCAGATTAAATTCTGTAATGTGAGACATGCGCCCTCCGATCAAGGTACGGAATAATGTACAAGATCTAATCCTAGAATGTGTTGTTCAATAGTGATTTTGAACAGTCCTTGTCGTAGCCATTAGTAATTTGGATTAGCGAATACCGAACCAGCAAGGTTTGTGGTCGGTACGACTCTCAGACGGTAGCAGTACAAGCTGAACAGTTACTGGTATGCAACCACAAGCCAGTCTAGCAAACCACCAGTATTGTATAGTCATACCAACGCACTGTAAATAAATAAATCAATCTTGACAGAATTTCATTTCCCCGATTCATTGGCATCACAATGCAAATTGATGATTTCAATACACTCGTAAGTACGTCCACGGAAGTAAAAAGTGATTTGACATTGACCAGTTTCTTTATTATTCTCACGGCGTACGGCTCGTCCTGTGACTCTTTGTCGTCCATCCAAGCTCCTTACTTCAGTCGCTTTTTTCTGACGCCGGGTAAGCTGTCTTTGAAAAGAAGATGCAGTGCAATACCATTTCTGATGACTTGCGCTTGAAAATTAAGAGCGCGCTTTCTTTTTCGTCTCTATTCATTCTTACACTTTGATGCCACCAAAACGCACACAACCCGAAAATAACAGATCAAGCAAACGACAGGCCGCAGCCATTGCATTCGATGCACAGTGGTGCATTGATCGAGGAACCTCCATCAGCTTCAAGACCTATATTGAGCAATTTGAACCTCTTGACCAACGAGCTGCAGAACAGCGATACGAGTCAATTTGCAGAAAATATCTGAGTGAAAAGGCATTGGCTGACTACAAGCTTTGGACGAAAAGCGTACCCTATGTTCGTTACTGGATGCAACGCAAAGAGGTCATTCGTTTGAACAAGCTTGCTCAGGGTTCCGACCATTTGATTGACACTGTGAACGAGCAGCGCATGGCGGCACTTCAAGAACGCGCAGCTGCTGGTGGCAATAACAACGTCAAACCCAAGGAGGGCCTGCCAACGTCTTCCTCAGAAGAACGCGCAGACGTAGGCAGCAATAGCAGTCTTCTGCCCAAAGACGACTTACCAGCAGTGGAACCAGACATGCAAGCAACCCATGCTGACTGCGCATTACTGCTTGTCAATAACGAGAATAACGGGTCATGGTTTTTTCAAGGCCACAATATCACCCAGCTATTTGAAAGATACCGTAATGTTGCACAAGGCCTAATAAGCCATCATTCAACACTGCCACCGGAGGATTACTGCAACGAGATTGCAGCACTTGCCCACATTCTCGTTTTGAACCAGGACCAACAAAGCACGATGGCAATGTCAATCTTTGGGAAAGAACTCCTGGATAATTTGACACATACATTGCGGACGGACGCTGTAGATTACAACATCGGTTTGCCAGACGCTGTATATTTGGAGGTCTCAAAGCTAATCACTGCGCTGAGCATGAACGAAACCACGGCCGACGAAGTCATCCTTCAGATCATGATTATTAGCGCACCATTACCCTACGGTCAATGCCGCCTTTTGAGAGGTTTAGCCAACATGTAAATAATGATCCTTCCCTCAATAACTAAACTAACCACTTTTTGCGCGCTTGTAGGATCCAAAAGCTGCCTGACACACCTGCCGCCAAAAACTGTATCAAGGAAATGGCTTTATGGAGCACATTTTATGATCCCATGCTATCATGCCTCCTTGCCGATCCTTCCCGAAAAGTGCACTTGCAATGGGTTGACACAATTCCAGCCGAAGGTGGCCAGTCGCGGCCAGATGCAGTAATTGTGGAGAAACAGCAGAGACTCTTTGTGCGATCCCGCGGGTATGGAGAAGCCAAAGCTGAAGGAAGAAGCCCGCATGACATTTCAGTGGATTTCATCCGTCTCGCAGTGTTCAGTAAGGACACCATCGATGTACACCAATTGGATTCCGCCATTGGTTTCCAAATTCACGGTATGTTGCGTACTATACAAGCTTTGCTTGATACTCATTCTTTTTTTCCTTTCCTTTTTACCAGGCTTCATCATCACCTTCTACCTATCCCAACTTCTCCCATCTGGAGTGAACGTCATGTTCGAGATTGCGCGAATCAGCTTTCCGCGGTCGTTAGAGGGATTGCCCGCGTTTTTTAATCTTCGTAACGTCCACTTGTTACTCGCAATTAATGATGTGTTTTGGCGTCTCTGTGTCGTGTCCAGCAACCGCGCCGCGATTGCTAACCGATATCGTTCAACTCCAAGCAATTGGCAAGATTTTGTGGACAACCGTCAAGATTCCTTGCGTATGCCGTCACTACGTATTGACCAGTAGGTCGCTACCAAGTGTCAACCACTATTTTTCAATGTATACTTTATCGCAAGCTAGCAACAACTTAGTTGGTTTGTCTGGGTATGGCCGATTGAAGCATGTATCAACCCCATCGACCGAGCACACAGTTCAACAGAACAGCATCTATGAAATCACTCTTACGTTTTTTATGCACCCTATCCAAGGTGGCGCCACCCGCAGAACACGTCATTTTTTTTTTCTTATCGGAACCAAGCGTTAATTTGCATATGGATTTCGCCAATTCATTTCCATGGCTTTCCGGAATCTGTCATTTTATTTTTCACATCGTCGTTTACCTTAGCCTCAGTAATTATGAATTCCCAATTTTCTGCATCAATTTCCATCGAAGAGGAGAGATTGTTATAAAAAGTAGTATTTTCAGGTTGTGCCTTTTTGATGCATAATACCTATTGAACCGAGAACCAGATCAAAAAAGTTATAATTAAATTTGGCCGATCCATGGTAAACAGAGCGATGGACGTTGTCCCATGATGTCAATAAAAGATTTGATCGTATGGAAACAAATGGAATTAATGAAACCAAACTTTTATGTCATCGTAGAAATGCTTTCTGATGTATCCTAGCAAATTCGAGAATCGATGTTTGTGTCGGATGTCGTCCGCAGCATGACAGGAAATTGCCGAACCTTTTCTTGGAATGTTCGCCCATCAATCCAAACTTTATTTTACGTGCGTCTCGGCTAATACATTTGCGAGGCCTCCGCAAATCTGACACTTTACTTTTCCACACCGTCGTTTCCCTTGCCCGTAAAAAATGGTGGATTCCCCATTTTCCGCGTCTTTTTCATCGAGATGGGGGCTCGTTAGAAAAAATTGATTTTGCTGGGCATGCCCTTTTTGGCTATCTATGCCAACTTTGGGATCGGATCGCATAATTCAGTTAGGTCATTGTTTCTGACAATGATTCGCCTCTGTGGTCGCTTACAAAAACGAGGGAAACAATAGAAACACCGATGCCATGCAGCAAATAATAAATTTATACAGATTGAGGCAAGCGCTGAGAACGCTATCAAGATCTGGCAAGGTAAATGATTGGAAATCCCAAACATCAAGGCCCTAACTCGAGGACCCAGACCAAAGAACGACGGTAGCCAAATGTGGAAAATAAAGGGATAATCGTTGTCGACATGTCAATAAGAGATTCGGAACCAATGGAAATGTATGAAATAAAGGGGTCCAAACCCTTAATTGGAATTTTATGAACGATGAAATCAATATTGCATTCGTAGATGTAAGCAATCTCGGCTATTTTGCTCTAAATACAGTACACGTCTTTTTTATTCACAGCTAATTACATCATGTCATATTAAGATACTTGATCTTCCTAATATCGACCAAGGAATAACGGCAAGTTGATTTTGGCACAGAACGATCAAATATTCTGTCTTGATAACGAGAACGAGTCTTTGAGGTCTGTAATATACTGAGGTAAGCGATATCTGGTGGGAGTATGTAGATTCGGGTCGATGATGCTCTTATAGCTTTTCAATTGGCTATTACAAGGGGCTGTCCATTCGCTTGCAATTGTGAAGAAGGGTTTTTGGCTTTATGATGATGAGGCGAGGCAATATTTTGTAATACAGCCATTTCACGCGGTTTATGTGTAGTGATCAGGGACAGTCGTCGGCAGCATTTATGAGCCTGGAGCAACTCGAGGTAAGTTTATCACGTTAACAGTAGTTTTCGAGCGTTCGATATTATTTTCATGTATGTACTTCCAATAAAAATAACTGGTTTGGTACAGCTTTCTAAGAGAGATAACTCATTTCTCCGATGTATCATAAAGCACTTCAGCATCATCTTTATCGGCTTTCTTTATTATACAGTTGTTACGCTGCCTTGTAAGGCCTGTGATTTCTTCATCCAAGTAGGCCTAAGAAGGATTACTCATGTGAGTTAAGGAAAAAGGTACTGCAAAAAAAAAAAAAAAAATTGGCCAGGCGGGAAAAAGGTGGACACGATAAAAAGACAGGAAACTGCAGTAAAAAATAAAAAATAAAAAGACCGAGGAAAAATGGAAAATTGGAAATGCTAGGGAAATGAGATGGTGTGGAATGAGATGAGGTGACGAGAAGGAGGCGGGGCCTGACCTTTCTGTAGACAGACAAATTGGAACCGGTTGCTGTCGAAGGGTAAGTTGTCTATTTTCTTTTTTTCGCTTGTCATTTCGCTTGTCATCCATCATCCTCCGCCGTTGTCTATCTCTCATCTTTGCCATGGTTTCTTCTCTGGTTGCCTGGAAATACCATTGGTTCAAGTCCCTTTCTATGCGCTGCTCTAGCTTATTGTAGTTTTAGTCTATTTGTATTATTTGCCTCTTGTAAATTGACCATCAATTGCAAATAAAGCTTTGTTTTTATTCGTTCGCCCGTTACTTCGTCGCTAGCCTCATTGTAGGTTGCTTTTTAATTGTAAGATAATAGAAAAAAGCAAAGTTGTAATAGGGACCAGTTATTCTTTCTTTGTCTTTTCAGACTACACATATCGTACCAAGTAACACGTGGGTTAAAGTTACCGAATTTTATCTTCGTTGCTTCGTCGTTTTCAACCCTGTGTCAATCGTGTTCAGTGCAGCTGTTTGACTAAAAATACGTAGTGCGATCAAAGTTGTACCTATGCTAGCGATATACAATATCACAGGAATCTGTATATACCTTGAGGGTTCACTTATAGCATGGCCCATTCATGGGGCCATCTCTGCAGCGTATCAAAGCGCTCTGATGGTGGGGAGTTGCTCCGGCAACAGCAAATGCATTGGCACCTCAGGGCGAAACGACATACGGACCAACTTTTTCAGTTCGAGATAACTCTTCAGGCATACCGATGACCTACTTGATGAGCGTAATTCTGGATTACATGTAAAAAATATCACATCGACATATTTTATGCAAAAGGATGGGTCCATAAAGTGAAATGGAATCGACAGGGTTTGTGCTACGAATGATTTGAATCCGCCTGCACTTTAGTGATGCCACAGTAAAAAGTCCGCTCATAATGAAGGAAACTGCTGCTGGCTCTTTTACTTTCCTCAAGCAGGATGCTTCGATTCGGTACACCCATGCTTGCAAGAAATGCCGTTCTTGCCAGCCGACGATGCTTTGCGACGTCCAAAACACCTGATCTTGAAATCGACAATTTGGTCGTAGGCGCTGGCGTGGTTGGCTTGGCCATTGGCGAAAAACTGACCGCCACACGACCATCAGAAACGACCATCGTCATTGACAAGAATAAGCGCATTGGAGAGGAAACAAGGTGAGTCTTCATGTTCTTTCTATTTTGGACTTTCCAGCCGAATGCTAATGCACTCCGGTTGCTTCATTATCGCTTAGTTCCCGGAACAGTGAAGTAATTCACGCTGGTATTTATTATCCCAAAGATAGTTTGAAAACGGCGCTGTGCATTCGCGGCAAGGGCATGTTGTACCAGTTACTGTCCGAGAAGTCCATGCCATACCGCAAGGTGGGCAAGTGGGTGGTGGCTCAGTCCGAGGAACAGCATGCGTATCTGGAAACTATGCATCAAAAAGCTGCCAACTTGGGTGTCGAGACATATTTCCTTTCCAAAGATCAAGCCGCCAAAGAGGAACCCAATATTCGTGCTCAATCCGTCCTTGTATCGCCATCCACGGGAATTATCGACTCACACGCTTTTATGGACTACTTACAGCAACGAATCACCGAGAATGGAGGGGATGTCGGTCTCCATACCATGATTCGTTCCATCTGTCCTTCGGAGGGTGGTGGCTACCTTGTCGAACTCGCTACGCCTCCCCACACCGACAGTCCAACCACCGTGCTGTGTCGCCGTATCTTCAACTCAGGTGGTTTGCACGCAGATAAAGTGAGCAACTTGTTGATGCCTAATCGATACAAGTTGAATTACGCTCGCGGTCATTATTATGCCTACAGTTCTCCTTGCGACATTCGTCACCTTATCTATCCTTGTCCTGAGAAACATCTGGCAGGACTAGGCACGCATTTGACTCTGGATATGGCTGGCCGAATTAAATTTGGCCCGGATGTGCAATGGGTTGATGATCCCTATGACTACACCGTGCCAGATGATGCGGACAAAAAGCAACAGTTCGTTGAGGCTATCAGCACCTTCCTTCCCTCAATTCGTCGCGACAAACTGCAACCCGATTACGCTGGCATTCGGTAAGTTTGCAGCATGTCGCATTGATCTATTAAGGCATCTTACCCGTCACCCTGTTTAGTCCCAAACTGGCTGGCCCAGGTGAACCCTTCAGAGATTTCGTGATTAAAGAAGAACGGGACCAAGGTCACCCCAATTTCTACACACTCATCGGTATCGAGAGTCCCGGTCTCACCTCATCTCTCGCCATTGCTGAATATGTCCATCAATTAATCCGCGATTAAACTTGCAATGGGCATTATTACCATAGAAATCAATATACAAGACTCATTCACCCACCCTTCTAATAGAGCTCTGAAAGAATGACCAGCCACTTGCAGGTAAATTCTTCTCTTCTCGCCCTTGGGCATTTTGTAATCCTACACAACAACCAATCCCTACTGTAATTGCTACCAGTTTCGCCGTTGAAAAAAGAAAAAGTTCCTTATTTCCATTCACAATGCTATCCCGATGTAATATGATCATAATGTGGCACCCTATTTTGTGCAGGGCTATTTGGCATCATGCACGCTATTAATCTCCGCATTTTGTTCCTTCTTTCTCAACTCATCGAAATATGGATCTGTAAAAGAATAACCATCGATTCAGTAACAGTCCCTCGAAATAAACACTTCTGTTTTCGTGATAGATCCTTACGTTGGAGAGCGTCATTTGCCGTGATGCGTTTTTCCGGAGGATATTCAAGGAGTCGCTGATTTTTCATGAATCGTCAGCTTTTCGGAAGATGGTTTGGTTGGGGCATGAAATATACTTACTTTTAATAAGTCTATGCCGAGCGCATCAAGTTTGGGGAGTAAAGATTCAAGAGATATTCGAGCAAAGATCTCGAAATCTCGCTAATAGCCAGATCCACGATTAGATCCCATCCCCATTTCATATTACGTCGAGGCTGTAGAGTAAGCCTTCAATGAGCATCTACCTTGTACTCGGGAAGTTGCGATACTTTTGGCCATGTCTCTTCTGTTGGTGTACCTAATACTGTGCAATGTGGTTAAGGACATTAATTTTTAAATGAGGAGCATCTGAAAATCGAGCGTAAAAAGAAGTCAAAAAAAAGGATATTTGAAAATGCGTTGAAGCTGATCTGCAATAGAGCTGCCAGGGAATAACGGGCGTCCAGATGCCATTTCTGAAATAAAGCAATAAGTAAGTTGAACACACCATTTTAAATGACCAAATAGGCACTTACCAGCAAAAATACAACCGGCCGACCACAAGTCGATGGATGTCGAGTATTGTCTGGATCCCATTAATACGTCAGGGGCACGATACCATAATGTTACAACCTACATTACCTTTTTAAGTTATCAAAGCAGATTACAAAATCATATCTCGATCAAGCCATACCTCATGTGAATAACTTCGTACTGGTATACCAAACGCTCGCGCCAAACCGAAATCAGCTAATTTCAGTTCACCTTTCTAAAAACGAAAAAGAGTGAGCATTCGCGATTATCCCATGTCATTCTCTTTGATAGATACCTTATTAATCAACAGATTCTGTGGTTTTAAATCCTAGTGTCGTGAAAACACAATGAGTCCCAACTGGCAATAGATTGTGTGTGTGTGTTATCAACTAACCCTGTGTAAGACTCTGTGTGCGTGACAAAAGGCAATGCCTTTCAGTAACTGGTACATCAATTGCTAAAGGCGTGCACAATCGTATAAGCATCAAGGGTATCCTATCGTCGTCTGTTTTGTCTAATTTTTTACCTTAATGGTGACAACATCAATGTCTCCACCATAAGAATCCAGGAACTTTTTCAAATCCGAATCCAAGTACTCAAACACGAGGGTGAGTTTTTTCTCGGTATGCAATACATCGTATAATCTACAAAGGACCATTGCAATGTAAAAGACTCGTTTTGTGTTGGTGTCCTAAAATCCATTTGCATACCTAACGATGTTGATGTGTTTTAACTCTTTCAAGAGCGAAATTTCTCGGATCGCCGTACAAGGTACCTAAAGCAAACAAAGAACATTAAGCTATTTTATCGATCAATACAAGCGGCAACAGACGAAACATACTCCTTCTTCTTCATTGTCCAATCGAATACGTTTCAATGCTACAACTTCATTTGTCTCGCGATTCTGAGCTTTGTACACGATGCCGTAGGTGCCTAAACGTTACATATACAGGTTAGGGCCAAACTATCTGGTCAAAAGTTATATAGACAATGGGTCAATGTACCTTCACCCAGCTTTTCAATTTTCTAAAGACAAGTATAAGTAGTTGTCCAATAGAAGGATCTAGAGAGTTCATGTATACATACTTGATATTTGTCCATCGGTTGCAGGCAGGAAAAAAATTAGGGAATTCTAAACCAACCGGGTCAGAAAGCGTTCATCAAAGGCGTTCTACGGACAGCGGAGTTCTAAAAAGAACTTACTTTGTCCATATTGGCCTTTTCGGCCTACGGTTACACTCGATGGCCGTCTCCGTCCAAGCGTATTTTCAGCATGTGGTGACAGTTTACAGCTCATGTTTTGCTTGGCCCGCCAGTATTCTGGCAATAACCGTCCTTCAATCAAGACCGCAGATATTACCTCGTTGAAGCATGCTGACTCCCATCGTTTGCATCACGATTCTCGTGCCGTATAATTCAACAATGACGCTGGGCAGAGCAGTTTCGCCAGTGGACGTCGACCTTTGATGCGCAAGAATTTACCGTCTTAAGGATATAGTATTTATTATGATGCAAACGCTATGGACGTATTTTTTGTCGTGTTAATTTCGTCGACGACCATGAACTGGTCGTTTTTCCGGAACATCCGTCGCTTGGCCGAGCTGGACAGTAGTGCCTCGGTGCCTATGCCCTTTCATGCGACTGAACTTGCCTCTGTACGCCGAAACAGTGCAATCATGCGGTTTGCGGCCCCATCTCTTCAAGATCATGCATTCTCCAACATGGTTTGGCACAATTCTGCCGACATAACAAGAACGGAAGAAAATACCCATTGGTGCCTGGTAGAATTTCTTCATGCGCAGTTCTCGCGTCGATCACAAGTTGGAGAGTTTTTTGGGACCGCTGGTCTAGTGGTCGCAACGTTTGCGGCTTGCGATGTATCCGGCTGAGCGTGCGCGACCCATTATGCCGAATGCGCATACGCAAGCATTTCCAGGCGAGTAGGACGCAGCAATAAAGCAAACGTCGGTGGTGGATTGATTACAGTGACCATTATGCGAGGGGATCAAGCGAGGTATTTCGCATTGATTCTTTGCCATGGAGATACAAAGGGCATGCGAGACATTAATAGAAAGTGTTTTTTATTGAAAATTTTGCCATTACATTGGAACAATTTTATCTCATCTTTTTTCATTTGGCTCAGTTGTTTAGATCTACTTGTAAAGACAATATATACATTTCCACAGTGACGTGTGATCAAAGCTGAAGAAGCAAAACCGTTCCTCAGGGACAGCCAATGACTGCGGATTCAGAAATGAACATCGATCTCCGATCGTTGATCGCCAGTTTGAGAACAGCAGTAATCGATGTTAATAATGGATAAAATACTAATTTTCTCCAAGTGACTTTGTGGCGAATCTGTTTTTTGTGTCGAGGAAAGCGAATTCCACACAGTTGCATGGCAAATATCCGAGGCACGAATCTGAGTCTCTTGCACTACTTTTCCTTTCGTGTTTTCAGTATCTTTTGTGTATGGCGTGGCTGATACGCTTGCAAAATATAACACAGAAAAATGGACAAAGTTTACCGCGCTCTTGTACCTGAGTCTGCCCAGCGAATTTGATGTTTTGGGAAGCCATGAGACACCATCCTAATAAGGAAATTAAGGAAAGGGCTATGTGACTGTTCTGTTAAACACCGCTTTTGTCGACTTGCGGGAAATTGAACAATGTGCAAGCGACTTGCAGCACTTCAACCGCCATGGCCGCGTCTCGATCCATTGTATGGTCCCCGCATGCCGATCGCAGCCAATTCCTTGTCAGTGGAGCGGAATTGAAACTGTACGAATGGATTCCTGAAGTAAGCAACTGCATAGTCTCTTTGCCAAAGGAAACAAATATGAACATTTTCTAATCTTTGTTCCAACCGCACCTTTAGAATGAAGGAACGCCTGCCAGGGCCCAGTTTCTCTCCAGCATACCCAATATTACGCTAATGATGGTATGTTTTTTATTCAAAGTGTAACTGACGAGTGCTGATACACAGAGTTGCATAGTGCGTCGACTGGTCTCCCGATCCGTATTGCCAGGACCTCATTGCAGTTGGTTTGACTACCGGCAAGACGCTCCTTGTACGAATGGGCGATTACGCTTTACCTGAATCGAGCTACCCTTACAACGATAATTCGACCGCACTTCGAAATAATGTCAACGTGCCTGCCCGTCCTCAGAAAATGCATAATAGCGGAACGCAGCAGTATCCTGTGCTGGGCGTGAAATTATCGCGTCAATGCAACGTTGTATCGTTCTCAAAATCGCATCCTCATCTACTCGCCACGGGCTTGGAAAAAGTGCGCAACGATCCATGCTTACTTGTGTGGGATATTTCCCAAGCCATCGATAGCTATTGCAACACGCCCTCTGGATCTCAGACACCCACCACGACACATCATAAGAAACCAACGTCCCAGGATGCACCAAGATCATCGCCAATCGGTGTAGGATGGAATATTTATGCAAACGACCAACAGCATCCCATAGCGAGCAGTATCCCCGGTAACGTCTTGTACCTGTGCAACGAAGTAAAGGCATCGGCTGATTCAGTTTTGCAAATAGCCCGACCGAAACATGAGTTTTTGCCAAATAACTTTGTCGCTCAGCAAACCGGCGGGCCGTCGAATGCGCCTCCGTAAGTGAGATCAATATTCGTCATACATAACTTTTTGCCAATTGACTGGTTTGGGATCAGTTACCGAGAGCAGAAACCTTTGTATCAATTTGGATCCTCGGAAGCCATTGCTTCCTGTGCATGGTCTGTTCATGGCGGATCTCCATTGTTGATAGCAGGCATGGCGAACAAGTACCTGCGAGTGTACGATATCCGAGGTAAAAGCTCAATGAATATTTGGACGGATGTCTATGGGATGGGTAATCCTAACAATGAGCAGTGGATTCCGGGGCGAGCCCCTTGCAATTCTCCACCAAGGCCGTCTACGGCATTACCGTGGACCCTTTCAACCCATATCGAGTGGCCTCTTTTGCGGACGAATCGGTGATTCGATTGTGGGATACCCGCAAACCGACAGAATCTATATCCTTTTACATGTTTTGTTCGACTTGTGCGGTTTGTCAATGGGATCATTTCCTCTTTTTTTTGCGAACATGATCTTATCCTTAACCTATGCTTTGTGATTACATCCTCACTTTGAATGCTGACAGCTCGAGTAAAAATAGTATTTCTCGCATCGCGTTTTCACCCACCCGAGCCGGTATCCTTGCTTCCTTGTCCCGCGACGGCTATGATCTCAATCTCTGGGATATCCAGGAAACCATCACTTCCTCACGAATGGTGATGCCGTCGATTTCAGACCAGCGATCCAGTCCAGCCAATAATCCTATTTATGCACACAATTTGCAGGATCGGCCGTCGTCACGTACGGGGCGACTCGAACGAACAGCCTCCTCCACCGGTCTGGCACGCTTAGCCAACATTACCGAAGATGATCTCAGTATACCCGTGCTTTGGAAGAACAGGAAAAGTAAGCTGCCGACAATGGGTATATAAACCACTATTTGTCTAAAGTCAATAATTGTCTAGCACCCATGAGCAGCAAACCTCTTACTTCGTTTGCTTTTATACCCAATTCCATGTCGGATCGCGTTTCCGAGTCGGTCCAACGTTTCTTAACCATGCACAAAGACGGTCAATTTGAAGCGGTGACTCTGCAAGACGCTTGCAAAATATCATGGCAAGCATGCGGCGGCATGGCAATGACGGCCGACAATCACTTGCTGATGTATGATTCAAAAAATGTTGTTCAAGAGGAAACTGCAGGACAGGAATCCTTGGAAGTAGCATTTGACCAAGTTCACTTGGAAGAACAGATGTTAGTATCCTGCAAACCTAGTTATGCATTGATGGCTACTTATGTCAGTCGCATTGAATTGACTATATTGAATTTTTAGTGCTAATTCGACCGATGGGGATCTTGACAAAAGCCAAAAGCCGCGTATGAGCGTGGACCGAATAAGAACCATGTTCAATGGTTCTGTTGCTAAAGAATTGGCCAGTGATATTTCCGTCTTGATGCGCAAGCGTGTCATTGATGGATATTCCATGGATGTAAGTATCCAGAGGAAGGTGGAGTTTGTCTTGCGATAGTTGACCATTTATTTTCCCCCTTTTATCCAGTGTACAAAAAATATAGAAATTGTGAAAAAAGATCGCAAGCTGCGCGAACTCTGGTCTTGGATGGAGCGTAAGTTAGCTGCAAATCATTGGTCTGAATCATTTCTATTGACGATCTTCTACGCAGGGGCTGATGCAATGTCCAAAGGAAGTGCGCAAATCGGAAATATCGACTACAGTTTTCAAGGTGTCTATGGCATTTGGATGGGGCCAGGTAAAGTATGACATCTTGCATGGCGCGAACAATTGGACTGAACCGATACATCTTTATTGCAGTGTCTCAGGGTCGTCGATCATCCCCTGGAAGTACGCCCAAGCTTGGTGGCTCGGGATCGGCAAGACAAAATATGGGACAAAAGGGAACCCAAAAATATATGTCCAAGGATAACCAAAAACCACCGTCGCCCATTGCCGAAGTCGCTGGGAAAGCCGATACCGGTTTAGCAATGGTACAAACCGCCAAAATGGCTCAAAGGCAATTAGCTTTGGCTGCATGCGGCCTGCGATTTAATGCTACGGAGCTGGAGACGCAACTGATTAGGTAGCTCGTTTATTTTGAGAATTGTGACATGTCTCGGCACCGACTCGGAACTGATGGAACGATCGATAGATTGGAATCCAATGGAGAATACGACAAAGCAGCAGGCTGGGCTTTATTCCATGGTCTACCGGAACGTGCTATACAAGCTCTCAGTAGCGTGCGTGGAGACGGTCAAGGGGAAGATGGTAAATTTTTCCGCAACTCGGGCACAATGGCCAATTGACGGATGGCTGACCTGATGTCATTAGATCGACAGCGAAAATGGATGTCTGCTGTGCTGGCTGGATACCAGATCAAAAACAGTCAAGAAAATACGACGTGGCGTCAACTGTGTGAATCACTCAGCAATGATATGGTAGATCATCCGTATTTACGCGCCATTTTTGCTTACATTGCATCGAATGACTGGTACTGCGTTCTCAACGAACCCGAGCTGCCATTGAGAGAACGTATGGCAGTCGCCTTGCGCGTTCTAGATGATGAACAGGTAACGGAGCATTCACCAGTGGACAAAAAGAAACATCTGGACTCAATTGTGTGCGCGTCTCATTATAAACGTTTAGATGACTAGATTTTTGAATGTGACGCTGGACGAGCTCATACAGCAAGGCGATATGGAAGGTGTGGTTGTGACCGGTCTCACCACCCGTGGTGTTGATCTATTTGATCAAGCTTTGAATCGATATGGGGATGTACAAACAGCGAGTATGGTGATGAGTTTTGTGGTGCCACGTCGCTTCAAAGATAAACGTGTCGAAGACTGGGTTGAAGACTATCGATCCTTGTTGGATCGCTGGCAGCTGTGGCATTCTCGTGCAAAATTCGATATTCAGCGCGGAAAGCGTATGAACGCGAGCGAAATTGCTCCACCGCAAGTGTACGTACGTTGCACTCACTGCGCTCAATCGGTCGGTCACAGTCTGTTAATTCAGAATGTTCGCAACCGGGATGGCAAACGAATGAATGTGCAAACAAATATATCGTCAGCTGGAGGACGCATGGCAGGAAAGCAAAAGGTAAACATGATGAGCAGATGATCGACGCTTTATCACTGGAAACTCTAACTCCATCCGGCTACTTATAGTCCACCGTTTGTCCAAGCTGCCGTAAGCCTTTGCCGAGATGTGCTCTGTGCTTACAACATATGGGGACACCGAGCGATTCGTCTCGACAAATGATGGCGAACAACGACATTCATCACAGTAAGTAACAACGATGAACTCATCTTGAAAAATTGTGGAAACTGATCTGGTTACACAGCGGACGCATCCGGATTTGATCTGTGGTTCACATGGTGTCAAACATGTCGTCATGGTGGTCATGCGATGCATATGTCCGAATGGTTTCAAAAGCATTCCATTTGTCCCGTGAGCGATTGTTCCTGTCAATGTCAATTCTAAATTCTTTGCAATTTTGTATCATATCTTAATACATACATCGCTGTGCGATACTAGTCATTCTACGCGTCATTATATCTGAGGTTATGATTATACCAATGTTGGCACGGGCTGTCTGGCCATAAATCGGTTACAGGGTTGTAGCGTTCCTTTAACGTACAGATACAACCATGACTCCATTGCTATGTACTAACACAGCAACCGCACCCGGGAATTCGGCTGATCTTGATAGCGAAACTTTATTAAGAAAAAGCTTTAAAAAAAGGCTATGCTATCGTGTGCAGGACCAATCAAACATACCAAATTGGAAAATCAGGGGAAAAGGGGTCCAACTATGTAATGTCTACATTGCCCTTGGAATTTGTCGGCCAATACAAACTTGCAAGAAAAGAAAATAGAATTCACATGGATGATTCATTTCATTCCCGAAAGATCATTATTTACTGCTCGATAATAAGAATGGAATGGATCATCACACTTTATCTTTTTCCTTCCATTGATGACCATGTGTTCTTTCATAGCCTGCTCGTCGGATGATATTATGATGAGACAATAACACAATGAAACAAAGTACCAAATTTCTTTCGTATACAGTATAACAGGAAACCTATCGGACAAAACTGCCCAAGTTAGGCAAAAATGAAATGATGATAAAAATAGTATCAAGCTCGAAAAGAATGCTGTGAGTGATAAACCCTGATATCCTTGAATTCACCATCAGTACATAATCGTAAGAAAACCTCGGCATCCGGACCATTTACTTTGTCTTTTGCTCCAAACCTTTTCATTGCATGATCCGGACAGTACTGTGTAAGTTGCCTGAGCCATTTTCATATAATTTTATGCAGCAGGTGGCTCAATGTGTATATGTATTTAGGGGCGAGCTTCTGCGCGCTGGCTTATGCTGGCAATGTGACGTACAATGTCATTTCGTTGGATCCATCGGGACATGTAGCGGTTATTGTCGATGATACGATCTATAAGTTGCAACCATCGGCTGTCACTCCGGTACTGTACACTGGCACGGCCCCCGTGGCGCAAAATGGTTACCAGTATGCTCGATTGGATGGCGACGACATCATTGATCAAGAGTCATTTATCAGACAAGTGGCCAACGGTGATACCACCAATGAATTTTATAACCGTACATTCAATGTTCAAGAATTACCACAGTTGCCCAAAATTCTTGATGACGTGCCTATCATTGATCGCATGAAGTCCCGGCTGCACATAGATGGAGTCATCGCAACGTTTCATTTTTCGGCTGATCAAAGTGAGATTGAGCGCATGCATAATGACACGCTAAAAAACGTCAAAGTGATCACGGACCTAACATACATCCGGTAAGTGCTCGTGCGCTTGGGACTTACTGAACGAACGACGGATAGGAGACCCTAAAAAAAATTTCTTTCCATCGGAATGCAGGAACGACGACATTGAAACTATTCCCGGAGTGGAACTTTATCTGTCCGGACGAAGCTCCCGGTGGTTTTCCAAAGTATCGTACAATGTGAAAATTCCCAAAGGGTATTCCCTGTTCGGCTATCGTCGACTGAAACTGCGATCGCTTGCCACCGACCCGTCGTATATTCGCGAACAACTCGGCTACGATGTATTGCGTTCCGTGGGTTTGCCTGCAACCCAATTTTCATTCGCTAGGTAAAGATATCTGCAAATCGATATGTTTTCCAAGAACTAACCATGGATTCATTAGGGTTGGTATCAATGGCCAACCGCTTGGACTCTTTGGATTGATCGAAGCTTACAAGAACCCTTGGTTAAAGAATGAATTCGCAGATGGCAAAAAGTATACACCCGGTATCCTTTATCAAGGAGGCAGCCCGTCGTTGGAAGGCATGCTGTACTCACCACCGGCGGATCTCGCGTTCCACGGGTACAATGCGTCGGACTACGTCAACTTTAGGATATCAGAAGGCCCGAAGAAAAGTAAAGGAGAGCCGGATTTTACACCTTTGATCGAACTGGCCGAGTTCATTGATGACGCGCCGACCGAAGGCTCCGATGCTGCGGCTGTTTGGGACGAAGAGTTGGATACGGAAATCGTCATTCGAAAGTAAGTCTTTGCTTTCCATGATCTGTGTACTTGCTGCTGTACTCATGTGATTCGTTTGAAATTTAGTATGGTGATAGAAATTCTGCTAGGGTTTGCTGATGGATACATCGTCAGCAGTAACAACTATTTTCTGTACGATAATCCAGACGATGATCGGTTTGTTTACTTGCCTTCTGATCTGGACATGACAATGGGTTCAACCTTTTTGGACTTTGCTCCCATGTTGAGCGGCAACTATGAAGACTATCCTGGGTTCCTCGAACGGCCCCTGCTGAAACTGCTGTGGGTGCCTGAGTTCAGACACCAATTCGAGAAATTGCTTCTGAAAGTATGTGAAGAATTGTTAAATCCTGAGGTTCTCAATAGTCGCATCGATGCTCTTATTGATTTGGTGAGAGAAGACGTGGAATGGGACAAAACACTACCGCGTTTAAACGACCGCTTTGATTGGAAATACATCTTTGACATTGTATCGAAGCATCCCAATATGGCTCCCGCCTACGACAACGGCACTAATCATCAATTCATTACACGCGTCTTTTCCGAATCTGTATCGCTGGACGAAGCTGTCAATGGTCCCACCACTCATGAATCTCTTATGAGCATCAAAGAATGGTTCGCCATGAAGATTGACGCCACTGTTACCTTTCTCAAAACTTACTCTTACGATCTGTAATCATTCGCATCTATTCATCATTCATTCATTATGTCATTATCAATTTTTTTATCTATTTCTCATTTTCAAATAACAAACCTATAACTCATTTTTCGTTCCAAAAATACTGCATTCCGTCCAAAAAAAAAAGAAGCAGAACATGGGGCACACAGGAAGGTATACTATCAACTGGTCGATACTGCACCTTGGGATAGCACTTCATTGGTGCTGCAAATAGCTGTGCCCAAAATATAAACGATCATATGTTCAGTTCTTTCATATGATTTAGCATAATACGACTGCGGAATATGTCTTGGCAATAGCCATTTGTGGAGCCTACGCAACTCACTGACACAGTTCAGGGGTGCAGAGTCACTATGCGATGATTCGTAGAGACTAAAAAATAAACTCCAAAAGTTGGACAACGGTACGGGAGGTCCAGGGAGAGTCAAGGATGGTCTCTTTCCAATGCAAAAGATGGGCGGATATGGAAATTCAAGGTTGCACGATGTCAAACGTCCTTGAACCCAGGAACGCCTGGTTGTTGCCTGCTGATGGATCCTCATGAATACGAGTTTCAGGTCATTGGCCATCAGGGAAAGTTATGCAGCAAGTGTTTGTATATTTCTCGTACACATAAGTACTATTTTGCGGATAGGATGAGAAATTGGAAAGCGTCGGATGGCGAGAAACATGAAACACGATGATCCTCATGATCGTCTGTCAAGCGGCATATTTTTTGCAGTGGCGGATTTCTAATCATGGCGGAATCTCATGTGAGGGCTAGAGTCCCCCCAACTTTTTCTTTGCTTCATGCTCGATGAGATGTTGCCTAAAAGTAGCCAATCCGCTCGTCTCCTTCTTACAAGGGGATCTTTTACTTGGTTTTTCTGCTTCTTTGCTTCTTTCTATTTTTTTCATTCTTCTTCTCTTCCCTTCATTTCCACCTTGCGAAGAGCATGTCAAGATGCATGTCCAACCAACCTCACCATCACTGAAACAGCGATTCCTGCGCTATCTTTGCAAGACCGCGCTCCCAGGCGTGCAAGGTCGCAAACCGAGACCTACCACACTACCAGCTTACCCGAGTGCCAAGAGCCAAGTGTTCTACCGCATCGATGAAGGATTTCATCAGATCACCAAACCCAAGTCAATGATTCTGCCGCTTCACAGCGAATGTAAAATAGGTATGGATATACGCCAAACCAAAAAAGAAAGAAAGAAACAAAGAAAAGGGGAAAGGGATACCTGGGAAGAAGAAGAAAGAAGGGGAAGGGGGGGAAAAGTGGATCGCGAGGGATACAACTGGAGTGAATCCCTTCCTTTGAAATACAGCAAGTAGAGAAGAAAAGCCCAAAAGTAAGGTTTATCTAACACTTATTAGATTTTCTAACCAGGTTACCGGTGGAATTGGCATACATTATTCTTTGCTTTTGTGATGCGCAGACCCTTCTTACTCTACGCACACTTTCACGGCATTATTATCGATTGAGCGAGAATAACGAGTTGTGGCGCAAATTGTATCACAGTCAGACATGGTCGGTGCCTCGCGGATTGCCACCCTCCGTTAATTATCACTCCCTATTCAAAAGACGAAGTACACTTCAGAAACGCTGGAGAAAAGGACAATGCATCACACGCACCATGGTCGGTCATGCAGATAGTATTTATTGCCTCCAATTTGACACTCAGAAAATCGTCACTGGCAGCCGTGATCGGACCATTAAGTTTTGGGATGTCGAAACAGGACAATGCTTGCATACATTAACCGGTCATCGGGCTAGTGTTCTGTGTCTCCAATATGACGACGACATCCTTGTTAGCGGTTCGTCCGATCGCACCATCATCGTATGGGATATGCACACCCACGAAATTATCCACACTATGCACGGTCATGCATCTGGCGTTCTCGATGTCGGGTTTGACGACAAACATATCGCCAGTTGTTCAAAAGATGCGACTATTCGGCTGTGGGCACGAGACGATGGTCGACTGTTACGAACGTTGGAAGGGCATCGTGGCCCAGTGAATGCGATACAACTGAAAGGAAATCGACTGGTCTCGGCATCTGGCGATGCCGTCATCAAAATGTGGGACGTCGAAACGGGCGAATGTCTTCGCGATTTCATAGGTCACACCCATGGTTTGGCATGCATTCGATACGATGGCAAGCGTATTGTGAGCGGCAGCAACGATCATAAAGTTAAAGTGTGGGATGCAGGTAACCTCCGAATCAACAAAAGATTCCTTTATTATTTTCACTCACAAGTTGTATTCTTCCTTTTGTAATTGCACGGTAGATACAGGGGAATGCATTCTCGTCTGTGAAGGTAGGCAGGACCTATGCGTTGAGTCCCTTTGAACGGGCATTTAATGCAATGTTTGGTTTTACAACTAAATCAGGTCATACGGGATTAGTACGAGCTCTGCACTTTGACGACAAAAAGATTGTTAGCGGAAGTTACGATCAAAGCATTCGCGTGTGGGATATTGAAACCGGCGCATGTTTACTCAACTATCAATCATGTCATTCCAGCTGGGTGTTTGATGTCTCATTTGACGAGACAAAAATCATCAGGTAAAACAAAATTAGCCCGCTGCTTCACCTCCTCTTTTTTCTCATTGTCTTTACTCTCTATTGCTAGTGCGAGCCAAGACCGAAAAATCATCATCATGAACTTTGCATATAACATTGACTCTACACATATCATTTGAGTTATTATAATCTCCCCCCCCCAAAAAAAAACAAAAAAAAATAGATACCAAGCATACACAAAATATACAATAATGTCGTTGAATATTTAGCACGAACTTTTGCTGCATTGACCGCACAAGTAGGACAAAACACAAAAGTGATGTAACAACACGATCCTACATGGTGACAAAATTACAAAGGTCTAAATAACGGAGTTGATGGATTAGTGACTGGATGGTTTTTATTTGCCAAGGAAAAAGAGGCTGTACAGGTGTCCTTTAGATATGGATAAAAAGTATTATGGACAATTGGCAATGTATTTTTCCAGCTTGTAGATGATGGGCAGTGAACCCTATTGCATGCGTGATCGTTTTATTGTGATTTCGGTATCACCGTGATGAGATCGCTTTTTAGAAACGTCGGCTTCAGCGGCAGCGGCTTCTTTCTCCATGGCTCTTAACCATTGACCTTCCGTCAAACCGTCATCGTAGCGCACCGTTTCTTTAGCTCGTTGGCCACGACCCAGGAATGCGTCATCAACGTATGAACTGTCGACTATAGGATGATCATGGCGATAAACTTCGGGCAACTCCCAATCTTGGATCAATCGATCCGATTTCTTAGAATGATGATCGCCCTGACGTCGTCGCCACTCCTCAGCATCCATGCGTTGTCTTTCCGCATCGATCGCGGTGAAAATGGCGTACTCTTGATCCGAGCGTTTCAACATCAGATTCAGTTCCTCATCATCCAATTCTTCATTCTCTTCATTTTTATCGTCTTGTTCATCCGATTTATCCTCGAGCAAAGATCTCAGGAACCGTTCTCGATCTTCTTCCGTACTTCGATTATCGAATTTACCGGCCTGAATCACTTTACCGTCAATGTCAAGCTTATACTGTGCTCTTGCAAGAATTTTTTCCTCGATAGAGTTTTCGGTAATGAGTCGGAAAATACGGACTTCTTTTGTCTGACCGATACGATGCGCACGATCTTGGGCCTGTAAATCTTGATGAGGATTCCTACATTACATAACTGTCAGTACCTGAATTCAAACTCCAGTTTTTTCTGCTCAAGCTTACCAATCCGAATCAAAAATAATGACGGTGTCTGCAGTCTGAAGGTTCAGGCCTAGACCGCCAGCACGCGTACTTAAAAGGAAGACGAAATGAGGCGAATCGGGAGCATTAAATTCTTTCAAGAGACGGGATCGATCATCAGATTTTGTCGAACCATCGAGACGAAGATGACGGTGGCCTCGATAGAGACAAAAGTCTTCCATGATATCCATGATTTGTGTCATTTGGAAAAATATAAGTACCTAAGAGGTATACATAATGAGCGAAAATGACTTTTTTTTTCAGTCGTTTTCAGTCGTTTTCAATCGTATACATACGCGATGTCCGGTGGCTTTCAGTTTTGGTAGTAAGCGATCCAGTAACTCAAATTTGCCCGAAGTACGATACAGCAATTCGTTGCTTAATTGGAAAGGATTGATGGTACGTTCCACTTCTTCAAATACAAATGGATGGTTGCAGATTTTACGAAGTTGCATAATGGTGTTATTCAGACCCTTGATGCTGGTACGGCTGCAGAAGCGCATTAGCCTACATTGGATACTGGATAAAACACAAAGCTTTTTGTCTCAACTTACCCAGACTTTCCGTTACCGCCGGTGAATAGCACACCGTGCTTTTTCATTTGTGAATAGAGTCGTGCTTGCAAAGCCGACAGCTTGCATTTTACAACACGCTCAATCTTGTCGGGAAGCTCAGCTTCCACATCCTTTTTGAGACGTCGCAGCAGGAAAGGTCGAAGAACCTAGCCCACAATAACCCGGATCAGTCATCAAATTTTCAAGGGATCCGATCTCAACTATTAACAATACCTTGTGCAGACGCTTGATGATAAGTAACTGTTCTTCTTCATTCAATTCCACTTTGTCTTGGACACCTTGAGTGGAGAAAGGGGTATTGAACCAATCTTCAAAGCTCTTTACACTGTTGAAAATCTTTGGAAGGATGAAATTCAAGAGAGCCCATAGTTCTGGTAAATTATTCTAAAGATATCCAAAACTTTCAGTTTCTTGTATATCCACAGTAATCTTTTTGGCTTTGAACAGGAGTTTACCTGAAGAGGGGTGCCTGTCAAGATGAGTCGATATCGGGAAGAGTAGTATTGACGGAGAACAGTGGTGAGCCTGGAGTTGGTGTTTTTGATTCGATGACCTTCATCAATAATCATATGCATCCATTTGATTTTGGACAAGGCCGGCCTATCCTTGATGATATAGTCAAACGTAGTCAATAGCACTTGAAAGTCGCGATGGCGGATTTGCCGTTTCTGAATATCCTTGCGCACATCCGGTGGCCCTTTGTATACAATTTTGGTGACTGAGGGAGCCCACTTTTCGAATTCCAGTGCCCAATTGGTCAACGTCCTGAAGATAAAATCCTGATGAGCAATCGTCCTTGTATGTGATTAGACTCTTATCACTTACGATAATGGAACAATGATGAGGAAAGGTCCATTTTGCTGCTTTCTCTCAATTAAATATGTGATTAAACTGATGGTCTGAATTGTTTTGCCAAGACCCATTTCGTCGGCCAAAATGCCGTTCAATCGATTGTTATACAATGAAACCATCCATTGCAATCCCTTGACCTAACGAAGAGAGAAAAACTAGGAGTCAATAGTTAAGCTTAAAAGGCCACCAACACGTGTTTTTACCTGATAGTCTTTGAGTTTGCCACCGACGAGAATCGTAGGTTGCGATACAGATTCTTGAACGCGATGAGCCATGCGAAAGTAATCCATCTTGTTCCCAGATTGATCCTACAAAGTTCCGGTGTATGGATAAATTTACACTGATCATAAAAAAAACAATAAAGCCAAGCCAAGAAAGACCAAGGCGCAGTGGTTGGACTTACAATCACCATGCTTTCTTCATCAGCTTCTTCAGGTAAAAAGCTGTCATCGTCTTTTTGATGGATGGGATCATTTTGTTGGTCGACGACGGCACGCGTTAATGATTCTAGATAGGATCCAGTCTGTCGTAACAACAGTGTCAAACGTGTGTCTTTGGCTTCATCGATCAGTTTCATGTAAGCTTCTTCGTCATCATTGCGCAAAGCACGGATACGTTCTTTGGAACGTCGATCTGAACGTTTTTGTTCTTCACGATCAATATGCGAATGGAACTGTAAGACTGCTTTGCCCAATTTTCCCGCTTTGCCTTGATGCGCTTTGTGCCACAGCACAAGCTCGCGGCCTTGATTGCAGATGGTCTGTAAATATTCCAAGTGACGCTGTTTCTCGCGTTTCTCACGATCAAGACGTTGTTGCCTCTCAAGTTTCTCTGTCATCTTGGCCTCTTTGAGCGTTTGTTTCATCATCTTTCTGTATTGAGCTCGATCCACCGACGTGGCTAACCGGTTGGCTTCTTCCATGCCCTTGACAATTTCTTCACGTAGCTAAGGTACAGCGCATAAGTATGTCAGTGGTACATGAAAATCGAAAAAAAAAGAATCAGAAGTTTTTTTACCTTGAACTGTTTCTCACGCAAATGCAGACTTTTCAATTGAATAATGTTTTCCAGCTGGAAAGAAGTCGCGTTTCGCACCGTTTGTTCGTAATAATCATTCAACAACTGCCTCAAAGGACGATTCTGATTTTCGTTCAAGATAATGTTTTCCAGGGTCAAAAGTTTTTGCTGAACGCGTTCATTAATACGTTTTTCTCGTTCGCCTAGAATGGTATGTGGATCAAGACCGGCGGGCGCTGTATCAGGGAGTAACAATCGTTGCTGACGTGAAGCGTGAGCGTGGGACCGCTGTTGTGCCGATAAGAGATCGACGGGAGTTAAGACGGCGACGGACCGATTCTCTTTGAGTTTCATCAACACTTTGTGATCTTCGGCTTGACGATAGATTGCCTCGACGAGTTTCTCTGCTAAGGATTTTGTTTCTTCAGGCACTGGTTCTTCTGGTTTTTCAGCGGTAGATACAGGTGATGAAGCGGTGGCGGGAGTCGATGGTGATGCATTGGATTGATTCGATTGATTGGATAGATTTTTGGAAAGCAGATTATAAGCTAGCATCTGATATTGAAGCGTGTTTAATGCGGATGGACTTGCTGGCGCCGGAGAAATCGGTATGGAAGAAGAAGGGGATGGCGCAGCATACGTAGGTGGAGGTGAGGCTGTGGCATTCGTATTGGCATTGGCTGTGGCTATAGATCCAAGGTATGAGATGAACCATTTCCAAAAAAAAAAAAAAAAAAAAAAAAAAAAAAATGCATAGAGTGGGAGAAAAAAGAGGATAAAGGTTGTACCTGCGGATGGGGAATTTAAGCGTGCTATTTGTTGCTGTTGAAGAAGATGTTGTTGCAAGAGCTGGAGTTGCAACTGTTGCTGTTGAGCAGTCTGTGCAGAAGATTCGTGATCTGGTTGGCTAGCATTGGGAGGTTGTTGCTGCATGAGTTGTTGTTGCAGTAATAAAGTCTGTTGCTGTTGCTGTTGACGGTGCTGCTGTTGAAGCACTCTGAGCAATGTCATAATTTGAGAGAATTCATTTTGACCGTCTTCCTTCTCTCCTGCTGCCTGTAATTGTTTCGCTCTCTATTGCAAAGCGGACATTAGGAATTAAGTGCTGGAAATTGGTTCAACCAGTTGGCTCTGGAAAAGAAAGAAAGAAGGAGTTCTTACTTGTAGTACAATATTGAGTCTTTCTTGTGTAAGGGCTTGAAGACTGGGATCAGGCGATGGCAAAGGAGACGAAGGAGTAGGTGCGGAATTCATGACTAGCCAAAGGTTGACGTGCTATTTTGCGATAAAGTAGGCAGGGTCAAGCGTGGCATTGAAATACACAGTAAAGACAATTCAAACAGTTAGCAATGCCAATTTAACAAAGGGAGCCGCTTCTAGAAAACCCCAAAAAACTCAAATATCTGCCCATACCGCTGCTGCCCGAAAAAAAAAAATAGGGTAGGTAAAGTTTCCTCGTCACCCGCACGAGCCGGTTCAAACCATTTTTCCTCCACTCGTTGGAGAAAAAAAATTTCTGTTGACTTGGTACACGTCATCACCCTCCTCTAAATTTAGAACTCCGTATGTAGTTTCGACATGATTTCGACATTTGTCTCCATGGTATGCAATTGGAGTCGCAGTTTCGTGAGTCTCCATGAATCTGAGTAACCGTCTCGTGGTTGGAAAACTAACATAGCAATATACTGATATATTTTGAGCTACGTGGCCTACATTGAGTGATACCCAATTCAAATATTTCTTCGAAAAATCAGGCTCCTTGTTCGTATCTGTTTTCGATTATTCTTGCAATAATGCTTTAATTATTGTAATACTAAGCTAAATGAATATCCATATTTTTCACAAATCAGCTTTAGAGATGTAGATATTAGCGATGATAAGATGGATATGCACATTTTATGAATGATTACAGTAAATACTGCTGCTAAACGATTATTTTAGGACAAACATTCGGTAAAGAAAAAATAAAGAGCCAATGCAAATGGTATAATCAAACTATAATAGATAGCGGTAATCTCTACCAGCACTTCCCACGCGACCACCAGCATCAATGATTTTGTTCAATCCCTTTAAGCGCATTTTGAGGACAAATGCACAAATAGCGGCCAGGAGCATAGCGCCACCGTTCACCATGTTGGACCCAACATACCGCGGCGCATCCGAAGTCCAGCCAGAGTAAAGGGCAAATGTACATATAAGCGCACCAAAGTTGGCTATCGAAGACACGATACCGGTGGCAGAAGCAATGGCGATGGAATCCTCTTTAGAGTTAGCGGTCCAGGCCATACTCTGCGTAAATCATTGGTTACATCCCACCCTTTTAAGTGCTTTGCCACTTTTGTTCTTCACTTACCAAGGGAACGGTTGGATAAGTGCCGCCAGCGACAATCATCAGTCCAAAATAGCGTGCACCGACTGGGCCGGCAAAACTGAGAATGGCAAAGCCGGTAAAGGAGGTCAGACAGGCACCAATGATGAACCAGCCGCGATCGCGGTAATGATCACTGCAGCGGGTCACGATATACACCATCACGCCACCGAAAACGTACGGTGGAATACTCATTAAGCTGACTTGGATCGAAGTATAAGTACCGATCTCTTGCACGATTTTCGGGATAAAGTAACCCAAAGAGGTGGCTGCCATGACGGGTGTAAAATATAACACGCAAAACATCCACACTTTGTAGTCCTTAAACTGCATAAGGATCTCCCTCCACTTGTCCTTGGTATTCAAATTCGGTTCTTCCACTGTCACCGTCGCCAATCGTTCTTTGATCAGTAATCGTTCTTCCTCGGTCAAGAAACCCTTGGACGTTTCGGGCTTGGACGGCAGCACCCACAACGTCGCCACACCGAAAATCAGCGAAATAATCCCAGAAATCAAAAAGAGCCACTGCCATCCATATAACCCGCCACGGGTATCAATCAGCTGAATTGCTGCAGAAATAAGACCACCAAATGCGCCTGATTCATGGCCGACGATTGATCAACGATACGTTACACTATTCCACACGCTTTTGTTCATGACGTACCTGACGCTGGACCTGCCAGATATGTCACGCCAATACGTGAAGAGATCTCTTCGGGACGGTACCATAAAGTGGTATAGTACGCTACAGAAAAGGGGACAAGTGATTAAGCGGCCATCCAGCATTTTCTATGGCCAATGACGGATCAACTTACTGATACCGGGCCAAAACCCTGCTTCAAACATGCCCTAAAATTCGCCAATGAAGAGTTTAGCTAGACGGGTTGGTTATTTTACCAAAATGAGACCCTTACCAAGAGAAAACGCAACAGATAGAAATGCCATGCATGTGATATGGCTGCCATGCAACCTGTAACGATACTCCAGGTAATCATGATTCTGGCAATCCAATATGCTGGATTCATGTGGGCCATAATTACGTTGGATGGAACTTCAAAAACCTTTATCCACCAATCAAACGTTCAATGGCCTGGTCGTGTTTTAATTTGTTTCTCTCTCCCTTATCTTTTGTAAAACCTACGATGTATGCCACGTAAAACAAGCCAAGCCCGACATTGTTTTCACGGTCGGAAAGTCCCGCTGTCGCTGCTAGATTATGACCTTGTTGTCTGTTCATTGTCATGGCAAACCCGACATTGGCACGATCTTCCACACTCAAAAAGTATAATATGAAGATCCAAGGTACGATCCGCCAATCGAGCTTATGCAGTAGCTTCTTCTCTAGTGCTTGCTGTTGTTCGACATCGTCTTTTGATTTAATGCTTCCATTGGTGAATGGACTATTGCGTTGGCGTATTTCCGTCGATCGCGAACCGCGTGATATGGAAGATGTCATGAAAAATCCACCAAACAAAAAGTCCAAATTTGGGGATTAGGGATTTGGGAAATTCACACAGTTTTCACAGTTCCACAAGTTTCACGGCACTTCATTGAGCCTATATTTTCGTAAGCGGGGATGGAAATCAACGTCATGACCCAATCACAAGTGCTATTCCCAATGACTACAAGCAAAAAAGATCTATGTTTTTGATTCCCAGTTCATATTTTCTCGATTAGGGTCTTCTTCGTCCTTTTCACCATGGTAACAACAGCGATTCCGGCACAGAACAACCTCAACACCGAAAGCATTCCGAGATTTGCAAAGGCCAAGGAAACCTTTTTGGGTTTTGTTATTGGGGGTCTGGCCGCCTGTGGTGCAGTAACATTTACCAATCCCTGGGAGGTAAGGAACAATAACGGCAAACTTTAAAAATAAATCGTCTTCTCTTTCTCCCTCCTTGACACTCATAAAAATGTCTCGCATGTATCCATTGTTCTTCTCAGGTCGTGAAAACCCGGTTGCAACTTCAGGGCGAGTTGGTGAGAGCTGGTGCTCTGGCCGAATCGAGCCGACCCTATCACAACAGTTTCCAAGGTCTTAAAGTAGTATTTCAACACGAAGGTCTCCGAGGCATTCAGCGTGGTTTAGGTGTAGCATATATATACCAGGTTTGCTTGAACGGTAGTCGACTCGGTCTTTACGAACCGGTGCGATCCGGCATTGTCAATGGCTTGGGACTGAAATCGGATCATACCTTGCTGGCGGCCGGTGTGTTCTCGGGAGCCGTGGCGGGAATGTTTGGTGCATTGCTTGGTTCACCTCTCTTCTTGATTAAAACAAGACGTCAGTCTTATTCTCCCGTTTTCCGACAAATCGGTCATCAGCATGCCATGGGATCCTCATTCAGTGCGCTTCGCGAAATTTACAGAACCGAAGGCATCAAGGGTCTGTACCGTGGTGCCGATGCTGCCATGGCCCGTGCCGGTGTAGGATCTGCAGTTCAAATGCCCACTTACATGATCGGCAAAGAAATTCTTATCGATAAATTCGGTTGCCCTGATACCGTCAGCACTCATTTCGGTACTTCCATGGTCACGGGTTTCCTCGTCTGCATAGCCATGAACCCATTCGATGTGGTGTCTACCCGCATGTATAATCAAGGTGTTGATCCGGCTACCGGTCGTGGTTTGCTTTACAAGAGCCCAGTTGATTGCTTTGTCAAGATGATCCAAACCGAAGGTGTACGTGGTTTGTATAAGGGCTTTGGTGCTCACTTCCTTCGAATTGGGTAAGTTTTTAAAACGCACGAATAATTTGTTGGTTGGCATAATGTTTGCTAACTCCGACTTCTCCACAGTCCCCACACGACGCTCATGTTCGTTTTCATGGAACAACTCAAGAGCCTTTACGGAAAGTACTTGAAGTAGATATAAGCAACAATTATTTATTGGGATTCTCTCCATTGTACACTACACCATACGCACACACGCACGCACACACAACAACAACAACAACACACGCAGCTACACCCACTTTCTGTGTATATGATCAAAAAAACGAAGAAATACCGTTCGGCAGATTTGTCGGAGCTTGCAATCCCCGACGAACCTGAAGTTTCCCCATAGAATTCATAGATATGAATAAATAAATAAAATTGATAAAAAAAAAATTAAACACGCATACCCGTTGATTATCCATTTTTCGTGCCAGGACTGTACTCAAAATATCTGCTCGAGTATCATAACAACGGGATGACTAATCTCTTAGAGCCATTGACAGGTTACCGAAAAAGGCAAGGCAATTTCGTGGTGCAGGCGGTGAATTGCGCCATTTCTGTTGGCTGTGAATGGGCGGTTGTAGTTGATGGCGTGCTGCCAATGAAAATAAAGATCGTTGGTCGTATATGGGTTAATATGCGAACAAAAGCATCCAAAGATCTATATCAAGATATCTGAACTTTTTGCTATCGCATCTATTTCATTTTTTTTTTTCTTTTTTCTCTTCATCTTCTTGTTTTACTTCTTTCTTTTAGTTGTAAACTTATACTTATAATGTTCGCTTCCACGGCATTGATTGCTGCGCTTGTGAAGCACCAGTTTGGTTCCGGCAAACCCAAGAACGATGAAGTGACTCGTGAAGTGATCGAAAAAGTCGCCAGTGAGCTCAAGGCCGCACTTCAGGAAGATGCTGCTTCCACCACCGGCAGTCAAACCACCATTGTCGACGAAGATAACAGTGTTCAACTCCAATCCCGTATCAAGAATGTCATTGAAAGATTATTCCATGCTTCCGGCGATGACACTCTTCTTACCAATGCCAATCAAGCTATTAACTACATTGCTTATGCTCTTTCCGATCTCTTGTTTGTGTATCCTGGTTCCACCGCCGGTTACCTGGGCCAGGAACTCTCCGTTTGGTCTCAAGTGATTCGCAACAGTCAAGATCAATTGGTAAAAATTGTTGAAATGCAAACTCGTGCAGGCGCTTTGCAAGCCGTCCAGGGTGCATTGGCCGAGAATCCATCCAAGTCAGCCACGGTTTTAACGTCGTCCGAAGCCTTATTATCCATGATTCCCAACATCCATGTCCTCGCACTTACCCGTCAACCGGTGGTGTTCCATGTTGCGGCTCAAACCGTCGATCAAGATTTGGTGGCTCAGCCTCATGTGGATGGTATTCTTGCCGCTCGCAACTCTGGTGCTTTACTTTTGGCTTCCAAGACTGTCCAAGAAGCTCATGACATGGCGATTGCTGCTCACTTGTTGGCCAAGGCTACCAGTCTACCTGTCATCCACTACTTTGATGGCGCTTCGGCGGCCAAGCAAATTGAAAAAGTCAAGTTGGTTTCCTTCTCCGCTTTAGCACAATGGCAAACCCGTACCTCGGTCCAGTCCACCACTTACGCTGAAGCTTACCACACCGCCAAGCAAATACTCCAACAACTTGGCTATCAGCCCTTTGAATACATCGGTGCCGCCAATGCTGAAACCGTGTTTATCACCTTAGGTGCCGGCATCGCTTCTGTTTCCCAGGCAGTGGCTCGTTCCGCTCAATACCAAAAGACGAGCGTCGGTCTTCTTAGTGTGCGTTTGTATCGTCCTTGGTCTGAAACCGATGTCATTGCCAGCTTGCCCACCACTGTGCGCCGAGTCGTTGTGCTTGAGGAAGGCGATGGTTTGTTTGCTTTCAACGGTCCTCTTTTCCTCGATATTGCTGCGGCTATCCGATTTGGTTCTTTGGCTCGTCAAACCCGTCCCCGTCTTATCACCGCTCAAGCCAGTACATTCAACCACCTCCACGCAGGTCATATCCCTGTCATTGTCCAAGAAGCTGAACACGAAACCTTTATCGATTTGTTGGCCCCCGCATTCACTGCTCCCATTTCCGACGAAACCCTCACCGCTCAAACATCCGAGGCCGGTCTCAATGCCATCTTCTGGGACGTCGAACAAGATCATTCCGCGGACGCTGCTTTCCACATCACTCACTTGGTTCACCAACAACAACCTTCCAAGAATATTACATCTCAGGTATCCCGTGATGCCTACCGTTTGGGTGGCGCCGTCGTGAATACCCGCGTCAGCGAAACTGGAATGCAGAACAAGGCTCAATACATTGGTGTGCACAACGTGGCTCTTACCAAAGAATACGATATCCTGGCGTCGGCTCAGAAGAAGGCCACGGTGCTTCTTCACGGTCCCTGGAAACATGGTGACGAAATCGAAGCTCACCTAACCAACGAATTCAAGCTGGCATTGACCCAACTCGACATCAAGCTTTACACTTTGGATGCCGCCCGCATCGCCGAAGAATTAGGTCTCCATCGCAAATCGACCCATCTGGTATGGGAAGCCGCTTTCTTGCACTTGGTCCAACCCGAATCTACTTCCGCCGACCGTCTCGCCGCACTGTACAACGAACTCGAGGTGGTGAACGAACAAGAAAAACGCGAATTGCAGACGGTGTTGAAGGAGGTCGTTGAAGCTGTCAAGACTGCTTTGACCCACGTTGAACTGTTGCCTCCTTGGACGATCCTTGAAATCAACGATGAAGTTTTGCCCAGCACTCCTATTGACCGCTGTGCGGCCGCCGATACGGATGATCAAGATGATGACTCCTCGACAGTTGTGGATGGCGCCGACGGTGAAGAACGATCCGAAGTCGGTAAATGGCACCAGGCCGCTTTCCATGTGATGTTTGGCGAAGCTTACGAGAAGGAAACGGCGATTCGTCCAGACTTGCACGAAGCTACCTACCTTGTAAAACTGACCGAGAACAAGCGCTTGACCCCCGCAAGTTACGATCGCAACGTGTTCCATCTCGAATTCGATACCAGCGGCAGTGGTCTCAAGTACTCTATTGGTGATGCTCTGGGTGTGCACGGCCACAACGACCAACAGGAAGTGAGAGAGTTCTTGCAATGGTATGGTCTCAAGGAAAACGATGTGGTGTTGACCCGTAACGGAGAATCCGGCCGAAAGGAAGCTCGTACCGTCCTCCAGTTGTTCACCCAGACTTTGGATGTGTTTGGTCGTCCCAACAAGAAGTTCTACGAAGGCCTTGCTCAGTACGCTACGGATCCCAAGGAACGCGAGCAGCTGTTGTTCTTGGTGTCATCGGAAGGCAAGGAAGAATACAAGAAGCGTGTGGATGAGACGATTACCTTTGAAGATTTGCTTCGCGAATTCACGTCGGCCAAACCTCCGTTGGAAGCTTTGGTACACATGATTACGCCCATCAAGCCTCGTCACTACTCGATTGCTTCCTCGCAAAAAATGCATCCCAACTCAGTACATCTCCTTGTGGTCGCTGTGGACTGGCAGACATCGACGGGCAAGAAACGCTATGGTCAATGTACCCGCTATTTGGCCGACCTTCCCATCAATTCCGATGTGACCGTCTCCATCAAGCCTTCGGTGATGAAGCTGCCTCCTTTGGATACGCAACCTGTGATCATGGCTGGCCTCGGCACAGGTATGGCGCCTTTCCGTGCTTTCATTCAAGAACGTGCTGTTGCCAAGGCCGCCGGTAAGGAAATTGGCCCTGTGGTTCTTTACTTTGGTTCCCGTAATCGTCGCAACGAGTACCTGTATGGCGAAGAACTGGAAGCTTACCATGCCGCGGGTATTCTTTCTCACATGGGTTTGGCGTTCTCGCGTGACCAGAAAGAAAAGGTGTACATTCAACACAAGATGATGGAAGATGCCGAAATGCTACACGATTATCTTATCAATAAGAATGGTCACTTTTACCTGTGCGGTCCTACCTGGCCTGTGCCTGATGTCAAGGATGCTGTGGTCTACGGTCTCAAGAACTTTGGTGGTATTGATGAAAAGACGTCCAACGATCTGATTGAAGAATGGAAAGAAAAGGAGAAGTATATTCTCGAAGTTTATTAGATACATTTCATTTTTTTAGCATACAATAGTAAAATCAACAAATAAAAAAAAAGTTTCATTTTGCTCTACAGAATTAACCTCGATGTCTTTCCTCTGCATTAGTTTATGCTGTCTTTACTTTTCATTTTTTTTTACAAGTTGGGATTTTATGTCAGAATATTTTTTGTGGAGTTTTCAAAGGCAATCTTTTTTTATCACGATGGCTTGATTTCTTCCAAAGTGAAATTTCCTCTATCGAATGTTTCAATGGACTTTGATTGGTAGTGTGTGGGATTTCGCATTGGAACCTCATTTTGTCCCTGTTGGTGATGATCAAGGGCACCCAAACTGAGACATTTTTTTAGCGAATGGACAGTGCTTGACCTTCTTTGTTGTGTCTCAAATTGAAAGCCCGTAACCTATTTTCCTGATCGACTTGTCCAATAGGGATCATTCCGGCGCATCACACCGTGCTTAAAGGTAAAATCATGAATAAGGAACATCCTCCACAGAAATATCAAAGAAAATTCCATGAATGGAACATCGATTATGCCCACTGTTTCAGTGAAAAAGTATTTTAAAAAGTGCCATTTTTTGATCCCTTAATTAAAAGCCCCTGCTTTTTTTTTGGCTTTATATTTTCGATTGCAACACATCATGAAGATTGCTGGTTTGCTATTATTCTCACTGGTAACTGCTATGGAGGCAGCAAATTCTTGTAATCCTTGTCACAAAGATGAGTTGGGTCGTGCATGGAATAATCTCATCGATATCGACTTCTCCAACTATCCTCCCCAACAAATCCAGAAGGATAAAACATTTGTTGTCATGGGATATACCATCCCATCAAAATACAAGAATACTCTTGATCGTGCGTTTGATACGGACAATGTTCGCGTGGAAAATGGTACAGCCGAACTGACTGTGCAAGATCGTAACGGCCGTATGACCTCTGGCTCTTTTGGAACACGAAGGTAAGCATAAATCTTTGTTCATGTTTGATTATGAGGCCATTATACTTAGCCTTTTTTTTTGGCTTCCAGAGCGGATATTCTATATGGCTCATTCCGAGCGGTGATGAAGATTACCGATGAACCAGGAACAGTGGGTGCCTTCTACTTTTTCCGAGACAATAAACACGAGCTCGATATTGAACTGCTTAGCCGTAATAAACATCCTTGGCAAGCCTACTTTGCAGCCCACCCTCAGATCTACAATCAAGATGGCTCGGCTTCGCAGTTAACTCACGGCAAATATGTCCTGGATAATGATCTTTCATCGGTAAGCGTTGGATCGGTGGATTTAGGGGAGCTGGTTAGGATTTTTGGGGTTTGTCTAATCTGGGTTATATGGTTATAGGACTATCACGAGTATCGTATTGATTGGTTACCTAACCGTGCTGAATTCTTCGTCGATGGTCAGAAAGCGCACGAGTTTACAACCAATGTGCCCGACCTTCCAGGCAGAATGCTGGTCAATCATTGGACAGACGGTAATCCCAACTTCAGCGGCGGCCCTCCTACCAAACCAGCTACTCTCTCAGTAAAGAGTTTGACCTATTACTTTAATACGGAATCGGATCCGGCGCCGTCAACCAACTGTCCTCCTACTTCTTGTGAAACTTCTGGTAAGTGGTACGTATGCTGTCCGTGAGTGCATCATTAGCACAAAAGTTAAAACGTCAATTTTCATTATTAGATGTCGCACCAGCGGCTACGGCGGCTCCAAAGGCTGAGGAAACTCGAACCGAACAGCAACACCAGCAGCGTCCATCCAAAGGCTCCAAATTGCGTTGCGGTGCATGCTTATTAAGCGTGGTATTGCAAGCCATTATATTTATCATAAGCTACATGGTGTTGTAAATTCGCACTTCATATCCCCTCCGCCCAATGCATAAAATTGTTTGCTGTCCTCTTCTCAAACAGTTGCTAGATAACAGCTAAAAAAAAAAAGGTGCTTTTACATTACATATTTACCTTGGGACAAAATTATGGTTCTATTGCTTTATTCTTTTGGCTTTTGTATGATATTAAAATAATCATTCATGCATCACATGTTTAAGTACAAGACAAAACTCAATAGTAGTAAGAAATACACAAACCTCTATTAGGAAGATAAAGCATTGATAAAGAAAAAACGAAAGCACAGCACAGACGTGAAAAGCAATGACAGCATATCAACTTCTTATTCCATTTCGACCACCACAGGTTCATCATCATCTTCGTCGCTATCTGATTCAGGAATCTCCCACTTGAAGCGTGTGGCAATAAACTTTTTTAACCGTTCAAAACGCGACCTCAAGTCCACGGAATTTGGAGGGATATTTCGAGCAAATGTCTACCGACCCACGAAACAAGACGGTCAATAATTAAAATTGCTGACCTACAGTAGGGCGATGGATATTCACCTTTAGCATTGAAGCAATAAAGTTGTTTTCGGACAAAATGTCACGAAAAAAATCCTCTGGGCATTCATCCAACTGATACTGTAGCACGTCTTCAAACAGAAACATATATAAGCCGCCGGTCAATGTCTAAGCTTTTTTCTCTCAACGTACCAAAGAAATCGATGAACATGTTGGGCTTTTCTTGTACGAGATCTTCACAAGAGCACAGCAAATGCACCAAATGTTTCCACTGGTTGAACCCCGAGAAATTCTGCGCCATTAACAGACAAACAAAGGCCAATTGCATTTCACCGAGCATGAGGGTATGGTCTATAAACGCGTATTAGCAAAGGTTCCAATGATGCGATCGGTAGCGTACTATTTCGGTAAACTCGTTGCAATAAATCGCGGGCTAACCAAGATTTGTCCAAACTCCACCGTGTTACTTCATCGCCTGTGGCTCCTCGAGGAAACGATTGCCGCAAATCAAAATAGGTGAATTCCATGCCTTCTTCTTTTTCCACTTGACGCCCCACACGTTTGTCTTTGACATCGAGGACCTCGTCCGTGCTGGCTGATTTACTAGGCAAATGTGACACTCTGCCGTTGTTTGGCAATATCCGGCGCACGAGTCCAGGTGTGATATAATTCGTCAGTCGTTGCCATCGCTGATAAAAAGTAGGTGGATCCAGCGGGTAAGGACCCATGTTGCGATCAAAGTCTCGAATATCTACCATCATATTTAATCAGTCCCCCAGTCATAAAGAAGATGGTGAACAAACCTGCCGATCACTTACTGAGCCGGTAACGTTCTACTTGATCGGGATCAAGCTCGGTTTCATCGCGCAAGTCTTCGCTTGCAGGATTCCATTCACGTACAACCACTTCTTGAGACTCAAAATACTTGAAGAAACCGGTACGAATGCCTTGCACACCTTCTTTGCTTGTCGCACTAAGAAAATCGCTTTTCATTAGCAAACAAAACACTCTATAGTCCGTAACATGACTCACGAAAAATAAATGAAATGTAGACCGGGAGGAATGAGCTTTACGCCTTTGAATAGTGGACCAACGGTCCAAGCGTTGTAATCAATGCCGAATTCCAGATTCGGCGGAGCATTGAAAAACAACAAAAAACCTCCCACGTTGAACAGTGCATTAGCTGTTTCTTGATCCATCGTGAACAAAGGAAATGCCCAAAATAACAATAAAAAAGTGATGCAGGAAAAATGGGAAGAGCGCTAATTTCTTGGCTGGGTTTTTCTTTTTATTGTTTGAAATCTCTATTTTACACGCACAAATTGATGCAGATACAAATACATTATCGTCTTTTCTTTTCTTCAGCAAGGAAAATGCCACAAGTACAATACAGGACAAATAATGGCATAGAAAAAAAAAGAATCACGACGATATTTAAAATATGTACATGCATCCTTTCGTCGACACTTTTTTTTAATTGTAAGTATCATTTTTAAGCGAACTATGAACATGGGGAATATATTAGCAAAAACACGCTCGTTGGTATCATCATTATTGCTTTTTGACCCACCCTTCAATATCAGCGACTACCATCTCCGTTACAAGCTCGTCAAAAGTGACTTTACGCTTCCAGCCGAGCTTGGCATTGGCCTTGGAGGGATCACCCAACAAGAGGTCGACTTCAGCGGGACGGAAATACTTGGGATCGATACGAACACGGATCTTTCCAGATTCGGCATCCTTGCCGACCTCGTTCACACCTTCACCTTCCCACACAAGCTTACGACCAGTGACGGCAAATGCCTTTTCGATGTAGCTACGCACAGTGTGGGTTTCGCCAGTGGCCAACACAAAGTCTTCGGGGGTCTCTTGTTGCAACATGAGCCACATACCCTCGACATAGTCACGTGCGTGACCCCAATCACGCTTGGCATCAATGTTACCGAGATACAAGCATTCCTGACGGCCCAAGTGAATATCAGCCACGGCACGAGAAATCTTACGGGTCACAAAAGTGCGACCGCGACGAGGCGATTCGTGATTAAACAGGATACCGTTGCATGCATACATGCCGTAGGATTCACGATAGTTGACGACGATCCAGTAACCATAGAGCTTCGCCACACCGTAGGGCGAACGAGGATAGAAGGGAGTGGTCTCCTTTTGGGGAGTTTCCACCACTTTACCATAGAGCTCGGATGTGGAAGCCTGATAGAAGCGAACACGTTCGGTCAAACCGCAGGTACGGATAGCGTCCAATAAACGAAGGGTACCAAGAGCATCGACATCACCAGTGTATTCTGACATGTCAAAAGACACCTTGACGTGGGATTGAGCAGCCAAGTTGTAGACTTCGGTAGGCTGAACTTGAGAAATGATGTGAACCAAGCAAGTGGAATCGGTCAAATCACCATAATGAAGGAAGAACTTTACACCTATAATAAGTGGCACCAGTTAATCATCCTGCCATTGCTGCCATGCTAGTCGACCATCATTGACTGTCTCGAGAATCTGGTTTCTTTGACCCAAAATCCCCCACTTCCAATATATACCTTGATCGTGGCGATCCTTGTAAATGTGTTCAATACGGCCAGTGTTGAACGACGAAGAACGGCGAATGATACCGTGCACTTCATAACCCTTCTCCAGCAAGAACTCGGTCAAATAAGAACCATCCTGTCCAGTCACACCTGAATGCATGTTAGCTCTGGCATGTTCATCATGTGGTTTCCCCACCCCCAAAAAAACCAAATCTGGGGACCACCTCGTTGCCATCCGTGTACAAACCTGTAATAAGAGCGACCTTTCGAGATCGGTACTCTTCATGGGACATGGCTGTGCTTGTGGCAATCTTAACGTCGGCGTAAACACTCTCAGACATGACGGTGGAAAAGAGAAAAAGAGATGAAGTCCACCTAAAACGGACCATGAATTCTTATTTTTATAATCTCTTACACTATAGATTAAACCCAGCTCATCTCTATAGAAAAAAAAAAAAAAGAGCGAAAAAAGAATATAACTGAAAATACAAGATAGTTTCATATGTCGAAGAAAGCCAAGGTCGTATTTTCCAGCGAGAAGCTTCATTACATAATGGCATGCTGTGTACAGCTAAACGACGTTGTCTGGAATCCCTTGCCCCATCAGTAAGTATTGAGAAGGGGGTGGAGGGGGAGGAAGATCATTGACGGTTCTATTTTCGGATCCTGAAAACGCGAGCCAGTGAGAGAGCTTGGCATTGGCGAGTGTCCAAAGGGCCAAACCACGTTAACAAAGCAAAGAATGGATGCTCATTTCTACCTTTCGACGATTGCTTGAATCTTGAGATGACGATGACTCCTGGACTTTTTTTACCAGCGTCAAGATCGCATTCCTATTTTGTGAGTTTATGTGGACGGCTCCTGGTGGCTGGGTATCAAGCTTGATATCGGTTTCCAAGGTAGCAGGGTGTGATGAAATGGTCATGGTTGGTTTGGTAGGGGAGGGCGAGTTATATCGATCTCTTAGGCTGATTTCTGACATTAATTGATCCACGTTGTCATGGATTAACGAGGAGCCCGGAAGGGGACCAAATTGGGATATTCCTCTCGTTGGTTCATTCATTCGACGAATTTCAACGCTAGGTAAAACGTCGGACTTTGGCAGAAAACCGGCGTGGGGCTGAGACCGCGATTTGGAACCTGGTAGGGCTTGCAATAGCGAGGATCGAAGGGTGGTGTCATGATGGGGAGAAGGCAGTGGTTGAATGTAAGAGGTTGAAGGGTACAATGCATGTTGCTGCATCGACGCAGCCGTGGACTGCGGTGAGTCTTCTCTAGTGGACGCGGTCAGATTAAAGCACGGCATGGACACATTTGTATCGGACACTACTTTGGACTGGCATTTTCGGAACTCGGCTACAATGTATAATTTGGTCAAATGCATGGCTGATATCAAATCAGCCCCCAACCCGCCACCCATGTAAGCTGTCATCTGGAAAGTCTCTATCAGTCCTCCGCGGTTCCTAATCCGCAAAGTCTCGGAAAACGTTTTTGAGCCTTTGACCTTTTGCCTCAGTTGCGAAAGATGGGTACTATGGAATAAATCCGACGTAGTGCGCTCCGCTGGCGGTGGCTGCTTCCTTTCATAAGCCGGATTATTGGCATTGATCACATCGAGCATATTATCCAGTAACATTCGATGCAAACTTGCCAAGCGTTCATTATCATCTGGCGAGATAAAATCATACAACGTCCGATGCGCCAGTTCTTGCGGATAGTAACCCCAGAATTCGGTAACGGTATCGGAAACCCGTGCACAGCACAGTTCCATCGACATTAACACGACAATGGTATGACGGTCGTCTTGATAGGGACCACTAGTGGTATAAGGGTATGAAGCATCCATGGCAATTCTCGGTAGCTGTTGACTCGGTGGTAAGGGAGGCTTCGGACGCACCGTGTCGGGGGCAATCGCGGTATATTTAGCGTAGGAAGAAAGATAACTAGGATCGACTGTTTCAGTCTTTGCTTTCGCGGGGTTTCCATCGTTTGCGGGCGCCAAAGATTCGCTATAAAAAGACTCGACAGGCTCATGAATAAAAGCAATTGGTGTGGGCGATGGAGAAGACGAGGATGATGACGACGGCCTGGTATGTTTCGGCTTACTGGCGGAGGTCGCCATAGCAAACGTAGGGGTTAACACTGTGCCATACATGATTTCGCACCGATCGTTGGATGATTTTTTGTCTTGTAATTTTGGTCTTCCGCGCTTTTTATGTTTAATATCGTGACAGGTGTCTTGTTTTCCCAAGGTCACGCAACGTTTGCAGGGACGAGCGACTACAAGAAACCCGAGCCATCAATATTTTCTTTTTCCCCACAGCAAAGACAAAAAAAAAAAAAAAAAAAAAAAAAAAAAGGAGGAAAAAAAAAAAGCAACCACGGTGAATGCGAATATGTAATGTTTCAACTCACCATCGCATGCCAAGTGCGCTTTCTTGCAGTTGATGCCTACGATGGAAAAGTTATTTTTGGGTGGCATAGAAGGAACAGTGTCTCTGCAAAAGACATACAGGCACTAGGCACGTGTGACTTGAATCCACGTTTGGCTGGTACAACCATAGCAGCCTGGTACTGTGTGGCGAATGTTGTAATGTGGTTGTTGATAATGATTGGTGAAGATGATGGCCGCTGAGCTGAATGGTCGGTTGAATGGTGAGTGCCTGTCGCAGAAAAGGAGGAATAGGTCGATGGCGGATTGGGTGAAATCGAGATCACTGAACGTCGTTCCGAACGTCCGTTTTCAGAGACGGTGGTTCCAGAAGTATTGTTAGGAAGCACTTGAGACAGAGCTCTGGAGGAAACGGGCTCGACTTGAATCATATTAAGATGTTTTCAGTTGCCCCGTTTTGGATAGCTCAAATATCCTCAAGAAATACAAGAAAAAAAAATGTGGGGAAAATTTAACTTTTTTCCTTTTAGGGATATCATATCTCGGGATCCTTGATTGTGTATCTGTGTATCTTGTTTTTCCTATCATTTTTTGCCCAATCGTCTGTTTTACCCGTCATATCATTTCCTTATTCTGTGTTCAGAAAATACCCCTTCAAGAAAATTGTCCAAACCCGTCACGTCACGCCTGCTCTCTTTCCCACTTTGATGTGTTTTGCTATTTTTTTTCTTTATTCACTTGATTCAATCACAGTCTCACCGTCGCTGTTGTCAACACCCCGTCGTTTGCCAACCTAAAGCGCATTATTTTACCTGCATTTGCGCTGCACCCTTTTCCAGTTTTACATCAACATTTGGGAAAACGCCCAATGCAAAACTCACACCGCAAGGAAGGTTTAGGAACAATTGCATCGACGTTGATATGGGAGAATATACTTTATATCGATCATTATCTGCACAGCAAGGCGTCGTTAGTATATAAAATAGGAGCAAAAACAGCTCCGCCAAAAGAAGTTGGAAGCTAGTAAAATCTTACCAAAGCCAACAGCATCGACGGGTATCGTCATCGTTTGACTTGAGCCTATTAGAGAAGCAAGACTTCATCATACATGTCCCAGAAATAAAATATTCGATCGGACGTGGAGCCAACCCCAAGGAAAAAACCTCCAAAACAAAGGAAACTGAGTAAAATAAATGCCGTAAGCATATAGTGGCTTGGATAACGTATGTGATGGGGCTATTGCTTCCCACTACCGTCCACATCAAATTGTTTAAGGATGGCACAGTCAATCGCATAAAACTCAACATAAAATGAAGCATTTGGTCTTTTCGATATGGCAGAGCCCGTCTTCATGACAGTTTGGTCTATTTTTCATGGAAATCAGAAACTCACTTCCGTGCAATTGATGAACTTGGGTAGGATTGCACGGAATGCGCTGCACAGGGATTATACCTACCATTATTAGGAGTTATGCGCGCTAATTTCAGTCACAAGGCAGTCACATAGGGTTTTTGCTACATTTGTCGGCTTTGATTGGGTAATTTTTGAAAAACAAATATTTATGATTGGTTGAAACGAAACCAGACAGCTGTTGATCGGCCCGACCTTTGCGCTCGAATTTTTAACATGAAGCGTAAAGCTCTGATGGAAGATCTAAAGAAGAACCATGTTTGGGAAGAGTCGTTACCCATGTACACACGGCGGAGTTTTAGAAGCGAGGCTTACTGCATCTTCATTTGCTTTTGGTGTTACTCCGGAGGATAAGCCGAGAACACTTGATGACTATGATCGTATCGTGTGTGCCGAACTTCCGGACAGAGAGAGATTTCCTGATCTCTACGACACCGTCAGAAGATGTATGATGCACCGTCCGTGTGGAACAACGCATCCGAGGTCTCCCTGCATGGAAAACGGCTCATGTAAAAAGCGTTACCCGCGCTCCTTCAATGAAGCTACTATCGAAGATCACAGTGGTTACCCGTTATACCGTCGTCGCAACAATGGTGATTTTGTGGTCAAGAACCATGTCCAGTTGGACATAGATGGGTTGTTCCCCACAATTGATACCTCTGTGCAAGATATAACGCTCACATTAACGTCGAAATCCGTACTTCTCTGGAAAGCGTCAAATACCTGTACAAGTATGTTTACAAGGACCACGATCGTGCTGCAGCAGCAATGTATCATGCCGGCAATGACAGAAAATGTCAGGCTCCTGACCCGTTTGCGCTTTGGATGCAGTTCCGCCAGCATTTGGCAGAAGACTATTTCCATTTTTGGAGCAATCAAAATCAAGACAATGATCATCAAAATTGAGCCGCCCCAAATCGTGTACGATCGCGCTTTGCTGGACATTGAAGAGCATCTGAACCGCCAATCGAGTTCACTGCTGAGTTACGATCGCTTTGTTCTTCCTGATCGCCAAGAAATTGGCAGAAGCACACTTCGCCGTCAGCCCAGACTGGTAAGAGAACAATTCGATCTCATCGCCGACGCTGCCAATGTTCCCCAACACACGAGTACCTAAACCGTGACAACATACCGTATACCACGCAATTCTCCAGAGTGTCACGCATGGAAGCAACGAATCAGCCGATTGTTCTTTGTTGATGGTCCTGGTGGCGTCTTTACCCTTATGTTGTTGTTTTTATTTTCCTTTATATTTTACTGTATGTATTTTGTCTTATGCTCCTTTGATTTCATCCTTTGCTATGATTTTTCAAGTTATCCTTCACCTTGGGGTTTTACTGTATGCTTTTTGTCCTTATGTTCCTTTTGATTTTATCCTTATGCTATGGTTCCCAAGTACGATTTTTTCTGTTATCTATTTTTGTCTCTCCATTTAATATTATACGATGTCTGACTATTTCTGTTCCTAACTTTGTGTACATTTTGTTGTTCCTCTGTCGTGGATGAAGAAAATGATCGCTATGTGGCGGTAGGTAAGGGGGGGGGGGGGGCAAGACCCCCGGGAAAAAAGAAAAAGAGACTGTACTACTCTGTTGTCCATTGAATACGCAAAGATTTATGCGCACATCAACTAAATCTTACCGAAAAATCAACCGCTTATTGACAAAAGATTAGAGTACCATCAAGCGAGACCTTCGGATACACAAATTCGAGTGCGGAGTTCTGAATATTGCAAATGGAGCATCCCATTCCAAACGCATCTTTAATCAGCTACTATTCCCACTAGCCTCAGATTAACAACAAACTACAGACCGAAAGAGCATAACTTTGTGATCTTTAAGATCAACAGGCGCTACTTGTCAACATAATTAAAATCTTTGGGAAATTAGCGATTTTGTAAATCACATGATCTACACCAAGTTGTCAGGACCTGTTAAACCTTTTTTTTTTATCTTTCAAACCATGCCTCGCTGCCCACTTTCACAATAATAGGCGAAACAATCAGCAGCAAGGTTCCGTTTGAGCCAGTTGTGGTTAAACAGAGTATCGTCGTCTTTCGAATAAAAATGTGAGTAGAGCTCCTTTTGAAGAAAAGTGGTTGATGATACGACCGGCGTTCTTCTGTAGCATCATTCAATTTGTTTTTTTTTTGTCAGTTATACTATATATGTCCTTTCATTCTCTTTCAATTTTCAATGAATCGGATAATACATAAGCAGACGTGCTTCGATCTATGAATTCATGCATCATTAGGTTGACGATTGTTTCATCCATGGAAAATCATATATTTTGGTCTTCAATTTTATCTTCTTTCTTTTCTCTCTCTTGATAAACCCTCACTATCATTGTATCAAGATCCCATCCGCATCCATCATCCAGGCCATTCTTATTCCGTGTATTTAAATCGACTACCATCCTCAAAAAGGTAAGCGTCGAGTGATCTACCATCGATTTTGCTCCGGCAAAACAGACCCATCTCCCCTTTACTTCCATCCTTCTTCCAGCTTCCGGTTTCCGTTTTCTCTTCGCATGACAAGTTCTGAATACTACAAGTTGACTTTCTCTCGCCATCCATCCATCCATCTGGCGAAACCGTATGGCCATCGTCGGTGGTGTGACTATCTTTTTCATCGGAAAACGCTTACGCATCCTCTTCAGGTTCCTCTCCTTTGGATTGCTTCTCATCATATGGTATTCGAGATGTCTTCCCGATTATTTATTTTGTAGTTTATAGTTTGTATTTTGTATTTTATATTTCATGTACATATTCTTTTCGCAGTCTTTTCCTCTTTTTTTCCCACGGTGTTTTTTATGAGGTTTTTACTGACGCGACCATTGTTTTTTTTATCATCAAGTACTTGTTTCTTTCTTTTTATTCGGGGGACTCGGGGGACTCTCGATATCTGGAATCCAACTCGAAGTTACCGTCACTTCTGGCCACGTCAATATTTTTTGCCTGCTCAAGCTGACACCACCGATCCATCGCTTAACTGTCCCTGGAAGCAATTTTATTTCCCGCATCGAAGAAGAAGCTTACCTGGCGGTCCGTATCATCTTTTTTTCTTCCGGTACACCATTTGGTCCGAAGGCAAGTCCAATTTCTTTTCCTTTGCTATGATGTAATGAACGTATACTAATTCAAAAATTTTTCAATGTCATATAATCCAAGTCAGGTCAAGCGATCAATGGCTATTGCAAACTCAAATAACAAAGGTAAAATATTGACGAAATTTGAATCAATCAAAGAGCTTACTAACTCATTTTTTTTAAATACCCCACATACCCACACATCTTTCTAGATCTATCATAGCCTGGGCGGGATGGAACTGAGGGGGTCAATCAGTGCTGCCCTGCGCTTGTTCAGAAACAAATCACGTTGCAACGTATGCCATAAGGTTGTCATTAATATACCGAAGTTTCGTCAAGAGTTCTCGCCCAGGTTATGCCGTGTATGCGTTAGGCTTTTTGTCTGACGAAAGTCGCTCAATGTAAGAGGGCGGCCTCCGGTGGCAGGTGGCACCCATTGCACAGCGGGTGTACGGCTTGTTAAAATCCTTAGATGACAAAAGACGACAGTCCAATTAAAATTGAGTCTTATCAGATGTACAGCGGCCCACCAAAAAAAGAGGACTTTTTAAGATATCGGATTAGTACATCGCACACTTTAAACGCACAACAAGCTTACTTTTGACGTATTGCATTCCGGCAGATCGGCGATCGCCAGAAGACCTTGATATTCCGCCCTCCGGAGCAACTGTCGGCAACGGTTGGCCAGTCCGGCCAATTTTCCTCTCATGTGTTGCGAAAAAAAAGCGTCTCCAAAAGCGACCAGGGGGAACCTTGACACCGGGTTGTGTCGTGCTTTTCGCCATTTATCATCTCTTCTGTAAATAATATTCGTAAGACCGTTATCTAGCAGTAGACTAATGCCAAAAACAATACCTTGGATGCGGTTGACTCTCTCCTTTCCTGGAGGGACATTTACATGATAAATTATTTTTTCGGTTTCATTAGGATTACCTTTCTTTCTTCGTCGTGGCTTCTTTTTCTTCTTTTTCTCCCGATCCTTCTCCTGATCGCGCTTCCTAGTCTTCACCCCACGTTTATTATACTTCTTTCCTCCTTCAAAAAAACGTTCACCAACTCCGCTTCCGCACGCTGCTTGCCAATGTAATTTAAGAACCTTAAAGCACAAAAACGTTCGTCATAAAAGTTCCATAGTAAATGCAACGATCGGCAGCCAGTTCCGCAGGTGTCCGTTAAAAAATCGCCTTGTCGCTCGTCCTTCTTCCACTGAGCCCGCTTTCCACCTCTTGCACGGATTGATCAAGGATCGTCATCCTTCTCTTCAAGTTTAGAACCTTTGCATTCGTCTTTTTTTCTTTGTTGACGACTTTCCTGTACGGCCGCCTCGATGTCTCTTTCAAAGTCGGGCTGATTGCTGTCTGAGTCGCTGGGGTCGACTTGGACGTATGTCGCCCGTTGTTTTATGGAGGGAGATTGAGATCAGTGGATGAAGTTGAGGGTCTTTAACTTTAACTTACCCTTTATCTTTTCGAGGAGGCATGTTTAGTCAGGACTGCGTGAATGGATTTCGTCGATATGTGGGGTGCAGGTTATGTGTGGCCAAATCGTGGTGTGATGTTGTATTATGCGGTGGAAAATGTGCGAGAAAGTACACGAAGAAGAGGACCAGTTTCATGTTGGCAAAGTTTTTTTTACCATCGCGTTGCCTTTGAGTCGGTCACAAGCGCATCCAAAGCAAGACATGCATCATCCGCTCATGAAACCCAAATTCCGATACCCAAGAAAGGAGCATGAAATTATGCAGCTGATCTTCCGCTTCGTCAAAGGAAGCGAAGACATGTGTTTTCATTTTATGGCAAGTTGAATTATATACTCTCAAAATTGAAAGGGGAACTGAGTGGGGCCGTTCCAAAAAAAAAAAAGAGGACACTTTTCAATTTTCTTCAATATTTTCCTTCACTTCCTCTTGGTTCCCACAATCTTTTGGTTGTTTCTCCTTGATATTAAACAATCCTACGCGCATCAAATGGGGCACAGTAATATTCAAGATGCGTACATACTTTATATAACAGAAAGAAAAAGTAGAAGAAAACAGAGCAACTGGCCAATTTACACCGAGTGTTCCCACCTTTGGCATCGATCACTGCTTGCATTCTCTTCGGCATCGACTCGATCAGCTTGTCCCAGTCTTGAGGTTCCAAGCTGTCCCACGCTTCCACGATTACGCCCCGAAACTGCTCCAGTGTCATCCCGACCTCGAATTTCGCGCTGGCGCGAACCTTCATTTTGCGCCACAACTTCTCGATAGGGTTCAGGTCGGGCGATTGTGCAGGCCAATCCAACTTCTTGATGCCATGCTCCTGAACCCAGTTCTTGGAGGCGATACTTTGGTGGATGGGTGCACCATCCTCCATCAAGACGAAGGCCTCCTCTCTTGTGGCCAAGAAACGTGATAGTGACGCTTGTCAAGGTTCCCCCTGGTCGCTTTTGAAGACGCTGTTTTTCGGAACAGCATGAGAGGAAAATTGACCGGACTGGCCAACCGTTGTCGACAGTTGCTGCGGAGGGCGGAACACCAAGGTCTTCTGGCAATCGCTGATATGCCAGAGTACAACACATCAAAAGTAAGCTTGTTATGCGTTTAAAGTGTGCGATGCACTAACTAATCAATCCTTTTAGGTGTGTTCCAGATGTCAGCTCAAGACTTTGGAGCAATTGCGTCTGCATGTGAATGGCGAAGATCAAACGATGCATAGCGTGCAACTTTGTACAACCTGCCGTACGCTATGGCAACGAGATGTAAACGCCAGTAAAAACATGCACTGGATAGCAAGTGTGCTTGCTGACGGTCAAGAAAGACCCTCAATATTCTGTCCCTAATCCGCGTAATAAACACGCGTCGAGGTTTACAGCTGGTGTACAACTGTATTTCGCTTCAACACCAACCACCCTCGAGGTCTGAAACTGCTAGGTGAATAAAGGGCAAACTTTACTTTTCAAATAATATTTGGGTAACATTTTGCGATAACCTCCCTTTCCCCAAGCTCGTCTATCATTGACGGCGGTATGTGTCAATCCATCAAATTCTCACCCACAACTGAGATATCGGTTAACACTCTGTGAATCCAGCTGTTGATGAATATAAATTTAGATTATCGAGCGTCCAAAAAGACAATGCTGCATGAAAAAAGAAGGAAACAGGAATATCATTGGTCCGGCTATATGTTTACCCGTGATGCGGGGAACATCAATATTCAAAAACTAGGCAAAAAAGCCTGCTTGGCTCAGTTGGCAGAGCGTTGCTCTCGTAAAGCAAAGGTCGCTAGTTCGATTCTGGCAGTAGGCAAATCTTTTGCCGATTTTTCGGACTTTTGTGAAAATTTTTTAGCCAATCATATTTTTTGTTTTATTTTTTTGCTTCGATTCCCGATTTCTGTCATGGAATGTGGCAACCAATCAGGCATCTTTCTTTTATGCTTTACAGTTGGCGAAAAAGACCGTTGAACGATAGTGTGAACTGAGAGCAAACATTTCTATCTAGCTTTTATCACCGAGTTCCCTTGATTTTTTTATCTGCAGTTGATCTGGGCTGTCTCATCAAACTCGGATGTAAATGGGTTACCAAAAAAAAATAAAAAAAAATTGATGTTGATGCTTCGAAAAGTTTTGATTGGCATTGACGCACAGGGTTCTGCGGAATAACGTCCCGGGGCATATAGGCGAGCAAGACAAAAAGCGAAGTAAGTTGGAAACAGCAAAGGTAACGATGTCCCAAATCTCATTCATGTACGTTTTTTGTCTTCACCATAAAAAAGCGAGTAGGTTGTGTCCTCACGTCGATTTTTGCTGCTGTGAATGGCAATTGCCCTTATTATCCGCATAGTTGGCAATTGATAACTTGAATTTTCCATTGACAATAGTGTTCTTGTCTTTATTGCATTTATCAATGATACTGATTCAAGTGGCAAAAGGGCCCGAGTTTAATGTCGTGGATGAGCTGCAAAATGTATGGGCGCGTGTTTAAAGAAAGGGTCTTGTCCGTGACTTTGTTCCGAATTTTTGGCTGGCAATGAAAATTTATAAGCAGCGGAATGAAAACATGATGGTGTCATAGATCCGATAGATGATATTCAGTTGAAAGAACGTGTGTGTTCTTCAATTGATAACATTTGACTAGCAAACTGTGCTCCAATATAGTAATACAGGTGGTCACCGTGGCGATATATATGTTTCACTTCTTACTTGGAAGCGGTACTGGCCAGTGGACATCGGTTGAGTGACGGAAAGAAAAACAAAGAAAACGCCAATCGCGATCCATAAGACGATGCTATAATCAATTCAGTTCATGTAGATGTCAGAGAAGGATGTGGAATTTGTGCGTGGAATGATTTGAAAGAATAAGCGTCAAGTAACAAGCGTTTTTGGCTTGTCGGGTCACTGTGCGGTTTATGAATTAAACACCGATCGATTTTTAGACGCTGGATTTATGAAACAATGACGAAGTTGACGTTTATCGATGCATTAGAAATATAAAAAGAGCGACCATTTTCAGCATTAGTATTGCACGACCTTTTTGTTGTTTCTCTCTATTTTTTTTTTATAGAATATCATCATGCCTCTTGAACAATTCTCTTTGAAAGGAAAGACCGCTCTTGTCACCGGTGGTGGTCGTGGTCTTGGTTTGAATATGTCCAAGGCTCTTGCTGACGCTGGCGCCAACGTTGCCGTGACTTATGTATCCAATGCCAAAACCGTTGAAATCGCTGAAGACATTGCCAAACAATACGGGGTCAAGTGCAAAGCATACAAGGTCGAAGTAGCTGATGCTGATGATGTGAAGCGTTCCTTTGAACAAGTTTACAAGGACTTTGGTGCCATTGATATCTTTGTTGCCAACGCTGGTATCTCCATTGGTGGTTCTGCTGAGGTACGTGTCCGTTACATGGATAGGCTGATGAATGTGTATTTATGATGTTGATTATGTTAGACTTTTGACTTGGACTCCTGGAGACGTCTCTTTGACGTGAACGTCCACGGTGTCTTTTACAGCGTCCAGGCTGTCTCCAAGTACATGTTGGAGAAGGGCAAGGGTAGCATCATTCTTATCTCTTCCATTTCTGGTGCTGTCGCCAACATGCCTCACCATCAAGCTGGCGTAAGTATAGCGAAACCGTTGCATTTATGTTGTTGAGGATTACATGTTGAAGCTGAGAAACTAAACTGGTGTTATGTCCTGTAGTACAACTCCACTAAGGGTGCTGTTTCCCTTATGGCCAAATGTCTTGCATACGAATGGGCTCAGCGTGGTGTCCGTGTCAACACCATTAACCCAGGGTAAGTTGTTAAAGTACAAAACGCATTTGTATACAATGGGGCGAACGATATTCATTGTGGTTTTCATTGTATTTAGTTATATGAAGACCGACATGATTGAAGAGAACACCGCTGTTCAGGAAAAGTGGAAGGAGTACACTCCTATGGGTCGTTTGGGTGAAGCCAACGAATTGAACGGTGCCGTTGTGTACTTGGCCAGCGATGCCAGCAGCTATGTCACTGGTTCCGAACTTTTCGTTGACGGTGGTTATACAGCTGTTTAAATATCAAAATTTTCTTGTATTCATAATCTTTTATTCTTCTGTAAATTAAACTCGTCATGTTCCTTTTTTTGTGAATAAGAATTCTTTTTAATTATCGCAACCTCTGTTCCTAAAATTTTGTGAACTTTTTGCAGACTATAATTTGCGATCGTCTCTCTTTGACGGCGGTTGTATTGCCGAAAGAAAAAAAGAATGTTATGATGTGACTTTCACCCGTTTTAGCGCGAGCTAAAATAGTATGCATTTTTTATGTTAACATTTTCCTAGCTGATAAATAGAGGCGACTAACGAGTATAGGTTCGTTTTTTTTCTTTATCTTTCTATCTTACGGCAGCCTTCCATTTGTATTCGCGATCAAGGTTGGGAGGCTCCTCTTCGTCCTCGTAGTAAACGATCTCCTCATCCTCATCAAAGATGTCGTCGTAATTATCGAGACTAGCCAAGTCGTCGTCTTCGTCTATCCACATCGGATCATCTGCAATTGAACCCGGGTATAAGTCTGGATCCTCTTCTTCATCTAGGAATGGTGTATCAAAGCAGCTGTCAGCATCTCCGAGGAACGAGGTTCGGTGCATGGCATTCTTGGCAGAAGCGTTCGATAGCTTATCAGTTTCATAGGGATTTCGAGATGTAGAGGGGTCGGGAGAAGAATGGTTGGATTTATGATGGCGAGGAGGTGGATGTAAGGAAGAAGAGGACGAAGCCGTGGTGGCAGAAACCGATGGCACCGATAGATCGGCCCAAGGTTTCAAGAGGGGTTGCAAATAGCGAATATAAGATGCATACAGCGTCGGATGAGGACATCCTCGAAGAGCCTACATTTGGATACGTGTCAATAAGTCTGAAGATAGGGGGAAAAAGAGCGGATTTCACACATTTACCTTTGAGATTTTATCAAATCCGGATAACATGATTTCTAACCGCACTTTTTCTTGTTCCCGCTCATCATAGATGCCTTGATAGGTGGTAGCCGGTGTCGTGATGATGGTGCATATTAACCGAAGATGGGTAATCTGTAAAGTGATAATAACAACGTTTGAGCTTATAATAGAGAGACTTCCTTTTGGAATTGAGCCCTTACGAGATAGTCAACGACGCCTTCATCCACCATGACTGAGCCTGAAGCATCTTGGTTGGGATCATCGGGTGACTTTGGTGCTTCGTCCTCCGGTTTTTTATCTTGAGGTTTTAATTTCAACTGGCGAAAAGCGCTCTCAAATTTGTAATCCAGGACTTGAGCCAAAAATGTGATTGGTTCGATATGACGATCCACCGTGTATTGAATCTCTCGCATCCATGCGGTATATCGCGGCTGCAAGTTCTCATCCGCTGCGGCCTCGGCGGCAGCTTCATTCTCGAGAATCATGCGCATCACCGCTTTGGTATCTGTCTTGAGCGACATACGGAACGGAAGCTCTTTGTTCGCGCTTTCGTCCGAAGGGGTATCATGGGGTCGGTCAAGCAGTAAATTGCGCAGAACATCATAGCCGTGGACGTATCGGGTGGTGCTTGTACGTTTGGTCTGTAAACTAGCAAGAGTACACAAAAGATTGAGCAACAAACTTCGTGTCGTCACTTCCAGACCATAGATGGCTTTCTGTTTCTGATTGCCAGGTCCAAATAACAAATCACGGATATGCTCCAAAGCGGAAGGCTCGGTCAGCACCTTTTCAATTCCGGCTGCCTATGGAACCACGTTGTTCAGGGTTAAAAATCAACTAATGCTGACCGATCGAAATAGGTTCCGTAGATCACCTCATGAGTCATGATAGCTTTGAAGCACTTGGCCAAGTGTTGAAGCATTTTATCGTCGTTTGGCATTCTACAGTGATGAAGATCTGAGTTAAAACGATCGCTATTGAAGAAAAAAAAATTCAAAGTAGGGGGTAAAAGCATGTACCTTTTTGGGATTTCTTTCATCTGTCGGAATAGGTCCGATATGACTTCATAGCCGCCTTTGGCTAAAAACTCGGTCGTCCAACTATTACCAAAAAAGCAATGAGCCGACCCTTCCACAACGGATTCCAGTGGCTTTGGGTGTTTACCTTACGACAACGTTGCGCAGGAAGACGCGTAGATCCAAAATATCAGCCTCTTCCAATTGCCGTACGGGGGTTTCGGAAAGAAGATGCACGAAATACTCGGGCGAGGATTTAAGCTTGCTTCGCATGGTTCGACCTCCGTGAGCGGATGAAGACGACGATTCGCCATACGACCCACCACCACTGAGAAGCGAGGTTCGAGGTCGATGGCCCGATCGACCCGAAGTCCCTGGTGGTTTTTTCATCGATGGTGAGGACGCGTAAGAGGCAAGGCTATCCTCGGATGAGGCGGGTGGCGTGAATAACTTGTTAAGGCTGTTCCGACCCTTTTTATGAATTCCCAAGGTAGCGGCCAACGAAAACGATTTCGTTGAAAAGGACGAGTTCTTGCGTAACAGCATTCTGGACTGCGATGACTGAAGTAAGACTGCTTTCTGTTCTCTTGACAACTGCGATAAGCTCGGTTTGAGGTTGGCGGGCAACGCATATTCTTGCTGTGAAACAAGTATAATCAAAGGTGACCATGGCTTCAGTATCCCTAGTGAGGTACGTCATAGTGTCAATTTATTGCTTACCAAAAGCTTTTCGAAAGCGGCATCCACGTCATCACCGGGGGACGTAGCATTTTTTCTGGAAGAAGATGAAGAAGAAGAAGGTAAGGGACTGGAGGAGGAAGAAGGTGGCGAAGGTGGGGTATCGGATTTGTGCACAATCGTGTTATCGAGTTCAACGGTGCGCAAAGGGGGAGGGGTATTTGGATTGGGCCGATTGGATTGCTGTGATTGGAAAGAAGAAAACATGGAATCGACTCGTGAAGCCGTGGTAGCTCTATCGTCTTCTATCATGGGATCGGAGGATATTGCTCGGTGCGATAAATGGCTGGTACTGGATGGCCCTTCATTTTCATCTTCGTCTTCGTCGGGTCTTCGTTTGTTAAAAAAGAACCCGGATACACGATTCAACAGCCTTTGTTGTGTTTGTTCAGAGGTCAGACCATTGTTGTTGTTGTCATTCAGTCGTTCCATTTCCAACTACAAAAAGTCTGGATGAAAACAAGAAAGATAAGAAAGAAAAAGAGGAAAAAAAAAGTTGTGAGAAATAAAAAAGAAACCAGAAACACTGAAGATGAATGAGTTTATTGAATCTGGATTGTTTTGCTATTTCCTATTTGGGAAACGACAGAACTTTTTTTGCCACTATTATAAACATTCTTTTTGTGGAAATACATGATCAACTACAGGTTCTTTAAACATTCACAGTCCAAAAAAAAAAGAAAAAAAAGGGAAAAAAAAGAACAACACTAACATAAAAGTAGAAAGGGATGGGGTACGATTAGAAAACAATCAGAAAATAATCCGAGGGAGCGAAATGATATAAATGTAAGTTTTTGGTACAGATAAAGAATGAATCAGAAAGCAAGTACAGAGGGAAAAAGAGAAGGGAGGAGGAGGAGTAACATGGGAGTAAAATAAACTAATGGTATATGATGGGAAATGCTTAAACTTTGGTCCACTGAGGAAGAGGCACACGAGACCAGATTTTCAGGAGTCCCGCCCGCGGGTCTTTCAGTGGTCGTTTACTCTTCTTTTCGAATACAGGGAACTTGATTTCGTCACGTTTGAATCCTGTTGCAGGACAAGGAGGAGTAGGTACCACCTTGGATTTGGGTGGCGGGACATAATCGTTGTTGGGGATGGGACGGAGATCTAATCGTCGATGGCGATGAGAAGTTTTTAGACCGTCCAGATTCAGGTTGCTTTTATTCCATTCGTATTCGTCCTCATCCTCGTCCGTCGCCGTATCGGCTTCATACACATGGACTGTGGGTGGTTCCGTGGAAAATCCTACTCGGCGTGCTCTTGTCTGAGTTGCAAGAAGCACATCATGGTAGAATTGGGCGAGGTCTATACGCTTTTTGCCGCCATAGTAAGTACTTGGCCAACAGTCGTAATCAGCAGGGGTTGACATGGTTTCTTGATAAGAAGGTGGCGGATGATCGTAAGCGAGGTATTGATGCATAGATTAAACGGGAAAAAAAGTTACAAAGAAAGGGAAAAAGTGAAAAAAACGATGATTTGCAAAATGTAAAATGAAATGATCAAGTCCAGCTGTGAATGAAGTTTTGCTTTTTTATACGAAGATGGGAAGGGGAATAACAGCATAAAAAGAATAAATGATAGAGAAAAACGGAATGCGATATAAACGAATCGATTGGACCAATCATATAATCATGAAACGAAGAGCTCGCTTCCTATTCGTCAAATCATCTTTCCACATGGCGCTTCAAATCGCGGCCTCAAATAAACACATACAGAAAAAAAAAAAAAGGCCCACCTAAAAAAAAGAACCGGCGTGTTATGAGCCAGGGGATGCAAAAGAAACGCACGTGCGCACGCACAAACACTTCTCATTGGGACATCTCAGCGTACCACATACTGTGTTTGGCGAATTAGATGAGACGTCATGCTCGGTTCTTGTATCTCCGCATACATATTGGCAACGTTTTTGTAAACTTTACCGCAAATTATCCACCCGCATCTGTCGTCTATTTATTTTTATTGGTGTGCCTTTGGAGTCGGCGTGTACATCATGATATAAGGAACCATGCCATAAGGTAGGCCGCCGATCATGTTAAATTATCTCAATGCAGCCGAACCGTTTTTACTCAACATGACTTGGCAGCACTCAATCGCACCGTTCTTATTTTTTTTTTTTTTGAACATGTTAGTTCAGTATTTATATCATCATCGGTTCTCACAACATGTTGGCCTGGGAAGTATTGCATTGCGTCTTCCTCGCTTCAAGCAAGTAAGTGAGGCAGAAAACGACAAGTGAGGATGTGAATAGCATTATGTCATTCCATTTGTGCTGTGGATATCATCCCCCCGGCTCCCCCCTGGTCGTTTAGCTTTCCAGATGCAAACGATCCATAAATGGAGGAGATTCGTCAACAGGTTCGATTTTGCCAATGGTGATACACGCGATATATCATTCGTTCTTCATCCAATCAGAGCCATGGACAATAGCATTCAGTGCATAAAGAACCACGTTACCCTATTTGCCGTTGCATAATAGGAACTTTTTGAGTCTGATGTAATCGAAGCATCTCAATTTGCTTATTGTGTATTTTGAGCCTACTTTTTCTGTAATCCAGTCATTGAGGCGCATGATGTATAGGAAGAGAATGGATAAAGAAGGAATGTCCCTGATGCAAAAAAAAAAAAAAACCAACCCAATGATGGGTCAGCGTGACAGTGATTTAGGCCAGTTGCCTAATCCAGTCCGCTCAGAGGTTGCTGAAACGCCCTTTAAATGTGACCAGCTATTGGGTGTCGATCACGCGTCAAGACAGTTCACACCACAACCCAAAAAAAGCTTGCCTCATGAATCCCTTCATACCCACCTCTGCATTTGACCCCAACCACCTGAAAGGATCCACTCTTATCTTGGTAAATTCCTCAATAAGCCATGAGTTGAAACCGTTCTTTTATCTTACCCCGGTTGCTTATACGTATTTGACGCCTGTTCTTTCCTGCTTTAGCCAAGTGTCTCCATCGGCAATGTTCCGCAGTTGGCGTGTGATTTGTTTATCCATACTATAAAATTAGAGCGCGTAGGATTCATTGAGGACAATGCCGTTATGCCAATGGTGGGCGCTCGAGAGGGAACAGACGCTACCGGTGTTTCGGTCTCGGTTGAAGGTAAAATATACTTTTTATTTATCCTTCTTCATCGAATACACACATTCCTTACAGTCTGCAGTTTACCAATCGTCATGTCGCCAGTGGACAGTTGTACAGCAACGTGCTCCTGCCTTCAAGGTAAGAATCCATTTCTGCGCACGGATGAAAGACCGATCGAAATAACAACAATACTTATTATATTGATGTTTTTTTTTGTTTTTGCTTGCGCAGGGAAAACGACGACAATACATCGATCATTTAGCTACATTTATTCAGCAAGCAGAATTTTCCAATGTTGTACTTTTGACAAGTGCTGATGCTGCTCGACGCATGGATTCACAAATCAACGGGTACAGTCACGATCCCATCCTGCTGCAGATAAACTGAGCTTAGCTGACGGCTGAAAAATCATCCCGCTTCTTAGACCTCCTTTCCGAGTGCAAGGATCCGCAACCAATACATTTGCTCAACGTGCATTCGATCTGGGCGTCCAGGAATTGGAAAAAATAGACATCAATGACACCGCAATGGATCAAAACGCAAATGCTCTTCCAGGCACAAAGTTCGCTCAGCAGCTGTTCCAAAAGTTGCAGGAGCTGAGCATTCCAACTACGCTTTTCATTATGTTTGCGCTTGAAGGCGGTATGTGGTAATTCGAGATATCCAGTGTCAATGAAAACTGACATTTTCGCATTGGCAGATAACGTAAACGATGGTGTGGCGTTTGCAAATTTGATCAATGCCGTATTGCAACTAAAACCAGCTTCAGGTAACGTAACAGGCATACAACAAGGTTTTATCACTGTGCGAATCATTGATGCTTTTTCGAATAACAGCTTCAGCGGCATGGACTCCTCCCAAGAGCTGGGAGTTTCTGTTTGGAACTCCCTTTAACGCTGGACTTTACCAGTAAACAAATAAATAGTAGCGATGGATACGCGATTCCCGGAAATCATTTCTCTTCAAACAAACTTGCTTTTTTCTTTAATGCACGTGAAAAAGCTTAAATGCATACGCAATTCTAAAATTTCAAAGCAGGGTGGATGAACTTGTGCTAAATACCGATCGGTTATCAGAAAGAGATCCTTTTTTTTTGGGAATGTATATGTATACGTGTAGAGAGTGCTTTTTTGTTTGGTATGATGCGCATAAAGAGCCATATAAAAGGATATCTAAAAGGTCTCATCATCATACTCATCCGCAACAAGACCTTCTTCACCTTCAGGGGGTATTTCGAATCCCTCCTACATTAAAGAACCCAGAAAAATGTCAGTTTTTTTTTCCTATTGGCGCTTGTGCCTTGTTTTCATTGGACCAAAAAATGAAAAAACCAAACCATACCTCAGTACTGTACAAAATCGTCTGAATTTCCTTGAGACAAACGTACTCGGGCGCGTCGTCATGTCCTTCAGCGAGTTCAAGCTGTTCCTGCACCATGATCTCGATATCTCGCAGTTTCCCAAAGTAAAAATCGCGTTCCTTTTCAAGACTGTCAACTGACATCTTGAGTTCCGAGATCTGCTTATTCAACTCGATAATCATGGATGACGAATGATGATCCAGTCCATTGCCGCTTGCCGATGCACTGGATCCACGACCAGACATTGCCGTTGTACGACTTGTGCTACGCGCTGTAAAAATAAGAGCATAAGTCGAAGAGGGTTCAACTTTTTTGGTTCTTTTTGCGGATGGATCGGATCTCCCCTGTGTTACCTGTAGCAGCGGCTGCCGGTCGGCGAGCAGCAGTTGCGCCCCCTGCTCGTACCGTTTTGACGGGTGGGGCACCCCCTTTACGTCGCTGGAGAGCATCGTATGCTCCACCGGGAAAATTTTGGTCCCAGAAACGTTTGACCCATTGCATAAACTCGAGATTATCTTGGAATTTACATTTCATTAAACGATCCACGGGAATCACTTTATCCACTCTACACAACATATTCTTAAGTCAACTCAAACGTGTAAGAATCCACACCTTGGAATCATAACTTACTTGTGCTTGTCAAAAGTGTGCTGAAGAACTTTAAAGTTGGCGACATATTCGTATTCGTGTTTGGTCTCAAATTTTACTTTGCTCATATGAACGTCGCCTTTTTATCACGGTTAACATAAACTGTCACCTTTCCCTCCCATTCACTTTATCTGGATTTACCAAAGATGGAGTCCATAATCTGGCAATAAGCAGCACCTAAACCAAAAAGGTCAGCCATAAGCGTGCCATCTGACGTTTTGCAAGTTAACGCGAACCTGTTCCTGCTTGTTCAACTTTGGTATAATTGATCTGCAACAAGTCATTGACCCAAGCCAACAATTCTGTTCTTGATTCTCCCATGGTATAAAATTTGGAATCGGGTTAAGATGAAGAAAGGATATATCGATAAGGAATATAAAAGGAAGGAGGAAAGAAGGGAGGATTGCCAATTGAAAAAAATCTCTCTAGGTTTTTCCCTTCCATTTTGGCGTTTTTTTAAACCCCGTATTGAACATCGCTGCAACCCACTTATAGTATCAACATCTTGCTCGTCGTTCTCTTTATCTGTAGTCGAGCACAAAAACTAGATTCAGATAGAACAATTAACTCGGCTTTTCTTTGAAAGGTCGGTTATCGGTTATATTTTATGGAAAATCGTTTCCATTTGGAAAAGGGTCTCGGGAAAGGTCTCGGGAACGAATACATATAAGGTTTACATTACGCTTTTTTGTACAGATGGAGTGATTGAGGCCATGAAAAAGAAAATGTCAGTCAAACTAACCGGCGCAAGCTTAGCTGTAGTTGATTGTCATCAGTTATGTATACATACTGCCTCGACCCCTTTTGTGCCTGGGCCTTGGCATGAAAAGCTGTTTTCAAGGAATTGGCCCTATATCGGTGGTGGACCATAGTAGTCAGTGAGGATAATGTAACCACACAGATCGTCGGTGCACCTATTTGGAAAAAAGTTTCCTGTCATAAAAGTATGTGTTCAACCACGCTTGTTTCAATACGGACAATATTATCCTTTTACAGCAGCAGAAGCAGAGATCGACAAGGGAAAAAAAAAGATTCCGTATGAACCATAAAAGTCAATTAAAGTGATGGCCAGATCCACGGTGTTTTTGTCATAAATATTCCTCATTTTCCAGATCAGCGTAAACACTAGATGATAATGTAAAACCAGACAAACAATTTGCGCTGCATTACACGGTGTGAGTTGAAAAATTCAAAACGCATGTAATGTTGCAGCGCAGCGTTGGATGAAACTGACAGAGTGCAACTGACAACGGCATAATTCAGACTATTTCTGTCTATTCGCTTGCAGCCACCAGACGAGGTAAATTTACTGATTGCTTGTATTTTTTTCTCTATGAAAAAAATCGCAATAATAGCAAGACGTTGTGTTAACGAGAGATATTATCTATTTTGTTTTTGTTTATGGATGGATACCCTCTGACGATTTACTACCGTTGTCAATGTGCCAACTTGTGATGATGAGTAATGGTCAAGCTTTTGAGCCTGTCTATGAAACGATTTTCTGGCTGTTGCGGAAGATATTTATCCAAATGTGTCACTGTCGATGGCTACATGAGCTGTGTCTACGCAGTAACAACGTACATACGTACTGTAACTTGTTTTTCGCTGCGCTGTATTTTCGCATCAACTGGCTGATCTGCAGGTGTGTGGAACACATCTCCACTTGAAACCGAGATCGCGCGTCACATCGATAACTAAAAGAAGCGATCTTTTGTAATTGATAAACTGCTGCAACTGTGCATTTATTTTGATGAAACGTTATCAGAGCCAATTAACATGTAACAGATCATGTTTTTCAGGTTCTGTTACTTTAATCATAAATTTCTTATCGAACAACATGGCAATGGGTCATTGTATTTCCATTTCCTATACAGATCTCAACAAAGCTAATGAAGCTTAAACAAACCTAAACGTGCCTAATCAAAAGTAGGTCAACCTTCACAGCCTTTAAAAGCTTTTTAGACTTACATGACTCTTTTCAACGCTTCAGGGCGCGCTTACATTCAATTATCTGTCCCGCTCAATCTCCATACTGATGCCGTAGAGCCGTGACTCGCGAATTCTACTCATCTCCAGGGGCAATTTACCAGTTTCGCAAATAACTTGTGCTCGCATTTAAAATCGAATCATGTTATATGAAATCCGAGTATCGAAGAGAGAGCACTGATTGGGTTTGAAAGCATCTAAAGACATTTTATATCTATTGTTTGGAAATGTTTTTGGTAATAAGAAAATGAAAGTAAAATGACGGTAAAATAGGAAAGCAAAAAAGAGTGAACAGTCTACAAGAGGGAATTGGTTTTTTTTTCTCTAAAGTTCATCGGTAACGGCACCTTCACTGGCACTCTTGACGGTCATGACGTATCGAGCAAGAACACCACGGGTGTGCTTGGGGGGTAAGGGCTTGAAGTTCGCCTTTCGTTGAGCCAGCTCTTCCTCAGGCACCTCAAGATTCATTTCACGCTTTTCAGCATCAATGCTAATCACATCACCATCCTTCACAAGGCCAATCGGTCCACCAACATAGGCCTCAGGACAGACATGGCCAATAATGAAACCCTAGTATCCACATTCCATCATGTCAGTACGGTAATCCACTAGTTCGTTGTCACTGTTAAAATAACTCACGTGAGATCCGCCAGAGAAACGACCATCCGTCAAAAGAGCCACATCTTTACCGAGACCGGCACCCATGATAGCCGAGCTAGGTTTCACTGTACGCAGAAATGAAGGTGAGTTTTTCCCGTGTCAATAAAAGAGATATGCCTTGCATGGCGGAAATACTTACACATTTCACGCATACCGGGGCCACCCTTGGGACCTTCATTGCGGATCACAACCACGGTCTTTTCACCCTTCTTGAGTTCATTGTTCTCCAAGGCCGTGATAAAGTTCTCTTCACCATCAAAGACACGCGCTTTACCCGTGAATCTCAAACCTTCCTTGCCGGTGATCTTGGCAACGGAGCCTTCAGGGGCCAAGTTACCGCGGAGAATTTGCAAATGTCCGGTCGACTTGATAGGGTTAGAGAGAGGACGGATAATGTCTTGACCTTGAGGAAGACTAGGAAGACCGTGCAAGTTCTCTTCCAAAGACTTGCCCGTGACGGTAAGCACTTCACCGTCCACCAACTTGTTTTCCATGAGGTACTTGAGAATGGCAGGAATACCACCAATGGCGTGAAGATCCGCCATGACATATTTACCACTGTTGACAGAAACCCATTCCATTTTTTGTTTCAGCTCACTGTGCATTGATGCGCGCATGGATCTCCTTCGCGCGGTGTATACCATTTTCATTTTCTCTTACCTGGGCTTCAGATCGGCTAACAAGGGAATACGGTCACTGACGGCTTGGAAGTCGTCAAGGTCCAACTTAACGCCGACACTGCGAGCAATGGCGATCAAGTGAAGCACGACGTTGGTGGAACCACCAAGAATCATGGTAAGGACCATGGCGTTTTCGAAAGCAGCGCGGGTCATGATATCGCGAGGTTTGATGTCCTTTTCGAGAAGCGTGCGAATGGCCTTACCAGCATCGAGACATTCCTGGATCTTTTCAGGATAGGTGGCTGGAGTAGAAGAACTGAAAGGAAGCGTCATACCCATGGCTTCGGCGGCGGAAGCCATGGTGTTGGCAGTGTACATACCACCACATGCACCTGGGCCAGGGCATGCGTGACGAATAATGTCATAACGGCGATCCTCGTCAATGGTACCAGCAACGTATTCACCGTAAGCCTGGAAAGCAGACACGATATCAAGTTGATCACCACCGCAACTTTTACCGGGTTGAATAGATCCACCATACACCATCAGTGAAGGTCGGTTGAGACGACCCATGGCCATCAAACAACCGGGCATATTCTTATCACAGCCGGGAATCGAGATATTGGCATCGTACCACTGACCATTCATGACCTAGAATGCGGACTTTCCCGGTTAGATCACCTTGAGGCTGGCTCACTCGGCCATTCTTTTTTGATTCTCCTCTTACCGTCTCAATGCTGTCGGCGATCAAATCTCTGGATTGAAGAGAGTAACTCATGCCACGAGTTCCCATGGAGATACCATCACTGACACCGATGGTGTTGAATCGGTAACCAATGAGACCAGCCGCCTTGACACCTTCCTTGACCTTGGCAGCTAGATCCATCAAATGCATGTTGCAAGGGTTGCCTTCGTACCAGCTACCAAAAGGAAAAGGGATCGTCGGTCAATTCGGACTATGACTCATTGTGTATAATCGTGTAACTTACATGCTGGAAATACCGACTTGCGCCTTGTTCATATCTTCGTCTGTCAAACCCGTAGCATACACTGAAACAAGACCATCACGGCACCATGATCACCCCGTTAGACCCATTATTTCCAACGAATTGCTGATCATGCCGCTTTATAACACGCTCTGCCTCAACTTACACATGGCTTGCGAAGCTCCCTGACTCTTTGGCTGGGTGATGTTCGCGCTGTATTTGTTCAAGCGTTGGCCTTCTGAAGCATAATGTCTTAATCCGATAGGAGCGATTTTAGCACTTTCGCGACTGGAATGAAATTGGTAAGTACAAATTGATCACGTCACAAAAAGGACTATTGCTTTATGAATGTGCACGGTAACATACAGAGAGCGTTTTGCCAGAGGATTGATCCTGCAAAGAAGTGTGGAAGTCATTGAAAAGAGAGAGAGAGGAGTGGGGAGAGAAGACTTGTGGAGAGGAAAGTGAAATAATATAAAAAAAAAGAGGCCCAGATAAAAGTGTCAAGGATGAATATGAACCACTCAGTGGCTTACATTTTCTGACTTAACGTGGGCTACGGCTACGATTGGTCAGTGATAAGCGTGCTTTCATCTCATTTGGAACAATCTCTGATGTGCAGGTCTTGTGACACTCAAAAAAAGAGTATGTTTGCCCCGTCGCCGCTTTATGAAAAAAAAAAACCGATAAACTCAGCTCCGTCTTCCGTGGTTGACACACTTTGAACCTTGTCGACTCTTGCTTCCATGCGTCTCTTGAATCGTTAGCCTTTGACTGGATGAGCAAACATGAATCAACGTGAATTTCAAGCCCAGAAATGAAGCCCTGCTGAGAATCCCGACCTTGGCAATATCTGGAAGGACTTGTTCTAATAAAATTTCCCCTCGGCGTCTTCTTTTTATTTTATTTCACATGTCTTTTTCTTGTTCGTGCTTCGGTGCAAACAGTGCTGCACAACAAAAAGGTGCAATATACCGATCCATTCGCACTACAAGATGTAAAAAAAAAAAAAAAAAAAACCCTCGCAACGCAGTTTCAGGTTTTCGTTGAAGCTCTGCTGCAGCCATTGATCGAAAGTAACGGAAATCCAAAAAGTCGAAATCATGGAATGATTACTAGACGCAACAATGGGTGCTGTTATACAGGTCATAGCCACCAATGAATTACTGAGCTTGAAAAACCTGCCTAGTGCAGATTTTTAAGCGAGGGGATTATTATAGAGAATTTGCAATGATATGGGAGGTCTGTAAGTGTCATTCAGACGGTGATTGGAGAGTAGGACGTTTCTCTTTGGCTGTATTGAGTTAAACAGCTAAAAGTCCTTGTCATTTTTCCTGTATAACTTTTGGAAACTGATGCCAAACAAATTATGCCGATGGATCCTGTATACTCGGGCACAGTATTACATGTTTTTAGAGTTTGCTAGAAAACAATAGATTCAGAAAACGGGAAAAAAGACGGCTAGCTCTGGGATCAGTTAAGCGTAAAAGGTAGCTTATTTTCGTGTCCTCTGGTGTCTCTGCTGTTGTGATCTTTTTTTATGCATAAACTTACGAGCTATTTTTGGTTATTGGCCGAATTTGGCTATTGTTTACAGCTTAATTTTTTTTTAAAATTCGTCAACCTTGAATTGATCTCTGAAAAGTACAGACAAATGCAGATGTTTACTCATTATTTTTGGACTCGTGTGTTTTAGAGTGTATCTATTCAGAGATCTGAGAAAGGGTGGTGGTCCATGCTCTTGCAGAATTTCCAGTTTTATAAAGGCTCCCATTCATTGCTTTCATCATCTCCAAATACAGTAGCGAATTTGATCGCGCAGAATGCTAGTTTTTGTTGATTTGACCGACAACTCGTTTTCTATCGTTCCACTCTTTTTTCTTTACACACATAATCATTTTCCTTTCTCATGATGCTCCAAAATTGGAATCTTTTGATCGTTTTATTTACACAGGGTCTATGCGTTCTCGCCGATGTGTCTGTGAATGGTGGCCGTATTCGCGTTCCTTTGAAGCGAGCAGCATCCAATACCGCATCCACCTCGAATCTAAGTAGACGTGGGCCTATTGCACCTTTGTTCAACGACCGTGGATCACAATACCTTGCCGAAATTGAGATTGGGACGCCGTCTCAGAAATTTACGGTTGCTGTAGATACAGGAAGGTTAGGCACTAAACCGATGAAAAATGATAACCTTGTCCCTTAACCAACCTGCATTTGCTTTCATTGATATAGTGCTGATTTTTGGATCCCGGATCATGAATGTCCCGTTTTGCAGTGCCCTTTGGACCGTTTTGATGGTCGTCGATCAAAGACGTTCGAGTCATTGAATCAATCGTTCAGCATCACCTACGGTATTGGCAGTGCGCGTGGGCATTTCGCTATTGATCAAGTCCGCTTTGGAGGTCTAACCGCTGATAAACAGCAGTTTGGGTTAGCGACCGCCACCGAACGTATCCTCAGCACCAAACGCCAAGGTCGCAGCCATGACCCTCAGATCAACGGCATCTTTGGATTAGCGTTTCCTCGACTCACGGCAAGCGATAAATCCAAGGGTTACACACCGTTCATGTTCAATTTGCTCAAGAATCATGCTCTGAAAAGGCCCGTCTTTTCCATTTTTTTGAATTCCGTGGACAAGGCGGGTTGGGCCGGTGAACTGTTACTGGGAGACATTGACCCATCGAAATATGAAGGCGATCTAGCGTACCTGTCCGTCGCTCAATCCACTTTATTTGGAGAATCGGATTACTACTACTGGTCGATCTATGGTCAGGCCGTGGCTGTCCTCGAAGGAGTGGAAAGTCCCTATGTTCCGTTTGTGAAACCGCTCGACATCATTTTAGATACAGGGTCAACGTTGACGTATATGCCGGCCCAGTTGGTCAGCGTTGTCATTGATGCCGTGCTAGGGAAAGGCCGCTACAAATACGATGACAGCACATCGCTTTATTACGTTGATTGTGGTGCCAGAGTATCTGACAGGGCCACCCTCGAACTCCATTTTTCCGCCAATGACTCCTTCTCGTCCGCGCCGTACAAAATGCGTGTTTCTGCAAAAGACTTAGTTTTACCGTACGATGGCTCTACCATCGAAAAGGCGAATACCTGTATCTTTGGCATCGCACCGATAGGCGTCCAAACAGATCGATTCATTGTTGGTGATTCCATGCTCCGAAGTACATACCTCGTATTTGACATGCAGGAACGTCGCATTGGTTTGGCCCCTGCCAGAACGGATCAGCGTTCCGGCTCCTCTCACTCATCCAACGCATGCGCTTATTCTACAAAATGGACTTTGTATGCGTTGATCCCCATAATTTTGATGTTTTTATAATTATGAATTACCCCCCATACTGTAACTGTCAGAGATCCCTTTACAAATCCGACCTAGCCTGCTTTCATATCATGCCATGTATTTACTCTCCTAAACGATTCAACAAATACAATATTCATAGACTGACAAACATCATATAAGCCAAATGCGGCCGACTGGTCTCAATCAAAGAATTTTTGGGTCAAATGAGCTATTCTTCCTTAAAACTTTGATCTCGCTGCTTTACTTTTAAGCAAGATAAGGTACCTTTAGGCGGTTCTGGCTTATCTCCTGATGAAAGCGTCACGAAAGCTTTGCCAAATTATCATTCGTTCAGAAAGTTTGGAAACCGTTTTTCATAATTAAGCAAGTGGTAAGTATTTTTCACTGAAAAGTGAAGGCGGTTTTTTTTGCGTGGGATCAGCATCTTCCAGTGTTGCCGTTGGTGGTGCTCATAGGAGAATTCCAACGATATGGTCGTCTCATTACCAAAGAACAAACCATTATCAGCCATACCGAATGTTGCACCAGGATGATATGATGGTAGTTCTACATCACCCTCGTATTAAACTTGGTCCCAGCATGCCCTAATACTAAGCTCTATCATCGAAGGTTTTCGACGGCCAACAATATTTAAAAAGTCATAGCTATGATAACCCGTCGCCAGGTAACTATATTCAGGCCTATTTACCGATCAAAAATGCAATGGAAGTATGTCTTTTCCCTCTTACAGGATGATAGTAATGCAATGACAAGGACCTAGTCTTCATACATCGTAGGATCAAGGTTACTCAAGTAGTCACAATATGTTATCCGCTTCATGTCGACTGCACGCGATTTAACAGCTCTGTACATTCGCCTATCATGTAGCTATGCCTTGGCAGCACCTGTCCGTACTCTCTGCGCATACTCAATTAGGTGAATTCGGTAATGGTTGCAAGTCTTATGCAAGGCTGTAGTTACTCTTTTATGCGATAAAGGCATGTAAATACTGTTTCCGCGATTTTGGCCGTTCAATACAATTAATATCTGATAAACGATTCCTCTTGTGCTGAATCCAATCATTGTTGCCATACCAACAAAGCGAGAAGGAGTAGGACTAACCACTGGAGACGTATTGAACCGTATTTCTTTGCCTCTTTTTTTTTCCAACATTCATTTATTCAAAAGAAATATACAATCGATGCGATGCCGGTGATACAGGTTAACGACGGATAGGTGGACCTCCACGACTGCCTCGCATAAATCCACGACCTCTGCCTCTCGCTAAAAAAAAATACACCATTAGCATTCAGTCAATCAAAGTAGCAGACCCTAAAGCAATGAATCGCTCACCTTGAGCACGCGCAACTGTTGCTCTTCCTCTGCCTAGACCGATACCTCGGCCCTTTAGAGCGCCTGGACCGACTCGTTTGAACATGGGCGCATTCTTTAACATGTCAGGTACAATGAAGAATCGAACGTGGGAACCGCGAATATAAACTTGATCCAATTGCGATGTTCGTCCATCACGATTGGTCACCATAATGTCTTTTAACTGAATATTCATATTGTCCTCGGCTATCCAAAGGCATCTCGTCAGCTTTATACGTCAAAAAAAAGTACTCTAATTTAGTCACGCTTTTATACCTTCCAGCAGCTTTCCGCGATAGAGTTGGCCGGTTTTTAACTCCAGCGTAATAATATGACCTTGTGCTTCGTGAAGAAGCTTGATGGGTACACCGATAGACATGATCAATGAAAGCAATCAAGTAGATGCAGCAAAAAAGAAGGAAAATTTCGACTTTTTTTTTCTTGTCCAAAATTCGGCAGCGGCCAATGAGAATGACGTAAACAGGAAAATGCCGGAGTAACTTATTTTTCGGGTGCACGTCCTCCTTTCCCTTACAATTTTTGCGATCCACAAAAAAATTGTAAGCAAATAACCAACAGTATGCGTTCTCTATATCGTCCTTTCTCTTTCTGCTATACGTAACGTAAGTCATATCTGTCCGTCAACGATATCACTGCTGCTGTTGTTCAGCCTGTCGGTCCCATTGCCGCAGACTCCCCTGCTGTCATCTTGCGAGAGCATGATGACATTGCTTGCTTCATCAAAGAACAAGAGGAGTGGTAAGTTATTTCCTATCGTGAACATGTGCAGGGGCAGCGTCTCCATGATGATGTGAATGGATGGTGGGTGGTCCATGTTGGCCTTAAGAGCACATGGCAGATTGAGGTAAGTTGAAGAGCACGATGCTTTGTCATAGCGTAAGATTAGTCTATACTTTTTTTTTTCAAACCAATTAATAAACTCGGAACAGCTTTTGAAGAAACAACTATGCTATTGTATACATTGGGCTCCTCGTATAATCCAGTGAAGGAATGTCACTGGCAGAAAGCTCAATTTTTCACCATTATTGCCAGTCTTCCGTTGGTTGCTTAGTGCATTCCACAAATAAACACCGCGACGTTGCTGTGTGCCTATTTCTTCCCTCTCTTTCCGCTCTTCTTCATCTTTAAGGTATGTATTTTGTCTATTTCCGATAGGTCACTACTATTACTGGCACGTGTGTCTTACCTTATCAATAGTATGCCCATTCTCACGCGATCAACGCTGTCACCAACTCGGCCATCCGTTCTGTTGAAGATTTTTGCATCTGAATGTCCTGCCGTCTTCATACTTCCGCAATATGTGTTGCTCAAATTTATTGGGAAAAAAAAAGCCAGTATCGCTGTAAGTTCCTCAGGGTCCATCGAGCCTCATCCTTTTTTTGTTGTGGGTATCACGAATGCCTTCGGGAAGCTAAATACATATGTATCTCAGGCAAAGAAGCTTCGCTGTGGTTCCACGGCCACACAATTTCGGCTTCATTGTTCGCTGCCGACTATGGTCATGTCGAGGTGACATATTATTGGAAGGACGACGGCCATAACCTTGGAGGAATGCTTACTGGCTCCTTCAACCCCAGCCTTCTAGATCGATTATATGACGAGCAGGTACAATACAACTTTACTGGGCTCAAATGAATGAGATGCTTCGTATAAACAACGCTACGTTGACGAAGGTAAATAATCTTCCATGTGATTTTGAATGATGAGTTCTTGTCTCATAAAGCTTTTCGATCGGCTACACGCACGCTACAACTTGATACGACGAACCTGGAAGAAGAAATTACAGCTTAAAATGTCCATGTGAGCTTAGCTTTGTCGCCGCAGAAAGACCGATCACGATGATTTCCTCATGCTAATTGACGATCGATAATTATTTTTATGAGTTAATGGCAGGTTGGGGTGAGTGTAGGGTCATTTCTTTATAACAGCAACGTCTTCGAAATAAATAAATTTCCAAATACCGCTTCTCAAAAGCGGTTAATTTCTATTTATGGTTGGATGTATGAATTTACACATGACACCTTCAAATTCCTCAGTGGCAAGGAAGCATTTTATATCATTGCGGCTCAAATGCCCGGGATTGGAAGGTATGCGATTGATATGGATGCTGAGTACCCTTTCAATGTACCCCATCGCAAATGCTGGTTGACAAACGGTCATGGGTCAAATCCAAGCAGTTATGACCGATAATGATGGTAGCTAGATCAGCGGAATCCATTCTATGTCGCTCCTCCTATTCCGTCCTGTTGTACCATTAATCGCAATACACCCTTTTCCTTGGGTCAGAACCGTACCTTGTCGTTCCTGAAGATACCACTGCGAAATGTTTGCAGAATCGGATTGCTTCCTGTCCCAATATAGCAGATCCAGAGTCTCGTTCGCGAAGCTAATTGAAGACGTTGCTCGCAATGCAACCGTCGGGATTTAAAAGCACGCATGGACAGCTTGCGAATAGCCACAGAGTGGTCGAAATGTGTGGAAATGTAAGAGAACGGCAATCATACACTTGAATACAGAGTTAAAATATTGCTGTTGGCCACAATTCGAATTACAATACTAATGGTGCTTATTTTTATCAGGTTTTTATACTATCATGTCGTCAATGATAGTATCATTTTCATGCAATCACCGGATTTACGTGACTAGAAAAATGTCGTCGGTACACTTGTCGATCATGCTTCCGCATATTGGCGCGTTGAACAAATGGCGCAGCCCTTGAAACTGAAACCAAACTCGTGAGGCACTTGCAATAAAAAGCATTTAAGCGCTTCTTGCTCTCATTTCCATCTATTTCTTTTATTTTTTTCACATCCACTGATTACTGATTTATCTGTTTCTTTCTACAGGTGTGTTGATTACAATATATGGAGCACGAATGTAAAATAATATATTCTTATGCTTGCTTATAGTGAATTACAGCAGACGTATAATCAACAATTTGGGGATAGCAACAGTGACGCCATCGAAGCCCTTGCAGGCACCTCAGGGAGCGTTCGATTGACTCAGTTTTCTACCTGACTGCTTTCGCAAGCCAAGCTGTATAATGGACGTGTATGGTCCGTTCTGCCTTTGGTCTCTCATCAAATAGGTATGTATCATAGATTATAAGCCATCTATATTGCTATCCTCCCATTTAGTGGTGTCTGCTTTTATTATTTCTGTCAACACGCCTACAACGAAGGGTACATCGTGCCTAATGAAGTGAATGTAAGCAATAGATCACCTAACGTTCACTTTTTTTTTTTGGTGACAATGTATTTAACTCCAATATAGATAATGAGGAGGGGTCGTTACGAGATTGAGGCGACAGAACGATTTATTGGACTTCAAGTTTTTCAATGGTCGTGTCGAGATGATCAAATTTTCAAACAAGACATGTGGGAGACGATATTTGACTTAGGTAAAGTCATGCCCAATCGGTTCAGAGTTGGGCTCATCGAGGCTGGTAAGTCACCACTTAACATAATCTCTCGTTTTTTTCGATACAATAACCAGGCCTCAAATAACCGACAATTAAAAAAGGTATCAATTCGCCTACGAAACCGATGGAGTGATGGCGGCGCTAAAATTCTGCAAGCGCTACGACCTTGGTAATCCCTTTTTTTAATTCAAAGTGGAATATTGGATACTTACTTTCTTGCCACACTTGTAAATGGTAGTCCCATTCCCTTCATCGAAGAGAGAGTTTGATTTCCTTCCGCGTGAACCGGACATGATTGGTTGGCGTCGTTGTTTATACCATTTGAAGAAAGAACCAACTGGAATTGACCCCAATGCAACAATCATTGGCATAGATCCGGGTAAACTTCGCTATCCGTTGGAAATACATCAAGATGTTTAACTTATGAAAATCCGCATCAATAGGTTTACGATCTGTCATAACAGCGGTAGTTCAAATGAAAATCAACATATGACTGAGGAACGAGATAGGCACGTTTTCTCAATAACAAATGGAGCATATCAGTAAGTAGAAGTTGTATTGGGCAAGAAAGAAAATGTATTTACTTATTTGGCATCCTGCGAAATACAGACGAAGCAGCATGTTCCATTGGAGTCATCAGATCGAACTGAACAATAGAAGATCTGCGAGCATTCAGGATGTATATGACCGATTGGGTGAGAACCCTGTCAAATGTGGTACGGTCGCAGAATTCCGAGACCATTTAAGAACTTTAGCAAGTGTCCACAACAGGTAAGTTGCATATCGTCAGATCGATTCTCAGGACTTAAAACTTTCAAGAACAGTCTGTACAATTTCAATCGGTCGTATTGTCACCGAGAGAAACGGGCTTTACTCGAGAGACAGCGGCAAATGACCATGCACAAAACGGCCGACAGCTTGTTAGGAGACCCAGAAAAAAGAAACTGCAAGTGAGTTTCGTGTTATCGTACGTAAAAGTGATAGCGGCTCATTCTATGCTATAGAAACCATTGTGGGTCTACAAGCAGTCCAAACGATGCCGCAAGCGAAGACGACAGAGAGCCCGTCGCGGGCGGGAGAGGCCCCAAGGTGCGGCTGTAGTTGCATTTGGCGACGCCGATTTGCATTCATTGAAAGGCAATCCGTCAGTTCCCGTCAAGGTGAGACAGAAAAAAAAAGCGATGTAATTCGTACGAGGAAATAACTTATAAGATGAACGGATAGAAATTCCGACAAGTTCTTGCACAAAAAGCTCTTATGCTCTGTGTAGATGAGTATAAGACGAGTAAAGTCTGTAGCAGTTGTGATACCACGACGATCGAAGTCCGAGACAACAATCAGTTGTTTTGCAAACACAAGTGAGTTATCAAAAGCCCGGGCAGATATCCAGAACGATATTCACGCAATTATACCTAAAAAAAAGAAGAAACGAGTGCGAGAAATTGACAAGAGATTGCGACAGAGATGTCTTGACGAAAACAACGACATCATTGGATACAGCTCTGACTGTGGAGCGAGACGACCCGGTAAGCAGCATTATCCACCGCTTTAACGTACATATCTGACAGTGAAGTTTAAGGTCAAGGGTATTTGAGCATTGTTTATCCGGTAGGAATGTGCCCTCATTGCATTTCTGAAAAAGATGTTTCCTAGCCCTGGGTAAGGAGGAACGGTATGGCCTCACTTGCAAGATCACACTAACTTTAGAAACTAGATCTGGAACAGGGACATTAATGCTGGCGTAAACATAAACGAATTCTACAAGCCTAGATAGAATCAGGTTATCGTCTCGATTCCCGTCCAGCAGCTCTTCGACGGTCCCACGGCGCACAATCTGCGCTCGGCGAGCAAGGTATCGCCAACTAGCCTCCTGTTAGGCCCCGTTTTTGCATGCCTGGTAAGCTGTGATTGAAAAAGGAATTGTTGCTGTGCAAATTTAGTAATTTTGGTGACGTTCACTCGAAAAATAAGGGCATGAGAAAATGCCTAAATCTCACAAGAGCCCTTTTTTTTACGCAGAATGCACAATACAATGGTACATTCACTTTCAAAGATTGAATGAACAATTAAGGTTCTGAGATGAGTTATTTGTCCGAATGGACAATGTTTCATTTTAGTACAGCAGATGCTATTCTCCCTCCTCATGATCAAGTGCAGTAGATCAAGATATTGGTTCAGAGAGTTGGTGTGGGTATTAGATATCCTGAACAAGTGAGTTTTTCATGGCAAGGTTTACGGGAGATAAATGTCTATCAGACTTTTCTATGAATACCCGCTCCGTATGGCCATAGTACTCTTGATATTACCTTGGGTTTTGCAAAGGTCTCTGACATGAATCCAATTCCCTAATATCGGTATCAGTAAGCCGTTGTATGACCATCTCTCATAAATTGACATACCATACTGTCCGTAACGTGTCCGTACCAGAATTCAATACCTAAGGAGCCAATACAAAATAAATAATTCCATTCAATGATCATCGATACAAAGTGATGCTCACGCGGTATACTGTTGGTTTCTTGCATTCTCAGTGTAATTATCCCGGCCGATTTATCTGGATACATCTGCAGCATCGGCGAATCTACGCAGTATCATTTTTGTTACTAGGGAACGATACAGCGGCTACGATTTCACGTCATTGTCAATTTACCGAGAAAATCAATGGTCAAGGCATCGGATATCGCTTTATGCATATCTGTTTCCTGATCCAGCCTTGCCACGCATTTACTTGTCAACATGGTTCGCATAATTTGCTCACCCGTCCCTGATGTGCTACAGGCAATACCTGCACTGCTGTAGGTGCTATTTTGTGCCCAACATCCGCATCCATACATAGCCGCCTACATGATTAGGTGAGTTCATAAAGGATCCATCGAAAGAGAGATAATGTGAAGCTTACCTCGCCTATACGACCGCTGTATTTCAAAGAGATGCCACCGCTACTAACACCACTGGCCACATTGCCGCGCCGATCAATGGCAATCGCTCCTACTGTATCATGGCCAAGTTCGACCGGATCGGGCGCTGCAGCTGAATACAACTGAGCCATGTGCGATACGTACGTCGAATACGATGACTCTTTCAAACGATGAAACGGGATCAATACTTCCAATCAATATTTTTCTATTCCCCATTACCGTGCATTAGTGCTCCCTTATCCACAATCTCACAGCCGTTCTCTTTCGCCCAATCCATTGCACCTTGACCAGCAAGAAGCCTGACATTTCAGGGTCAGTCATGATACGGAAACCAAAAATAAAGGACGATCGCAGAAGCTTACACTGGCGGTATCCGACCCAGCGACATTACTCCTTCCTTATTCTTTTCAACCAACTTGTTGGCTGCTGTGATAGGATTCTTGATGCCTGAGACAGCTCCGACCGCGCCAAAAGTACCGGTCCGCCCATCCATCATACTGGCATCGCATTCTACGGTCCCTTGCAAAGTAAAATTGGATCCCAATCCTAACACAGGCACATGCACTTGGTGTCAATGGTTTCACTGTCATGCCAACTATTCAAATACCTGCATTGGTTATGGGATCGTCCTTTTAAAATAGATCCATGTCACGATAGGAAACAAAGGTGGCAGGAATAGCTTGTCACTTACCTCAAGAAGACTAATGGCTCGAACAATAGCATCGGTCGCTTGTTCGCCATTTTTAAGCATGGCCATAGCACTCTCACATGCTCTATAGATCCCGAATCCATCAGCTCATTGGTATGTGTGTATGTTTGTGAAGGTCGCAATCATCAGTTTTTACCTCGCGCATGCTGATCGATATCGCGCTTCCTTTGCCGTTGAGAGACGTCCTGGTGTCGATTCAATAAAATCACTAAGCTAAAAATACTGAAATACAAGACCCTTACCAGCGCCAACATGGACAGCAACAAAGATGGGACATTGCGTGGTGGACATGTTACTAAGATTTCGATAGTTTGACCAGCACCTTTTTGGAAGAAGCGGAAAATGCGTATCCGAAACACCCGATAAATTTTTCTTTAAATGGCAGTTCAGATCCAAGCGAGATCCATGCAAGCTTCCGGCTATTCCTTGACCTTATTGTTAATGATGGCCTTCTGGGATTTAGGTGGATGACAAAATATATTTTATTTTGAAGTAGATTGTACTTTAATAGTGTAAAATGTTATGTATAAGAGGAGTGGTACAGTATGCGAAGAAAGGATGGTGATGAACAAGAAAAAAAAAGATTTTACATGCAGAAACAGCTGCTCTTCTTCTTTTCCTCTGCCTTGTTCTTGGGTTCAGCCGGTTTAGCAGCAGTTTCCTTCTTGACTTCTCGCTCCTTGGGTGCCTGATCGACAGGCTTGGCGGCAGGTTCAGCCGTGGTGGTGGTGGTGGTGGTGGTGGCGGTGGCGGCGGGTTTATCGGACGCTTCCTTTTGAGAAGGAGCAGGGCTGTTGGTAGCTGTCTTCTCTAAACCGCGGTGATAAGCGCTCAAGATTTTGCCAAAGTTTTGGCCTTGAGTACGCGCGACGGCAAGTTCCTTTTCGCTAGGTTGACGCGATCCATCACCATTGGCTGTAATAGTCGCGTATTCATTAGTATAGCCATCCCTTACATGACTCAGCGATAGTTTGCTACTTACTGACAGTGCCGGCACCGTAAGCCGAACCACCGACGACTTCGGAATTATCGAAAAGATTGGCGTCGGCAAAACCGAGAGGAACATAGTTCATACCGTGATGGGCAAAGTAGGTGACCGCCGTGAGTGAGGTGGTTTCCTGGCCACCATGCTGCACACCTGTAGCGAAAAAGGTGCCGACGAACTTGCCGGACAAGGCACCTGAAGCCCACAGTTTGCCAGTGGCATCAAAGAAGGATTTGATTTGAGCGGGCATCGTACCGAAACGAGTAGGAATACCTAAATCAAGCAACAATTAAGGTTTAAGTCCAAAAAAAAAAATCGCGGCACACAAGGCACATCGCCATGTCAATGATTTGGAAGGGAAAAATTTACCAAACATAAAACCATCGGCTTCCGTCAGCTGATCAACCGAAATAACGGGAACATCAGGTCTGGCAGGAGCGTGCAACTTGGTGAGCACTTCCTCGTTCAATGTCTCGGGAACCTGTCAATTTTTTGTCATATCATGTTAGCCCACATATTGTCAAAAAAATTTACCCCTAGAAACTATCATAACAAAACAGCAGCAACTCCAATTTTTACCTGGAAAAGTTTCACTTCGATGCCTTGCAATTCCAATCCCTTTTGCACCTCCTTGGCAACGGTGTAGATGTGGTGATATAAAGAATAAAAGATGATATAAACAGTAGGCATGGTGACAAAGATCAGGAAACGAAAAATAAACGGATAACAGAGTCCGAAAAATGCGCGGGTTTATCTTTTTAAATCATGACGGTGACCGGATTTACGCAAATTTATCAGCAATGTGTCAGATCGCAGTCCCATTCAGTGCTGACCGACCGTTTGTCAGCAATCAATAAAAGTTAATTTGCCCACCAGCTATTTTACTCGCCCAAATTCCCGACATTGCCTGCTCCGTTACCCTTCTCTACTACTTTATATTCTTTTTTTATCTGTTATTGAACGTGTATGGGGGAAATTCTCTCTGCAACGTTTAATTTATTTTGTTTTCTTTCGCGACTGTTTTATCACGTAGATGGTTCGATTGACCATGTCGATTTAAAAAACAGAGCGAAACCTAACAAATCGGATTAATACTTACAACGATCGTCCATTTTTCATCACCGAAATCAATGCCCCTTGGAAAAAAAGCAAGGCCAAAATGGATGATATTTAACCATGTAAAGTCGCTCATTCATCGCTTTTAAGTTGGTGTCACCAAAAGAGTCAAGACTGTCCTCAAGAGACCACGTTGCCTCTTTCCATAAACTCGCAATCATTGCAAGGTTTTCTTGAACTACGCGACATTTGTAGAATTTGATCCAGAAACGAAACAGGACGACGGTTGCTCGATGAGACAGGCTTCCTTCTCACTGTGTCGTCATGGTTCACAGTTTTCTGATATGGCCAATAGCCATTCTTTACGATGGCATAGTTATGACTCACAGTTCTCATACTTTTTGTTTGGGGTGTTCGCCATCCATGAAATTGCTATTTCTAAATTGATTGGCAATGTCTAGGTAACTAACTTTTTTATTTTCTCAATTCTCGGACCATGAATTGCATGGCCTGAAGGTTCATGCTATACTGTAATTTTTTTGCCTGGGTGTGTCACGGTATTGGTATTATCAAAGCGTCTACGTTTTCGTATAATATCGGATCTCATCGAGATGGGCCGTTTTTCGTGATGCAGTTTCAAGCTAAAACGGCGGCAAATGGATGTCAGCAACTGCAAAAATAAAGCCATCCACATTCATTTCTAAAAAAAAAAAAGAAAACCTACTAAAGGCCACACGCATTGCACAGGGGTGAACCATCACGATCGCGACGCCAAAGCGGGGTGGTGGTGGCACTGCAATTGGAGCACACATATTCTGGGACCGAAGTGGTTTCGCCATCTTTCTTTGTTTTTCGTACCAAAGGTACTTTTAGATGGTAGGGACGAGGAGCTTGATGTAATCTCCAACTACAATAGCTGGTCAGTATCATCTTTCGGGAAATGTCGGTACTTACTATAAACCACAAGCATTGCAGAGAAGATGGTCCGTGGATGAACGTCGCCACAGAGGTGTGTGCGTCGTTTTACAGTTGCTGCAGATCGGAGACTCGGTTTCATAGTCCGTCGATTCCGTACCAGGAGAAGTTCTCGTCCCTGTGTCCCGTACGGATTCAGGTCCCGCCAATGATGGGATTCCAGATGGCGCCATTTGAGGTGATCCTGTAGCCGACAATGTATGCATCATCGTCGACTGCGACTGCGACTGCTGTTGCAGATGTTGATGCTGTTCATTGTCAGAAGACAAAGGCGGCGAGGCATAAAAGCTAGTTTCAACTTGTGCGGTGGCCATGTTGGCGTCATGCATTGAGGTATTATTGCGTATGGCTGTTGTGGTATCGTAACCGGTTGATTCGTATAAATGCCGAGTTACTGTGGTTGGCATAGTGTAGGCCGAAGTGTTCAAGGTTGGGTCCATCATGGATACGGTATCATTTGTGGGATAAAATGACGATGACTGATAGCATTGTAAAGGGAGGAGAGAGGGTTCCGTCAGCGTAACGTCCACATCAAACGAGGCCGAATCTTCTTTTAGCGCATTCAGATTCCCAATAGCTGAAGCTTCCATGTCTGTGCCTCCTTTGTCACCGAGAACCCCTGAATGTGTTGGAGAATAGTTTTTCCATGCTTCTTGAATGATATTGTCAATCATGGATGCACCATCCAAAAGCATGGGTTTGTCAGGCACGGATAAGTGGGTAAACGGTTCCATGAAATTGTCCAGAGGATTCAGCACCGAAGATTGCAATGAAGCATAATTGGGCACGTGCGAGCCTCCAGAGTGAGATGGTGGCACTACTCGGGTATTTTCCAGGCGGTCAATTTTGGTATTGATAAAGTTCTTTTGAAGTGCTTGTTGTTGGTGGAGTTGGCACTTTTCTTTTTGCCGCTGATGATGATGGCAGAGCATACGCCGGTAACGAGTGTATGAGTTTGAAGCGGATTGATGTTTGTCGGTCTTGCAAGGTTGCTTGGTTGTGGACATTGTCGAGACCGTTTTCACCGTTTTCGCGGATTCCGTCCTTGTCGATGGTTTCCAAGTTGTCGATGACTTGGTTTTCACGGCTTCAGTGGGTTGCTTGACCTTTTTACCGGCTTTCTGTAATTTGGTGCTGATTTCTCGTTCCAGTTTGCGTGTAGTGATGGTCGACATTTTTTTAAAGGCCGAATGGGCCTTGGCTTCATCCACTACCACACTGTGAACAAACCATAAGCGCCAAGACAGGTTTTCCAGACGAGAGCCGTCTTCCAGGGAATCCTTGACTTTGGTGCACACTCGCCACGTCTTGGAAAGCTCATCTTCAGAGTCGAGGTGAGAGAATGGCAAAAACGATCGGTTGCCCTTGATTTTCAACTTGATGGGAGCCATGGGAGTTTCCAGTCTACATCGCAATAACTATGGGTGGCCTTTGTTTGCAAAACGGTCAATATTTTCCAAGTTACCTTGTGCAACTGTGGAAAGAAAAGCAGTTGGCGTTGGGTTGAGCCTGCAGGGCATCTTTGAGTTGAACTCACTGTCCATTTTTCGTCCAATCATATCACCGGCTCCTTTGAACATGTAAAACATTTTTTTTTGAGATGGTCATCTTGGGAATGAACTCAGCGAGCCAAAAAAATTCGTAAACTCCGTCACGCCTTGGAACCCACATGCTTTTCATGCTATTGCCCTCGTTCACGTCAGTACAGTCGGAACCCTACCATAGTCCGTTTTATATAATACATATAACATTGTTATACCCCAGTTGGCAGATATCTTTGGATCGAAAAATTATTTATAATGTTGGCCAAAAAAAAGATGAACAACGGAGTTTTTTGTTTTGCATGTGCAACCTGCAGCGTTACGTAAAATATGGCCATTGCATGGGCGTGATGGGTAGAAAATGTGCATTGTCCTTCATGTGGGCTTAATTATAAAAAAGTTGAATGTCAAGGATACGCATCGTCAAGGATACGACTCAAACCAATCTAAAACAAGAAAGGTACATCATGGTCTATGACGCGACCAAGGAAAAAAAAATTCATATTCAGTAGCAGCTGCTTTTACGATCATTCCAGGTTACAGTTTGAACGCATTGAGGGGTGGCTTCGTTTTTTTTTTTTTGCCCTTGTTTACTTGTATTCTTTTTTTGTTGTTTTTAGCTTTGTTTATCATGCGAACTTCCCCTTTCAATAAACGATCTAACTGCGTTACACCATTCACAGTGAAAAGAAAACAAGTCAACTTTGATCTTGTTGACAAGCGAGGACCCAATAACAGGTACCCCGTCACCTCTTCTTTTTATCTGTCTTGCCGTGCTGTTCTTATTTATGCTCCTTTTGTTCACTTTGTTTCTCAAGTTCCGAAGCCTCCTTAGCAAGCTTACTGTATAAAAAAGACGACGGAGGTACGTACTGTATGCAGTATGTGTGACGATACCCCGGCCTAAATTGTCTAGGCAAACGGTCGGAAACCGGCGCACATGATCAGGTCTCCAATGAACACCAACCTCAGCAACAGTTAGAGAAAACTGAAGTAATAATAACAAGCGAGTTTCTTTGTATTGCCTATTGATGGATTTGACCTGACAAGGAAAGTAATGTGGATAGAAACAATTGAAGGAGGCGTTGCATAATGAGCGATTATGGCGGCACAAATGGCGATTGCTTGAGAATGAGCGGGAAAAATTCGAGACTTCGATAAAAGGTCAGTCAATCAGAGCAAACCGTAAGAAATTTTACTATTGCATGTTACTGAAGCTAATATAGAGCAGTGCAAAAAGGACATGCAATCGCTTCAATTACAGTTGGATATACTTAAAAAGACCCATGTGGAAAAAGTCGAAAACATGTCTGCCACTCTATCACAGCTGCAGAAACTCGTCACGTCTTTAAGGGCTCAACTAAAAAGACACGGGATTGCCGAAGGTACACACCATCGATCCACCAAAGGAAAAAGGGATGTACATCATATTGATTCATCCGATTAGAATATTGTGAAGAAGAAAGAGAAACTGTTAGTTGTATAACAGAAACAACTTACAAAGAGGAATTGGCAAGCATACAGGTAAAAAACAAACTGATCCTTGAACATTTATTTCGAGTCTCGAGCTGAAAAGATGATACATTATGTGGGGTCACAGGAAGCTCAGCTTCAGTCCATGGATCCAATGCATCAAGCCAACCAACAATTGTGGTCAAGCATTCAGGTGAGTGCTGCATCAGTGGTATTCCACCATCGGATATTCATCATCCTATGCCTACAGAAATCGACCGCCGGTTTACGAGCGGAAATCGATGCTTTTCATACATGGCGTTCTTTAGCTTCGGTGCCTGTGTCTGAATTGGTGCGACTAGCACGTGAAGATGACCGCGGGTCCAATTCACTCGGTGTGGGCACACTGAAAAAAGCTCTGTTTGGTCGCAGTCGTTCCGGCAACAAGCGCAAACCGCTGCCATCGGGTACGCTGTAGCAAAGAGCCAGAGCATAAAACACATGCGAATGTCGCCAACTCCTTCGGATATAGTGTAAAGGATAATGAACAAAGAGAAATTGAACTATAGAAAGGACAGACATCATACACACAACCGTTTCATAAAAAATAGCATGCGAGTGACACAGAACATCTAGAGTCAAATAGCTGGCCATGATTTTTCATGCTATTTTGCAATTATAAATTTCTCACAAAATAAAATAGTGCAATGGAATCCTTTTTGATGAGGGGGTGTAGTGGAGAGATAATGAAAAAGAATGCAGAATTTATTCAGGTATTTGTTTGTATGAGCTTGCAGCAGAGGTAGCGAGGAGTTCAGTGCTGCGATAAGATGGTTTGCGGGTGTTGCGAATATCCGCGGTGGGTTCTTCAGAATCATCCGCACGCTTCTTTCGTGACACCGATCGAGCTTTCAGGTGATCATCCAAGTGATTGCTCAACACTTGAAGCGCAGCTTGGTTTTCAATGCCACGAGGAATAATAAGATCAGCAAACTTTTTGGTCTACGATCGAGAACGGGTAGAGAAGAATATCAGTACATACAGTACGCAGACCCAACGTGAGATGAATGGGTTCACTTACAGGAAGAATATAATCGTCAAACATGGGTTTGACAAATTCCACATATTCGGTCAGCAGTTCCTTGATGGAGAGAGTATGACCATTACGCGATTTGGCTTTCTGAACTATCATGCGCATACCAGAAAATCCAATTAAACCAACCACATCCACTGACTACGTAAAGATGCGCGATAAACAATAATAATAATACCTCTTCGTACAAGACGCTTTTCGCTGTCGACATCGATAAAGATTTTCATAAACATCAAGTCACGGAGCGACTTTGGATAGAATAGTAAGGTGCCTTCCAACATGATGACATCCACCGGATCGATAACACGCGTGGTTTTTCTATACAACAACGACAACAATTAGGGATGATTCTAGAACATATCAAGAGGGTTCTGTGCCTTACTTTGTATGATGGACATGATCCCACACTGGGATGGCTGTGGGTTTTCCGGCTTTCATGGAAACCAAAGTGTCTTCCAGTAACTGATAATCAAACACATCTACAAATTTACTTAGTCCGGGTTCCTCTCCCTTTCGTTTTATTTTTTCCCGGCCACTATTTGGACCCAATTGTAGGTACCTGGATGATCCAAATTAAATTTGCCTGCTTCATATAGTCCTCGTTCTTCCGGTGTAAGTTCACGGTAAAAGTCGGTCAAACTAACCACCACAACTCTAGCTGCGTAGGCTGCGCTAAAGTTCTTCATAAGCACCTCGCATAAATCTCGCTGAAAAAAATACAAGTCTGGCCGTCAGAAATGCGGTTGCAGGAATCCTTGTCAAGCCAATTGGGAAAATGTACCTTGCCTGCGTCGGCTCCGCCGGCGACGGCTACGATCATGGGCGATTGCAAGGAGATCTTGAAATAGCTTTTTTAACAAGCGTTAGTTGATAAGGATCAGCTGTACAGAAGAAAGCAAGTACCTTGGATCTGAATATTTAGAGGAATCGATCGACATGAAAGGAATGAAAAAGTGGACAAGCTGGGGAAACGCGGCAGAAATTTTCAAGAGAAAAATGACCCGAATAAATTAAAGAGCCGATCCACAAGTGAAGAAAAGACTACAACATGGGAAAAAACAAAGATGGGAACTCTGCCTCTGTTTCTCATCTTTTTGCCTTTGAACCCAAGAATACCATTGGAAACCGTTTTCACTATTGGTTCACCTGTTCTTGAATTATGACATAAATTGTAGCAGTTTGAAAGCCCAGTAAATAATAGAGCAATTTGTCGATTCCCTTGGACATCACACACTGGTTAAACTGTTGTCAAGGGATTTTATTGTCAGATTTCAGATAGGTTTATATGTCGGTGGACGTACAGTAACGCGCAGACGCTCGTTCGCGGGCAGGACGTCGGAAAATGATGAATGCTTATTTTTTAATGGTTTAATAAAAGGTGCATTGCAGCTCTTTTTCTTTTATCACGGAGATCTTTGGTTCTGTGACAGCCTTTTCCAATAGCTGAAACGATGATCAATTTTTATAATCTTCTCCCGTGTCGTCCATAATACTACAACGAAAACGCTATTTTTCAGGGGAATTTTGCTAATTGCAACTTTCTGATAAAATATTCAGCTGGCGATAGATTAAAGTCATTAATACAGTGCCAACCACAAAGTACAAATATGCGTAACTGCAGCAAATGGTGCAGAAGCTCTGATGAGCGCTGCAGGCCGATTGAACAATTTCTGCCACTTACGGTATCATGGTATATCCCGTTTCTTCAATATTCTTTTTTATCAACATTTCGCACTTGTCAACTGCTCTCATGCTTGCAAAACACTGCTTCCCCCACACGCCAAATACAATATAAAGTAGTACCTGTCTGCAGGGAGTCAAATAGTGACACCATCGCTTCCTGAAAAAATTCCGCATTTGGCACTCTCCAAGGAAAGACGGCAAAAATAACGAGTCACAAGAGGGATCCGCTCACTGGAGGTTTGCTCGTCCTTTTATTTTTCATGCTTCGCCCACTCTATACCCAAAGGTCGACGGATGTCCTGGTATGTGCTTTGTGACGCGCATTCTCGGCTACTTTACGTACGGGGGGTTCTCACTAGTCGATCCATAGCTCGTGGGACCGCCATTAAGTGGAAAACGAACACTGGCCAAACAATTACTCAAATGCAGTGATGCCTATTTTTCAACGTATGTTCGTTTTCCGTTCGCCAAACTAGTTGAGTGTGGACATTAATTCCAGCTCAATGTACCATTAGACACATTGCTGAGACATTTACACGGCAGTTGGATTCTCAAGTTGGGCGAATCGATTATGTCTTGATTCTCGTGGACGTGACCAACAGCAATAGCTTGATGGTGCTCCGTGAAACATTGCAACGGATGGATCCAGCGTACCTCACGTATAAATGTGCCATCGTCGTCACAAAAGGTATGAATCCCATCAATCCAACTCATGATTATTCTATTCCTCGAGTTTGAACACAGTCGTAGTGGATAAGCGGCGCTTATGGGCATTTGACGAGCACGATCTTACTGTATTGGCGGATTCCTATTCCCATTTACAATTATTTCATGTCAACCTAGAGGTAACTGGAAGGAAAGAGCGGGGTTGAAACAATGGATCATGGTCGATTGATGGTAATGCTTTAGGATGATGACACACGTAAAAGCGTATGTGACCAACTAGGGCGCATCATTCGTATCAGTACGCTTCAGCAAAAGGACGTTCACACAATGCTACTACGTACAGTGGAGCATTTCCCCACCAAACTTCCTTCAAGCGATGAGTCAATGGACTCGACATCGTTGATCAGCGATGAATAACACTGTAAATAGACCCAAAATTAGACACTCCAAATGAATCAGCAATTTTTTTTTTCGACAGCCTACTGAGCGTACCACAACAAGCTCTGTTTACTGATAGGACATTCTTCCTTTTGTGACCGCTTCTGCTTCTGTTGTTGTTGGACATGGATAATCAACTCGTGTTTGGAATTTTTTAGGCAAAAGCATAGACTACAAAAAAAAAAAGGTCGATCTGCTGTGTCTTGTGAAGATGCATGAGCAAAAAATATCAGAGGCTCTGCAGATAGGAGAATACTCAAAGGATTATGTCGTCAGTTAATCACTGGCTGATGGTTGTTTCGAAATGTTGCATGAAAGCACAATGCGATTTGTCAAGAGAGTTACTTTTATGGTAAGGTACGTTTTGGACAAAAGCACAGGCCCCTTCATCTGTGAAACAGTACAATTACGTGTTGATTACCGATCCCACTGAACCTGTTCATTCGTAATGCATCCTTTTGCGTCACCAAAACGTTTTGCAAAAGCCTCAGGTAAAGAAGAAATGACATTTGTAAAAGGAACATTGAAAACACACGCAGGTGGCCGCAGTGAGGGAAGAAAGAGGGAGAATGTTCGTTTCGTCGGTTGAATGGTTGCGGCGTAAAGGATGATGACGATCGATGGAAATAGGCTGACGAAAACAAGGATGTAGTTGATGCGACTAGCAAGCGAATGATGTAGATGAGGTCGAGATGATATGTCAAGTTGAGTCACACCAAAAAGGGCAACGACTCCAGAATCCCGGATATGTGGAATGAATTTCCTTTTTTGGGACCTGTTCTCTGGAGAAATGTTAGGATGACTTCAATTCTAACTTTGAGTTTTTTGTTTTGTTCTTTGCGCTGGTTTCTTTCCCCTTTCTCTCTCTCTTTTTTTTATTGTTATTCCAAAAAGTGTTATTGAGCCAACGTCTTGTTCGGTTAGGGGTTTCTATTTTCGTTTAATTGAGGAGAGTATCTGATTCGCCTTACTGAGATCTCCCTTTTGACATTTCGAAGCTTTTGATACCCGCCTTTTGCCGTGAATGACGACACAGCCGACCTTTCACTCACCTGCGCGGATTCATCACCCTAGTTGACCTAACTTGAACGCTTCTATGGCGCAGACAAATAACTATCCTTTTTACCTTCCAGACGACTCCCATCACCCTTCACCTGGCCATCAGGCCCCGTCGTCCTCGTCCTTCATGTTCAACGGACCATCCCATCAAGATGGCACATCCCAAGATGGACCGGATCTATCACTGCAGCCGGCTGGCAAAGAACCGTTGTACATGTCATATGATTTTTTAACCGATTATGGCCTGGACACCGACGCCACCGCCACCGCCACCGGGGCCAACGGGCCCATCCTGCCACCCACCATCGATAGCAATGCACCCTGCTCGGAGACCCCAGCGAGGACAGGCATGGATTTCCGACGACGCAAGAATTGGCCCGATCGTATCTTGACCGAAATCACCGGTTTTATGCATGTCCTGTCATCCGTAGGCAAAGTGCTCTACTGTTCCGAATCCACTTTTGAATCCACCGGCTATCGACCGCACGAATTGCTTGGGCAAGCCTTTACAGACTTTCTTCACGTCGATGATCTCGACGTTTTCATACGAGACTTTAACATGGCATTCCATTCCAAGGATCCAATACGAACGTATTTTCGTTTCCGAAAGAGCGACGGCTCTTTTGTCATCTTTGAAGTCCTCGGTCAAGTAAAAACCGGCGGTTCCAGCGTATCGACCGATGCCTTTTTTGCCATGGCTCAACCAATTCCCAGTCGCAACGGTTCTCTCGTGGACGCATTTCTGGAATTGAAGCTAGAAAACCAATGGTTGAAAGCAAGGATAAATGATTCAATGCAGCAATACTATGGCAATGCTAACGGGAACCCCTTGTCAGAAACCAACACCTCTGATTCTTTGCCCGGTAGCTATGCGCATTATTCCACCGCCGATATGAGCGATGGGTCTGCTCTTAACTCTGAGGAAAAGCCCGCCAACTCCACCACCAACGCTTTTATGCCAGACTTGAATATCAATGACGCACCGGTACAACGCGTAAGTGATTACTGCACAGATTACAACAAAAAAAAAGTCAAGAGATTAAAGGATGATAATAATGACTCGAAATCTTTTTGTTCAGTTTAATTCAAGCAAGAAATATTACATCTGCGCCGACTGTGGTATCACGTCGTCTCCTGAGTGGCGTAAAGGGCCCCAAGGACCGAAAACGTGAGTAGACAATCAAAATGTTGATGAGTGGTAAACGCATCCTTTCTAACCGTTGGTTTCCTTTAGGCTTTGCAACGCTTGTGGTTTGCGATGGGCCAAAAGACAAAAAAGGAAATGCGATGGTGATGATTCGTGATGGAAGAAAAAAAAGAAGTAATAAACGACAAAAACAATATAAAACCGGATTCTGCATTGGCCAGAAACGTATGGATCAAATAAAGTAGATGTAAAAACAAAAAAAAGAAAGAAAAAATACGGGAGCGCCGTAGTAAAAGATGAAATTGGACATGGGGTGGCATACAGTGGCAGAGATGACAGTCTATGGCATTTGTCTGATTGAACATTTGAGGTTACCATCCGGAATTGGAGGTATTCCATCCGCCATCGTTGGCGGCGGGCGCGGGATTTCCCCAGCCGGAAGGAGTGGTAGTGGTGGTATTCCAACCTCCTCCATCCGTATCGGCTTCCACTTCACCCCAGGCATCTTCACGACTTTCATCCGTCAGTTTGAACCGTTCCAACAGATTATCGCGTGCTTCATCTTCGGTCATTTTGACTTCTATCACGCAGGTCTCTTTCATTTTCAACCATTCTTCTCGTGAAACCCAAAGAGGATTGCCGGGATGCGAAGGAGCCGGAAGCATGACCGTTAAAGAACCGGAAAAAACGAAAGTAGTCCACATTTCCTAATTTTGTCGTCATGTGACTCTTTTTGCTTAATGCCCCTTTCCAATTTCCTTTAAAGAAAGTTCACTTGTTCGCACGACAAGTGGTTTAATACATTTAGAAAACGTTGCGCTTATTTAATAACAAACAAGTGATGGGCCCTAGCCCATGAGAAATAGGTTAGTTTATTCGTTTTTCAACGTATGAAGGCTTGTAACTGATCGACGAGTGTCCAAGCGTCAATGGAAGGTTCAGTAACATCCATATCAATGACTTTGACGCGTATTCGGTCATGGATGAGGGTATCAATGGGTTGGCCGGCTTCTCTCCATTGCATCTTTCGAAGCCGCAGTTTGCTGAAGCAATCGTCATCGTCGTCCGCTCTGAAAGTCGACTTTTTCTCTATTCGACGAACAAACAATTGGTATCGTCCGTTATTCTGCACATGTGCACCCAAGCTAGCCAGGGTTATCCCCGGAAGAATTTCCTCCCATGAGTCCACTCCGCCACTGTTGTTGGTCCATGCGCCGAAATGCGCCATGCCGTGCTGCAATATCGCCGTCTTTAAATCATCCATTTGCTGCTCCGTCAGCATCAGCAACTTGAGGACGAGTTTTTCTCCGTCGATAAATGCAAGTCCATCGGCCGTGCCGTCCGTCACCAGTACAATCGCATCGGCAACAAACACACGTCGCGCGTTTCGACATTCTCCGTAGCAGGTATTACGACTGATCGTGTTTCCGCAATCCAAACACTGCCAACAAAGCGTCAGAGTAAGGATGGATTTGACTGAACTAGTCACTTTATAAATGATGGCTTCGTCCGCCGATTTTTCCTCTTCCGATTCTATAAATGAGCAGAGATGCCGTCGTTCCAAAAGATCTGTCGCAATCACACCCTTAGCCCGATCCGACGGAGCGCCCAGGGTGACGGTTGTGAGGTTGTTGGCAATACAGTAACAGCCAATGATGTTGTTGGCCTTTTTGCGAAGCAAATTGCGGAAAATGACGGTGGCTCCCGGCAGCAACCCAGATGGGTAGGTCCGCGTCGACACATCCATATAAATGTCAAACATATTGAGCCCATCGGTTTGACGAAGACGTAGAAAAAGAATGCGGCCCGGTTTTCCTGTGCCGACACCGATAGATCGAAACAATGCTACGGCATGTTGATCCACCACTTCATCCACCGTGCGTCCTTCTCGGAACTCCTTGTTGACAATTACTCCTTGAATGTTGGCAAGTTCTTCGTAAAGACCCCCTTTGACTTCAATGAGACTGATCTTGGGTCCATTGGACACCTCGGGTTTATTGGCGGCCAGGAGGTCGTTCACGTCATAGATTACGGATGAATGACGCAGTGGATTGTTGGTTGTATCAGCACGGTATTGAGGTATTAACGGAATGGTGTAACTCTCCCGACGATGAATGACTTGGTAAAATGTGTGATGGTTGGCGTCGATAAAGTAAATGCTGGGCTGGGTTTCCAAAGCTTGTTTCGCCTTGCGGTAGGTGCTAGGTTCAATGCGAAAAGTATCGGTATTGGCAAGACCGGATAAAACGAACCATGATCCCACTTGCAAGTTGCTCACATACTGTAGACTGCCACTCCGTGATCGAAACACCAGCGTCACCTCGGCAGGATCGCACCGTTCCGTTACACCGTATCGCATTGCCTGAACCCGCTTCTCGAGGTAGACCATGCCACGATCGTCACTCTGTGTTTCAGTCGCGTACATGCCTGTCGCCAAGAACAACCACAGGTCCTCCATCGTATTGGACAACGTGACCGCAGTAAAATGACTCAGTTGATCGGTCAACTCGATGGTTTCCAGGAAAAACAATGGTACGTTTGGTCGCAAGGCAGCCACGTGGGTCAGATGTTTCGAAGAACAGATAATGTAAGTGTGATCCAGCAAGATTTTGTCGCCTTCTTCTGCGACATAGGACAAGTCTTCGCAGATCATGCGGTATTGCTGGAGGAGGTAGAGATCACCCACAATGGGTCCGTCGTCGCCCTTTTCTAGTTGCACCACAAGTGGCCATGCATGAGAATTGTCCGAAACGTATAGACGTCCGTCGGCCAAGCTCGTAATAACGCCCAATATCCCGTAATGCTGATGTTTGGATTTGTCGCCCAAGCTGTAGTGCGATTCTAGAAATGGGACGGTCATTGTTTTGGTCGTCGCAGCCGAGGAAGAAAACGTGTCGCGGGAAGGTGCCTTTGCAAGCTGCAGATTCACCAGTTGAGCCATGGTTGGGTACCCATCCAGGGAGATACGATGGGTCTCGTGCGTACTAGCCGAAGTCGCCACCGCAGGACACGTATAACCATGCTGCAGAAAATCGCCCAACAGACTCCCAAACAAACCGGCCGTTCTTGTTCCCGTACGCTTGAACACTTGATGAGCCAAGTCGTTGCCTGTCTTTAGGAGCAAACTGACCTCCGCCTGCTCAAATTGTTGTCTAAACTTGTAAATCAGCGCAGCGTACACTTCCAATTGTCGCATCATCTGAGAAAAGTTGAACCGCTGCTCCAGGCAATGAACGTAAACACCGGCCGTGAGTTCCAGGTTGCCGTCGTCTCCCTTGTTGACGTATTCTATCGCAGGCAACAAAGAGTGCTCATTCACCCAGTCACAGTGATCAGGAAATTGCTCGATTTCAATATGGCTGCGCATGCAAGTGACAAGCGCCAATCGGTAGGGTTTGCCGTTGTTGACATAAGGTGGAAGACGCCAGGTTTCATTCAGCAGGACAGACTGGCCGATATCAGATTCCAATGCTACCATGTGAGCGTGGTGGATGCGTAACTTGGTTTGAGGACGGTAAGGCCGCATCGACGAATAACCAATGTGATGGAATAGACACAGAATCCATTGGTGATCGAGTTCGTACATGCCGAAAAGATGGTCAATCACTCGGGTAACGGTACCCTTGAAAAGGGGAATGGTGGTCGACATGACGGATCGTTGTATGACCGGCGAATAATGGGATGTTTCGGTGGAAGCGATCTGCGATGAAGCGGCAAGGTCGGAATACAGCATATCGTAATGGGACTGGGTGATACGATGGTAGGTGGATCGCATGGATTTAAATCGAAAGGCACCTCGCTCGGTAGGCTGACGACCCGAGACGGTGACGGCGGTAAGGTTCATGAAACAACACAATGTGCCAATTTGAAAATCATAGTAATACTTTAAAAGATCATCGCCTTCAAAAACAATCATACAGGAGAATAACGAGTCATCACTCATTTCGATAAAAAAGACAGCCGGCTGTCCCGCGCTGGTATATATAACAGATTGGGCAAAGATGCGGCCCATAACATGTACATGACTATGTAAACGACAGTGCTGAAGCTGATGGGGGGTATGTACAGTGAGTTGTTGAATACGGATAAATTGCACCGCCACCTCGTCCGCTCGAATGAGTTCCCCCACGACAGGGGTGGCCGAGGTCACACGGTAAGCATCGCTTAGCTGGAATTCCAGCATCACCACGCCATTGTCGTCGCTATAGATGAAATTCCACCGACGTAAACACAGAGCGGATCCGTCCAAGGAATGATGGAAACGATCGACTTGGCAAAGAATGGTATCGTCGGTATTGAGATCGCTCATGACAATCACGCCGCGTGGCAAATGGTCCGCTAAATCGCCGGAAATGACGCGTAGAATCCCCATGAGTTCCACTTGAGCCGTGGTGGACGTGCAACTTTTACGTCGCTCAAGTAAGCTTTTCACCGATATTGTATCCATTGGTTTTCAGTCCTGCATAGCCACATCCATGGAACATCCAACCCAACTAAATTAAAAAAAAATATTGGGCAGGAACCAAAAAAAAAAAAAAAAAGAAGTCGGCGCGGGAATCATCCCTGCGAATGCTCATTCAGAAGGGTGACTGTTCCACAGGAATAGGGTGGAATGAACTTGATCCGTTACGCGACATTTCAGAGAAAATTTCTATCAAGGCCATTAATTTTTTCATCCTATTCGCATAACACCATGGTTGTCATTTCTTTTACAAAAGACACTTACCCTCCATGTTAAATGCAGGCATGGACATAAATATACTGTCTGCATCGATTTCGCGTTGTCTTTCCAGGATCTGGGTCAGTTCTGGGTCTTCTGCCCAGCTGGGTATAACGGTCGCCAAAGAATCACAACTCTCATTATCATCAATGACAGACCTCTCCGCCTGGGCTGGCGTCGTTTCCGTACCATTCGCTTGCGCTTGCTGCTCCAGTGTCTCGTTAGCTGCCAACTGGATGGCTTTGGATGACAGCTTGGCTAGTGTTACATTGGTTTGGAGGGGCTTGGTATATGGCATGGTTTTGGAACTCGTAGCGTATGCTAAAGCCGATTTCTTCTGCGGCGCAGCCGAAGTCGACATGAGATTTCTCCTGGATGCCAAACTCGCTGGCGACAAAGGTTTCTACAACAGCCATTACCCCTGAGTTGAGCTGCCACAAAATCGTGAGTGGGTAGCCAATCTTTCGCTCTTACCTTGACGGCTGTTGCCTTGATTTGAGAAGCTACAGTGGGTCGTGCAAAACCCATTTTTGAAACTTTGCTGATGCCGTTGTTGCTGATCATGTTCGTGGCAGGGGTAGTGATAGGTGGGGCCTATATGATGATCCACAGGTCAGGTTATGTATAATGTTTCTAGAGTTTTGTTTACCTTTTTATTGGCGGGCGACTGCGGATTGGCACGGGAGTTTGATGAAGCGCCAAGCTGTCCATTTGTATTAATTTCATGTACTAGATTCTTAATCCTTTTTTTTTACATGTACTCACCGATTTGATCCGTTTTGCAGAGTGATAATTGACATCATTTGACTAAAAAATCCAAGATGAATTATCAAAATAAAAGATCAATGCAAAGAAATTTAGGGCTAGATTACCTGTCGCTTGTTGTTTCGCTCTATTGAGGTATTAGAAGCGGATGATCCGGTAGACGACTTTGCAGAGGGAGAGCGCCGGAATGATGGTTGTTTTGTTTTTGCATTCGCTTCAATGATGGCTTGAATTCCCATACTCGGGCGCGATCGTCCACCCACGATATCAACATGACGGACAGATTCGACAATGCAGACCTCATCATCATCATCATCGTCATCGTCGTTGTTCCGCACATTATCGCCGCCATGTTCATCAGGCTGGCTTGGTTTCGTTTCAGTCCAAGAATGCGCTTTTGGACTCGCTCGCGTACGAATTGGAGTGAACGGTGTATATGGTTCAGGACTGTGATCCACATCCCACTGCTTGTCATTAATTGAAGGATCGGTTGTAAGAAAAGTGGAGAATGCTTGTTGTGATGATGATGATTTTTCCGAATGGTTTTCCGGCGATAGTGGTACATCCAAGGACATGACTGATGATGATCGTTTAAGCAAGGTTCTTCTGCGAGTATCGTTTGGTGCCGTGGGCGTGGGTGGCAAGGAATCCGAGGTTGCTGATGACCGTCTTTTCGAATCCATGCCATCTGCAATGGCTTTTCTTTGAGATGATGATGTTGATGGCGATGATGATGATGAAAGGTCTGATGAAAGGCGTAGATTATTTAATAGGGACGATGTAGTGCTTAGTCTGCTGGATCTTCTTTTTGTTGCATATGATTTGCTTTGCGACGACGTATTTATCGAATCCATCGTGTCTAAGAAAGAAAGAAAGAAAGGCGAGATCAACATTTGATCCGGCAAACGAGTACCGACTCTAAATTTGGCGTGCCAACATACCGGTGTTTGCAAATGATGAGCTTGGATTGGTGATGTTCACTGCGAATCGTTCCAAGTCGTGCTTATCATGTGTTGTGGATGCTTTACTGTAAATGTCATGCTGAATCGTACTGGGTGCCGTGCTGGATGTTTTGCGTATTGAATCCAGTAGTTGCTTTTCGCCCATATTTGCATCTTGCTCCTCTTTATTATAGAGTGGAGATCTCGAACTGCCAGCACGGTGGCTTGATATGGTTGTCTGCGTTTCGTTATCATTCTGTGGGTCGGAGGAGAGTGATAATGAACGGGGCTGATTGGTGGGCTCTTCCTCCGTTAAACATGACATAGTTGATATGACACTGGCAAAGGGTAGAACATCACTGGGAGAAATAGGATCGGGGCTCGTCCGCACTGGCGATGGTGATGGTGATGCAAGTTGATCGTAGTCTTTCGTGGAGGAATCGCGCAAGGTACTGCTGTCGTCGTCACCCGAGGTCGTGCCAACATTATGAAACGATCGTCTACTAGCTAAAAGAGCTCTATAGTGCAATAAAATTCTTTTCAGTACGTTTTTTGAAGAAGGGATTATCATGGTGGCAAACGCTGGAATTACCTTACAGTAGAAGGCGACTGGAACCAACGACGATGCATCTCGCTCACTTGGCGGACACTGGCTATTTTCTCGTCGCCCAATTTGCGCCATTTTGTTTTTTGTTCCTGAACCCACTGCAATCCTTTAGGATTAGGCGGGGGACAAGACATGGTCAACGATGGTAAAATGTGTAAAAAAGAAACAAAAAGGATCAGGCGTGGTTCAAACAAAGCATTCAGGGAGCGTCACATTAATTCTTGCTTGATCGGACTCTGAATCGCGTAGAAAAATTTCCTTGAACCTTTCATGACGCGTGGGATCCACAAGCAAGTGGACTATTTCAAGTCAAGATTTTACAATATACTATGATTTAACAAGACCAATAAAGGCTGCGATACACTCCAGTACGTACTGATTACTTTTGGTTGATTCAAAGCATTATTTAGTTGTGTTTTCAAGGCCAAACTGAGCCAAATGCTTGGCTCGTTTATTTATTTATTTTTTTAATTAGTTAACATAAGACCATGGTAAGCAATACATTTGCTAAAGGGATAAGAGGAGATTATGATGGTTTAGGCTTTCTTTTCTTGGAGGGCTTCCTTTTTGGATTTGCTATTGGGATCCAGGTATGGTTTTTCAGCCTAGAGAATAAAGAATTAGTTTAATCTTATCCGATCATCATGGCCAAGTTGATTTACCTGCGGGGTGACGCGCCATCCATGTCGCTTGCCGCTGCCAAGATAATCGAAAATGGCATTGTGGAAGGTGACGCGGTTATCCCACACCGCCACACTGTCTTCGGTCCACTTGAATCGGACCTGAAAATCGGCACTGGTGGCAATCAATTGATAAAGGTAGTTGAGGATGGCGGTGGATTCTTTAGGCGACAGACCCACAATGCGACGCGTAAAGTAGGGTTGGACATACAACGATTTCCAGCCGGTGACGGGATGCGTACGAACCACTGGATGGATACTTTCCACAATACGACGACGAACGGGACGACCTTGGGCCACCGCTTCATCGATTTGATGTTGGCCTGAATGCACAGCTTCAAGACCTTCCAAGAATTTCTGGAACGCAGGCGACAATTTTTCATATGCCGCATAACCAGATGCCCACAATGTATCGCCGCCCACCTCAGGGAGTGTATCAATCTTGAGAAAGGTCAAACCAGCGGGCTGCACTTCGTAGCTCACATCCGTATGCCAAACTGCGCGGAAGGAAAAAAGAGAAAAAAAGAATTAACTTGATGAGAAGGCCAACTTTTTTTCGTATCCGTAGAAATAGTCTACTTACTGTCGGCAAAAGAAAGATGTTCATAACCTTTGGTAGACGAATTTTCATCAAAGTAAATAATGTGGAGTTCCGGCAATCCTTCGGGATGGCCAAATGTGTTGTGAATGTGAGGACGGCCAAAGTAGCGGCCCAATTCAACACCTTGATGAGGTGTAATATCTTGATTCCTGAAAAAGACTACACCTCTTTCGGCGACAAGAAGAGCCAGATCATTTTTCTGTTGGTCGGTCAATTGCGACAGCTGCAGACCATGGACTTCCGTGCCAATGTGAGGCGTCAGATCAAAGATCTTTTCCGCGTTATTATACAGCGAATTTTTAGCAGGATCAGCCTTGTGGCCAGGGTCATGATGCTCAAAAGATTCCAACTCGGGATACTGTGAGAATGTAAGATCGCAAATGGCAGGTAAGAAAAATGAATTGGATATCTGTCCAACGGTCTTACCTTGGTTTCCGGGAAAACAATGTATTTTCCTTGCTTGCGTGCGATATGCTTGAGGTCGAGCTGTTCAACTCTGTGGACGAGTGAGCCTTGGCTTTGGATGAGGGTGTCTTCGGTGTGAGGAGGGGCCATAATTCTGTACAAGTAACTTGAAATGCACCTGGATCCGTTCTCTGGCTGTACTTTTAAATACAATTTTTTTTTTTTTTGGATGGTGCAAAACAAGTTGAAGCCAAGAAAGGTGTCCTCATTCAAAGAAATAATAACGCCATCCCTATAGCTTTGATTCGTATAGAGTCAAGGGTCCATTAGTGTATTGACGACAGAGGCAGAATGGATGGTGCAAGAAAAAAGGGGGAAAAGTGGTCACAGGCCACAGCTCAATACAGGTCCACCCCATCTTGGGTCTTGAGCACGCAATCTGTTATGCACACATTGTTGTTGTCACAATCCCTAATATGCTCGTACGCAGATGAACAATATGCAAAGTGTATTGTGCAATACTTGCTCATTCAGTCAACCTGCGAATTTTCTCTAGCTGCTCATCGAAAAATTACGACAGCAGTTAATCGAAAAACTGTCGTTCCTGATGCGTGCTTTCGTCCATTTTTTCTATAGCTGTATTACATTGTTAAAATCATTAAAACACAGGAATACACTCTCCAGTTTGGAGAATAAAGAAAAAATACAAAAGTTACTAATAAAGTATATCTACAAAACAGTGCAAATAAAAAAATATAATGACAAAAAAAAGAAAAAATCTCAAAATGGGTGGGAACAATGGATGATGCAATTTATCTACCATTGTTTGCAAAATTGTCGTAGAGTGGATTATCCATGTCCATTTGCAGGAATTGGTCGCCCACATTCGTACCGGATTTACCATGATCAGAATTCAAGTTGCCATTCTCATTTGTTGGCTGATTCGCCAAAAGCGTCATCAGATCATCCGACAAAAGATTATCCGAAAACTGAAGCACCGAAGGATGGTCTTGTCCTAGATGTGGGCATATTATTAATAACAATTATCTTGTCGAATTTGACCATTTAGCTGGATCCTACCTTCTTGCAACATTAAGGAATCCATCCATTCTATGCCCTCCATATTGGCGGACGGGTCCGCCGAATAATCTATGGATGCTCGCTGTTGTTGGATCGGTATCGAGGCGGGAGATTGGATTGAGTGCCCAAAAAAGTTGAATGGATCATATTTATTTTCCTTATCGGGCGTGCCAAGGTTCGAGGGGGTTAGAGGTGCGTACGACTTCTGTCGCTGTGTATTAGGGTTCCAAGCACGCGCTTGCATGTGCGGTGACGGTGTGGTTTCCATGGGTTGTGCTTGGTGGTTCGAAGCAAACATGCCGGTAGGCACGGAAGACGAGTATCGTTGACTGTCTGGCGTCGGCTGCTGATAAGGGGAATGGTTGGGCTGTTTGGGCGAAGGTGAGGTCATGTACGGTGAGTAACGTCGCGGCGGCGTTGGATGGGACGGTTGGGAGGACATGATGGGCGAAGTAAGGTTCATATTGGCAATCGATTGATGCAATGAAAAGTTGGATCCGGCCGAACTTGATAAAAACATGTTTGAATTAGGGATAGACGATGGACTACCCATGACAGGCGAGGCATCAGGAAAAGAAGCCGCCGATGATTGATAATCGGGAACGGACTGCGGCTGACCCCAGAATTCCGTGGCGTTGGACCCCGACATTGACGTACGTGGCCCCTGTCTCCCAGCCTTGACAAGTTCACGTTCTTCCTGCAACCGCTGTAGCAAGATGGCTTTCCTACCTGTCGCCGGCTTCCCGCGTTGTCGAAGCATTTCTTTAAGTTCGCTCACGGTGATATCATCAAAGTTGGCATTTTCCAGCTGGAAATCCAGTTTGCGTTGGTATTCTTCCGAATCCAACGGATACATGGCGCTCAGTCGATTGACTCGTTGGATTTGGATAGGCATCGTCCGTGAAGGGAATGAACTAGCCTGCACGTCAGTGGGGGCAGAGGCTGTGGTCGTTGTTGTTGTTGTTGCGGCGGCCGTGGTGGTGGAATAAGGTGTTTTGTTGAGATGGATGATCCCCCTACTGGCATTAAATTTTCCATTCCCACGTGCATTGATGTCGTTTGGCAAAGTGTAATCGTGCGATTTCCGACGTGCGTTGGGATCGGCGCTTGGACCCACGTTTGGACCCACGTTTGGACGTGACACATACTGTCCAACTGACAAGGGAACCGACGATCCCAACACCGTTCTGCTGTCAGAGCGGTTTGATCGCGGATTGGTGTTGGAATAAGACGATGACATGGTCATGGATGAACCCTGGTTCGGTTTCCGTGAGTAGTTGACGCGAAATTTAGCTTGTAATTCGCTGAAACGGCGTTGATGGTCGATTTCATGAGGCACAGAAGAGGATTGCTTTGATCCGTGACCGCCACTGTCGCGAGAGATGGGAATCGGGTTCGTTCGGCCCATGCGTCCCGTTCCCAATATCGCACTCAGTCGACGACCGTCCTTTTTGCTTTTGCTTGCTGCATTTCCCCTGTCCGTTGTCGTGCGATGAGCCATGGAAGTGGCGGCGGGGGTGGTGCTGGTAGTAGTTGTCGTGGCAGCTGAAGATGCACTTGTATCACTTTTGGGTGTTGCGTCTTGTTTTTGCGTGGAGGGAGGGTAAGGCGATTGGCCAAACATGGCCGAGAGGTTCGATCGCACAGGTGAGACTGTTTCCATAGGCGAATCGGATGGCGGCGCCGCGGTGTGAGCTTGTTGTTCAGCCTGGCGTTGCTCTTGGAGAAGCTGTTGTTGTCGTGCAAAATTGGGGTCCGAAAATAAAATGGCTTGCTGGTCTTGTTCACACATGGCCGTGAACAATTTACTGGCTTCGTCTGGCAGCAAGTTGTCCATGATATTGTCCGATGGCGTAACACCGAGGTCAACCAACGAAGGCTGCATGTCATTGCCATACATGGAATCCCATGTCGGTAAAAGAGCATCGTTGCCGAGCATGGCCGATGGTGATTCCAGCGAACCACTCAATAGGTCGGACTCGAGGTAGGATGAGGATGTGGTTGCGTCGGCATTCTCCATGGAAAAGTTGGCCAAGGTGCTGTCCATGGATTGACGGTGCAAAGGCATGTCGAGGGATGAAGAGAATATGGAATCGTGGTGTTGACTATCGTGTGCGTCATAATTATCCGGCCGTTGTCCCGTGGCCTTGTTGCCATGGCTGGTGCTGTGTGGATACATGGTTGATACACGATTACTTTATTATTACGGTCGTACTTCGTTTTTCCTTTTTTTTTTTTTTCACTGGCGTATGTAAAGGATGCGGTTTCTTTTTAGTCTCTAGTACATTTGTAAAATTCCAAAACAAGGAAAAAAAGTGGGAAAATAATGGGTTTTCGTTGAACCCTACCTGGCGTACTTTCCCGAAAATCCTTTTTTTTTTCAACCCACGTCACTCACAGACAGTGCATCACCACGTGCTTTTCTTTTTTTCCCGAGACAATTACCATCCATTTGTATTATTTTACAAGTAGAATTTGATATAGCACTTAGATAGTTGAGGAAACAACCGGCTTTGTCGCGCTCTATCTCGATAAGCCCAAGTAGGCAAATATGGCAATAGCATCGATGCACTGACAATTGTCGGAGATCATCGTTGTGATTCGACATGCCGCCCATTTCAAATACCGCCACGCCCGTGTTGTCGGGACAAGGTGGCCTTGGCGTTCGCCCCTGGATGAGTGATTGACGGGGTCGGTCTGATGGCATGGATGCAGATAATCATTTCCCTTTCACAGGATAACATAAAAAGCTATGGTTATTTGAATAATCTTTGGTTCGCGCATTGTTACTCTATAAAAGTTGAACCAAGGTACAACATGAAACTTACGTAATTACAAGGATGGACAGATTCTTGTGTGACACCCGATGCGAAGAGGCGGTTTCAAAAAATCGTTGCAAGTCACAAGAACCGAAATTTCCAAGCAGGAAAGGTCAGACCCGGCATTCACCCCGCTGCATCCCTACTTTCAGTGATCAAGCGCCCCCATGCCATGGAGACTTTGCAAGATGTGCTTCGGGGATCGACGCATAAAGAAGTAGACTATGTTCAGTATTTTATTTTTTTCCCGCCAGGCCAAACCAACGAGGAGACGGTTTCCAAGTTACAAAATCAACGGATCGTGATCACCGACTTTATTCAACCGTGGATCCGTGATTATCTTTGGCAAAAAGACCGATTCAGTCTTTCCATTGGCTACGACGATCGCAATGGTAAGTGACGATCATCCAAGCTATTCGTAGATCAATCGCCTCATGGAGAAGAGATGCTGTCTAGATCCTGCGTATCCTTTCTTGTACGGCGTCACCCGATTCGGCGATTGTGTCAATGATCAGTGGTTCATTATTTATCTTTTGCGCGAGATATCGAAAAAGCTGCCAGAAACCGTGATTTCGGTGGCGGATAACGATGGTGAAATATTGTTGATTGAAGCGGCTTTGGAACTACCGGAATGGCTTGATCCAATGACCAGTCGCAACCGCGTATTCATTCATCAAGGACTTGTTCACATTATTCCCCTTCCCAGCACCCCGGCCGATATCATTGAGATACCCATTGCCGGTAAACTCCAACGCCAACGTGCCATTGAACTCGTCCGACAGCAGCGCGTCCACACGCAAGCGGATCCGCCTGTCCAGGAGGCGATTTTGGAACGCATTCGCGAATATCCCCAAGCCGCGCAAACCGAACGTCATCGCTCTCGGTGCATCTTGCCAAAACAAGCGGCTTTTGTTCTTCTCAAGGAACCGCAACTTCTGCCGCTGGCGGTCGAAGCCTTCTATATACGTGATCCTCTCTCTCTCAAAGCGTGTGCCACGATGCGACAGTTTCCTCCCGCCAATCATAATCTAGTATCGACCATCACCACTTTTACCCGCACCACCTTTGCGCAAACCGTCAGTCAAAAATTCTACCCTCCTAAGCCTTTCCATCTTCCTCCTGTCTCGCAAAAGAAGCAGCACCGAGCTGCGGAACTGGGGATGAAGTTGGCCTGTGGCTTGGAAATGCTGTACGCCAACAACTGGGATAAAACCGATGACGAAGATGCTACCTCGTATGCTTTTGATCGCGACCCCAAATGGAAAGAGTACGTTGCCAACGTGACGCGTTTGGGCTATTTTCAAGGGGAAAGACAGGGTTCACGATTATATCGAGAACGGCTGGAACGGGCAAAGGAAGAGTATTTGAAGCAAAGACGATTACCTGCATCCGTAACTTACGAAGATGTCGACGTCGATGATATCAATACATTCGCCGGAAGTCTGCCGTTTGGGTCCATGTCGCCGCGGAAAAAAATTGATGCCATTCTGGCAACGTATTCAGAAGAAGAGCTCCAACAGATGCTCGAAACTCACGACTCAGAGGAGTCCGATTCCGAGGATTGGATGCATGTGGATCCCCAGCAACTGGAAGACCTCTTGAATAAGCGAATGAAGCGAATGCAAGAAAGTGTCATGGCAGACATGGATCGAGAAATAGACCAAGAGGAGAAATCCACCGAGGTCGACCTGGACAAAATGGTGGCCAACTTTGAACAATTCATCGAAGGATCACGCAGCGGCGTCGAAGGTGTACAATTTCCTGGGTTAGTATATATTTTTTTGCGTGTGAATGTTTCGTTTGCATTGGTCTGATGTGTTTCAATGAAATAGAGAAAGAGACTCGGACGATGAGTTTAGCGAGGAAAATGAAGAAGACGACGAGCTGTATGATGAAAATGAAGATGCCGCTGTCTCGTTCAATATGGAGAAATTTATGAGCATTCTCAAAGGCGTCATGGGTAAGAACCGAATCGATCATTGATAGACATGATATAGACCATTCATTAACGGGCCGAATATAGACGATGTGCAAATCCCGCTGCAACAGCAGCAGCAGCAGCAACCTGATGAACCGGAGATTCGGAAGGAAGAAGCAAGCGCTGATACAGAATCCAAGGATACGTTACGAACAATGATGGACGAGATGGACGAGGAAATTTATTCGCACGATAAAATCACCGCCTCTTTTGCCGACGGTACATCAGAAGGAATGGAAGAGCGTGAAGACGCTCCTGTCAATGTACGACTCAATCTCGTCAAGAATGTGTTGGAGAGCTTCAAGAGTCAGCAAGGTTTACCAGGTCCTGTTGGCAATATACTTCACCAGTTTGGTGTGGTTCTACCCGCCGATGAAGATCAACCAGAAGAAAGCGCATCCGACAGAAAATAATCCCCTATACATCCCGAAAAGTATTTTGACCTAATAATACACGCAATGGTGGTCTCTTGTTTCGACGAGTTTTGACAATCTCATCCATAATTAAGTGTTTGTATGGTTTTTTTTTTTTTTTTTTTTTTGCCCGCTCGTTCATTGAAGATACTGTGAAATTGGTTCCCTTCTTCATGTGTTACCTTGGTCCCTTGGACTAGCCGCTTTTGACATGGTTCAAAAGTGGGTGATGATAATTTGTATCACCATCTTGTACGTCCATCATTGGTTCAAGTCGTATTGCTTGCCAAGCAATCAGGCCATACCAAGGAACCCAGCCAACTTTGATGATGAACCGAAAGAGGGCCCGATTAAACAACCGTGGTCTTCTCTATCCATTAGACCGGATATTCTTACTTTTTGGCCTTGTGGCCTTGAGGGGTGAGAGGCTATTCTTATTCCTGTCAAGAGATCAACGCGTGCCAAATACACAGTAAAACAATGTCATGAATTTTGGATGCCCTTTTGTCTTCCTATTCTTGCTTCAATGCCAAATTAAATCCATCAGACAATCCATCGGTCCAGAGACATTACACAATATGTATTACGTACACCGTTATCAGAAAAGAAACAGGCAAGAAAAAAAAAGATTATTATAATATAGAAGTTTCTTTTACAATTAAGTCGATTTACAAAGTAAATTATACTGTACCGGAGGGGGATTTGCGTGTATATATGTGAGGTGAGTGTGTGTGTGTAAGTATGCGGGAGGAAAAGGAGAAAACAAAAAAAGAGATATAAGAAAAAAAGAGATGATCAGGTTCATCATTCATCGTGTCGCCATTTTATTCGGCCACCGTGTACACCATGCGTTGTCTTTGACGCGCTTCTCTTTCAGCTTGTTTCTTTTTCTTTTCAATGATGCGGAACAGATCATTGTCATCGTCGTCGTCGTCGTCTGATGAGTCCGATGGTGTTGGCGAAGTAGGGTTCCCCATCCCCTGATCACTATCCGACATGTCGTCGTAGTATGAATAATTATAATTGCGATGCGGCGGTTTGCTTCCAAACGAGGCACCGCTGCTGGGGCGCCGCGGTCGGGCGGCATCACGCATGGAATATTCCGAAGTCGACCGGTGGCGATCGTACATGGTCGTGTACGATTTGGACGCCGACGGCATAGGCTGAAGGATATGAGTTGGAACGTTGAGTTGGGTCGAACCACTCACGGGCGATTGCGGTGAAATGGGCGATCGCATCACTGGAGGAGAGGAAGGGGGAATAGGTTGAAGGTGAGAATATCGATAGTCGTCGGAACGCATGCGAGAATGGCGATTGGGCGTGGGAGCCGTGACCTGGTTACCCATGGGCGCTGGTGTCGTAGGATGATAGATAGGTGGATTAACGGTGTGGATAGCATTGACTGGCCGGTTCCGCATCGCCACGTTGGATGCATACGGATCGACCGCTCCAGGTTCATGATGTGGTGTCAAGGGAGCAATCAACGGCCCTCCCAAGGTGCTTCGAGGATAACCTTTGAACCCATTATTGGATGAAGGAGGAGGGTGGTTCACAGGCTGAGCCAAGAGATCGGGCGTGGAGGAAGATCGGTTGAGGTTGATGTTACCGCCGCCATACATACCTGGGGGCGGCAGCGATGGTTGACCAACAATGCTGGTCCGATACGACGCCGTGGTGGATTGTTTCTGATAATCTGGGGCTGACACGGTGGTGGCCAGCGAGGCGTTGCGTGATAAGGGTGCATTATTCTCGCCCCAGGATTGACTGGATCGCCAGGAGGACATGGACCCATGAGATTTGTTGGAAGACCGCGAAGCCGTGGAATCTGAACGGCCTACGGCGGTGCTGCTTTTCGCATTACGTAACGTAAAAGTGGTTGAAGAACTCGAGGCCACCGAAAGCCGTTTGATCTGTAAGGCTAACCGATCTTCGCTTCCTCGTTTCCCTTCGTAAAAACTGTCATTGTCTTCGGTATCACTATCCATATCATCGCTAAGCATCATGACGCCCATGCGTTCCGATATCTCGTCATCATCATCATCGTCAATCGGTACCGAGGCGCGTGGCCATGTGCCTACAATAATGGGCATTTCAAGCCACGACTGCTGCGCGGCCGTAGACGGTTTGCCGGTCAAGTTGAGTCGCACCCGTGCTTTATAGTGAATATGCAGCATTTTATCTTTGTAACGAATGGTGGGTGGAGTCGATGTGGGAATCAGTAACTGGCAATTGATCGATATCGAGAAATTGTAAGGGCCCAGGATTTTGACATCATGTTTCGTGGATCGTAAAATGTGCTCTTTGAAGACGGTATTTCTAAAATGAAAAGAGTAATTTTTTTTTTGGGGGGAGGGTCAGTTTTCTCATGTGTCCATTTTAGCCGGCAAAGGGTTTCCCACTCTATCGCTTATCGCTGCTCACCTGCACGTGCGGATTTCGACGGTTCTTACTAATTCTACTTCCAAGGCTTGCTCTCGTGTGAAAGGTTCAAAATGATTGACAACAATACGTAAAGGTACGATATCACCTAGCAACAGTAGAACAAAAACCATGTGAGTCATTTTTTTTATATATACCACTCACCATGCCACTGCCAATGAAATTCTCATGTGTCTCCTCGCTTCTCCCCTCTTCCCCCCACCCCCCAAAAAAATCCCTAACTATTTTCTCTTTTTCTTTTTTTTTTTTTACCTCTTGTGTAGCCAAAGCGCGGGATAGAGAGGCTAAGCTGGCATTTTTGATTATACTTTGCATGGGGTAATACAAGGTCAATTGCTTTCTCTTGTGGTTTGGCGTAAACCGGTGTGGTGATATCGACAAATTCCAAAATAGGAACAATGTATTCGGCTTTGGCGCAAAGCGATTCAGGCATCATGGGTCGATCGTGAATGGCGGTAATCCAATATCGAATGCGTGCCTTTCGTTTACCAAACTGTGCAAGGGTAAAAAGGAAGAAAATACAAAAAAGGGATAAAGACGAAACAAGTGCAAAGAGTCAGTTGACGAGTTACAAAAGCAGTGCAGATGTAAACGCGCAAGTACCTCCATACTGCTGGGTAAATTGAGATCGTTGGGTACGGTGAATTCAAATGAAAACTTGTGTTGCCGTGGTTCCAAGACATGGGTTTTGCTGCCTTCGATCTTGGAAACAGGAAGTATCTTTGTGTTTTGGAATAGATTGATAGTTTCCTTGTCCTTTACAGACAAAAAGATTTCGCCCGTGAACCGAACGACAATGTGGTTCGTTTTCGTGGCACTCTTGGGATGCACAATAACATCGCCTAAACAATGTAATTCAGGTTTTCACATTAGTTCCTTTCCACAGACGTTATACCGCGTAACTGTTTTCGCAAAGTTACCTTTGATAACTTCGCCTGGAAAGTAAAACTTTTCTTCTTTGAGACGAATGTCAATGACTTTGTTTCCTTTGCTTCGACCTCTCATAGCAAGGTCAAACTAAACAGCGACAATCACGAACAGTCGGATAATCGCTTCTCGTTTTTTTGGTAAAACTGAGCTGGAATGCACGGGGTTTAATGAAGAACGAAAAGCCGGACCAAGCCTAACAGGACCTTGTGCTTGAATCTCTTTTTCGCAGAAAAAAAAGAAAAACAAAGGGAAACAACCAAAAAGAAGTGTAAAAAAAGCAACAAAAAAAAATTGGGAAATTTTCGCACAATAAAAAAAGAATGGAGTTTTTTTCGCATCACAAAAAAGTAACCCAACTGGTTTCGGAAATTGATTCTTGTCGTATGCGTAACACTAGAGTGTTCATTATTTCCTCCAAAGTCTCCTTCCTTTCTTTATCATTTATTTCATTCCCTCACTTCTCAACCACTTTTTTTGCAAAAGCCTTTATCAAATTGATACGTCATGGCCAAAAAAAAGTTCACAAAAAAAAACCAAAAAGTACACTGGAAACATGAATAACAAATTACCACTAACACGTCATAAATAGGTGTCTCTCTCTATGCAACCATTGCCGCGGACAATGATGACTCCTTATATGGCCAATCTATCTGTTGTCATGGACTTGTTAGTGATTGGATAAGTGCAACGGTGAATCTGCCGTGTAATGCATCTAAAAACAAAATAAAGGTCAGCGGATGTCGTGGTGATATTGGTTGAATGCGCCTCATTCTTACCTCCTTTGATCCCACCGTACCACCACCGCCTGTCACGCCAAAGGTGGTCCATGATTTCACATCCGAAGTGGGTTCCAAAGCCGCCCATGAGATACCCCCCACTTTCTTCATATTAATCTCCACCTTGGTTGAAAGTGCTGTGAACTTTGAATTCTCAGGTTCAATCAACTGTGCAACCGCAGAAAAAAAAGAAAAAGCGTGTCAATAATTTCATGGCGGCTCTTTTTGCTTTTTTTCCAGAAATACTTGCATGAAATAGTTGGATGGTTTTCTTGAAGCGTTGGTTGTTCTTCATCTTGATATCGATGGTGATCGAACGCGACGTGAATTTAACATCGGTGCTTTCTTTGTTCTTGGCAAATATACTCAGGATGACGTTGCTCTGGGTTTGGTACCAATCCGTACGACAATCGACCATTTCTTCTTGATCACTCTGTTACCAAATCCGTCCAAGCCGAAAAGGGAAAATAAGAAAACAAGCAAAAATACCCCAATCGGTTTCTTGGCAACTCTTTTTGTCACTTACCTCCTTTTTATTACCCACAAATAAATGTTTGCCTTGTTTGCAACCTTTGATCTTTAAGAATTCGTCGAATTCAAGCACTTTGCGAGGACAGCAACTCCAGCCCTTGGATCCTTCATGAAAAATGGGTACCCCGGGATGGTAGACGCACACGGCTTCGGAACCGTCGCCTCGCGAAGTCTCATTATTCTTAAAACTGACGCCACATCCTCGTCGCTTGCAGGTTGTACCTGGCGCCACAGGAATGGTTTCGTCGTCTTCCAATTCGGGCTCAGGTTCCTTTTTGGTCTCCTCCTTGGCCGGCACCGCGGTGGCCACGGTTTCCGATTGTTGCTTGGCAGTGCCATACACTTCAACACCGGCCGTGGTGGCCGTGGGAGCCGCCGCTTGCTTGGGTTCTTCCGTGGGCTTGGGCGCGACAGGCGCTTCCGTGGAGTGGCGGCCGTAATGACAGCCGGGAATCTGAAGGAATTCGTCGAAATCGCTTACTCGCTTGTTACAGCATGACCAGCCTTTCAAGCCTACAGTCAACACACTACGACTTAGTACCGTTGCGTGACCGTGGTCCAATGGATTTGCCGTCTGTTTACTTACCTTCATGAAAAATGGGCGCGCCGGGATGGAATTGACAAGCTGGAATATATGCGAGAAAAAGAAAATCAAGATGAGCTTATTATGATTGACGTTGACAATGGTATGCGGACCTGTGAAATGGTGGACTTACAGTTGTCAATATTGTCGTCTGGGTTGAACTCCTTTCCACAGCCTTTATGCGTACACTTTGGCATGGCAATGAGGGAAATGGTTTCGCGAAGAAAGTAATGGAAGCTGATGGTCTTTTCCCGAATTTTTTTTTTCAGACTGGGTCCACTGGATCTGTGACTTGCTGCCTGTCAGACACCAACGAGCTTAAAAAGGAAAAACCTCTGGAAATGCCAACCATTGGGTTATACCTGCATAGACCTCAGCATATTAAACAATTGGCTCAATCAATCATCTTCTGGTTCCCACAGCAGCTGGTACAAACCTGCCATAAGCGCATACCGGTATTATCAGCTTACGCGCATAAATACACTCCTTTCCCTGCATTTTTGTCGATTTGTGCATGAAAATGACTGATAAATCTATGTGAGTCCTTCTTGTATCCATGCTAGTCAGTCATACATACAATAAGTTCCATGTTCATTCAAGCATATTAACACCATGTCAAAAATGGGTACCAAATGTTCTTTCTACGTTCAGTACAAGGGATTGTATGCAATCGATTGGTTATTTCTCGTGCAATTCTTTCCTTCCGTTAATGTGACAAAGTGTCAGCGAGTTGAACGTGCATATGATATGACTTTTTTTGTGTGTGTGTGTCTCTGTGAGTGTGTGAGCAGCCATGTCATTTTTACAGTATTGTGTCGTACCAACACTTTTCAATTTCCGCCCATTCTCTTTGAAACTTACCCCATACAAACTTTCTGATATATCATTATCTTCCTTGAAATGACTTTAACTCCTACCGACAAAGCCCAGAGCTACATGAAAAAATGCGGGAGTCAGTCCGAAGACCATCATGGAGAAATTCAAAATTGCCAGATCTCGCGTCTACGGCATCGTGAAAGAGGTTGAGAACGCGGAAACTTCGAGCGCAAATCAGGCTCTGGAAGGCCAAAGAAGTTGACGAATCGTGACAAACGTCACATTAAGCACTACGTAGTCAAGAACCGGCGAGCTCCTCTCCGTGAAATCACCCAGAAAGTCGCAGCCCATGTCCACCGAAACACCGTACGTCGTACTCTGCATGACATGTGTTACTTTTCGCGAATGGCACACCAAAAACCTCACCTGACACCACCGCACAGGTTAAAAAGAGAGCAGTTTGCCAGGAAGCACAAGACTGGACCGTCGAGGACTGGAAGAAAGTCCTATGGACCAACGAAGCAACTTTCGAGTTAGGCGAGAAGAGTGGCCAGGTTCGTGTCTGGAGAAAGAAACACGAACTTGACGATCCAGATTGCTTAGTTCCAACCTTCAAAAGTGGACGATCCACAGAGATGTTCTGGGGTGGCATCATCATGGTCAGAAAACCGAACTGGCCCTCTTTAAAAACTACGATCGCAATGATAGAAGCTGCAGAAGTAAGTCTGAAGGCTTCATCGAGCTGGTCTATGAAGCGTCACTATCACGTTTCTTGGCCACAAGAGAGGAGCCCTTCGTCTTGATGGAGGATGGTGCACCCATCCACCAAAGCATCGCCTCCAAGAAATGGGTTCAGGAGCATGGCATCAAGAAGTTGGATTGGCCTGCACAATCGCCCGACCTGAACCCTATCGAAAAGTTGTGGCGCAAAATGAAGGTTCGCGCCAGCGCGAAGTTCGAGGTCGGGATGACACTGGAGCAGTTTCGGGGCGTAATCCTGGAAGCGTGGGCTTGGAACCTCAAGACTGGGACAAGCTGATCGAGTCGATGCCGCAGAGAATGCAAGCAGTGATCGATGCCAAAGGTGGGAACACTCGGTGTAAATTGGCCAGTTGCTCTGTTTTCTTCTACTTCTTCTTTCTGTTATATAAAGTATGTACGTATCTTGAATATTACTATGCCCCATTTGATGCGCGTAGGATTGTTTAATATCAAGGAGAAACAACCAAAAGATTGTGGGAACCAAGAGGAAGTGAAGGAAAATATTGAAGAAAATTGAAAAGTGTCCTCTTTTTTTTTTTTTTTTTTTTTTGGAACGGCCCCACTCAGTTCCCCTTTCAATTTTGAGAGTATATAATTCAACTTGCCATAAAATGAAAACACATGTCTTCGCTTCCTTTGACGAAGCGGAAGATCAGCTGCATAATTTCATGCTCCTTTCTTGGGTATCGGAATTTGGGTTTCATGAGCGGATGATGCATGTCTTGCTTTGGATGCGCTTGTGACCGACTCAAAGGCAACGCGACGGTAAAATAAGCTTTGCCAACATGAAACTGGTCCTCTTCTTCGTGTACTTTCTCGCACATTTTCCACCGCATAATACAACATCACACCACGAATTGGCCACACATAACCTGCACCCCACATATCGACGAAATCCTTTCACGCAGTCCTGACTAAACATGCCTCCTCGAAAAGATAAAGGGTAAGTTAAAGTTAAAGACCCTCAACTTCATCCACTGATATCAATCTCCCTCCAGAAAACAACGGGCGACATACGTCCAAGTCGACCCCAGCGACTCAGACAGCAATCAGCCCGACTTTGAAAGAGACATCGAGGCGGCCGTACAGGAAAGTTGTCAACAAAGAAAAAAAGACGAATGCAAAGGTGCTAAACTTGAAGAGAAGGATGACGATCCTTGATCAATCCGTGCAAGAGGTGGAAAGCGGGCTCAGTGGTAGAAGGACGAGCGACAAGGCGATTTTTTAAACGGACACCTGCGGAACTGGCTGCCGATCGTTGCATTTACTATGGAACTTTTATGACGAACGTTTTTGTGCTTTAAGGTTCTTAAATTACATTGGCAAGCAACGTGCGGAAGCGGAGTTGGTGAACGTTTTTTTGGAAGGAGGAAAGAAGTATAATAAACGTGGGGTGAAGACTAAGAAGCGCGATCAGGAGAAGATCGGGAGAAAAAGAAGAAAAAGAAGCCACGACGAAGAAAGAGAGGTAATCCTAGTGAAACCGAAAAAATAATTTATCATGTAAATGTTCCTCCCGGAAAGAAGAAAGTCAACCGCATCCAAGGTATTGTTTTTGGCATCAGTCTACTGCTAGATAACGGTCTTACGAATATTATTTACAGAAGAGATGATAAATGGCGAAAAGCACGACACAGCCCGGTGTCAAGATTCCCGCTGGTCGCTTTTGGAGACGCTTTTTTTCGCAACAGCATGAGAGGAAAATTGGCCGGACTGGCCAACCGTTGCCGACAGTTGCTCCGGAGGGCGGAATATCAAGGTCTTCTGGCGATCGCCGATCTGCCGGAATGCAATACGTCAAAAGTAAGCTTGTTGTGCGTTTAAAGTGTGCGATGTACTAATCCGATATCTTAAAAAGTCCTCTTTTTCTTGGTGGGCCGCTGTATTTGTATGGGTCATAACAACCTCATCATGACAAAATTATGGCTTGGGTCGATGGTTGTGGTGAAACAATGTATATTTTCAAACCTATGTGCTTTACAAAGGGAACGACCCATGGCCTTCGTCTGCCACCGTTACTCTTGAAATCAATTGATCAAAGTGTCAATATAAACCTTGGGTGTGGCGAATAGGAAACAACTCGCTGTTTCGCACAAAGGATGAAGCGTCCAATCAACGAGCAATATTAGACGAAATTTTTTGTAGGACAGCCGGAACCACAGATTGGGGTGATTTTCTTCCTTTTTCCCTTGTTCCGTCCTTCACCCACCCAACTCTGTGCTTATTTCAACCATGTCGGCCAAGTTGTTCTCCTACGAAGAAGTCTCCAAGCACAGCACCCGCAAGGATCTGTGGATGATCATTGATAAGAAGGTGTACGATATCACCGCATTCGTCGATGAGGTACCGCTCAACTCTTTTTTTTTTCTTCATCATCACCGAAACCCTCTCTTTGACCGATAATCCCCGCTCATCTAACCGTTACTTGTTGTGTCTATAGCATCCTGGCGGTGAAGAAGTACTGTTGGACGAAGGTGCCAAGGATGCCAGCGGTCCTTTTGACGATGTCGGTCACTCGGACGATGCTCGCGATTTACTCAAGAAATACTATATTGGTGATGTCGATACTTCGGTAAGTCCTTCGCTGACACCTGTCAACCTTGGTTCATCCAGGACTCAACAAATATGCTTACGCATAATCGTCTTTTTAGTCTACACCTGTTGTTGTATCAAGACAAGAAACGCAAGTCCTTGATAATGGTCCTCAGGGAAAGTAAGTAATTTTTTTTTTTTTTTTTCGGAGGGATCGTGACAAGACACGGTGGACGTGGCCGATACTGACGTGATTTTTTTTTCTGTGTTTTTCACAGTCCTCTGCGCATTATTGTTCCTGTATTGCTTTTGGCGGGATACATTTACTACCGCTTCTTTATGCAAAACTAAACATCACCAACGGAGGGATTTTTGTAGACTTGGTAAAAAAGAAAAGAAAAAACCGAAGACGTTCTCTCTTCACTTACTCTGGAATAATAAATCAAAATAATCAATTGACCATGTTCGTGAAAGAAATCGCAAAGAGGATAGAAAAAAGAGGAAATCAATTATAAAGAGAAGAGGATGATATGGAAGAAGATATGATACAAACGAAAGAAAATGCGATGCCGAAAATGATAGAAAAAAAAAGAAGAAAGAAAGGGATACATCAGGAATTACTGAAAACCGTCTTCTGACATATCGCTCAATTCAGGTCCGTCATCAAAGACACCCAGGTCCAGCGAGAGCTCGTCATCACTGCGCGTCAATACTTCTGGTCGTCTCGTCCCGCGTTTCTGTGTCAAAAAAAAAGACGCATCAATAATCCACCGTCCCTTATCACCGTTCGATGTCCAAAGATACTTTACCGAGGATTTTGTTGGCGCAACCATGGGCTCGTGCCACGCTTTGAATGGAGCCACGTTCTCATCGCTGCCGGAAGACACGGTGACGGCGGCGCCGCCCGTGCGCTGTCGGCGTAAAGCTTTTCGATGGGATGCACGTGCCACCACACGTTTCTTGAGATTGTTCTCCCTGACCCGATGTAAAATGCTACTGGACGACGACTCGGACAACTCGCGTTGCCACTCTTCTCGCAGAGCAAGCACAGAATCGCCCATGTCACGGACACGGATCGGTTGAGGCGTGCGGAAGATGTCGCCTCTGGCTAGCGCGGCTCGACGTGTGGAATTTCGACTGGGACTCATATCGGACAAATCAAATGGCATGTCGTCTTCGACCATCAGCTCTGCTCGTGCTGTTGGCTGTGAACACGAACAACCATCAGTACCTTTGTTCTATTTTTCCCAATGTTTCATGTTTCGTTCACCTTTGGTTTGTTTGACTTTTCGCTTTCTTGCATAATTTCGATGTATGGTTTTCCATAGACTGTGAACGGGGTTCCTGTAGAGATCTGATATTCGCGTAGTGCTCCTTCCAACTCTTTCTTGATCTGATATACCAAACTTGGTTCAATGATGTGTTACAGAGTGTAGACCAATCCTTTTCTTTACCTTGGGAAGTTCTTTTGCGATTCGTTTTCGGAACTTTTCCTCCCTTAATAATCGACCAGGATCCCGATTGCCTCTTCCAAGTAGTCGTGAAGGATCGTTGGTGGTAGCCTGTATGGTGACATGTTCTAAGTATCAATGTGTAAGAAGCGGCCCAACAACCGACACCTACCTGGAATTCTTCCACTTCTTTCATTAGGGTTCTATGCCGTTCCACCTTTTCCAGTATGTATTTCCGATCCTCGATCAGTAGCTGAAGGCGTGCAAGTTCATCTTCATGGGCCTTTAACGCGTGATTATTGAATTCATCTAATACACCATGAAGCGTAAGATAAGCAAAGGTTTGAACGCGCCGGATGCACAATGCGAAAATAGTTTACCTGTGAAGGCCGGCTTGAACTGTTTGCGTTCGTCGGTGGAAAAGTACAACTGATCCCATAACTGATGAAGCTCGTCGCGTACTTTAAGAGTAAACTCTTCGGCTCGTTCCAATTTCATCCTGAGCAATCGTTCTTTTTCCATTTCATACTGCCACTCTTTTTGTTAGTCATTGGGATGTCGTGATGGCCAAAAGCAAGAATGGGATCATCTACCTTTTCGAGATCCGCATCCGATAATCCGTTGCTGGTTTCCAGAAAGGCCAGGTACTCTTCTGGATCCACCCCCAGCTTGTCCCACAACGGATACAATGTACCTTCAATTTCATGCTTTCTAAACTCGCGCTGCTGTTTCATCTCTTCGAGCTGGAAAAAAAAATCGATTCATAATGAATACTCTTGCTTCCTGCAACGAACCCGATTTACAAATTGGTGACGTATTGTTACCTCGGCAATCTTGTGCATGATATGATTTAATGCATCTCCTTTTAACAATTCTCTGCAAATCCAGTCTTTTCTTTCGCCTCCCAAGCCAGGGTGCAGCTGTTGCAAGAGCTGTTCTTTTTCCGTTTGCGGTCCCAAGCCGAGTAACGACCATAACTGCTTTAATTGCTTGGCACACTCTTGCAAATGGTCGATTCGGCATAACTACAGGTTTCAAGGGTTTCAGTGGGTTGTTGTGTCGCATTTTCAGATCTATCGGATTGCTCACATATTCGTTTTCGCAGCGTCTAATTTCTTCTTTCAACTGATCCATAGCCGAGGGCGAAACGTCAATTTCTGTATCGGTCATGAGATTCACATTGGCAAAATCACTTAGTACAACGGCGTGGTGCTTCAGCTGACTGTACAACTCTGTAAAACCATCCCACCGTCAGCTCGGTTTCGTTTCATTCTTTGTCTATTCCTCTTTTTCTTTTTACCTTGAACAATGGCCAATTTCGCATCATAACGCTACAACAGTGATGGAAAAAAGTCAATGCATGGATCGAATGCCAGATGCCACAAAGGGGAAGACGAGCCTTACTTGTTTGATCGCTGTTTCTTCGGTTTGCCAATTATCGGCCGTTGCTTGGAGGGTGTCCTGTTTTACGTGAATGGTGGTGGTTGACGGCACAGGTTCCCCCAAGAGTCGATAATAAGTAATGATATTGGTCCGTATTTGTTCGCATTGAGCATTTAAGGCGTCGCGGTGCTGGGTCATTGTATGAACGTGCTGATCTGCCAATTGGATCAAGTCTGAAACCAAGGCGTTTTTCTCATTCTCGCGGCTATCCAAAGGTTGGCCCATTTCCTGCTGCAGAACAGCCAGCTGCTGAAACCGCACATCAAGCTGTGCCACAAGTTCTTCTGCCGTCATGAAAACTTGGTAAAGATCATACACAAGAATGCGTATCCTTCTGAGGAAAAAAAAAAAAAAAAAGAAATCGTCGCCTGAAAACACGCTTTGGGAGTTGTTATTTTAATCTCCGGCGCGTATTGTGCCTGTTGGAGCATTCTTTTTCTCATCATTCAACCCATCAGTCAAAGTGTTATTCCTATATTACTTTTTTATTGTATACTTTTCTTTTTTTTTTGAAAGTCTTGTAGCGCATCTACTCTTAGGTGTTGGAACCAGAGGATGGTAAGGGCGACTCTCCGTTGGATAATTGAATCACAGAGAGTCTCTGCTCGCTCGTATGCCCATGGAAACAAAAAGTCTCAATGTCAAACGGGCCTAAGGGACAAAGAAAAAAATGCATGATAAAACGATGTAAATAAAGTTATAACTACAAAAGAGGGGGCAAATTCAAAGGGACAGAACGCTGCACAAATACTGGCTGCTGTGGCTGCAAAGGTTAACTTAGGCATCTTTTTGAATTTTGCTGCTTTCACGGAGTGAACGCGATCGTTTATTGCGACGCTTGGTGCCTGCCACCAGCGATTGACTGCGAGAAAGCGACATGGAGATACATGTTTGCAACATACTCAAAGGTACATTGTCTTCTTCATGTCGCGCTCGCCATTTCAAAAGAGTCCCCGAGGCTGGCGCGCGTACAACACGATGCGCTTGACGGGGTGGTGTAACATGTAAAAGTGGACGATCCGGTTTACGGGAATAGCTGGGGAACGCAGATACTATGGCTGCATGGGACGACGGCGGTGGTAACGTAGTAACAGACGGGGACGGTGATACAGTGCAAATAGGCATCCATGCCGTGGTTTCGCCTTTTTTCTGTCTTCGTTTCATCCAGCCAAACAACTCTTCCTTTTCCACCATACTTTCTGTGCAAGACGCGGCACCAATCGTCATAGCGGTCTCGCTGAATAGCTTTCTTTGCCGTCGCAAAGCCTCGTGTACTGGGTGACGACCCGGCTGGATGTGGTCGACGGCGGTCTCCAGTAATAAGGCAATATACCGTGTTCTTCGAGGCTTCGTAGTACCGATATTGCCCAGTAACAACGGATTCCGCTTTTCGCACAAACTCTGCGCACGCCATACAAGATCCGTTTTGCGCATGTGGTGCTGAAGATGCGCAAGGAGGCTTTGATACGCCAAGTACCGTTCAACCGTAGGACATTCCATGGTTTTCAATTTTTGCAGTGTCACGAGAAGCAATCTCGTCGGTTCCTCGGAATAAGTGTCGGCTGAATACTGGATCAATGGGTGTGTAGGAAAGTAAGATCGAATCCTGTCAGGTGACGGTCGTGAATAGGAGCAGAGGAGGTCTTGTTCTTCGACCATCATCTTTAGTGAACCGTTACTGTCGTTGTCGGTCTCGTTGCACACCCCTACCCTGGTCGTCGATTTGAATTTACTCAGAAACGAACTGCCTTTGCTGGATTTGAGTGGGAACATCGTATTGAACAGGAAAGAATGCTGATGCCTCGTCATGATGTGTAATGAAAAGAGCAAGGAAAAAGAAAAAAAAGTGTTCGCGTAGGAAAGAGCGTTTTATTTCTACTCGAATATTGTGTCGCCAATGCAGCGAGGGGCATGGATTCACAGCCAATTCTCTGCTTCAACCCCTTTGAACTAACCGTCTTTCCAATTTGAAAAAAAAAAAGAAAAAAGAAAATCAAGCGTTTGAAGCACCAAAATGACGCGAAGAAATGAACAAAAAGTATAAAATGACTCCATCGCTTCATCAAGCTCTATCCTTGGTATGTCGATGTGAACCACAACCTTAATGGTATATATGATTTTGCCAATAAAAATTTAAAAAAAGCCAAAAATAAAAAAAAAGGGTGTGCAAATCACACCATGATCGACGAGAATAAAATCCATGCTTTTTCGCTTCAACATGCCAGCTTCACGGCAAAACGCAACAAGGGTAAACGCCAGGGGGTCGACAGCAAAAAAAACCTCATCAGGGTCATGCTCAATAAAGTGGGGCAGGATCTTATAATCCGTGCTAAAAAGGTGCCAGAACCAAAAAAGACCAACCTAGTCCGTTCGTGAACTGGCTACTACTTAATCCGGAATGTCCATCTCTCATTCTTTCCCTCTCCTGAACCCCACACCTTTCAGCAATGTCAATGGATTTCCTTTCCCAGATAATCAACACTTGACGTTTTGCCTTGTTTTCTTATCGTATAGCATCACATCCTTAAATATTCGTTAACCCTTGATTATTCCACCGTTAATACCCATTTTCTCTATATTAACATAACCTAGTTTGTCCATTTGCTTTGTAAGACTTGAACCTACAATGGCATCCATATAACAAGTAGTACCTTGTGTATGTTACGCTACGCTGCGTTGCTTCTATTACCCGGTTTAAAAGAGCCTGATGGTTTCTTATGATTTACTCTGATCTTCATGTGGTACAGTAGCTGGGATCACTCCTTAATGGCCATGGTTGTTTTGGAAAAAAAAAGGTCTCCCCTGATCACCCAAGAAATGAAGAAATGAAAGAAATAAAGATACACAGAAAAAGTCGGCCAAAAAAATTATAATAATCAAATAACGAGGATTGGATGACCATGATCATCGCGTGCTTTTTTTGTTTTCTCCTTTTTGTCAATGCTAATTATGGTTTTCGATTTTTATTTTTCATCTGGTATTATCGTGATAGGTTTCGTGGTGGTTCATGACAATTTTTGGAGTTATGGGTTATGATGCACTTAAAATGATGTGACCGGTTGGATCAAATTCTATGCCTGGCATGATATCCAGTAGACTGGGTACGTCTGTATCCATTCCGGGTTCGTACCACATGTTCATAATATCTTCTTCCCGCAACGGTTCCGACGGTTTGGCGTCATCCTTTTCTTCAGAAAATCCAGGAGTCGTGTCAAAAATGAGAGCACCTTGTTGCCCATCCTGTTCAAACTCTAATTCATGCGTTTCCGATGACGTCTGCGTTCGTGACACGATCTCCGCCACGTCTTTCAATACATCGTTGGCGTACAACATGGTATTTGTAATCTTGCCATCCGGAGCCAATCCGGGACGTTGCGTTTTCGCCGTCTCCATGGTCGTCACACCTCGACGAGCCAAAGCAGCAGCTGGTGCCGCCGCGGCCGCCATTCCTGCCGCCGAAGCCATGAATGCCATACTACTTGCCGTGGGCATCGCTCCCATGGCGGTTGGCTGCGCTTGCATTTGTTGCATGATCGCCGCTGCTTGTTGTGGCGCCGGCATCTCTTTCTTCACATTCGCAGCTTGGGTCACTGCCGCCGGCGCCACCGTATCATTCACTGGTCGTTTTTCATCCGTCTCACCCACCCGCACCGGTGCTTGCACCGTTGGTGCCATGGCAGTCAAAGGTTGACTTGTGGCCGCAGTGGCAACCGCCGCGGCCGCGGCTGCTGCAGCGGCGGCTTGCTGAGTAGCTGCTTGAACGTGAGCTTGGGCTTGGGCTTGAGCATCATTGGCTTGACGTGCTAATTGTTCTTTTGCAATTTCAATGCGTTCATTCAACATGCTTTGGATTTGTTGCTGTTGCTGCGGTGTCAGGGAAATCTTGTTCTGTGCCGCTTGCTGCAACAGCCAACTGCATTGGAGTGCTCGAGGAGGCAATAAACTGACAATTTGAGGAGACAGACCACTGGCAATCGCGGCTTGATGAATCATTTGCGACTGTGCTTGACGTTGACTGTGGGTCATACCCGCGTGAACCGCAGCTCCTGCCATGGCGGCGGCCGGATTCGTCATGCCTTCCGCCGTGGGTGCGGCGTAGCCTGGTTGAGGTTTTTCGTTGGAAGACAGGCCCATGGTTTCCGCCGGTTGCGTAGATGGGCTGTTAGCCACCGAGGCCGATCGAGTAAGATCGACAACCGCCGCTTGATTTCCACCGGGGGCGGCCGGGCTCACTGAACTCGTAGCAGGATGACCCATGACAGGTCCAGCTTGTGATCGTGGCTGGCCTCTGCTAAAGGTAGGCGATGCTTTTTGCGCCGAGGGCTGACTCTGACGTTTTTTTGAGGGAGGAAGTTTCAAATCGATACTGCCACGTTTGATGGCGGTCATGCCTTGGGTCATTGCAGGGGTCGATGCCATGGAGGTGGGCATGGATTGAGCTAAATGCGATGGTGGTGCCTGTTGTCCCTGCATACGCGCTTGCATTTGCTGCTGCTGTTGCTGAGCTGCTTGAGCTTGGGCCTGAGCTTGAGCTTGAGCTTGCGCTTGTGCTTGTGCTTGGGCGTGTGCCTGGGCTTGAGCTTGAGCCTGAGCTTGGGCCAATGCTTGAGCTTGAGCTGCTTGAGCTCGTGCTTGCATTTGCTGCTGCTGTTGTTGGGCTTGTAGCTGTGTCTGAGTGGGAGTTTGGCCTTGCGCTTGACTGTGAGCTGGCATCTGATTTTGCTGATTCTGCTGCTGTTGCATTTGCATCGGTAATAAACCGAGCCCAATAGAGGAGGGTTGCGTGTGATCGCCCTGTTGTCCTTGCATGCCATGTTTTCCATCCGCCACCGCATTCGCCATTTGCTGCATGTTATTCATTTGCGAAGGGGCACCAGGTTGTTGCTGCTGCTGTGATGTGGGTTGCTGTGTCTGTTGTTGGGCCTGCTGTTGCTGCTGCTGTTGCTGCTGATTACCCACGCCAACAGCATTTCTCACCCAAGAGAAGTAACCGCTAAACTGCTCTCGTAGCTTTTGTAGGTTCGCTAGGGTGATGACATACTTGTTTTGCGCCAACATTGTCAATTGATCTTCAAACATATACTTCATGAGAATCAAACGTCGAGTGGCTTCCATATTGGACGTCAAGGCGAGAAACACGGGAAGTAGATTGTCGAGTTTCTCGTACATTGGTTTCATTTGAATCGTTTGATCCCGAATCGCCGCTTTCTCTTGTTCCGAAACTCCTTCAATTGCGGTACCGCGGACTAAATCGAGACGAAAAAAAAAGTTTGTGAATGAATATGCAAGTAAAAGAACAGAGGACCACCGGCATTTTTTTTTTTTTTTTTTTTTTTTGATGTTCTCCTACCTCGGCTGCTGCGAATGCCTTCGTCCATTTGGCGCACGATTTCAGCGGCATTATTGCGTTGTTGAAAAGTTAATGCTTTCAAGGCTGGATTCTGTTGCTGTTGTTGTTGTTGTGGTTGTGGTTGCTGCTGTTGCGGTGGTTGCGCCGGCATACTCGTGGGAATATGAGGTGCGGAACCCATGGGCATCGAGGTTTGATTCATCATCGTAGGCTGCATAGGCGACCCGGACGAGGGAGGCATGCTCACATTAGGCGGACGGAACATGGCGTTACGTTGTTGCAAATCACCCAGGTTCACTTTATTGGCCAGGGCCATATTCATCAAAATTGCAGGATCGATATTGCCTTGGAATCCTTGGCTACCTTGAGGTGGTTGCTGAACCTGTTGCTGCTGCTGCTGTTGTTGTTGTTGTTGTGGTTGCTGTTGCGGAGGCTGCTGCTGCTGCTGTTGCGGAGGCTGCTGTTGCTGTTGCGGTGCCTGTTGTTGTTGCGGCTGCTGTTGTTGTTGTTGCTGTTGTTGTTGCTGTTGCTGTTGTTGCTGCTGACGTTGCTGATATTGAGCAATCTGATTGGCAAGAAACATTTGGAATTGTTGTGGTGACATGGAAAGCGCGGCAGGATTCATGTTGGCCATCCCCAGGTTTTGTAACAGATTGAGAGGAATTTGAGGTTGTTGCCCCAATGTTTGAGGATGTTGCTGCTGTGGAGTCTGACTCACCATTTGTGGTGTGCCTTGGTTGCCAGCGTTCACATTGCCCATGTTCAGATTTTGAAGCATGTTAAGCGGTAACTGCGATTGCTGAGGAGTCGTCTGTGTATGAGGTTGCTGGGACGTCTGATTCGGCATGGTAGGAGTACCCTGGTTATTGGCCACGGCAGCCATGGCAGCAGCTGCGGCGGATCGTTGCAAGGCGATCATCTGAGCGTGGGCCCCTTGAGACTGGGCTTGAGTGGCATGTTGTTGTTGAGGCGTCATGACAGAATGCATTGGATTCGGTTGAGCTTGCGATTGAGGATGTTGGGATCGAGCTTGCATCATATTTTGCTGAAACATGTTAGGGTGCATTTGCATTTGACTGGTCATGGCGGCTTGTGATCCCATATTCATCGGTGAAGCCATGTTTTGGAGTTGTTGTTGCTGTTGCATTGGTCGCGGAGACGCTATTTGGGATGCTCCACTCACGGGTGGTTGTTGAGGGACCCCCGATGGCTGTTGTTGTACCTGTTGTTGCTGCTGCTGCTGTTGTTGCTGTTGCTGTTGTTGGGACAACAATGGAGAAATTTGTTGTGTTCCCATGCCATCCATATTCAATTGCAGCTGAGCGTCGTTCATCATGGCCGGCCCGCTGACGCCCGATTGACTTTGCAGCTGGATTTCTTGTTTAATTTGGTGAAATTTGCGTGCATAGGCGATGATGTATTGGTTCTAATAGGAGCGTTAGTCCAAATCCCTTTTTTGGTGATACGCACTGTGTACCATCCCCTCAAAACAAGAAAAAAAAATCACCGGTTCATCATTTACCTTGCTCGTGCTGCGTTGAAAAAGAGTGCCTTCAAAATTTTTCGCTGCTGCAAAAATATCACTATCGGGAGTGCTGGGCGATAAATGTTTCAAGGCTTGTCCGCTACAACCGTGAGCAAAGAGGATAAATAAAAAAGCAAAAAAAATAAAAAGGCAAAAATCATCAGTCGACAAGCCCCAATGGTGAATGCCCTTTCATGGGATGGTTTTCTATTTTATGCCTTACAGTTGGCCAACGAAACGAGCTCTGTCGCCCACCGATAACTCATCGCGCCAATTGGCATTGGGAATCTCATTCTGAAGTCCCATGGCCGGTTGCTGTCCAGGCGGTTGTTGCCCATTCGGGATGTTCGGATTTTGATTCATAGTATCTGAAAGTTAAGGTAGATAACAATGTCTCTCTTTCTTTTTCCTCTTTTCTACGACTGGGAGAAAAGGGAAAAAAGAAAAAAAAAAAGAGTTAAGGAGGCTCGAAAAAGGGAGACCCAACCATTATAGAAGAGAAAAACCCCGCCGTCACGTGAGTGACTCGCAACCATGGAAAATGGAGTGGACAAAACGATGATGTGGACTCACTTGATGAAGGAGATAAGCACCAAAAACCAAGACGGACCATGTTATTTCTGGATTCTAGTAAAATACCAGCTGAAAAATATGCATCGTATAGATGAACAAGTGAACTGGGATCACAGGTATAGGCATCCAAGGAGGCCCGTGCCTATGACCGGTTATTACATCACTCGCTGATTGTTTCTCTTGAAAGCACCGCCCCGACCTTGAAAGCTAGACTCTTTGGCGGGCTTGACCTAGATAAAATAACCACGAATCTTCTGGAAGCTTTTCTCTTACAACGCCCCATGTGTTCCTTGAGTTTCTACTTTTCTTTTGAACATCATACTGCCTAAGTACCTCGGATAGCGGCAAAGAAAAAAAAGTATTGCTCTTATTTTTTGTTATCAGTTTTTCGAGCGGATTAGGCGTGAAGACCAATTATTGGCCAAACGCAATGGAGCAATTGCCTGTTATCTCCGTGTCATCAAGTGGTCCTGCATATTTTAGACCCGAGCGATCAGATCATCGGACCCTATTTCACTTTATTTGGCTCGTCATTCCTTATTTTTATTACGTTTTTGCTCAGTCACGTATTCGCGTATTCAGCGTCCTTTGACATCCTCAAATCTACGAATAGGTGTTGTTCTATAGTAAACGAAAGGCTGGCTCATTTTACACTGGAGAAGCCAGGGTCATCGATCCATTGGCCCGGTGAGGGCTCCGCGGTGGCGTCCCGTAAATAGGTGGCAAAAAAAACTTATAAAGTGAAAAAGGCCACTTGGCGCTGTTTTAAGCACAAGCAATTAACAAAAGCGGTAAATTGACGGATGAAGGGGGCCTCCAAAGCCATTATCAAAAAAAAAAAAAAAGATATAGTCATACGAATGAACCAACTCCTGTATCAACCCAAAAAACTTGGAAGTTCATCGCCTACGATAGACTGAAAATGAAAGCAAAAGCGAGGCCTTCAAAGTAGCGAACTCTACAATTTTCTGTGGTTTTAATATTCGATTTGACTATTTTTTCAAAGAGGAGATGCCCCATAGTGACAAATGGATTAAAGTAGTCTGGATTGAGTTTCATACAATGCCGAATGACAAGATTCACAATCCAAAAGACAAGTTGATAGAGTGTAGGAAGTACCAAGTATTTGGCTACAGATATTCCATTACCAACAGATAAAGCGCCCTGTCTGGTTTCCGATAAGGTTTACAGTTGTATTTAGTGATGATAATTTTGAATGCAGGATGGTTACATTGTTTCAGAAACCGATTATTCTACCATTTTATCTAATCTAGGTTGTAGGAGGAGTTCCATCTCTTGGAGTGTATGTTGGGAGATGCGAGGAAACATCATGTTGCCGCTTGTTTCTAGCGCCTTTCTGATCATTTGCAGTTTGTCGTTGACGGTCAGTCCCCAACGATCTTTCAGCGCCAAATTCACTTTGTCTGTGAACAAAAGCATCTTGAGGATCGACACGCGGCCCTCGCAGATTCCAATGTCGATAGCTCGTCGGCCTTCCACGGGTTCACTCCAGTTGACGTCCCAGCCCGCTTTGAGTGACAGTTTCAACATCTTCATATCGCCGTCCTTCACCGCCTTGAGCCACAACGGTCCAAAATCATCCATTTCGGTCTCGGCCAAGTGAGCGCCCGCCGATATCAGCATGTCCACAATCTCCGATCGCTTCTCCACAATGGCATCGAATAGCGGGGTGTGTCCGGTGTGATCGCGTACGTGAATCGATGCGCCATTCAGCAATAAAAACTCGACAATCCGTACGTGGCCGCCCTTGCAAGCGACGTGCAACGGGACCCGCCCCGAGTAGTCGACGCAGTTCAGGTTCAATAATCCGCCCATATTATTAAACAGCTGAGTGATGCCTTCGAGATCATTCGATCCGGCCGCCGAACAGAGAAGCACCGGGCCTAGAGCGCGTTCGGCCGTCAACTGCTCTTCCATGGACATTGTTAAATCAGGCACCGCTTCGCCTTCCAGTTCTTTCTTGGCCGCCGTTTTAAACCGGGAAGCGAAATTCATCATGATCTCCACCAAGGAATGCGTTCGGTTGGTGGAAGCGCTGAAGCGTTGATGCGCTGTACGAATGGTCAGTTCACCACGCAAGTTCTTGGTCATCATGCGCCGCACTTGGTCCGGATCATTGGGGGTTTTGCCAAGCAAATACGACAGTTTCGTCAAGGCACATTCCGGCGTCATGTCAGCACCGGCCACCACGCCAATCAGGGCCAACTGTTTTCCGGTAGCATACGCATCGTTTACCAACCCCTTTCGGCATTGTGTGCAATTGACAATCACCACGCCTCGATCACACGCTTCCTTGATCGCAGCCAATAAATCCGGTCGACTGGGCGCATTGCCAGCGCCATACGTTTCCAACACGACGCCCTGGATCGGCGCCGCCAAAAACGCACGGACCGTGGTTTCATTGATGCCGGGGAAAAGTCGCAACGAAGCGACATTTGTATTCAGTTGCTTGTGAGCTTGGAACTTGGCAATTTGTGTCGGACGAAGCACCAACGGCCATCGCACATCTTAAAATAAAAAAAGGCCCGGTTAGCTTGAACAATAATTCCAAAAGTAAACGGGGAAAAAAGGGAAACGACCGTACCGATATTGATGCCTACATCAACGAGAGGAGCCAGATTAGGGGAATCGAATGCTTCAAAATCGACGGCACTGATTTTGCTGGTGCGATTGCCGCGGTATAATTTTTTGCCAAAGTATAGAGTGACTTCGGGAATCACAAAATGACCAGCAATGGTTAAAGCGCCCAATAAATTCTCCACCGCATCATTACGCACTTCGGTTAGAGGCACCTGCGATCCCGTAATAATGACGGTTTTTCTATAAAAAAAAAATACAGCATGTCAGTGTCACTTGTCAAGGATTTTTCTCAATTCAAAACGTACCCCAACTCCTCGAGCATGAAACTGAGCGCACTGGCGGTATAGGCCATGGTATCCGTGCCGTGTAACACAATGAATGCATCATATAATTGATAATTGGCCTCAACATCCGCCGCAATTCTAACCCAGTCTAAAAATAATTCATGGAGAGAGTCAACCCTACAAGAACAACGTGCACCCTATCTCCGTTCCCTCGGCCTTTGATACCTACCGGACATGGTCATGTTACTGGAATCCAACAGCGGTTCATATTCCAGAACGGAGTATCTGCAAGTCATTTCCGTAAAAGGTTAATATCCATTCACCGACCTGAGTTTATAACCGATCGAGTCTTTAGTATTACCTGATCCGTTTTCCGTACAAACTGACGGGTGTAATGAGACTGGGCAAGTGGAAAGTGAGAATATCCTTCTTCTCGGGATCCTCTTGATTCACAGCCCTCACAGTATTGGTGACGGTACCAAATCTGTCACATTCTTGGATGTACTGTTCCCTTGACGAAAGACTTTCAAGACTGTCGTGCGAGGAACTGCGCGAACGATTACTGAATCCGTGAGGGTTACTGGGATCATGGAACCGCTGAACTCTTGACAACGATTGAGCCAAATAATTAGGAAGCTGTTAACAATTCAATGTTTTTGTGTTAGAAATTTTTTGTTTTCCATTGCATTCATAATTCCCCCGCTTTTTTTCTTTTTTTTGTTTTCCCCCACACAATGATCTGCTGCTTAACTGGTATGTAGCCATGTTGTGGCGTATTTTTCATGCCAATCGTACCACCGGTATAAATAATAAGCACCCGTGACACATCTAGATATTGAAACAGAAGGAAAAACCATGGTTAATCCAGAATCAACCTCCAATCATGTCACCATGTCGAAGCTAAAGCGTCTTCATGGTCAAAAGATGTTCGCACCTGGAACTAACATGTCATGGCGATCGGCCGATAACTGATGACCGACAGCAGCATTGTTGTAGATAATATCGTTGGCGGCAGTTGTCTGCACATTATTGGAAAAGGGGGAAGCCGGACGAAGACCAGGGAACATGTCTGCAGTTTTTTTTTTCTCGTATTATGTTGTGCTGCTGCGAGGCAACTTTCTGGAACCAAAAAATTTATAAATTGCGTCTTTTCTTTTTTTTTATTGCAAGAAAAAAAAATCGGGATTTCAATCATTCTTCCCACGATGGAAGTGACACAAACGAAAAGATTACCATGGCGCACACCCGGAGGTCGGTCCTGCTTATGGCACGGCCGGAAGTGGAAATACCTTAAATAGAAGGTCTTGTGCGTACAAATTGAGTTTGTTGATTTCCTTGTGGACTTGTAGGTTGTTGCCTGCCAGTGATCGTAGATGATCAAAAGCATGAAACAAATCATACACCCACTCTTGGATGACAGGGAGCCCGTCCTCATCCTGGACGTAACGATCCAATAGCAGCTTTTTATACATGTGGGAAAACGTGAGTTGGTTCGATCCATCCGTTTGCACATTTTCACGCAAGGTCTGAGCGGCATCGTGCGACTGTAACAGCAAGAGATAATTGCCAAGGATACTCTTTAATAAAGGCGAGTTCAATCCTACAGAATTCATTGTTACAGTAACGGTCAGGGAACTCGTTGTTACTACATGACAAGACTTACGTTGCAGCTTGCAGCCTGGGCCCTTAACAGAACATACTTGCCAGATAGGCAAGGGACATCGTGCCGGCATCTCCTCATTGGGTGTGGGCATGGTTGAAGCGCATGGTGACAGGGTGACATAGATGATATGATCATCGTCCAACAGCGACGCCCATCCTTGCATCTTTTCCAACCTTTCCTGAGCAGAGGGATGTTTTCGGAGCCGGCAACGTAGTTCTTTCAATTCCAGCATTCTCTTTGAATCCATGGCCGTCATCGATTCATCCTGATCTTGTTTGAATTTTTCACGCAATTCGCGCACTGCTTCCGTGACGAGTGGATCAATAATATTGTACACATCTTCTTTCAATTTGGCTTCCTGCACATGGTAACAAACCAAAACAAAAAGACGAGATGGACGGACTGTCAGTGATCCTGCATGGCTGTTTCATCTTGGCCTCACACTTACTGCTCTGACCAGATCACGTTTTTCTTGCTCTTCTTTTCGCCTCTGCTGTTTCAGTTCTTGGGCTTTTTCATACGCGAGCATTTGATCAATTTGTTTTTGTGTTTCTTCCTTTTTCTGCTGTTCAGCCTGCTGTTCGTACTGGATGCATACAAGTTATGTAAGAAAAAAAAAACTATATGGAGAACTTGCATGACATTTTTACGAACTTTTACTTCCAGCCGTCGGCTTCGTTTACGGGACATTTGTTCCAACTCTCTTGCTCTTTTCAGCTTGGCTTCCTTTCGCAATTGATCCGCTTCCATTTTTTCGAGTTTATGAATGATGGGTAATCCCACGTCTTGCAACGCTTGTGCCAATCGCTTTTCAGCCACACGTCGGGATGTCACACTGAACTTGTCGACCCATTCACGCCAATCCGCAGCAGTTTTGCAAACCTGTCATTTTCATCATCAATGCCTGTGGTCCCTTGTTTCCGCCATCCATCGACTTTTTACCAATTCAAATGTGTACTCCGATTGGTTGAGCATGCTGATGCCCTTTTTACCCTTTGGCAAAGGCAACTCTCGGTAAAGACGTGCACCTGTACCATCATGTCAATCGTTGGACTTTTGATTGCCATTTTTGCACCTTACCTCCTACAACCCAGTAAGTCCTTCCTTCCTCGTCTTGACCCAAGGGTGTTGAACGCTAAGCACAGGATGGGAAATTCAGATCATCTGTCTTAATAGAGCCAGCTATGCTTTTACATACCAAATCATCGGCATATTGGTTGGTTTTCCATTGATGGAGCCGCATCTCGTCGGCATGATCAAAGGTCTGATCGGCCATAAACTTCAATATATCAATCATGACATGAATCGGTTGCCCTTCAAATATCGTTGCACCGGTCTTATCGATCTCTTCAAGTACGGTTGCATCTTTGGACGTCAAGAACTCCTCAAGCGCATCGGTGTAGTTATCCGTCCTAAACAGAATCGGTGATCAGTATGATTAGGATCACTGACAAGAGAAGGTTGAAGAGAGTTACCGTAGAGATGCTTTTGTTTTGCCTTTCACGAGTGGTGACAGTAACTGGGTGATAACAGTCTTGACCAATTTCTGGGATGATTGATAAGTGTCGGTGGTACCATTGTCAGCATCGGTTTCCGCTGGAGCCGCAGCGCGCTCTTTGGTTGCTGATCCGCCTTGACAGGTCGTCAATAACGCGTTTTCAAGATCGCCGATATCGAAACCAGGTAAATTCAGGAAACTCGCAAACACAGAAAGAAATTGATACACATAGATGAATTTCCAAGATGCGTGCAAGACTTGCTCTGTACAACATTGTTGATCAATTTAGACTGACGAGAAGCTTGTTGCATTGAGAACACTTTTTACCTAGCGTCATGGTTTTGGAGTCAGTCTGATCGGGTGCATGTTTACGTTTTTTAGCTTGCATGCCGCTCTTTGGTTTCTCCGTCAATGCAGATGCGCGATCTTTTTTATGCGAAGGCATGATCTGAATCAAAGGAATGGTGACAGCCGCTGGCTTCACGGTTCACGCAACATTTTTTGACGGCGTTCGCGATCTTCTTTTTGCATCTCCGCACATTAATGCCATTGACCCAACTGATCTAAATTACACAATTACTAAGTAAAACTAATCAAGTTAAAAGTAGTTCAAGTTATTCGAAAAGTGCCTAAGCAGAGAGAGAAACCCGAAAGAAAAGGATAGAATCGAACAGACTACGCTTCTTTATTTTCACCACATTGTGGGGGCCGCTATCTCTCACCACCAAGGCATGGATTAGCGCTGTACATATTTTCAAATTAACAGATCGCACGTCTTTGGTAACTGATGCGGCCAACTCGGACACCTTCGGCGGCGACTCGTCTGCCCTTTTTTACACATATCCTGAGTTACTGCACTTGTAAACTCCTTCAGTAGCTTTTCATGACAAATAAGGCTTGCCATGTTCTTATCATTCGATCACGAAAAATAAAAAAAAGGGGGGGGGGGAGAAATGGTGGTTAACAAAATTGCACATTGGTTTCTCTTTTATTGTACAGTTAGCCTTATCTATCCGCACGGAATCTTTTGACGAGGACTATACTCTATGCTTTTTTATTTGATTGTATGACTCACATTCTTATGTACAATTGAAAAATCCAAGAAAAAAAAAGATAACCACGTTTTAGCAAACCAAAGCAGTGTTTCCCTTATTTGACCAACAAGGACCATTCGGATTTGTCCAATCCCAAGTTGGCTTGACCAAACTTGGAAGCCGCTTCCTGGGCATGTTTCTTGGCATCGGGAGGCGTGGGCGTATTGGATTCGCTAAGCATGGTGTAAAGCGCACGCAAAGCCTATGATTTCAGATGACGTAAGACTCCATTCACAACGGTTCTTTCCATTTAAAAATATTGTACCTTTTCGACCATATCCTCGTCGTCGGCTTCCGTGTACTTTGCAATAATCGTATCGAGATCATGCATGCTTCCTTTCTGAATAAGCAGAATCGCCAAGTCACGGTCGTCAAGCATCAAAATATTGTACAAGAAAATCACTTTTCGTACAATTGCCGGATCTAAAGGGAAAAATCATATCTGACTAAGCATGCATGCAGTGATTTCCCTGCCGTTCGCTGAACTTACCCTCATCTCGTTGCACGATATCGACAAATGCATCAAAACCATTCAATTCTTTAAATGCCGTCATGCCTTCGGGGAAATGCTTCAAGAAACCTGAGATGGCATACTGCGCCTTGGAACGCACCTCTTTATCTTCATCCTTGTTCTTTAACAAATTCAATAAAGGCTCCAAACCACCATTGTTAAGGAACTGGAGGACAGACGATGGATGAGTGGATCGATTCACACCTTCTTTTGATTGGAAATTTCAATCACTTACCGCTTTTTGTGCTTCTGGATTGTTCTGGACCGCAGTACCGCAGATCCACGCAATACCCTTGCGTACTTCTACTTCTTTGGCACCCAACTGACCAATGATCTGTGGCCATAATTTCATATTCTCGATATCTGGGATCCTTTATATGAATGATGCCGAAAGAAAATCTGCTTTATCATTTTGAATTTCCACTTACTTTTCGCGTTATCGATGCCTTCAATCAACTGCAGAGTAGCACGTGTCAATGTGAGCAAAAAATTGTACAAACACCCCGATTCGCCCGTTCAAGTCTTACCAGTTCAAAATTATCCAACGCGATTTCCTTGTTTTCGATTGTATCCTCCGGATCGCAAATACATTGAAGAGCCTCTGAATATAAAACCACAAATAGCAGCAAGTCAGTATTGATGTATCGACATTCAGGGTTGATTCCCACTCATGACTACCTTTCATACGCGTGGCATCGTCTTTGCCGAGAATGGCCTCGATGACGGCGGGATCAAATTTCTTGGGATCGATATTGGCGTTACCGCTGCGTACTGCTTCGGCCGTTCGCTGCAATTCCTCTTTGTCGCTGTTTTGAACAGCCCACTGCAGAAGTTTCTCCATGATAAACAGATAGAAAGGTGTAAAAAAGCTTTAAAATAAAGCAAACAAGCAACTTTTTTTTTTATTTCATTCGGCCAGTTTCGAGCATTTTCTTTGCATGCCGAAATTGAATAAGCTGTGACTGCGATTCTGAACGACTCGGTGACGTTGACGCTGGAGACGCGTTGCCCGCTGAATTGAGACACTTTTTGGGATTTCTTTGGGTCAGCAAGAGGCACCAGTGTATTTCTTTTTAGTTCCCAGTAAATAGTTTTTTCATCAACATGTCCGGATATGATCGCGCATTGACGGTGTTCTCACCGGATGGTCATTTGTTCCAAGTCGAATATGCTTCCGAAGCCGTACGAAAGGGTACTTGCGCTGTAAGTGAAGGAGGAACACCATGCGCATAATGACGTTACTGGGTCCTGGCATACCCAGTAGTTTTTTTCATTTGGGGAAGTGAGGAGTCAGCTCACATTATCTTGATTGTTAGGTCGGTATTCGAGGCAAAGATGTCGTTGTTCTCGGTGTTGAAAAGAAATCGGTGCTCAAGTTGCAGGATCCCAGAACCGTTCGCAAAATCTGCATGCTCGACGATCACATTTGCTTGGCATTTGCAGGTAAACTCGCTTAACAATGGTGCCATGGCCAAGTCCAACAGACTCTCACTCAATGTGCGATGGTGTTAGGTCTTACTGCTGATGCTCGTGTGTTGGTCAATAAGGCGAGAACGGAATGTCAGAGTCATCGTTTGACAGTGGAAGATCCCGCTTCTATCGAATACATTACTCGCTATATCGCTCAAGTGCAACAGGTAAAACTCGTGTGGTGTTTGCGTGAGAATGAAAGTAGCTCATATTGCTTTCACAGAAATATACGCAAAGTGGTGGTGTCCGTCCTTTCGGTATCTCTACACTTATTGTCGGTTTCGATGATAAAGTGCCAAAACTCTACATGACCGAACCCTCTGGAATATACACAGCTTGGAAAGTAAGTTTGGTCACTGTTTACTTGTTCAAAGAAAAAAAAAAGAGAAGAGCTAAGCAATGTATCTTTTATTAGGCCAACTCCATTGGAAGAAGTTCCAAGACTGTGCGCGAGTTTTTGGAAAAGAATTACAAGGACGACATGGACGAAAAGGAAGCAGTAAAATTGACCGTCAAATCATTGCTTGAAGTAGGATGTCACTCCATGATGATGATGCTGTACAGATCTATGCCAAACACGATGACTTACCATCGTTTTATATCGCTTTGTTAGGTGGTACAGACAGGTGCCAAGAATATCGAAATTGCCGTGATGACTTCGGACAGCAAAGTCAAGGTAAAGTTTTACAAGAGAGGGCATCATACGGGCGACCAAATAAACTAATGGAACATTTGTGATTGCAGCTTTTGGAGGTCGAACAAGTCGAAGCAGTCGTAGCAGAGATCGAAAAGGAAAAGGAAGAAGAAAGCGAAAAGAAGAAGAAACCTTCTTCTGCTGTAGCATCAGGAAGCTCTTAAAAACTCCTTTTGTCAATGAACCTTCATTAAAAACGAAAAAAAACAGACCTATTCCAACAAGAAACCACATTTGCGCGCACCATATTGAATCCTGCATACAAACCGTTTTTTAGTCAACTTACCACATCACTGATGATAATAAGCGACGATTGCTGGTTCTTCTTTGGATCGCTTCAATAACTGTCGTTCCTTATTTTTATGCCTTTTTGGCTCGAGAGCAGTACCCTTTCATCGATGGACACCATGACAAGACATAAGCGTCGCTCTGGCACTCGTTAGACCTCATGTCTCTTTCATGTTGCCTTGCGGAACCAAGATGGCACTGAACGATTCGGCTATCTGTTGCATTCCCGTAGATGATGACATGGATTATGGTGTTTTAAAGACTCTCCGAGTGCGAAAAAAAAAAGCCGCCAAATTAAGGGCCAAAGGACACTGGTGCGCAAAATAATAGAAAAGCCTGGGAAAACGACGAATCATAGAGGACACAGCAGGTGGTGCTTTGAGTTTTTCGTTTCTACAAGACCACAAAAGCTCAGGGAAAAATGACACGCTGCAAACGATGCGGGGAAGACTAAATTCTTTTAAGCGTGAGACTGTTACTTCAACGTGAGCTTGTTGACAAGATGATTCTTAGTTTCGCATCTAAGCATCAAGCCGGACGTGGTTGGAATGGTGCTGATGTCAGTTTCATGTGAACGCGCATCACTTTGTTTTGGTTGTTCTTATCCCAGTTTTCTTTCTCTTTTTTTTGGCTCTTTTGTTGTTCATCGTGGATTCCACTCGATCACGGTTTTCATCTTACACAGGTTACAAACAAGGTATACGTCTGCTAACAAACAAAAGGGTGTCGGCAAGTGCGGTGGTCATGCATTCTCGAGACAGACAGTTTTCATCGGACAGCGCCATTGATTGGGGGATGGGAAGCGAGTTCATGTTTTTACTGATTGTGTGTGTGAGAGACTTTTTGTGGGTTTGTGTGTGTTTGGGGACAATTATTTTGGATAAAAAAAAAAGCAGCGACTTTACAGCTCCATGAGGATGTCACCGGCTTCATCCATGTAAGCCGATAGTTCAGCGTCCAGCTTGGACTGGGCGGTTTTTGGGTCTTTCATCATGTACTCATCCAGTGCTTTGTCGAGATCTTCAGCTGTTGCAGGCTTTTTATCTTTGGATTTGCCACGACCATCAGCTCGTTTCCCACCGCGTGCAGAAGAAGAAGAAGCAGCGCCTTTGCCTGGTTTGGGGGATCGTGTTTTTTGTTGTCTGTTGTTGAGTCTTGAAGAGGAGATTTTTCCACGCTGATTACGAAGGGGACCACCACCGGTTCGTTGCACACCCGTCATGGGAGCGGGACCTTGACGTGAGCGTTTGTTCACACCGCCAGCGTTGGTTCGTCCAAGTCGACTTTGGATATCACTGCGAGGACCACGTCCGCTTGCCATATCGCTGCCACCACGAATGCGACTGAAGATACTGGGTCGGTTGGACGGAGAGGAAGTGGACTGACGAGTCGTATCCAATTGACTGAATCTATTGAGTTTATGTAAGGAAGGCAAGGAAGAATGAGTGAATATGTCCGTTGATGGTGTTTGAGAATGTTGGAGGGCAGAAGTGACGAGTACCTTTCATTCAGACCACCAGAACTCAGAGTGACGGTTCTTACACTGCTTTGCGATGCTTGACTGAAAACTCTACGATTGGAAGGCGCCATTGTTTCTCTTGAATCGGTATGGTATTGTGTAAGGTGCAAGGAAAAATTTTTTAGAAAGGGAGAGACACAAAAGAAAAAAAATTAGGAATTCTAACCAAGGGGTCAGAACGGTGCTCTACCCACGGCGGAGATGGAAAAATGTACTTTCTTTATCCGCAGTTGCACTCAATGACTACTGGTATACTGCGACGGCCGCCTATCATTGGAGACTGTGACATATGAGGGACTTTGTTGACACAAGTTGGAAATAACCGGTTCCATCAACACCTTTGTGTTGTTGTATAAATGCAATGTTTGTGTCGGGATGTGCGCGCGAGCTTATCGTTCTGTCATGCTATATTCGTCGAGGACATATGAATTGGCGGTTTTTCAGAACATCCATGCTCATACGAGGCCATTTTTCCCTTGCTGATTCAAAAAAATTGGTTCCAGTGCTTAAACATCCAGATCATCGCGGGTCATTAAATGACAACAAACGTGCAATGGTTTCTCTCTTTGCTGGACCTTCCTCATCCTCACTGCGACTTGGTTGTCGCCACCGGCCTAAGAAAAATGAAACGCTGTTTCCTGCCAAAATTTTGTCATATCTGAAGCTGAATTGGACCCAAGCATAAGCCCTCTTTGCTCTCCACTCTTCTTTTTCAAGCCGACGAATCTTGACTATTTTACAAGAACTCCAGCAAGCTCCTGGGACTCGAAAGACTGCGTTCAAAACTGTACCAAGCTGCCAATCCTTCTTTGCATGGCAATGAAGTGATTGCATTGATGCATACTGTCATGGGTAGAATGGCAAATGATAAGACGGTTATGACCGTGCTTGATGTAAGTACATGCTTGTGTCTGATATAGGGCTCTTTGTTAACTAGTCCATTTTTTTATTTTTTGTTTTATGTCTCTTTTTTTTCCTTGCCCTTCTTTACCGATATGGCCAACCAGAAGCCCACCACTTCCCGAGCCCTCTCCGTCCACTGAACAGTAGAACCACGCTTGGTGAACTGCAGCGAGAAAATACTGTGCCTACTGTAGCCGCAGCTTCCCTTTCGAAGATCCGAGAACCAGAAACCATGATGGTGACCACAATGCAACCCATCTAGATAACTGATGAAGAAGCCTGGACCGTGATGTCAACTTTGTGGCGTTATTCATGCGAATACCTTGCTCTACGCTACAACTCTACTCGAGCTCGTGCTAATATTCTGGTGGCGATACTTGGACGTGTCACAGAAAGAACCGAAAAACTTGGCAACAGTTTAAACAAGAAAATGACCACAAGTGTTCCGCCCAACCAACCTTGCATCCATTGCGCACCAGTGGCTAAACCGCATGAAGCAAATCCCTTCCGTGGAAGACTATGCAAACCCGTTCCGAGACATCACGTTGGTGCTGCCTGACCCTGATGAAGACACATTTTTGCAAGTTACTACGGGTTTACGACGTGAAGTCTGCCTGGAGGTTTTCCGACCCCAGGCTCGTACTCTTGACGCGACCACCAGAGTAGCCATGACATATGAAGATGCAATGACGGCCACCAACCCTCGGTTTCCATTGCCGTCCTTTTCTGGTGACCGTCGACATCTCGTCTCATACTGTACCAATGTCCGTCGCGCCAAGCATATACATGCGAAGGGTCCGCCGCACACCCTCTTTAAATAGAGGCACCGACTTGGTGAATTTGGGGATGCTATGATGATGACAATACAATGGAGCATACTTATGGAAGCCTGATCAACCCCGTTCCATACGACCGAATTGTATCAAGGGAGACACTAGTTATAGATGATACACCCAATATCACTCATGAGCATAACCGTGTCGAGTAGGTCCGTGATTTGCAACATCAACAAGGCCTCTTCTGTCTCAAGTGTGAGACTGTGACAGGCGACACGGGCTTGTGGTCCGCCTTTCTCCCGTTGTTTCGTCTGCTCCTCATGACTCGGCGTTCCCATCACCTGTCGCCAATGCAAGACCGCCCACCGGCTATTACGGTCATTACCGTAGCGAATGCCAGGCGAGCCCTTTCTGTTACGGCTGGCCAATATATCGAAGCACGGAATTCACACGGAAAGGTCGTGAACCCCTATACGACTCCTCAAGATCCCACGGTCAGTGCAAGAAGAGCACTAGAGAATTCCAAACAGAAAACGCAAGCAACTGGGTTTCCTTTTCAAAGTGGCATTGGTTGCTGGGATTCTCGTTAAGGACCTCTTTCTCTCAAGAAGGGAAAAAAAGAATTTTCCCTTAGCCCACAACTGAAGCCATCTGTCTCAACTGAAAAGCCTCGAATTTCTGAGGAACACCAGCGCACGTTGGTGCCATTGTACCATGTAAAAATCAGCAGCAACCACGCGTCAACAACGCCACCAGATTTGATAGAGGTGTACCAGCCCAATTTGGAAGATCAAGCCATGGAAGGCTCCAAAGTTGCATGGCGAGGGGCGAAAACAAGCGATGGACCAGTGCCTAGTCAGCGGGATGAACGCTTCTCATCCAACTTTTTGTCCGGCATTCTCGTAAGCTTGCATTGGGTGGGCCGTAAGCCAAAGAAGAAGAGCCGGTGTGCGGCGCAGCTCCAGCAGTCGTTCTGAGTGTATGTACAAAAAAGTACAGCACTTTTCCTGTCCATACTTGAATTTCGGAGCCAATCGATCCTCTCAAACAAGACTTGAAGATACGATCCTCGGTGGAATCTTGTTTCTTTACACCGATACAGTTGTCCTTATAAGATGACAGAGGTGTATCCGCCTCTTGCTTCCGGGTAATGGCAGAGTTGAAGCTGCTGGACGTAGGCGAATGCGGATGGCACATGGTTACTGGCCGCATGGCATTGGGAGCAAGCGGTTCACATCCCTTTGCATGGACAATTTGTTGCGACGCCTGGGTAATCTCTTCGACGGTGAATCGGATCCGATGTACGAGTCCTTGCGCAAACGTCCCAAGGCGTATGCATTCCTCAAGAGCATATTGGATCAACCGTTGCCGAAACTGCGAAAGTTTCTATGGCTCAATGGCGATGATGCGGAGGAAAACAAAGACGAAGACGAAGCCAAAACGGTTAATCGTATCCGGGTTATCCTGACCGACTTTATCTTGGTCTGCGAAAAACCAGCGTACCCCGGGGTCACCAATGAGCGAACACCATTCATGGAGTCATTGTCGCATTGTCCAAGGCTTATTCGGCAATATATGGCAATATATCTTTTGTTTGCTGGGACGAATGGAAGAGAAGGACCATGGCTTGACGTACTTGGGTGAAAAAAGTCTGTCGATTTGCGTACCAAAGGCCAACAAGCTCATGGATGGTGTGGTGTTTGGGAGTCTACAAAGTGAGGGATTAGTAGTAACAAAATAAAAACAATAATAAATCCTGTGAGACTCCTTTTATTCTTGAGGGGTTGATATTTAAAAGGTAGGAAAAAAAGAATTAATTCTCTTAAGCGGGATAAGTATAAGGTATATGTTATATGTTTTATACTGGATGGGTATTTTTAGATGTGGTATGATCCGTGACAGAATAAAGTGTGCTTTCCATAATGCTTAGTCAATGATCGATTTTCCATACTGTTTAGATAATGATCGATAATGATTATCATTCCATGTAAAGATGAATGGAAAGAATAGATGACGGATAAACCAATAATAGGCTGTATTTGTGGTATGGGCTTGGATGTGAGGTTGATTCACATAAGAGAAAATGGGAAATGATCGGATATGTAGATCAGACGTGTTTGACGTGACATAATGACATGATCTGATTGGTATAGTGATTATGGAATCTCTGGTAATTGTTTTCTCTTGTAGAGCAGGTGATATGGATTGATCATGGATGACTAAGTGATATGATGGAGTGGTATCATCCAGAGGAGAGGTAGGGATGGTATAATGATATGTACAAATACGACAGATGGAATTGGAAACTGTACACTTGACAACGTCGACAGGATCCTCATCGAATCGTCAGGGTGATTTGAGAACTCGTTTTCAACAGCTGGAACAAGCCTCCCGAACAACCTTCGAAAAGCGACGCATCTTTCCTTGCACATGGTTGGATACAGATTGTCACTGTCGGCGTCATTCACCACCATCATTGGGCATGCCTGCAAGAGAGGACGACCGTCATACCAAGGAGCTGGGCAACCCGAAAGCATTGGTTGCAGTCTTTCGAACTCATATTCTGCTTAACTGTAAGATACAGGCATCAATTAATGTTGAGAGCTACTCTGACCATTCACAACGATTAGGACATGCTCAAAGACCAGGACGCCCTGGCGCATCGCTTGATTTATGAGCACACAGGACACATCGAGGTGGCCGAGGACGATGGTCTGCGCGCCACTAGGCTTCCACACTACCCTCGTCCCACGTATTAGCTTGTTTGTCTATGTTTATAATACAATAAATAGCTTTGTCATACCGCTCGTCAACACCCGTCATCACTTCCTGTCCATTGCACATGATGCTTTCTCGGAGTAAGCGAAAATTGAAAAAAAAAAAAAAAAATGCTAAGTAAAAAAGAAGAAGAAGCGAAACACGACACTCCCTTGATCAGCGACGACAATGCTTTCTCCAAGTTGATCACTCTTTGCGACATTGAAGCTTGCAAATTACGACACCCCAAATGTGGGATAGTTTACTGTGGGCAACACTGTCATCCTAAAATCAATACATTCTCACCTTCTTATATCTGTACTCGAAAATAACCCTTTGTGTTCCTCAAGGAGGATACACCGACGACCGGTGTCTTTACACTTTTCAAAGATAGCCAGCGTCCTTCTCGTACTGTTTAACCGTTGCACACTGATCACAGGCTCTTCCTGAAGGCGTTTTCCCCTCTTCCCCCCACCAATGACAATGCATGAAAAATGGCATAACAGAACAAAAGTCATGCTTCCATTGACGGCTTCTCTCTTGCGGTGTCTTTTTTTTATTTTATTTTTTTGCTCAATTCGTTTCGCGTGGCTGTGAATTACAATGCATTAATCCTGGTGTCCGAACCATTGAGACCGTGTCGTTGACGACGATTTCCCACTCCGACATGGTTTTCCAACCTGCCATCCCCATTGACTTTTCTTCAACGAGCATGACTTGACCAAAGAACAGAGGAGTAGAATAGACACCCCATATGACGGCGGTCATCGAATCATAGAAAAAAAGCCGGTGAGTGACACAAGGCGCATGCCGTGTCATGTGCCTTGAAAAAAATCTGATATGAGAATGACTTGGCTAGGGCTTGGAACTTGGATCCAGATTCATACAAAAGGCCAGCCAAGATTATAGCAGCGTCTGATCGTCAATAGTTCTATTGTTCGGTAGATTTGATCAACTATGATACCAACGCTTGGGGCTTGAAAAAAGGCGCACCATCATCTTGGATAGCTTTTTTGTTACAAGCAAAAACTGTTTATTCCGACCAAGGCCCCCCTTATGATATTTTCCGTGGTGTGCTGTTGTGAACCAAAAAATCTTCCGCTAATTCCATGCTTACCAACAGTGTGACCCCACCGAGGAACTTGCTCAATTTATCAACGAAGTTGACTTTGTCTTAATGTGCAATTCTACTCTAACTGAATTCTTTTTTCCCATCTCATTGACAGTATTGTCACTTGATCCATTTCATAAAAATTGGCGCATTTTACGAAGTCCAGTGGGATCAAGAAAAGAAATGAGATAAAGACAACAGGTAGTGTGATAAGCATTAAAAATGGATATGAAGAGGAATGAAACATGGTTTGTTTTTTATATTTCTTTGTATGCCGGATGAATTCCCTGTCAGAACTGTTTGAATTATTCATGAGCTCATTGAGCTCAAAGTTCACAGGATGATAAGTTCATTTAAAGTCAAGAAGGTGGGCGAGAATCAATTATTGGAGGGAGTGGTTTGTATACCTTGGTTGATCATCTTCTGTGGACAAGGCCTTGATACGTTGTTGACAGGGCGAAGAAGGTGGAGAGGCGATGGAGCAAGATGGGATCTTGTGACGGGTGTCTTCCAAAGGAGAGAAGATGGAGGTGGTGGTGCTTGGCAAATCGGTAGCATGTGATGATAATGGGCGAGACGGTTTGGATGCATGAGGGGAGACAAATAAGGACTGCCTCGAATGAAACAGGTTGCCAAAAAACGAAACATTCTGGGCTCTCGTGGCTATTTTAGCTTTCCGGATACGGCTCCACGACCCGCCCAAAGGTGTCACCCATCCAGGTAACTGCGTCTTGCTTGCTTCGTTGGCGTGACATTTTCGAGAACAAAAACTACTATTACCAGACTAGAAAAGAAGAAGAAAAAGGAAGAATTAAGTAAAAAGAGGCATGACTAATTATTTTTTTAGAATCATTTTTGATTTGGCCATCTTGTGGTGTTCTTTTTTTTTGATCTTGTACTTTTTTATCGAGTTCGTTGTCAATCATGCTTTTCTTTTTTCGGATACGGTTGATCAAACGGACATGATATGTATACTTACATTGTTTTTTAATGGCTTCTCACAATATAAACAGATATTAGTGTCCATTCGGAGAAATAGTTTTCGCCCCCAAGTTCTTGGAATTGGAGAAAACAAGTAGTCAATTTATATCCATGGTGCGTCCGTTCTTTTCTATATCCGTCGAATTTTTTTTTTCCTTTGTATAATCTTTTACGTTGGTAAGATCCAATTCAAATTGACCAACCAAACGCATGTTTCTTTGAACAATGTCGTCATTGGTTATCACCGGTCTAACTAATAAACAAGACCTTTGGGCTTTTTTTTTCCGTGGCGCGTTATCTTGCATGTTTGCACGACTGTTTTTTCTTTGATTCCGCCTTTTTTTTTTGTAGTGTAACACGGTGATCGACAGTAAACTTTTGAGCTTCCGTTTCCAAAAGATGCCTTTTTCTATTTTTGGACCCTTTTCGGTAGATTCTCCTTGGGGAGAGAGCTCCCTTTTTTTTTATATTTTAGTTGTATTTTTTTCATTTTACGCCTCTTTTTTTTTTTCCACACTACGTCTTTTTTTCCTTGTAATTTTTTTTAGTTTATTCCTTTTTCCCTAGATCCTATTTTGACTTGGTGTTATGGCGACCAGGTACCAACCTTTAGAACAACATGATACTACGTCTTCCGTATCGTCGTTTCCTACATCTTCGGTTACCAATGTCGATTCGAACGGATGGTTAGACGATCATCGACCTCTTCTTTCACGATCCTCGGCTCCATCATCTCTTTACCAAAGCGAAACCTCTGTAGAGGATGGCGACCATCATCACCACAGTCATGCCACCGCAACCCCCATGAGTTGCGCCGTGAATCTCGCCAATACCATTCTAGGCACTGGCATGCTGGCCATGGTAAGGCTTTTACCAGATGCACTTTGAATGAGTCTTCTCAAGTCATTGAACCTTGATTCGTTTGTAGCCTTCTGCCGTTGCTTCGGTGGGCATCATACCCGGGGTTTTTGTCATATTGTTTTCAGCTGCTGCGTCAGCTGCAGGATTGTACTTCCTCTCTCGATGTGCGGCTCGTACAGAAGGTCGCCATGCTTCATTCTTTGCGATATCCAAACTTACCTGGCCTCGTATTGCCGTACTATTCGATCTGGCCATCGCCATCAAATGCTTCGGTGTTGCCATTAGTTATCTGATCATCATTGGTGATCTGATGCCTCAGGTAAAATATATAATAATAAGGATTGGTGGTGGGTCCTTGCCGCCGCCCTCACAGCATCATCATTTCTCAACTCAGTCATTCCTTTTATTTCATCCCTTAAAAATAACTCTTGATTCCAGGTGGTGGCATCCTTTTCCCATCATGGACAGACCGTGGAAATTTTGCTGGATCGACGTTTTTGGATTACTGTCTTCATGGTGATTGCTGTCTTGCCGCTCAGTTTTTTGAGAAAGCTGGACTCTCTCAAATACACAAGTCTGGTGGCCCTGATCGCCGTCATTTACCTGTGCACCATTGTTATTTATCACTACATTTCTCCCAACTATCCTCCGCCGCCCCCCGAAGATATCGAACTGGTGCATTTCTCGACAAAGTTCTTTAGCCACCTTCCCGTTTTCGTCTTTGCCTTCACGTGTCATCAAAATGTAAATACCCAAAAAAGCAGAATCGATGCGCAACCTTCCGATGAAGGAGGGTTATCGGAATCGTCCGAAACTCAATTTTTAATTTTGCTCTTAGATTTTCGCCGTGTATAACGAACTCAAGGATAACAGTCAGCTGGCCGTCAGCAAAGTGATTGCCACCTCCATCGGTACTTCCGCTTTTATCTATGAAGCCATTGCTATTCTGGGCTACCTCAGTTTTGGCAAAAATGTACGCGGCAACATCATTATGGAATGCAAGTATCTGAAAATATGAGTCTCGACCCTCCAAAGGCCTTGGCAGTCGGCTGACTTGTTTTGATTTTAGATCCTCCGAGTATGTTTGTGGCCGGCGGACGACTAGCCATTGTGGTCCTTGTTGTTTTCAGTTACCCACTGCAGGCTCATCCTTGCCGAGCTTCTTTGGATAAAGTATTAGCCTGGCGTACCCCCGAAGCACGGGGACTCAAGGTCCCGCCCCCTCCTTCCGCTTGCAAATACTTTGCCATGACCACCGCCATTCTCATCTTTAGCTATCTCATTGCTATCACCGTCTCGCAGCTGGATCTGGTAAGTTGTCATGACTGAATGCCTTTTTTCTTGGGTGGCTGGGATATTCAACAAAATCGGACGTTAGGTATTGGCGTTTGTTGGTTCTACCGGATCGACGACGATTTCGTTCATTCTTCCTGGCCTGTTTTACTACAAGATTCATGAGAACGATCCTTGGAAACCCGGAAAAATTGGCGCCGTAGCCTTGGCCGTGTATGGTGTGCTGGTCATGAGTGTTTGTTTGACATTTAATATTCTGCGACTTATGGCATAACGCTGGACATTGGACATTACTTGATCGAGTAATTGATAACAAACAACTGGCTGATTTTTTTTTCATTTGAATTTACTTGTCCATCATGTGGTTTTTCTCGATTTAGAAATTTTTCTTCCTTATTGAAAAAAAATGGGTTTGTTTACATTTACTTGACATTTTGTTCATTGTATAATTACGCATGGATGCAAGCCTCGATCAATAATATTATCAGACAAGAACACATCCATTGGTCTTCGTCATTTTTACTGTATGTGGTTCTTGAATCTTTGGACAATGCGTCCAGGAACAAGCTCTAAATTCCATCAGGCAACTTTATGACGGTTGATGGATTTTAGGTTCCAAGGACAATGGTAGGCTTTTTTCATCTACGCATTTTGTCCACTTCATTAAACAGATCCAATACAATGAAGGCCATTCACCATCCAAGCAAGAACATTAAAAAAGACATCTGACATATATAAATGAATTGACTTTTTTTCTATTGACAGACAGTTGATTTTTCCCTTCAGCAATGGTATTAGCCATGTCCGTTCAATTTTCGCCCAACATTGATGTTCAGGCTCTGATGTCACCTCCGGCTCCGTTGCAACCATCGCCTATCTGGCCATCCTCGTATCCGCCTTCCAAACCTTCCGACACGGTGGCGGCGCATGCCCTCTTGGATTTGCACCATCCTTCGACTCACACCGGGAGTCCCATCAAAATCAAATTGGAGCCGTTGCATGCTTGGTCAGACACGCGTTTTTCCGAAGAGTCCAAGGACGATAGTGCCCACATGGATCGGCATAGAAAGAGACCCTACTCCTACTCCTCGTCCTCCTCCAATCGTCAACTTGCCTGTTTCTCCACGGCTTTACCTGCCATGGATCCCGTACGACAAGCCAGTCATGCCTCGCCCGAACGGTTGCCATCGTTGGCCGAGTATATTCAAGACAACCTGCTGAAAAAAGACGACCACTTAAATCCCACCATCATACACACCTCAGAACCATACCAGAGCGGTATGACTGATCCCGCTGCCATGCACGGCCCGCCTGATGTGTACAGGGATTTTTATGAAGGCGAGTTGACCGTCCACGCGAACGGGGCTCCTGTCATATCGCGTGATGCTTCCAGTTCGTCCCAATCATGCAGCTCACAGCCTCTGTCACCTTGCTCTACCATGGCCATCGGTCACCCTCCGCCACGGCATCGATCGTTTATTCAAGCACAAGAGCCGTCGCGTGATACCGAAGCCCAGTCCTCGACGACGTTGAGCCACCCCATCCATCGATCACCGACAGAGAGAGAGTTGGACGCTCCCGAGACTTCTGAAGAAAATGATCAGAATGAATCCAATCGAAACGGCAAATTGCTTCCGCGTACTTCGCATCGCCTCGGTCGACGTTACGGACGTCGCAAGGCAGAGGACAGCAACAAGGACAAAGGTGACACGCAAGCGACGTATTCACAACAGTATCACCACTCGCGATCCACACCCATGAAACCGCGTTGGCAAGATTCAGAGCGTTTGGATCTCTTGGAAGCCGTGATCAAAGAAAAGAATTTGAATGACATGTCCACGTTTCGGTGGGATCGCATTGCCTTAGCCGTCGGTCGTGCCAAAAAAGCGTGCAAGGATCAATGGCGTCGCGAAGTCTTGCCTGCCTTGAGAAGAAGTATTCGCTCTACTCCCGCTCATCCTTCCAACGACGAGGATCCAAACTAATACCGATACACAAGCAACTTTGACATTCCTTTTCCACCCTTCTATTCTTATCAATCCTTTAGTTCTTTTTTCTTTGTTAGACTTTATATAAATTGAGGCAAAATAAAGTTTTGGAATTCCATCGTGCATGCTTCAGTCAAATCATTATGCACCACTGAATATCGAATCACTCTAGAAAAACAGTTGACTTAGAAAACGCTCACCCACCCACAGCAACAAGACGACAGCCCATGAATGTTCCTTCTTTTTTTTTGTGCACTCCTCCCTCTTTCCGCAAATATTGTCTGATTCAGGGTATTCCGCCGTCGCAGAGCGGTGTATTGAAGAGAGAGCGATGACTTCGAGGGATTTAAGCAGTCCAAACAAGAGAAAAGAGCTCCTCTTCGAATAGTGGGTCCGATTTCTTTCAGAACAGAGCACTTGCGTAGCTTTTAATTCTTGGAATGACAACAAATGAGCATGGAAAAAAAAAGTATACAAGGGTGCCAGTGGTCGTTCAAAAGAGTTGATTTGCTATTAATGACAATCCAAATCCAACACTAACTGCAGTAACAGAGGAGTTACAGTCAACAAGGGAAGATGGCATTTAGATGTTCAACTTGGTGTGGCGCCAGTTGCGTCTCTTGGCGTTCCAGCTGTGATAAAGAAAAAAGAAAGCAAACAAACGCGGTCAGTTTTTTCAGAAGGGATGCATTTGCTGTTCATGTACGTACCGGATCTTGGTGTCAGACTTGAGGCGGAACCAGTGGGGAAGAGGACGGTTCTGCTTTTGGGCTTTGCCAAGCTTAACCTTGGTTCTGAACGACTTGTTGGAAGGCTGTAGAAGTAGAAAATATTAGTCGACTGGTTTTTCGTTGCATTCATCCACGGATTCCCTTTCATTATTCATTCCCGACATGCCGTATCCGTCTCAAAATATACTATTCGCAAGCATCCATCCATCCATCCACCCAATCCATCTCTCACATATTTTATCCATCCAATCTTCCTCTTTTTGATCACGCTGGAGTCACTGTTTCTCGGCAAAATGGAATGCTTCTACATACCATAGTGTCTATCTGTTCAAGTGGAAGAAGGAAGCTCCTCTGGTCAAGCACTGATGGTCCCACTTGTGCCGGGTTCGAAAATCACAAGTCACATCCGCCCAGGCGGGGATTCAAACATCGTGAGCCCATTGTCTCAAAAGTCTCAGATTCCTTTTATGGTATGAAAAATAAAGAGACCTTCAACCTTGGAATCACAAGTCTCCTTTTAATCTTGATTATGAATGATACAATATCAGATCTGTCGTATGGATTAAAAAAAAAAAAAAAGACGAATCGAAAATAAATGAATTTATCGTTTCGGATAACTGTCGGGTCGTTTTCGAGACTGCGCACCGAACCATGCGGACGGATAAAGTCTGGAATGAATGAGCGTGCGATGTGCTCTACGTGCCACATCTTGCCAGGCACAGAGTAATAGTTGTTGCTCCCGCCGGGCTTGAACGCGTGACTCCCGCAGTTGCATCTAATACATTGACAATTACTTGGGTTAATATGTCCATGTGTATCCGTAGCAATATATGCACCCAACTTTGAGTCGATCATTTTCCTCTTCGCGTTGCTTGATAGCGGCTTGGAGCGACGCCGCAGACATTTTGTGGGATGTTGAATGCTGACCAAATTTGATGTCTTTCAACATGCGGTCTTGCTGCTTGATGAACTGATCGAAAACAAATTGGTGCTTAAGAAACCGAAAAACAGAGGACGCGGCCACTGTACCTCTTTTGCTTTTCGGAGCTTGATGTTCAGCTCTTCCATATGCTGTTCTAGTTCTTTTGTGGTTTGTTGCAATTGCGTATTTTGCTGTCGAAGGGCCATGTCGTCTTTAGCATTCATGGCCGCTAAAGAAGCTCTCATTTCGCTAAACAGAAATGATACGTGAGTGGTTGCGCCACTAATAATCGGATGAATATAGTGTACATACCTGTTGAAACATTCTTTCTCTAACAGCAAGTCTTTTCGTTCCATATTTTGACTATACAACCAATCTTTTTCCAGCAGCAGCTTGTTAATGTCTTGCAGCTGATGCTTTGATTGTTCTTCGAGCCCGTTAATTTTTTGTTTCAGCTCTTCAAGATATTTCAATGCATCCGTGTCGTTTTTTTGAAGGAGGGTGGATGGTGGATTGGTCTGCATCTCGTGTACTGTTTCACGGAGCGTCTTTAGTTCGAGCTGAAGAGCGTCAATTCGGTCTCTGTCCGGTTTCGTAGCTTCCGATCTATCCAACAATGCTTCCGGGATCCCTGCTCGCACCCGCATCATAAGACTTTGGAGGATATCGCGCTCTTGGGCTGCGTCTAAATAGTGCTAGTCAATGAAAAAAGAACGACATCATGAATATCTTGCGACGGTCAATCCGATGCGAAAATACCTTTTCAAACTCGGTTTTCTGAAGATTGGTTTCCTGCAACAGTTGATGCAGAGCCGTGATTCGTTCCTGGCCTTTGGAAAGGTTATTCTTTTGCAACGATCGAATCTAGCCGTACAGTAATTCCCTAAGGATTTAGAAGGCATTTTCCTGCTACGCACTTGCAGAAATTTTACTTGATCCTTCAGCGATGCCATGGTGTTCTTTTCTTTGACAGTATGCTCAAATTGCGTGGCTTCATCGTAACATTGGTCGTCCTCTTCATCCTCGCTCATCGTGTCTTTTTCATCATCGTCTGTCAGCTTTTTTATCCCGTTGTTTTTGTGTGTATGTCCTGTAAATGTAGAAAAAAACATGAGGTCATTATAAAATTCGATACTTTTTGAGCATGGTGGACAATGTTGCATCCTCGCTTACTGGTTCCTCTCAAATCTTCCAAATGATCTTCCAGGGATTGAATTCGATCGGCATCCCGTGTTCGATCCTCCTCGAGTGTCTCCAACTTTTGGTGCAATTGTTGGCTTTGGTACTCTACAAACTGGGTCTCGCGAATCAGCTCACTATTTTTGGCCTCCAACGAGGTCACTTGATCTTTGTAGGAATCCATGAGCGTTTTGAAAACAAACACTTTTCGATATTCCTCTTCAATATGATGATTTCGATCCACGAGCGAGCCATTTTGCTCCTCCAAAGCCTAAGTGCAAAATGTTGAAACAAAGTCAATATTTAGTGCATATAAATTTTAAATCACATCATTACCTTGATATGTCGCCGAAGTTCGGTCGTTTCCTGGAGCTTTTTACGGTATTTATCAATGGTGCCTTCCGCCTTTTGGAGTTTCTCTGCAGCATGATGAACTTCATCCAACTGATCCTTTAAACGCTCGGCATATTCCGCTTGTTCCGCGAGACTTTCGGTCTGTAAATGATCGGATCAACTCTTTTGCTTCTGTCTGCAGTCACCCCTATTTTTTTGTGGTGATGCTTTCTTTTTACCTTTTGAGTGAGATGGTGAATAGTTTCCAGCTGATTCTCTAAAATAGATTCGATTTCTTGTCGCCGATCTTCGCTGTGTTGTCTATCCGAAGCGAAAGCATATTAAATCAAGCTCCGGATTCTCGGGAAACCCAAATAAACCGAAAAAAGCAAGAAATGGCCCGTACAAATCTTGTCTTATGCGGTCAATTTCCGTTCGCATGGCAAAATCGGCTTTACCGGCTTCGTTGGCTAGCTGAATGGCATGATCGATTTCCCGTAAATGGATGTGGAGCTCTTCCTTTTCCAGCTCAAGATCATCCTGTTATAAATTCATGAACATTTCGAGCCTGCATTTTTTTTTTCACGGGCTTCCACGCAGTACACCTACATAACGTTGCTTCAATTCCTCGTGTTGCTTGATCAACTGCTGATGTGCCAAATCTAATTCCCGTGTTTCTTGTTGGATCCGCGACACTCGTCGTTCAGGACTCTCGATTGCATCGCTAAAGAAAAAAGTACAGAGAAAAAAAAAGGTGTGGGATGAAACATGCGGATTGCCGGGAAAACAGTATAAAGTTTACGTACGCTGCAAACATGCTGCGGGAGATGGTACCATTGCTTGAGTTTACATCCAGCTGCATATCGGCTACATCACTTTCTCGAAGTTGCGCCATCATCTATCCGCCGGTTAGACACACCCAGAGAAGTGGTTTCATATTTACCAACGAACAAGTGAGGGATCGTACCTGCTCAATGCTCACCATCAGAGCATGTTGGCTAGGCTGCGATAAGCGTTGGATTTTGTTAATGTATTTCTCTGTTTTTGTGGATTGAATGGCGAGATACAAGATGCGTTGGCACAGTTTCAGGATTTCCTTGGTATCTGTCTCCTTGGCAATAGCCGTTAAATTCACGGCAGGCAACGTCTGAAGTCCTTGACTAAACACTTCTTCGTAATAGCGAGAGATCAGTTTATACATTTTCTTGAGATTATTCACTTTGAAGACCCAATTATCGCCCATATCAACGGAATGCATCGACCGGAACCATTTAGGATCACTGTACCAACACGTGAAAAATCAAAGAACGTCAAAAGACCAACGCTGCAATGACGAAGGAATACGGCAATGCTTTTACATGTCTAATAAAATATCGCGAAGTAAAACACCATCAGACAGTTGACTGATATGCTCGCAGGTGTACGGCAAATGGTCGAAAGAATTGATCTGTCCCGAGTCTCGTTTTAGCAATCTGTTAGGGAGGCGCGCCATTGTTACACTAACCCATTCCACGAAGGCCTCCGCATAGCGTTCATCAGCCGATTGAACAAAAGCCATTAAAGAAAAAAAGAGAAGAAAAATTAGAGGAACCGAAAAGAAACAGATGGTTAAGCGTCCATCGTTTCAAGAGCTGCCATGTTTGCCCCCTGAGAGACATGAAATCCCTATTTTTTTTCTTTTCCCGATAATGACGTGCGTGTAACACAAACGTAAACGAGTGCCAGATACAGCATGTTTTCCCTTCCGCTTTTTAATTCACAAGCAATATAACTAATACGGTTGTCGTCATCTAAATTTTTATACACGTCTACATTCCATATGGGTCTTGGTCGGATCCATGGGCAGAGCACAGAAGAAGCCCAGCTTCTGCATTTGTGAAAACATTTCTGTGTCTGGTAGGAAGCGTCATGGCGGGTTAATGTTACGTTCGAATGAACCCCCATAGTCACAACAGGCACTTACATTCTAATTTCAGCTTTACACATTCTTCCTGGCCTCCGGGAAGTTGACGGCATAACTGTTGATGGTATTGATCGATGTTATAGTTGTTACCAGGTGCGGCAGCGACAAACTTATCGAGACGAGCCAGCTCGTTATTGGTGGATTCGATATTAGTGGATTCGTTATTATCGGACATAATATTGTTAGGCAGAGCTAATGAAGACCGAAGCGAAATGAGTCGGTGGATTGGAACGAGTGGCAAGTGCCCTGTCTTTTCTTTGCACCAACGAGATACTTACAAAATGAATAAGTGAGCAATGGAAGGAACCCCAAGAGGGAAAGCCTGTCAGAACCCAAACTCACACAAGGCCTTGCGGGAACCGATCTGTATGACTGCTTTTTATATTTATCTTGTCCATTCCATGATTTGATTGGCCAAATTCAGCGGGTTTTTGCACTTCTGATGTCATGGCGCGAATGTTCTCGATTTTTTTCAATCCCAGCTCATATGGGATCCATCATGATTTCTTTGGGCATGGAATAAAAAAGTGCGTAGAGCTTTTAGCGAAGCACAGCATGAGAAAGGAAGTACATTTGTACAAAGCTGTTGTTGTTGAGTTATGATGTTCCAGGGCATAGCGTCAATTGAAAAAACTTTCCAGTATGTCACTTGATGACTGGTCTGTGCCCGATTTCCGAGAAATATTCTCGACTGTAAGTCGACATTTTATTCAACTTTTGTTCAATTCCTTGGCGTTTCATCTCTCTGCAAGTTAACCAGTTCTTTTATGTAAAAGCGACCGTAATTCAATGGTTAAAAATTGCCATTTATGGAATTGCCGAGCCCTTTTACCGACACATCATGCTATTATACCATGATTTTTTTTTTTGGATCGTCTACAGCGATCCCGGCTTCATAGCTGGTTTCCCAAAGAAAACTCAAGTTTGATACATAGCGTGAGAGGTACAAAGATGATGACGAAAGCTATCAAGTGACCCCGCATTTGCTAAAATCGAGAGGCTTCATGCCGATTCCTACTTTATGCATCTTGAACTGAAAGAAAAGCGTGATCGGACCCTTGTCAATCAATTAACTCCACATCAACCAGTTGCGCATGAGAGTATCTGCCAAATATTTGCACTGATTTTAAATTGATATTATACTGACTGATTTAGAAAGAAATGCTGTGGGTGTATTTGTCCAGATCAGAAACTAACGTCGTTTTAAGGTTGACATCGGAAAAGACGCTTTACCAAGTTGTTTCGAATATGATAATACAGACTTTTTATGGTCCGTCATTGCGTGATCGCTTTAATGCAAGCTATTGTAGTGTTTTGATGTGTATGGAGGAGTTCTTTAGATTGGCCTTGGAATATCGGATGCTCAAAAACCCAAAAAGCAGCAAGGTCGGTTTCAATGCATTTGCAAACCAGTGACCGTGAGCGCATAAGTGGCCAAATTCGAGACAGCATAGTCAAAAAGGGAGGACGATTCGAACATTCGATTAACATTCGTCAATCATTCGGGAACAAGCATACATGTCGGCATGACAAAATTTTTCGTTATCGTCTTGCATTAAAAACCTGCGTCAAGATCCATGGAGCCAAAATAACTATAAAAAGGGGCGTGCTCGCCACCCTGATCCATCATTCAAGTTATATTTTTTTATTCAAGATGTCTGGACAAAACTCCAACCCCGGAAACTTTGCCAACCGTTCCAAGGAGGAACTCAGAGAGATCGCCAGCAAGGGTGGTCATGCTAGCCACAGCGGAGGATTCGCCAGCATGGATCCTCAGAAGCAGGTATGATAGAAAACCAAGTTATTGCATGATTTGGTGTTGTAAAATATGATACAAAATCAACTTAAAAAAAAAACTCGTGAAAAATTCATTAGCACAATATTGCCAGCAAGGGAGGCCATGCCTCGAGTGGTTCTTTCAAGAAAGGTGAAGCCAGAGCCAGCGCAGCTGGACGCAAGGGTGGCGCTCGTTCTCAGGGTGGTAAAAAATCTGGTGGTCGCGGTCGCCGTGGTCAAACCGAACAGTCTGTCGACGAAGAAGAGTAAAGTCTCACACACGATGGGATATATTTACTCTAAGCAACAAAAAAAGGTTGCAGCAATTATGTAAATAAAAAATATTGTTTCAAATAATTATGAAAAGAACCTCCCAATTTATCATTTGATTGATGAAGTTGATCTTTCCAAGTCGTATACTACCAACTCATGCGTGAGCACCGACAAGAACGAAATAATTAAGTGTGCGGATAATCCGTTCTTATGTGGCATGGATGTTTGTGTTTCGGGGTCGACGGATGAAAAATTTGACGCGGTGTCACACAAAGCCCGCTCAAAAGAGTCAGTGCTTCAGCAGCCGTGAGTCATTTTATATATTTTTTTTTCCCAAAAGAAAGTCCAAAGTGCGAAACGACAACGGAAAATAAAACAACTCTCTTGCCATCATGACCGATCCCATTCAAGCGACAAGTAAAGTGGCCTTGCAAGAGCTTGCTCAACGACCTGCTCTCCATCTAACCTATACTTTGTTCGAATCCTAGTTGTACGTGATGCAAAGTATGACCTGTTCATCGAGTGGCTTCGACAGCACGAATTCCCAGAAACCAAGCTCACACTAGCCAACTTTTCAAGCAAGTTTCCTATCTGTATCAAACCGTCACTGTTAACATGACGACTAACGCGAGGCTTATGTTTCTAGATACGGGTCGTGGTATGTTGTTTAGTTACTATAAGAAAATTTTAGGGGATCAAAAAATTCAGGGTCTAACGTAATCCCAAAAGGCATGATGGCAACGTCGGACATTGCGGTAATGCAAGCATGAAAAATGAATCGTTTGTATCACCAAACTGATTGCGATCTCTCATTTTTTTTAGGCAGGAGAGGTGATTGTCTCGGTGCCCAAGAAATTTCTAATGACAAAGGATACCTTGCTAAGGTTATACGGTCCGCATTCACTGAGCACCCAGCAACTCCTGGCCGTTCACCTTGTCTTGCTGTCACAGGAACCGCAGTCATGGTGGAAACCTTATCTTGACCTGTTACCATCACATTTTGATACCATGCCAGTAAAATTTCCAAAAATGCTCGCGGATCACTTGCCGGCTTCACTTCATGGTTCGTTATTATTAAGCGAATGGGTCTTCCGTACCTTGCTGCTCACAGATATAATGCGTTCTGCTGTAGAGGAAGTCGCACAACAAAAAGCCAAAATTCAATCCGATTACCTATCAGCTTCACGGTTTCTTCAGGCGAAAAGTGCCCAAACGGGAAAAACGTATACCATGACACCTGAGGAATATGAATGGGCATGGCTCTGTGGTGAGTTGTTGTTGTACATGGTGAAGGGTGATAAGACTAAGAGAGGAGATGAAACTAGTCAATACTCGTTGCATTCATATGGCGACTGCGTATTCTGCGGGACAGGCCGGTAATTTGGCCATGGCACCCATGCTGGATTTTCTAAATCATTCTTGCGAAGCACAAGTACGTTTATATGGGATGCTGAGAAAACCGTTTTTGCGATGCTTATAAAGACTGCTTCGCGAACGATAGATTGACAGCGGGTTCAATCAACGGCAGCAATGCTTTGAAATTCGGACCCTCATACCGTATCGTAAAGGAGAACAAGTAAATAAGAAACTAGTCGAGGGCCAACCAAGTGGATACTTACAAGGGATTAGGTGTTTATCAATTATGGGCCGCACGACAATTTTGCCATTCTTCGAGAATACGGGTTCGTGCTGTCTAATAATTTTTATAACTTTGTGCCACTCGACAAGGAAGTCTGGGAGCTATTTGAAGAAATGGAAAACAAAACTGCGTGTGCGATCAAGAAAAGCGCTTTGGAGAGAGCAGGGTAAGCGGGTGGACACCATAATGACCTAGACATCATGACAATGCTAAACTCTGGCAATATCTCATACTGACGCTTACCGACAGTTACGCAGGGTAAGAATTCAAACGATTGCGATATTGGGAAACCCGGTTCGTCTGACTTGTGATTTTATTTTTTTTGAAAGTGATTATTCGATGAAGAAGAATGAAGCGTCCTTTCGACTCTTGTGCGCGTTACGGTTGTTGGCCATTGAGGGAGCGGGACGACCGGGATTTGAACGGCGGGTCCAGGAGTGGCAGGATGTGCTCATGGGAGAAACAGAGTATATCAGCATCGATAACGAACGGCGAGTCTTTATCATGCTCAAGTGGCTGTGTGACCGAGTCAGCCAAACCGCAACTAAACAGCAAGAAGCACTATCAGTAAGTCCTACAATTCAATCAGAAGCAGGCACTCGAGTCACTCATGTGCCAAAACGTAGCAACTGTCGACCAAAGTGCAAGAAAGCAAGATCCATCCATTTGCGCTTCGTTTCCTGAAACAAATTTGGCAAGAAACCCAGGATATTGTCAACACCATGCTAATAGAAACAGAAACAAAACTGCAGTCCTTCTAAATACGCTGTATTGGATGATGATACCCGGTACAAACAACTGGAAAGGAGGCAAAAAAGTAGACCATCGCCTGACGAAAAAAAATAAAAAAGTAACAGTTTATGTGCGTATTCTATATAATAGTGAAATCATGTAACTCTAACAAGGACATTATCATTTTGAGATGGTTGCTCGCGGATATGAAAGGGGATGTTTTTACAGTTTGATGCACAAGTCCTTTTTTGATGGCAGGAAGATGAATTTCAATGGTGATTTAAAGATAAAACGTCTTTTTCTTTCCTTCTCCTCTACCATCGGAGGGTGGCCAGTTGCTCTTGGGTTCTGGCTGAACGTTGGGCTTGGTCTCTGCAGTTGTTGTTGGTTGGTCGACCGGTTCACTCGCTGCTTGTTCTGAGGAAGCGATCACTATTGGCAACAGAGGAAAAAACAAAGGTGCATGAGTTATTGTGATCTTGTCATGTTTTCAAATATACTTACGCTTATTAAAGTACTCTTCGTCAATATCGGCGTCGCTTGGTTCTACGGATCGTTTACCGTTTAATAAGACCATGCGAATTTCTTCCTTGAGATTGTCGTCCATAGCTTGTCCATGCTCCACACGGTCAATGATCTCTTCCAAGAGCTTGATTTTGTGTTGTGACTTTTCCTTGTATTCTTTGTACTCCATTTTCAACCACATGAGATGCAGTGCCTCGGAGCCAAAGACCACCCACATCAAGTATTCCAAAAAATAGGGCCAATGCTTTTGTTGTTTAAAATGCCACGCTGCTGATTGCAATTTCGGTATCCCCGCATCGGAATGGGCCCAGCGCGATTGCGGGGGGCGGGAAACGCTCGGTGGTCGGGTAGTTACCCGTACAAAAGGTGTAGTTGCTGCTCGGAACGATGCAGTCGACAATAAGCGTCGAGCCAGTGACATTATTTGAATGAGGTAAAAAAAATGGGTCACCCTTATTGTTGCATCGTCTCGAAATCCCAACTTTGTCAGTGTGGGTGGGCCAAAAACGCCGTCACAAGGCGATTTGTGCTGTTTCCGAAGCTGGGACAGGCCACAACGGTTGTCGTTCATCAAGCAGATCGGTCGATGATCAGTTTATCCATTGGTGCCATGTTGATTGAAGCAGATCCTTTAACAGACATTGAGGTGGCTGAGAGCAGTCAAGAACTTATGGAGACCGATTCTCCCATGGATGTGACGATCGGGGAGGATGTGCAATTTATTCTACCGTCCGTCAAAGTCCCCATGCTGAAATCCTACACGTATAGCAGTCCTGTTCCTCAACTGCTTGCCGAGAATCGACCGGATAAGATCAATGAGCCATGTGTGGTGGGCGTCGATGAAGCCGGAAGAGGTCCTTGTTTAGGTAAAAACGGTGAAAACCAAGCACAGGACGCGAATCGTGTATTCACGGCGCACTTTTACGTGAATCTGTTAGGTCCTATGGTTTATGCTGTAAGCTACTATCCTATTTCACGTCACGAAGAGTTCAAAAAACTGGGATTCGATGGTAAAAAAGTGATGATCCTAAAGAACGACGTGTACAATATAATTCATGCTGCTTACTATGATCAGATTCCAAGAAACTGACGGAAGCGCGACGATTGGAGCTGGCGAAAATTATTGAGGAGAATCTCGACTGGATCGGCTGGGCAGTATATGTTATTTCTCCTCAAGACATTTCCAAGAACATGCTGTGTCGGTAATGTACCTGTGATCACTCATATCAATGGCATTGCAACTTGCTCACTCACGGCTACCTTTAGACCGCCATTTAACCTAAATGAAATGGCTCATGACGCGACGTACAAACTGATTCGGTCCGTGCTCGACCAAAAGATCAACGTATCCGAGGTATATATAGTTATTTACTATTTCTTTGCCGCGGTATGAGTCTCATGCAATTTTCTTAGATTTACGTGGATCCTGTAGGCCCTACTCAATCGTACAAGGAGAAATTATGCCGTTTCTTTCCTGGCATCGACATCACCGTCGAGCCACGTGCGGATTCTCTGTACCCTGTCGTGAGTGCGGCCAGTATTTGTGCCAAGGTCACTCGCGATCAGATCCTGCAAAACTGGATCTGGACAGAACAAGGCCTGGATGAAAAAATTTCCAAACAATTCGGATCAGGTTATCCATCAGGTAAGACTAATTGTAAAAGACAAATACGTGGTGCGGTGGAATTCATTGTTCTTTTTCTTGGCAGATCCCAACACTGTACGGTGGCTTACTGAACATGAGGATTCTTTCTTTGGATTTCCTAGTTTGATCCGATTCAGTTGGAAAACTATTTCAAATCGCATGAATGCTACCCATACCGTAGAATGGTAAGTCTCGGATGGGGCAAGGAGATTCGGTTCAATAGGAACTAACTCTGGTCGTGTCTAACAGGTCAGAAGATGAAGACGAGGATCCTCCCACCCCGCGGAAACGTGGTTCGAACGCTTTGGTCAAAAAGGAAAGCGATAAAAAGGAGGACGCTAAACAACGGCATAACCATCATCAAATGAGCAGACTCTACAAATCCTACTGCTTGGAATCATTACCTTCTCTCTAATCTATATTTTCATCCAGTATATATCTCATTCAGTATATTGTTGCATCTGTGTTTTCTTATTCCATCATTCATTGACTTTTGTTATCCATTCCCTATATGAACATGTATCTTTTGACATTGCTATGGTAGCCCATTCATCATGGCAACAACTACAGTGCGGGTACAATGACATCCATTGAAAAAAGGTGTCATGGCTGACATGCTGTGTTCATTTGTAGTGAATTGTTTGTGGTATAGTGTACAGTACGATCCATAGCAAACCATAAAAATATAAACAAATATCAAGCAGCAGGAGATGTTCTTATAAAATAGCGGTTGTTTGAGAGGGGAATCCAAAAATACGATATCATAAACCAAAGTGGCTGATCTCCAGTAGGGAAAAAAAAATATACGGTAGGATTGCAAAGTAACAAAAGCGTAGTGGATTGTGAGCTCCTTTTTTTCTTTTAATGAGATCCTCTTTGACTTGTCTCCAGTGAAAGACCGAATCCTTGCTTGTATCTATTCCAGATGGCTTTTCCCCAAGGAAGAAATAAACCATAAATGAATCCTTGACCTGAAAGACTGATGATCAGGAAGATTACCTTCTCTGTTCTTGGATTATTGTATTGCTGCTGCTGTTGTCGAACGTGCGTAATTGTCTTTGTGAAAGTCGGTGGGTTCGAATTCGTCCGTGTATTGCAGCGGTCGCATTCTTAGCCATTGCATGCGAGGTCCCGATGGAGATCGTTCGTTGATTCGGAAACCGAAAATACGCGGTTCATAAATGCGGGTATGGTCAATGGGGATGAGTTCACTGAACGCTTGAAACATCAGATGGGCATACGTCGTTCCGAAATGGGCACCTACACGGCATGTTAGTGGCTACTTTCCGCTAAAATGACACACGCACCATCCACACCAACGTGTATATCGTTTGGCGAGTGATAGAGATCCATGCACGACGGGCAGTACAGCCGCACGCTCTCTTTTCCCACTTGATCGTATCGGCCACAAGGAATCACAGGACAGTTATCGCAGAACACGCGCGGACAAGTGCCAAACTGTTCTTCGGCAAATCGTTGTGCCATAATGCGCTGACCATGCCGCGTCAGTAAATATCGCTGGTGAATCAGGCCATACAGCATCGCTGCGTAAGGTTCAATGGTCTGGGGATCGATTCTTCCGTGGGCTTGCGGTTTCGCGGTGGTTGGCGCTGTGTGTTCTTTCCAAAACCCATCGTCTTGCGCCTCTTCTTGATCTCTCACGAGGTCTTTCTCCTCGTCTGGATCTTCCTGGCCCTGCTGAGAGTCTTTCTCTTCTGTTTCAATATCGAGAATCATTTCCAAGGCTTCGTTATAATAAGGCACCACCGATGACAGTCCCGTCAGGTTAAAGTCGTCTTCGATGAATTCCTCAGGTACTTCTACATAGAATTCGTTGCCTGGCAATGTACAAAACCAACTAATCCAACTTTGCAACGAAGTGTTAACACTGCTTTGCGAATCATACTCGTTGTCTAGTGGAGAAAACAAATTTAAAAAATATGCAATGTCAGATAACGAATGTCGGGGTTGCGTGGGACCAGAAACCCAGAAATAAGCCCGAGGACCATAAAAAATAAAGAAGCCGGCCGATAATGCCGCCATCATGCAAGTTATTCAAGAACAATGCGCTTACCATCAATATTATCCGCCGTGGTCGGAACCTGAGTAATGCGTCGAGTCATGGGAAGGGAAAAGAACGGCAGTAAGATGGACAAAACTGATAGGAGAAAAAAAAGGAAAAAGACTCGGACCAAAAACGCTGAATAAAAATTACGATAAATAAAGAAACACAGATTCCTGGTAACGTTGAGTGGTTTTCCTAGATTACGGTTTCTTGAGGGAGGGTATAAAAGAGAGCCAAGGAAGAAGTAACAGTTGGTTCAAGGCACGTCATGCCCACCATTTTATTTTTGTGAGTCCGATTTTCTTGACCTTTTTTTTTTCCCTATCTTTCTCAGGGGGACCACAGGATAGCTGTCAAAACGTGTCATTAATATTATGACTACTCAGAACGGAATCGACGTTGGTTGTCAAACCGAGGATGTCTGGACTGACGATCGGTTGAGAAAGTATCGACGTATGAAGCGAAAAATCCTCGACTTCATTACGGTAATGATCCAAGAATAACCAAGGCGACGCGTGCCAAAATCAAGTTAATCACTGTGTCATTCTCCCCGGCAACAAAAATACATATAGAAACATAAATCAGCCCAACAAGCACTGGATCGTGCCAATCGTAGAATACAGAGTCTCCACCGAGAAAAAAGGTGCAGTAGCCACAGCAAAAGAGGGAATCGATGAAACCGTTGAACTGATATGAAACTTTTTGTTTTTGTGGCAGTAAAACCCAGAGACGATCCAGTGCCAAAGGCAATGATGATGCCATGGATATCAGTCAGACAGAGGATAATGCGGATGATGATAACGGTGAAGCAGAAGAAGAAGTGGAAGAGGATGACGAAGAAGACGAAGAAGATCAGATCGAAGACGACGAGGAAGTCGAAGGTAAGATCCCCCGATTTCTCTTTTTGCTCCAGTATCATGAACAACGGATAAATATACTGAATGATGATGTTTTTTCCAGCGGTGGTGACTAAGAAACGAACTTCATCACGAAGGAAAAAGATTGAAATTCCTCGGGATGAGAATGGCACTGTCAAATTACCGTTCAGTATCGCTTCTTTAACCATTATCAATCTGGGCACGGTAGTATGGGATCGCAGCGGATTTCACAGCGAACGATACATATGGCCAGTGAATTATTGCGTAGAAAGGTAAGGGCTCCAACTGTCAATGGTGCCAATTGTTATTGATGAACGGATTCCTTGCCCTTCACAGAACGTATATGAGCATGGTGGATCCGACAAGCCAGACAACATATGTTTGCAAAGTGGAAGACGGCAATGAAGGACCTTTGGTATGATGATTATGGATGATGCTGGTATTATTTCCCAAATTTTAATTCGCTGCATATTTGATTTTAGTTTACAATCCGAGCGGCTGATGCGCCAGAGGAAACATTATCTGCCAAAACGGCCACGGGTGTGTGGGCTTTGGTGATCAAACGAGCAAATGAAGTACGTCAAAAGGAGTCGTCCAATGCCATTTCAGGTCCAGAATACTACGGTTTTGCCCATCCTATTGTGGCCGAACTCATTGAAGAATTGGATGGTGTCGATAAATGTACACGCTATGTGCGAAGAACGGAAGCATGAGGCCGGGAAAAAATAAATGAAATCATCGAGGACAATGTAAAAATGTAAAGATAAAAAAAATCGAATAGTATTTGCGTGAGAAATTTTCATAGGATAAAATAACAACATCGGATGTACACAGTTCTGACCACTTTGATTATTGAATGCTGGCAATAACATAATACAGCCCTTTTATCAGGTCGTTTGTATTCAATAACGCTTCATCTTTAAATGATCTGCCGGTTGATATGACTTTAGGAGCATCAATCATCCTGATATATGACTGTGCAGCAAAACTGGTTTTAACAAGAGCTGGTCAACGTTCATTTAAGCGAGGGAAGGAATACACCTTGGCACACCACTTCAGCTCTCATTGAGTTTGCCTTCAAAGTATTTTTCATGCGATCGATAATGTGATAAGTAGAGTGAAACAAACCTGTCAAGGTAATATAACAAGAATCAAACAAGGCCCGGGTTTTACCGCATGGCTTTTGGACCGCAAGACCACAAGAATGGGACGCGTATCGGAGATAACATATCGGTATGTTTATAACCGACAGGTCATCATCACGCCACACTGTCCGGATCCATCTTAATCCACACAATTAACAAAAAACTAAGAAATCTTTAATAGAGTGATTAAAAGATTAAATGTCCAATATTGCAAAGTTCAATTTTGAATTTCATTATCTCTCATTTTCTAAAAACTGTGATGATGACAAAAAAAGACTGCTAGAATGTTATCAAGCAGTTCGCCTTGAAAAAAATGATGAACCTTTATATTAGCTTAGCTCATCGGTTATTACGCAATGCGGCGGCAGGTTTTAGAGCAAGAACTTCTTGTTGAATGGAAAAAATCGGGGCTTTTTTTTTAATGTTCTTTTGCATGAAATCTTATTTGGATTTCAAAACCCAAGATGAGGTTCCGATAAGAAAAGAAAATCCCATGCAAGAAAGTGAAAGAGAAGCGTCATCATTGCGGCTGTAACCAAATTTGGATCATTGGGTTTCAGAAAAAGGTTCGCTGCCTTTCTTTTTTTTTCTCCTCCGCTCTGTTTTCATGCATATAAAAACCAAACCCATCGCTGTTATGTTTTCACCCACGCTCTCTATTTTTTTCTTTTCTTTCTTCTTCTTTTCTCCTCTGTAACGTAAAAAAAAGGAAAAAAAAAAAGATGACTAAAGCTGTTGGTATTGATTTGGGTACAACCTACTCTTGTGTCGGTGTCTGGCAAAATGATCGTGTGGAAATCATTGCCAATGATCAAGGTAACCGTACCACTCCCTCCTACGTCGCCTTTACCGATTCAGAACGTTTGATTGGTGATGCCGCCAAAAACCAAGTTGCGGTATGTATATAACATAACAATCTATGCAATCTATGCAATCTATGCAATCTATGCAAAAGTGTGGAGCAAAGGGACTGATTTTCTTTTCCTTTTTTTTTTTTTTAGATGAATCCGCACAATACGGTGTTTGACGCCAAGCGTCTTATTGGTCGCCGTTTTGACGATGCGGAAGTGCAGGCCGATATGAAGCATTGGTCATTCAAGGTGGTGGCCAAAGAAGGCAAGCCCGTGATTCAAGTAGAATACAAAGGCGAACAAAAGGAGTTCACTCCCGAAGAAATTTCATCCATGGTCTTGATCAAGATGCGTGAAACCGCAGAAGCTTACATTGGTGACAAGGTGGACAGTGCCGTCATCACCGTGCCGGCCTATTTCAACGATTCGCAGCGTCAAGCTACCAAGGATGCTGGTGTGATTGCCGGTTTGAACGTCTTGCGTATCATCAACGAACCTACCGCAGCCGCCATCGCCTATGGTCTGGATAAGGAGGCCAAGGGAGAAATCAACGTGCTCATCTTCGACTTGGGTGGCGGTACTTTTGATGTGTCTCTTTTAACCATTGAAGAGGGTATCTTTGAAGTCAAGGCCACGGCTGGTGACACCCATCTTGGTGGTGAAGACTTTGATAATCGCTTGGTCAATCATTTCATTGAAGAATTCAAACGCAAAAACAAAAAGGACATCTCCGGCAACGCTCGTGCCGTGCGTCGCCTCCGTACCGCGTGTGAACGTGCCAAGCGTACGCTTTCTTCCAGCACCACTTCCAGCATTGAAATCGATTCGCTCTATGAAGGTATCGATTTCTATACCTCGTTGACCCGTGCTCGTTTCGAAGAACTCTGCCAGGATCTTTTCCGCTCCACCATGGAACCCGTCGACAAGGTGTTGCGTGATGCCAAGATTGATAAGGGCGCTGTCCATGATATCGTCTTGGTAGGCGGTTCCACCCGTATCCCCAAGATTCAAAAGTTGGTCTCGGATTATTTCCACGGTAAACAAGCGTCCAAATCCATCAACCCCGATGAAGCTGTGGCATACGGTGCAGCCGTCCAAGCCGCTATTCTTACCGGTGACACTTCGGAAAAGACAAGTTCACTCTTGTTGCTTGACGTCGCTCCGCTGTCTTTGGGTATCGAAACTGCTGGTGGTGTCATGACCCCACTTATCAAGCGTAACACGACCGTGCCCGCCAAGAAATCCGAAATCTTTTCCACGTTTGCCGACAACCAACCCGGTGTGCTGATCCAGGTCTTTGAAGGTGAACGTGCTCGCACCAAGGACAACAACTTGTTGGGCAAGTTTGAACTTTCCGGTATTCCCCCGGCTCCTCGTGGCGTTCCTCAGATCGAAGTCACTTTTGATGTCGATGCCAACGGTATCTTGAACGTCTCGGCTCTGGACAAGACCACCGGTAAATCTAACAAGATCACCATCACCAACGACAAGGGTCGTCTGTCCAAGGAAGATATTGAACGCATGGTCAACGATGCCGAAAAGTACAAGGCCGAAGACGAAGCCGTGGCCGCTCGTATCAGTGCCAAGAATGGTCTTGAATCTTATGCTTACAACTTGCGCAACACGCTTTCCGAGGAAACTGTCAAGTCCAAGTTGGATCCTGCCGATAAGGAGAAACTCGAAAGCTCCATCAAGGAGACCATTGACTGGCTTGATAACAGTCAAGAAGCCAGCAAGGAAGAATACGAATCGCGACAAAAGGAGTTGGAGGAAATTGTCAATCCCATCATGACCAAACTCTATCAAGGAGCTGGTGGTGCTCCCGGTGGTGCTCCTGGAGGTGCTCCCGGCGGATTCCCTGGCGGTGGACCTGGTGGTGCCCCCGGTGGCGATTCGGGTCCCACAGTCGAAGAAGTCGATTAAAAAAAATCATAATACTAATCGAAACACGATCTTACTGCCCTCTTTTTCTTTTCCCGCATCACTTTGTAAATTGCCTTATGGTCAAATAATAATAATCGAAAAAAAAAAAACCAATTTCGATAGGCGGAAAAAAAAGTTCTGCCCTTTCTTTGTTTCTGCCTTTCTGCACAGTCCCCTTCATGAAATTTTGAAAAAAATCAACACTTCTGGGAATACTTATAGATGAATAGAGTATATTGGATAATACAAAATAATGTTATTGTCTATGAGTATCTTTGCTTCCTTTTGGTTACCATCGAGTTGAGCGACCTTTCGCCTCCAGCACTGCCTTAATCCCCCGTCATGGAATCCACCAGTTTGTTGATGAGTTGGTATCGATGGAATCCCAAGCATCTCGGATTGGTTGGGGATACTGCTCGTCAGACATATCCGCGTTGCTCACTTGCTGTACGCTCAACTTGGTTGAATATGGTTCCGACTTCTTATTATAAGTTATGGCCCCCCATACCATTGTTGATGTTCTGTCGCTTTTAAACGGGGGTTGCCAAACAATCGAGATTATTTGCCTCGTTGTTGGTACGCCACATGCGAATTTGACGTATATTTTTGCCTTTTTCAAATGACGCCTCGTCAGTCCATAACACCTTTCGCCATTGATCGACTGTCCAGTTTTTATGCTTTCTTGCAAATTCCAGACGTCGGGCGATGTGTCTCTTATTGAGATGAGGCTTTTTTTTTGGCCACGCGGGTGTTAATGCCGAGGCGATGTAGTTCCCTTCGAACTGTTCGCTCGCAGACCTTTGTCGGTAGCAGATGGGGAAGATCGGTCAATCGCACACGCCGATCCTTGTGGACTTCTCGCACCAATATTCGGACGCTCTTTCTGTTAACTTCTTGTGTATTCCGGATCCTTCTTGCGCTCATGAGTTCCTCGCTGCTCGTAGTTCTTAATGACGTTGTAGATGGTGCCTCGTGCCCCACTCGTACACGCCGACCCTTGTGGACTTCCCGCACCAACGCGTTCGGACGTTTCTTTCCGTCAACTTCTTGGGTGATCCGGACCCCTTCTTGCGCTCACGAGTTCCTCTGTACTCCCACTTCTTGAATAACGTCTCGTGCCCCCTTCGCTTCGTAATGTTGGCTGCCCTTCATCCAGTATTCTTGTAAGCAAGGCTTCAACATTTTTGTTCAACGGTTCATACGAAACGGGGAGAAACAAAATATTTTTTTTTTGTACCCCAAGAAAAAAATGGTCTCCAAAAATAAGGAACGATTTTATGCGAGCAAAACCGAAAAACTTGCAAGTCATATTTAGCCAGTGCTACTCCAATGTTCATCGTATTTCGGCCTTACAATACGGGTCTTGATCATTCTATGGGCCATATCACCATGGCAGATATTTATTTGATTTGATTGGTTGCATGATTAAGTGTTGGACGTCACGTACAAATTTTGACACATTGGTTGTGTGAATGGGGTTTCTTATTTTGTTTCAGTGGTATGGACGAACCGGTATCAAAGAGCAAGGTAATGCATCTGTCATTACAGAGTGAAGCAACCCTGGATCAAGAAACCAGGGATCTGTACAAGGAGCTTTGTTCAGCCACAAAACAAGGCGATCTAGAAAAGACGGAAAGTCTTGTCAAGAGTTTTGGCGCCCCTATTAATTTTGTCGACGAGTGGCAGTGTTCCCCCTTGTATTGGGCTTGTAAGTATAGAATACCTTTTTATCCAATCGTATAAAGACGTAAATAATAGACACGTGCGCCACGATACAGGTTTATGTGGCCACTATGAGGTGGTCAAGTTTTTGCTGGAGAATGGCGCCCAGTGCGATCGAAACACATTTCAAGGGTACGTAATGACAGACAGAACCACTGCTTTCTTTGAGCAACTGGCTAACGATATCCTCTTTTTGTAAACAGTGAACGTTGTCTTTACGGTGCATTGAATAGCGAGATTCGCAACTTGCTACTGTCATATAAACTCACCAAGGCTATCGACGAGAACCAACCTTACTTGCAGTTCCTTTCCGGACTGCTGGCCAAACCGGACTACAAGGATTTGACATTTACTATTCCCCTAGCCGATCAAGACGGGGCAGCGTACCGCGAGTTTTCTGTTCATCGATTTGTGCTCGCTGCACGCTCGGAATTCTTTCGTCTTCGGCTATTGACTCGCTGGCGAGGCAATACGCGCATTTCATTGCAAGCGACGTTGGTGGATTCGGTGTCGTTTGCAGCTATTTTGGGATTTCTGTATACAGGTCATATTGGCGATCTTGAACCGTCAGCCCTCGACAATGCGGTCTTTGTCTGCAAACATCTGGAATTGTGGAATGCCGTCGAGCGATTCCGGGACATTCAGGAGGACACGCAAAACGCCGACCGTTCGCACGACAGCAAGGAAATCGCAAGGATACGAGGTGATCTGGGAGCGTGCCTTGCATGTTTGATAGACACAGCCGTCAAGATTCTACCGGGATCGAATGACAAATCGTATATCGTATCGGAGCGTTTTGTCCATACGGCGGTACCGCGGGATCCTTTGTCCACGTTTGCGGACGTGGCGGTACGGTTGGACGATGTGGTGTTTCCCTGTCACAAAGCTTGCCTGGTCCGATCCGAGTATTTTGAGGCTATGCTTGGCGGCATGTTTTCCGAGGCAGAGATGGACGCCAGCTCCATCCAGTTTGAAGATGGCAACTGTTTAACGGTGCCAATGTTGCAGGTCCACGGTATAGATGCTGATTTATTCCCACACATACTCGAATACATGTATACGGACCGCTGCATGGTTCCGGCGGAACTGGCTTACGAGCTAATGCTTGCGGCGGATATGCTGCTACTCGATCGTTTGAAAGGCATTGCTGCCATTGTTTTGACGAATCAGGAAGAACCCGTGATGGATATATACCAACTCATTCGTACCGCCGTTGATTTAAATATTGATCGTTTGGAGCAATGGTGCATCAAATATTTTGCCGAACATTTCGACGACTTTATTCACAAGGAAGAGTTCAAAGCATTAATTCTTGAAAGTGCCGAATCCATTGCTGGACGTCAAGAAACAGGTATTTCGAAAGAAAGAAAGAAAAAAAAAACTGCAGTTTACACATGACCATTAGTCGAAAAAAGACCATGATCTTGTCACAAGCATTTGCTAACTCTACGCACAGACACTATCCCCTTTGTTGATGATTTGCGATACTTTTTGAGCAAAAAGTACAGTGTCGATGAGGAAGACATCAACGAGGACGGCACGATGAATGAAGAGTATCGCGATACGTGGACCGAATTGATACTCCAATATAGAAGTAAACTGACTATTCTAGATGACGTCTTGGTCTCGCTTGGATTGGAAGCGTAAGCAACCGTTTTTTCTTGCTTTCTTTCAATGTTTTATATAAAAGTAAAAGAGAGAGAAGAGAGAGAAAAAAAAGAAGTTATGACATATTTTTCGAACCACGATGACAATTTTTCTATTTCCGTCGCTTTGAGAGATTATTTCCCTTGTTTTTTCTCTCATTTCGCACGCACCTTCCACCGACGCACACAGAAAATCCCATTTTGTATCCTAGCCACTGTATATCTCTTTTTTTTTTTTTTTTGCTTGATACGGTGGATCACATATCTGGATCTTTTTTTTTTCTTCTTGGTCGATCCTATATCTCCCTGTCTTTCTCTGATCCCTCGTACTGTGTGTGTGTGTGTTGTATGTGTGCGTAACCGACAGAGGACGTCAGCCATTTTCCGGTTTTATTTGTATAGCTCTTATTTTCCTTGTTTGTATTTCTCAGACCTGGCGTCTCCATACCCACCATGTCTAGCCGACATCAAGGTACACTACCGAAATTCCATAATCCGCATGACGTCCCATCCAAAGCGAGATATCTAAAGCTTTTCTTTTCTTCTTTAACTTATCATCCACAGCTCCTTATACGCGTTACGCTTCTGCCAATGTAGCCAATGCCAGTATGGCTGTCAATAACGATAATCTCAATGTTCCTTTTGCTTCTCAATCCAATATTTCGACCGCCGGCTATTCATCTCAATCCGCCTCGTCCTATAACACTACGCCTACAATGGCTTCCCCTTACACCGCTTCGTCATCGCCCGGTTACCATTCTCCTAATATGCAAAAACATCCGCTTCAACCACCACTGAAAAAGTACTCCCTCCAACCTCCTCACAAACAATTGCCGCTCTCCAAAACCATGCCGGCCATGGGTTATCCGGGCATGTTTCCGCAACGGCCATCCCAAGACGAAGATATCTTGACCGAATCCAACGTGCGCAATGGATTTATCGATCGACCCGTGGTTTCGGTAAGCACCACCTTCCTTTCTCTCTCCTTCTCTGTCGTGTGCAGTTGATTCTGAGAGTCTGATCATTTTTTTTAAACTGGTAGAACGAGCATACATGTGCCCATGATATTGTGTACGGCAAGTTGCAAGACGATCAGCGACTGCTAGGTGAATTGGGCAATTTTATGGTCGATGTCCTGAAACGGAAAAAAACCGCGGAAAGAATCACAGGGTAAGTGGGTGGATGGTGTTGGGTATGGAGGATGCGTGGTATATCTTGAAGAAAAGTGTGCTTAAAAAGGTACTAGGCCAGCCTCATTTAAACCGCCTATTCGATCGACGTTGATTGATTCCAAAAAGGAACAATGGATGCAAGAATTGGCAGCAGGTGTTGTTTCGCTTCGAAAGTTGGCGCGGAATGTGCCTCATGGATTCAAGGGTGAAAAATTATTGGAAACATTGGCGGCAAGGCAAGTGCCTTTCTTGCGAGCCACTTGGTACATTAAAGTTGTAGGCTTATCGGAAATGGTAAGCGCAAAAGAACAGTCGTGGACAACAGTACAGCTGTCTAATACTTCTTTCTCTTTCTGTGATCCAGAGCCAACGGAATGCCAGTAATTCCAGCAATTCCACGTCGCAATCACTACAATGGACGTATATCGTTACCGATCATTTGAAAAAACAACTTGCCGAACTTGCCAACATCAACGCCTCCGCTCCGCCCGCCCGTGGATACAAAGGGCATCCCAGCACCCCCAATCAACATGACAGTGCCCCGAAACCATGGGCCACCGCCGAAAGTCGAGCTCGGTTTGAACAACGTTGGGCTTACAGCACCCGCCTTACGCAATGGCAATACGTCGAAGGGTTACTGGAACAGCGCAACTTTCTCAGATGGACCCTCGACGCGCTCCGGAATAGCAGCACATTTGAAATCATGTGGCTCATTCTTACTGGCATTGTGCAGGATTACGTCGATGAATATCGACGAAACAGGACCTTGATGAAACTCTTGATTGACACCCTCATTAAAGCCTACAGTGCCGTAAGTTGTCAACCAGGTCTCACCAACAACCGTATCATTGAATCTCAGATCCTTTTTCGCTTTTCTAGCTGATGCAGATCCAAGATCATGAACAAGTTTGGGCATATCAGGGACTCCGAAAAGATATTGAACATATGCTGCAGGTACGTCGCGGGGAATGGCGATCGGTTGCTTGTGAGGCATATCAATAATAGATGCTTTTTTCATTTCATTCGTCAGTCACTGTTCCTTTCGACGCCGGATATGTTTGTGGTGCCCATGTTGTATCATCAATATCGACATTTGTTTGACATGATTTTGGGAGAAAAGCCACAACAGTCGAAAGCGTTGCCGAATATTAGTCGTGTAATGAGCGAGTATTGGACCCTGGTCAAAGCACGAAATGAAGTTTTCTGTGGCACAGCGGAACAAAACGCGCCTGCGTCGGCATCGACCCAAGCCGTCATTTCATCCGTGGAACGCAACCCGCTCGTGCCATCCGTGGTCGAAAAACCGCGCGATACAATAGAAGAAGAACAAGTGGTTCAGATCTTGGATGAACTTGGCCGTACCATTGCCAGTGGTTCAGGATTACTGATCCACGGTGATGGCTGGATTAATACTGAAGGACGCACCGCCACATCCGCCGCTGAAGCTATCTTTGATGACGGCCATTTGTCCAAGCCAAGCGTGTTTCAGATCGTTCACATCATGTGTCGCTGGGCAACCAGCGACTGTCGCTTTGGTGATTGGCGCGTATTCCTTGTCGCTTCCATCTTGCACCAATGGCAGAAACAAGATTCGACCTTTGAACGAAAACATACCATGCAAGATGCCTTGATCCGCTTCCTAGATGACAGCGACACGGATCCATCGATGGAAAGCGATGGCCAGGATCATCCAATGACTGGCAAAGGTAAGCACATGTCTCTCCTACACGACATCCCATCCTCTCGCCCCCTCTTCCGGACATCTATTTTGACGATCAACGCAACGCAAAAATGTATTTAGATGGTATCAAAGCCGATCAGTCCATCATCTTTTTATTCGACACGTTGATCCGGTTACAATTGTTTTCGTATCAGAAATATTTATTACGACTCATTGCACGGGGTGATTTGGAAGTTAAACATCGACAAGAGTCTCGTGTCCTACGCTGTATTTATTATCTTTCCGCGTTTCCTTTGCCAAGCAATGCCCCGCCTTTCCTTGTGAATCAGCGACGGGTAGCAATTTCAAACCATCGCTCAGACGACACCACACATCAGGAGAGTCAGGATCTGGATCGTCTAAAATACCTCGCCAAACTGGCCATTCTAGGCAGTGAGGATGGTAGTCCTTGTCTGTTTGGCCAAGGAGCCAAGGATCTGACGCAGCAGACACCCAACGACGATCGATCGTCGTACCATCTCGCCATCACAGATACCATCGAACAGGAACTACATCTAGCCCTGGACCGAGCCTCACGTTATACCATTCTCCATTTTACCAGTGAATGGCTCGTCCAAGAAGTGAAACGCTTTGTGGTTAAGAACGTGCAGTAAGTACCCTTCATCTGGTAATAACCAAGCCATTCAAGTGGTTCTTACTGACGTCAATCCTTTTTTTCTCCACCTTTTTCTTTGCCCACCTCCTCTTTGTGTCTAATTTCGTGCAATGACAGAATTGGCGAGGACAATTGGCGCGTCATGACTTCCCCCGGTTCCTGTCTACTTAATGCGCGGCAGTATGTGATGGTGATTAAAATTCTTGAATATGCCAAGGATTATCTCAGCCTGGTCGATGTTGCGCTCTGGGTGTTGGAAAAGACCAATGAACGCGATCTTTACCTTTACATCATTGATACCCTGCGAAGGCACGCCAATATCTGGAAACTCGTCGATAAAACAGGAAATCGAATTGCCGAAACGTTCCTTGCCAAGGTATGCTTGTCAACCGAAAAAAGACAAAATGGATTCTTTTTTGTTATTAACCATTCCATCTTTTTAATGAATCATGTGATGTAGCATAACAGCTTGCAGAATCGAGGAAATCGCGAACGAAGTCTGATGATGTATATCGTTCAACTGGTGCAGGAAGGATACCAGATGAAGAGTGATATGCATGCCCAGTTTCAGCAAGACTTACAAGCCAAACCTCGCGTAGGCTATGTTGGCAGTTCAATGTCCCTTTTGGAAGATTTGACATTGCTCGCTTCCAATCCCACCAACGCCAGTGCCAGAACTTTGGCTGAATCGTTGTACAGTCGGTACCATAGCACGGCAGGGTCCATCCAATCCATCTTGGAAACGTCCATCACCGCCATTCGTCACGCCATCCGCGTCAAGGACGATCCTACTCTTGCGCCAATGCAGTTTGAGCTGTACAGCATACTAGCTGCGTTTGCCGATCTGTTCCGACAGCTAGGCGAACAAGCAACGATCACCGGGCAACTGGACATGGTGATTGTGTCCTGGCTGACACAGCAGGATCTATCCAATACGGACATGCCTTCGGCCTTTATGGAAGAAATGAATCAACCGCATTCGTGGATTCCTTTATTTATTACGCTTCTCATCGCTCGCGGCGCTGTGAATTTGGATACGATCTTTCGTAACAACGTGTTACCTTGGTTTGGCCAGATTGGAGGAGCCATACAGCAACAGACGGAACCGGATCTATCTGTGGACGTGACCGAGAACCGGTTACTGCAATTCTGCAAGAACTTGGTGGTCCTTGTCCGTCTGTTGATCGTTCAAGATCATTGCCACCTCGCCACGGAAAATGGAGCTGACAGCACTGCCGTAACCTGGGATTTGCGTGTGGAAGACATATTCCACTTGGAAGCACAACGATTATCGCAATTATCGAGTAGCCTGAACAAGATTGAGCCCATGTTCCGACTCATGGAACATTTACTGATCATTGCTACGAATCTTCCGCTGAGCAGTTCGTTGCTGCAAGATTTGGTCATGTTGAGAGCGGCTCTCTTACAAATCGGGTGGTTCCGCCAAGCTTGTATTCGCGATCTTCACGGTGTCTATCAACGATTTGCGGCCAATGAAGCGGAAGCCGCCACGGAGAAAAAGATTAAAAAGAAGATGCTCTGCATAGTCGACGAGTTGATTGGCGGGAACTTGTGTGAAACGCGATCGAGCATGGTCAGCGAAGCGGCACCGGACTTTATCGACAAACTACAACGTGTATTTACAAACATGAATCAGTGGAATGAAGAACAGTGTCGTGTGCAAGTGAATCTGCTATTGGACAACATCATGTTATCCGAAGGTAACATGCTCAATCACAATAATCCCCACATTCTCGGTGACGACGCAACGGCGGATCTGTCTCTGACGAGTAATGTACTACCGTCTACATCAGAAATGCCTTCGAGCAACAAAGATTTGGATTCATTTGTTCAGTTCTTTTACGATATGGTGCTTTCTCCCCCCAAGGACGATGAGCAACCATCGGGTGCCCAACGGCGAGCCACTTTTTTCAAAAATTTGATCCACGGCGTTCGAGAATCGGTGCTTCTGGAGTTGTTGAAGTATGCGATGCGTTTGCTAGAAGGCGATCCGGACATGCCTTTTCCCGGCAACATGCTACTTCTGCAGACGTCGGATGCTGCGACAACGAACAATGGAACGGACGTGGTGTGGGATTCTGAACAGTATGCTCACAAAAATCAAACGTTCCTGACCATTGTTCAGCATATGACGGCGGAAAACGTGTGGACAACGGAAAAGAAGATCGAGATGGTAAAGATGCTTTACAAGCAAATCAAGCAATTTAAAAATGCCATCCCCACCTATAAAGTCATGCAAGGCGCTCATGCCACGTATGCTGACGCCGTACGAGCATTGCAACTGGTGAAAAACGATGTGGTAAGCTTCATGGGTTCCCTAATTCAATTTGTGTCAAGGACTAAAATTCCCCGCCCTTTCTTCCTCCGCAATAGAACTTGGCCATCGTGTTGCTGGTCACGGATGGCTTGCCGGATTATCAACCGAGCGAAAGCATTGAGGAAAAGGTGACCCTGCAAGATATCCGAACAAGGTAAGATTACAATCTTTTTTCCATGCCATGGCAATGAATTATGCCCAGCAAAGAAAACAAACTGATTTGGGTTCTTCCCTTAGTTTACTCATTCGCTTACGGCTGATGGTGCCATTTGTGTCGCTTATATGGGAGCATCCCTTGAAAACGGAATGTGATATTCTTGAGTGGATCCAAGTGCTGGTTCCGTTGCTGGTGGTAAGATGTTTGGTATTGGGATGCTGTGCAACCTGCTTGAAATACTAAGCAATTGTATGTCTCAGAATCCTGTGGTTCACGGCAACGGTAAACAGGAACGATTTTTTGAATTTGTATTGGACTTTGTCTCTTTACTCATTGACGGTAAACTTGCTTTTTGATGATGATGAATGATTTGTCACCCGAAACTCAACATTCTTTACTATTATTCAGAGGTGCCAAAAGATCTTCGAAAAGCCAACCTTAATCAGTTATCGGTAAGAGAAAGAAGAAAACATTACAGCGCGTTTATTATTCAGATTTATATTAAAACTCTTGGGGTATATGTAGTCAATGCAAACGGAACTGTCTTCTGTTCCTGCGATATTCCACAGTCGCTTAAAACGAATCTTGCCATTTTTAACCCACAATATATACCTTACGAGTACTCGAATTGGGTCTGCGCTGCTGGGATTATCTCCCGCGGTGGATCCACAACAACAGCAACAGCATCTGGAAGCATGCTTGGATCAGTCAAAACCTTGGGAGTGGCTGGAAGACTATATGAGCGATCCACCTCATGACAATGACGTGCCTGTGAACTTGGCGATATTCAATGCACGAAAATCCAAACGTGCGGACGGCACGTATATACGATGGTTCAAGCATGGATTTGATGAAGGGTTTGCTTCGGATAACAGTGAAGCCAGTTGGCGGGTGTGTGCCATGGGAAAGTATCGACCTCAGTCGAACAGACCGACAGACGATAATGGATTCAACTTTATTGTCACGGATGATGAAGAAATGCCTGATCATCACGGATCGTCCGCAAGCACACCGAGGAAACGACCGCTGGACATGGAAGAAGGCGAACTGTTACAATAATTTCCACTTATTTTTTCATTTTATTATTTTTTGGCTCATTCTATTTTTCTTTTATTTTTTAAAACTGCATTTTTTATGTAATTTTCCATTCTCTATCTGGTTGCGCCAAGATGCCTTGGTGGCGCACACCTTCCTTGCCATTCGTCAATTGGTATGACGATTCCTGTATAATACACACAACCTTTCAATGCGTCATCTCTTTTTAAAAATCTCTTGCTTGACTCTGTTCATTCATCATGTGTGCCTTGTGGCGATCAACCATCGTGAATATCCGTAGAAATGCATCACCTGGAGCCTTTATTCTAAATTTGTCTTGATTCATGTCAAGCTATCGCTCGGTAACAACCGACTTATACGGCCAGACATGTTTTACAAGTATTTCTGGCCTAACAGTCGTCATACTGTTCACAGTCAACATATGGTTACATGTGGCGTAGCCATGCATGAATGGGAAGAGATATCCTCATTGTGTAAAGACGCATGAGTGACTCATTAATTTCTCTACAACCTTTAAGAATGCTGGGTTTTATGTACAGTATCAACAATTCAACTACTGCATACCTTGTGATCAAGATCTCCAAATTTGCAGAGGGCAAAATAAATTCATCCATTACGATTAAATGCACTATCATAGGAAATGGACAGTGGAGCATGACTGACCATACGATCCAGCCACTACATAGTACAGTTCGTTCGTTCTTGGTATGCATGAATGACGTTCAGAAATGTTCGTAAAATCTGATCCTGTTAGTATTACTGCATCACTGGTTTTGGGCAAGTCCTTTGCTATCATAGAAAAAAAGGTAGAAAACAAGGCTATGATTCATTCCAAGCTGCTGCCATTTTTACTCAGTAACTTGGTTAGACCAGCAACTGCGTGATTTTTCGTTTGTTAATAAACTTGCCTTTCGAAAAACGGCTGCCATCAGCTTTGGGCCTTTTTTTACAGCCCATGATCCCTAATAGCTCACTGTCACTAACACCATTGAAGAAACAATTGCATCATCACGGTCATCAGTTTCCTTTTCTCTTTATCATTTGCAATGCATACCATACGCATGTGGTACTATGAAGTATGGTGATTGTAGAGATGTCATTGGTCGAATGCACAAGACGAGTATCCATGGATCATGAGCTCGTTGTGCATAACTTTGTTTAGTTTAGCGGCGGGAAAATTGCATGAATGTTTACCACAGAAAAAAAAAAAAAAAAAGACAGCTGCAGTAGCATGATTAAAGCATTGTTACGCCAATCCTGCTTGACTTGTTCCTGGCTGGTATGCAAAGAAAGACTATTTACGAGTTTAAATATTTTCGTGCACATTGACTTGCAGTAATCTGCAAATAATGGCAACAAAAAAAAGGATGGTGACGCAGAAACACGCCATTTGTTGGTTCCTATATCGGGAAAGGGTCGGATGGACAATTGTAGCTAGGTAACCATTGCCAGCGTGTCACGAAGGGGGGAAAAAAATGTGAGGATCGGCACGGCACAACGCATCAGGAGATCATGAAGAGGCGTAGCAGCGCTGACTTTATCTAGAAAATATGACTAAAACTGTACAAATCTCCATCGTCTAAACCTTTCTCGAGACCCAGTGTTGATGCAGGGTGGAAAAAAAATTTTGCACGCAAGGGTCACTGCAAGAATGCTTTCTGTAAGCCAAAACATTAATTGCCAAGCATTGAAATTCTGTCTTGCAAAATTTATTTTCTGGATACCATACGAAACAAGGTAACTACATCCCCTGGCATACGCCAATGCTTGGAGAACGGCAATGATCAATGCTAACCTCGGCCTCCAAATCTTGTCAAGCCGGTCATGACGGCTTTTTTTTTCTCCTGGAAAGCAGTCGGGTTAGCTCGTTTGCAAGCTTATCCTTTTTTTTTTGCAGAGTGTGACGTCGAGACCAAGTTATTTTTGAGTACATAGTCTCCTTTATGCCAAACTGTAGTCGACGGCAGTGGGTTCGGAACCAGTCTGATTTTTGCTTTATTTTCACAAGAATTACATTGGATAAAAAAAAAATAGGTAAAAATGAATGGGGTATTTACAAGGCTGAACCATCGGTGCGACGTTCAACGTCTCTGTCTGTTGGCGAGGCGGGGGAGGTGGAGGATTTGAGTTGATGCTGAGCAATGAGAGATTCCAATTTCTGAGCATGAGCATAGCGGCAATACCCCATGGCCAAACTCCATTGCCATATCAGTCGCCGTCGTCGTGCTTTATTGTTGCGCCAGTACCGACTTAACTGACTTTGTTGACTGGAGTCGGTGGAAGAATCGATTGTTTGTTTCTCGTCGTACCACGAAGAGGGAGGGGAAAAGAGGGTGGCCATGGAATTATCGCATGGTTGAGATAAAGTGGAGCAGTAGGAATGCGATTGTCGGCATAAACTTCGTTCCGATATCGGTGTGATGCGAGGCGAACAACATTGATATGGCCAGTGATGATCCATCATGGCTTTCATCCAAACAAGGCGTAACTGTTGCCGCTCATGTCGATCTTGTTGATCTCTTCGCCGTTTCCGTCGCCAAGATATAAATCGAACAATGTACACTATGGCATATAAAGAAAATAGCGCCACGGCAGTTATCCGGAAATACGATTCCACATGTTCCAACCGATTCACTGAAGGCGACGCAGACGTTTCGTCCAATTCCGCTCTTCGGATGGGTGGCATGATTGAATTTCAAATGCCCCACACTATTATCTATGTAAAGATGTATAAATATGTATATAAAAAAAAAAGAAAAAGGAAAAATAAAACAAAAAAAAGCCCCAAATTTAAACAATTGGGAAAAAGACGCTTAAAAGGACGTGCATTGGTTTTTTTTTTTTCAGTAGGATAGCATGAATTAAGTGTTGGGTGGTTTACGTTGCAATGATAAATCAGCTTTTTTTTGGGGGGTGTGGGTGTGGGTGAGGATGGGGGAGAGAAAAAGAGAAAGAGGAGACAGATAGACTGACAGACGGATGAACGGATGAACGAACAAATGTGGAGACAAAGGAGGAAAAGAGGAGACATGAGGGAGACCCAAAAGAAAAAAAAAAGGGATGAAGATCATAAGACAAATCGACTTTTCGCAACCAAGACCGATTATACAATGGTATTTACATTATCACTTCTTTTTCTTCTTGGGGTCCCTTTCCCCCAAATCAATTTTTTTTTTATTATTATTTCCCAAGTTTGCCGAATACCAAACTTTCCCAATTCACCATTTCCATCCAAAAGGGCAAAATCCAGTAATGATCATAAAAAAGGGAAAAAAAAGCAGACTTTCCAAGTCAAATGATGGCACGATTACATAATGGATCCTATTTCAATGGAGAAAAGGAACAAGAAAATATACAGAAAAAGGATAAAGATAAAAGCCATTAATCACACGATTTGAAAAAGAAAAAAAAATGAAACAGGTTATATCATATTGAATGAAAAAAAGGGGATCCCAGGAAACACTTCTTGATTTTGGTTTGTTGGTTTTCGTGTTTTTTTCCTTTTCAAGTGCTTGCAACTTTGAGAACACGGACGCAAGCATTGACCACATCGGTTGTTTGGCCAATGGATTGACAGCAATCCTCAAACCCGTGCTGCCATGACATTTCCTGCAGAGTGATGTCTGCCAATGCCTTGAATAAAACCAAGGTGATCATGTACGTTTGCGCAGGTTCCATTACAACTACTGAAGCATCCGCAAATCGAAATGTCTTGATCAAGTCCACAATGTCCTTTTCCAGAGCAATATCAACGCCAATTTGTGAACGGATAAGATTGTATCTATGAATATTAAAAAAAAAAAGTCGGGCGAAAAGGTTAGCCATTTGGATTTCCAATGCAATAATCGTCATGCCAGAAAGTTTTTGGCCCCCAAAAAAATTACTTACGTTTCGAGAATGCGCTCACTAAAGATTTGACACCGCAACAACACTGTTTCGTCCAGTGATTCATCATGAAGAATATCTGCCACCTGGGGGGTTTTGCCTTGATCTAATTCGGTCAAATATTGTCTCGTGGATTTCGTTGTCATTCGGTCCACCACCGTCCACGTCTTGCCAAATAGTGACATTTCTGGTTCCCTTTTCTTCTTTTTCTTTGTCGTTGGTGGTTTTTTGGCATCTTTCGTCACTACATTAATCACGTTGATGTTGGATGGATCTGATGAGAGCGTGGTCGTCACAGGGGACAGACTTGCATCACCGGCAGATGGCTTTCTTGGAGGATGTGAAGATACTGTATTCGCCGCATGGGATGATGTAGCAGTGGAAGATGAAGATCGTCGGCCGGAGGAAGGCAACGGCTCCTTAGAAGGCGGTGATGGATTGGACCCTGGCTGCGAAGGACTTGACGCTTGCTGCGAAGGACTTGACGGTGCCTGTGATGAATTCGACATTGGCTTTGACGGATTGGGCGATGGTTTGGACGATGATGTTGATAATGGTTTCGAGGATGACTTGGATGGGGGCTTTGGTTGAGACGATGCTGCGGCGGCGCGCTGTTCATTGGGATCATCCAGTTTCATACTCTTTAGTAACATCATGGTCTCCATAGCGTTTTCCAGAATCGCTTCTTCATCATCTAGTGGAGTATTCTCATTTAATGCGGTGGCTTGAGCCAAAGCATCGTTAGTCAATACCATGGTGCTCGGCTCGGTCGACGCTTCCTCCCCTTTGCGCATCGTGATTCGATATCCTTCAATAGCGTCATGCACACCAGCACTCGGGATAGGTGCCTGCGGTGCTTTAGACACCGTTTCTATAATTTCAATGCCCTTGACACCGTCATGTGCTGGAACGTTACCGAGCATATGCTTTACATAATCGTGCTGGATTTCCCGTAAACTGCGTCGCCGTTGGGACCGTTCCTTTTCTTTTGCCACGGCACATCTTGTCAAAAAAAAAAAAAAAAAAAAAACAAAGAAGGAGAATGTAAGAATACTTGGCCTTCAAACCGATCAAGCGCCATGATACATAAAAGAGAAGAGGCATAATGCTTACTTGAAATCTTGATCGAGTGGTACAATGTGAATTTTGGGAACTTTGCTGGCATCGCGCATCCATACTGGATCTTGGGCCAGTTGCAGGGAGTAATATCTGGATTTCTGAAAGCATGCTTCTGAGCAATACGATGCCAGTTCCGATTGATCAAAGACTTTGCGTTGAGAGAGCGAGATCCGGTACCGAGGCTGTTGCTTTTGCGGCGTTTGATCGCATAATGGGTAGCCACAGAAATCCTGGACCACCCGTTCTTCAATGACTTCATCGTACGTCTGTGATTGAAGCCAACCCGCTGCTTGTCGTAATGTCGCCTCGCTCACTTGACGATGTGAAAACAGCTTTTCCTGCCACTCAAACACCAGCACCTGCGTCCGCAGTCGCTGTTGCGCACTTGACTTGACAAGAGACACTTTCGCCGTCATTGGTTGAGCTGTCTTGGCTACCGTTTTCTTCTTTCTTCTTTCCGCGGGTATAGAAGACATCCGTTTTGATATTTCACTTCTTTTAGCAAGGTCAGGGAGGACTGATCGTGCTTGCAAAAATAGTTTGAGCTTATATAGAGATATGATCGACCCACTGTGACTGGCCTCCCTGCTGAGCCAAAACGCTGTGCCCATGTTATGCCAATGGCAGAACTCACGTCAGCCAATCATTCAGCACAGTTAATATACAGAAAATTCACCACATCCTCCCCAACTAGAGGCTTTAGAAGCATCCTATTTAGAAAGAGACCCTACCCTTTTTCTCTATAAGTGTAAAGAAGAATAAAAATGAAATGCAATTCGATGAAAAATGTTTCTACTGTATTGTAATAAAAACAAACGAGCGGACGAAAAAAGGGTTCTTTTTACATATTGTACAATATATCACTCCTTTGAGACATGTATAGATGCGTTACGTTTGATTGATGGATCTGTTCAATATATACCATTAGAGATGAGCCTTAATTTTCTTTTTCATGCCTGCAACATACCTGGAAACACTTTCGAAAAGACGTTCAATGTCTGTGGCGCATCGCGTGAACGAATGATTCCAAAAGTTGTATCTCGGATTCTTGATCAGTTCAATAAACGTGATGAGCAAACCCCAAGGATGCGGTCGATTCACAATAAGACGTTCGAGCAATACTCGGGTAATCTGCTCCTTGATCACTTCCTTGCTACCTTCTGCAAACAAGTAAAGTAAAACACAACTGAAATAATGTGTGTGGCTGTTGGGATATCTCAGCTGATTAGCAATAGCGCTCAAGAATAGATAGCGACCTAAAAGAGAAAAAAAAATATGCCATTCATAAGTGAGTCAACTGGGTTCCAATGGCATTCCTTTTTTTTTTTTACCTTCGGAATCCAAGGCACCAAGAAGATATTGATACAGTTCCATGGGCGCTCCTTGATGAACAGGTGTTCCATTGCCAATGGCTGTGACGCCAACGTAAAACACAAGAGCATTGATCAACGGCACATTGTATTCCGGTTCGTTTGTATCTGTTTCCTCATTCGTCGTCATACGCAGACGACTTGCAAAGTCTCTGAGGAATTCCTGTCGTGCCGCGGACGAAGTCGATTCCAAAAAGGTGTCCACATCCTCTTTCAGATGGTTGACCTTGAGCGGCGTAATGTAGTCGGACAGGATGCGCGGCGATTGATTGATCTCTGGCAACAGATCTACCTTCAAATTGGGGGTAAACGGATCTGGGAGCCGCATATTTCGAGGGAAGGCACTCAGGATGAGATTCCGGAGTTGAATGCACGATGCAGGAATTACGTCGCAGAGACTGTAATGATAATCACAAAGGAACTCGGGGAAATCATGAAGAAGCACAAGCAGGACACGCAAGGTACCGCGATACAACATACGTGTCGTGTCACGAAGTTCCACACTTCGTAGAAACGGAACCAAGAACTGGAATAAGCACACTAACAACTTTTGGAAAGTTGCCCAACCCTGCCAAGTCATAGGAAGAAAAAGGTAGAGTTAGTCATCATGCTGGAAATTGTGCTCTCTTTAAAAAAGTGTCATGATCATTGACTCACCTTTTGGCCTTCGGTCAGTAGGAGTTTCGGCATAAATAAGCGATGTGAGATGAGTTGTAACCAAGCAAAAGTGAATCCTGGGATGTGGGAAGGTTGCAGCGCGTGGAATGTGTTGGCCAAGGCGGTCAGAAGAGGGATGTAAATGGGCTGAATTTGTTGTTCTGCCACATGCAAATCACCCAGTAAGCTGGTAAAGATTCGCAAAAACGGTTTCTGGTTAAACTGCTGCGCGCGAGTTTCATGCTGTTGAGCCAGGGCCAGCACAATGATAGACAAAATCTTGCTGAATTGGTTCACTTTGGAGGCATTCTGGTTGGGATTGGGCGATTCCGCCGGGAGCTGAACGAGAACCACGATCAGTTTCGACAAGGCATCAATGGGTTGGTACGCCAGATTTGGAGATTGCCCCGGCAACGAATTGTACTTGTTCGCATGATCCACGCATGTTTCAACACATAACCGGAAAAACATGGACATCACGTCTTCCGATTTCAACACATTCTGCTTGGGCAACTGCGCAACGAACGCGATTTGCGCTTTCTCCGTCGTCGAGGGATGCTGACACAATCGTACCCAATCGGCAAACAACGACCGCAGTTTTTCTCGCATCACCGCTTCTTCGTCTTGAGGTTCTTTGGCCGCCGCTGGTTGACCCAACCGACGCATGTCTTCCATCAGCACAAGCACACTGTCCGGAAGCTTACCACGCAATCGGCCGAGAGCTTCAAGCGAAGCGGAAAATTCTTGCCGCGTTGCCAATGGAGGTTCGTCAAAAAAGCAAGCGCGAATCAATCGCGCCGTGAAATCAATTGCACTGGGTCGTCCACTATCGATCAGAGCCGCTAATTCTTGATCTTGTTCCATGAGGTTGATTAAGCCTGCCTTGATCAACGTCATCGTGACAGGAACATTATACTTTCGTTCATCATCGGCATGCGTGAGCCAAGACGTCACCAGCGTGCCCACATTGGGTGACACGTCGCACAGGCGTTCCAGTAACACCACATACATCTCGATCGACAGCTGGGTTTCGCTCTTGTACAGCAACTGGACCACTTTCTGGGCGAACGTCCTTGCTGCTTCCACCTTGTCAAAGCTGGACATTGCCAACAACGGAATTTGGCGGATAATCACTCGGATATCGTGAAGCGGGGGCAACGCACTCAAGCTGGCGACATTAGTTTGACTAGCGAGCTTTTTGAGTTCGTTGATGTATTGCGCAAACCGTTCCAAGATTTGATGCGCACTGACTTGACCCACGGGACTGTCGAAACCGCCGACCGCATTACCACCGACCACAGGCATCGCCGCCCCATTGTTTCCGTAACCATAAGGTACACCATCGGCTCGATTCACACGTTGGACCCGATCCACATCGTAAGCTTGCGTGGTCGCAGGCGCGGTTCTTGGAATTCTTGCAAAGTCTTCATACACGCGCAACTGAGCCGGTTGCAGTCCATTGGGTTTGGGACGAAGCGGTTGCGGAAGTGTCGCTGGATAACGGGACATGGACAAGACATCCATATCAAAATAAGCATGATTGGTCCGTTGCTCCCGATGTTTTTTCCGACTGGCATAAGCACTTGCCAAGGCTTCATCGACTTCAACAATAGCTCGTTCCACTGCAGCTTTTTCAATGACTGCACACACCAGATCCAGATTATCAGCCACCGTCAGCAACACTGCTTGTTCAGATAAAGCCTACAATAACAGATTTGGGCCAGTTGTTAGAAAACTTCATCATAACGGGTTCATCTTAAAGATTTGATAAGGCTTACATCCGTCATTCCGTGAGCCACAAATACAGTGCGTAGATTAGTGACCATACTGAGACGCAAAGGTTCTTTGCTTGTGACCATGGCCAAACTGCCAGCGAGATTCTGTACCATCAGGTGGGCCGCTTTACGTATTTTATTTTCGTCTGACTCCATGGCAAAATCCTTGCTCACCAGATCCCGGGTCGATACAACCGCAATAGCCACTGACCGCTCCACCACGGGAGCAATGACCTACAGGAAAAAAATTGCAGCAAATGAATACCAAGGAAAAAAAAGGGGAAAACTTATTAATTTAAACCAAGGTGCTTACCTCGCGGATCGATTCAGTGATGGCTTGGAGGATCCATCTTTTGGAAGCGGGCTGACTGGTATAAAGTGGGATTTGTGGATTGAATGTAATGTAGGGAGCCAGATTCGGCAAGGCGATCGGAAATTCTTCAGTGCCAACCACGGAAGTCGGTTCGGCTGCGGCAGGATGGAGGGTACCACTGCCCGGTACGCGAGCGCGTACAGCAAACGGCGATTCCGTCGTAGCACCGAAAACCCCCGGTAACACTTCTTTCGCAGCCTGATCCTTACGGCGACGATCCTTGAGTACCGAAGTAGCTTCAATATCTACCAAAAAAAAAAATCACATGAGCCTCATCGGTATACATCACGGCTCAACGATATAAAATTTACCATTCAATTCCAAGGATAGGCTTTTGCAGAGGACCTCGATTTCAAATTTTAAGTTCAATTTGAGATCGGCAAACTGGTACAGTTCTACCAGCAATTTCAAAATGGCCATAAGCCATGGATTGGGCGGCCTGAATACACGACTTTTGCCACACTGTTCCAAGACTTTGCACACAAATGGAATGACCACAATCAGACGGTTATTGTCATAACCTTCCAATAATAGATCCTATCAGCAAACCCCCCAAGAAACACCGTTAGCACTTGTGTGAATGGAATGCATTCTAAATCATATGAAGAAAGTAGCCTTACCTTGAAAGCGATATTTTTATGTTTAATGGGTTTGTTTTTTGCCAGTGTCATGCCTCCCAACCACGCACCCAGGTTTTTCAATAAGCTACGTTCTGAGGAAGACGACACGGTCTTTTCAGAGTTCAAGAGAATTTGGATGTTCACATAGGTCTCGCGCAGAACATGCTGGTTGAGCAATTTGCTGTTGACGGAATCCAACAGTAAAAGATATAATTGATGGTAATTCGGTTCAATACTGGCTCGTTTCACCACCAGGTAATTGCTGAACCACTGATACGCCGATGCATCCAGGACTTCTTTGAGTTCAGAAACCTTGCTTGCGAGGTTGTTCTGCGCCACGTTGTTGATGATGAACAAGATCTTGTCTTGTTTAGCCACGTTGGGCGCTTCGTACACGAGATTGGTTTCCGGCGTCGGTACCTCTGGCACGTGAACGGCAGCGGTTGACATGGGCTTGATCGATTTGGCCGAGTCGGGTTTATCATTGATGGTAGGTGGACGCACTTGAGGCACTTGCAGCACGGGACGATTATCCATGTGAGCTGGGTCCAACTGCAAAGCAGAGGTGATGACGCGGTACAGGTCTTGGTTGGCTTGCTGAAGATCCGGAATCTGTAACAAGTGCGAACAGTACTGAGGCCATTCGGGAAGTTGCGATTGAAATTGGACGAGAGCTTGCAAGCCAAAGTTGAACATCTTGGATCCCAAAGGCTGTCGTAACGATTCAAGCACGCAACGCAAAGCGATTCCCAAGGGAACATTGGACACGAGTTTGTGTTGAATCAGTGACCCAAACAGTAGGCTGGTAATGGAAAGTTCTTTCTCTGGATATTTGGGGAAAAAGTGGAACTCGTCAAACAGATTATGAATCATGCAAGCGAGCACATCTTGGTCGTGAGGGTCTTTGGAAGCATGGAATTCCTTGAGTTTTTCAATCAGTTGATCTACCGATATTTTTTCGCTGTACACACGTTCGTAGTACGAGTTGGCTTCTGCTTCAATCTCAGGTTTGAAGTTCGTTTCGTTGGTGGGGGTTTCGGTGGCTTCAGGCATTGGACGTAAATTCGCGATGGAAGGATATAGCTTTACGCAAGCATTATACACTTCTTTCAGAGCTTCACGGTTTTCCGGACGTTGCGTACTAATATAACGTAAACAAGTTGAGAAAAAAAAAGGGTGAGTCAATAATGAACAAAAAGGTAAAGAGAGAGAGAGAAAAAAATCCGGCGTACTTTTCAGAAAGAATGCGTAAGAGTTCACTAATAGCTTCTGGAGTGAGCGGCACCGTTGTCGGTGCACTATTGACAGTTTTAGAGACCGCCGAGATTTTCTGTCGGAGGAAATCGAAGCATGCCAGTGCCATCAGCTCCTGTCGCTCCTTGAATTGCCCCTGCAGCCAAGTTTCTAGTGAAAAATCGGGTTGTTGAAAAGCCATCATGGCCAAATCCAAAGCCAAGAATAGTGGGACCGTATTGATCAATGTCGGTAACAGCTAGCATCATCATCCAAAAACGGTTATTCATGTGTCACACATAATTATTCATGATTTTCAATCACGTACTTTTAGCTGGGCCGCCACGTCGACAATGCATGACAACGTGTTCTGATCTCTTGTGTACATTTCAAGAATCGCTTGCTTGAAAAACTCGCCATTAATTTTGTACAGCTTGGTCAAGACGAGTTTGCTCGCCGCATTTCCCGTCAATAGAGCCGTCAATAACTGTCGCAGCAGCAATTGATGCAAATCATTTTTGATCGGCTAATTTGTATTCCATGCAAAAAAATCCGTCAGTATGACATTAAGAAAAGACGAGGGTTGCAAACCTACTTGTATCTGGGTAAGGCCTAAAAAGACCAATTCGGGACCATTGTTGATCATGATTTCCAGGAATAATTTGGCATCGTCCGCCACGTAAGTTTCCCATAAATTCAGTACGCATTCGATCAGTAGCATAGAATTTAACGGCGAGTTCACAAGTTGCGATGCCATGGCTTGGATCTCACTGGAACACGGGGCAAAATCGTCGATTTCAATTATTCTTCGCTTCGTCGCCATTGCAACGTTAAAGGTTTCGACGGGCACATTGATCAGTTTATGCAATACACTTAGTTGACCCTTGATATTTCTCCACGGTCTGAAAAAGTTGTCCACGGGGAAAAGCTCCATGCCCTAAAAAAATGGGACATGATCAGCGGACATGTCCTTTTTTTTCGCATAACTCATCGCTCCTTAATGAAAATAATACCTTTGGACAAGTCTTCCAAGCAGTTAATAAAATTTGCAGTCCTTCGGCATCGTAGAGGATGAAACCTTCGTAATCGAATGATTGAAATACTTTTTCCCAATCCAAATCCGAATTCTATTCATGCAAAATGTAGTGGATGAGACAGGCTGGTACCGTTATCGTCATTCACAAAAAAAATCACGCACCATGTCTTTGACGGCCTTTACAAAGGTTTCCACGTTCCATTTTCGAGTGCCTGTTTTGGTATCCTTACTGTTCGTCTCGGTGCTTGTACTAGCCATGCTGCCAACGGTTTGAGCTACATCTTGTGGTTCTATCGGCCGTTTCAATTTGGAAATAATGTCTTTGATCATCGAAGGCGCATTCAGACAGTCGGGACCGGCTTCAATGACCATTTTGCCAAGCAAATTCTCATTGGTATCAAAAGTGTCGTTCCTTTTTTTTTTTTTTTCATGCATAAAAATTGGACGTCAGTGTGCCTTCAGTGCCACCTTCCAAATTGTGCATATCACTTACAAAGCCATAGTTGCTTAAATATTGGTGAATAATAGGGTTGTGTTTCTACCGTTCCAACTCTGGTCAATGGTACGTGTAACAGGCTGTTGTTCTGTCAGCGGTATTGGTGCAAGGAATTGTAGGCTTGATTCCGTAATCAGCAAGGATACAACACTGCACTAAAAATGAAATGCATGGAGAAGAACATGGTTAATGTTGGATTGTCTTACGCAAGTTGGGCCGACAATACGGCGTGCTACCTGTTTTTGCAGGAATGAGAGGAGCGTGCTTAGAATGGAGGGTTAAATATACGTATTCGATAGATGGTGACGATGTTGTGTATGTCAATCTATACGCCCGCCGTAGGTTTAACGAATGGTTAGGCTTTCTCTGTTGTGCAATGGGGCTGAGCGCAGAAGGAGGTGGGACTATACCGATGATGGAAAGTAGTATGAACGGTTCGGAAAAATCTCGCGTTCGATTCCACAAGTCAACAGTCAAATACGGTGATTAGTGTTTGGTATCCTTTAGTAGCGTTCTGAAAGGATGAAGGACAAGTCGGTGTTGATATACAGTATCCTCGTTCAAGGTGGCACAGTCAACGATGGCGAGAAGTATTATAAGAAAAAAGAGACTTAAAGCGTCAGCACCAGCACTTCTCGCTTGAACGCTGGATTTCTGCCCGACGTCAAATCGAGTCACATTTCAACCCATTATCGGCATCATGGTTTGTCCAACCCATCTCCTGATTGTATTTTCGTTCCACGGTGAGAGTCTATTCAAAACGTGTTATTGCATTCGTTATAACACACAACATACAGAGTAACAATGATATGGCGGCCACAATCTTCATCAAGAAGATAGACTGCCTCCTTTTTATTATGTGTCTAGTTTTGGGTTTTAGTGAGCTGCTACTTCATTGATTTCTTCAACCACACCGCGAATCTTTCGATTCTTGGGTTCAACAAGGTCTAAACGCATAGCATATGCATCTTCTCCGTCGGCATAATACTTTTTTTCGACATCATGTACACTATGGAGAAATAGAGTTCTCCTGTCAGACATGGGGTTGTCCAAGCAATGATTTTTTCCACGTCCCAACTTAATCTCACCTGAAACGCAGTGTGTCTCTGTACAGACCGATAGCGGCTCGGTTGGTTTTTCGTACGTGCAAGGAGACGTAGTGAGCGCCGAAAACTTCGACCATCTGTTGTGTTGCTTGTTTCATCAATTTCTCTGCAAGACCAAGACGTCTGTATGTGCGCATGACCGACAGTGATGTGATATGACCGTGGGGAACATCGGTGGGCTCTTCCTCCCTTTGAACCAAAAACTGTCAGAATAACCATGGTCACGTCGGGTCACTGAGTAATAAAAGACTTACATTTTGGCCAACACATAGCCGACAATTTTACCGTTATCGTCTTCGGCTACATAGGATAATTGTGGCCAAGATAATGCGTGATAGAGGTCTGAAAATACACTGCATTAGTCAACACTGACTTTGGTATAATACATTCCTTCTACTTGCAGTATTTCATTTGGTAGTTTTCGGGAAGATCGAGCAAGTTGCAGTTTTGCACTGCCATGAGGTCTTCGGTCTACAAAAGGTGCGAGAACTCAGAATACCGCGGTAAGTGTAAAGAAACCGTAGGAAAGACAACTTACTGTGGCGTTTCTAATATTCATTCTGTCAAAACCAGTCTGTCTGTCTATGAGATGGGCTTCGCAGTTGGGAAGGGCTTCAGACACTGCAGCAGCAAGCTACTGCGTCATGTCCAAGCCACTGCTGGTTCGTCCATCCGCGACTGGGATTCAAACACCGCCATGGCTCGGCTCTTTACCGCTTTTCATGGAACCGTTGCATATAGACCATGTTCAAAAGGTGAATAAGAAGAAAGACAAAAAAAGCAGTTACAAATTACGATTCCTTGACCATTGACCAACAATGTACTACTGCAGCTCATTGAGGAGCTCTACAGCTCGACTGATCCTCAGACAGCCAAGCAAATACAAGAACAACTGCAAGCGATTCAACGGCAACCTCAAGCATGGTCTATAGCGTCTCAGTTGCTTTCTTTGCCGGTAACTATTTGCACTGGACACCCATGCCTTACGAAGGATCTGTTATACGACGCCAATTTGGTTGACGGCATGCTCACACGATTTATCTAGTCGGATCATTGTCGATTCTTTGGCGCGCATACGTTCCAAATGAAGATCGTTCGCGAATGGTATAGTGACACTGCACGAATTAGATACCAGCTTCATGTATTAAGTGCGGACACGCAGGAATTCTTTGCCTGTGGAGCAGATTGCCTGGCTTCGTGAAGAATTATTAACGTGGATTGTACGCTTATGCTCCGGCCCGAACTTTGTCACGACCAAGCTGTGTCTTGCGGTAAATGTCATGGTTTATCAGGGTCCAAATGTGGATGGGGGATTTTCTTGTTTATGCAAGTTTTTTTTTTTTTTTCTTTTCTTTTTTTTTTAGCTTATCAGTTATGCATTTCACACAATTCCTGATCATTGGAGCCAGTTCATCCCCGAAACGGTCAATGCGTTACATGCGGGAGCACAAGTTTATGGATTTCCCGCCTCCACCATTCAGTATATCATTCTCGAATTTCTGACACTGGTGCCCGAAGAAATTTCAAATGCAGACATCTTGGGGGGTCAAAAGTAGGATTTTCCCTCTTGACTATTTTGGCGGGTGTAACTCGAATAATCATGAATTTTGACTCTTTGGGTTCCTTTATTTTGCAGATCACGATTAATCCAAGAACTAAAAGACAGCATCCCGCTCGTTTTAAGTACCCTGTCTTCATTTCTTTTGCCGACCGATCAACCAATGCCGATCTCCATGCAACAAAAGGCCCTCAAATGTCTTCAAAGCTGGATCCAATACGGCATTCCCATGGAGTAAGTTCCATATCTACCGGCCAAAGTATGTCATTTTATTGATCCCACTCTTGTACAGGGACGTGTATCCGCTTTTACGACAATGTATGCTATTTTTGGGCCACGAAGAATTATTTGAGTCGGCAGTAGAGGCGTTATTGGAAGCCATGCAGCAGATGGATTGGGCCAAATATCTCACCTTGCGTGATGATCTTTTGGATTGCTTCGCGAGTGACATGGTCACACAACGTTTCAACGAGTGTATTCATGGTAAGCAGCAATGAGCGCTTTAGTGTTTGGAAATACACACACAAAAGATATGATGGGGCTGGTGATGGTTTTTGTTGCTCATCTTATTTACCTTTTTTTTTTTTTTTTTTTTTTTTTTTTTTTTTTTTTTTTTTTTTACAATTTATTTATCTGCAGAGGAAGATGAAGATACTGGCAAGTTATTGGCTCGACTGTTTTGCACTTATGGCGAGACCTATACCGATTTTGTGGCCATAGGATTGGCCAATCCTAAAGTGAATTTATTGATGAGCATGATTATGCAGTTAACGTGTTTTCATGGTCATTTCCCGGTGGATGAAGAAGTGTCGGATATTCCTCTCAATTTTTGGTACGTCCTTCAGGAAACATTATTTGATAATGGCATTATACCCGTACGTCAATCCGTCACCGTGACGGACGGTGATGACGATGTGTCCCTGGAACGAGCGGAAAGCGAGCAACAAGCACTGTGGCATCGTCAAGCAGGCGAGGCGGCGCTGGTGATCTATCGTCAGCTCGTTTCCACGCTTCTGATCAAAGCCGCATTTCCAGAAGATTCCGTCTGGAGTATATGGACAAAAGGTGGGGTTACAAACAGGCGTCATTGAAAAGCAGACAACTCATTGGCAAACCGTCCTGTATGATTCCTTTCTTTTTTTTTCGATATATTCAGATCACAAAGACAGATTCAGACGATATCGAAGGGATGTAGGCGATACAATGATTAACCCCTACTTTGTCTTACGAAACGACATGCTGGCCATTGTACTTGATCATGCCGTCACCATTTTAAATCAGTGGCAATCCAGCCAAACATCATCACAGGTAAACTATGGAATTGGGAAAATCGAATAGCACAGGATCCGCCCAACAACTCAGCACACCGTTTAGACGCTCGAGGCTGCATTTTTTTGCCTCAAAAGCATTTCGGAAGAGGTTCCTACAGAAGAAAATACTCACATTCCCGTGTTGTTTGGTCCCCAAATCCTCGGACGCATGCCCTCCGATTGTGATGCACGATTACAGACCACCACATTGCTTTTGATTGGTAAGATGCCAACAGTTCCATGTAAAATGATAACGGTATTGATGCAGCCTTTTTTTTCTAGGTTCATTATCGGAATGGCTAAAAAATCATCCCTCCTTCCTACCTTCCGTCATGAATTACATTGTTCCCTGTTTAAGCTTGCCTCGATTAGCACCTGCCGCCGCCAGTGCCTTTGCCGATATATGTGACGCATGCAGAGAATCGTTGTTGGAAGCATTGCAGAATTTGATGCATGTCTATGGTGCAATGTCAAGCTCCAATATTGATGTAAGAAAAAGTGGCCCCTGTCATGCAACGTGTTTACGTTCTCATCGCTCATTGGATGTTCACTAGTCGAACATTATGCAAAAAGTGGTGGAATCCGTGGCGGATGTCATTCAGGCTTTGTCCCCCGAACGATCGGTTGGTCCATTGATGGTAAACAAAATATACGAAAATGATTAGTAATATAGCGTCCACTAACCCAAAAAAAAAATGGGCAGACATTGACAGGCGATATACTACAAGGGATAGGCAAGGCTTTGCATCTGTTGCCTGAGAATCCGGTATTAGCGCGTGACCTGATTTTGACTCAGCTTCAGTACCTTTCTGCATGCTGTCGAGGCATCCAACCACCGAGTGACGACTATCAAACATTAAGCGCTCGTAACTCGACGTACGATGCATTTGCTTCTGGACAATTACGTTTACAGTATGCGAAAGTTCCTGGATTTGTTGAAATCAGTCAAGCGATTCGAGATTACACGCAACAGATTAGCACGACCTGGAGTCGCGATGAGGAAATTGCCAGGGTAACTATACTTTTCTCAATTGCATTTCGGATTCTTGTTTTTCTAAATTTGATACCCCCCCCCCAAAAAAAATAAGGCTCTCGCACGATTTGTAGAGTCGGGTATCCGGTCCATCAACCCGTTATTGACATTGGACTTTGAAGATCTTTCCTCGCTGGTCGAAAAGAGTTATTCCGATGCACCTTATCCTTGCTGGTTAGATATCGCGAAATTTATGATGACAGTGTATGGAGGTCAAGAAGCGCACTATGCTCGACTTAGAGATCTTTTAGCCTTTTTAACCGGGAAGACATTGGCGTTTATTAACGGTGTTCAAGGTACAGTGGAAATTACCCCACACGCCGGAAAATGCTGTTCGAAAATGACTGGGGAATTAAAAAAAAAAAAAGAGTTGCTTGATACTGATTTTGTTCTGTATGATTTAGCCATGGAAGAACATCCCGATATTGTGGATAGTTATTTCGACCTGCTGTCAGGAGTAAGTGAACGGATCGCATTTTGAGAGATAAATTAAGGGATAGCTTGTGACACAATACGTTAGACGATCCGACGATGTCCATTGGTGTTTTACAATTTACCATTCGAGATGATTGATACGATCATTTTATTTACCATTGCCGGCATGGGGCTCCAAGAACGCTTGGCATTGAAAGCTGCTTTGAATTTTATGGTAACGTATTTCGTGGCGGTTGATCAATGGACTGGGTGACTGAGCTGACATGACGGATGTTACCATATTAGGCCGATTTCGTTGCGCAAGATTATGCGGAGGGAATGCAAATGGCGGAAATGGTAAAATCGGTCATGGTGGACAAGGGATTACATATTATGGAGCAATTATTGGCTGTAAGTGGATCAAACGCGCAAAACCTAGTGCATTCGCGGGAAGATCGTCTTTTTAATATGCGTTTGACTTTTTTTTTTTCCTTTTTCCCTTTTCTTGTCTAAATGACGTATTTTTTATATGAATATATAGGGTTTGGGCGGTCGTGTTCCTCGATCATTCTGTGCACCTTTGGTGGATGTATTATACAAATTGACGGGTCGTTATGTGGAAGCCTGCAGGCACTGGCTCCAGGTGTTGCTTCAGCATGTACGTCGGACAATTGTGCAATGAAAAAAAGAGAAACGTAGTGCGGCCAGAAAAGCTAAAACTCAAACTCCTTTTGTTTAGGAGGGGTTTCCATCGGCTCTTATCAGTCAAGCAGATAAAGAACAGTTTATGAAGGGAGTCCTTGGGTAAATATACTGCTATGCTCACAAAGATTGGAAAAAGGGAAAAGATGGAAAGGAAAAAGTGATGTTAACGAAAAAAAAAAAATTGGTAGTACACGATCACTGAAACGCTTTAAAGAGCATACCAATGCATTTTCCGTCAAGTGCCGTGGTCTAGGCAACACGGCATTCGGAGGGATTTAAAAACTGGCTTCTAAAGTAGAGCATAGAAAAAAAGCATAGAAATAAAACCTGCGTTTGCTATAATTGGTTAACGTGGACGATCGCCAAAAGCCAGCATTGGTGCAACCTTCAATTGTAAGTGTTTTTTTTTCTTTTTTTTTTCAAGTGGCGTGCTGGCAATGTACCCCGCTTCTATTCTCCAGGCACCTATTCCCTTTTTTTTCATTGTTATAATCATTTGATTAGTTTTTTTTTTCCTGTTTTATTGTACTTCTATTACATTTATCTTTTTTTTTTCTTATTCTTCTGGTTTTTCTTTTCGTTTCTCTATTACTTGGCTTGCTATCTTATTGCAATACACTTTTTTTTCGCTTGTTAAAAGTATTTTTGTCATGGTCATGGCAAAGCCGACTACTTTGATCGACTCCTCCGCACTGCCATGGCCCAAAAGTGTGATGGAAACCAAATCCAACCCCGTCCATCTGGCTGCCATTTCCAACTACAAGTTGGCGCAGCTCACGTTTGCTCCTCCAGATGTGCATTCGCTCCACAAGACGGCCGTAATCAAAAATATGCTCGACTTGCTGTACAGAACCACTCCCTCCGAATGGCTCTCACAAATGACTCGCTGGACTTTTCTCACACCAGAGTAAGCATGAACCATCCCATTTCTTTATTATATCATCGTATTCGAGGGAATTTTTCAAACCTAAAAAGTCTTACATCTAAGTGATTGTTTTTCAAAAGGTCGCTGAATGGGAAAACGCCTGCCAACCTGGAGGAAGTGTTTACGCAGTACGTTCAAACCATTGAAGCGTTTCGATCAGTGCAGGCACTGAGTGGTAGTGACGATGACGCGACGGAAGAGGACGATAATAAACCGTTGATACAATTGCAATCAAATGCATCGACGGGTCTGTTCACCCTTCCCAATGCCAACTATTCCAGCGAGTCACTTGAGGTGAAGCCCGCCGGACGACCAGATGACGAAAAAAAGGAAACACGACGACGACGAAGTACTAGGAGTCGGATCAGTTGGACAAGCGATGTCGGTGCATCATCAAATGATTTAACACAGCAATTAGCCAAAGAAATGGTGAATTTGTTTGATATGGATTTCAGAATAGAGTTCCAGATCACCTCCGCTCCTCGCTTTCTAAATTTGGAAGTCGGCAAGCATGAAAAACGACGATCCGAAGCACGAGCATCAATTTCGTCGTTATTGGGTCTAATTCCGGTGTTCGAATCGTACGGTGTGCATTCATCCGATTCCGAACAAGGAGATGAAGGTGAAGGCGAAGGCGGAGAAACCGATGTCGATGCATGGTCTTTTCCTTCACCACCCTCGAGTTCATCGGTCTCGCCAGTCTCTTCCCCAGATACACCTCTGTCGTCGTCTTTGATAACAACAGCAGAAGCAGCGCCATTCCATTTGCCCTCTCTACCTACATGCCCATCCAAGAAAGCTTCCACTCGGGCCCTTCCGCCGGGGCCGCCTATTCCGCTTGGACCGTTGCCACCACCAAAACTGCCGTGTTTAGACCATCAACCACAGATCACATTACCGAAAGAGGAAAAGGAGGCCGGTGCCAGTATACCAGCATCTACCACGCGAGAACGTTTACATAAAAAGTCATCGATTCACAAACTTGCATCCTTTATCGTCAGACGTCGCACAACATCCAACGATGATTTGGTGAAACCTTGCAATGTCAACCAGATGAATTCGCATGCCCATTCTATACCACACTCTCAGCCTACTCTACCGGAACATCTACTGTATAAACCCTTGCCAACCATTCCAACTTTGCATACCCCCACCCGCCACCATCCACTGCCTACACCACCTCTTAGTCCAAGTGCATCCTCCATTTCACCAACCCCCACGGGCGTTCAACGGACGCGCTCCTTTGTGGCATCCGATGCCATTAAAGCCTCGCTAAAACTAACCACTAAATCACGCAGTACACAGCGTTCCAAGGCGCGTGCAAGCTCTATTCACGCTGACAGTGCTATGCAACCATCATGCTTCGTTACGCATACGAATTTACATTCCAATAACGCTGATTCCGAAAAGCATACTCCTATGACCGAACCGACTGGTTCATCCATTAAAAATAACTATAGACTTATGAAAGGAATTATGGCATTAGGAAGACGCATGACGCTACGAAATAAATGACCCAAAGACCCATGTGTTTCCAACCTTCAGTTTTTTGATATGCATCACGATGATACTTAAAATTTTGTGATCATTCACTGTATTTAATGTTCAAATCACTCTTTTGAAAATAAGATTGCTAGTTTATTAGCTGCTGAAGAGGACACAGAGATTATAATGAAGATCATGATGTTTAGCAAATGACGGATTGGAATTGGTCGCGTGGAATATCGATACCGTAGTGAGCGGGGACGATATATACAGATCCGGCACAATCTTTGCCTGTCCACATGGCGCAATGAGTTTTTCCGGTGTTCTTGACATAGGATGCAGGAAATTGATCGGGAAATCCGGTGCAACGGTGATCCGAGCTCAAGATACCCGATTGGGTCTTTCGATTGTCAGAATACAAAACGATGCCTTCACCGCTTCCGAATATAGCGGATGCGTACGGTGTCAATGCAACAAGGACGCAAAGTACAATAGCAACAAATGTGTAGCTGTTATACATCATTGGTGTCAATTCGAGTAGAGGTGAAAAAACAAAGGGTTAAGCCTACAATCATTTATAGATCAAAAAAAAAAAAAAAGAATTGTGAAACCGCGTATGGGTCTTTAAACCCTTACCCTGCGGTTATCTCTCTTTGCTTGCATCGCCAATAGTAACTTGATTACAAAGTTGCTTGTAGATTCATACCTTGAAACGATCAGTTAATGGCATAAAAAAGCTTTACCAGGGATATTTAAAAATATGTATGTTGGAACATCAGAATCGGTCACAGATCATGGCTCGCTTGACTTGGCGTCTTCAATGGTTTTTCATGTTCAGAATACATACATACCAAATATAGTAGCTGCAGTCTGCCGTTGGTCATGTCGCAATGGATCACCCTCTTTTTTACCACAACAAGGCAGCTAGGCCACTGTTCCCACTGGCTGGTGTGCAAAATTGGGCGGCACCCTGCATAGAGTAGCCGGTGCACTGCAAAAACGCAATAAAAACATATGCCAAAACACAACTTTGAACAAAGAGACTCTGTGACTGAGAAAATAAGCGGGTAGAATGACGATATTTAATGTCCTGGAACGGACGATTGAGAACTGGTCCGCTATTGTTCGCTTGTTCCGCGTTGTTGGTTCGTGGCAAAGTGGACGCGATCACGGAAATGCCTGTTTTTTGGTCACTCCATTTGGTTCTCCGCCTATAAATTTCCTCGCACAGAAACAGGGTCTTTCTCTTTCCTCTCTATTGCCGTTTCCGAGCTTCTCCAAGTTACTGCTGACGAAGAATATGCGAGAACAGCAGTCCAAGTCAACCCAACAACGGCATGAACGTATTCTCAACGAGCTTGCGAGAATACCGGGCAACGATCAGTGTGCCGATTGCAAGACCAAAAGTAAGTGTTTCAAACTCTTTACGTCCCGGCGGGTGAACAAAAAAACTCTAATTGGCATAATGGCGAATTTACACGTAGATCCACGATGGGCATCCTACTCACTCGGCATCTTTCTTTGTATCCGATGTGCCAGTCTTCATCGGAAAATGGGCACACACATCTCAAAAGTAAAATCCATTTCGATGGACCGTTGGAGCGCAGACCAGATAGAGGTAACACAGTTTCCACCCGAGAGCGAGAACAGTGCACTCATTGCTTGAAAATTGGCAATCAGACCATGCGACAATCGGGAGGTAATGCGACAGTGAACAGCTTGATCAATCCTCACCCGGAACGACACCCGTTGCCATTGGCTCTTGATGACGATTTGTAAGTGGTTGAGTTTCAAGCTAACAAATCATAGAGAGCTGACTTTTTTCGACGGCTACTATGTGGATAGTGCGATGGAGCGTTACATACGGTCAAAGTGGGAGAAACGATCATTTGCAGATCATCCAGAAACCGTAAGCTGGGCGGGTCTAACGAATATGGATAAAGGGAAAACATAAGCTGATCGTTACTGGATTAGCTAAAAACGGAACCTACGCGATCCGCTTCGGCTCCATTGGTGGGGCACGCCACAGCGCCTGCAAAAGCCCGTTCCTCACCACTTAGCCACAGTCATACCATGCCAGTCGTACCCAATGTGGTCCTGCAACAAGACGTGGTGTCGATGCCTCCAACAACTGCGCATGCTTTTCCTCCCGAAAAAATGGAGACGACCTTCGCTGGACGAAGTTCGCCTTTGACCAATAACAGCTTCTTGCCCACCTATGCCCAGACACCCAGTATTCCTTCAACGACTACCAATCCTTTTCTTGCCTCATCGATGCCACCTTCTCGATCTATTAATCCATTTACTGCTACTTATACTGCCTCACCAGGTACCGTTTTTCAACAATTTCTGACTGTAACGATTGGAAAAACACTGACCCATGTTGCACAGGGCCTATGCATGCATCATTGGATGAGTACTTTGGCCAATCATCGCCTGTTCTACTATCTAGTACGCCAAGCACGAATCCTTTCAAGTCAAGCTCGTCTCTTGGCTCTTCGTTCACGGAAAATTCGGTCTCATTTTCAGGCTTGGATCCTAACATGACTATGAATAGCCCTTTCGCGAATCCTTCTATCATGACGAACCACCACTATCCCTCAGCCACTTACCAGCCGTCCTCCCCCATGAACACATTCAACATGAGCCAAACCAATCCATGGAATGCAAACAGAGATAAACTGTTCCAAAGACAATAAAAGAAATATGCCTTTTATGGTAAAAGCCAAGAAGGAAAAAAAAAATCGGAGCAGCAATAAAAGGGAAAATGTCGTATCTTATTGTTTGACCTTGTTTGAATACCCCGTTTTTCCGCTCTTTGAGAGCGATCTCGTTTATTTTGTATTTATTGATAGTAATTTAGTTGCTCATTGGACGCCATGTCGAATCCTGTGGCGGAATCAGCGCAGTACTTTGCGCAAAAAGAAAAGCAAGCCAATGGTGCTACTCCATGGTCGGACAAGACTTCAGAAAACGTGGACAATGACGACAAGCCAACTCCCGTGGAAGCGTCACACACTCGACGCTGCGCATCGCTTCACAAACAACCATCTCGACAATCGAATCGTCGACGAAGCATGTCTTTCCATTCCTCTTCCTCATCGCGTAACAGCGACAATTTCGAACCACGAGAAAAGTGGCATAAAGTATTCGACAAATTGGCCGCCATTGGCACTATACCCGACGGCGGCCAGCGAGCTTCTTTTCAACGTCATCGTATGGATAGCCATCATAAAAGAGATAGCCAATCGGATGATAGCAATGATCATGATGAAACTTATGAACTGTCTCACACGTTTCGCCATCGACACGGCCATCGACAGGGCCACCCACAGGTCGACCCAGAAGATGATGTGTTACCGGCGCCGGACGAGATAGAAGATCGATCCCTTTTGCGCAGTGAACAAGACGATCGTTCCGCCGAAGAACACAACTATTTTGCCCATCCTTACAAAGAAAAGGACCGTGTAGGTGCCAAACCTGCTACGACGAAAGAGGCCGCTGCCCCCTCTGTACCAACAGAACAAGAAGGGACCCCCACCTCACCTACCTCCGCTATCTCACCCACTAGCGATCAACAAGCACGTACACAATGGGATAAAACGTTGGACAAGGTGCGACTAATTGCTGGGATCCAGACGGCTCAACGTCCTATGAAACCGGTTGTCACCGACGATACCACCTCTCTCGCACCTTACTTTCATCCTGTATTCGACCCGCCTTTTCTTGCCCTTTCCAAAGACGAACACGGCCGAAAATTGGTAATTGAAAACGTGGTACCTTATATTGGCCGACAATGGCATGGCTCATTTTTTTATCTGCCTTTTTTCCGGTCTTTTTTTTCTTTATTATTTTCGCCGTTTAGCCCCCCATTCTGTTGCAATGCCTAATGGTGAGTGCAGGGGGTTGCATGATCAAGTAATTGATCTATGGATCAAATGGAGGCTGATATTTCAATCCCATTGGGTTAGCTCGATATCACGGATTCCGAGTTATTAACGCAGGGCATCAATCAGTGGATATTCCGTATTGAGTTACAGTACGGTGACATCAAATGGGTCATCCGCAAGACCATTGCTGATTTCGTCGGCTTACATTACACGTTGAAATTCAAATCCAATTTATCAGATTATGTTCCTGCGCCTCCGCCTTTTCCCAGTCAACTGTCCAATTGGATCAATTCTGCCAAAGATACCCTACGCTTGGATCGTGACGATGAAAGTATCACCGAGAAGGAAAGGAAAGAACAAGCGCTAAATCGGCGGAAAGCACTGACCCAGTATCTGCGTGAACTACTACGACGAGCCCACATGCTTCTCAGTTACGATCTGTGCGAATTTCTTGAAATTTCCGCCATCAGTATTGTGCAAGATATGGGATGGAAGGGTAAAGAAGGTTATTTGGATAATCGTGTCAATTTCGTGTCACAGCGGCTCTGTAACATGTTGAAACCGCATCGATGGACCAAGGAGTGGGTGATTCTTCGTGATTCGTAAGTCTGCTTATTTTGTGTAACTCTTTGGTATCACGCGAGTAAGAGAAAAACTGACGTAATGGACGGTTAGGTACATTGCATTTTGTTCCGACATTGCGTCGCAATCGCCCACTGATGTATTTATCCTCGATAAAAATTTTACCGTGACCGATCGTACCCCCGGTTTGCTTGGAAAATATCATCATCATATCCGCTTGGCCAACAAATTTCGTCGTATTGAAATCAAGGGCAGTAAACGGCAAGTGGAAGAATGGATGGAAGGCATCCTCAAAGTGCAACAGGAAAGTCCGTGGTGCAAGAACCATCGGTTTGGGTCGTTTGCGCCCATTCGTAATCATGCCAAGGTGAAATGGTTCGTCGATGGGGAAGGTATTGTGTAGAATACTCGAAAATGCAAATATTTTGGAAAGCTCAATTTCTCGGCGCCCTATTCCATTAGACCATTTTAACGCGGTGGCTGAAGCAATATTGTCTGCCAAATCAGAAATCTATATTGCCGATTGGTGGCTGTCTCCAGAACTGGTAAGACTCAATGTGTCTAAACGTAAGCGTAAATGCATGTCAATCAATCAATGCATTTTTGCCTTTTTCAGTACCTCCGTCGACCTCCAGAGAAGAATGAAGAATTCCGTATTGATCGATTACTGCAACGCAAAGCACAAGAAGGCGTCATGGTCTATATCATTGTTTACAAAGAAATGTCCGTCGCATTGACCATCAATTCCGCTCACACCAAACAATGGCTACAAAATCTGCATCCCAATATCATTGGTAAGTTTTTATTCACAAATCAAACGCGGCACGGCGTATCTAAATCAGCCATAACCAGTTCAACGACATCCGGATCATCGTTCCATTGACAATACGGTGCTCTTCTGGTCACACCATGAAGTAAGTGTGTAACGTTACTCTTTTTAAACCATGGTCTGCATGATTCACCGTGTTACAGAAAATGGTGATCGTCGACAATCGTCTAGCTTTCATTGGTGGATTGGATCTCTGCTGGGGGTAAGCTTTTGGAGAGACAAGTCAGTAAAGAGAAAGAAGGAGATGAAAAAAGCTGACGTTCTATGATCTGTCTAGCCGTTATGACAGTCACGCCCATCGATTAGCCGATCACCCCGCCCAGGGCCACAAGTACACGGTGTGGCCTGGTCAAGATTACTCCAATCCTCGCGTCAAAGATTTCTTAAATGGTAAGTGTGTCCTCGAAGGAAAGAAAGAGGAATGTGTGTGTGCATGTGTGGTTGGTTTTCGGGTGGGGATGCGTTTCTCAAGACACTTTGTTAGTCGTACGTCATGATTTGACATTGGTAGAACGCCAAATTACGCCAAGGATGCCGTGGCACGATATGACCATTGGTGTGGTAAGTATCTGTATCTTTTATCAAAGCTGGAAGCGTGCCATTGACGGAGGTTTTTTTTGCAGGTGGGACCGATTGCACGTGATATTGCGCGTCATTTTGTACAGCGATGGAATTTCTTGAAAGCAAGCAAAGGCATGCATCGTTCACGTATGCCGTTCCTGATGCCAAAGGGCGAATACGTCGCCGCCCGTGATGAAACCAAGTTCAAAGGGTCTTGTCGAGTCCAGCTTCTTCGCAGTTCAGCTCAATGGAGTTCCGGCATTGCACGCGAAGTAGGTCACTGCCCTTGAACTATTTGTTACAGGCATCGTTTTGTTGATTTTTCATTTTTGTCTATGTAGCACTCAATTTACAATGCGTATATGGAATGTATCAGCAAAGCCAAACATTTTGTTTACATCGAAAACCAGTTCTTCAGTAAGTTGTATACCCAGCTTAGACGATGGCAATTTGGGAAGAATACTGACTGATATTTTGGCGTCTGGAAAAAAAAAGTCAGTACCACTACGCAAGATAAGCTTTTACGCAATCGAATTAGTCAAGCGATGGTGGAGCGAATCAAACGTGCCCACGAAAAAGGCGAAAAGTTCAAGATTTTCATCCTCATCCCTCTTATTCCTGCCTTTGAAGGCGATCTGGCCTCCAGCGACGCCTCGGCTGCTCGGTAAATGATTTTGTTTTAACTATGCAGTAGGTGAAGCAGGCGTGTACTAACGATCAGGTTAGCAATGTGATGCATTTCCAGTATATTTCCATTTCACGAGGCGGCAACTCGATCATGGAGAAACTCAGGGAAGCGGGTATTGATCCGACGGACTACATTGGGTGGTATTGTTTACGCAATTGGGATAAAATCATACCCCGAGATGAACATATCCGTACGAAGAAACCGTCGCACCCAGGATCAAAGACAGATAGTGGAACCGTGTTCCCCGACAGTGATCAGGCATCCTTGGGTGGTAATACAGCTGAGCAAGACTATCCTCCTGATTCCGCAGAGGAAAAGAAGGTAGTCGAAAGCGGCAGTCCTTTTGAGACGTCCAATGATGCCGAAGATGATCGTCGTCACTACGTGAGTGAATTGGTGTACATCCATGACAAGCTCATGATTATCGACGATCGTATCGTCCTGGTCGGTTCAGGTGAGTTTGTTCAGTAGAATTAGGTCTAATTACCCCTTGACTCACTGTTTGCTGTGCTATTCCATCTCAGCCAATATCAATGATCGGTAAGTCAAAATGATCATCGTGTTCCTTGGCGTAGCTTTGCATATTGATGTTCTGCAAATAACTAGTTCACAATTGGGTAATCGAGACTCTGAAGTGGCGATGCTCATTGAAGATACAGAAATGGTGAATTCATATATGGACGGCAAAGAGGTACGACGGAATCAAGCGGATTGCTTTCATTATATTTATGCACACATTATTTCTTCGATAGTACAAAGCGGCCAAATTCGCACTGAGTTTACGATTGCAACTGTGGAAGGAGCACCTTGGGCTTTTGGATTTCAAGGACTGGTCGTCTCTAATGGATGATCCTCAAGAGATTCATCTGGATCAGGAAGATACGCGACAATCGTCTCCTGTGACCATGACGGAAGCCGATATTCGGTCGTTTGAGGAAAAAGAACCGGATCGGGTCCTCGACGACGCCGGCCGGACTGATAAAGATGATGACATGTGTCGATCTTCAACCGATCAGCGACAAGATACAGCGGCGTTGGACCCGTTATCCGATCAGTGCTATTACAACGTCTGGCGCAAAACGGCCGAAACCAATACTCAGATCTATCGGGAACTGTTCCACTGTGTTCCGGATGACACGGTGCACACATTTGAACAGCATCGACAGTTTCTCCCAGATCCGACCGTGGTCCCCCACGGCCACATTGCTGATCCTGATATGTCTGAGAAAGAAATCTGTCAACGTTTGTCAGGCATCCGTGGCCACCTGGTCAATTTTCCTACCGAATACCTCAAAAACGAAAACTTGCTTGGTTCATACCTGAGGGAAACCGTTACTCCCATGGTGATCTTTACCTAGCTTCAAGCATCCATCTACCCACCCGCCAATGTATCTTTTTTGTTTCTAAATCACTATTCCCTCCTATCTATTAAATCTACATACTACAGTTTACGTCAAGTCACACTCATTAAACTTCTTATTTAATGTCTTTCTTTTTTTAATCTTCCATTACTTTTTCCCGTCATCTTTATTTTAAAAAATTAAAAACCAAAATGAACAACAAAAAGAGGAAAATACGCTTGATTTTTTGGGCACTCATTTCTTGAGAAATGGGAACATCAAGTTCTTTTTTTTTTTTTTTACCACGAAGACTCGGCGGCGGGAGCAGCGGGGGTGGATTCGCCCCAGTTGGAGGAACCAGTGACATCCTCAGCCCAGTCACCGGAAGTAGCGGGAGCCGACCATTCACCGGCGCCGCCAACACCCACATGGCTTTCCGTGCCGGCACCTTCGTTGAAGAATTCGACCTCGTTGGGAGCGGCGCCGGTCCATTCGGTGTTACCTTCGACGGCACCAGCTTCCACGTCCTTTTCGACCTCCTCGGGATCACGATAGAAGAACATATCAACCATGACATCCCATTCGGTTTGGTAATCAAGGGTACCACGGAGACGGAGAACCGCACGGGCCAACAACCAGTAGATCAAACCAATAGCGTGCTTACCCTTGTTGTTGGTAGGGATGACAACGTCAACGAACTGAAGAAGAGCATCCGTGTCAGCAAGCGAGATGACGGGCATGTTGACATACGAAGCTTCCTTGATGGCTTGGAAATCCGAAAGAGGATCCGTGCAGACAATCAAGCGAGGTTCACGGAAAGAACGGGTGATGTAATTGGTAAAAGTACCAGGGGTGAAACGACCAACGACAGCTTCAGCACCAATGTACTTTGCAAACTTCAAAGCGGCACGGTGACCGAAAGGACGAGCAGAGATCACGACAATGTCTTGAGGATTCTCAATGGCGGCAATGACACGAGCAGCAAAAATGAGCTTTTCCCAGGTCTTGCCGAGATTGATCAAGTTGATACCATCAGCACGACGCTTGTAGACATAAGGAGTCATAGACGAAGTGACGTTCTTGGCACCAATATGACATTGGGCAGCAAGCAACATTTGAATGTCTTGCTCAGTGGGGTTCAAAACTACACAAACGTGCAACGCAAACGGTCAACGTCTTTCTTCTCCGCGAACCAACACCTTCCAAGAACAAAATTGGAGGAAAAACTTACCGGAAGGAATACGAGACATTTTTTATAAAAGAATTATTGATGTTTTTCACGGACGGCTATCGGAAACTCTGACAAAGTTAGGGTGCAGAATATAGGGTGTGAAGGCCACAGAAGTCCAAGTGAAAGAGGAGGATTCTTCCATGGCCAAGGAAAAACAACATCTAAAAATTTTTCACGACTTCATACTCCGACAGGCCATTTGCTGTTTGTTTGTTTTAAGCCATCGGTTTTCCTTTGCCATAAACAGAAGTGTGCTCTGCTAAACGTTACTCACCTATCATTGAGTCTTTACTGATAACTATTTCTTTCCTGCAAGCTACCCTGCAACGGGATTGTCTGTCTTTCATGTCATTTTTTTTTACTGCTAGTGGTTACACCAAGGAGTTTGGTTTTTTTACCAGGTTTGAGACACAGCCTCTCAGAAGCTTAATAACATCCCATACATCATCCACGCCGAAACGCTTCCAACCTCTTTTAAGCTTCTCCTCATCTGCGAGTAAACAAACAAAGTGTCATGAAAACGGTACTTCGATATAAAGCTGTCATCTTGGCTGTATAGTTGATCTTCCCCATTTGTGCCCTAAACTCAGACAATTGTTTGCATGATGAGCATCTTTATAAGAAATCCGCACCAATCATGGAAGCGAAAAAACTGTGGCAAGTACCATGCCTGTCACGGTCTCATTGAGATGAAAGAAAAAAGGCAGAATGGTAAGGGCGCTTCCATCAATGGCGGCTACGTTTGATTGTATGAAATAATACATTTATTGACTGCTTGATAGCGGGAACAGAGCAGAAAAAGGCCGTGCACGATATCTCCAAATGGGAAGCCACATCAACGGGGTCCCCCAGATTTGAAAAGTTCAATGTATCAACACAAACAACGACGAATCATCCCTCGCTGTCTGTGTCATGTCGCCCATCCGAAAGTTCCCAACCAAAGCATGTTTTAGTTTTCGCTCCAAGAAGGAGGAACCCTTATGAACGCACTTTCCCTGCATAACGAGAACGAAAAGGAAAATTGCTGAAAGCGCTTCTCAGTGGTGTCCTTTTAGCTCGAATAAGCTTTTCGGTTTTGCAATGATGCGCAACTTGACATCCTCTTGCATTGCATAAGCGAAAGAGATGCGCTCTAAAGGAAATATTTTATAGAGGACAGTACAGCTAATGAATTTCATGCGTTGGCGAAAACGCTGTTTTTTAGCAAGTGTTTTTCAAGCATACGTGTCATTCTAAGATGATTGAGATAAAACGCTTCCCACAATTGTCAGCATTTCTGAGAGGATTGGCCTTTTATTCCCTCCGATACTTGAACATTTTGCTCAGATGTTGTCCTGTAATAGAATGAGGGCGTAAGAGGCTCCAGGTATAATAGCAAATTAAAGAAATGCAGGTATTCAAAATATCAACTCACGCTTGGTTTTTCTGTATCTGTTTTTTGGCCATGATTAATTTTGGTAGTATTGATAGACGGATAAATTGATAGAAATGATCAAAACTACTTTATGCTTTGTGTCGGCTGATCCTGGACTGAGGAATCAAAGTTTGAACTGGACCCTTCAGCTTGGAGTCCCACACTTGTCCCATTTACTAGGTACTGGGAGCAATATGTTATGGATTCGTTGCAGATTCTTTGCAGGATCTTTGCAGATCCATTGAGAGGACGGCGTCTCTCTATATCTCTGACGGGCGGACTTGGAAGTAACCATTTGTGATTGGAGCGGAAATGATGCATTTTGCTTGGGTTGACGTTTCTCCGCTGCTGGCTTCAGGCCTGCTAATTTCCGTCATGGTTGCCTTTTTTTGTCGCTGAAAGGATAATGACTCGAATCGCTGAACTCAAGCAACGACTACTTCATCCCTATTATATTATTCATTCCGTTTACGGAGGCTTCTATATACTGTACAAGCTCAGTAGGCTGGCCACCAATGGCCCTTCTGAATTCTCGGTAAGTTATTGTTGTTCCTCGCCATGGCAGTTGACTCCATGACGACATTCAAGTGACATGTTTTTTTTTCTTCATGGTCTTTAACGTGTGAAAAACAAACAAAAAAAGAATAATGACTTGAAGGCTTATATGGCACTGGGATGTCTTTCGCTCTGGAAGTGTGTTATGGCCTCCACTGCCGAAGAACTTGCAAGTGTGGTCATCCTTTACACTAAATTTTTTACGGTGTGTAATTTATACTGGAAATTTGGCATGTGGCGAACCGTTTTCTATATATTTGGCTGGATTGGTAGGTGATTGTACGATGGATTTATTGCGGTAAACCAATATTCATACCATATCCATTTCATTCCTACCCTACGCAGCCATTTCAACTTTATTCCCGCAACCATGGTACCAAGGACCGACGAAAATCATCGAATTAACAGAGAGTGCTTTCAGACAACGGGTCCTCAAACCGAGCAAGAAATCGAGCGCGAAGAACACCATGCCCATAGAGGACATCGAAGGCCCTCGCATCACTGAAGTTCACAGTGACAGCGCCGAGGAATCGTCGGCCTCTTCTGCGTCCGTCAAGTACTGGGTCGTCATGTTATATGCGAATTGGTCAGTCTCCTGTCTCAACTTTGAAGGCATTCTCGCCCATCTTTCACTCCAGTACACAAGAGATCATATGAAATTTGGTAAGTATCTACGGCTTTATTGTGTCGGACTGATATCCTGATGTCGATGGACAATAGGCAAAGTGGACGTGGATCTGTACCCGGATATTGCCCAGGAATTTGGCATTAGCCGTGACCCGGCTTCGTTTGATCTGCCTACTTTGGTCTTGTTCCAGAACGGAACCGAGATCAGACGGCTGCCAGAATTGACCATCAAAAAGGAAAACAATGGTCAAACAGCATCCAAGGCCGATGCAGCCAAGGATACAATTACGCGACTAGGTTGGAGCAAGAAAGCCGTAAGTTTATTGTTTGTGATGGTTTGCATAAATTATGGCTTTGCTTATTTTTAATGTCATCACAGGGAACGGTGATCCGAAGTTTCCAATTAGATAATCTGGCTGCTGATAGACGATGATTTGCTTGTAGCTTTCCCATAAAATATAGATCAAGTATATTCCATAGCTATTATACATCTAATCGGCTTCTTCTGGCAATTCATAATTTCATGCGTGATTGCGCCGAGGCTGAATTAATAGAATATGCCATTGGCTATTTTTATTCTGTTGCACCTTCGTCTTAAGCCAAACCTTAGAAAAGTCGTATGGATACAGCTAAAGGTATGCATCCGCTAGTCCTACACTGGCGACATAAAAGCAATATGACATTTTTCAAGGTGGAAACCGTTCTGGAATCAATCACCAGTAATTTATGACACGGTGGTCTTTGATTTTGATTTGAAACGGAATCTCCTCGAAAGCTTAGAAATCAAACGGTGCCTTTTTCAGTTTGTCAGCCAAATTCCGTGCTCGGCGTCAAAATTTTCATTGGTCAATTCGGGTAAATATTGAAGCCGCATTTGTCAGCCATCCACGACGGCAACAGCATAAATATCGGGCGGATCACTCTAAGCAACAGCATTTTCATTTTCATCGTTTCCTGCAACACATCAAATCCATCATGGCTCCCACTCTGTTTACTCCTCTTAAGCTTGGTCGACATACCTTGCAGCACCGCGTCGTCCTTGCGCCCTTGACACGTTTCCGATCCGACGAGAAGGCGGTGGTCCGTCCTTTTGTCACCGAATATTACGCTCAACGAGCCACCCCTGGCGGTCTTTTGGTGACCGAGGCAACATTCATCTCTCCCACAGCAGGCAGTTACCCGAATGCTCCCGGCATCTACACTCAAGAACAGATTGCCAAGTGGAAAGAGGTTACCCAGGCCGTTCATGATAAAGGTGGTGTCATTTACTTGCAACTATGGCACATTGGCCGTGCATCCCACTCCAAGTTTTCTCCCAACGGTGAACAGCCCGTCTCCGCGTCAGCGATCGCCATTCAGGGAAAGAATTTGTGGGGTGATCAGCAACAAGTGCCTCGTGCCTTGGAGATTTTGGACATCAAGGCTCTTGTTCAAGACTACCGACAAGCCGCTCTGAATGCCGTGGAAGCCGGTTTTGACGGTGTAGAAATCCACGCAGCCAACGGTTACCTGTTGGATCAGTTTATCAACACCTCCAGCAACAAACGTAGCGATATTTATGGCGGATCGATCGAAAACCGAGCACGTTTCGCACTGGAAGTCGTCGATGCCATTGCCGATGCTATTGGTCCTGATCGTACCGCGATCCGCTTGTCTCCATGGTCCGGTTTCCAGGATATGCAAGATGACACCCCCTATGAAACCTGGGGTTACATCGTTTCTCAACTTCAAGCCCACCAACCTGAACTGGCCTATGTGCATTTCGTGGAACCCCGCATTGATTTCCGTTCTGAGGCCTTGCCTGATACCACCGACTCTCTGGATCCTTTCCGACAGATCTGGAAGGGTCCTTTCATTTCCGCTGGTGGCTATACCATTGATCCCAAGTTGGCTTTTGAACGTTCCGACAAGTCTGGTGATCTTATCGCTTTTGGCCGTGCCTTCATTGCCAATCCCGACATCGTCGAACGCCTGCGCAACGGATGGCCTCTCAATCGCTACAACCGAAAGACATTCTACACACCTGGTGCTGAAGGCTATACCGACTACCCCGTCTATCAACCCGAAGCTCAACCAGAAGTCCCCAAACCATCTCTTTAAATATAAGACTCTCTGCATGTAGATAATTAGATTATTAATTTGACATTTTTATATTGCATTCAAATAAAACGCGTTTACTTGGCATATGTTTTGACTTTTTTTTTGGCAGTTCGACAGTTATTAATTGGATTCTTTCGATACCTATTACGCTGATCTATTGGTGCAACATCTCTTTCATCTGTGAAGCTTCAGCGCTTGATAAGCTGCTGAACCAATGCATTGAGAAACATGATATTCTCTGTAAACATAGTCAAACATTTATGCGATCCTCGTGTTCTGATATTGGAAAATATTGATAAGGATTATTCCACAAATTTCATTCTTTAAGCAGATAGATTTCATAGTGATACTATCGGCAAAAGTGGTGCACATTTTTTTTATGTCAGAGTACAGAGTGAGGCATTTAAACTAGGAGTTACTACAAAATAACATGCAACTAACGATATGATACTAAGAAAGACTAAAGCAGGCGGCGACTTGAGCGAAGGATACTTCTTGCAGCAAAGAGAGGCGGAACCAGAGGGGAAGCAGCAAGCAGCGGGTGACGTTGGTGACAAGTGATGACAGGAAAAGAAAATAAAAAGATAAAGGAAAAGGAAAAGGACAACTTACCAAAATAAAAAGGTTAGCGTGGCCATAAAAGGCCGAAGTGCTCAGGAAGTAAGAAGCTCAGGAAGTCAACAATCAAATCTCAGGAAAAAAAGGAGTTCAGGAAGTCCAACTCAAAAATACCAAGTGCACCGGAGGAACTTGACGGTCGGAAAAGAGTTTTGACGTCTTCTTTCTTGAGCCTGGAGCCTTGAGCCTTGAGTCTTGAGTCTTGAGTCTAAAGTGACCATGTCTGCAAAATAGAGCTTACTTTTAGGCTCACTGTCGCCAGTCTTGAGAGGCGGGTAGCGTTCGGGAGGCCACTGTGTTTTAGGTAGCCTTGATTTTCCTCCTATCAACGAAGCGTACCCCAGCTTAGGGCTCCAACAGGATTGAAGTACCAAGACCCACATCGTGTGCGCCGCCGAAAAAATTGGCTGAACAGGGGACCTGTTCTGGACAGCCATGACTCTGACTCCAGTCAACGAAGCATGCCCATATCTAGGTCTTACCAACAGGTGTTGAGGTATCGTAGATTTGTGGTGCTGGCGCGGACGAGGCTCCAGGGCCGTCGTGTATTACAATCTTCTTGTTGGGCTTGTTTCGCATGGTAGGTTTCTCCGCTTGAAAGGGTTGAGTAACCTTTACAAAAGCGCTAACTATGAGTGATCACTCATTTTGAAGCCGACATGGTGAGAATACCTACCAACATGCCACGGATCAAACCTTCAGGCTCTTGCTGGTCAACGTGGGAAAAAGAAAGAGAAATAAACGCAAAATTTTTTCTCTATTTTGTTTTTTGTTTTTGATTTATGACCGCGTTCGAAGAGTGCGTCAAAAAGTGGGGCTTCTCCAGTTGTCGCTGGTCTTTTTGACAGTCAAGGACAACTGCTTGACTTCAACGGAATGATGGATGGTTCATTTCACTGTCCGTCTTTATGCCTTGCACCGGTCAAGACCGACCCCCAACGATTACATTTTTCTGCACCAACGTCAATCAGTACATACAATAAGTGCTAGAAATAAAGTGAACGTCCTGCGTTAGACAACCAGTATATCGTCTATCATAATGTTTTTTCTGTAAATACCAGTGGACGATGGTTTGTTTATTTTGGTTTTCAAGAAAAAAAAAGTTGAAAAGTGATGCTCAAATGATGTTTGAAATTAAGGGCTTTCGGCATGTTAAGGCAAAAATATGCTGGCATGATCCCATTGTTTTGTTATGGAAATGATTAATCACAATGATCTCCGTGCATACTTTTATGAGTTTTTGCGAACTGAGAGTGTTGCTACAAGACTGGTTGGTTTGGTTGATCAGACGATGGATGATCCGTATGTGGAGTCCGGTGCGGTGGAGGTGGCGGTGGTGCTTGGCGTCGCAAACGATGAAATAGAGGATTAAAATTCAGGTAAATAGGAAACCATAACGGTTCGCCTGACAAGCTGTGACCATGACCGGAAGCACGAGTGGTTTCACAGTGGCTGCTGCCCATAGTCGCTTGTGTCTGACTTCCAACGCTGCTGACACTGTCCGTGCCTCTGATTTGAGTCACCAGGGCCTGCTCATATTTCGGGGGCGAATATTCAGGGGATCCGTAAGCAGGTAAAGGCTCATGCACAGAGACGGTTGCTGTAGAAGATCGCCATTGCTGCGCTGATGAATAAGGTGGGTTCATTTGGCACATATCGGGCGAAGCTGACTGAAACGAAGGCGGCGATGAATGCAAGGCCGAGTGATCGAAACTATGAAGTGGACGGGGACAATGGATTGTGGGATCTTTTGACCAACGTGAAGACCAGGGCAGTAAAAATGATCGACGACGTGATAAACACCAGTAGCGGATAATCCAAAATATGGCGACCACGGCCAAAATAGAACACGTTGCTGAAAGAGCAATAGTGGTAGGGCTATGGCTCGAAAAGCCGAAATCATGGCGATGCTGGTGGCTCGTATTATACGTATTCGAACTGGGGGAATGCTTGGGAGACGCATTTTGAGCAGAATCAGGAAACGGGGATTTCTCAGGAACCAGTTTGCTGGGTTTCGGTGGTGGCGCGCCGTTTTCCAATGTGAGCATACAGGTGGATGGATTACATATAAGATTTTGCCATGGATACGTAATGGAGTTATTGCTGCCGTGACGATACTGGTAACACTCGGTGCTGGTCGCGCAATACTCTGTGGACAAGACAACCGACAAATGTCATTCGTATTTAGTACGAAAGAACATATAAAGCATATTTCATTTTACCTTTATTCAAATCATTGCCCGATGATAAACAGTAATCATAGAAGCGATAAGCGTTGGTGCCACTGTGTGAGTTGGTGCAGGTTTCATTGGTCGCGTTGGCTGTATGGTTCATAGGTAAAGCCGTGCTCAGAATACAATTGCTTGGAAGGCACATGGCACAATATTTCCATACACCGTCAGATTCGCGATGTTGGCCGGATATAAATGCACAATCTTTGACACCGTCAAAATCTTCATCATCTTCGTCGCTTGACGCGTCTTGCTGTGCGCGAACTATATGAGCTATCAGCAACACAAGAAAGCTGAAGAGGATGAACCGTAGACGCGCCATCCCCAAGATAAAATTGAATAGCAAAAGAAAAGGCAAAGAATCATTCTCGTGGTCGAACCCTTCATCTTTCGGTATGTTAAGCTTATGCAAACAAAACGATGCTTTAGCGCAAGTGCTGACAATAGCATTCCTGAACTTGATCCATCACATTTGAGTTGTAAAAAATTCATTTTCTTAAAAGAGAAGAAGATACAAGAACAGCAAGACGAATGAAAAATCAAAGACAAAAAATGCACACATATAAAAACTAAAGAAAAAACGTGGTGTGATCTTGCTAGAACAATAAGAAAAGAAAATAAGGGAGAAAAAGAACATTGAAAAAAAAAAAAAACGTAACAATAGTGAAACTGTGTACACAGACAAATAGTGGGGCGAAAGCATGGAAACCGATGCTGAGTCCACAGCAAAGAAGGGACAGAGAACTATGTGCGAAGGGAGTAATGTGATGAGTCTAGGTACAGAACAAAGAACATGATTAAAGGGGTGGTGCTTAGTAAAAAACGAAAATAAGTAAAAGAAAAAGTACGTAAGATAATAAGAAAGAGACTTGGATATCCTTCGAGTTGCTGGGCTAAATTAGCAACACGATATTGGGGTTTGGGGTGATCTAAAAGGTATACATCTTTTCCATTGCTTGCCTCTGCAAAACTCCATGTTGGAATCTGTATCGTTAAGAGATCATGTTGAACCCTAGTCAGTTATTTATCACTCTATCGTCTAAACCTGCAACTTACTTTTTCAAGGTCTCGTTTTCTTGCACTAAACGTTCCACTTCGGACAGCAACTCTGTCTGCATCGACTTCAAATGCTGAATTTGCTGCACAGCTATAAAAAAAGAGCCCCCATTTGAAATCCCGATTAGACGGCTGAGCAAAAAAAAAAAAAAAAAAAAAACAATACAAGGCATCCATTTTCAGAGGTTTCTTACTTCGTGTAAGTAGAGCTGCTTTGCTCATTTTCTTGTTATTGCATCCAGGTAAGTGCTTTCTCAACTCATCGAATCCGTCCTTAATCTGGGCGCGTCGTTTCTGTTCAGACTGGATGTGAATCTGACGACGAATCTCGGCGTTGCTGAGTCCGCGACTGTATGAATTTGAGGGAAAAAAAAAAAAAAAAAAAAAAAAAAAAAAAAAAAAAAAAAAGAACACAGGTAAGAGGTCAAAGCATCCCGATTTTTTCAGTGGCACGAAAAAAAAAAGGGTAACTCACTTGTCATTGTCTTCTTCATCGTCAAGTTCGCCGTCGGAATCACTCTTATCATCAGAAGATGTTTTCTTCTTTTTGGAAACACCTTCGTCGTTGGTTTCACTTCCGGACTGCTGTTGCTGCGATGATCGCTTACGTTTATTGCGTTTCGCATCCATTTTCTTCTCATAAGTCTCTTTCGAATATTCCAAAAATTCGGTGTGATAAAACTCCATTGGCACGGAATTGGCGCGTGCAATGGTCTCCTTAACACGAGCCGTGGTAGCATTGGAAAATGTGGAGGAGGGTACAAGTGGAGAAATGACCTGAGACGGTGGTGGGGTGTGATCGATGGCTTGGGTTGTCAACACCTGCGTAAACGTAACGGCTGGATCCGTCGTGTGAGCGGCCACCGCTGTTGTCGGCGGAGGAGTTTGCGGAGAAGATGAAGATGAAATTGAATCAGGACTTCCGGGATGAACAGTCGATTTTTGGACGGAAGAATTAGAGGAGTTTTGTTCCCGATGCTGCTGCTGCTGCTGCTGCTGCTGCTGCTGTTGTTGTTGTTGTTGTTGTTGTTGGTGATGGTGATGCTGGTCCGGATAGTAACCGAAGCGAGTCATTGGATAAGCTACGGGAACCGAAGGATAATTGAGAGGCATCTGTTGAAAGGCATAGGCTATTTAAAAATAACATGTATAATTAGGATCGAGTTTTTTGGTTCTAAAAATTTTCGTGCGCGTGCTCCCTAATTTTGATCTCTTTTGATTATCCCCGCCATCCAATGAAAATCGCGAGTTTATATGATAATGAAACCCCGGTTGCATAAGCTCATAAGAAACGGGCTGTACCTTGGTAAGCGCTGAATTGCTGGTGGCTGCTATTCTCGTAAGACACTGGAGGCGACGACATTGGCGTTTCCGCTTTAACTACCATGGATGGATCGATATTGACCATCATTGAGCTAGTAGCGTAATCGGGAACGTAATGATTGGATGTGTTGTTGGCCATGACGAGTTCGCTCATATTACCGAGACAAAGGAGAACAAGGGAAAAACAGAGATAATAAATTAAAAAAACTATAAATAAATAAAAAAAAAAAAAAGAAAACCGAGACAAAAAGATCGTTGGTACGCAAAAAGATTGGAAAGGATTGAAATGCAGACACTAAATCAGTGAATCCTCGATCGATGATAGAAGAGGGATGCTGGGTCAAAAGAAAGGAAAGGGAGGGAGTGACAGAATAAGTGAGGATTAGGAAGGAAAGGAAGCTGAAGGAAAAAAAAAAAAAAAGAATCAAAACACCAGAAAAAATAGTAAAAAATTGTGTTCCTTTTGTACAACAACACATCGCACATGGAATGCCACTCTTTGCGCTTCGAAGTGAAAAGCCTACGACCGAAAAAGACACGTCATACGTCGGTGATTGAATTATGGCTGAGCTCTTTATAGTGCAGCAATCCACAAAGGCAAATGCGATCAAACGTCTCATCTATGCTTTTCCTTTTTGCCACATAGTTACCTTATTGCTCGGTGCCCTATAAGACCCATTTGTTGAGGTTCAACTTTTACATAAAAATGGTTGGTTGGAGCTCAACGACTACATAGCTTTTTTCTATCAAATGTTCTTACAGTTCCCTAGTTTTCACAGAGTGGATATTGCCTCACGGTCGCAAAGCGTGTCTAAGGGTGTCACCACATAAGGTTTCATCGCTCAAATAAGATGAAAAATGTGACAAGGTCGACTATAGCTTCTGTTTCTTCTAAAAGAAAGAGGCAAGACATAAGATACAAGTCAGTGAGAGATAAAATTGGATCTGCGAAAATCCAGGAGCATGAATACCAAATAACTTGTAACCATGCCAAGCAAACGGACAAGATGAAAAAAAGTGTTATACAGTAGATGGCCCGAGTAGAGGAGTTTTTTAGGGAGCACCTAAAAGAGGGAAGCATTTGCGAAGTCTGATCCGGGGTGTTAGTGGGAGTAGGAACTGTAACAGCCCATTTCACCGACTGAAATATGACTGACTGTATTTAGTCGATCAATTCCGGGAGTGCAGGCAAATGCTGCAGAAAATAGGTCACTTAATCTATGCGTAAGAAGGGAGAGCAGTTCAATCAGATTTATATAGTTGGAGCAGTTGCGAAAGACTGTTTATTCAATCTTCTTAGCCAATACTCTCCATTTTATAATGGAGCGATCGATACACTAAAAGACTCAATCTATATTGGCAGAAAATCGCGATGCGACCTTTTTCATGATACTCTCAGCACCATCCTGAAAACGCTTGGTTAGGAAGGACATTTTCAAGTGTTTTCTAAGAATTACGGCCATTTACGCAATCGAACTCCATTGGAAATCTGCAGAGTATATGCTTCCCTCAAAGGCGGCTAGAGACCAGGCAGACGACGGAGTGATCGTTTCCTTGCAACTATGTTCGTTGGAAATCAAGCTTTGGCAGACGATCGTCCCATTCCTGCAGCATATATTCCACGAGCTTTCCTTATCCCATTCAATAGAGCGCCGTTGACTCTCTCGAGTTCTCCATTTGTTTTGGGGATGGTATGGAGTGGCAAAATTGTGCATCGGGTGCTTGGTCTGTGTTTTTAGCTAGTCAATTGACTCCTGGGTTGACCGGTCCCATCTGTAGACGGAGTTCTTCTTCAAAAGTTTGTATTTTAGCTTTCCAAGTGTGGACAAATTCTTAAGGAACTCGTCTAGAAAATGCAGAACCCCGCGAACTGCGTCAGAGCCCTTATCGTGGTCGGGAGTCGGCCTCAGTTTTCGGCCACTTTGCCCGTGATGCCGTTCCCGCTCACCAGAAAAACAATAATTTTTTTCATTATTGAAACGATAGTAAGGATGTCAGGGTCTATATTTTTCAACACTAAGCTGTAGGTTCTGACGATGCCCTATGGAGACGCTTCATCGCTTCTTTGGTGGAGACTGCCGGCGGAGAAGCCAGGACATCTCTGTGCTTTGTTAATGGCTGTAAAACTTGCAATGGCAAAATAAACTCAGGAAGAAGGATTCCGTATCAAAGGGTACGCACTATTAAACGTGTTGCGGAAAACTTCCTCAGTTCCCAGTTTCAAGGAGATGCTTGGGAGTTGATTGATGATGAGGCGACGATCATGTGACTTCAGATGGCAGTGAGCAAAATGGAATGACAAGTTCAGTCGCCGCTGCAACCGTTGTTTCTGCAGAAGTTTTGTGCACACACACGTGGGGGAACTCTTTTCGTGCAGCACGAAAAACGACGATTCTTCCTGGCTCACGCAATTAGGTTGGCCATGAATTTCGGAATTTATGGCGCTAATGATTACGCCAGCCCTTCATCATCTTATTCAGCGAACGCTACTGATGTAAACTACGATGGAACAGTCGATGATCGTATTCAAGCGTTGCAGAAGAGTATCCATGAACAGCATATACTATTATCCGCCATGGACGTCTCCCTAGACGACAACGATGAGATGGATTCAGACACCCAAACTTTGGAGAACTTAAAGTCACGAATACGAGCAGTATCTCGAGAACTACAGCAGAACGACAGCAGGTGGTTGAACACCACACCTGCCATGGCCCGATACGATACCCGTCATCATGGGTCATTATACTCTGCGGCTCACTGGTGGACACGATATCAGAATAATGTGCGACAATTGGAAGATTTGGGTGATCAACGGCGTGCGCTTATGAAAGAACTCGATTACCTCGTCGATACCAAGATAAAAGCGGCGTATCAACAGCTGGCAGATACCACCGAACAATTAAATCACGCCAAAACCGATTTAAACAAGCTTCGAGCCAATCGTCAACAGCAGGCTGCTTCCATCGATCAACAGTCCATTGATGTCGCCACCGACATGGACCACATCAAAGCTAGAGCCCGAGCCATTGTTGCCGCTCGTATGAATCGTAATACGGCTCAACGAGAAACCAACCAAGTGCTACGGACGGAAGAAAATGAGGGGCGTCAACGGATTATTGAAATGGATCGCCTCATGGATCGTATTCGGGCGCTAAAGGACAACGGTCATGAGCTTGTTCAGCACGACTTGACGTCCATTGATAATGCCATCGACGAAGCACAAACCATACTTCGGCAGCATAAAATGTTTGACGAAGGTTTATTTATTAGCGACGAGTTGGCACGATTTATCAGTAGTTTAGCCACGGCGACTGAGGATGACTGCGATTCAATGAGTGTGAAACCCAAAATCAGTCGACCGAGTATCCACCCTGTCACTTCCGATATGTCCAGTTACATGGGCAGCTCGGATGCGTTATCCGTGCCACCACCACCGGTACCGACCTCACAGCGTCCCAATTCGCCTCGATCAGCTACCGACATCAAAGCTGAAGCCCAGAGACGGATAGAGGAACGGCGGCAATGGCTATTGAAGAAACAAGCAATAGCCGCCAAGCCAGCGCCAAAGTCCGAGCCCGAGAAGAAACCAGAGACAACTGCAAAGGATGATGAGGAAAAGGCGGCTCAAGAACGATTGCGGCGAGCGGAAACAGAAGCGAGAGAACGATTACAATCCATGCGTGAACGACGGAATAAATTGAAACAAGAAGCTGCGGAAGCTGAAGAAAAATACCGAAAAGCAATGGCGGAAGCCGAAGCGGCCGCTGAAGCCGAAAAACGTGCGGAAGAAGAACGGCAACGACAAGAGAGGGAATTACAGGAAGAGCAAATGAGAAAGGCTGAGCAGGAATTAGCCCGTACCCGGAAAGAGGAAGAAGAAGCCATGTTGTCTAGACGAAGGAAAGCGATCGAAGAACAGGAACAACGTGAAAGGGACGAACAGGAGAGGCAGGAAGCAGAAGAAAGACGATTGGATGAAGCCAGGCAACGTAAAGCGCGTCTTGCAGCGGAGAAGGCTGCCAAAGAGAAACGATTACAACGAGAACAACTGGCCAGACAACAACGTGAATTCGAAGAAGCGCAAGCCAAAGAACAACAACGACGTCGCGAATGGCAAGAAACGGTGGCCCGACGTCACGCTGAAGCTGAAGCTTTGAAACAGGAAGAAGAACGGCGGAAAAGAGAACTAGAAGAAGCGGAAGCCAAACGAAAGCGTGAAGAGGAAGCTATCCGAGAGGAAGAGGAACACCGTCGCAAAATGCTGGAAGAAGAGCAAGCAAAAGCACAAAGAGAAGAAGAGCACCGGAAACGACAACAAGAGAAGCAACAAAGGGAAGAAGAAGAACGGAAAGAACGCGAGAGAAGACAACGGGAAGCAGAAGAAGAAGAGCAATGCAGGAAACAGCAAGCCATGGAGGAAGCCGTCCGATTGAATGGTAACGCTACGGCAGGCACCAGCGGTTACGGCATCGATATCGAAGATGAAGTGGATTTTGGCACCAGTAAATACTGAAATACTTTCTTGTTTTTCGTTGAATGGAACAGCTTGGATCGACTCATGTCATAACTTGTTTTCTTAGTCTACCGTGTAAATACGTTGTATGAATATCGCGGTCTTCGAGAAGATGATCTGTCTTTTGGCGAAGACGAGACGCTCAAAGCGCATCCGTCCAAGGACAAAGCCAGTGATTGGTGGTATGGCACATCGCTCACCACGAACCAGGTGGGATTCTTTCCTCGCACGTATGTTGAAGTGATTGAAGAAGGTAATTGTTGCTCAGAGCTTGCATGTTGGTTGCAGGAAAAAAAATTTGTTGCTGACATGATGTGACATGCGGGTACCCTTTATTAGCTTTTCGTGTCCGAACCCTGTATCCGTTCTCCAAAACGAGGGACGACGATCTGGCGTTTGTGGAAAATGAGATTATCATTATTCAACCTTTCCAGGATGAAGTCAGCGATTGGTGGTACGGCACAAACGAAGACACTGGTGAAAGTGGATTTTTCCCAAAGAGTTACGTGGAAAACATTGATCCAGGTAAGTGATAGCTGACATGACATGAACATGATGGACGGGCGGTTTCACACCTTGGTGACGCAGGCAAACCGGCGGTCACCGTGTCTGTGGCGAGACCGGTGCCTATCAAACACAGTTCTTCAGCCTGGAGTATATCGCAAGGTTTTGGAGATAGCAAAAATGGCATGCTGACAGTATCCGAGGAAGATATTCCTCGTGGTTCCTCCGCGCCTAATACACCCGTGTTGAAAAAGACGACATTGGGATTAAACCGGTTGGACGTCACTCGTCGCCGACGTGCAGCTAGCAATGCCAGTAGTGTCAATGGTAGCTTGATTCCAACTCCCAGTCTCCCGTTACAATGCGCGGATCAACGTCCTGAAAGTCCTGCTGTCACCAGCTGGGCTAGCACCATGGAAGCTCACGAGCTCGCTGCGATACCACCCGATGAACGAAGTCGGCAGGAAGCTATCTTTGAACTGTTATCCACAGAACGTACCTATTTGCGCGACCTGCAAATGATTGTCAATGTAAGCTCTGCATTCTTTCAACATTCAAGATTTAGCAAAGCCGTTCTCAACTCGCTACTTCCCGTGTTTAGGTCTTTTATGTGGATTCTGGAAAATATTTGACGCAGACGGAACAAGACGTGGTTTTCTCAAATATTGATGACTTATTGCTCTGCAATACTGCGTTATTAAGTGATTTGGAAGCTCGTCAGCGCGAACGCGCTGGCGTCGTTTATTGCATGGGCGACGTGTTCTTAAAACATGTGAGTTTTGCTGTATTCCCGTTGATTCCATGACGGATGCTAATTTCGATTTTCTCACCTACTTTATAGGCTGAGAGTTTAAAGTGCTACTCCACATTTTGCCGTAATCAATCTTCTGCAAGCAGGTTCTTGCAAAAGAAACGAGAAGAAGATCAATGGTTTGAAGTGTTTTTGAAGGTTGGTTTTTTTCTAGCCGAGATGAGAGGGGGGATCGACGATTTCGGTGTTCATGAACAATTCTTCCTTTTTTTAGACTGCTCAAACTCGACCTGAATGTCGAGCGCTGGATCTATCCCATTTCCTTCTTGAACCAGTGCAACGCATTACACGATATCCTCTACTGTTACGACAGGTAATATCATAGGAACTACACAGCAGGCAAAAAGGTTGTAACATTGGGCGATCAACTTTTTTTGGCTAGATTCTGAAATGGACCCCCAAGAAGCACCCTGATTACAGTCTAGTCAAGTCTGCATTGAGAGAGGCTGAAAAGGTTTTGGAGGACGTTAATGAAGAAACCCGACGATATGAAAATCATCAAAAGATGGGAGAGCTGAGTCGTATCCTCGACATGGAACACTATGGCGTAAGTCATGGCAATTTACGACCACTGTGAACATCGTACTGATCATAACAACGGCAATTTCGTTCTTTTTTCTTCTAGCTTCTCGATATTGGCGGACGTGAATTCGTTATGGAGGGCATTCTTTACAAAGCGAAAAGCGGACGTAAACTCCACGCTTATCTGTTCAACGATTTGTTAGTGTTGGCCGAACCATTGAAAGAATTGAGTCCAAAAGGATACCTATATTATTTATACAGAGAGGTAAGGATCAAGGCCGACAATTATGTGGAAGATATGATCCTCACGCATGAAGTATGTAATAGCCAATGAAGATTGAAATGATTACTGTGCGGCAACAGCAAAACATGAGCTTAAAGTCCAATTTTGTCGGCGGGGGATCAGGTACATTCAATGTGGTTCCCTTTTTGACTTTTTTCTTTTCACGGCAACTAAACAATTTACTTACTGCTATTCGTTTTTTTTTTCATATCAGGGGAAGATACCAATTTCCAAATTGCCTATGGCAGTCAAGTCATAGCAGTGAAAGCGCCATCAGCTAGCCAAAAGCGTCAATGGATCAGTCAACTTCAACATTACAGCGCTTTACGTCTAACACTACGACGATAGGACTATATACACACATCATACCTTAATTAGAATACGCGTTCGATCTAAATTATTGCCCTCATCCGTGTTCTTTTGTTTGCGCTATTGCTGAAACAACAACATCTAAAGAATGTGTTTCTTGGTATTTCTTCCCATCTTGTAAATACACGACAATGCACATTACATCACACATTTTACAAAGCTCCGTCTTTTGTCAATGAAAAGCAAATATGGACCTCATGTTTCATCTTTTTGAATCACCAAAGAGTCTCGAGCTTACGGTGTCCGTTGAACCCAAGGAATACAACTGCAGAGCAGGTGATTCAAGAGCCGCAGTTTATTACCGAGCAGGTTATCCAAGGACCGCAGCAGATTGAAGTTTCTTCACAATGTAAACTTTTCTCTTGATGATTTTGTTTTTTCGAAAGATGCTCATTTCTGAACTCTGCAAATTCGGATAGAGCATACCAGGCGTTGTCAATGTGGGCGTACGGATCACCAAAGGATCACGATCTCACGGTGTCCGTTGAACCCCGCGAATACAACGGCTGTTATTCAACTTACCCCGCAAGGTATTTTACATTTTCTCCTGATAATTTTACAAAAAGCACACAATTCTGAGATCCACATAGACTTTGGTAGATCTTGCCAATATGGGCGCACAGATCATCTTAGGATTTCAAGTTACCTCTGTCCCCTAAATATCAGAAATCCTAGAAACAACAGGATACCCAACGTTCAGAACAACGTTCGATTTTCACCCTCAGTGCGTTCGACTACGGGAGGTATGGATTTCTTCAAAAAATTTCTGAGATGGCACGCATTAAACTTATATTTGCCCATTACCTTTGCTTATCAGTTACGCCAGCTCTTGAGCCAGCTCGCAATGCCACCCGGATATCCTTTGAAGATTTCCAAGGAGGTGCTTCACTTCATGCTCCAAACGTCAACGCCGAAGGCGTAATGGACAACAGGAGCATGACCTTGATCTGTGCCTCCTGTGGAGCAAAAGGCTGGGAGGACGAGAAAGTGGCTGGAACCCGACAAGAACCTCGGTTTGCCATTTGCTGCAACCAGGGAAAGATCCAGCTCCCCGTCCTTCAGCCGCCTCCTGAAGAGCTGCGCCAATTGCTCACCGGGCAAGACGAGATATCCAAAGAATTCGTCCATTATATCCGAAAATACAATACCCTTTTTGCATTACATCAATTGGTGTCGAGGTAATGTACAGTACTGTAAAGTGGGTGTTGTTCCGTGAAGCCGAGGCTCAAACCTAGAAAAAGAAAAGATAGTTGACTAAAGTGGGTTTGGTATACTGAAGATTGATGAGGAATTGGCCAATGCAAGAGCTGGCACCTACACCTTCCGCATGCATGGCACTATCCATCATAGAATTACCCGTTCTGCATCCTCAACAAACTTTCAACCGGCATTCTCGCAATTATACATATATGATTCTGATATTTAGCAGCAACATCGGTCATCTATGTTTGACGACCTCCATCCCAAGTTTTACAGACTTTGCAGACGATGATGGCTCGGGTGGATCCTTATACCCGCATATATCAATCTGCTGGAGAACACTTGCGAGGTGACGATACTGAAACGAGATACGAAATTGCTCTACGCAACATGCATAATACCAGTCGCCTTTTACCCGGAGATCATCGCGGACAGGATGTGCAGCCCTGCTATCATACCAGACAGACCAAGACAGCGAGGCAACAATGATTGTAGTCGCCTCAACTGTAATGGCGGCTTTATTGCTCAATGGAGGGACGACTGCCCACTCGAGGTTCAAAATACCCGTAACTCAGGTAGTGGATGATACCATTACATGCAATTTAAATGTGCATGACGATCGTCAGATCGGTGAAATCCGCGATGCTGCATTAATTGTATAGGACGAGGTGCCACTAATGAACCGTAAATGCATTGAGGCTGTCGATCGAGCTCTACATGATATTATGAGGGTATCGGATCCTTCCGCAGCATATATTCCATTGGGAGGCAAGGTTGTTGTCTCTGGAGGCGACTTTAGGCAAGTCCTACACGTAATCCGAAAAGGCACACGTTCCGACACCGTAGATGCTGCCATAACCTTCTCTTCTTTGTGGCCACTTATCCATACCCTGCGCCTTACTATCAACATCTGCAAAATATTCAAGACAATGATATGCACACCATGCAGCAACGTTCATTTGCGGGGATGGCCTCTCTTTGATAATAAAGTCGTCAGTTTCAGCTTATTTCCCCATCAGGTTACGCATGTATTCTACAAAGTCAAAGAAATATGAGGAGATCCAGATGAATGAGCTGAATGATGAAAAGAACATAAGGGCAGTCAATAAATTCATCGGGATTACTTAAAATTTTGCCAGGGCAATGTGCATAATGAAAAACGTAATGGATATACGTGTCCGTGAATGCTATGACTGGCGGATATCGTTCGCACCATTCAAGGGCAATAAATGAGTGGTACTGTACAATGGCATTTGTTCCAATATTAAATAAACATGGGCATGGATAGTGAAGCGCCAACTGATAAATCATATGTCTGTCATTGAAAGGTGGGCCACTGATTGATAAATCATACTACATTACAGGACTGTCTGTGGATAGCGAAGCGTCATATGCCTTCTTCAATATGCATCCAAGTACCTGAGCTCAATTTTTAAGTGATCCTATCTTACAAGCATGTCTTTACCTGATGACAGCTGAAACAGCATCGACTCTACGCATAAACTTTCCAAGATCGGTCAGTTCGTCATTGTGGTCTGCCATTTCATTGGTTGCTGGAAATAAATAAAAAGTGGCAATCTTTTTGGGAAGAAGAAAAAAGGCACTTCTTTCTCTACTCGTATACAAACATGTTCAAAGACCTTATTTATCGCATCCTTAAAGCTATCCACGAAGAAAAGAAGCGCGAAGAAGAGGAAAATGGTATTTCTTTGCATATATACGCTCTTAAGTAAACACGACTCATAAACTATTATTTAGCTGTACACTGTAAAGACTGCGGCAAGGCTGGACATCGCACCAAGAGACATAGCAAATGTCAAATGCATGAACCGCTCTCCCCTTCAGGTATAATTATTTTTCTGTTTAGAAGAACAATAGACCATGACCGATAACATCTATATATGATGACATAGTTGGCAACAAACGCAAAAGAGCCAGTGATCCGGAGAAATCAACGTTGAAAAGAGACAAAAAAGGGCCAAAATGGCTAACAGCAATGATGATTGCGCTCCACCCATTTGCTCAAGTTGTCAAGAAAGAGGCCACAAATCCGCACGGTCTAATGATTGTCCGAATCATAAACCGACGAAGCATCAAGAATTTCAACGCTTGATGGGGAACCACTCCACGACCTGCCGCAAGATTAAACTGTCCACTATTTTGAGACCGCAATATCAAACACTCATGCTGCAGAAAATCACTCGAACCTGCGAAGATTTGCGAAACATTGTCATTAGGGCCCAGCTCTTTATGAACTATTATATTCTCACAACTGAAACAGTTCATAAAAAGGCGTTCACGCAAGACTGTTTCTATTGCGTTGCGCAACTTGTCATCAAGAAAACTCCAAGGAATACCAATGCCATGCCCGACGACCTCCTGACCAGTTGGCAGGCCTTTCGTCAACAATTCGATGTGACATACGAAGCCGAACTTGTCCATGGTTACAGTCAATGCCTATCATTTGCCTGCATTGAATTAGCCACATGCTATACGAACATGATAGTAGAGACCTTTGAAAATAGGCTTTCGGCCTATTTGCTTGCCAAAGTTGTGGAATGTTGTGGAACAGAGACATGAACGCAGCGAAAAATATTTTCAAAAATCGCCAACGAAGTCATCAATGGTGGCGGACGACCTGCAGTTTTCAGACAGGACACTTATTTTTTTTTTCAAAATCGCCCTATCGAACATGGTTTTTTTTTCGTAGGAGAAGAATTTAGATTTTTACTGTCTTTGGGCTGGTAGCACATACTTTTTGTATAAAAAAAAATTTGTGGGTCACATGCCGCTCTATGCTATTGTCATGCTGAAACAGGAATCTGGTTTCAGATGTCGCGGGACTTGGAAACCAATCGGTCCATCCAGAAGAAATCCGGATTTCCCTTTTGAAAACAAAGTTTGATAATTGCAGAGCAAGACAATGCACACATGACCTTAACCAAACTCCGAGATCGTGGGTAAAGCGAAGGACAACGTCAATGCATTCTGCTTTCCTCGGGACAATTTGACAGATACCAGCTCATCTCCACAGATCCAAAAACTTGTTTCTATTGGTCCTTTTTGGGATTACCTTGCAGTAGTTCCGTGAGAAAAAAATATATGATGACGAGATGACGAAGAAGCTCTGTTGTAAATTCAATCAAGCCAATCCGTTTGACCATCTAGTGACTGGATAACTCATATATTATTGTGTTAAAAAAAAAGAGAGAGAAAATGAAAAATCCAATTCATTTGCCTGTAGAAACAGTCAGATCGTGGGTTCGCTATATTAGGTAAGCCATCTGCATTGGGTTGAATACAATGGAAAACCCTCCGTAGACCCTTATTTTTGTACGAATTAAGAAAGATTATGTTATCGTGTGTACGAACACTGTTTTTATACATTTTATGTGCAAACAAATGATATTGCAGCGTTGTTTTATCTTGTTGACCAAAGACGCAGTGCATTTAGCTATCAAAGCATGACGTCACTTTATATCCATTTATCAGAGCAACACAAGGGGGGTTTATAAAGTGGAGGCAGGTAGATCGAATTTTTCGACAGGGACACGGTGATTTATTTGATTTTCGATCTAACTGCGACACAGCAACCATGGTTACCAAGAGTGCAATATCAACCGCGGCCGTACTGCCATGTATGGTAATGCTGACTATCAAATGTTTTTTATTTCTCCCCGAGATATAAACTACAGATAAGGCGGCGCCTTCAGAATATATCAACAAAAGTAACCGATGACACTCAAAGCATCTTGTCTGGTGAGTAAAAATAGGCCTACACCCTAGTATTCGCTTGGTAATACAGTCCATATGCTTACTTGGATTACAAAATTCCTCATTGAGTATCATGGTTTTTGTGTTTGCACCTTTTTCAAGGGATCTTTGAATTGTTTCTGTCAATCTATCCGGCAATGATCAGAGATCCGACCATAACTCCGCCAATGAATTAGCCAAAGCCATCAAAGACCTTCTTTCAGACTCCCCCAGCAGCTCTGGCCGTTTAATAATTTTGCCGCCGAAATTTGTTCCTCAGAAAAAAAAATTCCAAGACATGGCGATAAACGATGGGGTCAATATGGAAAAAGGTGCGCTCAATCCGATCACGCTCCCCAACAGGATCTTATATTTGGAAACCAATCATTCATTATCCTACTGTTCTTTTTCTTTTCCTTTTTCTTTACTAGGTCTTCTCCACATTTCCGTTTATAGATTCACTGATCTCCACCATGCACGACGAGACCACTATCGACGGACAGGAACACATCGTTACTCATCCAGTCCCGGAGCGTCTGTTGAACGCTTCCGAGTGTCCTACTCCCTATGTCACCTCGGTTGAACAATACCAAAAAATGTGGAAAGAAAGCGTTGAACAACCCGACGTATTCTTTGGCAATGTATGTGTGACACAAAGATCCAAGAAGAATAAAGATGGGGCAGAAGAAAAAACAAAGGAGGAAATAAGGGAAAGGAGAACCGTAACAAGACATGATGGCTAAAAATGTCACGGATTTTTTTTCTGGTAGTTGGCTCGTGAACTGTTGTCGTGGGATAAGCCGTTTGAGACGGTCCAACACGGTTCTTTCGAGACGGGAGATGTTGCTTGGTTTTTGGAGGGTCAATTGAATGCGTCATACAACTGTGTCGATCGCCACGCTTTAAAAAACCCGGATAATATTGCCATCATTCATGAAGGCGATGAACCCGATCAGGTGCGCCGTATTACTTATGGTGAATTGCTCCGTGAAGTATGCCGTATGAGCAACGTGTTGAAGAACCTTGGTGTGCGTAAAGGTGATACAGTGGCTATTTACATGCCCATGATTCCCGAAACCATCGTTGCCATTTTGGCTTGTGCTCGTATCGGTGCCATCCATTCCGTTGTTTTTGCTGGTTTCTCCGCCGAATCTCTCCGTGATCGTGTTGTGGATTGTGCAGCCCGTGTGGTCTTGACTTCCGATGAAGGTCGTCGTGGTGGACGCAACATTGCCACCAAGCGTATTGTCGACGATGCTCTCGGTAACCACGAAACCCATGTGGAACATGTCATTGTCTACCGTCGCACGGGATCTCCCGTGCCCTGGATGGAAGGCCGTGATTTGTGGTGGCACGAAGAAATGGTCAAGGCCCGAGCTTACTGCGCTCCCGAGGCCATGAACGCTGAAGATCCCTTGTTCTTGCTCTATACCTCGGGGTCCACAGGCGCTCCCAAGGGCATCCTCCACACCACCGGTGGTTATCTTTTGGGCGCCACCGCGACCGTAAAGTATATCTTTGATTATCATCCGGGTGACATCTATGCCTGTATGGCCGATATTGGCTGGGTCACTGGTCATTCGTACATTGTCTATGGACCCTTGTCGTTGGGTGCCACCACTGTCTTGTTTGAATCCACTCCTACGTACCCTAATCCATCTCGTTTCTGGGATCTGATTGAAAAACACAAGATCACTCAATTCTACACAGCACCTACGGCTATTCGTGCTCTTCAGCGCTTGGGTGATCAGTGGCTGGAAAACCACGATCTTTCGAGTTTGCGTGTGATTGGATCTGTGGGTGAACCCATCAACCGTGAAGCCTGGGACTGGTACAACGAAAAGGTCGGCAAGAACCGCTGTGCGGTGGTCGATACTTATTGGCAAACCGAAACGGGTTCCATCATCATCAGTCCTTTGCCTGGTGCCACCCCAACCAAACCTGGTTCGGCTACCTTGCCTTTCTTTGGTATTGACCCCGTCTTATTGGATCCTACCACCGGCAAAGTGTTGGACAAGGAAGGTGAAACCGGTGTGCTGGCCATCCGTCGCCCTTGGCCCTCGATGGCTCGTACCGTTTACAACAACCACGCTCGTTTCTTGGAGACCTACCTGAAACCCTATCCCGGTTACTACTTTACTGGTGACGGTGCTTTGCGAGACAACGATGACTATATCTGGATCCGCGGTCGTGTTGATGGTAAACTTTGATGAAATTGGACGATTTTTCCAAACCTCGCAATAACTCAACACGTGCCTTTACATTTGTAGATGTCATTAATGTGTCTGGCCATCGTTTGTCGACTTCCGAAATTGAAGCTGCTTTGAACAATCACGAGTCGGTTGCGGAATCGGCTGTGGTTGGTGCTCACGATGACTTGACAGGTCAATCCATCCACGCATTTGTGTCGCTGAAACCTCACATTCAGAGCATGGAAGGTTTAGAACGTGAATTGACCTTGCAAGTTCGCAAGATCATTGGTCCTTTTGCTGCTCCCAAGCGCGTGTACATTGTAACGGATCATCCAAAGACCCGCTCTGGTAAGATTATGCGTCGTGTGCTTCGCAAGATTGTCAATGGTGAACAGCACCAGTTGGGTGATACATCCACTTTGGCCGATCCTGCGGTCGTCCCTGCTTTGATTGCCAAGGTTCACGGCACCAATACCGCCTAAGAAATTATTGCCCTTTCTATAATGTTCTTCTTTTTACTATTATCTGCTTCTCTCTTTATACGTATTCTATTGCCTGTACACAACAACTATTTAAAACCACACACTCACCTTGCTATTTTTATTTTCTTTCTTATTTGGATAGTCTATTCCAAAATAAATTGCATAGAAATACATTTCAACCCTTGTTTTTGTTGTGGTGACATTAAATCATTCACCTGTATTGAGATCTCATTCTATGTTTGAAGAGTTGGATTCTATTCAAATAAAAGCTCTGTGGAGGAAAACAGGAAATAGACGAAAAGGGTAAACGGATACAGGGGAAGTATGCCATGTCGTGTGATATCGAAGGTGGGCAGAGAGGGCAAACGTGGTATAGGAATGGGAATTATTCTTCAATGTGACGAAAGCGGCTTCCCTTCTTGCTTCGACTGCCGCCGGAGGTTACGTTTCGGCTACGCCAGACGCGCATGACGTGCCAATGGCAGAGCAACACTGAGCACGAGGCTCCAAAGACAGCACAGATGGCATTCGTTTCACCGTCGTCGTTGTCTATCATAAATGCTTGCGGGAAAATGCCATGTTCATTCTTCAGCCAGCGGAGCCATTCCATGACAGGATACGTGGATAGGGTTTCCGTGACCATCCACGCTAATGGAAAACACCCTTGCCAATCACGGAACACTTGGCAACACTGGTGTAAAGGTACGACTTTTCCCATTCACATTCCTGGCTGTGTTATGTGTAGCGTCCATGCACGCAGCAGCAGAGTTGTCCTTGACAAACTGTACGAAGATCCTTCACCGAGCGCTACGTTCATTGTCGTTAAAATAAGCCAAATGGAACAAGGAGCAGACTGCTTACAATTGGTGACCCAGGAAGGGCGAGGGCGCCAGGCGGGAAGATAAACTGTTGTCAAAGCAGATAGCACCGGGTCGACGCGCGGAGATGGCAGGCAAGCCTGCGCGAAAAAAAGGCCATACGAATATTTTTGACGTACTGAGGCTACGAAGAAATTGCTGCACTAGACGCGGGGCGACGCGGATTTCGCCACGATGCCGCTGCCTGAGATATCCAAATTCGAGGATCATAGAGGAACGCGTGAGCAGCAGTTACTTTGCGGAGACCGGGATAGAGTCGTTAAATGGTAGACATATAATCAAAAGAGGGAGTATGAGACAGGTAGCAGGAGATGGTGCACGCAGCAGGAAGTCTTGCGGCAGACGAACAAAGAACAAAGAAAAGCGCCCAACTTTTCAAACGCAGATTCTGGAAATTTTCCAACAATCCACGTAATCTGCCGTATGGACTGCTTTGTGACAAGCTTTCTTTGTCGGTGATCACAGCCACTCTCAGAAAGGAAATCGTCGCCCAAAGCTCGGGCTTTTTTTTTTAAAAAAAAATCTTGTCGTCTTTTATCCAGAGCTTATACTGTCATGGTGAAGAAGGTTGTAGATTCCCGCGTGCATACGCTCATCAAGAACTGTGTGCAGACAAAGCACCGTTCTTTTTTTGTTGTCGTCGGTGACAAAGGCAAAGATCAGGTAAAAAAATCGCTGCACCGGGGCATGGGCCCTGAACTTTTGCTACTTTATACAATATTACGGATCGAATGCTGAATCATCATGAACAATCCGGTGTAGGTGGTCAATTTGCATTGGCTCTTGTCGCAAGCACAGGTGACGAGTCGTCCCTCGGTTCTTTGGTGTTACAAGAAAGAGTTGGGCTTCACAAGGTAAAATCTTCAACTTTGATCTGGAGACAAACGGCAATGTGACATGCGGATGACACAAATCATATTAACTCGAATACTTGCTTAGTCACCGTAAGAAACGAGAGAACAAGATTAAAAACGATATCAAGCGAGGTATTCGTGAAGCGAATACCGAGGATCCATTCGAACTGTTTGTCGCCGTGACCAATATCCGTTATGCATACTACAAGGAAACGCAGAAAATCCTTGGTAACACCTACGGCATGTGTATCCTTCAGGATTTTGAAGCCATCACACCCAACACATTGGCTCGTACCATTGAAACTGTTGAAGGTGGTGGTATGGTCGTCCTTTTGCTCAAGAGCATGAACTCGTTGAAACAATTATATACAATGACCATGGTATGTCGAGAAAGAAATTTCGTTTTTGATTTAGTGGCTGACATTTTTTACTTGCAGGATGTCCACTCGAGATATCGTACGGAAGCACATAGCGATATCGTTGCACGATTTAACGAACGTTTCATCTTATCCTTGGGGTCGAGTGAGAGTTGTCTTGTGGTCGATGACGAACTGAATGTGTTACCGATCAGTATGGGCAAGCATATCAAGCCGTTGCCGCTCAAGTCAGCTGAAGACATCAAATCGGCCGAGGATATGGAATTGGAGGAATTAAAGACGTCCTTGGCAGACACCGAACCGGTAGGCTCGTTGGTCAAATGCACCCGTACCGTGGATCAGGCCAAGGCCCTGTTAACGTTTATCGAAGCCATTTCCGAAAAGTCGTTGCGCAGTACCGTCGCCTTGACCGCCGCTCGTGGTCGTGGTAAATCAGCCGCGCTCGGTATCGCCATGGGTTCCGCCGTGGCTTACGGTTATTCCAACATCTTTGTCACTTCACCCAGTCCCGAGAACTTAAAGACGCTCTTCGAATTTGTGTTTAAGGCTTTTGATGCGCTCGGTTACGAAGAACATTTGGATTACGACATTGTGCAATCGACCAACCCCGATTTCAACAAAGCCATTGTCCGTGTGAACATTTTCAGACAACATCGTCAGACCATCCAATATATCCAGCCTCAAGACGCTCATGTCCTGGGTCAAGCCGAACTGTTGGTCATTGATGAAGCGGCGGCTATTCCTCTCCCCATCGTACGCAAGCTTTTGGGCCCTTACCTTGTGTTCATGGCCTCCACCATCAACGGTTACGAAGGTACCGGTCGATCGCTGTCGCTTAAGTTAATCCAGCAATTGCGTGAACAATCGCGTGGTTTTGTTGGCAAAGCTGGCGATGTCGCCCGCGATGGTTCCGGTGACGTGGTCGTCGGTCGTGACATGCAAGCTAAGAAGACGACGGAAGAAACCAATGGCGCTGCTTTTGGTGGTCGCACATTGAAGGAAATCAAGCTGGAAGAGCCTATCCGTTACGCTCCCAATGATCCTGTCGAAAAGTGGCTCAACAAGCTTCTCTGTTTGGATGCTTCGGTGGTGTCCAAGAATATTCAGGGTTGCCCGCATCCTTCCGAGTGTGAACTCTACTACGTCAACCGTGACACGCTGTTCTCATACCATCCCGTCAGCGAAATCTTCTTGCAACGAATGATGGCATTGTACGTTGCCAGTCATTACAAGAACTCGCCCAACGATTTGCAACTGATGAGTGACGCCCCGGCGCATCATCTCTTTGTTCTTTTGCCTCCCATTTCCGAGAACAACGCTAGCTTGCCCGATCCGTTGGTGGTTGTCCAAGTGTGTTTGGAAGGTGAAATTTCGCGTCAGTCCGTGATGAACTCGCTGTCGCGTGGTCAGCGTCCCGCCGGTGATATGATCCCCTGGTTGATTTCTCAGCAATTCCAAGACGACGATTTTGCCAGTTTATCCGGTGCTCGTGTTGTCCGTATCGCCACGCATCCCGATTATGCCCACATGGGTTACGGTTCGCGTGCCATTGAAATGCTGAAATCCTTCTACCAAGGCGAAATGTCCGATTTAAGTGAAGCAAGCAACGAGGAAGAGGAAACTTTCACCCGTGTGGACGATGACGAGCTGGAGTCGGCCGATTTGAAGACGGATCAAGTCAAGGTGCGCGATCCCCGCAAGATGCCTCCTTTGCTGTCCAAGCTGTCGGATAAACACCCCACCAAATTGGACTATCTTGGTGTCTCGTATGGTATGACCCCAAGCCTTCACAAATTCTGGAAACGCGGTGGATTCGTTCCGTTGTACGTACGACAGACAGCCAATGATTTGACGGGCGAACATACATGCGTCATGATCAAGACGTTAACGGAAGAAGGCGACAGTCGAGTGGCCAACAGCGGTTGGTTGGATGCTTTTGCTCGTGATTTCTCCAAACGTTTCATCAGCCTTTTATCGTATCAATTCCGTTCATTCCCTGCTATCAACGCCCTCAGTATCCTGGAAGCTGCCAAACACGGTCACGACCAGTCCGTGTCCCACGGCGAACTGACCAAGAAGCAATTGTCCATGTACTTTAGCCCCTATGACCTGAAGCGTCTCGAATCGTATGCCAACAATATGCTGGATTACCATGTGATCCTCGACATGATTCCCACTGTTGCGATGCTCTATTTCCGCGACGAAATGAGCTCCGAAGTGAAATTGTCGGGTGTTCAGAGCGCCATCCTGCTTGGTATTGGTCTTCAACGTAAGGAAATTGAGGATCTGCAAAAGGAACTGTCGTTGGCCAGCAACCAAGTACTTGCCTTGTTTGTCAAGATCGTGCGTAAAGTAAGCCAATACTTTGCCAAGATTGAAAGTCAAGCCATTGAAGAAGAGTCGCCGGAACTTCAAAGAAGAAAGGCCCAAGCGGCTTTGGCGGAAGCTCAGGAAGCGGAAGAACTAGCAGAAGGTGGTGCAGGCAAGCGATCGTTAGAAGATGATGAAGCGTGGCGACCCTTGAAGGGAGATTTGGATGATGATTTGGAGGAAGCCGGTAACCAAGTGATCAGCAAGTTGAAGGAGAAACAGCGTGAGATGATCGATTCCTTGGATTTGACCAAATATACTATTGGTGGTAAAGACAATGACTGGGCCGCTGCTGAGCAGCAAGTCAAAGCCATGGCTTCCGGCAAGAAGCCTTTGAGCTCCGTGGTCAGTGTCAAGAACGACAACTCGTCCAAGAAACGCAAGCTTGCCGAAAGCGCCAAGGAGATGGCCGCCAAAGAGCAGAACCGCAAATTGCAAGGCAAACTCAAGATGTCCAAAAAGACAAGACGATCATAAAAAATTAGATACAAAAACTTGGGGATCAAGGGTTTTCTTTTCTCGCATTTACCGCATCGCCCGAATCCAATCCAAAAAAAGACTTGCATGTAATTCTCTTTTGACTTCATTTTCAATTTTTTTTCTCGTTTCGATGCTTTTTATTTTCGAATCATTCCCTTTCATATATTAAAACATGTTACTTTTTATGTATTCCTTTTGTTTTGGGACAGTATATTCAAAGAAATGTGGTCAGCGAACATTTCAAAAGATGGAGGAGGAGGGTGTCCATCCGGTGGCGGGGGTCATGAGTAACTGTGGTTGCTGTGGTTGCACGAACGGTACCTGAACAGCGTTCATATTGGCTGGCTGTGTGAATGGATTGTACGTATTAGTGGCGGCAGGCTGCGTCACAAAAGGATTAAATGAATTATTGGTAGTAGAGTAATGATGACTAGGTGGCGGAGCAGTGGAGGACGAGGGCGATGCAACGGAAGCATACATGGTGTTTCCCGCAAGAGGGGTTGAAAGACTCTGTTGCGGGGTGACAGCGGTCGGCACTGGCAGGGATCCGAAACTGGTGGACGCCGATAACGACGGTGCTGTGGTTGGCGTGGAGAACATGGCACCGGGATGCATAGGTGATTGCAATGTGTTGGTGGACACGGTGGGGACCATGGTCATTCGGAACGGGTTGTGCATGCTGCCTGTAGGTTGGGGATCCGGTTGGAAGGAAACCGTGGCCTTTTCGTTTTCCAGGCTTGAGAAAAAGTCAATCAACTCTTTTGGCTGCTGCTGCTGTTGCTGTTGCTGCTGCTGCTGTGAAGGGGCGGCCGATGATGCCGGCATCACTGTGTTTTTTTGAGGTTCGGGAGTCGGTGGGGCAGCGGAAGAAACTACTAGAAAAACACCAATAGTGCATGCATTAGCGAGCTGATACGCGCGTCTTGAGAAAAAGCCTACATACCTGGTTTCTTGTCACCCAGTTCAAGTAGATATTCTTCAAGAGCGGTGGCCAGAGACAATGGGGCCTACAAGGTATTGCGTCCATCGTGTCAACCAACCAAGTATTTGCTTACAATGATGGAATACCAAGCTTTGTCACTTACGTGTTTTGGTACAGGGATGGTCATGTGCATTTCGTGCTGTAAATGCCTTGCTGTGGCCATGAATGCAATGGTATCTTCGGTTTGTCTGGAGAATCGTTTGTAGATTTCCAACGCTGCTCGGGCATCCGTTTGACTCATGGTAAAATATTGTTCTATAGTACCACCATCGCATCAGTCATCACAAGCCCTTTCTCTTCTTTCTTCCATATAGATGATCGAAAAAAAAAGAAAGAGGTTGGCTTACCTAGTATATTGACAACACCTTCATTCACGGTTTGGAACAGGACAAGCATGTCTTCCACCAGGAGGCGGAAAGCATACAAGCTGATGGTATTATCGACATCGTCCATGTGAAATTTACATCGTAAAAGAGCCCCAATTTGCTTTTGTAACACTGGCAAATCTCGAAGAAGGCCTTGAGCTACTGTTAGACGACGCAGTCGGCTGACCTTATTCACGGTGGTCGCTTTGATGTAATCCATTTTCAACTCTCGATAAGCGTGGACTCGTTGGATCAAGTAACTCGTATAATTGTGAATATTCTCGATATGTACCAGACCTTTTTTTTTTAGACATCATGGATGAACATTGAAATCTTTTGACAAAAAAGGCATCAACACTCAAGATGGCATACCTGATGATTTTTCTCGTAATCGACTTGTGTCGAGGGATGACGGATGCGCCTCGGCGTATGCAATCGCTCGATCACCGTTTCCATCGCGCATTAAAGAGTGGATAATGATCAATACCTTGAAACTTATCTGACGTAGCAATCATTTCGCTGTCAGTTGATCACTGACAAAAAAAAACAAGAAGGGCGTTCCAATTTCAGTAATACATACAATCCAAGAATTTTCCCGAAGTCGTTTCGACAGAATATCCATCATATCCGTGACCATTCCCGGATGATGGAATGTCATTGAGATCAATGCTAAGGATCATGACGATTTTGCCCTTTGATCAGTTTTGTCTTGGTTTATGTGCCCATCTTGTGAAGTCCGAGTGCCTACCAGATAGATGCTTTTGTTTGGGTGGATTGTAATCGAGCCGTGTGGCTTTCCTGAGTGCGGTTTCCATGGGAGCGAAAAGGAAAAAGAGCCGCTATTTTAGTTTGATCATCACATCATTTTATTCTCTCTATAATCAAAGAAGATGAACGATTGCCTTTTCGAGAAAGGGACCGCTGCCACAGGCTTGTATAAAAACTCTTTCAGGCACCGCCGACTGTGAACCACAGGATGCACTCGTTCCTGGCAATCAGCATTGCCTTTTACGGTCACCCATGGCTTCTATTGTTTCTTTTTTTTTTCAACACAACTGTGAGTGACATGAATTATCCCAAGACATTATTCGCTCTCGTTGACGTCGCAGCGGTACTCTACTTTTCTTCGAAAAAAATGAATAAAAAAAAGCACAGGCATCGGACCGTCAAAGCATGAATTACGGTGCAACACAGCTGCCAACTGATAACGACTATCATACGAAAGACTGCAACCGATAACAAGGCACTGACACAGTGTTGCTCTGCTCCAAAAGGACCGGCAAAGAACAACGATCCTCAAAAAGGAGGTTCCTTGATTTGTCCATGTAAATATGACAACGTCTACTTTGTTTTGTTGGAATGCCAAGACCTGGCTTTTAGCACCTGGTATCAATTAACGGATGGTTGAAACCCGTAATCACCTAGTTACCCTACTCACGGTAATAACGTCATTAACATCGGTTACTAAATATTACCCAGGCAGCAACTCTTCTTTTTTTTAAAAAAAAAAATCGACTTTCCACTTTTGCGATACATCCAAAAAGGATCGACGGTGAATACGAGTTGTGTCTGTACTCTAGGAACCAATTAACAAATTAAGGATTTCATCTTGACGGATTTTTTGTGAAAAATAGGACCCTTTCGAAAAAAGCAAAATAGCTTGTTGCCAAGGATGGCATCCACAGACAAAGATGACGCAAAGAAACAATGCAAAATAATAATAATAGTACGAGTTGCAAAACGCTTTTTTGATGACTTGAGCACCCATGAGGGAGAACGAGGATAAATGCACTGGCTAAACAGTAAGACCGAACAAGATTTTGTGTACCCCACAAGTGGGGGAGGGGGGCACCTTGAGGGCGGGGGTTCGTTTGCTGTCGTAAAATATTACCCATTGCAAAATCATCTACGGTGTCTGCAATTGTTGGAAAAAATAATGAACGCATGCTATTCTTTCTATCGTTACTGAAAGGGTAGGCAATGCAATGTGTGATTCTACTTTATCTGTAGAATAGTAGACAAGATTTGATGATCGCTTGCACTGAGCACTTGATGCTTGATCGCAGTGTTTTGCCGTGATAAATGGCATGTATTCCAGTGGGACATCCAATTTTCTCAAAAAGTCTGGCGGATAAAAAGGGTTTGAGTCAACCCGCAATTTTTTGTTTTACATTGCATGCAGTAAGCATTGATTCCAGGATGCACCGGTCAGAATGCATTGCATCATGGTAAGACTCAATCATATCATTGTTTTATTTGTTCTTGTTTTGGTTGCTTTGACGATGAGGTAACATTGGAGGTTTTGAATAAAAAAGCATGCGGAGCGTGGCTGACAGATTCGATAAGGGATGATATTTATTCCTTTTCCAGATTGATAAACAATGGATAACTATTCACAAGCAAGCGGTATGACAATGCCAACCCATCCAATAACAAGCTGCTGTAACATCTGGTAACTTATGCAGGCACGATAGGGAAAAAAAAAAGTTGCATGAAGAGCACTTTATCCTTGATCCCGCGCAACACTTGCAGGTTTTCAACAAGCGATGCCCAGATCGTCAGAATAAATGTCGCACTCCATTAAAACTTTGTCTTGAACCAAATATAAGGCAATGCCATTTGGCCAAACATAAAGACAAGCCGTATCCTATTACGTTTTGCTGTCTGTTCGTTTTTGGCGACCAAGGACCTTCTCCACAGCGATACTCCCAGCCAGGCACAATTTATGCTCCCCCAGAGACATCTTGAGTCAAAGTAAACATGCCATAAAATGATGTTATTCCACTGTCAAGAAGAGAGCTTTCATAAAGGATATGAACATCTCCTACGATCGAAATTTGATTTAGGCGATTAATTTGGTTCGAGTGAACTACAGTGCAAAATTATCACCAAGGCAACAAACGACCATTCAGTAACGTCGAAAAAACGCTTAATTAAAAATATGCTGAGGACCGAGCTTGTTTTGCAAAAATGCCTTTGCGTTACTGCGCAGACATGACACCTATTGAATCCTCGGCCTGACCAAGCACAAAAGAAACGGAGCAAATAGAGGCCTCTTCACATGTTGAAAAAGATTACGCCATGATCTCTTTGAGCAATCCACTCGTCCGTTTTGATTGGCTGAGGGCATCTGCTTTGTTGGAAAAAGCACGAGTGCTTATTTACAATTGGCTGAAAAGTACAAAAAAAAACTATTTTTGGTGTTATTATCAGAATTTGTCAGACCATGGTTTGTGTCACGTGGGAGATGGAAAATGGATGGAGCCACCCCACTTAAGGAGAAACATCGTGAAAAAAGCAATCCCTGGCCTGAATAACGATTGTCCTACTGGTTAGAAAACCCTGCAATGGCTTTCCAAACTCGATATTATGAGATTATTAACCGGCATAATCGATGCTTTCCAGACGATCCTCGGAAAAAGGCCAGTGGCAACCACCCAAAAGAAAAAATATCCAACCATCAAAAACATGCCAAGTCGTTTCAAAAAATTCTATTTTTTTTTCTGATTATTTTTGTTGTTGTACGATTCCCCATTCGTTTTTAACGTGCGCGTGAACTTGTGTTCGGATAAAATAAGTTGGAATAACCTAGCATTTATTATCTACTTTTTCTTTGATATATTCATCTCATTCACCCTCGTTGACGATGACGGACAATGCAGTCTCAACCGCTGTCAAGTCTACCGTGATGACCTCAATCCCTGATCCGACCGTTGTCAATGAGCACCGTGTTGTCAATGATCTGTCATCGCAACCCATTCCCCCCGCAGTATTCAGGAACCGGTCATATAACAAGAGAGCCACCCCGCTGGAAGAGAGTTTAGACGAGGAAGAAGAAACGGAAGCGGACGGAGACGAAGAGGAGGAAGAAGGGTTCGAAACAGAAGAGGACGAAACCTCGAACCAGCAACCCACCGATATGTACGACTATGAATTGGAGGATGAATTGGATGACAATAACAACGAAGGAGGGACGGAAGAGGACGAGATCGATCGTTTCTTATCTCGGGATATGGATGAAGATATGCTTGCATCCGATATGACCGAGCCATTCATGGTGAACCAAGGCGAAAATCAATGGATAGACGAATTAAACGATGAGGACCCACAGAATGACAGCAAATTAAATGATATTTCGGACCGAATGGCGGCCGAATGGACTTCCACTGATGAATGGAATGAGGAACAAGAAGAAAACCAAAGTGATGTGAAAGATGCCGTTCCAAAGGACGAAGCCGACGAAATATCACCTCAACAAAATAATAATAATAACAACAACAACTTGCACCAGAATGATGATACCCCAAATCAAGATACCACCGTAAATATAAAGCAGCAAAAAACCAGCATTGAAATTGAAGAAGAAGCAGCGATTCGAAGTCTGCATGAAGAAATTGCAGACGCTTTAAATCGGGCCTTACTCAAAGGCAATAGACCATGGTTAGAAATGCAAGAGAATACTCCCGCAAAGGTCATTCACGAACATGATAACGCAAATATGCTCACTGGATCCAAGACGCAAGGCACAAAAACATACCATGGTCTCATATTTTGGATCGTGCTGGTGGCGGTGTGTTTCGGCGTGTGGCGATTCAAGGTACGACCTTCTCATTTGCCTCCCCCCCCCCCTAAGCCAGCCCAGAAAATTCTGTTGTCTTTTATTGTACCCTTTGCAAATTTGACTGGATCATTCCTTTTTGTTTTACTCGATGCGTTGGAAGCTAGGGACAAACGTGTTGACATTCAAAGACATGTCTCTATTTTTATTTCTTGCAATGACATCCGTTGATCGTTCTTTTTTTTTTTTCTAGTCTCGACGTTTGGAAAAAGGCCCTTCATTACCCGTAACCCGTCAAGAACATGTAAGCATGAAAAAGCATAACAAATTCTCAGCTTACTAACGTGAACCCTATTTTTTGCCTTTTAGCATTATCGTAAAAAGAGCCTGGATTAATCGCGGATCCACGACAAGAGTTGGTGAATCCACATCCTTGTATCGTTTGTCGTGTTGTGGCCCTTTTTTTTCCCTCAACTTCACCAAAAACCCCTCATCCTAACAAAACCATTTGGCACATGCATCCTGGCGATTAGTGGCCTTTTGAAAATCATGCAACCCACCCCGCTCCCCACCTCCATTATCTTTTTACAAATACATGATGGCATACATAATAGCTTTGCTACTGACATGGAAAGCTATTGATCATGCAATCCCACTCAGCATCGCTACTGAAAATCAAGATTCGTACTACAGGAACCTGCATTTCTTTGGACATTTTGCTCAAGGGAGGGAAATTGCGGTACGTTAGCCAACTGATCGACGGCCAATCTAAGAAAATTTTACCAGTTTCGACTGCATGGAGGAGAAGGTGTGTGGTGTGGGGGATCAATGGCTAGAAAATAGAAGTCGCCAGTCATGGTGAAGAAATTGTCGCTTTACGAGGAAAGAAGTCAGTGACGCTATTTGGTGAAAACCAGAGTTGCTCACTCAAAATACACTTGTCTCGCATTTCAAGAGAGGTCTGCGTCTCTATACGTAAGGCACGCAAGGTTCAGAATTCTATAGGATATACTGTTGTGGTCATCTTTCGTGGCGTGAGGTCCTCCATCATGATGGCGGGTTATCCTCTAGCTGTTCGTCTCATATGGGCTTACTTCCGCAAGTTCCTTATTTTGATCATGCCTTTTCCTGTCACGCAATTCATACCGAAAATACTCTGTGAAAACAATCTTGGATGTTGACCGCGAAGGGCAATAAACTTGTTTGACGACAAACCCGTCGTCGGTACATACCCAAAATAAGAATAAATGGAAGAGTTGATCGTATCATTCTATGGATTGATATCAAATGAATCAATGTGCTTTCTTAGGCAAAACATGATTGGGAAAAAGAGTATGGGTGGGTGGCACCTGTTCTTTTGTCAACTACTGGGAAAAAATTGCTCGATTCCTATCAACTACATCGATTACTATAGTCTACAAATATTAAGACGTGCATGCGCTTATACAGTAGAAGAAAGCGATATATCAGAATGTAAGTATTTCGATCACCATGTGGTGCCGTCATTTTAGACATTAAGAAAGAAAAGCGTCCAAGGTAACTGAATATGTATCCTGTGAAAGTCGTCATCGTTGGTGAAGGCGACGATAATGTACCACCATTCTTTGAGTGGATAACTTCCGAAAGGGCCGCCGTCAAATAACATGCGTTCTTTTCATAGGCTACAAGTAATACCAGACGAACCAATGTCTCATGAAAACCATTCTGTGATAACACATTGTCGAGCCGTTTTCTCCATCATGATGTGAATAATTGCGTAGACTTTATTGACCTGTAACTAAAAATCAGGGTAACTTGACTGTTGTCATCGTATATCGTATTGGATTTGATGCGCTGTCTCTAAAACTGGCAAAGAAAGATAAAAAAACAAGTTGTTTAGAAATCAACTATATTCACCCATGACCTTATTTTCTGAGCGTTACTTGCGGTCAAGCTGCGTATATATGATATGTTTTTTTTTTTTTTTTTTTTTTTTTTTTTTTTTTTTTTTTTTCGAAAGTCAACGACGAGAATGCTAAAGGACTATTAGAACAGTTGACGACACTGGCGTTAATATTTACCACGAGAGATCTAAAAGGATCTTAGTTTATCGTAGTGTTGTCGATAAATGTGCGTCCTCAGAAGTATAAATGATTCCGTACTTCACCTGCAAACCAGTACCGACAGGCCTACGCAAAATATTTGCAACAATATCGAGACAATTATCCTTGTTATGTTTTTGCTTGCTTTTACAACAAATGTTCCAATCGTGACAACCTAGTCGATACCACCTAAGCAGCATCATTGTAAACCGTCTAGTCATACCAATACATTTCGTCTGCAGGATCGTTCTCACGCGTCAAACTGAACAGTAAGAAAGTAACCACCTGAGGAAAGCGGTGACATTAATTTGTTAAACGTGCGACAAGGTATTTTTGAAACGGCGACTTTTTTGATGTTTATTAAATGGGCACGAGAGGAGGCGGGGGGAGGAGGAGAAAGAAGGGGGTCTTGATTTTTCTTGGGGGCCAAGAAGCTAGGACAAACATGAACTGCAAATGTATACAGTGCAGTGCACCTTTAAAGCGCTCTTTTGGTGGTTGATCCATATTTAGAAAGCCATGTGACTTGACGTCTTTGTTTTTGCTCTTTTTTTTTGCCATAGAAACAGACCATAAAAAAGTGGATTTATATTGTTGCATCCCTTTTTCCTTTTCTTCGCTTTTCTTTCCCAAGCCTTTATTTTTTATTTCAGTTGAATCAGTATTTTCTTGTCTTTTGTTGATCGTGTTTGATTGATAAAAAAGAGGAGAAATGATTCAGACATTGAAACCCAAAGTCGACCACTACCCTGATCACAGCTATGCCAGAGATAAGAAACCTTTACCGGCCAAACCGGCATCGACGGGTGGGATGAATAAGAAACAACATCAACGTTTAACAAGCAGTTTCAGCAGTCAATCATCTTTAACGTCCTCCAGTCCTGCCACACCCATCTCGCCCAATTCGCCTGTATCCAATCGGTTCTATTCATCCAGTGGCAGCCTGTTTTCCATTGGCAGTGATCAGTTGCTGGATCACTCGCATTTAAAACCTGGCAACAATGCAGAATTATTATCTTATTCCAAAACAATCAACATGTACAGAGAAAATGCCAAAAAGACCAACGATCTGGATATCCAATGTGACTTTGCCATCTTTCTGGTGGAGTCGGCCAAACAATTGCTTCAAAAACACGAGGACGAAGACGAACGAGATCGGACTCAAAATGCGGAGGAACCGAATGAAGACGATACCATGCGACGATCGTACCTGTGGGAAGCGGAGAAAATTCTTAAACAAGTAGCCATGCGCGGGCATAGTGAATCACAGTATTACCTGGCCAACATGTATGCTTCTGGTCTGCTTACCAAATCTGCCAAGCCCGATATCGACAAGGCGTTTCCACTGTTTGTCCAGGCAGCCAAACACCATCACCCGGATGCTTCATACAGGTAAGCACGCCATCACTACATTGCCATTTTTCAATTTTCTTCCCTTTCTTTCTTGTTCTATCCCACTTTGAGTTGCCTGGCTCCCCCCTCCCCACGTTTCCATGGCATGTTGTCTTTTTTCTTTTTTATTCCCCTCATTTATTTTGTGCATGTTTTTCATTGAAACCACTTGAAACACCGAATGCGAGGGGGCGATCGATGGTTCAAAATCGCCATGATTCTTTCTGTACTTTCGTTTTCAAAAGGATGGGTAGAATCTTCTTTATTTGAGTTTGGATCTAGCCTCTTTAAGAGAGCAAGGGAAGCACCAAGATGATGCAAAGATGATTTTCTTTTCGATTCTAGTGGAGATGACAGTGGGGATTTGCATGTCTGGTTTTTCCTTGGGTTCCCATCCGCTCCTTCATTACGAATTATTTTCATCACCCCCATTTTTTTTATTGCGCGTACTAAAACCAACTCATTGAATTCTATTTACAGGACAGCCAAATGTTATGAAGAAGGCTTGGGGACACGCAAAGACAAGGGCAAAGCGGTGCAATTTTACAGGTATTTTTTTTTTGTTTTTGGATTTCCCGTTGGATGGTTCCATGATCTTTTTTTATTAATGGCAAATTTTGGTTCTGATTACAATTGAATTTTGGATATTAATAGAAAAGCGGCAACATTGAATCATCCTGGTGCCATGTACCGGCTCGGGTTAGCTCAACTGCACGGAGAATTAGGTTTGTCGCGCAATGTGCGTGATGGGCACAAGTGGCTCAAACGATCGGCCGAGGCCGCGACGCCCCAATATCCTCATGCATTGCATGAACTCGCTGGGTTGCACGAAAAAGGCAATGCCATCGTGTTTGTCGACCATGCCTATTGCGTAACACTTTACAACGAAGCCGCTGCGCTTCGGTACGCGCCTTCCGCGTTTCGATTAGGTGAATGCTATGAATTTGGCAAACTCGGCTGTGACCCGGATCCGGCACTTTCCATTCAGTATTATGCCATCGCCGCCGAACAAGGTCATCCAGATGCTTGCTTTGCCCTGACGGCTTGGTACCTTGTCGGGGCGCCCAATGTCCTCGAACCTTCGGACGAACAAGCGTATGCGTGGGCGTGTCGTGCCGCTCTTTCGGGCCATGCCAGAGCCGAATACGCTGTTGGTTACTTTTGCGAAGTCGGCATTGGTGTCGCCAAGAATCCCGATCAAGCCATGACGTGGTACCAAAAGGCGGCCGAACACGGCGATCGTCGCGCCGTGCAACGATTGCAATCCAAAGCCCCATTGGACGCCTTTTCATTGCGACCACCCTCGTGCTCTTCTCAATCGCAACGCTCATCCAAACGATTCAGTAAATTTTCCATGCCATCACCCAAATCATTCTGGCGAAAGATGGCCATCAAACAATAATCCAACTGTAACTCGTCACTCTCCCAGGAAAAATTGCCGTCCAACAAAACTGATTATACCATGATGGCTCATCCTTGTGGAAGATGGATGCCCTCTCTTTATTCAATGAAAGGAAGTCAAAACCGTTCATTTCAATTTTGTTATATTTCACACCATAGATTCTTATTTTTCCCCTTTCTTTAATTCTTTTTTTTTTCCTTTATTGCTTGTTATCGTTTTTTGACATCTATCATTTCACTCCTCTTCCCCCTGCTTTTTCCCATTTTTCATGTTTTACTCCACGATGCCAAGGGATCGACCATTTTCAAGTTGTTTTTTTTTGACAATGGGTTTATCTCCTATACCATATGGACACCCCTTTTTTTTCTTGCAACGACACCAAACTAGTTAGTAATGACACGCCATCTTTACAATTTGTTTCCGGTTATTTCAGTTTATGGTTTATTTTTTTTTTCTTTGTAATTTTTTTTGCCATTATAATTTTTTATTTCCAAAGTTGAAACAAAAAGGGTAAAAAAAAGTGCATTATGAGTAAGCAATAGATGAAAAAAAAATAGTTTGGTTCACATGAATGGTAATAATGCATACTTGACCAATTGCAGCGAATATGCATGGCAGTTTTTGGATCACGAAAAAAGTGAAATCCAGTTGCAATCAATCCACAGCATGCTGATCGCAAAAGTGGGGAAAAAAGTCATCGCCCATCGACAAAAAGTGAGGCTTAGTTTCATCACTGCGTTTATGTTGCACAAACACACAGCTATAATCTTAGCAGAGGCACAAGAGGGGTCCCATGCAAAGACTACCATTGATTTGACCATTTTTATGATAAATTCATGACAATAGCATGCAAACGAACATATATGGATAAAAGTCGTGATCAAGGATGTAAACAATCCTTGTATCTCCATGCACTGCATCATCCAGCACACAGTCTATACACAGACAAGCAATGTCAATCAGCCAACCCTGTCACAGCCACTTTTTCCATTTTCGGAGGGCAACCGTAGCCACTTTTGTTCTTTTTTGACATCCCTTAACAACTTGCGCCGCATTATTGCGCCTCATGGATAAACATGTGAACTGTAAACTCTGCTCCTGGGCGCCACAGTATCCATGAAATCCCAATCTTCTATTGGTATCACCATTACCGATGGTTTCACTGTTTTAAGCAATCCCTATTTCGGCTCTATGGCTATTGCGAACCGAGGTGTTTATCCAGCTTCCGAAAACATTCTACACTGAAATAGCCATCATCACCCGACCGTCTATTTTGTATACACGCTAGACATTTGCCCATCCGCCCTGGTACTACAATGCCGTCAACCATAAAACACGCCGAAATGCGATCGAAGATCCCAAGTTGCTTGATGCAGCTGCCATTTGTCAATAGTGAGCGAGGGTTGGAATTGAAGAGAAAGTTGATATTTTCCGGAGGTATTAGTGATGATCGCGTGCACAATTGGGGTGGATCTGGGGGAAGAATTGCAGAAAAAGAACTGAATGAAGAAGCAGCCGATAATGGAGACAATGATAATATTGCGACCATGGTGCAGCAGATGGGCGGTCTTGTAGTAGAAAGCGAATTCAATACTTTCATAGAAGACACATTCCATTCACACATTCAAGGTTTGTTGAACCCGGCTCTGGCAGCAATGTTCCAGCAGTTGACGTCCCAAGCGTTCCTCTAGAAGAATAACCAAATAAGCAAGTCAAAGCCGTGGAGGACCAGTGGATAAATAAGCACGTAAAAGACACGATAATACGAAAGGTGATTACTAAATTACAATATTGTTGCAATACATCGATGAGTTGATTTAAATGCATAGAGGTAACATAATGATTGAGACCACATAATTTGTTCGCTTGATCCGTTTGAGTTTTGAGCGCGCGAAAAAGTCTTTGTTCTTGAAATATACAAAGCAATTCAAGCAACAAGCTGATCTCTTTCTGCAGATACACACCGCAAGCTTCTATTGCCGCGTCTTTATTCCTAACCGGTAAGCGCCGATTTACATAACACTAGCCATGCTTGATTTGATGAACGAACTCGATTATTTGTGACGAATGCAATCACGACAAGTGAATAAATCTAGGGAGGAAATAACAACAAGGGCTGCCCTTTTGCGTTTATGAACCGAAAATGGACGCAAGGTTTTAGAGGATTAAGAACAAAGACTATGAACAAAAGCAAAATTGCGGAAATGGTATGAAGAGAAAAATGAAAAAGTGGAGAGTAAGAGAACCGGAAATGACGAAAAAGGGATGAATTGAAAAAATAAAACATACGAAGAATGGTAATAAGAAATAATGGATTATCAAGCGTGAAACAGCCTGTCATGAGGAATGGTGAGTCGCTTAGCTGTTTTGAGAAGAGGTTAATCACACAATAAGCGTGATAAGCGATGGACTTGCCACCAGACATGCATCGCCAACCATGATGGGAGAATGACAACAAGGATATCTGTGTGCACGGAGGATTAAATGGATATCAGGATGACGGTCGCGATGCGGAAAAATGGAAGCTGGCCGAGGGATTGGTGGGTGTCGTCGGTTGGGAAACTGTTTGTGGGGTCGGTGCATGAGATAACGTTGGAGTATGATAGGGTGAATCATTGGGGATATATATACCGTGTACAGGCCCAGCACTTGAAGTGACTTGACCCAAGGCGGCTTTCAGTCGTTCCGTTTCATTGTATAAAATGGCGTATTGTCGATCCTTGGCTTGCAGATACGCTTGGTGAGCCATGCTCGCTTGATGAGCTTGCAATTCCATGTCGCGGATCTTGGCCCGCATACTTTCCATTTCTTTGTACTGCTCCATCAGCGACGCCTCAATCGTCTTTCGGCTCGTCGCCAAGCGCATCATTTGCTGATGATCACTCTCTCTTGCTTTGTCAAGTGTAGCCACCTTTTGTTCAGCCTCCATTCTCCTCAATTTTTCCTGAGCCAGGGCTTTGCTTAGTGTTTTTGCATCTTCCGGCTGCGACGAGAGTGACGATAACGATGACGACGACATTTGCGACGACACTGACGACTGCGATGATATTGCTGAACCGCTCAATTTCTGTTCCAATGCTTCCAGTTTTCTCTCCAACTCGACACATTTGGCATGTTCGTCATTACATAGCAGCATCAACTCGTCATAGTTCTGGTGGGCCACATCAATATCTTTCGCAAACGCGTTTCGTTCGGCTTCGAGTTGCTGTTGCGCTTTATGCCACGATTCGGCCTGTTCACGTAACGGGCGCACCTCATTCAACAGTTTAGCAAAAAACTTTTGATAACTTTCAGGCGCTCGCCGATTATTGGCTTCATGAGAAAGCACTGCATCCAGCGCTGGGCCTTCCATGTCTGTCCCAAGAATGAACAAGATCAGTTACAGAAAGTTCTTGCTTTGCATAAGCGTGTTTTTCCACCAGTCATTTCCCATGAATTTAAATTCCCTTTCAAATACTTGCCTTTATAAACACTGAAATCAGGTGGCCATGTCGGAGCTGACGATATTTTATACGACATGGCATGCGACAAGTCAGCCTGAGAATGTGGAGATGTGGAGAAAAAAAAAAAAGCTGCTCCTTTCTTTTTTCCAAAAGGGAAAATTTTCAACCCCCGAGAATAAGATCAGGTGACCGCGACGGATTCCCTTCTCCAGGCTTGGGGTTTTGAGGTTTGTTGTGAATCCATGGATAGGGTCTGAAGAATTCAGTTTCTTTTGACAGGAAGTATTGCTGATGTTGGGAACTTTGAGAACGATAATTGTATTTTATTCTATGTGAAACATGTACTTTTTTATTATTACTATCAGCATTGCAATGATATATAAAAGGGAACGGGACAGGTTAATGTTAAAAGGGTGGTTTAAAGGAAGGAGGCCTAAAACAGGGAATCTATGTTAGTCATTTTTTGAGCAATGATGCGGATCATTGTCCCTCACTTACACGACGACTGGCTTCTTCGAGTTCGCTGTCGGTGACGAGGTTCTTTTCATCCTCATTAGGGATTTCGTAGACACCGCCCAAGATAATAAAGGGGCGGTACGCGAATTGAGCGAGATCGGGCATTTCAGTCACACCCGACAACACTAATACGGGATCGATTTCGGAGCTGATACCAGCAACAATGCTAAAATGGCGCGCGATGGCACAAAAAGGTGTCAACTCCTGAGGAAAGCGGGAAGGCACGGGAATAAAAACCACTTACTCTGTGTCCATGCGGTCGCCAATAATACATGTTTCCAAACGGCTTAAGCCCAACACACGCTGTGCGTAACGCATGATCAAAGCCGAAGGCTTGCCGCAGAAGAAAGCCTTGGTCTTGGTCACCAGTTCGACCACCGCACTGAATGCACCGGTAGCAGGAATCTTGCGACCAGCGGAATCCAAGGTCTCCACGTCCAAGTTGGTAGCAATCAGTTTCGCACCACTTTGCACCAATTGAACGGCCTTGGTCAGTTTCTCAAAGTTATACGAAGCCGATTCACCAAGCACCACATAGTCGGGATTGTGGTCGTTCATAAAGAAGCCCATATCGTACAAAGCATATGCCAAACCAGGTTCACCAATCACATAGACAGTGCCGCCCTGTGTGATTTATCAATATCCCATTTAATTATCCCACCGTTTTCGGATCATACCTCGGGCATTTGCGATTTCAAAAAGTAAGCGGTAGCCTGACCAGAGGTGAAAAAGTGATCGGCTGTCACATCGATACCCAAACGTTCCAACTTGGATTGCAATTCACGAGGAGTGGGGGCCGAGTTGTTGGTCAGGAACAGGTATTTCTTGTTGTTCTTGTTCAAGAATTCGACAAATTCCTTTGCACCAGGCAAAAGGTTGTTTCCCTAGATCGATCCAACATGTATCGATCAATACATATTCTCGCGCTATTTCACATCCTTTGTCTCTTACATGGTAGATCACGCCATCCATATCAATGATATAACCCTTCTTTTGTCGAATAGCGTCCAAACGTTCGGTGTGAATGACAGGGTCTTTCAATAAAGCCCAATCCTTGCTTTGATGAGGAGGAATCTGATCGTCCATATGTAATTGTCCCATACGTTCAGCAAACTGAGCAGCCAAATCACGGGAAATGCTTTGATCGTTCGGGTTCACCAAACTCAAATCCTTGGACACGTGGATATCAGGAATCGTCATGATAAACTTATATGGATCAATAGAAATGAAAAAAGTAAAGAGAAGAAGGAACCAACGTCAAAAACGAACCGAAAACCGTAAAATGGAAACATGGCTCCTTCCTTTATAGACGACTGACTTTTTTTTTTTTTTTGGCATGCCTACTTAGACTGAAGGCATCAAATAACGGGGATTGCAGTGATTCAAGATACGATCAGTCGAATTAAGCGAGAGTGAAGGGCAATGACCCACTTCCCCGGATCTTTATTTCCCAATTAATATTAGTCAAGCCGTCATCAATGATGCGATCAAAGTTCAGATGGCGGTTATCACAGAGTGAAATCAAAAGGTTTAAACACAGCCTTGAAATCATTGGCGTCCTTTCGTTCTTCTTCCTCTGATTGTGCACATGCTTTCCAATCTTCACGTTCGGGTTGGCCGAGTACCTTTGCAATCGCCAGTCTGATCAGAGGTTAAATAATTAGCCTCCAAAGTCAGCTCTCCACGATGATATCATCCCATGCCCTTTACCTTCCAAATTGCAAATTGAATCGCTCGCGGGGTTGAATAATGTGCACTAACGACCGCCCATTGGGCAAGTCTATCTTGAAATAGGCAACCTCTGGATTTTCCTAATGTTACCCCATCCAAATTTTTTTCGTTTTTGGACATTTAGTTAGCTCGCCCTTTTCATATCCCGACCACGTTCCATCACGTACCGGGACCCTGTCGGTAAACTGAATGCCTTGAGACTCAGCTTCCTTTAAGCAAGTCTCCTCCAACAGCGGGCTTTTCTCTTTGGGCACAGGCACGACTTGAAGGTGAGCATGGCTCATGCCCCGCAAGGTTTCGCGACAGACCTCGAAAACGACCATGTCACATCCATGTTTTTCAAAGAGCTGTCGCAAAGCGCTTTTGTATTTTTCCAACTCGGCCACTACTTCGACCTGAGCTTCCATCGGAATTTTTCTGAAAGTGGGATAGTGAGTGATCGGAATCAATAAAACATGTCCGCCTCCAGGTATGGCCCCGGGCGCATGACTAGAAACCACGGGGCCCTTTGCCAGCGTCGCGTAGATACTGTCACCAATCGACACAATCAAATGTTTGGCAAGCTTAGGATTCGCTAAGCAGAACCAACACGATTCTACTGTGATATGGACCGTGGAGTGAGCATGGAAAACGAATTCAGCGACCAGTCCATCGTCGGCAGAAAATCACACTTACAGTCGGCGCCACGTTTATTAGGATCGCGTTGTTGTTTCTCAGGGCACTCATTGATAAAGTGACCGGGAGTTTTGCAGATTTTGCACAGGTAACCAGCAGGAGGTTCTCGGCGATGGGTAGAAGCATTCGGACAGTCTCGGATGTGATGACCAGATTGATTACAAGCTCGACATACCAACGCATCGTTGGAAGCATTTGGACACTCCTTGATCCAATGTCCAGGCACATGGCATCGGTTGCATACATATCCTTCCGGAGGCACTGTGGCTAAACAATATCAATAAACGTATCAGATTAGGTCCCATCCAATGATCGCGGAATGAAAGAAAGTTTCATTTTACCTGGACGTTTCGCATCATTGCCATAGAAATAACCTCCACTGGCGTCATCCACGGTGGTAGTATGCGACCGTTTCTGACCGACACTGCTGGCGTTTCCTGACAACAATTCGACAAAAGGAGAACTGGTCGTATTCTCAGGCACCGTCTTCAAAGTATCCGCGGACACGGTGCTTAAAGGCGCCAGATTAAAGGCATAGAACCACTATTACGTCATAATAATAGTGAGTAGCCTGACTCTCTACCACTGCCTTTGTAGACAGATGACTTACTCGCTGCTTGGAAGTGTTTAATGCATCGCCTAGACCGATGAAACGAGAAACGTGATCGGCGGGTCTTTCCTCGGGTCCTCCAAAGCCAACGGCATTTGCATAAGGTTCGCGTTCGTAAAATACGCCTTCCGAGGCAGCAAAATGGTATCGTGGTTTCAAGACGGCCGCTAATTGGGCGACCGAGGTAGTGCAGGTGGCAAGGGACGAAGCCGGCTTCAGAGCACTGTGAGTTTCGATCCCTCCCGGCCATTCGTGGGTTAGCAAGATATCCACGCCAGCGGGCGAAGTAATTGGCATGTGGGTCGACTGCAACGCTTGGATATCCTTTTGCGTGTATTTATTGGCCGCCTCACCCTCGTCGGCGTCTTTCGAATCCTGCAATGCTCCAGACAGGAAAGCAATTTTTAAGCCTTGGGCTGTCGTCAGCACACCGCGTTTACCGAGATGGTACAAGTTGGATGTGATTTCGCCGTCTGCCTTTTCGATGCGCGATTGCACTGCGGCAGGCAAAGCATTGCTGCCGGTGATGAAATAAGTTGTCAAAGGAACTACCGGACATACAAAAGCAAATGAGAATGAATGACTTTGTAAAACGAGACAAGAAAATCGTTAACATACCATCTATAACGCCTTGAAGCAATGCGTTCGTTTCAATATCGCTTGTCTCGTTGAAAAAGTTGCCGGTGCATAGTAAAACGTCAAATGGCCCGTATTTATTATTGATCGTTTTGGCTTTGTCGAAAAGCTCGGTGAAGCGGCCATTGACCGATCCAGTCACCAGTCTATTTCATCCCAGTTTAGTGCCTCATGTTGTCTTTATGGGAATGAGTCGAGTCTGTTATTACACTTTGATCGGGGTTTGTGCCATGAAGATAATCTGTACGTCAGTGGAAAGCTGGTTTGGAACGAAAAATCGAAATTGCGCATAATTCTCACTCAATCGGTGCACAAGCCACTCGTCGACTCCGAACAGGAAATCATGCCTGCTGTGTATCACCAACTCAAAGTGAGCCACCAGGAATATGCCTTTGCAATGCCTCATAATTTTTGCATACCTCATAATTTTTAGGTGTTCAAGGTGCACATGACGCCAACGTCAAAATTGGAAATATAGTTTTTGTTATGAGGCTGCTACTATCCACCTTCTGAAAGGCAAGCTATCCATTCTCGAGGCGTTTTTGAGCATGTTTCTGCTTTATGTACGCACACGAGTAGGACAAGGGTAGTCAAAATGTCGTATATGAAAAGGGCCTTCATTGACTATGCAGAATCCATATGTAACTGTAAGTTGACATGGTCTTGAAAAAGTTTTGTACAAATGAAATCTATGATATATTCATGATGCGCGACTATTACCAACTATCAACTCAAAAGCATGGCTACCATCATCGTGCCTTTGCTGAGCAATCATAGACTGATATAGGCAGTTTTCGGCCTTGACAGCTCTGAGGGAATTGTCCAATTCCCATAATTCTAGTGCCACTCTAACAGTGATAGGAATTTCTGGTACATTTTACCCAGCTGTCTCAAGAAGCTGAATAAGCGTGCAGAAATACGTGTCAGTATTCCCGTTTATCTAGTGTCCTTCCTTTAAACTGAAGGTGGTTATTTTTTAGGCCAGGTGCTGTTCTGATCGACTGGCTTTTGATGTTTGGCTCCTAATACATTCTGAAGCCAAAAAATCATTCGCGAAAAAGCAGCCAATCAGAAAAGTGCCTGAACGCGGATGAGCAAAGCTCCTAAAATAACGTCAATGACAATTCCGAACAATGCAACACCTGTGCGTTTATTGTAAGAGATGCATACTGTTTTGGCGGAAACATAAGATAGGAGCAGCACATCGCACAACGTGGTCGGTTGGCGCTTGGGTGTCGACGTCATTTTTCTAAACAAGCGCCACGAAAGCAGTCACGTCCATTGCCCCAGAGAGGCTGCGAAAAAAGGGAAAATCGAAATTTGCCACTGCGACTGTCCACTTGCAGAGAGTCCATAGGTCGATCGGTCCACGTCGTCTTTTTTCTGCTTCCGCATTATATAAGAACGAAACCGGGTCAATCTCGATTTTCCTTTAAAGCTATTTTCGGCTGTGGTTGTTCCTGACAAATAGTGAAAACAGCCTGCATTCCTAATTCGAATTCCATTGACGAACATTGCAAGTCATAAGAAAGTCAGCATCCATCGGGTTCATCAGCGTATTCGACTCTTTTCGACATGTATTTGTATAATTTGACTCTGAATCCAAGTTCAGCCATCAATCAAGCCATCCATGGCAACTTTTCCGGCACAAAGCAGCAAGAGCTTATCGTTGCGCGACAAACGCGCTTGGAACTCTTACGTCCTGACCCAAATACCGGCAAAGTCCACACTATCCTTTCTCATGAAATGTTTGGTCTGGTTCGCACCATTGCACCTTTTCGCTTGACGGGTGCAAGTAAAGGTAAGTTTTTAGGGGAAAGTGTATGGGAAGAAAAAGAACGAAAAAGGGACTCACACACGATCTTGGCTAGATTATGTGGTGGTCGGTTCGGATTCAGGTCGTATCGTTATTCTAGAGTACAATCCAGCAAAGAACGTCTTTGATAAAGTCCACCAGGAAACGTATGGAAAAACGGGCTGTCGTCGAATCGTTCCCGGTCAATACCTCGCGACCGATCCCAAAGGTCGTGCGGTCATGATCGCCGCAGCTGAAAAACAGAAACTCGTGTACATTTTGAATCGTGATTCTGCCGCACGTTTAACCATTTCGTCGCCTCTCGAAGCTCACAAGAGCCACACCATTATTCATCATATTACCGGTTTAGATGTCGGTTTCGAGAATCCCACATTTGCTTGTTTGGAAGTCGATTACAGCGATGCGGATCAGGATCCCACCGGTGATGCGGCCAAGAATGCCGAAAAGCTGTTGACATACTACGAATTGGACCTTGGTCTCAATCACGTAGTTCGTAAATGGAGTGAACCTGTGCACTTTCATGCCAATATGCTTATTTCAGGTAATAGAAAGAGTCACGCAGCAAAAACGTAAAACGGAAGGAAAGATTCAGTGAAGTATTGACATTGGGGCGGTTCCTTTTCTGTGTTTTAGTGCCTGGTGGTAACGATGGTCCGTCCGGTGTGCTCGTATGCACGGAAAACTTTATTACGTACAAGCATCAAGATATGCCCGAAGTTCGTATCCCAATTCCTCGTCGAGCCCAACCTCTCGAAGATAGCAGCCGCGGTATCATCATTGTTGCCGCAGCAGTTCATAAGATGAAGATCAACAAGAAGACGCAGTTCTTTTTCCTTATTCAGTCGGAAGAAGGGGACTTGTACAAGGTGACGATGGACCATGCTGAAGGGGTGGTGCAAGGCATGACCATCAAATATTTTGATACCATTCCCGTGGCTACCTCGTTGTGCATTCTGAAGAGCGGCTTTTTGTTCGCAGCCAATGAATTTGGCAATCAGTAAGTTGATTTTATCCGGATAAGTGGGGTATTCGATCTAAATTTCGTTTTTTTCTTTTTTTCTCAAGTCATCATTATTCGTTTGAAAATCTCGGTGACGATCCTGACGATCCTGAAATTTCTTCGGCGGACTACATGGAAGCTGAAGAAGCCCAAGATGAAACGCCGCTTGTATACTTTAAGCCTCGTCCTCTCAAGAACTTGATGCTTGTGGATGAGTTGGAATCGTTGGCGCCCGTGACGGATGCGAAAGTGCTGAATTTAGCCGATGAAGATACACCGCGTATTTATACTCTGTGTGGACGTGGATCACGATCCACTTTGCGCATTTTGAACCAAGGCTTGGAAGCGTCGGAATTAGCCGTCAGTGAATTGCCCGGCAACCCCAGCGCAGTGTGGACAACGAAACTTCGACACGATGACCAATATCACGCTTACATTGTTGTCTCTTTTGCCAATGCGACGCTTGTTCTTTCCATTGGCGAGACCGTCGAGGAAGTCACGGATACAGGATTTCTGGCCACGGCGCCGACCATTGATGTGGTGCAACTCGGTGAGGACGCCTTGATTCAGGTCTATCCTCAAGGTATCCGTCACATTCGCGCCGATCGTCGTGTCAATGAATGGCGAGCCCCGGCTGGTCAATCGATTGTCCAAGCCGCTACCAACAACCGCCAAGTCGTAGTAGCGCTCTCGGATGGCGAAATTGTATATTTTGAATTAGACAATATGGGCCAATTGAACGAGCATCATGAACGCAAACAAATGTCATCGAACATTACATGTTTGGCTATCGGCGATGTTCCGGAAGGAAGGCAACGATCGCGTCATTTGGCAGTGGGCTGCGATGACCAAACGGTGCGTATTCTCAGCTTGGATCCCGATTCATGCTTGGAATCGATCTCAATGCAAGCCGTCCAAGGGGTGGCTTCCAGTTTATGTATTGCCGAGATGTTCGATACTGGTGTGGAACGTGGACACGGTACACAATACCTGAATATTGGTCTGTCCAATGGTGTACTTTTGCGAACAATTTTGGATACAATTACGGGCCAACTATCAGATACACGCACACGATTTATTGGTGCCAAAAGCATTAAATTATTCAAGATTGAAATCCAGGGCCGACCTGCGGTGCTGGCCTTATCGAGCAAACCCTGGGTTAGTTACACTTTCCAAAGCCGACTGTATCTCACTCCGTTGAGTTACGATATGCTCGAATACGGTAGCCCTTTTATCAGCGAACAATGCCCTGATGGTGTCGTAGCCGTCGCAGGCAATACATTAAGGTAATTATCAGTGAACCCAAAGCAAAAAGTAACCAATGTTCACATGCATTGCTTTTCTTTTATTAGAATTTTCACTGTGGAAAAGCTGGGGTCTATTTTCAATCAAGTGGCGATTCCTCTCAAATACACTCCTCGAAAGTTCGCACTTCACCTGAGCACAAGAACGTTTGTGGTGGTTGAAAGTGATTATGCTACATTTTCACCCGCTGAAAAACAAAAAGAACTTGCCATCAAGGTAAAAAAAAAAAAAAAAAAAAAAAAAAAAATTGTGATCAAATGCATATAACGGGATCTAATACCTTTGATGATTTTCTTTTTCGACCTGGATATAGGAGAAAGAAGGTTTTGAAATTGATGAGGATATTACCAATTTGGATCCCCTTCAGTTTGGTCATGTACGCAATGCGGCTGGCAAATGGGCGAGCTGTATCCGTCTGGTGGAACCTTTCCAGGGAGCGACACTGCATGAACTGGAATTGGAAGAAAATGAAGCGGCTTTTAGTGTGGCCATGGTCCAGTTTCGAAATAACCCTCACTCCAATGATGCGAGTGAACAATTTGTGGCGGTGGGAACGGGCAAAGATGTTCAGTTGGCACCTAAATCCTGCTCTGGAGGGTTCATCCATCTGTATCGTATCGTATCGAATGAAGCGGGCGGGCTTCAGTTGTCTCTCATTCACAAGACCCCTGTGGAAGACGTACCAACGGCGTTATTGGGATTCCAAGGTCGGTTATTAGCCGGTATTGGCAAAGCATTGCGCATTTACGACATTGGACGGAAAAAGATGTTGCGAAAATGTGAAAATAAGGTATGTAGGGACCAGCTGGGATAGGATAACGGGAAGAAAAAAAAAAGATTTCACGAGATTGATGGTTGGTTGGATTTTTTTTATTAGTCGATTCCGAACCAAGTGGTCAGCCTACATACACAGGGTGACCGTATCGTTATGACGGATATCCAAGAATCGGTTCATTATGCAGTGTATAAACATGCTGACAATCGCATTGTTGTGTTTGCGGATGATACCACACCTCGATGGATGACGGCTTCAGCGATGATTGATTACGACACGATTGCCGGTGGCGATAAATTTGGCAATTTCTTTGTCGATCGATTACCGCAATCGACAAGTCAAGATATTGACGAAGACACGACGGGCAATCGTATCTTTTACGAAAAGGGATATCTTCACGGCGCTCCTAATAAGGTATGTGCATGCAACCATCGTACGATATAATGAAGGGGAAAAAAAACTAGGCGGTCTGCATATGGGAAAGAAGATATTTATTTTGACTTGTTTTTGTTTGTTTATTTTTTGTGTTTGTATTTGTAGGTTGATAATTTATGTCATTACTTCACAGGAGACATCATTACATCGCTGCATCGTACGACATTAATATCAGGAGGGCGAGAGGTTCTATTGGCGACGAGCTTCCTTGGCGGAATTTCACTCTATGTACCATTCGTATCCAAGGAAGACGTTGATTTCTTCCAAATGCTGGAAATGCATATGCGTGCGGAAGCCCCTCCTCTAGCTGGACGAGATCATTTGGCTTATCGCAGTTTCTACGTACCTGTGAAATCGGTGGTGGATGGCGATCTCTGCGAACAATTCAATTTATTGCCTGCAGAAAAACGAAGAATGATTGCCGATGAATTGGATCGAAGCGTGTCCGAAGTACAAAAGAAAATTGAAGACATGCGTGTGCGTTCTGGTTTCTAGACAATGAATCTCTAACGATATTAAAATGCTTGGGAAATTAGCGATCTGTAAATCACATGATCTACATTAAGTAATCAGGACCTGTTAAACCTTTTTTTAATCTTTCAATCATGCCTTGCTGCCCACTTTCACGAAAGGCGAAACAATCAGCAGCAAGATGCCGTTTGCGCCAGTTGTGGTCAAACAGAGCATCGTCGTCTTTCAAATAAAAATGTGAGTAGAGCTCTTTTTGAAGAAAGGTGGTGGATGATGTCGATCTGGGTGTTCTGTAGCATCATTTAGTTTGGGTTTTCTGTCAGTTATACTTTTTATGCCCTTTGATTCTCTTCTTTTTATAATGATCGAGAGGGTCGGTGTTCATCTTTTTTTCTTCCGGTACACCATTTGGTTCAAGGCAAGTCCAATTTTCTTTTCCTTTGCTATGATGTATAATGAACGTATACTAATTCAAAAAATTTTCAATGTCATATAATCCAAGTCATGTCTAGCGATCAATGGCTATCGCAAACTCAAATAACAAAAGGTAAAATATCTTGACGAACATTTGAATCAATCAAAGAGCTTACTAACTCATTGTTTTAAATACCCAACATACCCACACATCTTTCTAGATCTATCATAGCCTGGGCGGGATGGAACTGAGGGGGTCAATCAGCGCTGCCCTGCGCGTGTTCAGAAACAAATCACGTTGCAACGTATGCCATAAGGTTGTCATTGATATACCGAAGTTCCGTCAAGAGTTCTCGCCCAGGTTATGCCGTGTATGCGTTAGGCTTTTTGTCTGACGAAAGTCGCTCAAGTAAGAGGGCGGCCTCCGGTGGCAGGCGGCATCCATTGCACAGCGGGTGTACGGCTTGTTATTCAACAACATCCCCCAAAAAAAATAAACACATTGGAGAGGAGGGACTTTTTTTTTGAAAAAAAAAAAAAACTTTTTTGGTATATCGTCTAGTAGCGGATGAGGAGTTAGAAAAAAAAAAGATAAATGGAATGCTCTTTGCTTGTTGGTGCTCTTTTCTGTTGGGGGTTGGTGGATTCGTTTGTTATTGAATGGTTGAAAAGGTATAATGAGTTATTTTTCTTCCCAATCAATGGCGGCGAGTTCTTTTTCTTCTTCTTCATTCATTTCAAGTTTCTTGCCACCCAAGAACGTACGCAATCGAGAGGTTTGACGAGGGACAATGATCTGAAGCTTATCCGAAAATTCTCTAAACTGGAACGACCTTTTTAGTCACCAATTAGTCCGCAATATAAACTGTATCAAGTCACTTACGTTGCGTACATCGAGCCAATAACCTACTGCGGTGGCCATGAGTCCGAAAGAACCAAATGCTAATAATGTGCCGTAACCGAGGGTCTTGAATGCAAAGAATGTGGCATCGCGTTTGGCCGCAGCATATTCAGCAGGTGACATTTTGGGAGGCTTCCATGATGCAGCGTTTGAATTGGGCACTGTCGATGGTGGAATCCGTGGCGGCTGCAGTACGGCTGAGGTTGGACTGGTGGCAGCCGCAGTGGCAGCACCCGACTCGGCAGCAGTTGCTTCGGCCATGGCTTGGGCCATTTCTCGAGATTGTTTACGTTTGGTGTACCAAATGGCCCCCATGAAGCTTGCACCAAAAACACCAACTGCTGTAGTTAACAGTGTCTTTGTAGGAATCTTATTTGCAGGAGGTTCCGTAGATGAAGTAACGTCTGTCATGGTCAACGATCTAAGGTGACCTCGACTGCTGGTTTGCCCAGCCGTCCGTCGCAAAATGATCAGGGATTTTTAACAGTCACACATTTCGATGGTAAAAAAAAATTCGAGGTTATGCCCAAATCACCAAGATCGGGCTTATTGCAAAAGGAAAAAAGGGTATCCTGTTTCTGGAAAACAGAATATAACGTCGGGACAGTTATAATCATGATGGCATGACGGCTTTGGTAAAAAATAGATATCGAGTTTTTTTCACCGTGCGATAGTGAAAGATGGACAAAAAAAAAGTGATAAAAAAAGCAAAATCGGGTTAAAAAGCAAACAAGATGAGTGAGTTATCTGCAGAGAAGTGTCTGTGAGTGCATGTTCGTTTTTGTTGCACACAAAGAATGTCTATAGAAATCCCGAGAAGGATAAAAAAAAAAGGGCGACTCCTGGATTATCCCTCGAGATGCAATGTAACAGTAGTTGCTGATTTTGGAGATGGAATGGGAACCGAAGGTTACGAATCATAACAGACCAAATCAGGATCCACGCACGCGTTTTTGATGTGAAAAAAAAAAAAATAAGATGTGGATTAAACGCCCTGCTGACCTTATTGAACGGAATGGGTCTTTTTTTAGGGTTGATTTTGCAACTCCGTTTTTGGTGACCCAATTTGCTCTTAGACCTTCGATGAGTCGAGTCTTTTCCGAAAGAGGTATATCCAATTATAAAAAAAAACAATGCTTTAAAAAATTTCTGCTTCTTCGGTTATTGAACGAAATTTAACGATAATTACGTATGTAGGAAAGACTAAATAAAATAACGAATAAAGACAGAAAAGAGGTAATTCTGTCATCCAAAAAGAAATAGATTATTCCTCAAATGGATTAGCGAAGAACATGGAAGAAAAGTACACCCAATTGGTCTGGGGAGCATGACGCAATGTGAATTTTTTAAAACAAGCTGAAAGCGCCCTTCTCTTTTTTTTTTGCATTTTACTTTTTAGATCGATTTCGTCTTTTTTTTGGGTCTGATTTCATACTTATGAATGTACATGGACCCTAATATGCTGATTGAGGTTATCAGACCTCGAGAAGCGTTTTTTGCAGTGATGGTAAGGACATTGAAACGCTAAAAAGAGCCAAGAACTTAAGAAGCCGGATCAAGATTTTGAGGGGTTTCCATCGCAGCTGGGATTTCCCACTTACGCTTTTCCAATGTATGGACCGAACGAATATGCCGCTTCAAATGCTCAGATCGCTTGAAAACCTTGTCACATCCCTCGGTGGTACAAGAAAACATGCGGAGATCCGGCTGATTGGACGTCCGGCGTCTGGGACGACGACGGAGACCCTGAGCCGTGGTGGCTCCCCGATAGTGTAATCGATGGTCTGCTTGAGTGGGCAATGGGGACGAGGGTGGGGTGGCGGTTCGGGTAAGGGGTGAATGAACTCCCATGGTTGCAACCATGGTGGTTGGCAGATGAGGCTGAGGTAAGCGGCCCGTGGCAATAATAGGAAGTAAAGCGGAGGAAGAAGCTGCGGAAATTGACGGTGGATGATTCACGGATAACAAAGGCGACATGGAAGGCGTTATTGGCGAATGACTGACAGCATTAGGAGAAAAGTAACACAATGCTTGGGTATAGTCTGACAGCAGATCAGTATAAAAGCGAGGAGCCGAAGGAGGAGGAGGATGGTTTTTACTTGCAGCTTGTGACATTGAAGATTGACACACGTACACACACTCAGGCATGCAACACAAGGAAGATTGAAAGACGATCAGTGATAAAGGAAAAAAAAAAAAAAAAAAGTGATAAAGTGATGATCAAAACATAAAGATAATAATCCACATATATATTATATACACCCGAAAAAAAAAGAAACCTAGATATGATAAAGACGATGTATCCTAACGACTCCATCCAGCCAGGCTTTTATTTTTATTTTTAAGACCTCAACGTCTGATTTCAAAATGGCTTGGTGGATGAATTACAATGTAGATTTAAGGTAATATGAGTGATTTAAAAAGTGGTAGATCTAACAACAAGGCAGGATACAAGCAAGTGTTTATGTAGGGTATTTTAAAATGATATCGACCCTAAAACCAGATTAGCATAAATAATTGCAATCATTCGACTGAATTATCTCATTCAAGTGCGAGACCCGGCCCTGAAAATCCGAAAATCTGGATGTGCATTTTTTCAGCAGTATTCTATCATGTTCTTACTGGTTCTATGGCCTTTGTCGCTTGTTTATTTTTCACTTTCGGGTACGCCCACTTGCCTTTTCCGTCATTTCCTTTTTTTTTTTTTTTTTTTTTTTTTCCTTCGAGTGCATCTGAAAAAAAAAGGCAAGCCAAAAAAAAAAAAATGGAAGTGTGGGTTTTTTTTTTTACTTTTCTGTTTCTTCACCCAAACAAAAAAAAAAAAAAAGTCCATTCTTTTTTCTTTATTTCATTTTCTTTTCCTTGCCTTTTCGCGTAAACTTTTTCCTTTTAGCTATTTTCAATTGTCTCCTTTGTTTTCTCCTCTCAACCGTCGCCAAGGAAACAAGAAACAAAATTATAGGAATTTTGTGAGTATGACTTTGTGATTTTTTTATTATTATTACCATTATTGTTCATTCATTTTAGTTGGCTGAATTTTTTTATCCTATCATCGTCGACGATGTTATTCACGAATGAAATCATATTAATATATGCATATACAAATAGTGGATTAGGCTTTTGTTAAGCCGCAGTTCGCTGTCTCTCTTTTTCTTTTTTTTTTTTTTTTTTTTTTTTTTTTTCTTTACTTCTTTCTTCTTCTTCATCATCATCATCTAATACTTGATTTTTTTTTCTCTTGTCTTTGATCCTTCCATCTGGTTGATTTTATTAGGAATATCTAAAGAAAAGTTAGAGAGAAAGAGAAGAAAACGCACAAAGTATTATTGAAATCGAGCTCTCTCCTTCGCAAGAAGCGAACACCGACCGATTTTTCTATGTCTTCATCCATCAATGATAACGAATCAGGGCCACCTCAATTCGACTACGAACAAGTACAGATGTTTTTATCTGGATATAACTTGATGCAATATTTCGAATTATTTGTCGAAGAAGGCTTTGATCGATTGGAATCGGTAATTAACAATTGGTTTATTTTTTTTTCCTTTTCTTCTCTTCTCTTCTTGTCAATGTCTTTATTATTACCTCACCAAGGCCCCCCTCCCCCCACAGCTCACCCCCACAAACAACAACAACAGCAAAAAAGTGACCAAAAAAATCTTCTTTTTTTTATTTTCTTTACCAATCATAGTTGCTTGAGGTGACCGAAACCGATTTAGTGCAAATGGGTGTGAAACGTGGTCATAGACGAGTAGGTATAGTATTTCCTTGAACTGGGAAAAAAGAACCCTCATGGATATACACATGTGCATATTGATAAGAAAAGAAAAAAAGCTTATATGTATACATTGTTTAAATGTCTCAAAACATGGCCCTTTTTGTATTATTAATTTTTGATTCTACGAAAATTGGGCACAGATTGATTGATTATTATTTTCCGGTCATAGTTACTTCAACGAGCCATTGCCAATGCGAAAGGAATTCCACCTACGGTACCTTTGATGTTGCGGCAATATCAAGATAGTACAACGGTTCGCGACATGCCACAACAGAACCCAGATCAGAAAGGTAAATTATCCAAAAGAAAAAAAAAAAAAAAAAAAAAAAAAGACCCAGGCCCCAGTTGGCAAAGCATGCATCTTATTCGTTCATGCTATCTCGGAGATCTAGACTTTCCTTCATTGGATTCAGATTCATTCGCTTCTTCATCCAATACGCAAGCCAGCCCAAGCAGCCATCCAAAATTGCAGACCGTATCGGACAACTTTATTGGCAATACGAGTGGTCCAAGCGGAGTATCGTCCGCGGAAGACGAGACAGCGATGAGTGACACGGTCATCGGTTTATGGAAACGAAAATACCGCCGTCATGCCAAGCCAGATAAACACGCACCTCTTAAACCGCCTTCAGCGTATGTTATGTTTTCCAATCAAATTCGTTCCGAACTCAAAGATCACAACATGTCATTTACGGATCTCGCGAAAATCGTGGGCGGACGATGGAAAACGCTCGACCGAGATGAAAAAGAAATTTATGAAGCCAATGCGGTTCGCGCTCGACAAGAATATGCCGCGGCTTTGAAAGAATATCAAAAAACCGAGGAATACAGAGTAAGCTGATCGAAGAAAATTCATTGAAAAAAAAAAGAATCAAACATTGATTGTCTGTAAATGGTGTGAAACATAGAATTATCAAGCTTATCTTGCCGAATTCAGAGCAAAGCATGAAGCCGCCGGTAATCCATTATTCCAAACGCGCCACAAAAAAAAAAAAAAAAAAAAAAAAAAATGGACTGCAATCATCGTATCATGGTGAATTTACAGTTCATGTGCCGATATGCAACCATCATACGATGATCAGCCTATATTAGTTGATATGCAAACTTATTTTTATTGTTTAGCACGCCCTGTAGGCAAACCAAGGAAACGACGGAAACAAGATACAGGGTCGCCAAGCCCTTCCGTCCTGCAGGAACAGTCTCCGTCCACATCCGCCTCACTTTCCAGTCAATCACAAAATCCCTCCAGTTCAGAAGCCATGGTATCTGGTCCTGGATCTGGATCGGACGCAAGGTCACTTTCCTCCTCCTCTATCGGCACCAACACCACCAACAACACTCCTACCACCGATTTGCGAAATTATCCATTCTTTTTACTGAATGAAGATCCACCTGCCAGCAATACAACCACCTCCAGTAACAACAGTGAACGATCATCTTCATCTTCAGCACCTACCTCCGTACCTACGAGTGATAAATAGTTCTGGTTATTCTTACATTCTTTTCTCCTGCAGGTCTTTTTTTTTTTACATGTCATTATGCAATTTTAATTTTTTTTTTCTTTACATTCATTCATCATTCCCCCCGCCCCTTTTTTTTTCCTTGCTTGTCAAAATGATATTCATGCTATTTTCTGGTTTATACCCACCAACGGATTGTATTCTAAAATTGTTTTGCACTGTCTATAATTTCTCTATTGTTTCCTTTTTTTCATACATTTTATAGTTTATTTTTTTCTTATTTGCTTATTGCTGTTTATCTTCTCTCATAGTTTATTTTACTTTATTGACGACGACGACGTTTTTTTTATGTACATGCGCCAAATGAAAAACTCACGGTCTCCCTCCATTACAGTGAAGATAAAAAATCATTCAGACCGAATGAATTTTGTTGCTGCTGCTGTTCTTTTTCTTTGCGACTTGCGAGTAAAGCTTGAAGATTGTTCTTTTTCTTCTTGTTTTTTTTCTTGGCCTGCAACGGAGAAGGAGAGGTCTGCAGTGGTGCGGTGTGAGGACGGGAGGAGGCTGTTGAGGAGGAGGAGGAGGAGGAGAAGGTTGATAATGGAGAAGATTGAATGGATTGGGAAGCGGTCACGGTGGGCGGCATTGTTGTCAACGGTTGAGTGCCACGTGTGGCTGAAATGGGTATCAAATTTCGATGTGATCCTTTCAAAGCATAGGAATAACAACATGCATTACAGCGATAGACCAGTTGATTTTTTCGTTTGGTACCCTTTTCCTTGGATCCCTTCTTTTTGAGCGTCACAGAAGTGTACTTTCCCGGCAGAATAAGCTGGCCGCATTTCACACATGCCAATCGACGAAATGCTTTGCCAGGTTCAATATCGAAATCACGGACATTTTGCTGCAACTGGTTCATGTAAAAACGCGACAGTGATGGACAACTCAATGTCAAGGCATGGCTCGCTTTCGCTAAATGATCCAGTCGACTGAGTTGCGCTTTGCTGCTCATTGTCGCCAGATCGATCCGTTCAGTGATTGTGTGTCTGAGGACCCGTGAAAAAAAAAAAAAAAATCTTTAACAGGTTTGGGCAACCCACGCCATCACAACTTTTTTTTTCTTTTCTGAGCGATGGCCAGATTTTTTTTCAAACCGCGCATTCCCGGAAAATACTACGAGTGGTCCTTTTTTTTTATTTGAATGGGAACCATGAGCGTGGCGAATGTAAAAAAAAAAAAAGGAAGGGCATGAAACTAGTGCGCATTCAAAAGGATACCAATGAGAGTGATTGTATCAATCCCCATTTATTGAAAAGCGTAAAAAAAAAACGACTATTATGGTAAGTAGAATTTACGGAATGCTGAATGGTGCAAATGGATGGTGGTGCAAACCTGTCGTGTAAAACCCGTCGTGCAAACCAAATGTCAGAAAGCTTATTTGGACTTCCATCAAATAATAAAAAAAGCAAAAGCTTCTGCTCCAATCACATATCTCAAAACATAATGAACTTGATCGGGGAACTGCCACTCTAATAATGTAAAAAAAAAAAATTATTACGGATCAGGTCCTCCGAGATGGGCTGGTTTTTTTTTTTTTTTGGCCATTCTGCCAAAATAAGCTAAAAACAGACAATGCATGAATTCGTCAGACCAAATACAAAGCACACATTACGATCCAATCAAACTTGTCGTCTTTTTTTTTATATAACGCATATCATTTTCAAAATCATTTTTTGAATCTATTCATGGTAAAACAACCAAAAGTCCACACGGGTAGCAGGTGGTGTAGCGATCTGAGTCTGGGAAATATGCTTTTCTGTCGGATGAAACCAATGCGTCGGTAGGAATTACTATTTTTTATTTTCATCGCATTCATTATCGCCGGTTCGGGCCTTTGAAGCTGGATTATCCAACTGAAATTCATCGGGATCGCGTTTGGCGGTGTCTGAAAATTCTGTGAATTGCCAACCATGGAATAATGAGAACACACTCCCTTTGGTTCTTTTGCCAACCGCGCCATTTTTTTTTTCCTCTCACTGACCTTTTGACATGTCCACCACTTGATCTGTGGTAGGATTATAGCGGATGTACGGTGTTTTCGGTTCATCCACTTTCATGGTCGCGTTCTTCTGGGCTTCCGTTAGTTGCAGATTGGCTTCGTCCCAAGTTAATCTACGATTCACAACATCAATTGAGTCTCTTCTTCTCCCATCAGCTGTTTCCATAAAACACCTTTGGTCTCCTACCTTGGTGTATCTGGTTCATCCTCTTTTGAACGTCTCAGAATACTTTTGGTAGGTTTTAGCGAAGACAAGGGAGGTCGGTGAGACATTTAAAAACGATGAATGGAAACAGAAAAGGCGGAAAATCAATGCTTCATATCATGCATAAATAAACGCTAACAACAAACAAAACACAGAAAAAAAAAAAAAAACTCTCCAGTCAAGTCATTTTATTTTGTTTATTACACTGCTTCTTCACATGGATCTTCGTCTTTGGGTAACAAATCCAAAACGTCTTGTAATTCATTTTTATAAAAGTGTCTAATCATGGATCGCGTTTTTGGCAGGGAAATGTTGTGGATAGGATGAGTGGGAAGCTAGAGAACCATAATGTAAGCGCCTTGTTTCGAATAATTGCAAAAAAAAAAAAAAAGTCAACTTACTAAGTGGTTTTCAATGTCACCGAGAATCACAAACTCGTTGGTATAATACCACATCAGTGAACCAAGACCTCCCCTTCTTGCGTCAACTTCTCGTCCGTTGTCCGCTTTTAACTTGCTTTCGATCGCTTTGGCCTTGGCTCCATCAAAGTGGAAAAAATGCTGTGCAGTCGATAAACCTGACAAGCAGTAACATGTATGATAATAATCCGTTCCTCTGTCAAATATCATTATGAGACCACCAAATTCTCGGTGTATAACATTTCACAGTGGAAAGATAAGCGGCTGTCCACATTGAGACTTACTTTCCTGGCTTATCTATCAATCCACCCGTTTCTGATTGACAACACAGTAAAATATATTCCTGTAGAGCCTCTGGAAGAACGAAATGTGAGTGGGTATACCTTTTCCTACCTCTTGTCCACAAAAAAATACCTCGATCAAATAAATAGCCCACTATAATCACATAGAGAAATGAGCAAGTATTATTCTTTGAAAATTGAGTTTACAGCAAACTCCTTACATTCTTTCATCTCTGAACCCAGTTCGGCCTCGATGATGGGAAAATCGCCTGCTCCCCAAAATGAATAACAGCCATCCACCAGTTTATTGGTTCGGCCTTGAAATCCGCCTTCCAATGCCATTTGCCTTCCCGCGCACCATTTCTAATTGATCCATGGTTGTCAAAAAAAAAAAAAAGAAGAAGAAGAAGAAGAGAGAGTGTACTTACAATGAGTTTATCCATATTTAACAAATGCATGCCATCGAGAATCTTCATGGCCGCTAAAGCACAAAATGTATACCCATTATGGGCTTCTTTACTCGGTGCTGGACCAATGCCGCCTTCGTAGGATTGTGATCTGATAGCATCCATGTAAAACATTGAAGATTCGAGTCATGACACATTTTTTTCTCCTCCTCTCAATCCATACGCTTACCTTTGAATGAATTCAGCACAGTTATTTGTCAACTCGGGGGTGAGGAGATTGGTAAGCGCTGCCACCGAGAGCGCACAGTAGGTGCCTCTGCATGTTAGTGTAAGAGGGTTGCTCGTAGTTTCGTCTTGTTTTTGGGATGCTTACCGAATATCGATTTCGCCACCATCATGCATCGTAAACGAACCATCGGGTTGTTTCATACGCATTAAAAATGCATACAGCGAGTCTCTGTTATGCATCAAACGTTTTAGTCTTGTCAATCGAACAGGCATTAAATTTCTTTTTTTTTCTTTACCGATTGATCACGTTGTAAGCTTGTTCTGTTCCAAGTATCGCTAGAGAGTTGACGGCAGCATAGGTGGTAGCCAAATGGGCCAATTGATCAGGTCCGCCCGCAAAGCCTCCCTCCTTATGTTGCCACAGGATCACGGTTTCAATGGCTCTATCCATTGCTTTAATTGTCCGCTTTTTGACACCTGCTGTCATTTTCTGTCATTTTTGCTACCTTTCAATTTCTGCCGGTGACAGGGACGAGCCGAGTAAATCCAAGGAATGAATGATCCAGTATAATAACCATGGTTTACTTGCGTCGAGGGCCACCATATATCGGCTCAGTCCTTTCAACCCGCGTCGCAAGTACGATATATGCATATTGCGGTGAAGCTGAACACTGCAGTCTTTCGCTGTTAGCACACTTTGTTTGACCCATCGTTTATCTTCCTCATGGAGTTGGCAATGAATGGCTACCTTTCAAGCGATTCTCGGCGAATGTTGTTGGGTGCATAAGGAACAAAGCATTTCAAGATGGAATCTTCTACGCGTCGCTGAATATATAATACAAAGAGTCCGATAAGTCTCAGTACTTTAAGCTTTTCTACTCATTTGGAGGAAATCGTCAACAACCTGCTCCATAGAAGTATCGGAGGGCAGTCCGTCGTCTTGATAACGTAATTGTACCAAAGGAATATCGCCATTGAGAATGCCCATATTCACTGATGCTTATGCAAAGAAAAAACTCGCGTAAAGAAACCTTGAAGAGACCAGGGAAGGAAAAAAAAAAAAAAGAAATTTTTTGACCCACAAAAAAAAAAAAAACCGTGAGGAGGTCGGACGAGGATCCGTGTTCCCCACAGTTTACACATCGATATAATGGATTTTGGTAAACATGATCAATCATGGTGAAGCATCTATCAAGCTCCTCACATGCAGAATAGAACTTGATCATCAGACCGAAGATGAACGCGAGACACGCGTCAATGAAGAATACAGACTGTGGAAAAAGAATTCACCTTTTCTGTACGATACCCTAATCAGTCACTCCTTAGTATGGCCCAGTTTGACCTGTCAATGGTTTCCAGACGTAGAAAAGCAAGTTCAACCTATTCCTCCATTCGCCAATCGATCTCTTCTTTTTCTAACTCCTTTTTTTGTATCCTTCGCTGTAGACGTCCCGATAAGAATTACAAAGTTCAACGATTACTTATTGGCACCCACACCAACGATGAGGAACCCAATTACCTGGAAATCGCGTCGGTGCAACTTCCCAGTCACCCCGAAGAAATCGATATGCGCAAATACGAAGATACAACCAATGGCAAGTGATTTGGATCCATTTGCAAGACAATGAACCGAGTTTGGACGCTCATATCGATACGGGTTTCTTTTTTGTTGACAGAAATTGGAGGATACGGTGCGAACAATGATACACAGATCAAAATTACCCAAAAAATCGTCCACGAAGGAGAAGTCAATCGAGCTCGATATCAATATGAAAACCCAAATGTGATTGCTACAAAAGCAAGGACAGGCGACGTTTACGTATTTGATCGAACCATGCACGAATCTTTTCCTAAAGAAAACGAACGCTTCAATCCCGATCTAAAGCTCAATGGACACACCAGGGAAGGGTAGGTGTCCACTCCATGAAACAGCATGTGTGCCAAAAAACTCAACCCCGTCTACATGACTTTTCTCAGTTATGGATTATCATGGAATCCCCATCACAACATGTCAAGTCATATTATTAGTGCCGGTTTTGATGGCAAAATTTGTCAATGGTATGCTTTCAGCCAATCATTCAAGAAAAAAAGAAGACCTTGTTTGATTTTTCTAACTTGCATATTTTGTTTTACCCAGGGATATTGGTGCAGCGCATAAAGAACATCGTGTCCTGGATCCTCTGTGCACTTACACGGGGCATTCGTCCGGTATCGAGGTACCTTGTTGTTTGGATGCATGATTGGGTGACGTATAGCTCATTTATCTTGTTTTAGGATATTGCATGGCATCTTCAACATGAGTGGATGTTTGGATCTGTGGGCGACGACAAACGATTAATGATGTAAGAACCTTTCCCTCCAAAAAGGACCCCTAGCTTTGAACTTGAACTTGATGGAGATTTCGGTTGATAAAAAAAATAGCTGGGATACACGAAGAGGCAATTCGGCCATTCACAGTACGATTGCGCACCGTGCAGAGACGAATTGCATTGATTTTTGTCCCGGCAGTGAATGGATTTTGGCCACGGCGTCGGGGGACAGTGTAAGTTGAGCGACAATTCGTGCACCAATAGGAAAATGCATCCACTTTAATTCAGACATGACGTATTTTAGACGGCTGCATTATGGGATTTACGGAATCTCAAAGTGAAACTGCATTCCCTGGAAGGCCATCGCGAAGAGGTGTTCCAGCTTGCATGGTCACCGCATCATGCAACGATTTTAGCCACCGCGAGTAGCGATCGACGCATCCTCGTTTGGGATACAGCCAGGATCGGGGATGAACAAACACCTGAAGAAGCAGCTGACGGTCCACCCGAATTACTGGTAGATGATTATTCCCTTTTTTTTCATATTCTGATGTTTCCAACGTTCTTGATGTCATTTTTTTTTTTTTTGTTTCCACTCACATGGTGACCGTTGTTTCTCAGTTTGTTCACGGTGGGCATACCAACAAGGTATCTGATTTTGCCTGGAATCCTGTAGAGCCATGGATGCTGTGCAGCGCAGCCGAAGATAATATTCTTCAAGTATGGCAAATGGTAAATGACAAATTGCGTTTTGTATATGTGCTTCTTTCTTTTATTTGTTAATGAGTTGATGACAGGCAAGCACGATTTACGGACAAGAAGAAGCCGAGAGTGAAGGACAGGGTTGTGATGACACAATGGAACAATAAATTTGATCGCATGGCCTTGTCTTATCTCACAGAACTACAGGCATTCTTAATGTGGAAAATTCGACGCCGTGGGTCATCTGTCAATCTTTTTTTTTTTTTTTTTGTGTTATGTCCTTTTTGTCATCTTCTTGCTTACTCCCATGACATGATACTTATTGACTGTCAGGCACCACAAAGTACCGGGTTGGAAAATACAGGACGCTTTGACTCGAAGAGGGAAGGCAAAGGGCGGGGATGTGATTAGACATAGGCTCATATTTCCCATGTGCCTAATCTGGGGAATTTTTTTCCTTTTCTCTTATCAAAAAATTTAAAAAGGACTGGACGGGGCGTTTTGGGACTTGCTTTTTCTTGCTTCTTTTCCCTTCTTTCTTTTTCCTTGTCTTTATTGGTTAGAGCGAGATGGGAGCGATGGGTTGATCTCGTGAATATTTTTTTTTGGAGAGATAGATACGAAATACGGATTCATGGGGCCTTGCAATTGTACCACGACCATGCGCTCGGGCCCTTTGCATTCCGCTTCAAATACTGACGTTTCCGGTGAGAATGTTTATTTAGTTGAATGTTTATAGACCAAAAGGAAAAGAAAAACATTAATACTGTAGATGAGACTCGATAGGAAAAGCAAAAAGCATAATATTTTATTGTGACATGAAGCAATAAATAGGTTTTTTTACTGGGTTTATTTATCATGGATTGAAAGAAGGAAAAAAAAAAGGAACCGATCTACATCAGGATCACTGCAGTAAGCTGTCATTGTGCAGCATGACTGCGTAAAAAAGGTGTGAATGATACGAATGATACGAGTGACGTTCAATCTCATATGATACCTTGATGAAAAGGGAGAGGAATTTTTTTTTAGGTGGTCAAGTAGTTTGTGTGGTCAAAGGTGGGGTTCCAAAAATTGATCAGAGGTTTGAAAAAGAAGTGGAGAGAGCCAATTGAATGATGATCATGAAAAAAGAGGTTGCACGACCAGTCAGATAGCTATCTCAATTAAGGACAGGCTCTGTTTGAAAAGGCGCTAAATCAAGGAGAATGATGTTATTCCTCCATGCTGTACAACCAGATAAGAAAACCCCAAAAACCAATCAAAACCATCTTGGCACCGTTTTGGGCTTTGCTCCTAAAAAGAGAAAATGGCGGATGTCTGAATCAAGTCAGTGCCTTAATTTTTTTTTCTTTTTCACTCCACCTTCCCACCCCTTCTCTTGTTCTCTCTGACTTTGGAATCCTCCACTGGGGATCCTGCATACCCATTGCTTTAAAAGGAAATGAAACCATGGAGAATACAAAAAAGACTACAGCAACCATCAAAAAAAAAAGAAAAAAGTGTCCTGCAAGGGGCCATTTATTTTTAAACAAAATAAGATTGGGAAAAAAAAAGAAACCAAAGATGACAAACCAGACAAAAAAAACGATGACGACAATGGCAGCTTTTTTATTTTTGCAGAAAAAGGCAATAAAGATAAGAACCCCATTTGGAAGGTGACTGTTACGATTTGAAAGCAGAAGCTTTGCGATTCGTGAAGGGAAAAAAAACCAGGTGTGAGCATAAAAACCCGCATGGTTTCTCTCATTTACGGTTCTTTTCCGATAGAATAACCTTTGCTGTTTTCTCTTTCTTCTTCTCATCTTTTTGTTCCTCTTCTCGTTATTACTTCTTTTTTTTTTTCAAAAGCGCTTGCCATTCCTAGCCTTTTAATCTTCGTCCTTTTAAACCCACCACGTTTCTCTTCAACGACTATTACCATTATTTGCCTTTCAATGTTCCTTGACCATGAGTAACCTTAACTGGTGTACTGCCTGTGATAATGCCATCAGTCCATATTCCGTAAGTGAACATAAAAGAAAAAATTAGTATAAACTGCCAATAAAAAGCCCGCCCACTCTCCATTTTATATTTCCCCATTCATCTTTTTTTTTTTCATTTCACTGTAATTCTTCTTTCATTTTGCAATGGCTAACATTTTGTTTCTTTTTTTGGGGGGATTTTTCTTTCTCTAGGAATCGCTGTACTGCAGTGAACAATGCTTACGAGTGGATGCCCTTCGCAACCATCCTCTGCTAGGTTACACGTATCCAGAGTTTGTTAATTTCCCTCGTCCATACCCAAAACAAAGCAGCTCTTCCTCAACGGCTTCCACGACTGCTGAGCAACCATCGTCGTCGTTACTGGCCTCTTCTTGTTCCATCGCTTCCTCTCCCCACAGTTCACCCGCATTAACCGCCACCACCGCTTCATCCATGTCGCTTCAACCGGCTTCTCCACCTAACTTTGATCTTTCCAGCGTAATGAGATTGCCTTCCGATGAACCTTTGTCCCTCAAACCACTCACCTCCCCCTCTCGTCTCATGAATACCGCTCGCTTCAACGATTTCTAGACCATATCATGCTTTTATTTTTACTTTTATTTTTTCCTTTTCTCTCACCCCTCTTGTCCATCCCATCTATTCCACCTATCCAGCGTGCCTCAGCTCTCCCGCATATTCCACCTATTCCATTCCTTTCTTTATTTCCCATTCTTTTCCTTTTGCTATTTCTTCCAAGTGTACGCTTTTCCTGGTTCAATCCTACGGCATAAGCGGAAATTGAGAGATGGGTTGTACCAGACCATCGGCCAGACCACCGACCAGGTCACCAGAACTCAGATGGCGTGGGGTAAAAAAAAAAAATGAAACTGACGTATGAAGCGGAATATTCACCACCCTTACACTACACATCCTGGTGCTAAAAGATAAAAAAAAACGACCAGTACAAACCACCACAAATCCAACCGGCTTAACTATTCGCGAGAATCATCCTCTTCGATAAAACCAGCCACTCAGGGCAAGAAAGAAAGAAAGGAAAAAAAGACAACTCATCCAGGATCCGCTACACAGTTTCCCTTGTTCATCTTTCGGCTCTCCCCTTCCTCTTGTTTCATCGATACATCGAATCAAGGAATTTGCATCTTACTATTTTCTTTGTCTTTTTATTTTGTACATAACGATTCCTCAAAAACGCAACAAAAACTATACCCTTTACCATTGCTTTATATGTTTCCAAGAAAAGAAAAAGCCAAATTCAATACACATCTTTTTATTTGCGTCAATTAGGCTCCCTTCCCAATACGCATGAGCGACTTTTGAAAGAACGGAGAAATGTATCTCTTGAATGATTTGAAGCATATTCATGAGTGTTTTTTGATTTTTCATGCTTGGCAATTAAGGAGCTGGAAGCACCACGATATATTCATGCTTAGACATGGTTCGGTTTCTCTAATGTCTCCCCTTCTCCTGGAACCTTGGAGCATGTTCAAGGAGCTTTATCTTGTTTATTTCTTTTTTTCTTGACGCTTTTTTTTCACTGCTTGCTTTCATCTCGCTTAAGCTGCCTTTCTTTTTTTTTCCAGATGGATAACTTTTTACTTTCGTTTTGGCTTCCCTCCTCCCTTGATTCTCGTCCCCCTTGAACTTTTTGATATTCATGCCGATGCCCATACTGTTTCGAAAATGCCCCTTGCTCTTTTACTTCTTTTTTTTTCCCTTTTTCTTGTTTCTTTTCTTCTCGTCTACGTAAAATCCAATCACTGTTTGACAACAAAGAAGGGATCCAGTCTTCTCTTGTTGTCTTGATAAAAATGACGACCTTGTCGAATTCGTCACCATTGCCACCACCATCACCAGCATTCACTGTCACGGATTATGATGGCACCATTGCCAGCTTAAAAAACTCGTCCAATTTCTCAGATTTTGTGGCAAATGAAAAAGATGGACTTGTCTATCTCTCGCCTCGTGATGTTCACCAGAATCTTGTGGAACTCAAAATCGGTGTTCTACTTCCCTTTCACCAAGCTGATAACAATTCCACCAAAGAATATACTTTGAGGTATACTTTACCGCTTTTTACTTTTTTTTTTCATATTCCCAACGGGATCATTTTTTTCTGATCTATTATTTTTCTCATATTTTTTGTTTCTTTCGGGCCATCGTCTTGATTGCCTCATTTGGGTGTCTACCTTGATTATTTTCCTTTATGTAACATCCGTGTTTCTGGGTACGATGGATAGTGGTGTGGCGGCAGTTCGTATGGCCGCCGCGGAGATCAACGCACAACGGTTGATTCCAGGGGCTTACATTACGCTGATCGAAAAGGATTCCTTCCCTGACAAGGTGCCCGATCAAACCGCTATTACCCAGGCCGTATTTTCCACCGTCGCCTTGATCCAAGAAGGTGTCATTGGTGTTATTGGCGATATTTCGTCTTCATGGACCTCTTTATCCGCTCTCATGACAAGTACACTCCAAATTCCTCAATGCTCTTTCACCGCCAGTGCAAGTAGGTGATCCTTTTTTTTTTTCTTTTTCATCGACGATGTGCAATGTCCATCATTTTGATTGCGCCTTACCTATCGAAAAATTCAATGGTAGCCTCCTTATCGGATAAATCCCAATATGGATACTTCTTTCGGACCGTCCCGACCCGATTGTTGTACGTCGACGCGGCCGTATCGTTCATCGTCAACCAAAAATGGCCTATCATTGGCATTCTTTACACAAAAAATAATGCCGGTCATCAACGTAATTAAGGGCTTACTGAATGGGTTTCGTAGCAATCCTTCACTGACACTGTTTGACTTGCACTTAGTTTCCGATACCATGGTAATCAAAGCCAAATTAAACGGGATCCGCGTCCGCGCTTATCAGCACTTTATTGATCACGGTCCCAACAGCAATCTCGAGCAATCCATTGATGCCCTGATGAAAAATGGAGTACGCATCATCTTCTTGGCCGCCGAAGGCGAAGCTCGTTTAGCTGCATTGACCGTCGCTGCTCACATGGGCCACGTGAACAATGAAACTGTCTGGATCACCACCGGCGATTTAGTGCCTGATAAATTGTTCAGCGTCGTGCAACATTTCAATGACGCTATTCTTCATCGACGCAATGGCTCCGACATCCCTTGGCATACCAATACCACTCAGCCATCGTCCTCGTCCTCCTCTTCCGACGGAGAGCCCAAATTCGATCTTGTGCTACATGCCGCCCTCCAAACAGATCGATTGGTGCCTATCGAATATACCTCGGCTTTTTCAGGAGGTGTATTTTGGTTTGAACAATGGATGGACTTGGCAGGTTATGCTCCCTACGATGACTTTATGGATAAATGGTTACGTCTCAATCCCTCGATGTGAGTTGCCCCAGAAAAAACCAATTCATCTTCATTTCATCCAAGTTGGTCCCATTCCAGGGTAGGGACGAGACCGCAACTAATTCTAACGCTTCATTGGTGTTTCATAGATATCCTTATGCGGGACAACGTAACGTTAGTGGAATAGAAGGGTAAGAATGGACTTTTTTTTTCGTACCAAAAGCAGCGTTCCCGGGCCCGACATGACCTAAACCAACCAACCAACCACAAATGGTTTCTTTGTCGTTTCCATCTAGACTGGCGTATTCGTGTATGATGGTCATGGCCCGTGGTTTCAGTCAGCTTTTGCGCAACGCTACAAATGCCACAGATACGCTCGGACTTTTAGCCACCAACCAGCTCGACCCTCCCGTGACGCCTTCCATGTTTAATACAGGCTATGTAGGACCGGACGGACCTATTCTATTCGACCAAAACGGGGATCCTGCTGTTGGGTGAGTCAAGCAAAACTGGTTTTCCTTTAGTTTTGCACACGGATTTCCTTAGGCTGATGCGTCTCATATAGAAATTTCTTGGTGTATAACCTTCAAAATGGGTCTGAAGTGGAAATTGGTCACATCCTGGGCGGGCAACTGAACCTGACCTCAAATCCGGTTTTCCATGATGGCACCACCTCGGTAAACAATTCTTTGATAGACCATGCATTCTAGATCCTTTGGATCGTAATAATTCTTTCTCCAGTAGCCTCCCTCGGGTGCGCCTACATCTGTCTCTCTTAACCCGGGCCTCTCTTCGCCGGCGTCACTGGCGGTGGCCTCCTTTGCTTCCATTGGCACTCTATTAGCCATTGTCACCATCATCATTATTGTCATTTACCGACACCATGAAGTTTTCAAAGCGTCCAAGTAAGCGGTTTATCTCATTTTTCTCTTTATAAAACGTTCCTGACACCAAAGGTGAATGCAACAGTGTCCTTTTCTGCGTTCTAGAGGTGATTGGATTGATTCTATGTTACATGTCCATCTTTTTTTATACCTCGTATCGCACATCATTCACATGCAGTATGTTGCCAATCTGCTTTCACATTGGATACTCCCTTGCGCTATCGTACGTTTTTCCCTCAAATCCGCCCAAAATCTCCAAAATTCTGATGGATTGGCTTCGAAAAACGATAGGAATATGATTGCCAAGAATTACACGATCTACCGAGTATCGAACAATGTCTATGTCAACCAAATTGTCATCACCAATATGCAATTGTTAAAGGTGGTTGGTAGCGTTGTTGGCACTCACATGGTAAATATTTACATTGGGGAATTCTGTTTCATCATCTCACTGCCTTTACTTTGTATTGAAATGCACTCTAGTTGCTGGTCATTGCCTGGTTTGCGTTTGTTCGTGTGAGTGCGGTGGAGAAGCCGGTGTCAATGACTACCTATTACATTGTATGCTCTTACAACGGTCCCGCACACGCGAGCTTCTTGTGGTTACTGTCTCTATTTGCAGCTAGCCAGTTGATCGTCGCCACATGGCTTGCCGTCAAAACCAAGTCCCTCGCACCTACTTATACACACTACAATGAAACCAAACAGATCAACATGACCATCTAGTAAGTGTATCACACTTGGCCCCAAACCCGTTACCCTCCATTGACTCTTTTTGTTGCTGTCCAAAAAGCAACATATTTTTCTCCGCACTAATTGGGTTCACCATTTACTGCGTGCCCACTGCCGACTCTTACACGCGCGCATTCCTGACGGAAATTACCATCGTGTGGGCGACCACGTTCTCCTTGCTCATGTTATTTTTACCCAAATTTCGTGCCATTTTCTTTCGGCGCAAATCACGTCGAAGAACACCCTACCACCGACCGCCGCAACCCAATCAAAGCCGCCGTCCTTCCCGATTCGAAACCCAGGACCTGGAAACGCGTCAAACCCTTGGTGGGGAACTCATTAGTCTCAACGGCATGTTATCGAAACCCGGAGCATTGTTATCTGGCTCCCACTTTTCACCCGTTGGGTCACTCCAGTCACCATCTCCCGACGCGGACAATATCGTACAATCCCAAGGTATTGTCCTTGAAGCCCATAAAGTAAGTGATACCTAGACATAGACACATCTTATTCATCCAGCTAATAACCCATCCAATTCAAAAGGCACAAATTCCCATTCAGGTGAGCTTTAAATGGTTTCCATTTCTCTCGGCTTGGGATATGAAGAACGTTATCCTGTTTCCTCGTGTGGGTTACTTTTCTTTCTTTTCGGTAAGTCCAACGTATTTTTTTTTTTTTTTTTTGCTCGAATGGCCCGAGTGTTACTGACTATGGGAAAAATCTACAGGAAGCCACCAACAAAGGCAAAGTATTCAGTTACACGCATGCGACCAACGTGTCGTCGTCGTCCACTGAAGGTCATGTACTCAAAGTGCATGGAACCGGATTTTACGATGTTTATATTCAGTTAGCCACGCGTGACGATGCTGAATGCTGGCACACATGGTTCAACTCCAAGGATCCCGGTTTTGACCCTGAAAACACGTTGCTCACAAGCCGATCGTGTCTTACGACGCGGTCGACTATGGTGGCTTCCACCGATAAGAAATCGGATTCGACGCAAAAACTGAAAAAGGAGGATTCAAGCGATCGATATCTGCTGGAGAGACAAGAAAGTGGCATTACAATTGAAACCGTGGAAAGTGCGGTGTCAACTCTTCACCGGTTGCCGTCCCCACTTCAAATCGCCGATCAGCATCCATACTACATGCATGTCCCTTCACCGTCTACCCTGACGCCCGGATCTGATATAGGAACAAGTCCGTCAACCGATCGACCCACTGCTGACGGTGATACGCCAAGTAGTAGTTCCTTTTTAGTACCGCCATCCCCTCTGCGAAGTCCGTTAACGCCTGCGTTTGATACCAGTCGACGTATGTCATCGCCTTTGCATCACCCTCCACGCTCCAATAGTCAACACAGTCTTTTTGCCGCTCATCATGTCTCAAGAAGACCGAGCCATCAACAGTTACTACAAACACCGTCACCACCCTTCAATTCTTCCTCTCGCCGACCCTCCGACACTGGTTCCTGCTACAAATCGTTCACGGCATACGTGTCCATTACACCTTCCTCAGCGGATCGTAGACTGGAACGCAGACACTCATAAACTATTCATCGCTCACGATCATCCTAATACAACTACTCATCCATAGAGAGAAATATTTATTGAACAAATGAAGCATGCATAATATTGCCACAAATTATTCTTCTCTCTCTTTTTGTTACACACAAGCAAGTGCTTTAAACCTTTTTTTTTTTTTTTTTTTTTTTTTTTTTACAGTCTATTTGAAGGCTTTGTAAACATCTGTTGCATCCTCTTTATTACAAGTGCCTTGGTTTTTCATTCGTATGGTTCTTGATTCCTCTAACAAGCCGTACACCCGCTGTGCAATGGATGCCGCCTGCCACCGGAGGTCGCCCTCTTACATTGAGCGACTTTCGTCAGACAAAAAGCCTAACGCATACACGGCATAACCTGGGCGAGAACTCTTGACGGAACTTCGGTATATTAATGACAACCTTATGGCAATACCATGCGTCGTGATTTGTTTCTGAACACGCGCAAAGCAGCACTGGTTCCCCCCCTCAGTTCCATCCCGCCCAGGCTATGATAGATCTACAAAGATGTGTGGGTATGTTGGGTATTTAAAAAAAATGAGTTAGTAAGCTCTTTGATTGATTCAAATTTTCGTCAAGATATTTTACCTTTGTTATTTGAGTTTTCGATAGCCATTGATCGCTTGACATGACTTGGATTATATGACATTGAAAAAAAGTTTGAATTAGTATACGTTCATTACATCATAGCAAAGGAAAAGAAATTGGACTTGCCTTTGAACCAAATGGTGTACCGGAAAAAAAAAGATGAATACGGACCGCCAGGTAAGCTTCTTCTTCGATGCGGAAAATAAACTTGCTTCCAGGGACAGTTAAGCGATGGATCGGTGGTGTCAGCTTGAGCAGGCAAAAAAATATTGACGTGGCCAGAAGTGACGGTAATTTCGAGCTGGATTCCAGATATCGAGAGTCCCCCGAATAAAAAGAAGAAAAACAAATAAAGTACATGATGATAAAAAAAACAATGGTCGCGTCAGTAAAAACCTCCTAAAAAACCCTGTGGGAAAAAAAGAGGAAAAGACTGCGAAAAGAATATGTACATGAAGTATAAATACAAAATACAATAATCGGGAAGACATCTCGAATACCATATCATGAGAAGCAATCCAAAGGAGAGGAACATGAAGAGGACGCGTAAGCGTTTTTCTGATGAAAAAGAGAGCCACACCACCAACGATGGCCTTTGACGTCATCCGGTTTCGCCAGATGGATGGATGGATGGTGAGAGAAAGTCAACTTGTGGTGTCCAGAACTTGTTAGGCGAAAAGAAAACGGAGAGAAAATCAAGATAAAATTGAAGGCCAAAATATATGGTTTTCCATGGATGAAACAATAGTCACCCCACTGATGCACGAATTCATAGATCGAAGCACGTCGGCTTATGTATTATTCGATTCATTGAAAATTGAAAGAGAGTGAAAGGACATATATAGTATAACTGACAAAAAAAACAAATTGAATGATGCTACAGAAGAACGCCAGTCGTATCATCAACCACTTTTCTTCAAAAAGAGCTCTACTCACATTTTTATTCGAAAGACGACGATACTCTGTTTAACCACAACTGGCGCAAACGGCATCTTGCTGCTGATTATTTCGCCTATTATTCTGAAAGTGGGCAGCGAGGCATGGTTGAAAGATAAAAAAAAATAATGTTTAACAGGTCCTGATAACTTGGTGTAGATCATGTGATCTACAAAATCGCTAATTTTTCAAAAGATTTTGATTCCTCTAATTACTTGGTCTAAAAATCGGTCTTGTATTATCTCTTAACACTTTGGAATTAGCGATTTTGTAAATCACATGATCTACACTAAGTTATCAGGACCTGTTAAACCTTTTTTTTATCTTTCAACCATGCCTCGCTGCCCACTTTCACGATAATAGGCGAAACAATCAGCAGCAAGATGCCGTTTGCGCCAGTTGTGGTTAAACAGAGTATCGTCGTCTTCCGAATAAAAATGTGAGTAGAGCTCTTTTTGAAGAAAAGTGGTTGATGATACGACTGGCGTTCTTCTGTAGCATCATTCAATTTGTTAATTTTTTTGTCAGTCATACTATAAATGTCCTTTTCGTTCTCTTCATTTTATGATGATCGACATCTTTTTTTTTTCCGGTACACCATTTGGTTCAAAGGCAAGTCCAATTTCTTTTCCTTTGCTATTATGTAATGAACGTATACTAATTCAAATTTTTTCAATGTCATATAATCCAAGTCATGTCAAGCGATCAATGGCTATTGCAAACTCAAATAACAAAGATAAAATATCTTGACGACAATTTGAATCAATCAAAGAGCTTACTAACTCATTTTTTTAAATACCCAACATTCCCACACATCATTCTAGATCTATCATAACCTTGGGCGGGACGGGACTGAGGGGATCAATAAGTGCTTCTGCACACATGCTTGGAAAATCATGACTGTACGGTATGCCAGAGTATTGACATTAATATATCAAAGTTCCATCAAGAGTCTCGCCCAGGTTATGCCGTATTGCGTTAGGCTTTTGTCTGACGAATGTCGCTCAACGTAAGGGGGCGACGTCCAGTAGCAGGTGGCATCCATTGCACAGCGGGTGTACGGCTTCCTGTTAAACCTTTTTTTTATCTTTCAACCATGCCTCGCTGCCCACTTTCACGATAATAGGCGAAACAATTAGCAGCAAGATGCCGTTTGCGCCAGTTGTAGTTAAACAGAGTATCGTCGTCTTTCGAATAAAAATGTGAGTAGAGCTCTTTTTGAAGAAAAGGGGTTGATGATACGACTGGCGTTCTTCTGTAGCATCATTCAATTTGTTTTTTTTGTCAGTTATACTATACATGTCCTTTCACTCTCTTTCAATTTTCAATGAATCGAATAATACATAAGCAGACGTGCTTCGATCTATGAGTTCATGCACCAGTAAGGTGACTATTGTTTCATCCATGGAAAATCATATATTTTGGTCTTCAATTTTATCTTTCTTCTTTTGATTTTCTCTCTCTCTTTCTGTTTGCTTGATAAACCTCACTATCATTGTATCAAGATCCCATCCGCATCCATCATCCAGACCATTCTTATCCCGTGTATCTAACTTGGTTAAATTGACCACCATCCTCAAAAAGGTAAGCGTCGAGTGGTCTACCATCGATTTTGCTCCGGCAAAACAGACTTACTTCTCCTTTACTTCCATCCTTCTTCCAGCTTCCGGTTTCCGTTTTCTTTTCGCCTGACAAGTTCTGGATACTACAAGTTGACTTTCTCTCGCCATCCATCCATCCATTCATCCATCTGGCGAAATCGGATGACGTCAAAGGCCATCGTTGGTGGTGTGACTCTCTTTTTCATCGGAAAAATGCTTACGTGTCCTCTTCATGTTCCTCTCCTTTGGATTGCTTCTCATCATATGGTATTCGAGATGTCTTCCCGATTATTTATTTTGTAGTTTATAGTTTGTATTTTGTATTTTATATTTCATGTACATATTCTTTTCGCAGTCTTTTCCTCTTTTTTTCCCACAGGGTTTTTTATGAGGTTTTTACTGACGCGACCATTGTTTTTTTATCATCATGTACTTTATTTGTTTCTTTCTTTTTATTCGGGGGACTCTCGATATATGGAATCCAACTCGAAGTTACCGTCACTTCTGGCCACGTCAATATTTTTTGCCTGCTCAAGCTGACACCACCGATCCATCGCTTAACTGTCCCTGGAAGCAATTTTATTTTCCGCATCGAAGAAGAAGCTTACCTGGCGGTCCGTATCATCTTTTTTTTTTCCGGTACACCATTTGGTTCAGAGGCAAGTCCAATTTCTTTTCCTTTGCTATGATGTAATGAACGTATACTAATTCAAAATTTTTTCAATGTCATATAATCCAAGTCAGGTCAAGCGATCAATGGCTATTGCAAACTCAAATAACAAAGGTAAAATATCTTGACGAAAATTTGAATCAATCAAAGAGCTTACTAACTCATTTTTTTAAATACCCAACATTCCCACACATCATTCTAGATCTATCATAGCCTGGGCGGGATGGAACTGAGGGGGGGAACCAGTGCTGCTTTGCGCGTGTTCAGAAACAAATCACGACGCATGGTATTGCCATAAGGTTGTCATTAATATACCGAAGTTCCGTCAAGAGTTCTCGCCCAGGTTATGCCGTGTATGCGTTAGGCTTTTTGTCTGACGAAAGTCGCTCAATGTAAGAGGGCGACCTCCGGTGGCAGGCGGCATCCATTGCACAGCGGGTGTACGGCTTGTTATCTCTTAACACTTGATATTTATTGTCACTGCATATGGCTCTTGATGTTGGTCTGGCTTGATCACGAGATGTATGATTATCGTCCTTGTTTGTGTAGAAAAACAATATGGAATCAGTGGAAAGTTTGGAACAATGGATCCCTGTGCAAAAAGAATAAATAGTTTATTGGATGATGGATTGTAAATTAGGTTAAATGAATGGATAGTAGTCTGCGAGGGGAGTTCGTAAAGTGTAGATAATCTATGTAGGTGGTATTTGAAAAGAAAAACTAGGCTTTGTGAGCGTCTGCTTCCACTTTTTCCGTCATGGGAGCAGAGTGGGACTGGTTGATCTCGAGTTTTTGGGCGGCGGCTTCTTCGTCATGTGCGAATTTATCGTTGGGGGCTCCTGGTTTGAGGATGATCATGCCGTTTTGCTTGATTCGCAATTTCTCGTCTGGGTTTTGGGCATCGAATTGTTTTTCCAAATGGTGGTAACCAAACAAACGGTAGATCGCGGCCGTCGCAACCCAGGTCACAATAAAGGCACCAATAATCGCCACACCGATCCATTCAAAGTTATCCGCCAACGTCTGCCAAAACTCCCACCAGCCATTCTCGAGCTCGAGCTCATCGGCAATCAGGGAAAAGAATTCAATCAGAGCCACAATCACCGCCACCACCACACTGATACTGGTAATCGTGAGATTGTAATACAGTTTGCGAACAGGATTCACGTAAGCCCAGGTATAAGTGAACAGCATCAGTAAACTGTCGAGGGAGTCGATCAACGCCATGCCTTTTTTAGATCAAGAAGAGATAAAAAGAGAGACATTTTGGTGTGAGACAACTAATTCATTATCCGCAAACGGTGATACTTGGGGGGAGATTGTGTAACTTACCGCTGGCAAATAAGAGAGGGAGAATAATGACGAGCCACATGGACATGCCTTGAGCAGCTTGGGTGGCAGTGATACCCAAGACGATAATCTGGGTCGAGGTATCGAAACCAATACTGAAACAGAATCCGAGAGGGTACATTTTCCACGAAGCGTCGATGAATCGGAACAAGGGGCGGAAGAATCGGCCAAGAAGACCACGGTTACTCAAAAATTCTTCAATGTCCATTTCGGTATAGACGCCTTCACGCTTGACACGACGCAACGTTTTCACCACACCGACAAGAACGATGGTATTTAGGATGGCAATTAACGTCAAGAAAGCAATGGAAATCGATGTGCCCACAATGCCACCGTATTTCTGGAATTGTTCAAAGTCCTTGACCGCCCCACCAATTGCAGCCAGCACAATAGCGGCGATGAAAACCACGGTCGAATGGCCAAGGGAAAAGAAAAGACCCACACACACAGGTCGTTGGTTCTCGTTGAGCAGTTTACGGGTGACATTATCAATGGCCGAAATATGATCTGTGCAAAAACATAGTTTTTAAGTCAATTCCTAGACAATGAGTCGGGCATCCAGTATCCAGACTCACCTGCATCGACGGCGTGTCGAAGACCAAAGACATAAGCGATTGCGGCCGTGCCCAACATGGCAGGATAGGGTTTATACACAATAACTGCCACCACCCAGACCACCACATTGATGATAAGCAGGGTCAAGAACAGCATGATCACCTTCCATCGGACACGGTATGGATCAGGACCAAAGAATAATTTGTAAATGAGAGAATGCTCAGACATCACTTTCAAAGCGAGTCGGCCCAGTTTTCCCGGTTGATGATCGTCCATGGCTGTCAAGGTAAAAGAAGAACAAGTACAAGTCAAAGGAAAAAAAAAAAATGAATCGAAATATATATGAAAAAAAAAAAGGTCGGGGAGATCACTTTTCGAAACCAGCAAATCCGGTCACAGTTGATGAGATGGTGGTTTACGGACGAGTGAAAGAAAAAGCCCCATTTTCGGATATGAAAAACAAACAGATACACAACAAAGAGGGGAATTCATGCTTGCTTATTTTCTGAATATGGTATTTTCAGGAAGTCATCGGTTTGATTGACATGGCTCTATTTTTTTTATTTTTTTTTTTTTCACTCGAGACATGGTTGAACAGACGGTTCTGCATCTTCTACTTGCTGTGATTGGTTTCTTCAAGTTGCACGACCAATCCGTTTCGTCGGCCGCACTTCATTCTCGCCAAACTCAAAAATTGTGGACGTCCTCGGAAGCGCGGTACTAATCCTGATACAGAATGCCAAAAAAAAAAAAAAATCAACCGTCTCTGGAGATCAAAAAATTGAGTGCTCTCAAAAAAGCCAGCACGATTTTGCCCTATCAAACATTCTCGGTACTTCTCCTTGTTTGCTTTCATTGCCGTTTACGCTATCTCCTTTCGGTGTCGCAAAAAGGACACACTTCTTGACTTGATTACTCTTACCATTGGCTGATCCTGGCTGCATAATGTCACCTTTGCCCGTATATGGCCTTGTCTTTACAGCCGCAATTTACATGTCTCTGTTTATCAGATGGTACAGAGCATTCTCATTGGATGCAAGCGATACCATGACAATCGATCTATGGGATCATGCTCATTTTTTTTGTCTCTGTTTGTAAATTTCTACAGACACAGAGTATGTCAAAGGTTTTTCGATGAGGTACAAAGGAGAAAAAATAAAATAAGGGCGCTTTGTGTGGCGAAAAGCCTATCTCTTGGTAGAGCGAGGATTTCGGCGACAAAAGGGATCCGCATATGCCCGCGTGGGGGCGGAAAAAGGTGTGGATCGTGCAGGATCACAGAATTCAGATCGAAGTTGCACAATGATGGCCGACCGACCGCAGGAAAAAAAATTACGATGCATGAGTATTTTCTTTTGGGTCATTTTTCCCGATCTTTGTGTCCTAGGTAGACGTCAGACAGCATGAAAGGAAAAATCATGCCATTGTCAGCAACAATGGTAACTCGTCATTGGCCAACTTTTTTTTTCATTTATTTTGGTCAGTGATGACAGACGAAAAGGAAAACCGATTGAAATCCCAATCGACATCAAGCCACTACAAGGCAATACAAGCACGCATCCCAAAAGTATCGCCGCCAATGTATTCCAGCAAGGGTCGATTTCTATCTGGATCGATGGTTATTCTCCCTTTTTACAACGTTGTACAATTCTGCTTTTGAGGAAGGTGACACAATGAAGCGCGGTTTTTGCTGTTCCTTAATCAACCGATCTCATTTCACCGTCAAGGTTTCAAAGCCTAGTAATTATGCAATCATACAGTCGTACCCTCTCCAGTCCATTCTTTGAAACACTCTATTGGGGCTCGAACGCTGCAATCATCTTGTTTGTTTTATGAGATCTTCATCTTCACATAACATATTAACATAATAAAACCATCCGCAATGGATGGAAAGTGAGAAATTTTAATACAGGACTGAAGTTTGGGTGATGGGTTCACTTTCAAGTCGACTTTTTGTATTCCCACTCTTACAAGGAGCAGTCATTTTTTTCAAGGTGACGAGAACGTCGGGCTGCAACAGAATATAAGGCGAATTCGGAACTCCTCGTAGTGAGTTGTAGATACGTGAATTAGATACGTGATATTCCGTACCAGTTTCATTGTCCTATGTTGCTGTGCCATAAAATAAGGTTACGCAACGAGTAGCGTTGGGTAAGAATCCAATACGACATTTTGTGAAAAAAAAAAATGGAATACGATGAATGATCAGTCAATCAAGTATCTACCGGTATAAGCAGGAATAAACATGAATTCAGCTCTAAGGCAGAGCATAGCACTCAGGCAGTCGGATGTTTCGTAAAATATTATGACAAAAGTCGCGAACTCTCATTGCAGTCGCACGCTGTATCGGACGAAAGAAACATGGATTTTGTATTCATATATAATCAATAAACAGGGCCAAAGCATCGATAGCTAAATTTGACCTGTTCTCGCCTGTAGCCAAATGGTTGTATTAGTCTTTATGCATCAAACCAGATTAAACTTGTTTTTATTTGTGCTTTTAAGTAAAATGATTTATTTCCATCCAAAGTAAGCAGTGTTTGGTTGTTGTCGTGATCGATGGTCTTACCACAACAAACAATGCGTGGAAACAGGCACAGTCACTGTTCTTTTAACACTGGAAGGAATGGCAAACCAAATTTTGCCATTGATTGCAAAGCGTGGTGTCAATAAGCGCACTACCGAACGTACGGAAGGAGCGGCTGCTTTGCAACCATTTGCTGTTCAGAGCTGTGTTTTGACCCAGCTTTTAGTGAACCGGTGACTGCTCTTTGAAACCACATTTTTTTATTCGTCCACCGTTGATACGGTAATAAACTCTAATCACCTGTAAAAAAATAGGAAAAACTTGTCAAGTAAACCCGGAGTAATGCTTAAAATCTATCGATACCACGCAGTTTAATTCTATATCAGATAATTCATAAAGCTTCACTGGCACACCAAGCCTAGAATATCCTTTTGCATCGACAATCTTGAATAAAAAAATTCACTGTTGTAATATTGCACAATTTATGAAAAGGCAAACAATATTGCTTTTGCTCTCATAATAAATGGAATAAAGGTGGGTTTATTTAGCTTACGCAGTAAAAATTCTTGAAAAACTGAAGTTTACGTTCTTCTGGACAAGCCCACTAACTGGTGGAAAAAACACTTTCAACTATCATTTTTGGACAAACCTACTGTGTCTTTCTCAAATATTTTGACATAAACCAACAGTAAAAAAGTCGATCCTAAGCTCTGTTGGCGACTTGTCCCGGAAGCACTGGTGTTTGGTAATTTAGGGACCTTTTCTAGGTTTTTCAATTCGATAGGTACCGAAGTCGTTCTGACATCTTGAAAAGGTTTCAAAGCCTGGCTCTGTTGCCAATGCCAATATTTTTCAGACAAGTCACTGTGGAAAAGAAGAGGAACCAAAATAATTCGGAAAGTAGATTATCGCAATAAAAAGGTAGAGTGTAAATCAATTTGCTGGAGTCCGTTTCTCACTTTCTATCAGGTCTGAAAGTTTAGCACAAAAAGACATTGTCCAGCTGCAATAAGCAAAAGATGATATCACGTTGAGAGGTTATCTCGCTTGCTTTGGGGTCCATTTGAGAATCGGCCCTTTGTCAAAGACTTAAGTTGCGCTCATGCTGTGTAGTATTTTTTTCATATCCACGAATGACGATGCTCCAATTGGCCATGCGCTTGCATGGTTAGTTCTCCAAAGTGACCTGCTACTCCAGATAAGTCTCCACTCGCTTTGGTAATTTCAATGCAAAAGTGTTTACCAATCATAGTCAAAGATCTCGTCAAACAGCAACTGAAAAATCTGAGACATTTTCTGGGACCTGCATTCATGCACATCTATCCTGACCCCGGATCTATTTGCATGCTGCTCTGGGCTTTCCCCATGAGGGTGGCCATGAATACACGCCAAGTTCCGACTCAGCACTTCAATCTGGGATGTAGCTGCTAATCATCAACTGTTACCGAAAACTGGGGGCTTTAGTCTGCTTTTTTGTGGTTGGTGAGAACATGCCATAGAGCAAAGCGTAGTTTCAATTTGCTTTTGTGTTAGGTATCTGTGGCCATGACGTGTCATATTCGCGCAGGACAGTTTTTCCAGGTTTAGTATGTGAAGATGTAAGTGAACATGCCACTGTTCACATAGTGGTATTTTTTTTTTTACGCTTTTTTCGTTTAGATAGCAAAAATATTTTAGGAGGCTGTGACACAAAAAAAGGTCCTTTGGCAGCGTCAGCGATCCTCTAGCGTAACCGTCAAATGGCTATCCCCGCATTATTTGAGTGACACCTTTTTTTGATGGTTTGACGATTGCCCTGCGTGGGTAATCGGCAGTTAAAGAATTTCTTTTTTGTGATTACTTTGTGGCGGTGCGAAATGCAAGCTGACGTCAACAGGGCTAATCCTTGTTCTTGTTTGGAGAAAGGTGGCTACCTTATTGTCATAATCATTTTTAGAGTTTAGCGTGGAGACTAAAAAAGCTATTTCAGTCTATGAGCTAGTATATCGTATTTCTAGACTAACCTGTCCACATTGATGCAGAAAAACATCACCTGTGTATACATGATGAAGATATAATCAAACGATCTGTTCGTCCGCCCACAGTCCGACGAACCAAAAAAAAACTTGATGGTGCGCATGGCAACGTCATGCAATGCAGATCTTGTGTTATCTGTCGTCTCACAATCACTCGGTGGCAGTATTGGATATCGTATGATGGCACCATTCCAAATGGTTGTGTTACCGGGATCGCGGGGAATGAAACAAAGAAAAAAAGCCCATGCCGTTCCATTGACTTGACAAGACTCCGTTTTCCTTTTCCGCTCTGCTACTCGCCATTATGCCGCTCTTTTTTTTCCATCTTCCGCGAAACCATCGAAGGTCTGTAGATTTTTCTTCCGTCTGCTTGATGAGCAGCGAAGGCTGTACAAAAAAAAAATTAAGCTACTGTCGCGGAAAAAAAGCAATATGAAAGTCATATTTTAAACACAAATTCCAATTGGGGATTTCCCAAGATCCATCCGTTTACTGAACTTGAGCCTTCATTCCATCCCCAATATATTTGTGCAACCTGTGGTGGGTCCAATTTATGGGGACGCACATACTTTTTGCCTTAAAAAATTATTTATCCATGTTTTAACTCATTTGTTACGCTGTCTTGGGCTCAAATCAGGCAAATTCAAAGGGAGCCAACCGATCTACCCTATCGCTGGCAGCTGCAAAATGATGAGCCTTCCAAAATAAGCTATTCTTCGAAAGAGTGTTCACGAAAAAAAAAAAATTTGATGCCTGCAACGCTTGGATCAAGTCAGGTTTCATAGATGAATGAACATTTTAGGCCTACATCGGATTCCATCATGTGGTCTGAGCAGAATAGAGCTTCCCAATTATTTCATGATGAGATGATGATGATGGTGCATCGGTAGCGATTTTTGGAAAACATGGCAATCTCGGTTTGCTTTTTCACCATACCGAATTTTTCCTCAAAACAATCCATGAATGTCCAAAATGTCCCATTTCTCATGGACAAAAAAGAAATAGAGTTCAATTCATACCAAAGCCCCAATTAAATTTGGTTTCACAGTCTAACTTGCAAGAGAGAACCATGTCATTTCTCGTGCACCATCAACAACAGATTCTCGGAAAGAAAACTGTTCCCATCCGAGATCATGCACTGCTCTTCTATGCTCTGCTCTGAATATCAGGAGAAAAATTCTGCGCATCATCGTTGTAGTGGATGCGTCGAAAGGGAAACAATCTCTCGACAGCAGAAATAATTGTGAGATGATCAATAACAATGCAGTATATTTACGCTGCCAGTGGATGAGAAGAAAAATAACTCTTGGGAATGGGACATTAACAAACTCACCATGCTAACCATAACAGTCCAATAAACTTCTCAATATCGAAATTTAGATCTAAACTTCTGTGAGCTTCGCCCACCCAACGGACCGTCGATGGAGACACATCGCGATTGAGGCTTTTTCTTTAGTTTTCCTTTTTCCATCAAATTTTCATACGTACAAGAACTATCATCACAAAACATACACCAAAAAAGTTCGTTCAGGTCGGTTACCGCGCGGGACTCTCGGTCCGCTTTTTTTCGCACCGAATTTTGTTGGATGATTTCAAGCCAAATAGGGTGCCAAAAAAGGCCAAGGATGAGTCGTCATGTAAACGATCGGCACTAGAGCTAATGAACGAATTTGAGCGACAGGAGTCTGTCAATGAAAAAGCGTCATTTCTTGATAGAAAATGTCAATGAGGGAGATGTCAGGGCATTTTTTTTGGTTGTGTGTTGCCGAAAACAAACATTGCGTCGGCCTGTTGACGCTAGGACGCGCAAGCCGCATTTTAGATTATTAGACACATTCGTGAGAACTTTATTAGGTCCTACATGTTCCAGATCTGACCATGGTCATGATTGGTGTGCAGAAAAAAAATGGGGATCGGAGTGTCATTGATTTGGTTGAAATCGAACACCTTACCAGATTCTTGGAAACGCCGTAAAATAAGCACGCTTAAGAAGAAAAAAAAAGGGCGTGGATTTGAAATGATAACCGTTATCTATCGGCATAACGTTTTTACGCTAGTAAAAAACATGGGATTGGTTATAGGGCAGGATAATGCGGTCGCCTAGTAAAAAAAAAAAAAAGATGAAATGTATAATTTTACTAAAGGATAGGTTGTTACTATTATTACCAGGTCAACTGTATCTTACACAGAGTGAAACTTTTATTATGAGTATCTAGACGAACTAAAATCAGGATGGGTGAGCCTGGTAAGTCTCTTCCAATTTGACAGACACCGTTAGCCCGTCCTCGGAATAAAAAAAAACCACCTTTTCTATCAGATACTGATAGATCATTCTTTTTCTGAGCCTTTTTATTTTATCAGAAAGGAACAAAAACAATGGGCGCGGGAATCCAGAATCATAATGAGTGGCCAATTTTTTTTTTCTGGATCCATCAAAATCCGAAAAAAAGTGTCTGTGTGTTGGAGGGTGCACAGAGCGCCAACGATTATGCTGGTGTAACGGGGAATGGCCAGATGCTTAGTGATCTAAGCGCTCCGAAAAACCCACTGCACGACAACGAGAACCGACAAGTCAGTAATATGAACACAGCTGTAGCCGCTAGAATTTTATTTTTATTTTTTTATTCTGGGTCATTAACAACCAGTACAAAAGAAACGATGGGGATATATGGGCTCGCATTAAGATTGGATGATAAGAACAAAAGCAAAGCGGAAGTCCATGGCTCAATTCGCGACCAAAGATCGTTTGCATTGAATACTTTTCCATTCTATCGTCGACATGACGATAGTTGTTCAGGGTCACAATAAGCACGGACAACCGTGGTGACTTGGAAAAATCGACGGAGATATGGACTGCGAATAAAATATTTTGCAGGTGCCATGACCTGTTGCCTTGTCGTGGGCCTTTAGGCGGCGCTTCGATCGTGTCTTTAGAATGCTCATCGCACGTTGGCGTACAGAAGCTGGCACTTCATTCAAGGTCATGGGTCTCGGCTGTACCACGCCAGAAAAAAAAAAGAAACGATTGTCGGTCTGAACAAAAAACGCAAAATGAGGTTTTGCATTCACTTTGGAAGTTTAGCCTAGATAAACATCGATAGCCTGATATACTTTCCCCTAAAAGTTCAAAGTCCAAACGCAGCTTTTTTTTTCAGTATGCGATTTAATTCGATGATTGATTTTTTTTCCCTTTTCAAAAAATCCCACTAAATATATAAATGCTGGATCTTTCCAACCCGAATTTCCCCCTTTTTCATGGTTTGCGCATGATATAGTATCGATCCTTTTTTTTCTTCTTCTTCTTCCTTTTTCTTCATCACCATGTATCAACCTTCTCTGTCTGCTCATGAATTCCGAGAACCCTTTGCCTATCCAACTGCACCTCTTAACTCTCTTACCTGCGATACCACCGCTCCCATCACCGAGGATCAAGCGGGAATCCTTATCGCCTCACCTGCCGATGATGTTTCTTCCGTAGACCAAAACAGCGCTCTATCGCCCAGTGCATCCATTAGTGCCTCCTCCTATATGCGACGGTAAATAACTTTGAAAACATAACATTGCCTTTTCACACGGACATGGACTACTGCCTTTTTTACCGTGCTGTTTTTCTCGAACCTTCTCGACTAATTATCTTGAAACAAGCAGGACTTCAATGTCCAAAGCTGAGCGGCGAGCGGAGCACAACGCCATTGAACGAGCTCGAAGAGAAAATTTGAATGGCAAATTTTTGCAACTGGCTGAAGCGTTGCCGAACCTTCAAGGTCGTCGTCGTCCTTCCAAGGGCCAAATTGTCGACAAGGCTTTGGATTGGGTCAAACGATGTGCGGCCAAAGAAAGCCGATACCAGTATCATCTGTTGCAACTGCAACGTGAAAACAAGCGACTCACAGCGCAACTGAACCTCACACGAACAGAAGCCTCGGGTATTACGCCTCCTTTGCCGGATCCCTCATTGACTTCCCCCCATCCCTTCCCACGGTACCCCACCACTGAAGACTCTTCAGCCCACTTGTGGCTCTCTTCTCAACACACCACTACCGCCACTGTCACTGGCGGCGCCACCGCTGCTGCTGCTGCCGCCGCAGCAACATCTGTGAATATGATGACAATGAATCAAGTGACTCCTTATCCCTTGAGCCGGCCTCAATGGCGTTTTGACGAAGACTATGATGATGATGACAACAGCAGTGTTTTGGAAGATCCAAATCAATTTGGATTGACTTTTTCCCATGGTAAGTGGTAGCCCGTTATGCAAAGCCATGTATTTATGCACTTCCAATCGTACTTATCGTTCAAAGAGGTTACAGACATGTCTCCCCATCCATCTAGTTACTCTCTTGACCATGTATATTGTAAGCAAAATTCCCATACTGGAAGAAAAAAAAAAGCCCACCCAGCCATCGGCAATGACTAAACTTTGAAGTCCATTAGCTCACGATTGGAACAATCCTAAAGATTCTTTTCATCATTCCTTGCCACGATACGAAGCTTCCATGGAATATTCCGTGCCTCTTATTGTCCACGGTCCCTGACTTGACGTTGAATAATGTCATTGTTATTGTATCCGTTTTTTACATGTCATACACATCTTTATTATTTATCTCTCCTTCGACCACTCTCTTCTCTCTGTATAAACACATTGCATCTCCGCTATACGTCAAAACATGCCTTTGTTCGTCATTGTTTTTCTTTTTCACCACCGAAAAAAAAATACAACAATTTTTTCTTTGTACACCAATCATTTGAAATTGGAAGTTTGTTTGAAATTACTTGTTGCAGAAAGAGAAAAAAAATAGGATGAATCCAACTTGGTACAACCATAGAACATTGTGTGCTTTGAACGATTGGGACAATATGAAGTGAGATCAGAACATGTGAGAAGACGCAACTTCATTCGTTCGTTTCTAGTGACTCTGATTGGCCAATTTCTTTTTATTTTATTTATCTTTCCCATAATGGGACAGGGAACTAAATTCAATTCGGGATCATCAAAGGATAACGATACAATAGATCGATTCCATGATTTGAACTCATCTTGGGATGCAAAGGCAGGATATTTAGGAGGATATAAGGGAAAGTTAGTGAGTCATTATTCTTTGTACATACTAGAAAGTTGGGTTCGGGAACAAATTCGCTAGCGTCGGGATGGATTGTTCTGGAAAAGAAAAGAAACATTGTTGCTCTTCGGTTCCATATTTGCACCATCCGAGAGGAAAGATTTTTTTTAAAAAAGGGAAAAAATATGGTTAGATTGTAAGATAGGGGAGGAGGGATATGGGATAAATAAGAAAAGATGGCAGGTAGCTTTTTGATGAGGAAGGAGTGGTCTTATGTACATGGTATAGATTGAAAACAAATAAAGAGGTTACAGATGTTTGGCGCGCATGCCATAGGATCGTTTGCGAGCTACAGCTTTGGTAATGCCGATGGGTTTCGAAACAGGAATGGATGCGGCCGCGCTGTCACCATGGGTCGAGGTCGAACCTTTAAACAATCGCGGACAACTTCGTTTTTTCGAAAGACCGATTGTAGGTCGTCTTGGGCCGGCGGGAATCAAGGCTTCAAATGAAATAGAGGACGATGACCGGCGTGAACGGGACCCGACTGACGTTGATATGGACGAATCTTGCGTTTTCTGAGAGTCCGAGTCGACCTTTTCAGTATCGTCTTTGGACACATCCGATCGATGCGGCATCCATTCTTTTCCTTCGGTCTGGCTGGAAGAAGACATCGATCTCGGAGCATTCGGTTTCACAATACGGTCAAAACCTTTCATGGTGGTGATTTCGGGCGTCATCGATCGTGGTTGAGATAGACTGCTGAGAATGGACTGTTGACTTGCCCCGCTTCGTTGCGATAATGACAGCGAAGACGAACCCGAAGACGATATAAACGACATGTCCAACAAGGTTCGCTGACGTTTCAGTTTTCTCTGACTGGAATCGATCTCTGATTTTTCCATGGCCTCTTGCAAAGACATCGATCGTCCACGCATGACAGTATTCGACGCGAGCATGTCTTCATCCCGATCGTCGTCGTCGGATGATGATAAGGAATCATGGATACCGAGAAGATCATGTATTTCATAATCGCTCTGATCCGAGGTTTCCACGTAATGGGCGCTTAGATCGGTGCTAAGCTCTGGACTGAACACTTGATAAGTATCGATATCGAATGAACCGTCATAACTTTGATCCGCGAGGACGTAGGGCTCCATATCGCATGCCGATTGCGAATCATTCGAATCGACCTCGCTCATCACATCCGCTGGATCATAACGCATGGCTTTGTCTCGTGTCTCTGCGAATGCGTGGTTTTCTTTGGGCGGTTCCGCTGTGTCCAAGCACATATCGGATGCCACCTGGCAGCTGCGGTGGGACTGGTCGTGGTATGAAACGGCGTCGGCACCGTGATCTGAAACCTGTTCATGTGAATCTGGTATCGCGGGATGGGATTCTGCGTCGGAACTGGTGGGCGTGAAGGCTTCGACATCAGAGACAACGGGCATGATAACGGCCTCTTCGTCATCTGAAAATTCTGCAATATGGTCATCCAAAGGATCAAAACAACCGATTTCGCAATGATCCGTTATTCGCTTGGCATGAGTTAACGTTCTTTTTCGGGGACCGGTGGAGGTTCGTGTATGTGTACGGACGGCGGCAGCATCGGTGGATGGTGCATGGAAATTTGGTCTTGTTTCACTGGAAGAAAAAGAATGTGCTTCTTTTGAAATCTCTGAGGCGGATGCAGGTGATGGTGGTTGGCATTGTCCAATCGATAAGGAGGCTGTGAAATCATGTACTTCGTCGTCGACAGGTTCATCACAATGCTCCGTTGAAGCGTCGTTGTCTGAGGATTCTTTGGACTTCTCCGGAAAAGAAATAATGTCGCCGTAAAATTCATCGAGGTCAAGTGATAATCCGAGATTGTCGCCACCTAAAGGATCCTCTTCCGGAACGGCACAGGGTCGAATACTCTCACGATTCGCCTGACGCTTACGAATTTCATTCACTCGCGCCATGATACTGGCGTCACCACACACAACATCCATGGGAACAGAAGTAGGCATGCGGGGTGTATCAGGCACTTGATTTGTACTGGCTGCAGCATCTTGTTGATCCTCCTCCTCCTTCTCGTATGGAAGCGTATCTGTTTCGCTGTCTTGACTATTGTTATCATCACATCCTGATGATGCATACCGGTTATACGGTAAAGTATCTGAGTCGCCCGCAGGTCCTGAGACTGGAGCATCGAATGCGTTATAGGGTAGAGTATCGGGTTCGCTATCGTCCTGACGTTCGTTATCCAATGATAATACGGCATGAGGATCATAGGGCAACGTATCGGGTTCGCTGTCATCCCCGCGGTCATTATCCGACGGTAATATAGCGTGAGAATCATAGGGTAAGGTATCTGGTTCGCTGTCGTCCTGGTATTGGTGATGTGTGGATGGTGCGGCGCAAGCATCGTAAGGTAATGTATCCGGCTCGCTGTCGTCCTGGCGTTCGTTATCCGACGGTAATATATCATGAGGATCATAGGGTGGAGTATCGGGTTCACTATCGTCCTGGCGTTTGTTATCCGACGATAGTACAGCGTGAGGATCATAGGGTAAAGTATCAGGTTCACTGTCGTCCTGAGATTCGTGGTTGGAAGGGGATGCAGCGTGAGGTAACGTACGGGGTTCATCGTCTGCATTCGGTGCGGGATCGGAAGGGGATGAGCCAAGGAAATCACAAGGTAAAGTATCTGGCTCAAAATCCTCAGTGGGTGAATGGGGAGGTATATAGAGAGAAAAGACACCGCATGATAAGATTGTTTGTTGGCGATCCTCGGTCTCTGAAGGCCGGTCCAAGGAATCACATGTCAAAGTATTGGATTCTATGTGTTGAGAGTGCATATCATGGTCGGAAGATGACGGACAATGTGGATCGCAAGATTGGGTATCTGGTTCAATCAGTGGATCATCATCGATTTCCAGTGGTAACAAATCGTCGCAGTGGTCGTCGACCGGATCAAGCTGACAGTTGGGATGACGATTCATGTTTTGTTGCATGGGAGAACGAACTCGACCATGGATTGTATCGTACAAGGCACTTGCTGTAAAACCGTAGCTGGAAGGCGCTTCCATCATCTGTTGGACACCATGATCCATTAGCAACGCAGCCCAAGCAACCACACACACTTTTTACAAAAAATACCTCGCAACGCATGGTGGTCGCTAAAAGTTCTTCGTTTAAATCGGGAAATAATCGCCGCGAATGGGTTGGGTATAGCCTTGATCCCCAAGCAGAAGCGGTTTCTGCAGGTTCCTGAAATTATAACAATAATAATAAAAATAAAAATAAAACGGCACACAGTGTGAGCCAACCGATCATAGGTTCACGTTTGTTGGCTGTCATGTTACCTCGGTCACGCAAAAGCCATCATTCTCCATGATACATAGTTCTAATTGAGAGTCTGACAATAAACGACCATTTTCTTGCTTGAGTTTACGGTGTCTAGGTGACAAGGGGAGCTCCCTTTCAGTGGAACCATGTGACTGGACCGACTAATTTTTTTTTTTGATGAGTGTTGACATGACAAGAAGGATAACAACGAATAACTCAAAAATATAAACAAAACGCGTCAACAAACTTACAAATGGCATGGGCGGAAATGAATCGGTCAAGTCTGGTATATCTGGGAAGGAAAGCCCAACGGTGTATGTCAATGATTTGGGTCCGTGACGACGAGGAAGCCCATGGGATGAAGAAAAAGGGGAAAATGACAAGATACCTAAACCCGTCACCGAATTATCTTGTGAAGTGTTGCCTTGCCATAAGCTGAGTCCACTCAACGATCGTTGTGGTGGAAGAGGACACGTCGCAATAGGGCTTACATTGCCTGCCGTTTGTGACATGGCACTGCTAAGGCTGGTCGGAACAACGCTGCACGATTTGAAAGGGGATCCAAAAAAGAAAAAATAAAAAATTTCCTCAAAGCGTAAAAAAAAAAGCCGACGTCACGCTTTTGTCCCGATTTTTTGAAGAAAAATGGAATCCGGTGCTTCCAGCAGAGCCACCTTGGCTGCAGGCTTACCAAATCGACGAATTGGCTTGAAGGCGGCCAGGAAAGATCAATCTGTTCAATGCACATACTTTGCACGCGACAAAAAGGTGCCTCGTTTTTTGATTGGAAGATCAGCTGATACCGGTTTGAATTTTTCTGCCTCCACCCAAAAAAAGCGCGCGCATGTCCGCCCATGATCCTTATTTGGAGAGAGATCAACGTATCCTTCCCTCCCCCAAAATCAATCCATGCAGGTCCCCTTTTTGTCACGGTTACCTTGTTTGTCTACTTCATATACCCGCCAACTCCTTGCTGCTGATTTGTATTGACAATGGCAGATTGATGTCCCATTCATCATTGCCCTGCTCAGTAGTGCTGCGCTTTGAAGTTGAAAGCGAGAAAAAAGGAAATGGTTTATTTTATCAGGGCAATTCAGCTGGAAATATCTAAAAGTGACTTACATTTTTTTCCCCCACCAATGTTAAGTCAAAGCAAAAAATATTACCCTACCGCCCAATGTACCATTTATGCTCGTTTTTATGAATGATGCGAAAGATTTTATTGAAGATGTTTCTTTTTTTTTTGGTGTATGCACTTGAAATGCCAGTCGTATAAATGGTCGAGAAAAGAAAGAAAGAGAGTTGCCGTGGGTATGTACACAGGTGAAAAAATATACGAGAAAGCGAAAAAAAAAATAGAGTAAAATTAAAAAAAAAAGGAAAGGATCCATTAGATGGATGTTCATACCGTGAGAAGAAAAATATAAAAAAAAGACTATTGTTGACTTGTATAAACAAATGGTGTGAATGAATCGTCTATGCTTGCTTGAATTGGAAATAATAATAAAAAAGGCACTTGGAAAAAGGGGGGTTTACCAGTGACCCACTGCATTATTCCACACTTGTTCGGATTGTTGCTGTTGCTGTTGGGGTTGCGTGGAGGGCGGATGCTGACCGTGAGTGGGGGACTCTTTGTTGGCACCTAGAGACGGCAGTGACCACATGGAAGGTTGTTGTGTAGTCATCTTGAAAGAGCCAGGTGAGCCTGATCCAACCGAGGAAGTGACAGGCAATCCGTACGAAGGTTGAGACGAAATCGGAGCTTGGCTGCCATTGTCTGCTTTCGGGGCGTCGGAACGATCGAGCACATCACTGCAAAGCTGAGATAAGATGTTCAATTTCGATCCGTCTTCTTCAGCAGCTGGTTTGCTGTTGACACTGTCGGTGGCCACCGTACCGTTGTTGGCAGGGGCGGAAGCCGGTTTCTCCTGTTCCTTATTGGCCTCAGCCGCAGGCGGCGTGGTATTATAGACTGGAGGAGGAACACTCATGGCCGCTTGATACTGCAACATGGCGGAATTAGCCGACAACATTTGCTGTTGCTGCATATTGGGTTGCATATTGGGCATCATGTAGCTGGGAGCCATCATGGGATGGGAGGTCGCAGGATAACTGACCGCACCAAAGGGACTGTAGTGGGCACCATTGAAACCGGGATACGATAACGGCATGTTACCACGCATGTTCATATTCGGCGAAGCATACATGCCATGCATGGGCGTAGCAATGGCCGGGGATGACGAAGCGGACGACGGTTGCGAAGAGCCGGAACCTGACAACAACGAAAAACAACGGGTAAACATGCTGAACCAACACTGCTGCGGCAATTTAAATTTGCCATTTTTGTTTTTACCTTGATTTCTACGTTTGTAGGGACCTCGTTTGACGCCCTTCTTGCGTTCTTTGCGAACCGAATCTTGACAGGTGTCAGTCAAACCATACTTGATACAGCGTTGACAGGGACGACCATCGTCACACTTCTTGCACGCCTTTTGACAGTTGACTACGAAGAAAAAACAAAACAAATAAACAACCGATCCGATCGCTATTGTATTTAAACTGCCTTCCAACTTACCACAGGCATTTTTGACTTGCTTTCGCTTAGGTTTAGAGACCAATTCGTATTCCATACCGGGTTGCATATGGGTAGGTTGACCGTTCATAAAAGGAGGCATACTCATGGGTGGCATACCCAACGGAAGTTGACCTTGCAAGGTCCCGGCCGGTGCTTGCGGTGGCTGCTGCTGCTGTTGTTGTTGTTGTTGTTGCTGCATGTCAGCAGGCATGGGCTGTGCGTGGGGAGGATAGCCCGGGAATTGTTGATTATGAACAAATTGCATTGTTTATCGACGGAGAAAAAAAAAGTCTAAGAGGAAGGATAAACAATGATCAATTAAAAAAATGGAATAAAAAAAAAATAAAAATAAAAGGATGGAAAAAGAAGTTTAGAAAAAGCCAGTCTTGTTTTTTAGTTTGTCTCTTGCGGCCATTTCAAATTCCGCAGTGACAATGACAAAGACAAAAACAGGACCAATAAAAGGAAATTCAAAGCCTACCTGGTAGAATGACAGTAAGGAAACAATCAGTAGCAACAACTGTTGTGGTGATAGTTATTTGTTGTTGTTATTGTGTTGCTTATGAAACGGGTTTTCGGTTCGGTTTGTCAATCGGGGAAGGCAAGAAGGAAAAAAAAGGATGGCTATTCAGGTACGACGTTCGATAATCGATAAGATTTTTGTGTTTGGAGATATTAGAGTTCCACGAGTACCACCACAAATAACACACTAATAAAAAGACGTCTCTTTCTTAGTACTTGCAAGAGAAAAAGCTGTAAACAAGAGACGGAAAAAGAAGGAAGAATCGTATCGGAGCATCAATAGAATATATAATATGTGCTCTTGTTTTTCTTCGCTCTCTCCACTTGTTTGGATTAAAAAAAAATTTTTCGGCACCAACTGAAAAACTGAAACCTCCATTCTCGACCAAATGAAAGAATTTGATTCGTCAACTTGCCAAATTAAGGTGGTCGGTTCCAGACATCCCAACGTCATTGCTAAATGTCACTAACCAACCATTATCAACTTCCCGTTTTCTCATTTGTCATTTAATGTCGTCGATCAGCTTCCATATAGTTCGCACACCAGAATAACCGGCTGCACCAATCATTGCTGTATCAAGGCATCCTGAAGAAAAAATATTGAATGGGGCAAAATCCGATGAATTATACTACGGACGGCAATGGCGGCCAACATGCTCGTACGATGTTTTGGGTTTTCATAATGACGATCTTTTTTTTTTCTCTTTTCCTTTTTTTGGGGGGCCGTGTGTATTGGGGCTATGTTCTTTCATTGGGCTCCATTTAACCGCCAGTGATTCTGTAGTTAATTCCAGGAACTTGCAACAACGATCTAATTCTTTCACCAGTTCTCCGATGAAATGGCTGGTAAATTTTTTTCGACAAGGCGGAACGCATAAATTTTTTTGCTGGTGGCCATTTTCCAATGTTTGTTCAACCTTTGCGGATTGCCACGTGCGTCCCCATGATGCATTGTTCAAAAAAGGCAAAACAAGTCTCGGCTCATGGATTTATCCGCCATTGAAACGTGCTTGTCCTATTTTTCCCTGGGTAATCCCATTGTCTTTAATGCAGCGTGCCTCTTGACCTCTATTCAAGTAGCCCCATCGGCGAAGAGTACGGCCCATTGGGGCATTTTTTTCTTTTCTCCAACTACCATTGCTTGCCAGTTCTTCAAACTGCACCAGTGCCACATGGCATCGTGTACCACTCGCCTCAATTGCCCAACAGTTCAAGCTTGGAGAGACTTTGACCCACCTTTGAATTTTTTATTGCATTGAAGTCACCTTTCCGACAAATTTTTTTTTCCATTGAGACAAACGAGCCAAAAGATCAGGCACAAGGCTGCCGGGATCTCCAAGAATACCTCGATGCATGCTCATTGGGCATAGATCATCTTCGTTTACAGCGCATTCCTTGATGCACACTCACCATTTCATAATTATACCAAAATTATCAAACTTTACTAAAGCGTTTAACAGGAATCTGCAATGACCATGTTAAAGTCTATTATTATGTTTCCATGGTAGTATCTTTTTTATTTATTGTATGGAGAAAAGTCGGAAAGCAGCCAATCAAGGAAATCGAAAGTGTATGTCTTTTTTTTCTTTTATGGAAGGGGGGAGAAAAAAGGGGAAGTTGAATTTTTGTTTTCTTGTTTAGTTGGATGATCAGTCTTTGTCGAACCCGTGGGACCTTGGTTTTTCTTTTGTTTTGTGTTTCTGTTCTGCGTTTTTACCAACCAAAGACAACTTCTTTCACCTTGTTCATCCATCCGCGTTCAGAGGATTTTTCCACAGCACCCGAGGGCATGACGGACGAGGTGGCTCCAATGGCACTGGCTCCAGCTTTGCCACTACCAAGACCGAAGCTCGGGGTGGTATCTAGCTTCTTGTACAAGTCAATGGCATTCTTCAAAGGGACAACACCGTGTTGCTGCGATTTCTGTTCTTCGGTATCGGTAGCCAAGGTCGCTCCCAACATACAACCCTGAGCAATAATCTTTCCATTGTTTTCCACCGCCTTTTGAGCCGCTAGAGCCGTGGCGTAACGGATGGTGATCCAGTTACCAGGCGATTGTCGTGTCTCGATGATCTGACCATATTGACCAAAATATTCCAGAATCGATTGTTTCATGTTGGCTGGGAAACCAAAGATATTCACCGTCGTCGATGTCGACGCTGCCGGTTTCGATTCTTCCCGTTTTCCATTGTCTCCCAGGCTGTTTATCCACCAAAAAAAAAAAAAGAATAACGCGGTCACGTTCAGTTATCCAGCAATACTCAACCTTCATGTATCACCATGATCACTCACCTCTTTGCCTCTGAGGAGGCTGTGACTTCCTTGGGTTGTCTAAGGTCTGTAAAAAGAGAAAATAATTCAAATCAGGGGTTGGTTGTGGACATGAATGAACGTATCAATGTTGATGCTTTACCAGTGAGCACAGTGCTGATGTCTTTTGTTGGCAGTGAAATATCGGTATCCGATAAAGACTGTGTAGGTATCGTGTCGATGGATTTATCATTTGCTTTCGTTTTGCCTTTTGTATCGCGCCAGCCAAAGCCAGTATTGCCCGAGCCCTTTCCAAATAACCCAGGGGCATCGGTGGATGTCTTGAGCATCACTCTTCGTCTGTCATAAACGATCCGCATGATCAGCCTCATCGTTTGACTCGCCATCTCCTTTTATCTTTCAAGAAAAAACAAAAAACTCACTCTGCATCTGTATTCGACTTGTTGTGTCTCTTTTGTCCCGTTTGTTCCGAGGACTAGTTATTAAGAGAAAAAAGTTTAGAAACAACCATACCTTGGGACGACCAAACTAGGAACTTACCTCTGCATCGTTGGTGAGGAAGCCAGGTAAATAGACGGGTTTGCCACCATACATGGATGTAATCGAGGAGGAGCGGGTGAACTCTGAACGTCTTTCTGGCAAGGCCAAGTCTCGTGTGGCACTCCTCGCGTTGACAAAAAAGCTGGGCGGAGTGGAAGTGCGGGTCACTTTATCGGCTTGAATGATGAAGTGAGGGGCCGATGCGTCCGACTTTGAAAAGAACGAGTCCAAAGGTTGCAAACTTGGTCTCGAGTCGCCATTGGCCGCGGTGGTGGTAGTGTTGGTTGTATTGAATGGCTGTTGTGGTTGCTGCTGTTGTTGCTGGGCAGACGACGACGATGTTGGTTGTGCAAATGAGAATAAAGGTTTCGCTGCAGCTCCTGAAGTAGCGGTTGAGTTGTTGGTATTGAGATTGAACGATGTTCCAAATGAAGTAGAAGGTGTTGTCAAAGGACCCGTAGAAGTGGAAGTGGAGCCTGCAGGTAAAGCAAAAAGCGAGCTAGAATTCTGCTGCTGCTGTGGTTGCTGCTGCTGCTGCTGCTGTTGTTGTGGTTGTTGTTGCTGCTGTGACGACCCAAACGGTTGGGCATTGAAACCAAACGATCCAAAGGATTGAGAGGTCGATGGTTGACTGAACATGCGAAAAAAAAGGGGGGTTTGGAGAGCAGAAGGAAATAAAAAAAAAGGCCACGAAAAAATAATAAAAAAAAAAATTACTCCAATTCTCCAAAGTAACGGAAAAGAAAAAAAAACATGTCCATCGGAATTTCCCTCTTCAAAAAAAGCAAACAATTTTTTTTTTTCTACGTCCTAAGTTACGTCAGCGCGTCTGCTTTCATGTCTATACAAGAAAAAAAAAGCCCTTTACTTATCTGTTATGACTAAAAATGTACCTTGTATTGAAGATATACACTATATTGTTTTTGTTATAGGAACCACGCATGTGTGAGCCATCTATTTTATTGGGTTTCATGATATGAGGCTGGGAGGACACAAAAAGGTGGTGCTTTTTTGGGACCCCTCTTATCTTTTTGTCCAATCAAACCTGGTGAAAAAAATTTCCTTTAGTTAGGGGATGACGTCGACCTCCTTCGAAATTCGAATTCGAAATTCCGTCCGTCCACACACTTCCGTGTGTCAATATTCCACGCACGCTGCGCTGCTTACCTCTTTTTTTTTCCCTCTTTCAACTAGCGTCATGAGTGGAGAAAATTACATTGGTTCAAAGATTTCGGTAATGACATCTTACTAGAGTCTATGAAATAGGATACTGACGCTTATACTGTCTCCTTTTTTTACGACTTGTTTACGCACCAAAAGCTGATCAGTTTAAGCGATATTCGTTACGTGGGAAGACTTCACAGTATCAATGCACAGGACTCTACCGTAGGCCTCGAACAAGGTAGATACTCCATCTCTATGATTTATATACAAACTGTATCATTCCTACGTTGCGAAGGAGAAACAGTTTATTGATGGGTTTTCTGGTCATTAGTACGCTCGTACGGCACCGAAGGTCGTCGTGGAAAACCGGAGGAAGAGATTCCCCCATCGGATAATGTGTTTGACTTTGTGGTATTCCGTGGATCGGATATCAAGGATCTCCAAGTGTTTGAAGCACCTCCTAAACCGGCTCCCCCACCACCACCACAAACCATGCCCCAAGACCCGGCCATCATGGTAAGGCTCCCTAGCTAATTGGTATTTCCCGCTTGCCAATGGCGTTTGTCTCTGACAAACCACGGTTTCTTTTTTTTTTTTTAAAAAAAAAAATTTAGAGCATGAATGGCTATCCTGCCATGAATCCTTATATGGCGCCTCCTCCGTCGTACTTGCAACAACAGCGTCCTCCTCCCTCCGCGGCGTACTGGCCGCAGCCTATGCCCAACATGTACCCACCTAACATGATGCCGCCGCCTCCCATGGACAACCCGCTCGTCACTACGCCTCAAACTAAACCTGAAGCGCCCAAGATGCCCGAAGAGGAACCGTTAACAGGGGTAAAAACCGAACCGGAAGAACCGAAAACTCAATCCCTCATTAGCGAAACCCAGATTGAAGAACTGGCGAAAACCGTGAGTGAGATGCAACTGCCTGCCGAGCAGGAAGTCGAAGTGGCAGCGACGCAAACGTCACCTTTGGATGCTACCACCTCAGCCGGCGCAACCGGTCGTCGCCGCGGCGGCAGTGAAAGTATGCGTGGTGGTCGTGGTGGTGGTCGTTATCATGATCAGCGCACGGGAGGGACACGCATGGGAGGTCACAAAAGCGACTTTAATGTACCGAAATCCGACTTTGATTTCGAATCGGCCAATGCCAAGTTCAACAAGGATGAGATTGTCAAGGAAGTGGTTTCAAAGAAGGGCGATGAGGAAACGACGACGCATGCAGAGGCGGAAGAGGAGATTTATATCCCTCCAGCAGACGAACAGTTCTACGACAAGGTATGTAAACCCATACCATTCCCCTCTTTGTTTTGTGGGAACAAAAATGATGAACCCATGATGATTTAGACATCGAGCTTCTTTGACAACATCTCGTGCGAATCCAAGGAACGTAGCGAGAAGGGAATCAGGTAAAATCCATAGGCCAAAAGAAAGGGAACCGTAAAGAAATTTATTCATATTGATTCATTGAAAACTTTAGCGAACCTCGACGAAGACATTTCCATGAAGAACGCAAATTGAACATGGAGACATTTGGTCAGGCATCTGTGGATCAATCCAGACATCGCCACAACTACCGTGGTCGTGGTGGCTATCGTGGCCGTGGAGGTTACTATCGCGGCGGTAACCGTAACAACTACAACCAGAACAACAACTTCCGTCAGAACAGAGTAAGTCATCGAATTTGCGAACGAACTAATTTTTTTACGGGGAGATTAACAGGATTGAAATGAACAACTTATAGGCGCCACAATCGGTTCAAGAGCAATAATCAACAACCAGAAAGTATTCATCTACACCATTTTTTTACGTCAAATGGGAATGGCGGTTTTGCAGTCATGAAATTGAAAATGGAACAACAGCTCTCTTGATTGTATAATCATCGTGCAAGCCGTTTCTTTATGTTTTTTGCCTTGATTTCTTTTTGTTACTTGTCTGTTCTGTCTTTTCTTCTTATCGGGCTTAGGTGATGTTTTTACAGGGAATCTTTTTTTCTTTTTCCTTTTTTTCTATTCTTTTCAAACCCACCATATTCTTTAACACCATTCCAATTCTCATTAACAAAAATTGAACTTGTTTAATTCTTTATCTGCTGATTGACTTGCGATGTTTTGAACTTCCCTTTCTTTTTGGAATGAATCGCAATACGATCCTTATCAGTGGTATCATCTGATGAAAGAATTGTCGGTGGCCATAATAGTTATTTGGACTGGTGACACTCGTGCCACCAGCTACCAAGCGGCTGAAGCGACTTTCCAAAATAGCGTCTCCGGGAAAAAAAAAAAAAAAAAAAAGAATTGTTCAAGCCCAAAAGATGGCGACACCAGCCCGCTGGGGTTTTTTGGGGGGAGAGGACCTCAACGTTATTCAGGAATCTACTTTCCATTTCATGAAAAGCGCTCACTGGGATACCGTTCCTGTTTTCATCCTACTGCAGCAGTATGATATGATAAACCGATGACCATGGAGTATTGGGCTTCGATTGGAACGTGGTAAAAGATCGTCCTTTGGAAAATCCGAATGGGCAGGTCCATATTTGGAAAGCATCGAGATGCAACGGCTGCAGCTACAGGAATTCATGCGATTGGTGTGGTTGCAGATGGTCTTTTTTTTCTCGTAGTGTAACCGTTAATTCTCTCCTTAATTCATGCAAAAGCCGTCTTCATGTCGCAAAGCCTGTCTTTATGTCGCTTCGGCCATTGCTCGTTTCTGGATAGCCAATCGCCCCAACTTTGGCCAAGCTTGAGCATCGGTGCATCATAGACATAAACAAGGATACAAATAAGTCGAATGCATACGGAGCGACGTAATACGGTGTCAGAAGGAGGTTACTTATCGACCGAGTTACTTGTAACGACAACATGCATGAGCATGGGAAAAATACATAACAACCGTGCATACAAATGAGGGCCGTGCTTTTGTTGAATGATAACAATGTTGGCTTCCATTTTCGTCACTTGCAAAGATAAAAAGACCAAACAGTGTGACACCATCGACCACTTTAATACCTGTTGTACTCTACAATCATCAGCAGTAAAAGCGTTCTGAAGTGTTCCCCCGCATCCTTTTCATCCTCACTGAGCGTACTGAGCAGTCATCATTGTAGAAAATGGGCTACGCAACATGCACAGATAATGCGTTGTTGTAGAGGAATGATTTCCCTAATTTTCCAGTCACCAAAAAAGTCGGATAACATCTTGTTTCTACGAAATGTTTCTCGCACACACGCTCCGTAATAGAGATCGGTGATAGAACAAAAAGTTGCAAATATTTGCCAAATTCAAGTCGATGTCCGGATTACCTCGGTGTGGAACGTGGTTATTGTCTTTTGCTAAAATTATCCCATCTAAATGGCGTCCTGCTTTTGACATTTTAGGATCAAAACGTATAAATACGCGTTTATGATGGCTCCAGGACCTGCATTACTTTCTTTATTACCCCAGTTAACAATTTATCATGACTCTTCTGACACTTGAGAGCTGGCTTAACATTCCCCAGCGATCCCTTGAACTGGCCGCCAATGCGACCGCCGACAACAGTATCGTCAGCGGTGCCCTTTTTATAGGCAAGGATACCACCGACCCAGATGCCGCCGGTCCGGAAATATTTGAGCGCCCGGAGAACCATCCTGTTGCCGTGAGCTCGATCATTCAGTATTCCAGCAATGCATCAAATTTCCACCCGTCTAAACCGCCAAACGAGACCGCCGACAGTCTTGAAGATTTTCTTAATAGGATCTCTACCTTCCCTGGCTTTATGTTAACCAGCAGCCACAGAGATGGAATTACCCATCATGGCAATATCCAAACACTCTTGGAAGAGGTTAACAAGGTTTATCTACAAGGCCATCACAAAGAGCAAAAGGAAGCCACAAACAAGATCTTAAGCGGACTGTTGTCGCATCAACACTCTGACGAGCTCAGCTACACGATTTCCCATTTGGCCATCGAAAACCTCGGTACCGAGGCCGATCTGAAGCTCCATATGCTCACTATTAATCAAAGGGTTGGCCATGATAAGAATGGGATGATTACGTTGACGCAAGATAATGCCGATTTGAACATCACCGAATTGACGTTGAACCGCGGATTTTTGGAATCCAACGCCGATAGGCTTGCCAGAGCCATCTCGCGTGCCGAGATTAAAGATGTAGTTCAAGGATTGACTACCCCTCATTGTATTCTTCTATATTAAAGCGCAATATGTTGGCTTGTTCTTTAGTAGTCAATAAAACATGCACCTCAATTATGCTACTATCTTGAATAAAAAAAAAGATTCTTATGCGAATTTTAAGTGTTGGTCAATTTGCTTGTCCTAAAATCAAATTTAGCCAGCCAGAAACCGGTTCATCCTTGTATCCTGTAGACAACAAGTAGCGGCAAATTTAAACCGCACTTTTTAAGAATGCGATATTGCTATGCTGCTATCCACGGTGACATGCACTTGTGAGCTTGAGACTTTTTTGCTCGAATAAAGATCATGTCTTTGGAAGAGAAACAAACATAATAGCACTTTTTGGAAAGCCATGGTAGACTTGTCTCGCTCATAGAAAAGAAATTTCCTTGTACCGGCATTCAACGTTTTAATAATGTAATTGCTAGAACCGTTGGGAAGTCGAATCGATGGTTTTCTAGGTCGATCACCAATACAATGCTTACTTTACTCTCATGGCACAGATTCGGGATCGAAACGCCTCATTTTTTACTCGGACAGCATACGTAGGACTTGCCGGCAGTTTCACAAGGAGTGAGAGAGCAGTCGGTTGACGGCGCTGGATCCAATTCCGTATGAAGTCGTAAGATCAGTCTCTTTACCCAGAGAGTAGCTGGTTTGGAAGGAGGGCCACCCGCTGAAGCTAGAATTGCCGTCTGTCCAATGATTGACCAGCATTCTGTCTGGAAGAATGGGGAAATTGGGCATAAAGTCATGCGCTTTCTTACCACCGACAATGATTTCAAGGGAAGAGCCTGATGCTGAAGCTGTGGCGACTTTCCGTCCTGTCAGACAACATTGGATTGTTTTTATCGACGGCGCCATTATCGAAAATGTGGCGTTATCTTATGCTCGGCGCATTGTTCCACTTATTTCCGTTTGCATCAGTCATTCTCAAATCTCATCCCCATGGCAATATCTCGACAGGCTGCGACAGCTGTGCCAGCAACCACCGACGATGGAGTGTGCTGCGCACTTATCCTTGTAAAAAATCAGACCAGCACAAATTTCATTGCTCAACGTGCACAGATAATGCATTGTTGTAGACGAATGATTCCCCTGATTTCATCTTTTTTCTATGAGGCTTTTACCGCACATGCTCCCTAGCAAAGATTGGCGAAAAAATAAAGTGGCAAACGTTTGCCAAATTCAAGTCGATGTCCGGCTCACCTCGGTGTGGGACGTGGTTTATGGTTTTTGCTAACATTATCCCATCTGGATAGCGGCCTGCTTTTGACTTTTAGGATAAAAACGTATAAATATGCGTCCATGAATTGTTCAGGACTTGCATTGCTTTCTTTATCTACCAATCAAAATCATGACTCTTTCGACGCTTAAAAACTGGCTTGACACTACCCAGGGACCCAGTGAAGTGGCCACCAGTGAGGCCGCCGAATATGCCGTCAGCGGCGCCCTTTTCATAGGCGAGGATCCCTCCGATCCGGATGCCAATGGGTCGGAGATTTTTGAGTATCCGGAGAACCATCCCGTTGCTGTGAGCTCGATCATCCAGCATGCCAGCAACAGAGCAAAATTCGATCCCTCATCGCAGTCGTTAAAGGAGGCCGCCACGGGTCTTGAGGAATTTATTACGACGATCACCACCTTCCCTGCCTTTACGGTTGCTAGCGATTACAAAGATTTGATTCGCCACAATGGCGATATCCAAGCATTCTTAGAAGAGGTCAACAGGTATTACTTACGCAGTCATGAAAAAGAGCGAAAGGAAGCGACAAACAAGATCATGAGTGGACTCTTGTCGCATGAACACTCTGGCGCGCACAGTTACACTATTTCCCATCTGACCATCGAAAATCTCGGCACCGAAGACGATCTGTTCCTCCGTGTGCTCTCTATCAATCAAAACGTTGACCACGATGATAATGGTATGATCATGTTGACGCAGGATAACGCCGAATTGACCATCACCAAATTCAAAGTGGACCGCAAGTTTCTGGAGTCCAACGCAGATAATCTTGCCACTTTTATCTCGCGTGCCGATATTGAAGATGTTGTGAAGAAATTGACCACCCCTCATTGCATTCTGCTCTCTTAAAACGCAAAATAATGGCTTGTTTTCTTGTAGTCAGAAAACATGCACCTCGATTAAGCTGTATGTTGAATAAAAAAAAAACAGTTCCTTCAGTGATTTAAGTGTAACCATTACAGTTTGCCAATTTGCTCGTCCCAAACTTGATTTTAACCAGCACAAGTATCCTCTAGACAGCAAGTAGTAGCAAATTTAGAACGCGATTTGTAAGATTACTATACTGTTATACTGTTATACTGTTATCCATGGTGACACACATTTATGAGCTTGAGATTTTTTTTAGCTCAAGGAAGAGCATGATTCTGGAAGAGAAACAATCCCTACAAAAGAAAAAAAAACCAGAAGCAAGCAAAGGGACACTTTCGAAGGCCCTTTTGTTTCCGATATACTCATTTCGCTTGTAAAAGAGAATTCTGTACTAACATTCAACACTCGGATATCTGCTTGCTATGCGCTTTGAACCGTTGGTAAGCCGGATCGAACGGTGATTAGTTAATCGCTCGACCAAGTTAGGAGACAAAAAGGGCCCTTAGAAATATCAGCTTTTGTAGATTCAAATCAATGTTGATATTGGCTTCTTTTTGGTGGTATTAAAGAAGGGTTTCTTTTCATTGCTGCAATCCAAAAGATTTATTCAAATACGCTGAGCTGGCACCCACCCATTGTCCCAAAATGGATAAAATGGTGCATTGCCGGTTCTTTGTTGCCATGCATATAACCGATCCACTCTGCAAAAGCTTAATATTCAGTGTACACAACTCTCCTACTTAAACTCAGCCGTCGATTAACATGCTGTTTGCTGATAATGTTAGAAAGTAGGTCTTCCTTTTGACCTCAAACATTATCCAGGCATTCCCTTTGCATCTCATAGGAAGCGCTAACTGAGACCTATACCTGTTATCATCCTACTGCAGCAGTTCATATCTGTATTATCAGATGAATAGATTGATCATGGATCATTGGGCTTCGACTGGAGCGTGTAGAAAACATCGTCCTTTGAAAAGTCCCAGTGGGCTAGTCCATATTTGGCGAAAGCATCGAGATGCAAGGACTTTGGTAACGGCTGCAGTGGAGGGCTTCATGCGATTGGTGTGGTTGGAGATGGTTCTTTTTTTCTCATTATGTCTCAAAGCCTGTCTTCATGTGGGAAATTGCTTCAACCATTGCTGGTTTTTGGATAGCCAATTTCCGCAATTCGGCCAACCTTAAACATTAAACATGAACATAAACACAAACATAAACAGACACCTAAATGAGCCGAATGCATGCGCGTAATACGACGTCGAATGAAATTACTTGTCGACCGAGCATTCGTCAAGGCAACATGCATGAAAAACGGGAAAACACATAACAACCGTGCTTACGTATGAATGAGGGCCCTGCTTTGTGAATGATAAAAAATGTTTGCTTCCATTTTCGTCACTTGCAAAGATAAAAAGAACAAACCATTGTGTCACCATTGGCTAATTTAACATCTGTTACACTCTACAGAATTATCAGTAAGCGTTCTGAAGCGTCACCCCTCCCTCATCATTGACCGTGCTGTACAGCAGCATAAATCCCATTACGCAACATGCATTGTTCTAAAATATTGACTCACTCATTTCCTATGTCACCAAAAGCGGATAACCCCTTTTTTTTTACGAAACTTTACTGCATACGCTCCGTAACAAAGATGGCGAAAAAACAAAGTTGCAGAACTTTGCCAAATGCAGGTCGATGTCCGGCTCACCTCGATGTGAAGGATTATCCCGTCTGAATGGCGCCTGCTTTGGACTATTCCGATAAAAGCGTGTAAATACGCTCCTGGGCCTGCATTGCTTTCTTTATTTACCATTTAACATTTCTAATGACTCTTTTAACGCTTGAAAACCGGACTGACACTACCCAGCACTCATTGAAGTGGCCGCCAGTGCGACCTCCCACAAGTCATCAGCGGTGCCCTTTTCATAGGTGGGGATACCACCGATCCGGATGCCAACGGTGCGAATATATTTGAAGATCCAAATAACCGTCCCGTCGCCGTGAGCTCGATCATTCAGCATTCCAGCGACGTAGCAAAATTTCACCCTTCATCCCAATTGCCAAACGAGGCCGCCCCCAATCTTGAAGAGTTTATAGAGAAGGTCTCCATCCTCCGTGGTTTTGCGGTTACCAACTATCACAGTGATAGAATTCGTCATAATGGCGATATCCAAACACTCTTGAAAGATGTCAACAAAGTCTATCTACGCGGCCATGACAAAGAGCAAAAAAAAACCACAAGCAAGATCTTAGGTGGGCTCTTGTCGCATGAGCGCTCTGGCGAGCGCAGTTACATTGTTTCCCATCTAGCCATCGATAACCTGGGCACCAATGCTCATCTGAAGCTTCATCTGCTGGCTATCAAACAAAACGTTGACAACGACAATAAGCGCTTAGTCAAGTTGACGCAGGATCCCGCCCTGGTGACCGTCACTGAATCCACGGTGAACCGCGGATTTCTGGGATTCAACGCAGAGCAGCTTGGCAAAAAGATCTCGCGTGCCGAGATTAAAGATGTTTTGGAAGATTTGACTACCCCACATTGCATTCTGCTCTCTTAAAGCGCAAAATGGCGGCTTGTTCTCTGGCATTGAAAAAAACATATACAGCGAATATTCTGCATGTCGAATAAAAATAAAGTAGTTCCTTTATTAATCTAAGTATTGTGTCGATGTGTTCTTCCTAAAGTTGACTCAGTCAGTCAAACCGGTCATCCTTGTATCATGCAAACATCAAATAATCGGCAAATTTAGCGTGCTTTTTAAAGATGCGGTATTGCTATGCTGTTAATCATGGTGAGAAACAGCTTGAGATTTTTTGCTCAAAGAAGGAGAATGCCTTGGAAGAGACACAAGCATAATGACACTTTCCAAAGCCCTTTTGCTTCCGACACATTCCTGTCACTTGCAAAAAGGCAATTCTTGTATCACTATTCAGCGTTCTGGTATTGACTGTGTGTGATATTAAACCGTTGCTAAGCCGAATCGACGATTCTCTCATCGATCACTAATAGAATACTTGTATCATGGCATCGATTCGGAAAATCAAAACGCCTATTTTTTTACACGGACAGCATACGTACCACCTAACAGTAGTATCACAAGAAGTGGAACGTCACGGCGTTGGATACAATTCCGTATGAAGTCGTAAGGTCAGCCTTGTTATCCAGAGAGTAGCTGGTTTTAAAGGAGATCCACCCCTGAAGCTAGGATTGCTGTCTCTCCAATCTTTTGACCATCATTCTGTCTGGAGGAGTGGGAACGTTGATCGTAAAGTTATGCGCTTTCTTACCACCGAAGAAGATTTCAGGGGAATAACATGATGCTGAAGATGCTTGACGTGACTCTTTGTCCTGTCAGACAACAATTTGAATTTCTTGAATCGACAGCATCATTATCGAAGATGTGGCATTGCCCTTTCTCAGCGCATTGCTCCAATTACTTTCGTTTGGATTAATTATCCTCGATTCCATCCCCATGACTATATCTCGAAAGGCTGCGACAGCTGTTCCAGCGGTCTATTAACATGCTGTTTTGTTGATAACATCAGAGATAGGTTTTTTTTTTACCTCATCATTATCCAGGAATCCCTTTTACATCTCATGAGAAGCGCTCACTGGGGCTTATTCTGATTCTCATTCTACTGCTTAATATAGTACATATAATCACCTCTCGATTTAAGAAACACCCCGGGAACCATGATTCGTAAAATCGAATTATTCTTAAATCAAGTATTTCTAAATCTAGTGGCGACTGTATAGATATTATCTAGTAATAGACTGATCATAGATTATTGGGCTTCCACTGGATGGTGGTAAAATGATCACCCTTTCGAAAATCCGTGTGGGCTACTCCATATTTGGAAAGCATCGAGACGCAACGGCTGCACCGGCAGGAATTCATGCGGTTGGGATGGTTGCAGGTGGTTCTCTTTTTTTTTCTCGTAGTGTAACCGTTGATTTTCTCCTTAATCCATGCAAAAGCCGTCTTCATGCCGCAAAGCATATCGTTATTTAGAAATCGCTTCGGCCATTGCTCGTTTTTGGATAGCCCATCGCCCCAATTTCGGTCAAGCTTTAACATTAATGCATCATAAACATAAATAAGCATGCAAATGAGTTGAATGCACACCAAAAGACATAATACGGTGTCAAATGAGGTTTCTTATCGACTGAATATTCGTTCACGGCAACATGCATGAAGATGGGAGAAACACATAACAACCATGCGTACAAATAAGGACCGTGCTTTCCTGAAGGACAAAAAATGTTTGGTTCTGTTCTCGTCATTTGCAAGGATAAAGAGAACAAACATTGTCGCAGCACCGACTACTGTTGTGCTCTGCCATAATGTAAAGCGTTCTGAAACCGCTACCCCTTCCTTTCCCCATCTTTTTCATCATCATTGAGTGTGCTGTGCAGTCTTCTTTGTAGAAAACAGTTTCTAGCACAAACCCCCATTACGCAATCTGCACAGGTGATGTGTTGTAGATGAATGATTCCTCCTAATTTCCTACGTCACCAAAAAGTCGGATAACGTCTTTTTTCTACAAAACTGTACCGCACACAGTCCGTAACTAAGATGAGCGACAAAAAGTTGCAAATTTTTTCCAAATTCAAGTCAATGCTCGGCTCACCTCGGTGGAACGTGATTCATGCTTGTTGCTAAAAATTATCCCATCTAATGGCATCCTGCTTTTGACTTTTAGGATAAAAGCTTATAAATACGCGACCATGATTGCTCCAGAACCTGCCTTGCTTTCTTTATTACACTAAGTAACAATCTATCATGACTCTTTTGACCCTTGAAAGCTGGTTGGAGATTGCCCAGCGACCAAATGAACTGGCCGCCAATGAGACCGGCGACAAGGTCGTCAGCGGTGCCCTTTTTATAGGCGAGGATACCACCGATCCGGATGCGCACGGTGCAAAATTATTTGAACGTCCAAAGAACCATCCAGTCGCCGTGAGTTCGATCATCCAGTATTCTAGCAACGCAACAGAATTCCACCCTTCGTCCCAATCGCTAAAGGAGGCTGCCAACAGCTACGATGACTTTATCAAGAAGGTCTCCAGCTTCCCTGGCTTTAGGTTTACCAGCAGTCATCACGATGAAATTCGCCATAATGGCAATATCCAAACACTCTTGAAAGAGGTCAACAAAGTCTATCTACGCGGCCATGACAAAGAGCAAAAGGATGCCACAAACAAGATCTTAAGTGGACTCTTGTCACATGAACACTCTGGCGAGCGCAGTTACACGATTTCCCATTTGACCATCGAAAACCTCGGCACCAATGCCGATTTGAAAATCTATATCCTGGCTATCAATCAAGACGTTGACCATGATGATAATGGTATGATTACGTTGACGGAGGATCGGGCCGGTTTGACCGTCAGCGAATTCACGGTGAACCGCGGATTCCTGGTTTCTAACGCAGATAAGCTTGGCGAAAAGATCTCGCGAGCCGAGATTAAGGATGTTGTGAAAGACTTGACCACTCCTCATTGCGTTGTGCTCTCTTAAAGCACAAAATGACGGCCTGTTCTCTAGTAGTCAAATAGTATTTGCACTTCGATTATGCTATATTTTGAATAAAGAAAAAGTTCCTTTATAACCATACAGTGCTCAATGGGCTCGTGCTGAAGTTGGGTTTAGCCAGCCAATCCGGTCATCCTTGTATCATGTAAAATAACAAAGGTCGGCATTTTTAACGCAATTTTTAGAGGTCGTATTGCTATACGGTTATCCAGGTGATAAACATCTTTGAACTTGAGACTTTCTTGCTCAAACAAGCAGCATGTCTTTGGAAGAAAAGCAGGCATAGTGATACTTTTCAAATCCATATTGCTCTCGATCAACTTTTCCCGCTTTCAAAAAGGGAGTCCTTGTACCGTCGCTCAATGTTCTCAAATCTCGTGTGCGATTTGAACCGTTGCCAAGCCGAATCGATAATTTTCTCGATCGATTACTGATAGAAGGCTTGTCTCACGGCACGTATTCGTGATCAAAAACCCCAACCTTTTTAGGCGGTATATAATTAACCAGTCATCATCCTTACTGATGGCGTAACAACTGTACAAATCCATCAATATTCTATCATGACCTGTTTCTAGTTCAGATCATTATTGCAAAAAATGAGTAGTATACGCTGTGCGCATGAAAAGATGATCTCGGTCAAACCCCCTTAAGTCTTGCATTGATCCTCTATGTCCTATTATTGCCACATTTTACCATTACGACCATTTCCTATTTTTGAATCAGCTTATCAACGCACTATCACCCAGTGGAGATGCCGTTTCTGCAGACAAACTACAGTCACCGCTCGGTTTTTCGGATACCTGATAATGTAGGCTATTAAGTATTCTTCGCAGTTAATCACCCTGGAGCAGAAGTCAGCAAATCATTTCAAAGAGGCGGGGCGTTGAATGACATGTGCTTAAAAAGAAAAAGGCCCCTTTATCCGCTGGAGAAAATTTTATTAGTCAAAACCAGCTAATCCGCCGCCAACTGCATGACAGAGGATTAAATTTTCCGTTTAGTCAGTTGCAAGTTTTAAGCTCATTTCTTTTCAAGTAAACCACGCCGCAGCCGCTTTTGCCAGCGTGTTGGTTCTGTTAAATTCCGGTGCTCATCATGCGAGTCCCGTCATTCACGCTTTGTACAGCAGCATGACGTGTCGCATTTGGCCTCCAGGCTGAGAAGCACCGCCACCATGTTGGAAAGCTTAGCGGGCTGTCCCTTCCTCAACAAAAACTCCACCCCTCTCTACCTTTTTTTTCACGGTTTAGCAAAGCACACCTATGAAAAATAAACACCTATAAAAAGTACTTTCTGATGCCGCCAACATACTTCCTCATTGCTCATCGCGTTTGCGGGTCTACGATTCGGTTGTTTTTGACGCCAAGAGCAGCCTCTCTCAGTTGGAACGAACAAACAATAACCCACTTGACTTAACTGAGCCAAGTGGATGGGTTGGCGTGGTTGATAGTGCGCTGCGCCAGGCAGAGCATATGAATAAGACGGCTTTTGGGCGAGAATTAATTGGACGTCTTTATTGAATAGAGGAATCATGTACAAATAAAATAATGATGTCTATTCTATTGTATCTTTTCTAAGCAAAGTCTTCATTTATTTTTCTTTTTATATGAAGTGGTGTAGTTCGTCCACAGGGACATTAAGCCCACTTTTTTTTTATTGTTCAACCGATAAAAAGGTTGACAAAAAGAGAATAATAAAGGCAAAAGCCTTTTCTTTTTTTTTCATTTACCTTTGTTGCGATTAAAAAGCAAACCCACCGACATACCTTCCACAATGACCGCGCTGATGACTAGTCAGGCGCCCAAAGGGAAGAGCCGACGGGAACGAAAACAATCTTCTTCAGAGGATGGCCAATCCTATCATTAGAGGATGGTTTTCGGATTTTTCGCCATACCCCGAATGCTTTACCAAAAACCGGAGCGTTCATCATTACCAGTAACCACCAGCCTAGCAGCCCCTGATTCCGAACTGGCGCACAAAAGAAAAAAAAATGAGGAAGGAACGCCCTCTTTTTATATCTTTTTCAAAGATCGTTCGAGGACCTTCGATTGTGACCCTCTTTTTGACTGCAAATGCACCTCATTGGCTCGATTCTCGCAACAAAACTGGCGAAATTCCTAGCCTCACACTTCTTTCGCGTAAGCCATGCAAAGAGGGGACTGCACCATGTCATTCATGCTGATATCAGCAACCAATGTACACTATAGTCACTTTACGACGTGCAATATGGTCTATGGTTGATTGCTGATACGACATGCTTCAGGCTTTACACATTCTCTTCTCTTGTTTTATGTTAGGAAGTTACCCTACCTTTGCCCTTCCTCTTAGTATCAGCTTTATTTTTGAAACCGTGTATTCAATATTGCTGCGACAATAAATGATTATGTACCACTCCAAAAACCACGTGTCAGTCTCAGGGCGCCATGTTGCAATGGGGGCAGAACACAAAGAGTGCAATTACAATGACCATGGCCGATGCGAACGCAAGTAAGTATGTCGCAAAACATAAAAGAAATTCTTGTCTAGTTTAAAGATGCTCTTATACAGTAGATAAGTAAACGATCCGAAACACACATCAGCGCATTAAGAGCACCTGGTAACTTGGTTTCTCCGTTTGCAATGTGTAAAATTTTCGCGTAAGCTGCTTGAACTGCAGGACTGGTGTTATCTCCTCTTAAAAATTGAGTTATCCTTCTCCGCTTCCCTGCACCATAACAGGTTGGGCCGTTGGTGATCAATTAAAAGGCTGCCAATTGCACACTGGATTTAAAATGTATCGTAGCAAACAAAAATTATCGTTCACTTTTGGAAACTGTGAAAAGAAGGTCAGAGCAACGTCGATTCAGAAAAGAAAAAGACAATGAGGCAGCATCCCAGCAAGCGAATATCCCCCCTTCTCCCAATTGTCTTTGTCTTTGGCAGTTAGTTAATATTTTTAACGTTGAGCTTATGTACATGTCCATATCAGATAAAAACTGCTATGATATATATGACGCAGTTATATTCATTCGAAGCATTAAATCCCCCAACGGTAATATAGATCATCTATCTCTTCTTTGCCATATTATCATATCAGGTAGAAAGGGCTTTCAAGCACCCATAATTATATATGCCGAAACCTGCTTCCCCCATTGGCAATTATCTTGCTCCTTTCCGACAGTGTAAGCAAAAAATACATTGCTTGAAGGACACCAATAATCGGACACATGTGACACCAAAAAATGTGTCATCGTAAAAAGTTCGAGAACCGAGAAGATGCACGCATACGAAATGGTAACAAGAGAAAAAGCAGTACGAGGCAAGACAGGAACCAGTCAAATGAAAGGGTATGGGATGTTCGACTGAGATTTATTTTAAGCAAAGTACCCGGTTTGCCAAATTGAAACGGGGCAGACACCATCCGCGGTTCCCACAGGATTGATCCACTTTATTGAATGACAACCCGAGCTAGAAAGCTTTTCAAGACAGAATAACGTCATTCTCCCTGTAGCACAATATTATCTATGTTCATGCTTATGCGATTCATATCTGGTCACGAGCATTGAAAGACATACCTATTTTCTAAACCAGATGTAAAGAAGCTTACGCTGCAAATCGATATCGATCCGGATTCTCTCGCATCAAATGTGTTTCATCTCCCAAATCGCGATTTGGAACAGCCATGGCAGCTCTTATAAATCCAATCAGAACAAAGACAAGAAACTAACAAGACAAGACACCAATCTATGGTCAAAAAAGTATATAAATGAAGCTGCTTGTAAAAATTGTTTGAATTTCCATTTTTTCTAATTCTCTTTCATTTACATTTACTTTTCTGAATTTACAGCTTTGAAATTACATTTATTTGATTTTCGTCAATGGCTAGTAACAATGATTGTATTACCGGAGCAGCAGCTCATGACATTTTTTGGCTCAAGCTTTGTCTCGGTGTGGATAACCTTCCAGTAAGATCCTATATTCCATTCATCATGGTTTTTTTTTTTTCTTTTTTTTCTTTTGGCATAAAACTTTAACCTGAGCATAATAATAATATCATATTCCCAAATTGGTCGACACTCTTTTACCTGGTGTTATGAAGAACCCAGTCACGGGAATGACCTCTCGACTGGGCTAGCTGTTGATGATTGCAGCAATAGGAATCTCTTCCGCGAAGAATTCATATTCATGAAAAATAGCAAAAAATAAAGAAGAGCTCCTTTCGCCTCCAGAATCCAGTACTGAAACTTGTCCGACTCATACGCAACAGATAGTTTATCGTATTGAAAAATCCAGTTATATTACACAGTCAGGAAATCCGTTGAACCCCTGTTATTCATTTTTTTTTTTCATCCGATCGGACAACCTTTTATTTCCGCAGCTAACACATCCCCAACAATCCCGGTCAAAACACTGGCAAAGAGGACTGTGGTATTCTCCTTCTGTTGTTTCTTGTTGGGTTACCCTTGCGCAGATGGAACTGTCTCATGGAAATGGGCTGGTACTCCAGCTGACTGTCAACCACGCTATGAAGGAATAAGGCTTTTTGCTAGAGACCGATTCATTATCGAGTGGTTCCAGAGAGAGGCCGAGGCGTACGGCTGTTGGCCAACTATAGTTTGAAGAGAAACGCTTGGAGGAACGTTTGGGTTTTGTACTTTTCTGTACACTATATCAACAAGCCATCCCTCCTTGGTGGACTCCGAGCTCTGCAAGAGAACAATGTGCCTCTTGATGAAAACTTCTGCTTTTACTCAATTTCCTGGAAAACGATGGTTTGTCAGAGACAGGGTGTTGCCTCCTAAGCGGGTGGACTTTCACACATACTGGGTGCTTCTTATGATGTTGATGATGTGGACAGAACCGCATGTGTTATTGGATAGTAGTACTGGTGTAATTTGATAAAATCTGTTACCAACTAATATTGGACTCATGTTAGTGGCTTTTTCGATTTAAATCTGTTTGATCTCAATGACATTTTGTATCCATAGCTTTGAAATACCAAAAACAAAAGGAGTTGGGGGAACTGTTCGCTTGCTGCCTCATTCGATTCAGTATGATAGAAGAAATTGTGATTTCCTTTGATAAACTTTGAAAAGCCTAAAATTCAAACATCTCGCGTTGCGGACCCAAGTGATTTCAGGATATCAAATCTGATAATTTATTATTATATCCACAAAGAGTGTCTAATGTTTTTGCATCGGTATACGCAAACACATACAGTAGAGAGAAAGACAATATTTATAGTGCTACCCTAAATCTGCTTCAATCCTATTCGATTCGAACAACATGCCCCCACATGAGTTGTCATCAAAAATAATAACTGAAATATAAGGAAAAGAAAAAACGAGAAAACGGAAATGTGTTTGTACATGAAGAGAGAGAGAGAGAAAAGAGAAAATAAGGAATCTAGGCTTGGACGGCCACCGGATTCATGATACGTTGTTTGATACCGCCAGCCACCGGCAAGTAAGTATTGCCAACCAAGAATTGATCGACTTCACGAGCGCATTGACGACCTTCGTTAATACCCCAAACGATCAATGATTGTCCACGACGACAATCACCAGCAGCAAACACACCGGAAGCCGAGGTGGCATATTTACCCTTGGGCGTTTCAATGTTGGTACGACCATCTTGCTTGAGTGACAATTGCTTCACCACTGCCTCTTCGGGACCCAAGAAACCCATGGACAGCAGCACAAGATCGGCTTCAAAGAATTGTTCGGAACCCTCGACTTCCTTCATCGCCCAGCGACCAGCCTCATCCTTCGTCCATTCCACACGCACGGTTTGGATTCCCTTGACGTTACCATCGGCATCCGACACGAATTCCTTGGAAAGGACACAATATTCGCGAGGATCTTTACCAAAGTGAGCTTGAACTTCCGAATGACCGTAATCGACCTTGAACACACGAGGGAATTGGGGCCACGGGTTATCCTTGGCACGTTGGTTTGGTGGTTGAGGAAGTAATTCAAAGTTCACCACGGACTTGCAGCCATGACGTACCGATGTACCGATACAGTCATTACCAGTGTCACCACCACCAATCACAATTACATGCTTGTCCTTGGCCGACAGATAGTGACCATCCTTGAGTTGAGAATCCAACAGGCTCTTGGTATTGGCTTGCAGGAATTCCATAGCAAAGTGGATACCATTCGATTCGCGACCGGGAATCTTGAGATCGCGGGGCCATGTAGCACCAGTAGCGACAATCACTGCATCGTTCTGATCCCGCAAAGCATTGGCGTCAATATCCACACCAATGTGGGCATTGGGAACAAAGGTAATGCCTTCAGCGGCCATTAAGTCGAGACGACGTTGCACCACCTTCTTGTCGAGCTTCATGTTGGGAATACCATACATTAAGAGTCCACCCATACGATCATTGCGATCATACACAGTAACAAGATGACCGGCCTTGTTCAATTGATCGGCAGCTGCCAAACCCGCCGGGCCAGAACCAATAACAGCCACCTTTTTTCCGGTACGATGGACAGGCGGTTTGGGAACAATCCAGCCTTCATCAAAACCACGATCAATAATTGCACACTCGATGCTCTTGATAGCTACAGGAGGCTAACGAACACACGAAAACAAAAAGAGGGTGAATCGATCGATTCCACAAAACGGTCAAAATCTTCAAATCAATATTCCGGGCTTACCTCGGAGATTCCGACGACGCAAGCCCCTTCACAAGGAGCCGGACTATCGAAACACAAAATAGAGAAGTATTAGTAAATATGTTCGAAAGAATCATGTAAAAAGGATCAGAATTGATCGAGATTTGGATGAAAAATGTCAAACGACATTGACCTCTGGATACAATTCAATCCCAGATCCAATCTGCCAATGGAATCACACTTCGACAGATTCTAAAAAAAAATTTCGGTGCTTACCACACACGACCAGTAAATTCAGGGAAATTGTTGGTCATTAAAAGACGATCAAGAGCCTCTTTCCAGTTATCCTTGAAAATGAGTTCATTCCACTTGGGGATAATGTTACCAATGGGACAGCCGGTATCGGATTGACAGAAGGGTACACCACAGTCCATACAACGGGCAGCTTGTTCATGCAGTTGGGATCGTGTCAAACGATGATTGATTTCATCCCAATCGCGGGTACGTTTTTTGGCGTTACGGTAACCGTCGGTGCGTCTCTTGTACTTGATGAAACCACGCAACTTGTCAAGCTTAGCACGGCGGGCCAAGATGGTTTCTTCATCCATGATACTGTCTTCAAGATCTTCCACCTGAGGTTCAACCGACTTGTGGGATGATTCATTTTGGCACTCGGGCTTCTCGGTCAAAGGTGCGGCGGCAATGTTGGAAGCATGGCGTTGTCTCATTAACAATTCGCGGTACTCGGTAGGCATCACCATGACAAACTTGGGAAGGTATTCGTTAAAGTTCTTGAGCACGCGATCGGCGATTTCCGAGCCAGTGTAATGGCGATGGTCTTCAATCAATTCACGTAATTCTGCAATACGTTCATCATCGTTGACGGTCTCTAATTCCACCATTTCCGTGTTCACGACTTGTTTGAAATCGCCATTCACATCGAGCACATAGGCGATACCACCCGACATACCGGCGGCAAAGTTGCGTCCCGTGGAACCAAGAATAACAGCACGACCGCCCGTCATGTATTCACAGCCGTGATCGCCCACACCTTCGCAAACAGCATAGGCACCCGAGTTACGAACACAGAAACGTTCGGCGGCAATACCACGGAAATAAGCGTGGCCGCTCGTCGCACCATAGAGACACACATTACCCACAATGACGTTGTTCTCGGACTTGAAGATAGAGTTCTTGGGTGGATAAATCGCAATCTTACCACCGGAAAGACCTTTGCCGACGTAGTCATTCGAGTCGCCTTCCAATTCGAAAAAGATACCGGGCGCCAAGAACGCACCAAACGATTGACCGGCGGAGCCCGTCATCTTGACATGAATGGTATCGGCTGGCAAGCCTTGTTCACCATGACGTTTGGAAACATGATACGAAAGAGTGGTACCCAAAGCACGATCGGTGTTCACGACCTGAGCATCGATCGTGACCTTTTCCTTATTGGTCAAAGCGGGTTCGGCTTCATCGATGAGGTAATTATCAAGACGGACATGCAAGTTGTGCTTCTGCTTGCTGACGCAGTGACCGGCCACACCAGGACGCAACGAACTGGCGGGAGTCAAGATGGGCGAGAGATCCAAGTTGGCCGTCTTGTAAGTACGCAAAGCATCGTTGACCTTGAGATATTCAGCATGACCGACCATGTCGTTGATAGTTCGGAAGCCCAGTTTGGCCATGTAACCACGAAGTTCCTCGGCCAAGTAGTAGAAAAAGTTGACCACGTGTTCCGGCGACCCTTCAAATTTCTTGCGCAATTCAGGATCTTGCGTAGCAATACCCACAGGACAAGTGTTCTAAAATAAAATGAAAAAGGAGGTTAGGAACCAAAGAAAAACATAATAATGGTACTTGCTTGAAGTCTCGACTTACAAGATGGCATTTACGCATCATGGTACAACCGAGAGCGATCAAGGGGGTGGTAGCGAAACCCCATTCTTCGGCACCGAGCAAACAGGCAATGGCAATATCACGACCCGTCTTGATTTGACCGTCGGTCTGGACAATCACACGACCACGCAAATCGTTGAGAACCAAAGTTTGATGGGTTTCAGCAAGACCCAACTCCCAGGGCAAACCAGCGTATTTGATACCAGTCCATCGCGACGCGCCTGTGCCACCATCGTGACCGGAGATTAAAATGTGATCCGCCTTGGCTTTCGCCACACCGGAAGCTACGATACCGACTCCGACTTCGGACACCAACTTCACCGACACTCTTGAACGTGGATTGGCGCACTTGAGATCGTAAATGAGCTGCTTCAAATCCTCTATAGAGTATATGTCATGATGCGGAGGCGGACTGCGACGCGTAAAGGAGACCCGTAAAGAAGACGTATAAAGAAGATGTATAAAGGCATTAGCTGCCGTAGGCCGCGAGCAAACAAAAAAAAGAGGAAAAAAAAAACCTACCTGATCAAACCAATGCCGGGGGTCGTCTTTCTTGTACTGGCAATCTCTTCCGACACTTTACCACCCGCCAGTTCACCACCTTCACCCGGTTTGGCGCCTTGAGCCATTTTGATCTGCAGTTCATCGGAATCCGACAGGTAGTAGCTGGTCACACCAAATCGACCGGAAGCCACTTGCTTGATGGCCGAACGCAAATTGTCACCATTTTCACGGATAATCGATCGTTCCGGTTTCTCACCGCCTTCACCGGTATTGGATTTACCACCAAGCGAGTTCATGGCAATGGCCAGCGAACTGTGAGCTTCCATGGAAATGGAACCATAAGACATGGCGCCGGTGACAAAACGCTTGACAATCTTGTCCCAAGATTCGACCTGTTCCACGGGGATCGGTTTGGCATTTTCGTAATCGAATTCGAGCATACCACGGAGTGTACATTTTTTAATTGCTTCATAGGCATTGCGAGCGTAAGCATCGTAGGAGGATTGGTTCTTTTGACGCACGGCATCTTGGAGGTTAGCAATACCATTGGGTTCAGCAATATGAGGTTCACCACCATCGCGCCAGTGATATTCACCAGATTCAGGAAGAGCAACAGGTTGAACAATGTTGCGCGAAGGATAGCCGTTTTCATGCATGTGCAAAGCGTCCAAGGCAAAAATATCAAAGGTCACACCCTTGATACGAGAGGCGGTACCAGCAAAGCATCGAGAAATGACGGTATCATCCACACCGAGAGCTTCAAAGATCTGGGCTCCCTTGTAAGACGCCAACGTTGAGATACCCATCTTGGACATGACCTTGAGAATACCATTGTCGACCGCCTTTTTGTAGTTATAGATCAGCTTTTCGGGAGTCAAACCTTCGTGGACGGCATGTTCGCGGTGAAGCTTGACCATAGCTTCCATAGTCAGATAGGGACAGATGGCATCGGCACCATAGCCGAGCAAGACACAGAAATGATGGACTTCTCTAGCTTCCGCCGTTTCGACCATCAAGGCGATACGGGAACGTTGCTTATTACGAACCAAATGATGATGGACGCCACCGGTAGCGATCAACGAAGAGATAGCCACACGATCGGCACACACGGCACGATCGGAAAGGATGACGATCTTGTACTTTTGTTCAATGGCTTGGCTGACCTCGTTGCAGATTCGCTCCAATGCATTCATGTAACCTTGGATACCATCGGCCTTCGGGAACGTGATGTCGACGGTTGCCACCTTCCAGTCGGGGTAGAATTCGGACATGTTCTTGACAACGGCTAATTCTTCCATGGACAGGATGGGCGAAGGAAGTGTGAGCTTGTGACACTGGTTTTGATCAATTTCCAAGATATTGCCTTCGGGACCGACGTAGCATTCGAGTGACATGACGATCTCTTCACGGATAGGATCAATGGGCGGGTTGGTCACTTGAGCAAATAGTTCACGGAAATATTCGTAGATGAGACGCGGCTGTTCGGCCAAACAAGCCAAAGCGGTATCGTTACCCATGGAACCCAGCGCTTCTTTGCCTGTGGAAGCCATCGGCACCAAGACCAAGTTCAGCTGCTCCAGGGTGTAGCCAAATGCCTTGAGACGTGGATCGGTGTGAATGGAAGTCTCGTCCAGCTGAGCTTCAAAAGGATGAGTATCACGTGCTTTTTTCACCATGTCTTGCAGGAGAATCTTTTGGTTTTTAAGCCACTCGGAAAAGTTGCGCTTGGCAGCGGTTTGAAGTTTCAGCTGCTTATCGTCGACGAGTTTGCCTTGAACCGTGTCAACCAAGAGCATGCGACCGGGCTTCAAGCGACCTTTTTCAACAATAATTTCAGGGTTGATAGCAACGGTACCCACTTCGGAAGCACAAATCATGATATCCTCCGAGGTAAGGTAGTAACGACATGGACGAAGACCGTTGCGATCGAGAGAGGCGCCACAGTACCGACCGTCGGAAAAGGTAAACAGGGCAGGACCATCCCAGGGTTCCATCAAGGACGCCGACCATTGATAAAAGGCCTTCATTTCAGGACTCATGGCATCATTGTTCTGCCAGGCTTCAGGGATCATCATCATGACCGCTTCAGGCAAGGTCAAGACGCCGTTGATGACCAACAATTCAAGTACGTTATCAAACGCAGCCGAATCCGAACCGCCTTCCTCGATGATAGGGTACAATAATTCGAGTTCATCACCAAACTTGTCGGATTGCATCACACCTTCGCGAGATCGCATCCAGTTCTTGTTGCCACGCAGTGTATTGATTTCACCTAATTTGATTGGACGAAAAAATTCTGGGTTAGCGATGTCCTTTGTACCACCCCAACAACGGAAGCTATTCCGGTATTAAACCAAAAGGAGAATTTCAAAGAACTCCCTTTGTCCCACATACCATTATGAGCACACCAGCGCATGGGTTGAGCGCGATCCCAAGAAGGAAAAGTATTGGTGGAGAAACGGGAGTGGACAAGCGCAAAGTGAGTAGTGTACTGAACATTGTTGAGATCGTGGAAATACTGATAGACCTGCTTGGGGGTGAGCTGGCCTTTGTAGACGATGTTCTTGTTGGAGAGCGAGCAAACATAGAACCATTTTTTCATGGTAAGGGTATGAGTGGCATGTTTGCGGAGCACGTACAGCTGACGTTCAAAGTAGGCTTCATCATGGGCTTTGGACTGATCAGCGAGAACGACAAACGGTTGTTCAATAGCAGGCTCCTTGGATTTCGCAGCGGGACCAATGATGGAAGAATCGCGGGGCACCGAACGCCAACCGAGCACCTTGAGATCGAGAGCAGCAGCAAGGTCTTCAAAGACCTTTTTGCTTTCTTTGAGGGAATCATCATCGCCTTTCATAAAAAGATTGCCCACAGCGTACTGGCCTTCGGCAGGCAAAGTGATACCGAGTTCTCGGGAGGTTTCATTGACAAAGAATTGATGCGGGATACCAGTCATGACGCCAGCGCCATCACCATCGCGAATATCAGCACCACTGGCACCACGATGCGTCATGTTGCAGAGAATATTACTAGCGTCGCTGAGAATCTTGTGAGAGCGAACACCCTTGACATGGACCATGAAACCGACACCACACGCATCCTTTTCAAATTCAGGGTTGTACAGGCCTTGAGCAGCAGGAATGGCACCTGCCCATGAGTTGTTTTCAGCGACCATTCTTTTTATAAAATTATGTACAGAAACTTGTTTTTTCGCGATATTTTGGTTTGGAATGAGAAAAACCGATGGGTTCGTTCTGTTTCTTTTTCTTCTAATAATGTGACAAGACTAAAGTGAGAGAGAGGGGGGTTTGATTTTTTGCTCTTTCCAAAAGTGGGGGAGGATTTGGAAACAACAAACGACAGACAACGAAAAAAAAAGAAAAGAAAAACAAGAAGAAGAAAAGAAAAAATCCAGAAGAACCGTTGAGACAAGATGGTCTTTATAAAGAGAAACAAGACGATCGTAGTTTTTTTTATTTTTTTTTTATTTTTTATTTTCCAGCGTGCTTATCTAAGTGCATTGGAAAAGAACCAATAGCGAAACATCATTCAAAGTGATACTATGACATTTGAAAGATTAAATATTCTAAAAGGTCACATGTCTTTCAAATTGACTGACAATCTATCGGATCCCAACTCAAGATAAGAAAAATAAAACCCACATTCATCAGTCAAAATGAAATGACGACGGGATCATTCTTACCCTGCCATTTTGATAATCACGTACGGTAACAAAAACCCTGAGTTTATTGTCTATCAATCTCGTCCTCATTATTATCTTTTATCGTTTCTTTTTGATGCATGACTTTTTTTTTCTTCTTCAATCCCCTTGGTCGGATCAGATCGCCTATCATAGTTTAAATCGTGGGTAGGATCATAGTTTTAAGTGGTTTTTTTTCTTCTATTTGGATCTTTCGGTTGTATTTTCGATCTAATATACAACCATGCAGGGTGAAGTTATAGTTCGGAGCAGTTGTAAGGTTTCTTATTCAGTTGGGAAGGGAGAATAAGGATGGTCGCATAATCCGTTATCTTATCACTTTCGGAATGACAAAAAAACAAAACAACCACCTACCCACCCCAAATTTTTTAACTCCGTCCATTTGCCTTGTGATTTCGTAATTTCGCTTGATAACCTACTTTCACAAGAGAATGAGACAGTCTAAAAAGGATTTCATCCAATCGTTAATCAAAATACAGTAAATCAAGCCAGACACCTTGTCATTAAGGAATAGTGCTTGATGGAGCGTGGGTTTTTTCGCCTTGATCTTTTTTCTGGAACCGAGTGTTGGATGGATATACCAAATGCGGAAGAGCGTGAGATGAGGGCAGCCAATCAACGCAGAGTATTTCGTCAACCCACTCCCTGAACCCCAGGACTGCTTATGGCTTATCTTGCACTTTTCGGACGACTACGGAAAATCACGACCACAGAAAGCTTGATAATTTTCCGTCGGTTGCCGGTTTCATAAGAGTGGCACTAGCCTAAAAAAACCAAAAAAATCATGCTGTCATGCCCTCCTGACTGTTTATGGCATTTCACAATTTTGACATGGACTTTGACTAATCCATAAGCGACAAAGATCTTGCTGTAACAAGAAAAGAAAAAAGAATAACCGTTCCTGCAATAGGGCCTTGGTTAGCCCTTGACTCCTTTTTGATTGGTTCAACCGTGCCTCCTCTTTTTCGATGATTTGTTCATAACTAAAACATGGGAAATATTTTCTTTCCACTTTTGCCAGCTGCAAATCATCATGGAGTAAACTAAGTAAAGTATATAAGCGTTATAGTGTAGGTATCTCACACTTTTTCCACGTGTTCGACGGTATACACTTCATAGGATTTTGTCATGTTCAAAACATTACATCAATCAAAGCCATACGGAAAAAGGGTTACAGATAAACAAAAAAAAGTTAAAAAAATAAAGCATAAAATTGAGGCAAAAGGATAACACTAATGAAACAATAGAAAGAAAAAAAAAAGATAATTTGTAACGTGTCCAATGTTTTGTAAAAATTGATACAATGACATAAATGATACTTATTATCATTTCCCCCTCTGTTTTTTTTTTTATAACGGAATATGGTTTTCAAAAGGAAAAAGAACGACATAGCACAAGAGTAAGGAAAAAAAAAAGGAACAAAAGATAGAATCAAGGAAAAAAAAACGGTATGGATGGAAAACAAAGACCACCATATTATTCATGAGGTTCGTTTTCCACATGTTCATTGTCCATTGGTACATACGGATAGGTCGAGTCTGGTAACGAGAAAAGGCCACCATAATGATCGTGAACCGATGGTACCGATGGTACTGATGGCATCGCGTTGGCCGAAGGGGGATGCATCATGGGGACACGTCCAGTCGTATTGACTCTCCTACTATCCACCGAAGATCGAGCGGACTTTGGTAAAGGTACAGTGTCAGCGGAATATGAAGATGATGATAAAGAACTGGATACTGGATAGAATGATGAATATAAACTAGATTCAAGCACCGGTGAAGGAACACGACCAGGCGCCGTGGCAGCTCGTCGAACCGCAATCGAATGCGCTGTCTGTTGTGCCGGCCCCATTCGCTGATCAAGGAAAAATTTGATGTAATGCAAAAAAAAAAAAAGAAAAATCAAAGAAAACATACAAGAAAAGAACCAAAAACATACGCCAACCAATGATGAGTTTCAAAAACTTTCAAAAAGTAAACTGTGAAAGCATGCTTTCACGAAAAAAAGAAATTGACCTTACCATATCTTGACGTTGCATCAATCCGGGAACGTGGGGCCCCACCATGGGATGCGCCATTTCTTGAGCAGCAGACAAATGCCCACCGATGGAAGGACTGGGAGTCGCGGACGGGAGCAATGACTGCCGTGGCGCCGGTGGTGGTTGCATGGTACATGTGGGAACGTAATGCGACCCTTCGCCGACTTGAGGCGGATCAACAGAGAAAGGAGTGCCTGTAGATGTCAGAGCAGACGCGTTGATAACCGAAAGCCGTTGATAGTGTTGGGCTAAAAGCAGCTTACTCTGATACACCTGTTTGCTCGCGGCGGCAACAGCGGCGGCGGCAGCAGCGGCAGCGTCGTACATATTCTTGACATGCGATCCTCCAGCCAGTTCAAAAAGATCAATACGATCACGACGAGAAGCGCTCGTAATAAGATCTTGGTAATCATCCGTGAACTGATCCAGTTGAATGTCGAGATCGTCGGAAAGCTCGCTCGCATTGATACCTAAGTTGGCAGCTAAAGATTCGATGTTGATCTGCAGATCATCAATATCTTGGGTGATGGCCTGAGCAGATCGCGTGGCGGAATCCAAAGTTTGCGAGAAGTTCAAAATATCTCCCGCCGTTTGCGATTGATGAGGGCTATTGTTAGAATAGGGCGATGAGTGATGTGGTTGAGTTGGTTGCTGATGAGATGGTGGTTGCTGTTGTTGCTTGGCTTGGGGCTGCGGCTGCGGTGGTGCAGGCGGATAGTCCACAGGATGCATAGGAGATTCTGATCTTTGAGATCGTGAACCTGGAGGACGCGAAGCACGCGAAGCAAACGGACTCTGCATTGAGTACAGTGCGCTGGAAATGGAGGAAAATGGCGTTGTCCTCGTCGGCATCGAGGTCGGATACATACCGGTCTTACCCTTTAATGCAGCTAGATTCATACCCACTAATGATGCAGCTTCCTCTATCAATCCTGTCGCCACCTTGGCTGATGATTCTCGTTGCGCGTCTAGAATTGAGAGGAAAAAAAAAGTGTTGGTGAATCAGAAAATGGAGACAAACGATTTCTTTTTTTTTTCATATCATGTTGTTCGTCGGAAAAGACTTTCTATAACGGATGATATAGACTCGTCTCTCTTTTCTTTTCTTTCTTTCTTTTTTTTTTTTTTTTTTTTTTTTGGCCACTCCCTCTTTTTTTTATCATCGTTTTACCGTTCCCACGCAGATAAGAAGGCATACCTGAATGCCCTTCCTCCACAGCCGTCTCTCGATTGAATCGTTGCGACAGGGTAATATACTCGTTCTTTTCTCCCAACATGAATGAACACTGCTTACTTAATTCAATGGAGGCATGCTCGTTGGAGAAAACGGTGGTGAGAAAATGCAGAATCTTTTCAATCACATCTTGATGTTTCTGGTGTTTTTCTCTGGCCGCAAGTGTTTCTTGCCACAGAATCTCGTTATCGCGGTGGAGGTTTTGCAGATCGACGTTGATGTTGCGTTGATGCTTGCGGATCGCGCTAATATCTTTAACAAGCATGCCAAGGTTCACTTTGTTAACATCACCGACTTCTCGATCACGATTACGTTTTCGCGTGACCAAGACGAGCAATTCCGGTTTGCCGCGTTGGAAGTGAGGATTGCTGAATTCCCAAACTTCGTGGTCATTTTCCGACAACAATACGCCTTGTTGAATATGAGGCACCTTGTGGAAATCGTACATGTTCAGTTGTCGAACAAAGGAAGCAAAGGTGTTGTGCTTGTAAAAACGAGGCAAGACTGTTTTTGCAAACGTCTCATGCTTCTCCACTAAGAGGGAAAAGATTCAATTGAAACGTGCGCAGAGTGTCCCAACAGCAAAGCTTATCGGTTGGTTCAAATTGTTTACCAATAAAAGACGCGCCATCGGGAGACCATCGAATGAGATCATCGGTTGAAGGGTCCACGACCATACTATTAAAAGAAAAATGGTAAAAAAAAGGAAAAAAAGAAAAAACATTAATTATCACAGCGAATCAGAACATCCCATAGGCCAAAAAAAGAAAAAGAAAACGAAAAAGAGAACCCCAGTGCGGTTGAAGAAACCAACCGAAAATCAGTGATTTTTCTTATTCCGCTGAGCTTTCATTTCACCCCTTCGCTGTATCAATTTTTTTTTTTTTTGAGGCGCAAAAAAAAATGGGGAAAAAATGACAGCCGACAAATGGAACAAAAAAAGAGAAAAAAAAAATAGCAGCTTGCAAAGATAGACTCACTTGTACAGTTTGTTCAAAAAGGCAGGTACACTTCGAGGCATGGAAAGTCGTGAAGGCATCATATCGGAAGAAGAAAACGCCAAGTCTACAGAATTGGGTAATGGCGATTCTTCATCGCTCGATGCGTCAGCAGGGGAAAGATGGCCGATATCATCGGTGAATGTGCCGGCAACAGATGTGGAGATATTGGGCGTTGGTCCCACGAGAGTGCTTGACTTCTTTCGCTTGCTGGACGGAGGTCGTGCCTGGAAAGGTGATATCGAGGACGATGGGGTTGAGTCGGATGAGCTATTGACCGAAAAGACATTGGGCGATGATTGTTGAGATGCAGACGATGTTGAGGGTGACAGCGAACGCTTCCTTCGGAGGCCCGTGGTGCTGCTTTTGCCCTTGTTGGTACGATGGGATGATTTTCTCATCGTGATAGGGAAAATACAGTCGTCCAGTCTTTGGCGAGTAAGAATACAAGTCGAACCAAAACCACCAGAGAAAAGGAGCCCAGAAATGGTGAACAGTAAAAAAAAAATTTAAAAAACAACAGGAAAAAAAATATAAGCTCAGTGTCATTTTTTTTATTTTGATTTTTTTTACCACTTGGATTCGATGACTCTTCTTTTATTTGACGTCGAAAAATAAGGGAACGGAATAAACGACGCACCGCGGAATAACTCGTACTAGTTGTTGATAGCGTTCACTAGTATGAGTTGATGTTTGTCGGTGAGTGTGAGTCTACCTAGATAAGCGAACGCAGTGAATGGATCGCAAAAACCAACAACTGCCTAATTGTTGTATGGCAAAAAAAAAAGATAGATATCCTCTGTGTGAGAAAATAAAAGTGGATATAAAAATGTGAAAGGGGGAAGGAAGAAAAGGATTTTTTTCAAAAAAAGAAAAATCGCTTTTTTTTCAACCAAATAGCCCATCCCCCACTGATGATGCGGATCCTGGTTTGTCCGAGACTTTTTTTTCCCACTAACCTATATCGAGCCCTTACCCAATGAGGGTCCTGTATTTTCTTCTATAATGGTTTTCGACTGGTTCGATTCACCGTATACTACTTTGGGAAGCTTTACTTGGTGCCATGTTTCTGCATTTTACCATCAAGAGAAACATATTGGATCTTTAGAAATTGATGGAAAAAATTAAAATAAAAAGTTTTCCATGGTGGGACAAATGCTTTTGGCGACCTGAAAAGCCGGGCCCACATTTTTTTTATTACATTTCACGACCCGACTATCCGTGCCGGCCACTATGCTCTTTTGATTCGCTCAAAAGCACCAGTCATCTCTTTTTTAACTTGAATCGCTTTCACAACAGCTCCATATTCGATGGTTTACCGGTTGATGGTAACCTTGTATAGCAAAAAAAAGCTGATTCCCTCGCAAAAACAACACCTACCTGCAAACAGTCGTTTTTTTTTAACTGTGCGCCACTATCCATGGTCCAAATAGAAGTTTGACACTAATTATTAGACAACTACCAATAATGACGAGTCGAACGGAGCATTGGCGCTGTTGTCGGAGCATCACATTCCCCAACAGGAAAAGGGATTCCAAAAGCGGGCTTCTGATTTTTCAAGCCTCATTTGCTACTAACACTAAGTAGAAATATAAACAGGCCATTTTCTGCCTTGTGCTTCTACATGTCAATCGATAACAAGAGATACAAATGAAATCAATGCGTATTAGCATACATAATGCGTCCATGACCTGCACTGATAAACATGATGGTTCATTATACACCTTCCAGTGTGCGAGTTAAGATTTTACGAACAGGGTACTTAAATCTCAGTACCGGTATATATCTACCGTCATGTCCATTGTCCCCACCTATCAACTGGCCTATTCTCGGGTCGCTCTATTTAGACGCTAAATATTCACAGACTGCCACTCACGCATGGTTTTGATTCGACAGGCAAAAGGCTGGCTTGTGATTCTAGGTTTTTATCTTTTTGGAACCCAAAAATGCTCTATCCTCAAGATCCGCGGCTCTAGCCCGTTTTGCCTTTTTTTTTTTTGCGCTAAGCTTCATCTTGTGTGTTACTTTTCAAAGAAAAATGGACCTTCACCAAAAAGCAACCGTGGATTAGCTCAAACATTTCTCCTCTAGCCAATGCAGTACTCACAGCACTGTCAATTGAGAAGAGTATTCCTAATTTAGTACAATTTATTACCAACAGCTGATAGGTCCGTTTGGAACCGAGCTCAAAAAATGCAGCTTTTTCCAAAAGATCGATCGCTGAGATGAAATAAATCGCATTTTGTTTATTGACCATTTCCATATCAAAATACCACAGTCTTGGTTTCGTTGATGACCATCCACGTGGGGTCTACCGAATAGCTATCACCAAAAATACCTGCTGCCATTCAGAAATTTCTGTCGACAAAACTCCGACGGGCTCAATGTGGAGTGCTTTGACCGCATTCTTTAGGTAGCAATATTACATTTGATTTCACTGCACTTTCTACTTGATTGATCAAAGTTTTGACCGGATCTTGCACTACAGTACTACCTGAAGATGGTTATCAAAGTTACTTCTATGAGGCTAGTGCTTTCAAAGGTCCGAGTTCACCGATGTTGAGAATATCATACGGTAGCCGGGTGTTCGGTAGTGAAGTACGCTCAGGTGCCTTAACCGCAGACAGTCAAAGTTGTTCAGTAGCTTCCCTTATATCAATAAATGAAAATTTATCTATACATGTTTACAATTTTGCTGGTTACACTTGAAGAAGGAATTGGATGCTGCGGATTTCTACACGAGGTATTTCCGCAGGTAAATTGCCTTCTGTAAGAACTTGATAATGGAAGTTTTTGACAAAAACCAAACAAACTCCAAAAATTACCGGAAATCTCAAAATTACAGGACACGAATTTGTGATTCCGACTGCCATCTTGAGATAGAGTTACAAACAAATGAGACGGCCAAAATTGCATCTATTTATGACGCGGATGGTGTTGAGCCTTCTTGCAACGGCCGTAAGCGCTCCTTGACTAATTTTTGATGTTTGGTGGATTTACGATGCCATCGGCTTTTCAGGTGTTGCTGCCACTCCATTTCACCATTAAGCACGGCTTCTTCGCCCTTCTCGGTTCTACAAATAGGACACGTGTATTTCTTCCAGTTCAGCACGCGCGAATGGGTACTAAGCATAGAAACATCCAATTATAATTATGACATTATACAACGGTGACAGAACCCGCTTACTCTTGTGCATCTGGTGGGACCGATAACATCGACGCAGCCACCTCACTAAGCTCCACAGGAGCGGGCATGGTATCATTGGACTGGAAAGCTAGAAAGGAAACGCATGAGATTGCTTGTCTATCAACGATCCGGGCCATGCAAATACCTACCTGTAGCTATCTCAATTGCCTTGTCGCGTACACTGCTATCCCACACATCCAAATCTAAACCATCATCAGTCTCTCTTTCCCCTATTTCGTGCAACTTTCTTGATTTTGCTTACTGGTGGCATCCAATAAATATACTTGGACGTCTCCGTTGGAATTTCGCACCGTGGGTAATAGCTTGTTCCGGATCCACTGCACTTGTCTCTTCGCATAACGCCGCGTCGCCGCTTTCATACGCTCTGTACATTCTTGCCGAATTTTATCCAAATCTGGTGCCCATTTCCGTCAGATCCTTATGTCTCCATCGTATGCCGCCGTTTCATTTTGTATGTGATTTTTACCTGAAGATGTGCTGTTGTTTGCCTCCAGGGCCGTAAAGTACGAGTCAAATTCCTTGTAGCCTGTCCCACTCCATTAGCTTGGTCTTTTTACACTTTCGGGATTTTTTCTTTGTTTTCTTACCTATGGCCTGCCATAAGCCTCGTTGATATTTTTCCAAATCTTGTCCCGGCAATCTGACCGAACCGTCGACGACACGTTTCCGCAGTTCTTGGATCTCATCAAACAACCCGGTCTACACCATACTTTATGTCAGTAACAACATCAAGCCCTGTTTTGGCGTTGGTAGATTTTTTTTTTTTTTACCTCGATCATTTTATCCACTCGTTCATCCAATCGAGGATTCAATTTGACAGGATCGGCATACAGCCAGAAAATTAACGATTTGTATCTATCATTCATTGTATGAATGTGATAAGATAATAAGAAAGATGTCACTTTTGGTTTTGTCTCTCTCCTTACTTTGCTGGTAAGCCGTGCCTTTTCAATTGTTCCTGTTGTTCCTTGATAATTTCGCCTTGAGGCTTTCCAGTGTCATGAAATATCTAGACAAGACAGCTGTGGTCAGCCGACGGCCGTTATTTGTAAGGGGGTGATTTTTTTTTTTTTTTTTTTTTTTTTTTTTTTTACTTTCAAGCTTCGAATAATTTTTCGACGATCGGAAGGATTCCACTTGTTGGCCATAACAGGATCGACTTTACAAAGCTGGGCGTATAGTTCACTGGTCAGGACGTTGTCGAATTCAGAATATCGTTCAGGCGAAGGACTGCGTCTTGGTGATTCGCTTTTGCTCAACGTATTTTGCCAGATCAATGATTGAATGTAATAATTGGTACCACCCACCACCACAGGAAGCTGCTGTTCGGATGTTAATTTGTCTATCTACAATTCCAAAAAAAAATTAATGCATCGTGTCTTTTCCTTATTCTTTTTTTTCATTTTCTTTTTGGAATGAACATACGCATAATGCCGCATCACGTTCAAAATCAGTGACATTATATTCTTTCTCGGGATCCAGAAAATCCATCAAATGATGCGGAACCCCTTGTCTTTCAATGGCGGGCATTTTGTTGGAGATAATGTCCAGGCCTTTGTATACCTAACGTGATCCAGACATCAGTGACACGCCCATGAGCTCATAAAACCGTCAAGCGTACCTGCATTGAATCGGCATTGATGACTTGACCTCTTAATGCTTTACACAGTTCCACTCCCAGTTGCGATTTTCCTACACCCGTGGTGCCTATGACAGCGGCTATTTTTTGCATGGTTCGAATATGGAGCAGGAATGGTCACAAGACACTGAAAATGAGCACAAGCGAAAAAAAAAATAAAGGCCCCAAATCGCTGACAGAAATAAGAAAAAAAAATAGCTAAAAAAGCGGGGTTTCATGCCTTGTTCACTTTTGTGCCAGGCAGCAGTAAGACAATGAGCACGAATCCGATCAAAAGCATACTGAGGCATCAGAACCAGTCTCATACACACTCGCCCAGCACTACCGTTACGACCACTTCTTCGCCATCTTGGTTCACTCGACTTCAGAACAGAATTTATGCAGCTGAAGATACTTCATTACCACTCATACCGAGACAGGAACTCAAACGAGTCACCTTTTCTCTTGGAAAACTCACCACGACATACCCTCTTTACCCTCACGACGACTCAGATGAACCTCTTGTACCAACCATTCGATCATGCATATGCTCATCACCTGACCTGAGTACCAATGACCACAACCGCAACTTGGCCCAGTTCTACGAATGGGCTTGTCGAATGCGGGAAGAACCGATTCTCTACCGATTCCTCGATTATATGCGACATGACCGGTGAGCCTTTTTCCTTCTTTTTCTCCTCTTTCTGTGCAGATGACAACATTACTCAATGAGGATAAGAAAAAAAGGATTTCGCCATTGACTGCAATTGATTTATCCAACAAACCACTCACGGATGGTCAAGTGGGGCCGATTGCCGATATATTGACTCTCAATTTCGGCCTTGAATCGCTGAACCTTTCCTATTGTGATTTGGATGATAGGGTAAAAAAAATATTAAATCACACTGAAACAGGATGCATGGCAAAAAGTGTGCACATGGCTTATTGTTTTTTTTTCCAGTCATTACGCTTGCTATTGAATAGTTTGCTGATTTCTGATACAGTGTCTGAATTGCAATTGGCGCATAATGCACTCAAACCAAATGGCTACAAATACATCGCCATTTATATCAAGGAGGTAATAATTCTTGGTATGCGCCAAGCTATTGTATCTCATCGCTCATATTTTGTTGGTTTTTTTTTTCCGGATTCTGTTCTAGTCGAAATCGATCCAAAATCTGAATTTGTCATACAACGTGATTGAAAAGAAATCAGCACAGTATCTTTCGAATGGCATTGCGAGTGCTTCGTCGCTTCGCCATCTTACGCTAGATCACTGCTCTTTCAAGTCGACGGCGGCATTGGAAGTTCTGGCGGAAGGTATAAATCGAGCGCCGTGTGTGCACTCAATCTCATTATGCAGCGATCGTATCACCCATCATGCAGCCGCGTCCCTGGGTCTGATGCTTGTCAATCCCCATGAATTTGAATTGCGCTGGGATCCCATCCACCACCGTTTCCAGGGTTTACAGCATCTTGATCTATCAAACAACAATTTGCAATATGCGCTAGCCCAATTATGTGAAGCGTTAAAGGAGACTCGCTCTCTAACCGACCTCAACCTGTCCAACTGTCGCATTCAAAGTGATGGCTGCGCTATGCTTGCCGAGTCTTTGGTAAGCTTATGGTTTTGATCACTGATACTGTCGCTTTTTCTACCTTGATTATCTGATCGCTTCTCTTTTTAACACATCAGATGTTGAATCGAAGTTTACAGGAACTCAATCTTTCCAAGAACCCCCTATTCAAGGGATCGCATCAAGGGGTACGTTGATGGCTGTGCGTTGCTGACTGTGAGCGTGTTGTAAATTTACGCCTTTTTCTTTTGTGGCACAGTCTGAAGGGTTGAAAACGGCGTTGGCTTGCAATCGGTTTCTGAGTAATCTCATTTTGGCCGACACGGGGATGGATTCTGCCGCCGCCATTGCGGTCGCCGAAAGCTTACCGGAGAACATGACGTTATCCCGTCTGGACCTATCAACGAATGTAAATATTAGCATGGCCGGCATCTTGGCCCTGTCCATCTCTGTCAAAATGAACCAAACCCTGACATTTTTGGATATCAGTATTCCTGTAAGCATAACCCAAATCCTCATAGAGCGGTGGATCCAGTGATACTAAATTTTACTTGTAGCCAAACGACGATGAGTTGGCGAAATTGCAAAACGACATTGTGGCCGTGTGCACAACCAATATGTTACGAAAAGTAGAAACCCAATCTGCAGAAGAAGCATCCAGTCACCGTGTTCCCAATGTCACTTCGTCCGCTTCCACCGCTTCCTCTTCCATCTCTTCAACGTCGGCGAAATCGCGCCATATTCCCGCTCTACGGCAAGATTCCTTGACGTACGAAAAATATCCATCTAACAAACCAACCACCGATGACAATGCCAAAGTTTCCATCGTATGTTCTCTGTGAAAAATTCGTCACTGTAGACGCCCTCACTCCCAAAGTTTTAACCCTTGTCACCCTCCGTTTTTTCATAGTCCTATCCATTTTCAGAGATCCCGTTGTTGGATGATACCAGTGTTTAAATTATTCATCTTGTTTTTATCTCTTTTTCTCATTGCTAACTCGTTGAATATCGGTCTTTATATTTATAAATCCTTATACTATCCCACGTTTCCTGTTCTTTGCTGCAGAACCCTTGGGTTGGCAGAAAAAAAAATGCAGAAAAACTCAGATACAGAATGGAAATAAGATCGTCACTGATTTTGCTCTCAAGTGACAGCTTGGGGCAGACTCTCACTCACCCGATACGCCATCTAATCGACATGCTTGCCGCCAAAATTAGACATCCGTCCCATCGATGGGGATTGCGAATGTTAGCAACCGCGTCTACGACTTTAGGCACTGAACGTCTGTCGCGATTGCGCAATGTCATGTCACAACCGGAATATCAACTCGATGCCTTGTAAGCCTTTGTAAAGATGAATAACTTGACAGACACCGAGTTTTGCTCAAATTGACGAGTCTCTGTTGTTGTTGTTGTTTTATTAGCGTAGTTCCTTCAGAAGATGCCCATCAGGTAGATGACCACCAGCTTTATATCAACGCACAAAGACACACGTGAGCTTATCAGAATTGACTGCGGCCAAAAAAAAAGAGTGAATACACTGCAGAGTGTGACAATAGACGTGCATGGATTTCAGGGTTTACCGGATCAGCAGGTAAGTAGGGCACCGAAAAAATGAGATTATATGCACTTCACTGACCCATGGCGCCATTTTAAAGGCTGTGCTGTGATTTCACAAACCAATGCGGCGTTATTTACGGATGGACGCTATTTCTTGCAAGCCTCACAGGAATTGAGCAACGATTGGGAACTGAAAAAACAAGGTTTACCTGGTGTTCCGACGTGGCAAGAGTACCTTGTAAAGGTACGGTTATATGCGTCGTCTTTGCATCGATTCATATTTTGACTTTTTTTTTTTTCATAGGATCTACCTCGTGGGTCCCACATAGGCGTCGATCCATCGGTGATCACTGTAGGTAGGTTGGGACCGATCAAATAAATCATGCCAATGAGAAAACCGCCCACTGACTTGTTCGCCCCAGACAATGGTCAAGCGCTAGAGCGGGAATTGGGGGCGGTGGGGTCCCGACTGGTACCTGTGGAGAAGAATTTGGTGGATGTCATTCGATCGGATCGGCCAAGTCGTCCAGCTCACACTATCCACGTGCACGATGTGAAATATGCAGGCAAATCACACCAAGCCAAGATTAAGCAATTGAGAAAAGAGTTGAATGAAAAATCGTCTGATGGCACTGTGGTATCGGCCCTGGATGAAATTGCCTGGTTACTGAATCTGCGCGGATCAGATATCCACTGTTGCCCGATATTTTTCGGTTACTGCGTTGTTACGCAACAAGAAGCCGTACTCTATTTGGATCCTCAGCAGCAACTCACTAATGACGTCGCATCCCACCTGCAAACAGCAGGTGTACATGTTCGTCCTTATTCCCAGATTTTCCATGATTTACCACACTATCATGGACGCTTTCTGCTTGATCCAAAATTGACAAGCTTGTCGGTAGCACAAGCCTTGGGCAACGTAAGTATCTCGATTTATGGTATCAAAGGAATTGAATCAAAATAGTGTCTCGGAAAAAACTGACCCGATACAAAGGATCGTGTTGATTACGCGCCTTCTCCGATTACATTGGCGAAAGCTATCAAGAACGACGCTGAACTGCAGGGGATGCGCGCGTCCCACTTGCGGGATGCGGTGGCGGTGAGCCAGCATTTTGCATGGTTAGAGAATGCCTTGGTTCATAAGCGCCAAGTGATCCGAGAAGCTGAAGCCGCCGATCATTTGGAAAGCATGCGCAAACAACAGGAGGAATATGTTGGGTTGGCATTTGATACCATTGCTGCCACGGGGCCTAATGGCGCCATCATCCATTATTCACCTGGTTCTTTTGATTCGGCGGTCATTGATCCCAAACAAATCTACTTGTGTGATTCGGGCGCACAATACAAGGATGGTACAACGGATATCACTCGGACGTATTTATTCGATGGCGAACCGACGGCGTTCCAAACTTTTGCATTCACAAAGGTCTTGCAGTCGCACATGGCTCTCGATCAGGCAGTATTCCCTCAAGGCACCACCGGTAAAGAAAATGCTTTAGCATTTATTACGATATTGTTAAGCGTCAATATATTAAACAAATTTGAATCCAGGCTATCAGCTGGATCCAATTGCTCGCCAGCCGATGTGGCAAGAGGGTTTGGATTTCAGACACGGCACGGGCCATGGCGTTGGGGCCTATTTGAATGTTCACGAAGGACCTCACGGAATCGGCAGCCGGGCCAGCTACAACGAGATTCCTTTACAGGAAGGAATGATTGTGACCAATGGTAGGCAAATGAGATCAATGACGAAAGCCAACAAGGTTTCTTATCAAAATCTTGGCATCATAGAACCGGGTTATTACGAAGATGGCCAGTTTGGAATTCGAATAGAAAATGTACTCGCGGTGCAAAAAGCGCCTACAAAGTACCAGTATGGTGATCAACCGTATCTGGGATTTGAGCACTTGACATGGGTTCCTTTGGGACGTCGATTGCTAGACACGAATGTGCTAACTTGTCAAGACAAAGCATGGATCAACCGGTATCATCAAGCCTGTCGTGAAAAGTTGGAACCGCTACTTGGACACGATACCGCCACATTATCCTGGCTTGTAAAAGAAACAGAACCCATCTAAAACCGTGGTAGCATGCCACACACACTTTTTTTCTTATCATCCCCCATGATCCTCGTATTTAGGGCGCTCCAATAGAGAAACTTTGATACATTTGATACATTTGAATCTATAATCAAAAGATGATTGTATAAACCCCGTGCAATTATTATGCTATTTGTAGCCAGCCGTTTACATCTAGCAAGTTGACGCCCGCCTTTTTTTTTTTTGTTCCGGGGCCAGAAACATGAGGCTATCTTTTGCAGCTATCGACATTTTCAAGGTACATGCAGATTATTAGGTCATCTTGGACCAACGCCGAATCATGTAAGCTTGGTGTTACCATACGGTTTATCTGTAATTCATTGATCCATGGAACTTACGCGCGAAGGCACAATATGCTCGGTACACAATTGATAATGCGACCAATCAGATTACAAGATGCTTAGCACGGGCGACTATTCCGGAATCATTGGAATACTTTTTATGGTCAACAAGAACATACGCACCAAAATCTGTACGTGCAGCATTGAAACAAACTAGCCACGAACCAAAATGGATATTCAGTTACGGAGTGAGAGCGGAGTTGAGCACATTTTGCTCGTTTTTGAACTACAGGTCAAACATCAAAGCCGTCCAAGCATGACTTGAATTCGTGACCCAAACCTTCCTGGCAATGCCCGTAGCACTATCCAGTTAATATAATAATATGCCCTAGAAATATTAATCTTCTTTGCTTTATCAAAGAGAATATTAGAAATATAAAGCTTAACAAGCATTCGAGATTCGATGTTTCGAAAGTCCCCCTAAATTTGACCGGGCATTGGCTCATGGGCCGGATGCAGCGAATTTTGCTCACAAAGCACAGTCACATACCTAATTTGGCAACTGGATGGGCCCGCCCAATCTGATTTCCGACGGGGTATAAAAGGAGTGACGACCTTTCGGGCTTTGGTCAAAGCATCAATTTTCTTTTCCTATTTCCCTTTTTTTTTTTCAACTATCACTGATGAAGGAGCCGGCAAGGTATGTCATTGCCGTACGTGGCATGACATGTCAGAATTGCACATATACTGTTACCAAAGCGCTCGAAGAGATACCCAACGTTATTCAGTCCTCTATTCACGTTGATTTGTCAACACAACAAGCAACGTTGCAAGTTGATGGTGAAAATACACCTGCATTACGCCACTTATTGATCAAGACAATCGAAGATCTCGGCTATGACGCCAGTTGGCCGGGAGATACAGCATCAACTACTGACGATACCAAAAATCCGACAGCGGACATGGGCGTCCGAGTAGATATTTCCGGCATGACGTGCTCTCACTGCAGCGACACGGTCACGAAAGCGCTCAGTGGCCTACCGAATGTGATTCCAGGCTCGATCCATGTTTCGATCGATGACAACTGCGCCTTTGTTGCTTTTACGCGACCCAACACGGTCAGCAAAGATCAACTGACAGAAATTATTGAAGATCTCGGTTACACTGTCGACAACGTTATACTGGATTACGTCTCTGAAGAGGTCGCTTCATCGGGTGATCCTGCTACTGAAAAGACAGCCGTCATCAGCATTTCCGGCATGACCTGTTCTCACTGTGTGCAGACCGTCAATGACGCACTACGGGGGTTACCTGGAGCTATTGCGGAATCGGTGAACACCAATCTCCAAACTCAGGAAGCCACGGTATCTTTCACTGGCACTCGGGTGACGAGTGATTCGTTACGTCAGATCATTGAAGATCTGGGTTATGAAGTCGTGGGCCGACCCAAGTTTTACCGCAATCATGGTGGATTGACCGATCGTCGTGCCTCCCTGGAATTGACTCCGACGCGCTCGACAGTATCTGCCACTGAATCCACCGCATTATTATCTCGGCCTGATCAGAAACACCAATTACGAAAAGTGGTCATGCGTGTCCTTGGTATGACTTGCCACAGCTGCGTTGTCGCCGTCACCGATGCTCTCCAGACGGGAATTCCCGGCGTTCATAAGGACTCGGTGCGTGTGGATCTTAATACCGAAATGGCCATGTTCATCGCGACCGATCCCAAGAGTGAAAACATTCGATCCGTGGTGGAAAATCGAGGTTACGATGTTGAAAACATTCAAATCATTCACAATCTTCTTCCTCCGGCCGTTCTCGAGTCGACGCCGCCCAGTGAAGATCCCAGTAGCTCCATGTCCAGCACCCGTCGTCCCAGCGATTCCATCGCTTCTCTTGCTGCTATTTCCGTTGAAACTCCCATGGCGGTCCCGAAAAAGGTCACTCTTTCCGTCAGTGGCATGACATGTTCCAGCTGTGTTCGTACCTTGGAACGTGGTTTGACCAGTCTTCCCAGCGTGGATCCTACGTCGGTGCAAGTCCAACTGCTCACTGGTTCGGCGTCGTTTGCTGTCATGGGGGATGTTCTCGACGAAAAGACAATTATGAAGGCGGTCAAGAGCATGGGTTACGAAGCCAGTAACATTGTGTTTATTGCCGAACAACAGCCCGTGCAAGCCTCTTTCAAAACCAGTATGTACAAGGCCGACCTCCTGATCAGTGGCATGTTCTGTGAACAGTGTGTCGACAAGGTGCATTCGGCTCTCGCTGATCTTCCGGGGACCAAGGCCGACAGTATCAAGGTCGATGTTGACTCGGGTCGTGCTTCCTTTGATTACTCTGGCGAATCGGTGGGCCGGCAACACATCTATCAGGCCATTCTCCAGCTCGGTTTCATGGCAGAAAACATCGATATTGTCAAGACTGGCGAAGAAAAAGACGTCAAGGATACCAAGAGCAATGTCGTTACCACGCGACTCACCGTGACCGGTATGACGTGCAGTTCGTGTGTTGGTAACATTGAACGGACCATGTTGAAGCAAGCAGGCGTGATCAGTTGTCAAGTCAACCTTTTGGCCAAGTCGGCGGTGATTCAGCACGATCCTTCCGTGGTCGGTTCTCGGGCTTTGGCCAATATGATTGAACAGATTGGTTACAAGGCAGAATTGGCGACTCACAGTACCGACGGATTGAGCGATCAGCGCGAGGCGATGCGGGCGTCGATGGAACAAGAAATCAAGACGCTTCGGTTCCGATTCCTTTGGTCTTTACTGTTTGCGATTCCCACCGTGTTGATTCATATGATCTTTATGATGGCGTTGCCTGCAAGCAATCCAGTCCACAAGGCTTTTATGAAGGACATCACTCACGGGTTGACGGTAGGCGATTTGCTGCTTTTCCTCATGGCGACACCTGTCCAGTTCTGGTTAGGTTCTTCCTTTTATGTCAAGGCTTACCGTTCTCTGGTGTATGCTCGCACAGCCAACATGGAAACGCTCGTGGCGATGGGCACCACAGTGGCGTACCTTGCTTCAGTGGTGTCGGTGATTCTGTCAATGGTACGCCAATCCCATGGTGGCATGTCAATGAACTACTTTGAAACCTCGGTCCTTCTCATCACGTTTATCCATTTCGGTAAATGGCTGGAAGCCCTCGCCAAGGGTAAAACCGCGGAAACGATTACCAAATTGATGGATCTTCAACCGGAACGAGCGATTCTCGTGGAAATTGCCAAGAACCTTGATGACAAGTCCAAGGACAACGACACCAAGACACCCTCTGCTAAAGGCGGCGACGATTTCAAAGAAGATATCTTTATTGAAACTGAAATCGATACCAGTGAAATTCAAGGTAATTTTTTCTTTTCTCGATTTCGTTTTGGAGATCACTTGATACTGATATCTTGGTTTTATCATGTCATAGTGGGTGATATCCTCAAAGTCAATGCAGGTGCGCGTATCCCTTGCGATGGTAAGCTTCTTTTTCTTGTTGACCTACTGTATATCTCTTTTTACTCAAGCATAATTTTCCGGTTGTAGGTAAAATCTGGCGAGGAACTACGACGACGGATGAATCCATGATTACGGGTGAATCGGTTCCTGTGAACAAGCAAAAGAACGACAACGTGATTACGGCCACCATCAATTTGTCATCACCAGTGTATATTCGTGCTATCCGTGTAGGCTCCGATACCACCTTATCCCGCATTATCCAAATGGTGCAAGACGCTCAAGCCTCGGCCAAGGCGCCTATCGAGAAACTCGCGGACCAGATCTCCAGTGTATTTGTGCCAGTGGTCATTGCTCTCGCTATCATTACCTATGTGGTTTGGCAAATTGCTAGTGTGAAGAACCTGTATCCCGAAGATTGGCTGCCTGAGGGTGAAACCAAGACCATTTTCTCCATCATGCTGGGTGTGTCGGTTCTCGTCATTGCTTGTCCCTGTGGTTTGGGTCTCGCTAGTCCAACTGGTAAGTAAAATAATTTGCTAAAGCCATTCATCTCAGTATTTTGCTCAACTCACATTTTTATCTTTATTTTATTTGCTGTAGCTGTCATGGTGGGCACAGGTATAGCGGCTCGTTACGGTGTGTTGGTCAAGGGAGGTGGTTATGCTCTTGAGATGGCCAACCGGATTACCACGGTTGCTTTTGACAAGACGGGTACTCTTACACTTGGCAAACCCATGGTGACTGATGAATGGATTGCTGCTGCTTCTACGGAGCAGACTGCTCTTCAGTCGATCTGGAAAATTCTCGGTCGCGTTACCTCGGTCAGCAACCATCCTCTGTCGAAATCCATTGAAAAGAAGGCTAAACGAATTATTCGAGGTGTGGACCAAAATGTGACAACGGCCGCCGATCTTGCCGCTCAGGAACAAGAAGAGGAAGAACAAGAAGGAGAGGAACAAACTGAAAATACCAAGGATTACTTTGGCGGCGTCAACATTACCAATGCCAAGGAAGTGGCCGGAAGAGGTATTTTGGCGACATTGACTCTCAGCGAAGAAATCTCCCGTCATTTGCCCGTTCGTCTCCAGGGCCAACGTATATTCAACGTGTTCCTCGGTAATCAGGAATGGATGGATGAAAACCACGCTCGTTACGAAAACGCGGAACAAGCCAAGACCTGTCAACAACAACTTGGCGATTGGCAAGACCAGGGTAAATCGATTGTGATGATTTCTTTGTCGCCCGTCACTACCGGTACCGCCGGTACCAGCAACAAGTCTTCAGCCATGTCGAATGCTCACAAGGAAGGTTGCAATAATGCGTGTGCTTGTGCGGTGTGCCATTGTGCAGCTGCTTCGGTTTGCTGCAGTGCTTCCCGTACGATGATGCTGGCTCAACTGGCGGTGGCAGATATTGCTCGACCTGAATCGCGTCAAGTGGTGGCAGAGTTACGCAAGAGGAATATTGAAGTATGGATGGTTACGGGCGACAATGAACGTACCGGTCGTGTGGTGGCTCAGCAATTGGGCATTGACAAGGATTGTGTCTTGGCCGGCGTCAAGCCTGAACAAAAAGCAGACAAGGTCCGTAACCTCCAACGACGTGGCGTGCGAACCGAAAAGGCTGGCAAGATTTGGCGCAAAAAGAACAAGGACGGGAAACCTCAACAAGCAGTGGTGGCCATGATTGGTGGTAAGTTTCTTGTTTCCTCGCTTTCTTAGTTCTTTTATTTTTCTTTTGATCTAATGGTTCATTTTTCTTCGCTCTTTTGTGTAGATGGTATCAACGACTCTCCTGCATTAGCTCAAGCAGATGTAGGGTAAGTAATGGAAATTCTGGATACCGTGTAGGACGTAATACAGAAGGGCTCATATTCATTTTTTTTTTATTTGTCGCTTGATAGTATCTCCGTGGGATCTGCTACCGATGTTGCCATTGAAGCTGCTAGTATCGTTCTTATCCGCAACAATTTGCTGGATTTATTAACGATGTACGACGTTTCTCGAGTGGTGGTCCGTCGTATCCGGCTCAACTTTTTCTGGGCTTTCTTGTACAATTGCATTGCCATTCCTATTGCTGCCGGTATCACTTATCCCGGTACCGGACAAGGTCTTCCTACCTACGTCGCTGGTATTGCCATGGTGGCTTCCAGTATTAGCGTGGTTTGTTCCAGTTTATTGTTACGCTTCTACAAACCTCCCAATCACTCGTCTGCTTAATTTCTATATGTATACACTTTCCAGTCTATCGCTTCATTGCTTTTCATATCTTTTTATTTTATTTGACTTGTATTATATCTTTGCTCATTCTTATTATTATCTCATGTTCAACCTCTGCATATATTAAACAAATACTGTAACTGTAAAACATCGTTGTGGTTGGCCATTATCAATTTTTTCCCATTGCGATGTAGAACAAAGTCTTCCGTAGAACTCAACACCCTCAAATAAGCCACGATCTCCGGCTAATGACATAATAGGCGATTTTCTTGTCCTACAATTTAGGTTTCTGGGCTGTACACCCTATTTCACTTTGTTTCACTCGAGTTAAAAGATGGGTTGCAATGTAACATTCAGCCTTCATGGCCCCAAAAGCGCTTGAAAAAGGATTGTCATATTTTCTTGATACCAGCAAAAGAAAATGAATCCATCGTCGTATCAGGTGCGTCGTATTGCTTTGGCGTCTTCTGTATCATTAATATTGAGACCGACTTGAGTATTTTAGCATCATGGACATGCGGTTACCGACCCAGAAATTGAATAGCATACTTACAGTCTTTATCGACCGATTGACTATGTATTGCTTATGATACGCGTGCAATTTTCCTCCATTTTTATATAACTGCATACACATGCAAACTTATGCTAATTCGCGAAAGATGAACTTGCATGGAATTTATTAGAATTACCAAGAAGCAATAGATGCAGTCACCCAGTATTCAATCGATCAATGGTTATTGATATGAAAGCTTGTAATTCAGCGCTTCACATAAGGTCAGCTACTATGTTTACTGCACTTTTTGAACATTGGCAGTTCTGGTGTATTCAAGCAATGAGGACCATGTGAGTAGTCTTTTAGCATACATATCACTGGCTCATACCAAGGCGACACGCGTGGGTCGGGTGTATCGAGTTGGTATAACCGGTTGGAATGCCCGGGAAGTGATGTGACTACCACAGCGGCAAAGGAGACCGTCATAGAAAAAAGCTGGAAGTGGCGCCCACAGTTGCACAAATTAGCCTTCCAGGTAAATCACAATGCGATGATATAATCGTATTAAGATTTGAACACAAATACCAGGAACTAGGAACGGTGAACAAACCCAGATTACTTTTGGGCTAAACGTGGTCACGCTGACGCTAATGACAATGGCTTTTTACCTGGCGCATTCTATAGTTACTATGCGGGGGCTTCTTAATACATCAAAAACGGGTCGATGTATTTACAAAAAGGACGCACCCATACACGATATACCCAGAGAGGGTAAAACCATGAAAGATTGGCGTTTGTTTGCGATCTAAACGAATAAACATTCTCACGGCTTAATCAAAACGTAAGAAGATCCACTGAAATTGCTGTGCTCGGCCCCGAAAAATATTGTGTGTACCACTGTTATGAGTTCGCGTCACTCCAAGAGAATCATCATCAGAACGTCGAATCGTGGCAACAGTTCGACGCATTTGGTTGCTTTAGCACCAGGTTATTTGACGGAACAATTACAAATGCAATTCATCAATAACTGAAATAAATGAATAAAAAAAAACTTGCACATAGTAGAGACGACGGTTGAATGAGCAAAAGGTCGGGTCGCCTTGACTAAAGTCTGTGGTGAATTCGTCAGTATGGTAGGAGTAAGTGATATGAGCGAATCCGACCCGTATCACTTAAGAATTTGGAAAGACCATCTCCGCTGGTCATTTCGGTCAAGATGAAGTAGCTCTTGATAATATAGGGTACTGATGGTCAGTTATCTTCCTCCCATCTAGAAACTAGCTGTTTTTGGAACATTGATAATTTTGCATGACAATAATTTAGCTTTGGGCTGGACACAATGGATCCAACTTTATGTTCAGGCACACATTGAAAATTGGTGGTGGTGGTTGTGGTGGGTGCACGCGGAATATAGCAGACCATGAGGAAGATAAGGTTTAAAATAGGAAATGCCCAAAGTGAAGAACAATGGTCATGGAAAGGTGAGCGTTGCTCTGTTGAAAAACAAAGCCATGTGCTTGGCTTTTTGTGTTGCATGCATCTGTGACTGGGGAAACAAGCGAAAAAAAAAGAGGGAACCCAGTTTGCATGATGGTGCCTTTGACGCCTGGGCATGTGTGACTTGCGTTTTCTTTTTGGGCTTCCGTTCGGATGTGCAACCTTTTCACCTGCCAAGCTGAAGTAGAAAAAAAAAAGATATAAACGGCCCTTTGCAGTTGGTCTTTGGGGACCCTTGAAACCCAGCCAACGGATTCACTGCCCGATTCCATTTCCTTCCAACCCCTCTCTCTTGGCTTGAGCACTAGTCTCTTTTTATTCTTTTATAACTAGAGTTTACTTGACAGTTTCTTGGTTTCTTTCTTTATTGTTCTATGTCTTCTGAGCCAGAATTGCGATTGCGCACCAATGCTGCTGGTCACGTCGAATCCAAGCATGAAAAGGACAATGATCCCCATGACGTAGCTTCCAAACCATTGTCGCCATCGTCACCGGTCGACATGGCTAAGGATAAAAAAGAGTCTTATTCGTGCGGTAGAACTCCCAAAGGCGTCGGTAAGTAGGCAAGAGAGACTAAACCTTTTGCAAGTGGTGCGTTAACGTTTTCTGTTCTGCTGCAACGATCAGTTTTTCGAGTTCCCGCGACGAGAGAAATGGTGCAATCACTTTTAGATCCCAGGGAGAAAAAGAGCTTTTTCGACAAGATCACCTTGGCCATTATGGCAGTCGAGATATTACTGTTCTTTGTTTTGCCGCGTCCGGTCAAGCAGATCCTGTTCATCTTTGTATTTGCGTTTTGGCGCTTGGGTTACAACGTGGGACTTGGCATCCTCTTAAAGTATCAGAGCGATAGTCGGGCATTGGTTCATCTGGCGAAAAAGTACCAGATTTTCGATCAAAAGGCCAATCCCGCATTATATCAATGGCTTCAACGACAGCTGAGCATGAAGATGGGTGATGATTACAATTTCACGGTACGTGTCTGTTCCCCTTGTACTACGGTAGATCCAAGAATGGGACATTATTTCTAAACTAAGCCTTTTGCTTGACTTTTTAGACGGTACCGATCGAATACAATACTTGGCTGCTATTCCGTCAATTGGTCGATATTGTCTTGATGAATGATTTCACATCGTACATGTGCTTTGCATTATCATGGTTCAACTGGTCACCTCAATCGTCCTTTTTTGTTGGCGATGTGCTCCGATGGGCAGGCGGTCTTTTCCTGATCGTGTTCAATATTTGGGTCAAGATCGATGCCCAACGGGTGGTCAAAGACTTTGCATGGTGTAAGTTTCATTGGAATTGGGAACAATGAGACCCGAATCTTTGGACTTACATTGGCTCTTGGTCATTTAGATTGGGGCGATTTCTTCTTTTTGATTGAACAGTCGTTGACCTTTGACGGTGTCTTTGAAATGGCTCCTCATCCCATGTATTCGGTGGGCTATTTTGGATATTACGGATTGTCTCTCATCTGTGCCAGTTACACCGTCCTCTTTGTCAGCATTGCCGCTCACGCACTTCAGTTCCTGTTCCTTGCCCTCGTTGAAACGCCACGTGAGTTCTCGCGCGACTGTTGGCGCGTGCATTTTCGTGGGAGTTATTGCAGACTAACTAATGTAATCTTGCGTTCCACAGATATTGACAAGATCTATAATCCGCCTATCAAAGCCAAACGTCAACCTGTATCGCCTACCCAGGCCACAATCGATGATGCATCCTACGACGCGATGCACTATAGTACTAGCGGACGGCAATTCTCCAATCAATATTTCCGTCGTGATCTGATCATGTTCAAGAACTTTGATTTCTTCCGTCCCACCGATCTGGCTTCGGCCTTGGTGATGCTGTACTCATTAGCTTTGCCGTTTCTTATGTCCGGACGAAAAGCTGTCGTATTTGCTGTGCTTCAAGCTTTTGCCTGGCGAATTTTCCACACGTATGGTCTAGGATGGATTCTACGTGCTCAATCCACCAACAAATACTTTACTCGTCACTTTGTCAAATGGGGAGGAGGTACGCAAGAAGCTTTCCAAAACTGGAAGAGGTAGGATCACAACGGAATCCTGAGAACAAGGGACACGTTACTGATGACACTGGCGCTGTAGCCTTTACAACCTATCGCTCTGCATGACTTATATTACCTTTTGTGCCGCTTGTTGGAAATTGTACTCTCTTCCTGAACATTGGACTTATGGCACCACTTTGCTGCGTCACACTTTGGGCTTGGTAAGGGATTATTTGACTTTGAGACATTTGACTGTTTGGTAACCCGATGCGCATGTAGTTTTTTATTCTGTTACATATCTGGACTTCCGTCTCTATCTACGAAGTGCTCGGTGATTTCGGATGGTACGTACCTTTGGTAATGCATGATTGAACATCAAGGAGATTGACTCTTGTTTTTCCGTTTTTTTTTTCAGGTTTTATGGCGACTTTTTCATTGAAGCGCAAGATGGCCATTTGCTGTATACTGGCATTTACAGGTGAGTTTTCGAGCGCTGCTAAAAAATGAGATTGTAACACGTTGCTTGTTCCGTAAACGATTAGATTCTTGAACAACCCAGAAAAAGTCATGGGCCATGCTGCTTTCTGGGGAATGACGCTGATGACCAATAGCTGGATCATCTATGGATTGACGCTGTTCTCTCAGATCTCCAACTTTTTGTTTTTACATTACGTTGAAGCGTAAGTTGTTTTTATGAAAAAAAAAATTGTAGTGGTCGTTCATGACTAACATGTCCTTTTTTTTCCTGGCGCTGACAGACCTCACATGCGTAAATTATATGGTGATGAAATTCGTAAAGAGGCCGGTCTGACAAAAACATTGCGTTCCGCTGCTACTTCGATTCCAAAGACCATCCCGGACAAGTTGCAACAAGAAGTTTCCAAGCTTTTGCGTGAAAAGGCCGAAATCCAAGCGGCTTCCAAAAATGTGGAGCGAGTCGTGAAAGAAACCATGGAGAAAATGGAAAAAGCCATGGGAGAAACGGCTGGAGCGGTCAACGACATTATGGAAATTGCCCGGCCTCGACTTCAAGAAGCGATTGCGGAAGCCAAGACGTTGCTCGACACATCAAGATCACGATTGATTCCTATTGTGGCCAATGACATTGAAACGTACGATCTATCGCGCTACAGCATCAGCTTGTCTTGCAACAACAAAACCGCGTTTACCCTCGGTCAACCAATCCAAATTGAATGGACAGCTCCCGAATACCATGGGGCAAGAGATTGGATCGGCATCTACAAAGTGACGGCCAATACCAGCAAAAAGGTGACGAATATCAGTTCCCACGGCTACTGGCATTGGACCAACGCGGTCGAACGAGAAGGCATGGAAACCCTGTTCCCGCCTGAAGTCGAGATTGCCGAAAAAGGGACACTTGTCTTTAAAGGAAATCAATTACCATGGGAAGTTGGCACTTACGAGTTCCGCTATCACCATGATGCCAAACACAATGTCATGGCTCAAAGTGCACCATTCGAAATTATTGGTAAGTGAAAGAAGGCACACTGGTAGTTTTTTTTTTCTTTGTTGTAGCTCAACTGTTTTTCCCTTTTCCCCTCTTTTTAGCTCCCGTTGCACCTAATGTGGAGGATGTTAATGCGGTGGAACTAAGTCTGTTGAAACTGGTGCAGAATGCTTTGGGATTGAATCCCGATATTATGCCGGTGACGCCTTTGGAAGAGTTCGTCAGCATGGAGGAACGCGAAGCCAAGCATATCGTGTATGGTATCAAGCTCATGTATGGCGTTGAATTCGCGTGGGAAGTCGTAGTTGCCGATAAATGTGTGGCAAGAATCGCTCGACGGGTAAGTTTCGATATCGTGATTCAGCATTCGTCGACATGTGAACGTGAAACTCAAAAAGTGGTTTTTTCGCTAGATCCATCACGCTATTGAAGCGCTTTCACCTTTTGCCAGTCAATGGCGGCGGGTTTCCATGTCGACGCCTGAACTCAGTAAACCGTCGTTATCGTCTGATTCCCCACGGATATAAGACCATTTTCCGCCTCCCTCCTCTCTCCCTCCTTTTTAGATATCTTTTTTTTTCTTGTCACCTAACATTTTATATATCAAATAAACTTATACACATCTTTGCATTATTCGTTCTCAAAAGTGAAAAATTTAGAGTGGTTGGTAATTGGATGGGAAGAAAGGTCAACTTGTGATCATTGGGGAGCTAGTGGCTCTTGATGACCAGGTGAGACAGATCGGTGAACTGGGCAACCCGATGGTGATACAAAAGCGTCTGTGCATTTTGGTTCTTCTCGGGTGGCATGGCGGAGTACACATACAAAGGATGCGATTCGTTGATGATGATCAGGAACTTCGTCGCTTCGTGATGAAAAACATTGGCATGGAGACATTTCACTGAGAGAAATGATGATATGTTTTTAATTTACCGTAGACGCTTGGTATTGTTTTCATGCGTTGTGGTCAGTGATGCAACGCTGCGAATCCAACGGTAGACATTTTGAGATTCGGAAAGGCACATACTTTTTGCTTTGAAAGCAAGGCTGTTACATAGCAAGGAATGATACAAGAAAATGATGTTTCAAAAGACGTAGAATCTTGACAATACTCTTATAGGTTCGCTCCACGCTTTGAAATTTCCAACTGCCCCTTGACTACAAAGCTACCAAAAATAAAATGAGATATGTCCCGTAGTACAGCCGAAATACCTGCATCCCAATTTTCGAATCTTCCGCAGATGTACGAGGTTAACAAGATATAATCAAATGATGGTGCCAACAATCATTGCCGCTCTTTGAACAATGCTCCGCCATAAAGAATCCGGAGTGTTTTGATGCATATTCTGTCTTCAAAACATGTTGTACGCATCATGGTACAGTATATACGATTTTCAGTGCTATGATATCCTCAGCGTCTCCGAACTATTATTGCAAAGTAAATTTTTCCTCGATTGGTTAAAACGAGCTTCCGTGAAATTGTGGATGATCCATAGGACCTCTACTCCCAATTGTTTCTAAACTTTGTGTCTACATGTATTTCCTGATTATGATATTTAAGACCGCATAGCCTTCTCACTACGATTTTCTTATTTGACCGAGAGCAATTGTCAAGTATTTATTACTGAAGATTTTTCCGACGTTCTTTTTCGTTCCACTTCCTGGTTTGGGTGTGTTTCTGTTGGTGGTTTCCACCACGCATACTTTTCTCATGGCTCTGAATGAATTTATACGTTTCTTTCTGGTTAAAAAGATTTTGCAAAAATTTGTCGATTCTCCCACTCTACGAATTTTTATTTTGAATAATGTAATTCAGGTGACCTGCAAGTTTTTTTTTTTTTTTTTTTTTTTTTTTTTTTTTCGTTTCACGTGCAGAGAGTCTTGGTTATTTAGCCGCTTACCCTTGGGCAGGACATATTTGCTTACTGCTGGCGATAATCCATGCTGCACCTCGGGCAACATTCAGCACTACGGAAGAAAATTGATCCAAATGAAGTAAAACAAAGTTATCTGTGTATGTATACAAAAGACCACCGTGTATAAGGTTTATAGAGATGAGTTGGAAATTTTGTTTTGCCTGCAGCCAATGGTTAGATGTAGAAAAAAAAAATACAATAAGACAAGAGGGCTAAAAAGGGATAAATAGGAAGTGAGCCAAAAAAAAAAAAAAAAAAAAAAAAACCAAGGGCAAAATATAACAATAGTAATAGTTGGATCCAAAAAAAAAGAAAAAGATAAGAGCGATAGAGAGAGATGGAGAGAAAAGATTTGGTGTGAACAAAGTATGAAAATAGACAAGGCAAGGCAATAGAGAAAAAAAAGGGAAGAATATAAACTATTAAATGGTAAAAGGAAAGGAATTTTTCAATTATGGGGAGTAAAGGTAGCTGGTAATGTGGAGGATTTGGATGAAAGCAAAGGAAAAGGAGAATATGTATGTTCCAGATCATCCTGATCCATATCTATTTGAATTTCGTCATCATCATTGTCGTCTTTATCCACGGTATCATGACTGGGACTCTGATACTGATGTTCTTCATCATCCTCGTCTTCTTCCTCTTCCTCATCTTCTTCATCACTCGGCAATAATATATCAGGATCGTCTAATTCATGGGGTGGCTGGCGCCGTGGAGGCACTGGATGAGGCGATTTTCGAGACCCATCCATACTAACGAGGATGGCTGCGGCTTCCAACATTTGAACCTGCTGATGCTTGGTCAGTAGCAGCTTGCTAGTGAGCTCCCATTCATCCGAGTGTTCCCATCGATGTTTGGCCAGACAACTGGGGTGTTTATACATTTTTCCACAATCCTCGCAACGATGGATCATTTTGCTAGGTGACTCGGAGATCACGCGACTCTTGCGGGTGGCTAAGGTGGTTTGCTCGGACGGACGACGATGACGAATGGTTCGACCGCCCGTTGCTGCTGCCGCTGCAGTAGCGGATGATAACGGCGATCCATGCAATGGTGATTCTGGGCGTGGGGAATGCGACGAGGGCCGTCGGAGTGATTGGATAGGAATAGGCGACGAATGATCAATGGTATAATTTTCAGGCAGCGAAGTGGAGAAAGCCTGAAGGGTCAATGCGCTAAAATGCGTAGGCAACGAGTCTCTTCTCAGATTAACAAATGCTTCGTCCTTTACACTGCTGGCCGCCGAAAGCATTGTTCCCGTACCGTGCGGTGGCCCACTGCTATTGTTCAAAAGCCCGTCATCACCACAAGATGAGCTGGGCGGGGATGGAAGACTCACGGAAGGAATGGTTGGTTTTCCTTTACTGTCTCGTTGTTGGTTTTGTAACTGAAATGTAAGAGAAGACGACATTGAACAACACAATGAACTCAATGTTGAAAAGGGGGGGACGAGGGAAAGGAAAAAAAAAAAAAAAAAGTAAGTAAAAAAAGAGGACCTGGTTCCAAAAAAAAGGTTCGTCGGAGTTTACCTGCCTGGGCATCTTTCCTTATTAGGAAGGCACGTAGTTTTTGCAATCCCCCAGACAAGGGACGAATTGAAACAACGCAAACGGCAAAAGCATTTTGGTTTCATTTCCACTGGCAGAGGGAAAAACAATTGATGCAGCCAAAAAAAAAAAAAAAAAAAAGATGTGTGGGAAACCATAGTTGACCATGCCACTTTTTATAATAAGGAAAAAGAGGAGGTGAGTGGTCTCTTTTTTTTTTCTTTATATGCGCATCTCAATTTCTACATTCTCTTTTAGACTGTTCTCCCTTGTCCCTTTTTTCTTTTCTGGGAAAATTCAAGTAACCTCAGCAGTAGCTTCTCGAAGCATCGTTGACCGTGAACAAGCACAGCCCAAGCCATCACACTACACCAGGAACAGGAAAGAGAATGGTTGGATAAAGTTGATTACCAGTAAAAAGAACACTGGATACCTCATGTTGCTTTTTTCTGATTTACAATAAAAAAGCGAAAAATGCAAGATGGTTACGTGGCATCCCAGGAAAATTTCTGATAAGCAACGCCACCAAAGCGGCTTTGCTTGGGAATCTCGAAACGGCCAAACAGAAAAAAGCCAATGCCTGTAATACGTCATTTTCTGATAAGGATCTCCGCAATACAGCATACCAGTTTCTTCATCCTTCTTTTTCTTCTTTTCCCTTTCCTTTCTTTTTTGGTTTGTTTCATCAGCAACTGTGACTAGCAATACAATGAACGATGGCATGGCAACTCACCACTGTTAAACTCGTCTATCGTCAAGAGTTGATTATGTGAATAGTTATATCTTCGAGAATCTCCTGGATAGAAAAGCGGGTTTTTGACTGTTTCGTTTCGGTTCCTGGATTGATTTTCCTTTCTTGCCAAAAACAGATGGGCCTTCCTATCCATCGGCCAGCCACCCAAAAAGACTCACCGTTCGCGTGACTGCTCTTGTTCCATGCGTCCATGACCCCAACGACAAGTATTCGCAACAAAAAAGTTCATCAACTCAAAAGGTCAGAAGCTGCATTAGCAATGACGTATAGTATCAATAACAAAAAAGACGCACCTTATTGGTTTTTTTTTGTTTTAATTTACTCAATTTTTTCGTCCAAGCATTTTGGCGTTCATTTTATTTCAGTCACCGATGGAATCACACAAGTGCACAGACAAAAAAAAAAAAGAAAAAAAAAGTTTTGCAATATCCATGCGGATGAGTGCATCACGTAAATACTATATAATACCTGACAATAAAGAGACGGTGTCTACTAGATAATACCAAGTTAAGCAATAAGTAAGGAGCAACATTTGTAACATAAGAGCAAATAAAAAAGAAATGGAAAATAAAGCAAAAAGAATTTCATTAGATGGGGATTCACTGTCTGGGACCGTATCGTTGGGATTCACTATGGAGATCCATGGATCGTCTTCCGACGGCGAGGTAGCGTGATGGGTCCATGGAGTCCTTTTCGGTAGAAGTGGCCCCAGATGGCCCCATCATCATCATCATGGATTGGGGTCTTGTTTTGTTGCGATGGGGCAGAAACGGCTCTTTGCCTGGTACTCTGGAGGGCCATGTGTTAGGAGCATAGTCGTCCAATTTCCATGCTGATTTGGGAGGTTGATAAGGTAACGGGGTGGAATCCGCGGCGGTTTTCTCAAGGGTGCTGGCTAACATGGGCGGGGTCGGCGTGTTCGGGTAGCCACGAGGGTAAAACCCGCTGAGGGAAGCGCTGTGTTTATGATGAACATGGACAGGTGGAATGGCCGGAGCGGCATAAGAGGACGACTGCAAAGGGACATAGGGAGGCATCGGGTAACGGGAATGCAAGGAAAATCCTTGTTGTTGTTGTCGTTCATGCTGCTTTTCCAATTCTTTGGCAGAAGAAGCTGAAGGCGATCGTGTGTGTCGCCACGCTTCACCACTGACTTGTTTCAAGGCCTTTTGCAGATCCGCCAAGCTGATCTCCTCGTCGTGATCGACGGCAGCGGAAGCATGATGACCAGAGTCGTTCTTGGCATTCGATGAGTCCTGTCGTTTATGCGACATCAACGTACTGTCGGCTTTGGCCAAGGATTGGAGCGGCGACATGCCGTGGAGAGGACCGGCATCCAATGGGGGAGACACCCACAGTGACTGGTAAGAATATAATTCGGCTTCCAATGGCATGGATGCACGTCGATTGATACTGAGTCCACGATGACTGAGGGAGGGTGAATCATTATTATTCATGGAGGGATCCGAATTCATCCCCGCCTGAGGCGGAGCCCATGTCGGATCTTGACTGTTGTTGACGACCTGAATATTCTTGGCGCGCACGGACGAGTGATAACGCATTTTGGAACAGTAACGTTCATGCTGACTTTCGGTTTCGGTGTCGTCGTCTTCTTCCCCGATGGTACGCACATCTTGAAAGTAATCAATGTGATAGATTTCGGGAGATGACGATCCACATGCAGGGGGTAATCCCACCGATATCCGCTGAATCATAGGCTTACGATTGGATCCTGACCGAACCAAATGAACCGATTGCTGTGATCCACTCTTTCGAAGACCAGAAGATATCATGTCATCGGGTTGTTCGTTCAATGCTTCAGGCTGGTCGCTAGCGACTGCTGTGGGTGGAGTCACTCGGGAGGAGGGTTCGATCCAATGCTTGACATCGTCCGATCGTTTCTTTCGCAGTGAAGGCGAATGGGATTCGTCGCATTTGAGGGAAGCTTCTTGGGTGATGGAACCCGGTCTTTGAGCCGCAGTGGAGTTGGTATGGGTGGCGGTAGGTGGCGACCCACCCCGCTTTTGATTTGTAACGCGTATGGATCGTCGAGATCCCCATGTGCCTCTTCGTTTGGGCGTCATGAGGCGCGGCTTATCGCGATGGCTGACACTGGTCATATCGCTCCAAACGCTCATTTTATCGTCTTCGGGAATGGGTTCAATCGGTGGAGGCGATACTCGAATGTTGGGGTCACAGGCCATTAATTCGGCCAGGGAACTACGCCACTCGCTAATCCATTTCATTTTTTCCACGGATAATGTCGGTGCATGATACCGTTTTTCGTACTGGGATGACGGAGCTTCCGGTCGATCGTCATGGATGGGCGGGTGCGGGCGAGGAAACGAAGATGAAGGTGGATGATAAGACGAAGAATCATGCATGGGCGATGGGGTGGGCGGGATCTTTTGAAAAAGTGGCATGGTATCATGTGGTTCCGGTGGTCCCACGGGATAATTTGAGTACGAAGGATACATCATTGGTGTGGTTCGTGGATGGGGAGACTGCTGCTGCTGCTGCTGTGGCAATCCACCAGCATGAAGCGGTGGATGCGGTTGTGAAAGTGAGTGGGAAAGGGCAAGTTGCGAAAGTGGTTGAATTGGCGATGGTTGCGGGGCTTGGTGGTGTTGTTGATGTTGATGTTGATGTTGTTGTTGTTGTTGTTGTTGCTGTTGCTGTGTGATGACTTGTTGTCGAATGGCTTGAGCGAATTTCCACATTTTGGTGAGAACGAATAACCATCGTTCGAGATCTTTTTGTTTCTGTGCTTTCATGATGTAACATTGACCGTCAAAGGTACGTACGCAGAAACATCGGGATTTGGAGGAGGAGGAGGAGGAGGAAAAGGGAGATTTGAGCGTGATGGAAGGTTGTTTGGCGGGTTTTAACACGGAAACGGCGGAAATGTTGGCAATATCGACAGTCCATTTGGGTAACTGGTAGTAACTGGCCAAGACGGGAGGAGAAGCGCCAGCGTCGGCATTGGGATTGGCGGAAGAGGTGAGTCTTAAGGTCTTGTCTTTGGGTGTGGCGAGGAGAGGCGAGGTAAGTGAGGTGGCAAAAGAAGGAGACGAGTGAATAAAGCTGAGTTGAAAGTCGGTATCCAAGGGAGCATCCACGGCTGTGTTGGGCGGCAATTTAACTTTACGTGACGATAAGCAAGTGAACGACGTGCCGTCGAAGCGAAAAAGGCGCCATTGCCATTGTTTCTTGTCTGTACGTAGATACAGATGACCTTCAAACACCGGTGCTGTTGCAGGCACTTCGTGTTTGTAATTCGGTAACAATGAAGCCAGATCTCGGCCCGCCGTAGCGGACGGCGAACTATTGAAATCGTGATGATGAGTCATCAATTCAACGAGGTTGATAAAACTTGGTATATTAGGAGGTAAATACAAAAAAGAGAAATAAGAAAAAGAAAAAAAGTAAGGATAAGGAAAATAAAAAGGTATATAAAAAAATAAGAAAAAAGGGCAGAAAAAAAAATTAAAAATGGGTCTCTCACAGTTGAAGAAAAAAAAAAAAGCTTTGTCGCGGTTTGTCGTCATCAAAACGCTTCACAAGTTCAATTTGACTAGGAAATCCTTGTATTCATTCTTTCGGGATGCAATCATCGAAAGAGCGAAAAAAAAAGGGCGCGAGGGTAAAGGGTAAAAGGGGGAGAAAAAGCGAAGGGAGAGTTTAGGCCTTCGATCTTTGTGATTCTAGTTTCAATTCATTCATCGGGCGGGTTTCAACCTATTTTACTTTTTAAAAATAACGGAAGTCAAAGACCTCCTACTCCTACTTTTTGTCTTTCTCTTTATTCAAGGGGATTTCTCTATTTCCGGTTAAAATGGGAGAATCATCCAAGATTATCCTCTTCGCTTCATTCACACACACATACTGCTCAGCACATGCATTCAAAAATATGAGAGCGAGAGAGAGAGAAAGAGAGACCATCAGCGAGTTTAAAGCATGCATTGACATGGAAACAGCCGATCCTTTTTTTTTGTTTTGTTTTTGTAACAATGGCCCACTCTTTTTTAATGTTTTATTTTTGGTCGATCCATGTGAAATCAGGCTTGTTATGTGCATTGAGTGGATGAATTGCCAAGCATTTTCTCTTTCTTCACGAGTGACGTAAAAAAAAAAAACAAGGTTGACTTGGTCATTATAGCATGTATTGTATGCAGGCATTGAAATAGGAGACAAAAATCCATGGACGGACGGACAGGAACATTGCAGGTTTGATGGCTATTCTCATTTTCCTTTGTATTTTCCTTTTTCCTTTTTTTGCCATCCTGGGAGAAAACAAATAACCAAAAAAAAAGCGCAACTTTTTTTTTTGTTTTCAGCGTGGCCCGCCCGGTGATGAACTGTAAAAAATGGGCTGAAAAGGCAACACAAAAGGTCAGCTTGAACTTGCCAGTAATAGAAACTTTTGTTGACTGATAAAAATAGAATGCAGCTGATGCAGCCTAATACGGCAACATTTTCAGATGATGATGTGTATGCGATTGAGAATTCTCTGTATTGTTCCCAGTCGTCAAGAAGCCGTCTACATTGAATATAATATCGATGCATCTGTCAAGCACAAAAATAGTTAAAAACAATCGAGCGGCGGGTCCACCACACGCCATGTTTTTCCCCTTTTTTATTCCCTTGTTTCCCTCGTTTCTTTTTTCTTTTCCATTCTGTATTTCCTTGTTCCATCTTGCCACCCAATCCACTTTATCTTTTCTTATTATTCTGAATGTCTTAATAATAATAAATGCTAAAAGAACGTCTTGCACAAAATAGGAAACCACCTTGTCCAGTTCAATCGGTCACGAGGACAATAAAAAAAAAGATGGGATTTGGTGCCATTCCAACCATCATCCTTTGGAAAAAAATAAAATTGAGAGCGAAGGCGGAGACCGAAAAAGTGGCTTCCCTCAGTGTGACAGTCAATTCTTGACCTTGCGCATTGCTTACCTTTTCCAAAAACCGCAACGTCCTTGACACTTTTTTCAGTAAAAAAAAAACTATCGCCATGGCAGGTCCTAAATTAGAAGTGGTCAAGGTAACCATTTGCAGTGGTAAAAAAAGGTTATTCAATGCTTGATACTCATACTTTGTGATTCGATTCTAGTTTGGTTTTTATGTATTTTTCCCTGTGGGTGTCATGCTGTACTTTGGCGGACCCGACTTTTACGATAAATATGTAAAGGGCCTCAAATTCTGGCCCGATTACGATACAACCTATGTAAAGTGGTCACTGCCAATTTAGCTGATTACTGGTGAACGTGACCTTTTTCTCATTCCTTTATTTTCTCTCACTCTCTACAGCAACCTCCAAAGACATCGGAAGAGGTCCGCGGAGCCCTCGACAGAATGAAGGCTGAACGGGAAGAACGATGGAGAAAAGCATATCAAGCAAGACAACAACAACAGCAATCGGAAACCCAGAACAATGAGAAATCACTATGAGACAGAGACTAACGGTTGATACTGACAGCTCAGACATTTTTTTCCTATACTTCCATGTAAATTAACTAATTTTTTTTTTCAAAATTTTTATTCTTGTAATAATGCAGTATGAAGGAACAAAATACAAACGGCAAAATGAAGGGAAGCGAAACGAGAGAGAGAGAAAAAAAGAGGCATTTTGACACTGTACAGTACATGGGATACCATGGAAATGGAGAGAAGAACAACAAAATACATTGCGAATGAAAAGCGGGAAAATTTGGATGTAGTTTTTTTTCTTTTTTCTTTTTTCTTTTTTTTACCGGTCAAGCCAGAGTCTATTTTTTGATCGTAACAAGCGGAAAGCGCCAATGGGAACACGCTGCCATCGAGACAGATCGCGCGAGAAGCGGGATTCCAACTCATCAGGATCAGGGGAAGGCGACCGGGAAGAGGAGCGAGTGTAGAGTTGGGAAGTGTCCACCAGTTCATCCATCGAGACAGGAACTGGCTCAGTTTCAGCCGTTGGTGAACAAGGGGAAGAGGAGATGGTGGGTTCGGTAGATGCAGTTGAAATGCCGTCGTAGAATGAAGAAAATGTCGAATGATTTGCCAAGGCCAGCCCGGTGAATGAATTTCCAGAAGGTCGTCTCCTTCGCTTGTTCTTGGATGGTGGCTATCAAATTTTTGAACAAATAAAAAATTAGACTCAAAAAAAAGCAAATGACTGCATCCATTTCATTCTTTCTACTTACGTCCATGAGACTTCGTTTTCGGACAAGATCTTGGAATCCCAAGGAAGGATCGGGATCCAGTTGCTCCGTTGTAAGGTTCATATCAGTGGCCAGATTACCCAGACGATGTGAGAGTGTATTGATGGACAGTGGAGATCCATTGGAGGCTGATAAAGGATTGGCGGTCGGTTTTGGAAGAATCTGTCGGGAATTGGTGGGGATCGGTGCAAAGGGTTTCTTGGTGGAAGGGGACACCGAACCAGGAATCGATGAGGATGATAAAGGGAATGCTAATGAGGAAGAGGAAGACGAAAGAGGGTCGCCGTAACCGCCGCATGGTGTCGCCGGAGCGGACATGGATTTCTCGGGATGAAGAGCTGCAGACGAACAGATCTTTAACAGTTCCAATAATTGGTCTTGAGTCAAGGACAAATTGTTGGCAGTGGTGGACGATGATGACGACGAAGAGCCCGCACAAGACAGCCCTGACGGATCCATCGTTGTTTCCGTGGTCGCCAAACTCACCGAAGGTAAAAGAGCCGCTGACGAAGTCAGAGTTTGCAATACATCGTTGGCTTCCTTCGCTTGAGCACCACTCATGTCGTCTGATTTTTTCGTGGTCAACGGCAATGCCATCGGATCGTTCGAAACTAACAGTGAGAGGGCCTCCAAGGGGTTGTTCGTAAGTGAAGAAGACACCGTGTTGCTAGTCTTCGTGTTTTCTTGCGAATTGGCCATGGACGCTTCCATGTTGGCATCGTCCGCAGCAGCAGGGGTCGTTGCTGCGGTGTCATTGGCGTCTGAAGGACCCGGGTCGACATTGGTTGAGGAACCCATGACATCTGGCAGAAAGGAATGTGACATGTCCAAATCGTCGCCACCGAGAACATGGGTCGCGTCGATGGCAGGAGGTTCCATCACAACATCATCGAGGGGCATGTCCGCAAGAGGGGCCAACACCTGCAGAAATGCAGCTGCTATACTATCGAATAAATTGGTGTGATCATCGGCAAAGGGTAAAGATTCATGCTGACCCAGTGATCTCTCGGGGTCATCAACCGTGTCCAAACCGTGGTCGTCATCGTGGAAACGAATATCGATATCCTCTTCGTCGTCCTCCTCTTCATCCTCATCTTCCGAAGAATTCCATCGACTGCTTACTTGCACGTAGTACTCGTCGTCAAAATCGCCGTCTGGACCGAGATTGTAAATCTCTTCCTCAACGTCGTCGTCGTCGTCAACCTCCTCCTGGTCTCCCACCGAGTACAACTCATTTTCGTCGATCCCTTCCAAATCACTGTCTTCGTCATTGTCCAAATCGCCGAGATCATCATCATCTTCCTCTTCGAATTCTTCAATAAGGGCTCGTTCTTCTTCCTTTTCGATATCTTCATCATCACCCGAATCGATGTGCACGCTGCTGTAAGATCCTGAAAAGGGGGACATTTCAGAATCATTCCCTACAGAATGCGCATCGTTCTTGATCTCCTCTGCATCATCTCGATCGTTCTCATCATCCGGATCGCTGACGGAATCAGCATCGGAATCATCATCATCAGGTCGCTCCTGCTTGAATAACGCAACATCGTCCATGGTATCCTCATCGTCCACATCATCCACATTGACTTCCTCTTCATCGGAGCCCTGAGATCCCCGTCGCACCTTGCTTAGGGCTGATAATGCTTTCCGACTTGCCAACGGCTGCGACGTCGTCCCGTTGGATTTCGATGGTCGCTTGGGAACCTTTTTAGTCTTTTTTGCTTTACGCTGGGCTTTCGATTCCGAGGGTTTTTGACTGACATCGACTCCGACGCGTTCCACGACGTGAGGATTGGCAACATCCACATCGGCTTTTTTGGTGTTGGCGGAGGGGCGGACAACAGCCGCCGATGTATCGTTGATTGCCCAGATATCCGTGCTATTGGCAGTTTCGGTCGGTTTTTCAACCGTCACTGATGTGGTGGTCGTCGATTTCTTGGCCGTCGCGGTCGCGGTGCCACACGTACATTCGGATTCACATACAGGACAAATATCGTCTAAATCTTCTTCGTCCTCTTCGTCGACCGGCGTCACCGTCACGGATTTGGGCGGTTCCATGGTTAAAGGCGGTGATGGCAACACAGCTTCAGGCGGCGTCGCTGCCTTTTTGCGGTTATTGGTTGTAGCAGATTTTTTCGGATGGGAAGTGACGTTATTGGTTTTTTTGTTGTTGCCACGGCCTAATGACGGACAACACGATTTGGAGTGAGCATGGGTTTTTCTAAAAAGCTACGGTTGTTGGTTCTGATTACCTTTTGCTTTCTTGCCTTTGGAGGAAGCGCTGGTAGCGGCGGCGGCGGGGATGGTGATGGTATTGCGCGGTGGAGTGGGTGTTGGTGGAGGTGCTGCTTCGCTTTCGGCGGCCTTGGCAAGGGTACACTTTTGGCAAAAATAATTCCCCGTCACTTTTTTGGGTGTCATGCCAACACATCGTCCATGAAACCATTCTAAGTAAAGCAGAGACCATAAGTGTAAAGAAACAGATTCGATCCCGGAACACCCGGGATTATAATGATAAAAAAAAAGATACGCACCTTGACAACCATCACAGGCCACCATAAATTCTTTGCCATCGTATCCTTTGCGACAAATACAATATAGTTCCTCGTTATTGTCATGGTGATTCTTGGCGATGGACCGTTTTCGTTCTTTGGGCATGGGTGGATGAGGATTCTTTTTGCGATCTTTGGCTGATTTCGCTTCTGTCTTGGGTTTGGTATGCTGAGAAGGAGGATTCGGGGTGGGAGGTTGAAGTTTTAATGATATATTCTTTTTTCCTCGTCGTTTGATCGTCTTGTCAGTTTTTGTCTTTGTTTGGTTACTTGGTTTCGCACCCGTCTTACGACCATGGTCCGTTCTTTCGTAATCGGCATCGGAGTGTTCCGAATCAGAAGATAATGTAGATCCGTCCGAGAGTTGAAGAGACAAGTCCGAATCGGATAAAGCGCCTCGAGAATGCTCACTCATTCGAATGAGTAGATCAGAAGCAAAACGCTACTTTCTATGTGACGTATTATTACGGCCAAAGTGGATCGTCTATTTTTCTTTTGTGTATTTCTACTTTTTGGCTCGTGGGTTTGAAGCGCAGGATTTCCAATCAACGGAAGGGTCGTGTTTACTGATTTCGGTCCACGGGCGTCCAAGTAAGGTCTACGATCGTACGTCTAGTGAATAGCTGATGAACGTCAGTATTATTTCTGTATGAGGAAAAAAAAAATTGGCCTTTTTTTTTCTTTCTTTTTGCGCGAGTAGGCAAGCTGGAACTCAAAAAAAAAAATGTAAGAAATGACTTGGAAATTTCGACGTCCATGTCGGAATTCCGATTTTTTTCATGTGCCACATTTCTGTTGAACAAAAAAAAAAAAAAAAAAAAGATCTTCAGACGAACATATGAAAAAGAAAAAAAAAAGGATGATATCAATGTCATCAATGGTACTTCTGACGCTTTTTTGGTCATTCATCCTTTGCTTCTATGGTTATTACAGTATGGATCAGGTTATATACATACAGAAATTACATAATTTTGACATGTTGGACGTCATCTGTCAATGAGGATTTGCCTGCTGCCAATTTAGTATTTTGACACATCACAAGTTCCTGCTTTTCAGTGCAACCCAAAAATTACCGAGCTGGGGTTCAAAAAGGGAAACAGAGTAAGAAAAAACCCCCAATTTGTTCGTTCATCTTGCAGAGTTGATCAGGGAAAGACAAGGATATGAAGCATGGCCGACACCAATGATGCATTCGAATCTTTGGAACGTATTTACGCTATTCGAGATCGCTTTCTACAAGGTCAACGACCTCGTATTTTGACCGCCATTCTTCGCGGGCCATTAAACGCTTCGCCATGGTCCGACTCATCTCCCTCTTCTCCTACATCAGAGGTAAACAGGCGTTATCGTGAAGTGAACACCAACGAACGAAAACAGCTTATCCCCAAATGACCATTTGTTAGAACACGAATGGTATTGTGACTGAAGTCTCCGAGGTCGCTAATGGAGACTCTTTAGCAAGAGACACGACCACCGGGTCTGCCGCAGCCATCAATAACGTGGACAGACACGCTGATACAGGAGACCCAATCGAACAACAGCAAGAAGAAGACGACCCCACCATCCCATATGATTATACCGAACCCGTAGACGGTGAAGAATGAAACATGAATACACTTGTAAATAGCCACGTATGTACAGAAGAAAATTGAAACGCAGAAACAAGTTGTCGTATCTTGAAGAAGCGATCTATCGATGAACATGTTCATTATAAGCGTGGTTACCACAGCAATATGACCTAGTTCCATGTGGTCTCATGCATGAGCATAAATGACATTCACTGACAAGCACGCATGCTGCTTTTTTTTCTTGAATATACAAGACCAAGGAGAGCTTGCGCAATGATAGATGAGAAGCCGAGAAAAACCGCAGCGCTCCATATCTGAACGTGTTCATCCATATAAGTAGCGATATATCACCATTGGCACTCACATGTTTGGTGTGCTTTCTTTCATTCGATATGTCAATTTTGGCTTGCTTTTATCACCAATTCATGACTAGTTCTCTCTAGACGATGACACAATACTGTATCTTTCTGGACGCACGAGATATAATTACGTTGGTTGTCTCCTCCATTGGACCTTTTTACTTTATTACTTCTTCCTCGAGTATCTTTTATTTTCCCCCCAAATTTCACCAAATGCCCCTTTTGAAACAGATATTAAATATGCTTTGGTCGTACTGTAAGCGATTAATGTGCTACAGTCTCTATTTTGCTGTATTACTGCTCTACGTGTATTGTTTGGATCATTATGTGCTATATCACAATGGAACCACCCTATTCCCGGGCAACGTAGCTGGCATGGTGCTAGCCACCGTTGTTTTGCTTTGCTGTCGATGGAAAATACCAAGGTACACTAGCCGCTTTCTGTTGTGGATCGAACCCTGTGCTTCGTTTGCCCAACGCAACATGACCGTCCTGTTCCTTCCCAGCCTAGTGAACGTCGTAAACTCAGTATCCGCGGAAACAAATTGGAAAGACCAACTTCCTCGAGTACTTCTTATTCTTGGTAAAGTAACCCTGTTTGTCCTATCCCTGCCATCTGACTTTTTTTCTTTTTGTTTCTCACCACACGGCATGGATTTCAGTCATCGGTTACATAGTGGTATTTCTGTTCTGCACGATCATCGTTCGCTTTATTCGATGGACGTTTTATTTTGGGCAAAAACGCCTCGGTATGTCAAGGCGACAGTCGTCGATTGATGGATCCGATGCCGTGCCCGACAATGTCAGCCACATTGTCACCGTCACACCGCCACAGGAAGTGCAAGCTGAAGCTAAAGACGAGAAGCTCCCTGATCCCCCAGTTGAAAGCGAAGGATTTAACGTCTATGTTCCTATTCACATTCTTGTGCTCTCTTTGATTTTCGTCGTGTGTGCTCTGATCTACAATCTTCCACTATCCGACACATCGGTAGTGTTTCGACTCGCGGAAATAGGCTTGTCCCTGTCCATGTCACTGCTTGCTTTCGAAGCCTGCAAATCATTACCCGCCGCCTTGCTCGTTTGGATGCATCCTCTTGTATTGGCCGCCCCAGTCGTCATTGCTGGTTTGTCATACTTTCAAGCGATCAAGGGCCGGGATCTAAGCACAGGTCTGCAACGCTATCTTACGGAACACAGTGCATTGCCTCCTTATGACGGATGGCCCGGAGCCGGCAATATTATGCTGGCGGCGATGGATGTCAGCATTGTCTCGTTGTCTGCCACGGTTGTATCTCAATCTTTTGCATTTCAAGAGGTAAGCATTTTTCATGGTTCTCTCAGGATGGTTAGATAGCCTATTCACACCACGCTCTGCTCTAATGAATAACCATCTCTTTTTTTTTCTAGTTGTGCATCACCGTCATTTGTGCCGTCGTGATGGTCTTCGTGGCCCTCTTTCTCGTCCCTCTTACAGCCCAAGGCATTGGGATGACGCCTCTTCTTAGTTTGGCCTTCACGACACGCTCTGTTACAGCAGCCATTGGTATCACCATTAGCCGTATGGTTCACTCCAATATGAGTATCGCTGGTTGCATTATTGTCTTGACAGGCGTGATGGGGCCTTTGCTTGGACCCGTCTTGCTCAGATTAGCCCGTGTGTCGAAAGGTAAGTAGCTTGGCAATGCTCAACATCTTCCTACCGCTCTTATTCAATGCAATTCCTTAGATGATCATCTCACTATCGGCGTCACTATGGGAAGTATATCGCATGGCATTGCCACAGGTACAGTAATTTTAATGCTTTCTTGCTTGGTATGGAAGGCTCAAGCCTTTTTGGAATTGTTTGCACATAGCCTATCTTTACAATACGAATCGTCCCGCGGCGGCAATGGCAAGCTTAGCATTCACTCTGTCGGCTGTTGTTGCTGTGATCACCGCTTCTATTCCACCCTTGGCTACGGCTGCCCGTGTTACGGCAGGATATTCCCCATAATGCATGATAGACCAATAGATATGGCTAAAAAGAGCCAAAATTCATTTTTTTACTTGCTAGAATATCATACAAATAAGTACTAGAGTAGAAACCTATGTAGCTCGACCTTTTTTAATTTTATTTTTACTCGGCCATTTCTTCCTCAGGGGCTCCTTCATAGTACTGATCGACAAGTTTGTTTGCTAGAGCATATAATTCCGGATCTGGGGCTGGAGCCACAGCTGCCAATGCTTCGGTGCTGTCTGGTGTATTGCCCATGATCGCTTTTCCCTATTGAGTATGGCATTAAACATGTGCAAACCCTACTATATAGTTCCATTGACATACTTGTGGCACTCGATTCAATAACAAGTCAACGTAAGTCAAACCCAGCCGGATCAATTCGGCATCTTGCGAACGCACCAAGGCAAGGAATCCTGGTACCAAACGCAGTTGGGTTAAACGCTCAGCATATTCTTCTATCTCTTCTTTTCCTTTGCACACTTACCAGGTAACACCTGCTCATGCGGCATGGAAAAGAGAAACTTTTCACCGTGCAGAGCCATATTCATCAAACAATAAGCGGCCTAAAATCCAAACGTAAGACGCTGGGGGTGACTACCTAGCTATCTTCTACCATCTTACCCCTTTACGGATATCGAAGCCACCATGCGTGACGAGGTTAATCAATAAGGGTGCAGCACCCGCATTTTCCACTTGCTCAATGACTTGATAGCGTTCACTACCGCAAAGGAAGAAAAATGTCAGCAATTCCCGTTTGTATGAAAAACGGTCAATGAGGTTTGCAGCATACTTACGATGCAGTGATATTCGACAAGACCCAAAGCGCCTCTTTCTTGACAGCCCTAAGAATGATCGAAAACAGCCGTTATAATTTTGTTTTTGTTTTGCCATGACGACGTTGGATTATAGGTCTCCGACTTGCCTGTGTTCCCCTTGCGTGAGTTTGACCACAGTGGCCAGGAAGCCAGGTTGATTCAAAAGTTTATCGATGGCATCATCGGAATCCCCTGCGATATTGCCTAGTGTACGCAACACGGGTAACACAATGGCTCCATCCACCGATAGTTGTTTCAAGGATTTGACCTTTAGGCACTTGTCAGCCACTTGCACAACGCCAGGCCATTCCTCTTACTTACCAATGGAGTCAGACTCTTGTCCTGAAGGAGTTCCTTGCGGAATGTCTTGCTGTTGGCACTTAAATAACTCATTACCCAACATACTTCTGTGGTCGTGTCAGCCTAATACGAGCCATTTGCGCTCACAATATAAGTAAAAAGAAACCCGAAAATAAAAAGCAAACGCAGGTTTTTACCGTGTGATTCGTGAGATGTTGCACAAGTTTATCGTAAATGCCTGCATCGAGAAATTCGCGCAATTCGTTTTCAGAAGCTCGCGCCAAATTGGCTAACGCAAAACAAGCCGATTGGACCATGCGTGAATCCTAGAAATAGTGAAAAATTCGTTAACTGAAAAATGTTGAGAAAACAAAAAAGAGTTCCCTTACTTTGGTGTCAAGCATGCGTATCAAGGGGAGGACCGCTCCATTCTTTCGAATGGTGGCTCGTACTTCGTCATCTTCGGTTGTCATGTCGCCTAAATCTTCGGCTGCCATGTTTCCGATGGCACCCGCCGCGATGTCTCGTAAAGTCTACAGAGAAACCGTCATGAATTTCCCGCCAACACTGGGTTTCTTTTTCCAACTCCTCAAATAATCAACATACGACGTTATCAGAATTGAGTAAACCGATCAAGTAAGGGACCGTGGACACAGATTTAATCCACAGACTGTACGGTCCAGCGGCGATATCTAAGCAGTACACTGTGAGAAAAACCATGTCATCTCTCTCACAGTGTTGCAGAGCCGCTTACTCGAAATAACCTTGGCACTTTGAATTATTTCATCTGGGTCATGGCTGGATAGCATTCGCTGCGAGAAATAAAAAAAGGCCAGCATGAATGAAAAAAATGAAGCGAATGGTAGAAAAAAAAGGTTGTCTTTCTCATACCGTGAGGGTGGCAATACAATCGCCTTGGGTGATATAATCAATCAGCGCTTGAGCTGGTTCCAGTAAGAATTTGCCCAGATATTCGAGCGCTTCAAGGCGAACGGTTTTTTCCCCACTTCGAAGATCGCGCGCAAGTTCTTCAACTTGAGCAGCCGACAAACGGTAGTAAGGATCGATATCAGCTAAAATAAATGGGACCCATGACCTTTTAGAAAGTGTTCACAGAAAAATGGGACGGCGGTCTAAGTATTCACAACGGTTTGAATGGTTTTCTTACCATCATGAATATTAGCAGCGTCGTCTTCTGCGTCGGATTCTCCCGCACTTTCTTGCTCTTCCCGTCGAGTCAAATGACGAAATCGTTTGGCAGTAATGAGCTGTTCACGATGCTTCTTCCGCAGTGATTCATTAATGGCCACTCGACGTCGTCGCGCTTCTTCGGGATCTCTTGAAATACTTGTACGCTTATACAAAGCGCGATGTTGCTTTCGACTGTCACTCATATCACTCATTTTCCAGAATTATGGGGGGATTGTCAGAAGGTCAAACAATTAGCCTGGGAAAGGAAAAGGTAAAAAGGAAGATTCAAATTCATGCAAAGCTTTTATTGGACACAGGTGATTCGTTTAACAGTCACATCGAACGGTTTCTTCATTTGGCCCGCCTTTCCCGCGGTCCAGAAAGTTGCGCGATTCATGCAGCAGGTCAGACAAAAAATCTTTCTATTCAGATTCAGTCCGGATAAAGTCTTTACATCTTTCGTAAGCATGGACGATAATGTGGGACCCTCTTTTTTTTTGTAAAACATAGAGTACCGTATCGCATAGACAGGGACTGCCAACCACAGCAGGTGATATGTATTGCACATCATTTACATATGTGTTGTTATTTTATGGGTTCAAGGTATGAGCTCATTCTTTGGGCGGCTTTTGTGCCATCTATGCTGGAAGAAACGCGACTAGAGTGTCGCTGTCCAAAAGTGTTTTATGACAATCATAGTTTTTGTATACAAATACATTGAAGAAAAAATCCATCTACTGTAGTAAGGGGAAATAGAGCGGGTGATTTTGTTTTGGCGGTTCTAGGAATTTTCAAAAATATTAGAAGGGGATGGTGCTTGGTAGTCTTCGAATCTTGCAAAGGGCGATACAGCACTGCTATTTTTCCCCAGCGCCGACCGCTGACCATGCGAGACGGAGGAGTGTCGAAGAAATGGATTGGGTGAAGGCGATCTGGAACGAGCTTCATCCGGTAACCCAGATGCACTTGAAACGGTGGCGACGGTGCCTAACACACGTTGCCCTCGGTTCCCTTGAGAAGTCGGAACCGACTGATAATCTTGCGATCGAGGCCTTGCGGTGGATCCATCTCCAGGTGACCTTTGATTTGCTGGTTGTCCATTGTTTTTTGAAAATAAATTGCCCAGACGGACTTTGACGGCGTCGCCAAACGATGCCAAAGGATTGCTATTGTTGCTGTTAGGTGGTGCTGAACGGAGCTCCGCATCACTGTTTTCATCTCCCGATATGATCGAACTGGCTGCGCTTCCCAAAGAGGATGTCGGTGGTGCGCGTCCGGACAAAATCTCATCAATGCGACGATCACGTTCGTGTCGTAGAGAGGCATTGAGTGGGGTATAATGTGAGCTGGATGCTCGCGAAGGAAGATCGCCGTTCAATGGCGGTGAAGCCGGGCGTCCGTATTTGTTGGTATAAGCCTACATAACATTGCATAAATAAATCGCTCATTTTTTTTTTTTTTTAGCCCAATCTATATTTGCTTTTACGTTACCCCCAATGCGCTGCGGGCTCGACTTAGCAGGCCTCTTTGAAGGCCGATTTCGGGATTCAGGGCTTGCTCAACTCGCTTGCGTTCTACGATGTCGCAAAGACCTTTTTGTTCAGTTTGGCAATGTTTCTCCATTTTCGGAGATGTAAGCATACATCACCTTCATCAATCAAGGCTCGTCCGTCGGCGGCGTCGGCATCGAGACGAATGGTTCCTTGAGCCTGACCCGCCTCAGCATCGTGGTCATCGTCATCATCATAGATATCTTTCACGCCGCACCAAGCAAGACATCGTCCCTGCAGATTAAAAAAGACCGCCAAAGCAGGCATCAGGATGACAATAGGAAACCAATCATTGAAAGTCGTTCCCAGAAACGGGATCAGTTCAGCGTGACCCATAAACTGAAACACCAAAATATGATCAGTTATTCCTGCATTGACCTTTAAAGTTATCGCTGGTGCCGTACCTGACTGAAAATGGATGAGTTTGTACTGGCAACATTGCCTGACAAGTTGATGTAATTATAGCACAGAGGGGCCCTAAAAACAATCGAACCAAATAAGTCCATGTGTTTGCAATCACTTGAGAGGTGCCCTGTTTGCATTTACATCATTTTACACATGTATCCTGTGAACCACAGCAGACTGTTTTCATCAGTGTGATGGTTGGGAATGAGGATATAAAGGTTGAAGAAACGAATCTTGAACAGCGATGTGTACACGCAGATGCACATATACATCAATGTGAGGAAGGCCATGATCTGGTGAGGAATGAATATTCAAGTATGCGTGAGTCATCAATGTCAGAAGTCACAACAACGAGGACTAAAGATAAGTGTGTTACCTCTACCGCAGCATAATTTCCGCCGCATGCTTTGAGTGCGAGGGATACAATGGAAATGACCGGATTCTGGACGTTAAAGGTCAACTCGGACCAGAGAATGCACACACTGACGGTGCCAAGAAGAACGGCCAAGACACGGTAAACGATGGGGCGAATCCGTATCACCCACCACCACTCTAACAAATAGTATCCCGCGATGAATATCCTGTATCACATGCGTTTCTGTGGCAACCCATCAAATTTTCCGTACCCGATCGTGATTTAAAGTTATTCCAAGTAGTGGCGTCTTGAAGTGGACGCACCGTGGTGTGAAATTCGCTGGACGAGAGGGAGCTGTGTAAGCCTTTCTCTAGCATTTCTTTCCAGATTCAATACTTACTGGACCAAGTTGGATTTGTTCTTGATGATGTCTTGAAGATAGAATGCTTCATTCAATAAATTTTTCCACAACCTACCGTATTTGATATTCAGTTATGTCCGTTTTCGTGATGGGAATGGCAATTGCCCGACTTACGCGAGCTTTCTGTCTTTCATGCGAGCGGCAAGAATCATGCGTCGGTTTAGTTTGATCAAGTATTCCTCGGTCATGGTGCGAGGAATCGTGATACTTCGATCCCGATCGACGTAATCTGGATGAAGCACAAAAGGAAATCGGTGCACCATTTTCTCGACGAGTTTTCGCATGTATGGATCACTCACGAGGTTTTGCTGCGATATCGTATTCATGGTCTAATAAAAACTTAATATCTAAAAAATCATCATCGGGCAATGCGTAGAGACGTTATTCATTACCTTGGCAACCTCGTTAAACTCTAGCTCGCTATCAATACATTCCTCCTTGAGACGCACCGCGTTCGCATAGAGTTGCTTTAGGTGACGGCCGGCATGATCGTGGAACCACAGTTTTCGTGGAACAGCGACGAGACCATAGCCCATAAATACAATTACCAATAGCAAACCCCAGCTGTTGGCCATGGCCATGACAAAACCTTGAATCTTTTCTCTGTTTGTTTCCCAATAGAATGTAAGACGAGGAACATGCTCTTTTCATCATACCGCTCCAATGCCCACCTAGTTGTATATCCACTGCCGAAAATCAGATACACCAAACCAATGAATCCAACAACAACGTAGATCATGTAGAATCGAATATTGACATGAAAGGCGGCTCGAATCCGTTTGACAACTGTAAAATCGCCGGTGTTGACATAGGCTTGCATCATGGGAATCATCATCCTTTACAACCCCCACAAAAAAAAGCACCAGGTGTCTCCTTCAGTACCTCCGCGTGATCTACAAGCAACCGCTCGACTTACCAGGTAAGGCAAAAGGATGTCCAATAGATCGTGCGCCAAGCGGTACTGAGAAATGACATGGAGACATGTGTGAACGGGACTTTACACTCGCCTGCACATTGATCGTACATCGTCTAATGGAGGGGCAATTTGTCAACTTGACGAATGCTTTTCGTTGAAAATTGTCGTCCCAAGATACTTACGGAAGCGAGGTCGAGGGGTAGGAGGAGGACGATCCAGAAAGGGAAGAACCATCCAATGACGCATACGACGGAAACGTACCAGGGCTGAACTTTGACGTTACAATAATGAGTGACGACAGCTATGACCACCACCAGCAAACATGTGGTAGCTAATATTAACGGAACCCAGTTGGTCTGTTGTATCAAGACGGTTTCCATTGTAACATGGGCAAAAAAGCAATGCTTCAAACAGAAATAACAGAACGACTAGGTGGACGAAAAAATGGACTAAAAGAAGCTTCATCCGCCATTGGCCGGAAATTGCGGAAACCGCGGAAGCGGAATTTTTGTCACTGCATGATTACAACAGCATCTGCAATTCATATTCTGGGCACGCATTTTATTCACACATTCAAGCGATATTACAGCAAGCTCTGGTGCAGTTGCTTATGAAATATAATAGAGCAATAGTATCACATTACAGCACGGTTCTTCCTTCAGAAGAATGAAGACCGAGATGGATTATTCGAATTCATCAAGGCGTAATCGATGTGGCAAAGCCATGACTACCCGTCTGGCCAGTTATACGCGAGGTTACAAAGCCTCCAAATCAAGATTAGAATAAGATAAAAAAGTACGTAAGGAGTTACAAGCTAGTAAAGCAATCTAGCATAATATCGTCATAACAAGCCGTACACCCGCTGTGCAATGAGTGCCGCCTGCCACTACTGGAGGTCACCCCCTTACATTGAGTGGCTTTCGTCAGACAAAAAGCCTAACGCATATACGGCATACCCTGGGCGAAAAATTGATGGAACTTTGATATATTAACGACAAACTTATGGCATACGTTGCAACATGAGTTGTTTCTGAGTGTGGTATATCCACTACTTGTCGTATTATCCATCCTAGACTGATGTTCCCAAACAGGAAAGATCGGGATTTAGCCGTGTTTCCATTTCTGAGTGAGCTTCTCCATTAGAACACCGACTGAGTCCTCTTCATCCATAACTTGGATCTATCATCGAGATCAACTCATACGGGTACGCTGTCACAGCACATCATGTGGATCTTTCCAAATACATCTTACCATATGTGCAATATCTATGTGCACTTTAAGCAAAACCCTTTTCTTTCCGCATTGCCTTTTTTGGGAAGTGGCGATATTTCGTTTTCGAATCCGGATGGGGATGTCCCAAATTTTGTTTACCAGTGCTGCACCCGATAGGTTTTCCAGAGCGAATCTACAGCGGAATGATTGTCACATTATTGCGCCACGGCAACACCGATGCTAATAATGAAGGCTGGATTCAAGGCCATTTGGGTAACGCCATTGACTCGCGTCAAACATGCCTATTGTGGTTTGCTGATGAAAGAGAGGCACCTCCATTGTAGATACCGATCTAAATGCTTGTGGATTGGAACAAGCAGCTTTGGCAGGTAAACGACTGGCCAACACTGTCTTTGAAGCTGCTTTTTGCAGTGATTTACGACGGTGCCAGCAGGTAATATGAAGGACACGCTCAAAAGATGGATGGTCTTGACTGACTCGATAAAATAGACAGCTCAAGCTGTTTTGGCGCATCATCCGAATACACCGATGCAATTGGTAAAAGAGCTTCGCGAACGTAATTTCGGAACCTTGGCAGGCAAGTCGATCAAAGAGCTCTACAAGAGTGGGGTCAACCGGGATATGAATACGTATCTGAAAGAACATGGAGGCGAAACCGAAGCGGAATTTGAGCACCGTGTCATTGATGGATTTCAGCAAGTGATTGTGGAAGCGGAAAAGGCCGGGTATCAGGACATTCTCATTGTGACCCATGGTGGTCCCTTGCGTTGTCTTACGTCTTGGTGGCTCCAGGAAGCCGGTTACCAGTCGTCGGATGGCTCTGTCATTAAGCAAACCAACCATGGTAACACAGCCATTTCCCAAATTCGTTTGCAACACTCTTCGGACAACCAACGACAAGGCACCATTCTTCTATACAATTCAACCGCACATCTCAAGGATCCGACCTCCGTAGCTCCGCCTTCTGTATAAAAACTCTCAACCCCTGATAATCTCCATAGACTAGTTTACAAAGAAAAAAAATAAGAGAAATATGAGTTTTAGTTTCATTGTATCCAAAGAGAAGATCAGCCCTGCGGCGTGACAAAAAAAGTCCATTAATATAATCAACGTATATATTTGCTGTGATTATCGAGATAACGATGAGGATGAGTAGCGAGTGAAAGTGGGATGTACTTGAGACAGCTATTAATAGGCGAATGTTGGGGGAGGGGGCGGCGCATGCCCCCGCATGAAAATGAGGTGGTATCGTTTATGCTGCGAGGGCTTCATTATGAGTTCGTTGCCACAGAGAATAAAGTTCGTAATATGGATCGTCCTCTTTCATCTTTTCGCATTCGTCCCACGGTTTACTCAGAATGTAATGAACATTTTTGACTTGTTTCATGTGCCACATCGTGGAGTGTGCTACGGACAAGGTCTTTAGCGCATTGTAGGTGTAGGGCAGTGGTTTCCATCGATCTTTAAATATCTCGTTGAGAAAATCCTGATCGGGGAAAGGGTAAATGGTCAGATCGTCAATCGCATACAGCCGTGCCATCATTTCCTGAAATTTGGTGCGCGATGGATTCAACACCACCAACCCGCTGTTAAAGTAGTCGCGTTTCGTCAGGGGAGGTGTATCAGCCGATCCATCCGTCGAGAAATCCGTGTAAGCACAATTGGCCGGTATCCTGTGTGCATGGAACAGGTCAGTTACAGGTATCGTAAAGTCTGACCATACATCGTATACTCACCAATCGGACGGATATGCTTTGATGTGTTGTGGATTGCATGTGCAAGCATGAGCGGCGGCGACGCAGTCTTCGTTGTCCAGTGGCATAGTCATTAATTCATCCATATTTTGGCATGCCAACATATCGGCATCCATCAGTACCAGACGACGGAAATCGTCCTGAGCCCATACCGCCAACTTCGTCCAAGTTTCCTCAAATCGGGCGGTAAAGTAGTGCACTTTTCCTGGCGGTCGAATAGGATCAATCGGTCGCAGCTGGCATCCCGCTTGACGCAACAGCTTCAATGCTGGTTTGGTGACGGCCGGTGTATGCAGTACCAGCAGTGGATAGCTACTGCCCACTTTGCGCAAACTGTGGGCGAGGGTGATCGCGCCTTGAACGTACTGATTGGTGCTGGTGAGAACAATCACCCACGCAGCGTTGTAATACTTTTTGTTAACCATATCAAGTCAACCGGAAAAGGGGAGGAAAAAAAGGAGGAGAAGCCTTTTAGTGGACCAAAAAATAGAAGAAGATGAAACGCAAAGGAAAAAAAAAGAAGGCCAAAAGCAATGCGGGATTTTTTTACCATGTGGCACCCAGTTGAGGGAAGAATAAATTTACCGCTTTGAGCGAAATGCATCATAGTGACATCTCCGAAACACGTCAACGCGTAATCTGATTCCTCTTGTTCCATCTCAACTCGAACAAACACGTCCCACTGATATCGGTTCGGCCATCCTTCCTCCGTTTCTCCCTTTCCGTTTTTTACTTCATTGAGCATCCATTTTTTCATCGTGCATGCTTACCTGTACGTCATTTGCTATTTAGTAAGCAGCGGCCCCCGGCCCTGCTGTAACATATGAGCCCAGCATGGATTGGGAAACCAGGCCTAATGGGTGTGAGAATAGACTTGTTAGTATAGCGTCAATTGTTCAGTAGAGAGGGCTTTTGCAATCAATTCATGGGACGGGCTGTTCAAGCTGAGAAGGAATTTTATTGATTTCGCTTGAGCTGTATTTTTGTTACTGCCCTTTTTTTCTTTTGTCACAACATGGATGACCAGTCATTGATATCCATCAAGCTGTATGGCTCCAAACCACTTGTGTTTGATGCAAAAGGTTGGCTTATTTTCCGTTGACACGCGATCACTGTCATCATGCTAAAAGAAAATGTCCATAAATCGCCTAGTTGTAGAACAACTGCGCTGTGATTACCGAATCATTGGCTCGCTGACTGGCACATTGCCACGATTTCCTTTGCAAAATAAATTCTTGGGATTGCCCTTAGTTTTGATGCCAGAAGAAGTCACCTTGCTCCTCTCCAAAAGTGCGTAGTTTAGGTGTTTTGGGATACCCATACATAACCCACCCATTGACTAATGAGGTTTTTTATTTTTATTTTAGAAATCGCCTATATAGAGACTAGTACCGATATCCCGACATGGATTTATCCTCTCACTGATATGGACAGGCTTCGATACCAAGTGTACAAGTACCTGTGGTCCCAATCCTTTTATATCACAGGGGGAGCCAAGTTTGGCGGCGATTATTTGGCGTATCCAGGCGATCCAATGCGGTTTCACAGTCAATACATCATTGGCGTTTATCAACCCAAGGCGTCCTTGACCTCACTCGATATCATCACCCTGGGAAGATTAGCTACCAATGTAAAAAAAACATACGTTCTGGCCACCTCCGATGAGCAGGAAGGTGAAGCGGATGTACAACTCTTTTCGTTACAATGGGCCGGTTTCTAGTGGAGGAGAAAAAAAAAGGAAAACAAATCAAATCGGTGCGCTGGGTTTCAAAAAGAAGGAATATAATGCCATACTGTTGATATCATTCCATCTTTTTCAGCATGCTTCGACGACAACGCACCAACCGAACCACTCGAACCTATTCTCCCTACTTTAAAAACAAAAATGCCTCATCTCCCGATATAAAACAAGAGGTCAAGTCCGAGATTCTGGAAACAGAACTGGCAAAAACGGAAGAGATCAAGCCTGACATGCCGCCCAGCGAGGGATGTGTGCCTGACAATCTCGATTACGATCTACGAGTGGTCTTTGTTGGCATCAATCCTGGACTTACAAGTGCAGCCCAAAGACATCACTTTGCAGGTCCCACCAATCACTTTTGGCCATGCTTGACAGGAAGTGGTAGGATAAAAATAGAGATATTTAATTGACAAGGGGAAGAAGATTGGCTTACAGTGGGGGAAAACTTTTAGGCCTTGTGAATCGCAAAGTGACATTTCTAGATGATGTTCATTTGCCGGAAGAGTTCCGTTTGGGCATGACGAATCTGACGAATCGGGCATCCCGAAGAGCCAACGATCTGACCATGGAGGAACAAAGAAAAGGCATTCCGACACTGACGGCCAAATTTCGTCACTACCGACCTCGAGTGGCCTGTTTCGTTGGCAAGGGAATGTATGAAATCTACAATGGCGGTAAATGTATGCTCGGATTACAAGAAAAGACAGTGCCGTGGGATAACGGGCAAGGAGTGACTCGATTGTTTGTGATGCCCAGCACCAGTGGCATCGTTTCGGCATACCAAAAACCCGACAAGTTAAAGTAAGTGATCATAAAGAGAATATAAAAAGCCCTCTTTTGTGAATGTATGCTGCGGAAAAAGATCAACCACTCAAACTTTTCTCTATTTTACATGAACAGATTCTTCCAGGAGCTGTGTGCTATAGCAACGGAAGAAGATGCCAAATATCCTCCCGTCGAAATCAAATGTAAAAAGGAAGAAGAATCATCAAATACACTGTAAATAAAGAAGAAGAAAAAGGTTCACGTTGTAATAAAAACAAAAATACAAGATGCACGGTATATGAACCTTTGGGGCAACAGATGAACAATGAGCAAGCTCTTTTTTGGAACTCCTGAGGGGTGGCGTTGCCTTTTTTAGAAACAAGCCAAAAAAAAAATCGGTCACACTTTCTCCATCGTCGCGTTGGACTCTTTTTTTTGCTGTCAAAAGAAAAAAAAAGTGAACTCCATTAGACGTCTGCTGATCGGTTGCCCATGTCGTTTGAAGCGCGCTTATGCAGAGAAATTCTTGAAGAGGAATTTGGGCCTTTTGTAGCGGTAAGGCCACCGTTTTTTCATTTCGCTTGGTTTTTCGAGAAAAGCGAGTATTTTTTTTCCTGGTCTGATTCGTTTCTTATTTTCCAACAGAAAGTGTCCCATCAACTTTTGCTCAGAGGCCGCATGACCTTATTTGACGTTACTCGGTTCACGCAGTTGCCACAGAGACAAGTACGCGAGTGTCTGGTCGTACTCATTCAACATGGTCTGGCTTACTTTACCGAGTCGCTCGACGGGAAAAAGGAACCCACCTATTACCAAGTCGATCCTCGACGAGTCCTGCTGCGGTTACGCATGGCCTCCATTATGCGCGTCACCGAAGATACATTTGGCAAAGAGGTACACTCCCAAAGCACATCCCATGGGGCTTAGGAAATACGAATGGCAAGAGCTAAACACTGGTGGGTCTTACCTATAGGGTTTAGCGATTTGTCGATTGATATTCACAGAAGGCCGCATCACCTTGAAAGGATTTCACGCTTGGCTGTCTGCCAATGAAAAGAATCTTACCAATGCAAGTACGTACCTTGTTTCTATGATGCAAAATAGACAGTGCGAAAAAGTGTAAGAGAGACTGATGCGGTTTTTGGTTATGACAGAGAAAGCGAACTACACAAAAGCATTCACGAAAATGGCGGCACGACGATACATTACTGCTGTATTACCGGAACACAGTCGATCGATGATGGATCGATTCTTATCTGCCGAGGAGAAGGAGGCGGAAAAATATACCATTGCCACTGCCAAGGATCTTCAAGCTATTAAAAGAGCGGCCCAGGCTCAAGTGGATGCAGAATACGGTAGTAACGAGAATATTGGTATGAAACGTAAAGCCCATGACCCCATGGCATCAGCCAACAAGGTAAACCCGTCTATTTCTTTTGGATTTGGATAATTTTTCTCATTCGTTGGCATAGCGATCCATGTTGGATGGTCCTGAATTAGGAACTAAAGATGTAGACGAGGATGTGGAAGTCAACGAGAATGTTTATTTTTCTATCAACTATGATAAATACACCATGATTTTTCGAAACGATGTAAGTTTGACAAGTAGGCTATGGCGGGGGCAAAAGAACTGATGTGAACCGTTTTTCTGTGCTAGTCCATTGTCAATTTCGCCACCGAGCGAATCAACCGTACAGCAGGTCAGGTCGTTCAAGCCTTCTTGGATTACGGTCAAGATAAAATGAAAATAGTTCAAGAAGAAGATTCCCGTAAGTGAACCTCGAAAAAAGGACATTATCTTCCGCAGCATTTCAATTCTAATGGTACGGTATTTTTTTTTTCCTATCACAGCCTCTGCCACGCCTATGCATATTGCGAATATTTTAACCTCCAAAGACATTTCGGGCAACGATATCATCCTTCAGCCGGATCCTTTGAATCCGGGAAAGAAGCCTTCGTTCCAGGAAGCGGTCAAAGGTTACATCACGTTGTTAAAGATGGATCAAGCAGGCTTTATCAAATCAAAAGACGAACGCGGTGCCAATCATTTCTCCATCAACTTTGCCAAATTGCGAGAAACCACCAAACGGAAGCTCTTGGAAGCCTTGATCCGCGAACGTTACGGTGTAGCGACATGTCGTATTGTCAGAATTCTCATTGAAAAAGGCAAGCTCGATGAATCCCAAGTACAGAAACTCGGCATGTTGCCTCCCAAAGATACACGCGACAAGCTCGGTTTACTCTTGACCAAAGGCTTTGTTGAAATTCAGGTAAATATTAATAAAAAAGGCCGGGGGGAAGGGGCTTTTCGCAGGATAGGACGGTGGATCTAACAGGATGCGGTATTTACAGGAAGTACCACGATCGGCGGATCGTGCGCCTGCTCGATCTTTCCATTTGTGGTATGTGCCATTGGAAAAGTGTTACCAAGAGTTACTGGTGGAAACGTATCGAGTGATTGGCAACCTTCAGCAACGAAAGAAGGAGGAATTAAAGATCCGCAGTCGATTATTGGACAAGCTGAATCGTGAAGATGTCAAGCAGAATATGGATCTTTTAAGTGAAGGCGATAAGGCCGAGATCGCGCAAATGGACAAAGTGCTACAGCGATTGGAATCGTCCAAAATGCGTCTCGATGAAGTGATCATGATTCTCCGCGATTTCTAGAGCAGTTACACAAGCCACCCCTTTTCATGTAATAAAAAAAATTAAGCTTTTTTTTCAATTCTTTCATTTTAACTTTCTCAGTGGTGGTGAGTTCCGTTTGCCCATTCTGAACGGGTGACATGTATCGTGATATCAAGACGGTGCCGGCTCCTTCAGGCTGGACTCCTGAAGTAAAATATATCGACAAGCTCATTTGGTCTCCCAAAGTGCCGACCGAAGTTCGACAGCGATTCGAGCCCAAGACCAAAGATCAGGCCGATGCACGCACCGCCAGTTTTTTGAATGACCATGTCAATCTGCAAGGCTCATTTCCCACCGTGAAAGAACAACGAAGGCATATCAAGATTAAAAAAATCACCGAAAAGACCCATCCTTGCTGTGGTGCCTATGGCTTATTTGCTGCGCAAACTTTGCAACCGCGACAGCTGATTTTGGATTATTTGGGCGTAGTGGAATACGATGGTTATGATCCTACCTCGGACTACGTTTTACGCTACGGTTCCGCTTTATCCATCGATGCCGCCAAGTACGGAAACGAAGCACGATTTTGCAACGATTTCCGTGGCGTGGCCTCGGGTCCCAATGTATGCTTCTTGAACTACCTTGACGAACGAACCAACCACATCCGTGTAGGCATCTTTGTTCTCGGCAATCGCAAAATCAAAAAAGGCGAAGAACTAGTAAGTCATCTTGGGAACACCGAAAAAAAAAAACCATTCAACTCTAATATCCTTTTGTTTCTTGACAGCTTGTTACCTATGGAAAGTCTTTTTGGACCAACCGAGGCATGGACATGCACGCACAATATCACTCGACACGATAATCCCTCATCCTTCAAAATACCTCCCGACGTTTCTTTTCCCCTCTTTTCATCAACATGCCCATAACACGAAAATAGCATCTCCTTTTTGCTTCAGCACGCCCATATTCCAGAAACCATTAGATTACATAATATATGTGAATGTATATTTGATATTTGGTATTTGATATTGATATTGATATTGTTGATGCTGTATATTAAAAAAATCTTTGGGAGTTATGCAACGTTAAATCATGTGCACGGTCTCTGATTGGCTAAAAAGCAAAAATAATACATTTGATTGGGCACAACTGTGTAAAACAAAACCTGTTCTTCGGCTGCAGAAAGCGTTCATCGGTTACTTTCATTTCCTATGCACTCTGAATATCCCAAAACTCAACGTTTGGCCACCCATTTGGAAAATGAGCAAATGGTGCAATTTTTCGAAATGAGAACCCTCAAATAGGCAGAACGTGCTCATGACACAACTTTGACAGCATGGTTTGCCAAAAACAGAACGGATCCTCAAGCCCGAGCCTACCTTTTCCCTGATTTCCCAACGCAATACGTATACTACCAAAGACCACGAACATGGAGAAAACGTCAACAACGCTTTGGCGGTACGATCGGCCGGATTTACGCTGTGTCGCCAAGGCAATCCGAAAATATTTTTTGTTGTATAGCATCCCAGGTGCGCAAAGTTTCCAAGTTCTTCGCACAATTAACGGCGTCATCATGCCAACTTTCCAGGCTGCAGCACGGCGACTCGGACTGCTCTCAGATGACAACGAATGACAACTTGCTCTTCAAGGTGCATCAATATGCTATGTCCTATTTTGTTTTCCTCATTTATGTATTTATGTTCCTTTATGTCTTACTGTATCCTTTTTTTTTCCCTTATGCTGTCTTGCTTTTATCCTTATGCTATGTTTTTCCAACTCATGATTGCTTTCTCTTATGATATCTATTTTGTCCTTTTACTTAATGTTATATGATTTCTGGCTATTTCCGTTACTACTTTGCGTACAAATTGTTGTTTCTCTGTCGCGGATGAAGAAAATGATCATTATGTAGCGGTCGGGTCAGGCGCATCAGCACCTCTGGGAAAATGGAAAAGAGACTGTGTTACTCCGTTGCCTTGAATGCGCAAAGATTTATGCGCATATCGACTAAAATCTGATCGAAAAATCAATGGTCGCATAACACCTGAATGAAAGCTTATAGACAAAAGATTAGAGTTGAGAGAACACCATTAAGCGAGAACTTGGGAAACATAAATTCGATCAAGGAGTTTGAATATTGTAAATGCAGCATCCCATTCCAAACCATCTTTAATCAGAGCAACAACAAACTACAGACCGAAAGAGCGGAACTTTGTAATCTTTAAAATCAACACGCGCTACTAGCGACTTGTAAATCACATGCACTTCAGATGATCTACACTAATCTATCAGAACCTCTTATATCTTTCAATCATGCCTCTGGGAAAAAGAGAAGAAGACTGTGGACTACGATCAAGTGAAATTTACACATCTTTGCACCAGTTGTGAAACACAAGATAACCCGAATCCAAATGAAAACGGTAGAACCGTGTTATTTGCCGGGTGACATTTTCATTATCAAAATTCGATATAATATGGACGACGATTGTCTTTTATACAAATGTACAAGGTTTGACTGTGTCTATTGTCGTTCCTCATCACGCAAATCAATTTGGAGATCCACTTTTTACATGTTAAAAATCTGTTTGCAAGTCCATAGTGCCTGAAGCATAGCTGGAATATGATCTGACTTAAGAGCGAACGTAATCCTAGAGACACAAGCTTGGGCACCGGGTTTGAGCATGTGTATCACAAGCACGAATATGGCACTTTATCTATCATCAAAATAAAATTTAATCAGAGGATTTACCATGCATTATGGCAATTTCGAAGTCAGCAACGCCAACCGTCATAACAGCCCAAAAGCACCTTTGAAAGAAAAAATCAACGTCTGGAACCAAACGAGTGTCCTTTCCAGATACTAGAATACCCCATGAACTCACTAAATTCAGCATGTTAGTTTGTGTTCAACGTCTGGAGGCTTATCGCTTGAAGTTCCATTGGCGTGAGCAGCCTAGACTGCCGCAGCACAGACCGTCCAAAAATTGCGAGTCACAGAATAGATATAAAGCATGAGAACGCTGTTTTTTTTCTGGTAAATCTTCCTCTTCCTCTTTATCTCCTCATTTCCTAAAACTGTACTGATCATTTCTTCCAAAAAAGTTTCTGTTATCAAAACCTCCATCAAGGCCATCGGGTGGCGTGAAGAGTTCATCCAACCGTTGCGTGAGCTCATAGCTCTCGTCCATAACCTCACCAAACACACTTTTCTATTCGTGAAATACAGTTTCCTGCCAGAGTTGCCAAAAAACGATGGGTTCGAGCTTCACGCTTATGTCAAGAAGCCTTTTTCGTTGAAGTCTTCCTCTCGCTCACAAACAGACGCACGAGAAGCAGCACCGTCTGAGCGGCGACCAGAACCTATCGCGATCTGATCAATCCGTATGTCGAATCGTTTTGCTGCCACGCATCGTTCACGCCATCAGATCTACCAAACGCTCAGAAAATTGCACTATATCAAGCAAAGCATTATATACCGCATATATGAACAATGTCATGTATCGCTTTGGACAACATTTGCGGCGCCTGGTTAATCTGCTCCTTGCCATCAAAAACCGGCGAAATAACCTAAAGTACAATTAAAGAACGAGGGCTTATCTCAACTTGAAATATCAGCAAGACTCACAAGAAATCTACGAGCCCGCTAAGAATTTAAGCTTGATATCGCAAGAAAAAATTCACACATTGATACTCCACTTCTACCACACTATGGTTTTTTGCAACCATTTTTCAATTCCACGCATCGACATATCAATTCGCGAAGGTTATCTTGCTTATAACTCAACGAGGTCGGCGCTCCTTCACCTGCTTCCCGATTCGTACTGCCTGGTGGCCGCGGTACATGCTGATTGACACGCAGATCCTATATACGCAAATTCTCAACTTGAATCAAAGAAGCGTTAACGGACTAAGCAACCTTGATCTGTGGAGCCGGGTCGTGGATCTCGACAGAGACCTTTCAAGCAAACGAAGGGCAAAGTTTTGTCATTTTATGGAACTCTGCAGACTGATGGGGTGGGCGTAAGTATTACCAAGCAAAATACTCCAAGTCGCAAAGGAGGCCGGCAAAAGAAGATCGAGGTTCTGGAAGAGGATGTGCCGTACGTTAACTCGCTTGCTCCAACTGAGCAAAGGTGCCTGGAGGGCCGCTGTATTGATCGACCCAGGACAAAGAGATTTGCTTTTCTGCATGCACGAGTACTCCGAACCAAACGCAAGAATCCTCTATCGTTACACCTCCTGCCAGAAGGCGAATGAATTGAAGACGAAAAAGTACAGAAGGATCAGAGACATTAGTCAGCCAATTCCCAAATGTCAAGACTGGGCAGGAAAAATTATCACAACATCCCATTTCAGTCAATGACCTCGAGACGTATTGTCACAATCTAGGGGAAACCGCAAGCGTATCTCAGGTACTCTCGCATTTCTATGCGAACACGACATCAAATCTATCGGGATACCCTCTTTTCCAAAAACTACGACTCTCAGCCTGTTTCAATTAATGCCGAGCAGATTCGCGAATTGGCGAGAACCATGAATTTGTGCTTTGGATGGGACCAGGCTTCAATCATGGGAAATTGGTCGGCACCAAATGTCAAGTTCCATGAGCCGATCAGAGGTGTAGGCATGCGATGGATGCTCAAAAAACAAGGTTTCGAGGTGTACTTACTTGATGAATTCAAAACGTACTCGTGCTGTCCTGACTGCGGCGATCCGTTGGAAAAATTCAAGAAGGTGCCCAATCCCGGGCCATACCGACGAACGAAGCAGCCAGAAGTATTATGCCATGGTCTGTTAAGGTAATCGATGAATGAAAGTGGATTTGATATTGAATGTGCTTGCTCACGCTTATTCTTAGATGTACAAATCAAAAATGTAAACATGATCATGGCTATAAATTATGGAATCGCGACTTGGCTGCAGTCCTTAATTTCCGCAAGATCCTGTTTGGTCACCGAGATAACGAAAGGCCGACATTTTTCAAGAGGAAGCGGTCCGAAGCGGAGGCCTCGAGTGGCAAGGTTCCAAGAAATTCATGAATATGCCGGATCAGTTATCGCTGTTCCCACAGCTAGATGCCCTAGGAGTAAGTTGATTATTTATTTCCAAAAGTTTGCCTCACATGATGACTCATGCCTTGGTTTCTATTCATAATCTACTAGTACGGGTTACAAAAACTCAAGGCTACAAAAAATGATGATACACATTCTCTATTGGACGTGTAAAATAGTCCAATCATGATCATAGTACACTTGACGCGTATGCACGTCTTCTACATGATACAAAAATTCAAATCGACCTCGAGACAAAAAGCATAATGGAATGCTGTGCGTCACAGTATCATTGGCCGGGATCTAAGCAATCAAACAATACATGAGTTCCTGCCTTTTTTTTTTCTATCTTTGCAAACAAAACAAATTCACTCACCTCGCGCAACACGACTTGGGGTAACCCTTGCATTAATAATTTGTCCACGAGATCATACTCTTTGGCTCCGTCATTGTAACTTTGCACTGGTTGCACCCGCAAGATCAGTTTTACAGGATGAACTATACAAAGTTCTGTTAGTGGATGGCTTAAAATACAACCACCGGCGGATTTCCTCGGCAACTTGCCTTGTCTGTTGCGAATGGAGACATGCATGGTAACGAAATCGTTGCATTGACACGAAAATTGTCGATGGCCGGCTTTGAGGACACTGTTTCCCTGGACATCGATCAGGAATTCGATATCTTCCTTTTCCAGAATACTGAGTTGCATGGGCGTTAGTCGCAGCGATGCTCGTAGGTTCAGTAACCCTTGACGTCCCGTAGCACTGCATCGCCACACGCCTTTGATACGACGCAACAAATGTTCTCGATACCAAAACATCTTTAACCGTGCTTGCTCCTGTTCCGGTGGCATCTTGGGAGCTTGCGATACCACAAATTGACGATTCGGTTCCAACGAGGGTATAGATTCCAGGCATTCATCTGGAGTCAAAAAGAGACGCTTCATCGGTAACAGCAATCTACACTACTGCGTTAGCCGGGATCCTTCGTCTTATCCCAATGCAAAAGTCAATTTACCTCTTTGTGGACCCTGGTTGAATAGTGACGACGGATTTGATGGGATCTTCATCGTCTTCTGATTGCAATATCATTTCAATATTAAACGGTATGGTCCAGATATTTCGGACATCCAGTGTCACCAGGCAATAATCATTTCGATCTTGCTGAGCGCCTTCCATTTGCTGAGTCACCAACAAGAGCTTCTCGACAGGTTGCTCAAATACATGGTCACTATCAAGTTTCAACCCTCGCAAGTCGGACAATGTTTGATGCATTACATCATCCGCGACAAGACCACTGTGACGCAGATACAATACATCCCAATTAAGCGGCTCCAAGTTTTGATACACAGTTAGTAGCACAGGCAAGTACAGTTGCCGGGTATAAAAATTATCGGCGGTCACAGTCGAAGCACTCTCCACCGTTTCGGTATTACTGTCCTGCTTAAGCACCGCGCGATCAAGGTACCCATAGTCCACTTGAATCGTACCGCCCGTACTGGAACAGAAAATTAGAAAACTCACGCATCATTGTACCTTGACTGCACTCACCATCCTCGTTTGCCAAATACATTCACCACCAATTCCATATGATCCCCTGGTGGCAGCCATATTTTCTTGCCGATTTGTTGATGACCATCGCTTGTGGATCCTTCCCATGAAAAGACATGCATGCCCTTGATAAAGAGCTCAATCTCGTACTGTTCTTCCAGTGGTAATTCTGGATTGATCGGTAACGGGTGCAACGTTGTAGAATCAGTAAAGGACAATGTAATAAAATCCACAGGAATATTGCCAATATTCTCCAAATCAATGGACACATTGGTCCTACAGCGGGGCAAAAGCCGTGAGTACGCACGACTTTTATTTTCTTGTCGTGGTTCCATCGTTCAACCTACATTTCTCCCTCGTATAACATCACCGCACCGTGAAGAAGCGATGTCGATTTGATTTTAAGCAAGGGTTGATCATCAATCACATTGAGCTGATAAAATTGCATGGGCTTGGTTTCCAGGGAAGCCTCTGGGAAAAGGGCACCATCACTGTGAATAACATTATTTCAAATGTAACAGATAAAATAAACAGATACCTCGTTTACGTCCACTTTGGATAGCACGTAGCCCACTAACATTGATCACCATGTATTTAATCTTACCGTTAGCAGAGGACCATTTTTCCTCAAAGGAATCGATAAAGTTTACCTGTATTTGACCTTGATAAAATCGTCCTTTGACTGATCTTCATCTTTTTGGCCTCGTTTTTTGGGTTCGGCCGATTTCAGTTTATGGGAAACATCGACTAAAAATTCTTGTTCTGCGAATCCGACAATCTTGATGTAACAACCTCGAATGATGAGAACCCCGGTTTCATGAGGTGTGCCTGTCATGCGAAGTGTCAAGGTCCCGTTGGCGGGAATATTAGCTGAAGTAGGAATGGCCGAAAAGGGAACACCGGCCGTACTACGGAAAAAAAAATCCGAGGATTAGTGGTATTACACATGGCCTATGATTAGGTATCCTTTTTTACCTGAGGGTAATATGTTGCAGCTCAAGGTCGAACCCAAATGGATTGCAAAGGGTCACTTTGAACTCTGACACCTCATTCTTTACCAACGTCACTTGATACTGTTGCTCCGAAAAAATATAGCAAAATACGGCAAAGGGTCTCAAGTCAATGATAGCTTTTGAGAATGTGGCTAAAAGGGTTTTCTGCTTACCTTTGTATTCTTCTTTTGAGCAAATGGGTTGTAAATGAAAGGATCTCCGTTGTCTTTGGTAGCCGCTGCCACGGTTTTGCTGAGAAGGGGATGTTGATACACTGCTTTCCGAGAAATAGGCTGGAGACCTTCGATTTCCGAAACGATATTGACGCCCCAGTAGTTCACACTACGCTCGACTTGGCCAGCTCGCTTACCCAATGCGACAATATCCTGAATAGATGATGCTAGACGCATTTGCTCTTCTTTGGAGATGTGTTGATAAAGGTTTTTCAATAAGACGGTCGTATAATAAAGCATCGATGCGTAATCTAGAAAGATGTGTATCGTCAATCATTTTCGTTCAGACGTCCTCTATTCAAAATATCAGGATGCCATTACCTGGTAGTGATTCGGCCACACGGATGCATTGACGTAAAATATCGATTTGAAGAGCCGCCCATCCGAACCGCAGTTGTTCTTTATTACCCGCATTCAAACGGGCATGTCCGTCCTCGCTATCCAACGACGCCAAAGCACCACCATCATGAACATTACGTTCTGCAGCAAGAATACAATGAGCCTCGCTCTTTTTTGGCCTAAATCTTTTTTTTATTCCGCTTACCGCCTATACCATACACTTCACAAATGGTTTTTAACACTTGTAAAATGCCCGTGTCATGTTCTTCAATTTTTCTTTTGGAGGTATCCCGAGAGGCAGCGAGGGTAGCACGCCCTTGGATCAATAACGGAAGCATGCGGTTCGTGCTTTCGTACATCATCCATGCCGCTTTACGATGATACGCAATAGCGGAAAGGACCGAAGCCATTTGATTCATCAGATAAATCTATACAAGGCACTTTTTGTAAGTTGACCCAGGTCGTTTTTGTCCCCTTTCGCCCCCCCAAAAAAAAAGACAGCACATACCTGATCCAGTAACAGCACATCTTCCATTCGCGTCGACCATATCCGCATGGCCCATTCGGCAATTTCATGCCGGGGTATATTACTCTGTTTTTGTTTGGCCAGATCGTCCACGTCGCTGTAAAGTGGTTGGTGATTTCTATCGTGGCCGCCAGATAGTCGCGTGTCATTGGTCAACTTGCGCTGCACTAGCAAAGACAAGACATTTTCGCTCCAGCTGCCGTGAACGTAGACGGTGAGGAGAAATCGCGCCATTTTGGCACACGCTTCGGCATAAACGAGGGCCGGCATGGGCATGCTCGTCGTTGAGCCTACCTTGCCGTAATATTGCAATAATGCAGTGTATTGTTCCACCACCCGGCCTACCGTCGATTTGGCGCTCGCCTCCAAGGGAGGTCCAGCAGGTTCACTGGTCATACTTGATGTCTCGGAGGAGGGAGCCATAGGTGACATGGATTGTGATCGGGACACAAAGTGCTGCAGAAATTATGGAATGAGCCAACAATCCCAATGCCGCAACAGATGATTAAACTTTTTTTTTTACCCCAATATCCGCGTGAAGGTATTCTAGCAGGAGTGTGGCGCAGACAAGACCTTCCATGGCGCTGCCCAGCCAGAGATAGTCAGAGGTAGTTTTGGTCATGTCGATGGCAATATTATAACTAGAATAATGTAACCCGTTCAGCAAACGAAGGCTCTTGATATCGAGTCATGTAAAAAAAAAAGCAAGATACAAACTGTTCTACTGCATCGGGTAAGCGGCCTGCAAGCAAGTAAAAATCGGCCAGCAATTTTTTGATGCGTCCAGGCGTCCGTCGTCTTGTTTTTCCTGCATCTCCGCTGGCAGCGATGCCTTGCGCACTCGAAGACCGGCTCATGGAGGCGCCTGTCGTGGACGGTGAAGGCAGAGGCGGAGATGTGGGTGGAGGCATGGGTGAGAATTTATTGGTCGTTCGACTATTGGCCGAAGTGGTGGAGGATCGTTTGAGAAAAGAGGAGGAGACGGATTGGGTTGGCACCGGTGGTTGCGAAGCGCGATAATTCGATGTGGTTCGAGATTTGACGTCTGGTGAACTCATCGATGGCTGTGGTGCGGCTTTGGGCATATCATACGCAGCATACCCCACCGGTAAAGGCGATTCCAACGCTTGTAATTGCTCGATCCGTGAAGCCTATGTCCCTGAAAGTTATTTTACCCTGCATCGCCAAAGCTCAACGTCGTGTGCGATGAAGCTTGTAAACTTACAATGCTAGCGAACTGACTGAGGATTTCACTGGCAAAATCGCAAATCATTGTGCTCATGTAAAACGACATGTTTCCTACGTTCGGAATCATGATCAATCCTTTGGTATCATCCGGTTGGTTCTCGTTGGGATCAAAAGCAAAACATCGTGTAGCGATCGCTGTAGGATACTATCAGATCCAATGTGGATTAGAGAAGACAATGGTAAAATAAATGAAGGATGCCCCCAAAGTAGATTTTGTACCTGATCCAGGGTCTCTACGAAGCGTCGGTAGCCTTCACTCAAGTCTCCATTGTTCCATTCTTGGCAATCCATGATACCAATCACCTAAGTGACAGGATATCGCATATCAGTTTCATTGCCTTGTTCGCTTCACTCTTTCCACTGGTATAGCACACTTCCTTTCGCGCTCTTTTTTTCTATCCTTTCTTCCAATATTTTTTTTTTTTGTCTAGAGATTTTTACATAGCAGCGCCTTGCAAGTCATTACTGAATACGTACTCCAAAAATGCGACGATGAGGTTGAAAGTCTTCGAGATGAGCGTGGTCGCGCTTGTAGGTGGTCATGAATTGAAAATGCATCTGTCCTTCTTGGAATACTTGGCTGCTGAATTTTGCTGTCGGTACATGAAAATGAGAGCAACCATGGGTGGTTAGACTGATGGAGTATCTTTTGCATGTTTAGGAACGGGAACTCACCACCGGCACCTTTCTGCAAGTCGGGCGTCACGTCACCGAGCCGAACGACACTAAACTTTTTTACCAGTTCAACATGCTTCCAAAACGTGGATTTCTTAATGGGCGACACAGGCACCAGCAAGACTCGAACCCCGCAGGAAGAAGTGATGTTGATGGCTAAATCCATGGAATAGATGCACTTGGAGGTCTATGCAAAATAAGCAAGGCAAAAAAATAAGGCTCCACTGGCTCTCTAGAGTGAGAAAAAGCGCGGCGGAGACTTAAAGTCACCATTGCCTTCGGACTTTCAGGGGAAAACGGTCGATCCCGTCCAGACAATGAAAATTGAGGGTGCATAATAAATACAAGATTTTCTTTTTTTCTCGATCCCACAGTGGTTCTTCTTCTGTTTCTTTCTTTTTTTTAACCATGTACTTTCCCGAACCGACCACTGCCAATTGGTTGATTGGCATTTTTGTCACTGTGGCGACATGTGGTCTCGTCTATCGTGAACTCGATCCATCCTCCAGCATGGGCTATTCTAAATTTGCCGATGCCAATAAAGGAATCCAGGTGAGCCACCGTAAAAAAGAAAAAAAAATTGTACATGTTGTGTTTTAATACTTTTGGATGGCCAGGTGCCTTCACGGGTCGGGATGCTGGTTATCTATGGCCCCGCTTGCATCTTGTCGGTGAGCATCTTGCTGTACCTGCTGTCCAACAGTCACTTGTTTACAGACCATTTACAAATGATGAGCGTGCTGCTCTGTATCCATTACTTGAAGCGTGTTTATGTAGGATTGCATTCGGTAAAAACCATTTTCCAAGCTTACAGAGTACTTAGTGTGAGTTTGTAGGAAGTATTATATGTCCATCATTACTCGGGAAGCTTGTGCCTGCAGCATGCGATCAATATTTCGTGTGGTTATGTGATGTTTGCTGTGGTAGCCCATTATTATACGGTGACGGATCCTCGTGCGTCGCGACTGGAAACCCATCTGGGTTTCATTTTGTTCTTTATCGGTGAAATTGTGAATCATTATCACCATCGTGTTTTGACCAATCTACGAGCGCCGCATACAAAACAGTATCAGGTAACACATGAAGAACTGAAAAAAAAGAAACGACTCGAGGCTAATTTTGTTGAGCTGAGAAAAGATCCCCTATGGAGGATTATTCAACTACATCTGGTGTCCGCATTATGTAAGCTTAAAAAAGCATGGTTGTGGAGATTTGTTGCTTTGAGTGTAACGTGCGTGCGCGAAATAGGTGGGAGAGATCCTTTCATTCATTGGTACCAGTCTCGTGTCCCACAGCGTGCTTGTCTTGATTATGCAGTTGGGCTCGGCCGCCTACCTTTGTATCCGTGCAAGAAATACTCGCCAATGGTATCATCAACGTTGGCCGGACGCTCCTAAGCGTGCCTGTCTCATTCCCGGCATTTTCTAATATCATCACTAACGAAATACATGCCAGCGGCATCCAATGAATACCTTGTTTTATAATCATGTTATTAATGCCTATAAGACTATTGACCAATACAGTATGTGCGCATCTTATTAGAGTCGATTCAACATTCTCAATGTTTTGACTAGAATAAATGCTCTGTAAACTCGCGGATAAGGTTTTGAACTCATCAGATAGCACAAAAATATAAGGTTTGATCGGTGGAAATGCCAAAAGACTGAAAATAAATGATATCGTGCTGTGCTACAGTATCCAACACTTACCAAATACTGAACTAGTTACTGAGAACATCCCGAAAGATCAGTAGGACTACAGTTCATACGTGATTTATCCATCATGTCATCCATTGAAGCTACCTACAATTGCTCTCAGTCAAGAGCGATAACAGTCATCGACACTGTGCATACAAGCCAAGCGTCACCATAGCAGTTCATCAGCGCAGGTTATTGTCTTGTGGACAATCATAAGCGTATAAAGTCTATCAAAAGGCTTGCTGTCGCTGCCTCAGGAGGATCCTGATTCATTAAATTTATGGCTCATGCAGCCGTGGAGTGATCAGAATATGTCGCGTTAATTTTGTATGCACGCTCCGAAGGAGCGTTGCTAAGACACCTTACTGACAGAAATACATTGATGCATCCTCGCTTTAATTGGGGCGCATGGGGTCATAATTATACAGTACATCTATGAATACGAAAGGCTCATATACAATCACCACGTTTCTTTTTAGCCTCTAACAGAATTAAGTCATGCCGCCGCAGCCGCGTTTGCCACTGTGTTGGTCCTGTTAAATCCAAGCTGATCATGCGATGCCCATCATTCAGGTATTGCAGCGTGGCCGCCATGCTGACCATGCTGAGGGGCACCACTGCCATGTTGGAAAGCTTGGCGGACTGTCCCTTCCTCTACTTCGTTTTTCATAGTTTAGCGAACTCACCCATGAAAAATAAAAAACTGTAAAAACAGCTTCTGTTGATCTAATTCTCCCAACCCACTTTCCTCATTGCTCATCGCGTTTGCGGGTCTACGATTCGGTTGTTTTTGACGCCAAGAGCAGCCTCTCTCAGTTGGAACGAACAAACAATAACCCACTTGACTTAACTGAGCCAAGTGGATGGGTTGGCGTGGTTGATAGTGCGCTGCGCCAGGCAGAGCATATGAATAAGACGGCTTTTGGGCGAGAATTAATTGAACGTCTTTATTGAATAGAGGAATCATGTACAAATAAAATAATGATGTCTATTCTATTGTATCTTTTCTAAGCAAAGTCTTCATTATTTTTCTTTTTATATGAAGTGGTGTAGTTCGTCCACAGGGACATTAAGCCCACTTTTTTTTTATTGTTCAACCGATAAAAAGGTTGACAAAAAGAGAATAATAAAGGCAAAAGCCTTTTCTTTTTTTTTCATTTACCTTTGTTGCGATTAAAAAGCAAACCCACCGACATACCTTCCACAATGACCGCGCTGATGACTAGTCAGGCGCCCAAAGGGAAGAGCCAACGGGAACGAAAACAATCTTCTTCAGAGGATGGCCAATCCTATCATTAGAAGATGGTTTTCGAATTTTTCGCCATACCCCGAATGCTTTACCAAAAACCGGAGCGTTCATCATTACCAGTGACCACCAGCCTAGCAGCCCCTAATTCCGAACTGGCGCACAAAAGAAAAAAAGAGATGAGAAGAAACGCCCCCTTTTTATATCTTTTTCAAAAATTGTTCGAGGACCTTCGGTTGTGACCCTGTTTTGACTGCGAATGCACCTCATTGGCTCGATTCGCGCAACAAAACTCGCGAAATTCAACGCCTCACACTTCTTTCGCGTAAGCGATCCAAAGAGGGGCTGCGCCACCTCGCTCATGCTGCCATCAGCAACCCATGTGCATCACAGTCACTCTATAACTTGCAGTAAAGCCTATAGTTGATCAAAGATGCGACATGATGCAGACTTTACCCACTCTCTTTTATTCTTGTTGTATGTTAGAAAGTTCGCCTACTTTTGCCCTTCCCCTTGTATCAGTTTTGTTTCGTCTAAAACCAGTGTATTCAATATTGCTGTGACAATAAACACTCGCGTATTACTCCCCGACACCAGGGTGTCAATTCAGTGCGCCATTGCAATGGCGACAAAACACAGAGTGCGCAGTGAATGACCAAGGCTGATGCGATGGCATGCGAGCATGTCCGCAAAAAAGAATATCCTTGGGGACTACGTCAAAAATATACTTATACATATGTAAGCGTGCATCAACACAGTAACAGCACTTATAGATCGGTTTCTCCATTTGCGATGTGCTGTACTTTCGCATAAATTTGATTGAGTGCAGGAGCCGCGTGATCTCCTCTTGAAATTGAGTCTTCCTTCTTCTCCGCTTTTAATGCACAATAGCAGGTTGCACCGTTTATGATCGATTAAAAGGCTGTCATTTGTGCGTTTGATTCAAATGAATCTTTAGAAAAGCATGAAAGAGTCACCACTCAATTTTAGCAATCAAATACGGGAATTCCATCATCTCTTTTATTATACGTTGTATGTTAAATGAAATTCGATCCAGACATCATTCTTTGTACTTCCCGGGATGATTTCAAAATTGAGTGAGGACTGCACAGCATGGTAAGTATATGTTGTGTCAAATTCGTTGGGCTGTATGGTAGGTGAAACGTCAAACTGAGAAGATAAAGCAGGGATATCCATCCTATAAATGGAACCCAGCCTTTTGGAAATCTCTGAGAATTTGATGATCTTTTGCCTATCATGGACAATAAAAAGGTGCGCAGCTACGAACTAAGAAATCAGCAGCTAAGGTTACCAGTACGCTATGTTCTGCTTAGCGGATGCTACAGGTAAAGACTTCGATGCCTTTTTGGCATTTATCTCTCAAATCAGAACGTGCGTGATTATTTGGGTAATCAAGTGCCACCATCTCGTCCCACATGATCTCCAATGTAGGCACATTCAATGAGTTGAAAAGAATAGAAAGGGACAGACTGAGAGAAAAAAGATGTTTCAAACATAAAAAGCCATTATTTACAAAAGTAAGAAATTAAATAATAAGGAAATCCAAAAAGAGGAAAGCACGTGTTGCGAAAAAAGAAGAAAAGAGATAAAAGAATGAGTGGAAAATGAGATGGGTTTGGGATATATTGAAAGGTTTTTAAATGCATAAGAAAACTAATTTGAACTTATCAAGGGAATGAAACAGGAATAAGAAAAGTAACCAGCACGATCATGAGCAATAAAGCGTCTGTTAACAGGTGACATAGACATTCACGGTGTTATTCAGGCCTCGACTTTCCAACCCCATTTGTACATCTTCGTTGGAGATGATGGTGATGAGATCGCCGTCTTCATCTTGATACTTGAGCCCCATGGTGATTTCGATCGACTGCCCGCATGACCGGATTTTACGTTCAATCTTTCCAAGTAATTCCATGTAGCTAATATCAAGAGATACCACGACCACGTAAATCTCGCCTAGATAATGCACCTTGATTTTGGTGTGATCGTCCACTGCCGTATACTGAAGATTGGACGGTCTTTCTTCGTGATAGTCCCCGTTACTCTTGCGCTTGATATCATACAGCGTGCGTGAATTGATTGGTGGCAGTTCAGGCGCGTTGTCAAATAACGTCGCTCCCGCTGGTCGGTGAATGTTGGGACTACTCTGAGATCGTAGACGGGTGTGGTGAAGTTGTCCCGGTGGAATGGTCGGTTTGAGGTGCGAGGTTGAGGTGACCAAGGTGGCAGCATGAGGCGGTGAGCAAGGGAAGCCGGGGTATTCTTCGGTGGGTGTAGGTACACTTTCACTGAGCAATGTCCGTGTGACCATTTCCGTCGGCACGATGGTGTCATCCATCTGTCGACGATGGGACGGTGAATAACCATGCGTGGAAGCTAAAGAAGAGGAGGAAGAGGTTTTATTGGTGGCAGTCGGGGACGAAGGGTAGCTTGTAGGTGGTGAAGTCGGGTATGAGAGGCTGGAAGCGTAAGAGTAATCCGCGGCGGGGGTGACCATGCCATCGGTCAAGGACGATCCATTGGAAGAAGCTCGCAAAGGCGGAAGTGTCATGCCCGGCATGGCGGTGTAGTGGCGACCATTGGATAAGCCTGCGGACATGCCAGCTTGAGCGGACATTTTACGGTGAGATTCACCTTCGGATATCCGTTGATGGCGCATGTAGTTCATATGCACTTTGCTGGAAGTGCGTCGACCCCAGACTTCATCATCGCTGGTATCTTCGTGATGTTGGTCTTCCTCTTCTTCGTCTTCATCGTAGTTCATGGTCGGTGTGTCTTCAAAGTCGGGTTGGTATGATGCGCGTGGCACGTGAGGCATGGAAGTGGTGTGGTATAGTCTGCCTGCTTGTGCTTCGGCGGCGCGGTGTTCCATGGACATGCGTTTCTCGATTTGAAGTAACCTATTTAAAGTCGATTCCCATTGTTTCAACTGTTCCTCATTGCGACATTTTAGGGTAAATGACTGCAAATTGAAATACTGAGCACTGAGTGATTGGGAATCCTTCTCGGACCAGAAAATATGTAAAGACCACGTGCCTAACAAAACCATGCATATTCAACATCAGTCCCGATCAGAATCCTCACGCTCACTGATAACAATAAACGTAAAAAGATCATAACAAGCTCCCTCCCCCCTCTTCTCTCTGTTCTCGCCGACCCCTCCCGTCGCGCCTCTGGCGGGGTCATCCCGTCGGTCATGTTCCAAGCCGATTTGATAATAGCAACATGTGTGTGAAAAGAAAGAAATAAAGAGAGAAAAAATCCTACCATTTTGACTGGTGTCATTGACTTGGGCGATTTTGGAGATGAGGATTTTGCCACGTACGACGAGCGAGCCTTCCTTTTTCTTCTTTTTAATAATCATGGCGTTGGACTTTTTGTGGGGTTCTTTGTCTTCTTTGCAGACGAGGAGGGTTTTTTCAAAGAGAAAGACGAGCATTTCGCGACCTGCATTGTTGATGTACAGCATGAATTTGTCCTCGAGTAAGAGTTGGCCAAAGTGGTCAATGGATCCTTTCCAGTCCTCAATGCGTTTCTTGAGATCTTCTACTTTCTGCACGTTTTCTTGGCGACGGTTGGTCTCATTGACTTTGCCGGCGACCCGTTGAATGGCCTCCAGTCCTTCTTTCATCTCTTCGCTGTACTTCCAGTCTTCGGGGGTCGCTTTCACGAGTTGTTGCATGAGTAACGGATAGCGGCATACGCGTTGAACGGGTTTGATAAGCATGGAAGGCAATTCGTAGGTGGGGGACATGATGTCTGCTAATTTCTGCAGTTTGACGGTTTCCTGAATGACCAGATCTTGCGCGGTGGACAAATTGGCACAAAATGGTTCGTAGACGGCAAAAGCGTCTTCGAGCTGTATGAATAAGTTACCGAAGCGTTGATCTTGCGGAGCTTGATCGGCCATTTGCTCGATTTGGATACAAAATCGTCGCTGGAAATCGACGAGGGAATTGAGATTGCCGAACAAATTGTGAAGCGTATCGGGTGGTAAAACGTTTTGTGCTTGCGCTTCTCGCATGTAATCCTATCAATTTGAATAACCCCATCCGATTAAAATAGGATTAATCAAAAAAGAAATTATATAAAGACACCAGCCCAAGTCTAAGGGTACCTGAAGTGCTTCCAAATCTTGAACATATTTGCGTTCGGTTTCGAGAAATTCAAAGACGACTTTATCCCGTTTATCCTTGGGTGCATTGGGATCCGAGTTGCGATTGGAAGAGCGGATGGATATGATTCCCTCGTGTTCCAGTAAATCCAGAATTCGTTTCAGTGTATTTACGACCTAAAAAGGGAGAGATCATCCCAGGGGCGGATCCCCAAAAAGAAAGAGAAAGATTAAGAATAAAAAGGCATATCGATATATGTATAAATAAAGATTATCAGGTATCAAACACAAGGAGATCAAGGAGTTTTCCATAAACATGAAAAAAAAAATATAGACATCCCACATACCTTGACGAAACCATTGGTATCATTCTGGTACAGATCCGTTACTGTAAACAAACTGTCCTCACTGAAGTGAAGTTTATCTCGACAAGCGAGAATGAAATGATAAATGCATGCTTTAGGTTTACTGGCCATGTTGCCTAAACCGGTGCCTTGGGCGATCGCATCATCCGGACGTAATGTGTTATACAGTAGACAGAGACTCGATCCTTGCCTACAAATGTGCCATAATTTGCTGAGTGGATCGTTGGCTAAGCATGCTGATTGTGGAGCAATATCATCGGCGTCGGTGGGAGGGTTTAAATCAAGGTAAGGTTCGAATCCTGGTACAGCGGCTAATCCATCCAAGACGGAACGGCACAGATGATATAGTGACGCTTTTTGCGTCGCCGGTTTATTGGTGATGGAATCCGTCGCAATAGGCGAATCAATCGATTGAAGCATGATGATGCGTCGTTAAAAAAAAGCAAGTCGACTTGTTTCCTCGTTATAACTTAGAAAAAGAAAAAGGTAGTTGCTTCCTTTCTTTTTGTCGTCTGCTAAATTGTCGGTTTGTTTTACCAATAACAGAAAGAAAGCAAATGTAAAGGAGAAATAAGAAGAAGAAGAAGAAAAAGACAAAATAGGTTAAAAAGAAAAATGCGTAACTGTAGTTGTATACACTAAATGTATAAATTGTATACAGAAATGTATAACAAAGAAAAAAAGTGACTGTGAGAGGGGGGTGTTAAAGAAGAGTGACCCAAGGTTTCAAGTGGAAAAAAGGCAAAAGATAGGAAAGGGCAATGGAAATGAACGTTGGTGACAATGCTAATGAGAGAATGCAGACAAGATGAGGAAAAGGGTTCTCTTCAAGAAGAGGAGAAGATAAAAAAAAAGTGACAAAAAGGGGATGAAGGGGGAAAAGAAAGTTGGGATGTTGACGCTTTGCACTATGGTTACACCCGCTCAAATTATCTGTTGGAACACAAGAAAATACAGTCATTTCAAGAAGTAGAAGTCGTGCAAAAAAAAAAAAATTGTGCCTTCAACAATGATGTCGGTTGATTCAAAAATAAAGTCGTATATGGATTGAGTGAACCTTGTGTATTTATTTTGTATAGATCGAAATGATGGTCCCACTTTCCTGATTCTTGCTTTTACAATTTATTCTATTGACAAAAGTAACATGCAATTTTTTGATGAAGATGGAAAAGGACGTGTTGTTGATGAATATGAAGTTGAGCCAATGCACCTTTCTGTTGATAAGGAGCTTTTCGCCATTGAAACGAAAGTTCTCGAACTCAGTTTCTACAGAACAAACCTGCAGAGAAACCTTTTAAGCCGATCATACATCACTGCATCAGGCTGTAGATAAAAGGACTCATGTAGATGATTATATGGAAAATATGCAATAAGAGACGATATACATTTTACTCAGATGACGAAAAAACCAAGTTTTTTCATTTGTTTTTTAGTAAATGTCTCACTGCCTCGGCTGCTGCAAAACGATTAGGTACAGTATCATGTTCGTGCGGCCCAAAGATAGGTCAAGCGTTACTATGAAGATCCTGAAAGCATTTTCGAGAAAAAGCAAAAATGAGGTCGATGTCGCATTCTCGGGGAAAGAGCATAAGCAGTCTATTTTAAATTCATTGATGAAAATCCTTCTGCCGATTTAACTGATTGGGTCCAAAAGTCGCAGCAAACTGATTTGGATCATATAACAAATTTTGTATATCTTGATGAATCAGCCTTTCACCTAATTAATCTTTCGTTAGGATGATGGAGAACGAATTAGACTCTGACGATCAAGTCTAAAGCCACGCGAGGGACCTGATGAAAAGAAAAGGAACACAAAGATGGATTAAATAAGAACTGATAAGCGTGCTAAACTATTATGGTAAGGCTTTGTGCTTGGGAGACACTAAAAAGCGCATTTTATAATGCGTGACGAAAAACCGATGCTGGTGATGAAAATGTCGCCCATAGTGAGCTTATACAAAATGTGTCTGCGCTGCTCCTGCAGGGAGAAAAGTTTGACCTGATTACCATACTGTAAATTGGTACACCATTTAGATCTGCTAATGAATTCTGTCCTCCAGAACATTATCCCAAAAAAAAAAAAGGAAAATGTCGACGGCTGACGATTGTTCGAGGGCCGCTCGAGACGATTTTTCCCTTTTATTTCGGGCCGTGATCTTGAACCCCGTCCTTGATGGATGGAATAGTTGGGAAACCCAAGAGCAAGCATGTAGGAAATTCCGACGCTTCTGAATCAATAGAATCATGCATGAGGATCTGGGAAAACAAAATAGACCTTTTTTCATGCAAGCGTCTGAACCGACCCAGGAAAAATGCACATGCAGACGATCTCCCCCACCCTGCGTGCTGGTTTTGAAATATGTTTCAGACCGGCATCGTACAGAAAAAAAAACTGGGTGAGACTGCAAAGGAATGAAAAAAAAAAATGTAAAAAGACCGATCAAATGACAGCGGTGGATGGATGGCATGATAACCTTGTTTTTGCCACGAGGCAAGGTCCTACTTAACCAGAGGAAAATTCCGCCGCGAAAACGATGATGAATTACATACTCAGAAGAAAGACCCAAAAGAGACGCGTCTCAAATAGGATGGGCGACCACGTGGTGTGATGAAGTAAATTAACAGTTTTGTTTATTTCCCTCAGCAAATGTGTGGTATTACAGTCATTTCAAGTCGCTGATTTTGAATTTGATGTGCCTTCAACAATGATGTCGGCAGAGTCCACAGAGTCCACATAGTTCACAGAGTTCAAATTCCCGATTTCGACCGGACCTTTAAACAAGTTTCTTGTTCAAGTTGGCGTGTGTGAGCGAGTCTTGCGGTTCAAGGAGAAGAGTATGAGAGCGAGAAGAGGGTAGGAAAAAACCCCAATTTCTTTATTTGACAATACGAGGCTATTTAAAAAAAATTTGAGGGTAGTACGCCCATGCGGCTCTTTAGGCCAAAGATCACGGAACTACTGTAACGCTCACAAATTTACAGCGACCCGCTTCAACTCGATTATTTCATGGACCATGTTCACCCGGTAATGCAATAAGCTCTCTGCTTCCGAGGTGCCAAGACGTTGCAGGATGCAATCAACATAACAACGGAGCTCGAATATACAATGAGCCATACAGGTAGACATTACCAACGATCACGTCGACACCAATGGTACTTGCGTTAGGTGATCTGCCGGTCGTCGAGGCGACGCGAACAAAGTGAAGCCCAAAACGCTAAAAAATACGGCAACAAGAGGAAGGCCGAAGGATACCTATCAAAGGACTGTCACTGGAAAAAGCAATCGCATCATTATACAGCAGAGCTTCAGACGACCAGCCCGACGGCACCAGAGGGTAACGAGGAAATAAACGATTCGATCATCTATTTCAGAACTATCAACAGACAAAGTTAAAGACGAAAAACAATCAAAGTATGTTCCATACGATGGTGGAAACGCAAGACCAGCAGCAGAGGAGATCCCTAGTAGACACTGGTTCAGCGATCAGTTCAATTAGGACGAACATAGCAAACGAATTGGGCCTACCGCGGATTACTTGTCAACTTACGATCGTAAGATACGGCAACAGCACGACCCCAGACGACGACGCAGAAGGCAGTTTTCCGATTCCGTGTCAACGACATCACCACTCAAGCATTGATGTACATTGTTCCACAACAAAGCGAGAACGTCATATTAGGTATGGATTGGATGCGCCAAGAAGACCTGGTCTACATCCGAAAACCAAAACGATCCACAAACGTCTCGAGGCCCCACAGATCAGGCCAACGCTAACGATGCTGATACAGAGCGCTTGCCGAAAAGATACCGACGGAATTATCCGGGATCACGATGGATTCCGACAAACAAACGTTAACGAATGCACTTTACGAACATCGGACGATACTAGTGATACAACACTCATCGTAGCAAGGGATTATCGACGCACTCCAATAGATAGTTCCCGCTATTGCCAACGAAGTGGAAATACTGTTGAAAAAGAAAGTGATCCAGCCGAGCACAAGCCCCTGGTGCTCGCCTGTGGTTTTGATGAAGAAAAATCGGACAGTTACTGGTGGTTTTGCGTCGACTATCGGGTGCTAAACAAGTGGACCCGAAAAGATAAATTTCCAATATCGCGAATTGACGAAACCTCTGATCGGCTACATGGAAGTATCTATCTCTCGACCATTGATCTCAAGTCTGGTTATTGCTAAATCCCGATGCAGGAGGCGCAACGCTGCAAGACCACCTTATTGCCAATGGTTCTTTGTAATGCCTTTCGGTGTTACTAACGGCCCCGCCACGTTTCAACGATTCATGAAAGGTGTCTTACCGAACGTACCTCGAGTGATGGTGTATTTGAATGATCTGATTTATACAGCACAACACTGGATTGGCCGACTGATGGAATTGGCCTAGAAATATCGTCAAGTAAATGCCAATTTTTCCGCACTGAGGTTAAATACCTGGGTTACTTTATCAGCCGCGAAGGAATACGTCCAGGACCCTGCGAAGGTTGAGACGATCCGCACTTGGCCAACACCGACCAGTGTCGAAGAAGTACAACGATTCCTAGGCTTCTGTGCTTTTTATCATCGGTTCATCCACGATCTTTCGAGTACAGCCAGTCCGTTACACCAACTTCTACGAAAAGACACCAAATTTGCTTGGTGTGTGAAAGCAGACAACGCCTTTAACAGACTGAAGGAAGTGTTGATGAGTCTCCCGACCCTTGCATACCCAGATCCACACCAGTCTTACGAACTGCATACGGATGCAGGCCTCAACGACATTGGCGCGATACTGATCCAGAACTCCAAACCGGTAACCTTCGCCAGTAGGACACTCACAACGTCCAAGAAAAACTATAGCACAACAGAGCAAGAATGCTTAGCCATAATGTGGGCAATACGTTACTTCTACCCCTATGTATATGTCGCATCTTTTATTATTTACACCCACCACGCCGCACTGAAGAGTACCCTAACGACAAAGATGCCCCGAGGACGAATCGGCACGATTAATCTTGGACATACAGAGTTTCAGTTCACTATTATTCATCGAAAGGGATCCGTAATACCGATGCCGACGCCCTGGGCCGTCAAAAGCAAAGCACGCAGGAAGCTGCTGATTTGACGTTGGACAGTTTCAAAGCTTTGCAGAAAGAAGACAATGGGATTGCGCTCCTTCGGAACGAGTTATTCAAGAAGCCGCACGTGTCGCAAAACGGAATTCTCTGCAAAAAGACAGCGAAGGACCAACGGTATCGGTACTCCCAAGAAACACGATCTGTACAGTGTTACGAGCCGCACACGACGATCTCACGGCAATACCCTTTGCGAAAGCTCGACAAATCTCTAGGTGGGAGACGATGCTGGCAGATGTCAGTGAATGGGTAGAGGTTGTGAAAAATGCCAAAGGTACAAAAGAGATACTGTTACGAGAAAACCACCGACGCAGCCGATACTACCTCGCTTTGTGGGTGAGATTTGGGCCGCCCACATTGCGATTCTGCCGCCAAGCAAAACAGCCAACCAATATATCCTGGTTATCATGGAATATCTCACGAAATGGGCTATCACTGCAGCCTTCCCAAGTTTCGACAACCACCACGTTGCTCAAGTTCTGCTATTCGAAGTAGCTTTGAAAATACGGCGTACCACACAGGCTCATCCCGGACAATAGCAGCAAAACTGTATCTGATGCTATGACTATGGTATGCAAGTAGCTGGGCATATCTCGTTCCTTGACTTCAGTGGAGCATCCGCAGACGGATGGTTTAGTAAAAAGGTTCAATCGAACGCTGAAAACGTGCTTGGCCGCGTATGCTGATAAAGAACCCGCTGAATGGGATATCTTGTCGCTTTCGCTTATAACACGGCTCCTTAGTCACCGACTCAGTCTTCACCGTTTGAATTGATGTACGGACGAAAAGGGCGCCTTTCAAGTATTGCAAGCCTGGTTACTGAGCCAAAAACCTACGGGTCCGAAGAATGGATGGATTACTTGAATAAGTATCTTCCAGTCCTACATGGTCAGGCAGTGGAACGGATCAAGGCAGCCCAGGAGAGGCAACGAAAGTTCTACAACAATGGACGCACTGTTAACGGATGTACGAGCCAGGAGAACTAGTCGCACGACAAAACTAGGAGAAGTTGACGTTCCCCAAGGGACGTTGGTCAGGCCCCTGGATCGTCGAGAAGAAGAACAACGACGGGGAATATCTTACAGAATCACACGTTCCATCCCCGGGAAACCTTCAACCTCCACCACTGCAAAATGTCGTTCATAAAATAATGCTGTGGACAAAAAAATGAATAAATGGGATAAGCGAGCGATGAAACTGAGTAGATATCGGTCATGTATTTCAACTCATCGATGGTGTGTGACTGGTTTTATGAATCGCTGCATTTTAGCGGGAATCACCCAGGACACACCCCTCTTGGACATCTCAACGAGTGCAGTCGAATATGAATGTGGCAGTACGATGTTTGTCTGTATTCTCTTGTCGCATGGCCTCGCCATTGATGCCATGTCGTTTCTTCAGCACAACGAGACGCGTGGTATCACCGCTGCGGCAGTCGCAGTCGCAGCTCCGTGTGTTTGAGCCACTACAACATCACGCCCCTACTTTTTACATGAAAGGCCACCAAGTTAAACCATTATATCAGCCTCATGAATTCTACTCAGAGTTAAAGGTACATTACCTCTGAAAAAACCAGTCTACTCTTTGAATGCCGTTCCTCAGTCTCAATTGTGCCCCCACTTTCTACCTAGTCTCGTATTCTCTCGGCCAAAGATCGCATTTTTATCGCAGCTCTCTACATTGGTCATGCCGAGAAAGAATTGGTAAACAACTAGTCACTGGGTATGGGGAATAGGAAGACTAAAAAAGGAGCCTAGGTCGATACACTGCGAACCGCATTGTCGCGATCCAGTTCGTTAAAAGCTCACATCCTGATCGATTGTTTACGTGGTACACGTGTGTCCAAAGGGCAAAGTTCAGCCACGCTTCTGCTTCCACTGCTACAGGATTTTCCCAATCAAGTCAAAGTATCCATGTATCATACCCCAGATTTGACCGGTGTGCTGAAAAAAACATTGCCACAACGATTCAACGAAACCATTGGTTTGATGCATATGAAGGTGTATGGTTTTGACAACACCGTCATGCTCAGCGGGTACGTATCACAGCCGTATGTCACGCAAAACACACACGTTTAAGAACGGCGAAAGTTGCTTCGTTTTAGTGCCAACCTAAGTCTCGACTACTTTACCAATCGCCAAGATCGATACATGCTGTTTGATGACCATGCTCCTCTGGCTTCGTACTATGCCCACCTTTTGGAAACCGTGGGCTCGTTTTCGTATCAGCTCGACAATCCGGTATCAGGCACGGAGCACAGTTACAGTCTCGTGAGTCCGGCGGATCTGGCCGACCCTATCTTTGACAGCCGCCGGTTTAAACACCAAGTACACGAACGCATGAATCGATTCCTCGGCTCTTACATGAACGCGGATACAACACGAAGCGAACCGACACCGGAGCAAGATACCGCGGTGTTACCGGTGGTCCAAATGGGTCCCTTTGGCATTCGACAAGATGAAAACATTTGCTTAGAGTTACTCGATATTGCACATCGTACGGGAGGCAAGAGTCCCGAAAATTGGTGGATCATTCATTTAACGTCCGGCTACTTTAATTTCACTGATCGATACAAAACTTACATTCTCAAGACACGTGCCTATTTCCGATTTCTTACCGCATCACCCGAGGTAAACTCGAATGCAAAAACTGTCGGAAAGAGAGAGCCTGACGATCATGATGTCATAGGCGAATGGATTCTTTAACTCCAAAGGCGTATCTCGGTTTTTACCACCGGCCTATACATTTATCGAACGTCAATTTTACAAGAACATTCTGAGGCTTGGGAAACAAGACATGATTACCATTGAAGAATACAAACGACCAGGATGGACATATCACGCAAAAGGTACATTTGAGGGGGGAAAGGCTATCACCCATTTACTTCAAATGACGCTGACATGGGATGGTAAAATTCTCAAGGGCTGTGGGTATGTTTCCCAAGTAACGAGTACCCGTCATTAACAATGATCGGATCTCCCAATTTTGGACATCGGTCGAGTGAGCGAGATCTGGAAACACAAGCGGTGGTGATTACACAAAACGAAAAGTTACAACAAGCATTACACAAAGTAACCAACAATTGACAAACGCAACGTTTTTTCCTTTCCTTGAACTCACCCCAACGTTTTCCCTCTTTTAGGAAGTGAACGGATTACATGAGCATTCGGATTTGGTCACCAAAGACACGTTCAAAAAAATGGACAGACGAGTGCCTTATGGCGTTCGATTGGCCACTGCCGTTGTCAAGACCATGCTTTGAAGTGCATTTACAATAAATACTCACTACATACCTCTGCTTGCTGTTGTTAATTAGCTCAAGCTGAGGGTCGTCTGTACCCGTACGTGTGGGAATAATTTCCGCAAACTTTATACGAGGTGGACCGGTATTCAAAGGATGACGAGGGGTCAGCAGCAATCTCTTTCTTTTTTGTTTGGAAACTTGTCGGCATGAATATGCATGGGCGTGACCAGAGATCAACACAGTTAGATTCCATGAGTGGAACATGGCGGTTGATAATATTTCCTGACAAAGATACTCAATAAGATTGAATTGAACCATGAGGGTTGATCAGATGATGCTACACTAAAATAGAAGGTGCAACATGACGCATTGAAGCTTGAACATCGTACAAAGCATGGCCATGCGCCTGTTTGAAAGAGAGGAAAACGACCAAAAGGGATAAAAAAAAGCTTTTGCGTTACACGCGCTGATTGGGTAGCACCGGCAACAAAAAAAAAAAGAACTTGCACTTTGTTTATCCAATGTCAGTGCTTAAAAATTCCCATCTAGCTAACAGTGCCAATGCCGTACTTCATTGCCTGTAAAAATTATATGACGGTTTCAAGACCAGGAGGTCTATACTTGTACGAAACAATCAAATCAACGATAACAGATTTTGGGGCTTTGCGTGGAGAGGCAAGTGGATGATTGTTTTTCCACGTGCATTGGCAACATGGACCGGCATGCCATCACTGGCTTGTTATATGTCAATGGTTTATAACATTTTATAAAATATGTCATGACGAGGCAGCCAATTGCTAGTAATCTCTCGGATTGCCAACATGGCCGAAGAAAAAAAATTTGTTCTCTCTTAAATAAGCAAGCCATTGGACAGAATAACGTTAAAGTGCTCCTTTTCTTTTTTCAGATAAACAGAGGCCCTGATAAAAAAAAATGACCATGGCCATATTAGGGCGTTGTTTTCTAATTTTTGATTCGTCAGATTGATACAGAAGCATCATGATGATGTTTGACATGTAGAAATAAACAGGCTTTTCTAACCTGAAACCGTCAAAAGCAAGCACTGTAAGCAGGACCAACAAGGCAACTTGGATGACTGGCTAAGATAAGGCGTGTGGTAGCCAATGATTTCCACAAATAGGAAATCAAAAAATAAAAATAAAGATAAGATCGGCTATCATATTACATCGCTTGATTTGTATTTTAGCTCAGTTTGCTGCAGACTAAAGAAACAACCATCCGTTATCTTTTGGTAAAAAATGCATAACACTCTTTTTTTTAAGGAGAAAAGGGGGGACAAGAACCAAGTGATCTCAATCTTATACATAGAAATCGTGAATTTTTTTCCCTCGCTTGTCTCTGTCGATATCCCACCTGCTTTGGACGGTTCGTGATCATTGACACCCCATTTTTAGTGTGTCTTATTATGATACACAGAACGGCAGAGAGAGTGTGGATGCATTTTGAGACTCATTTTCTATGCTTATTTTTCTTTTTCTTTTTTCACCGTCAATCACATGCTTTGGCCAAAATCATTCTAGGCAGGTTTTCCCAAGTCGTATGACAAAAAGTCAATGTCGTCCATGTAATCGACTTCCCACGAGGTTCCCTTTTTTTTTCAAGATTCGCTTTTTTTTTTTTTTTTTTTTTTTTTTTTGCTTATAAAGACACTCACTTTTCACAATCTGGCTTTTCCCTTTTTTACTACCTTTTTCTTTTTCTTTTCCCTTCTTCTTTCCTTCCAAACAACCTTTTTTTCTTCGCAGTGGCTCCATTAAGATCTCATTTTTCTTACACATCTTATTCTTATTAATACTACTTTGGATCATGCCATTTCGTTGCAAGTGTGGAAGAACATTTGAAAAGCCTGATTCGTTTTCCACGCACACGTCAGCGTGCGCGCCTTTCCACCGACGCATGTCATCTTCGACCACAACCGGAGACACATCTCCACCTTCGCCACAGACCATGACCTCGTTAAAATTGGATATGACTAATCTGGCCCGTTCTTTTACCTCTGGACTCTTGAGTGGTTCTCCTGTATCGCCACAACAACAAAGTAATCCGTCGTCTTCCACCACCACCTCGCCTTGCTCCGGAACAAGCCCTGATTTCATGCCCAACTTTATGCCCACCGCATTATCGCTGCACAATGCATTCGAAGGAGTTAGAAGACGATCCATGTCCTACGGACAAGCATGGAAGTAGTCTTATGAAAAACCACACCATCCTGAACGAAGGGTTCCTTTTTTTTTCTTCTTCTGTTGAAAAGCATCATCTCCCATACAACCATACCCCCAAGCATCCCTGCACAGAGCAAGCTGATGAAAATTCTCTCCACCACCTCGTATCGTCACTGTCATGAGTCCTTTTTTCTTTCTTTAATACCTTGACTCTAGTCTTTTTTTTTCTCATCAATTTTCTTCTTACCATTGTGTTTCTTTTGTCTCCTTTTTTCTTTACTTCTTTCTTTGTATTTCATATCATATTGATTCTTCTTTTTTTTCCCTCCCATGCTCCTCCTGGCTTTGTATACGATAAATTCCCCTTTTTTCTCTGCATTCCTATGGGAATCCAGACACCTATACATATACACATTTGTCCCATATAGCCTCTTCACGTTCCATTTGCTGCTGTAGCTCCCTCGATTGCCAATGCATCGTAGTAAATTCATTAACTTGTTATTTTTTTTTTCATCAATAAAAACCAGATTGACTCACGGATAATGAGAATCACATAGGCTGGAAGGGGATTATAGATAGCTTTTTATTTATTTATCCGGGACGGGAAGGTGAAACGACACGCGCATAGTTGAGGATCATGTTGGTTCTTGATCCATAAAACAGTGTTTCAAGTTCTGCCTCGAATTCAGGAATGTGTCTGCGACTATCTTGTTCCTCTTCGTCGTCTTCATCCCCGCGAGCGTTGTCTTCCGCTGTCATCATGTATTCTACATATTCAATGATATGGTCATACATGGTTTCCAGCCGCGTTCGCAGTCCTCCGTAACGAAGATCCAACACTTCCCATCCAAAAGGCTTGTACATCTTTTTCCACAATTTCCGATGGCACTTCCACAGACCTTCGACTTCTTCCCGCAGCCGTGTTAATCGGCCTTGCGCCAGTTCATACAGCTGCATGTACTCTCGCTTGCGATACGCTTCCACAAGCCGTTGTCGTAAATGGCATTTCAACGATAAAACCGTGGCAATGCGAGCCGGGAATTCTAACCGCTCATTTAATGGACACATTTCCTTCTTTGTCTCGATCGCCGTAAACAACTGCGCCGCCACCGATGTGTAATACGTTTCCAAGTCTTCATCCGCGTATTGGGGAGACATAAAACTCAAGAAGGGATCTGAAACAGACTCAATCACGTAAGCAGATCATCACCCCTCAACTGCGCCCTTTAATTTTTTTTTTTCCTTTTACCTTCCCAAAGTAGCCATTTACTTGTATTGGGCATGTAATGTGTGCGCGCTGTGATAGGAATACCCGTCGGCGTATCATCAATCTGTGCAAATGGTCTTAATTCCACCTTCTCTATGCTTCCACAAAAGATTTCTGTTCATCGACTTGCCTTGGATGCAATGACCCAGTCATCAAAATTTGCTCCACAGATTCCCTCTGCCAAGGAGATTGTTGTAAGGGTTCAAGTCATAGCTACTTAAAACAGTTGAGAAAAATAGCTCTTACCAAAGTTTCTTTTCAGTGTGGAAATATCCACTTCATCCCGATCAGTATATCCATGATCCCCGTAATAACACAACGCTGGTAGACACGAAAAGCTAAAATCACCAAAAGTACATCAGTTAGAAGGCTACCTGCTAGAAAATGGCACAAGCCGAAGAACCATCTTACACATCGCATTCGTTGCCTTCATCACCCCATATGGTAATAAATGAATTACGTACACCTTGTTCTCGATTCTTGGCAGCCACTGTACTAGCACGGACAGATTCAAACGTGAAGGGAAGGGCTGTCCAGAACCGACTCCATGTCCATGCTCCCGCTAAAACAAACAAACCACGTTAGGTTCCCATGGCATTGACTTGGTCCATCCATGACTCTGAACTTACTGGCTACCCAAGGTTGTTGACAACCGAGTTCGCGATGCTGTTGCAGTTTTTGCAGGTAAATGTCGGGACTGGTGTGATAATAGTCCCAGAACACCAATTCCACATTTGCTGGCATTTTTTCAATCAGTTCGGGTGTGGCTGGATTATTGCTCTCGTCATAGTATCCCTGAAGCGTATTGTTCTTGGCCGCGAGACAGAACAGCACTGTGATGTCCCGCGAAAAAATACCAGTTAGCAATGTAAAACATAAGCATCAATTATTAAAATTCGAAAAAACCACTTACTGTCGGACCAAATCAAGGGTTGAAGTCCTAGCCGCGTACAAATCTCGTTGACTCGTTGCAAATGATCCACAAAGACACGGGTGGGCTCTTTGTAACCGAAAAGTTGGCGATACCGACTTTCACCCATTCCATAGGCCTAAATTTTTTCTCATCGTAAGTTTTACCCTTTCCTGCGTCTTTTTCCTCCAAAGATATCTGTACCTCGTCCATGCCAACGTGAATACGTTTCGATCGAAAAGGTCGTGCCGCCGCTTTAATAAGTTTTTCAATAAACTCATACGTCGTTTCCGATTCGGCCAAAAGCACTTCGGTATTGTCGCGCAAATAAGCATAATGCGGCCATTGCAAGATTTGTCCGAGGTGGCCCAACGTCTGGATACAGGGTACCACTTCGATGCCCCTGAAGAAAAGAGAAATCCACACACATCACAGGAAATCAATCATGACAATCTCGGGGCATAAATCGCTTTTTTTTTTGATATAGTGACTTACAAATCAAAAGCATGATCATCGATGGAGCAAAGTTCTCTCTGAGTGTATCTGCCTTCAAGAAAGTGAGCCCTAAGCGAAAAAAAAAAGATCAACCAAATGACGGTTCTCATACCTCGTAAATAGCCAAAAAGAGGCTCTCCTTCCACCTATGTGGGCAGTGGTCATCATCGATTACCAAAAAGATCCATCTTGTTGAATTAGCGGGGAAAAAAAAGGGCACTAACCTCATAAGTGTCTTCGGTATACAATTGCAGCATATTCAGACCCATCAAGGCCATGTTGCACAAGAGAAAGTAGACACTCTCCGTCCTCAAGACGCCATTCCGACTGCAATCAATCATAACGCTGCCATTGCCATTTTTTTTTGGAACGCTATTAGCAGATTGATACCAAATAAAAAGGTGATTTTTTCAATTTTACCCTTGCGTGTCAAATTGAGCTTCTTCGGAAAATGTCACCAAAGGACCATGCTCTCCCGACAAGATCAAAAGATCTCTTGCTGCACCCAACAATCGTCCCAAAGCACGAAAGGCTAGCCATGGATTCGGTCGGTTACGTTTCAAATATCCCTCAATTGGTTTTTTGTGGCAATTACCTTCAATTTTACGACTGTAACGAACGTATATTTCGAACCGTTCATTGACGGGCATTGTTTTATAATTGGAATAATTGCTCTCGACGAACACTTGACCAGGTTGTATATTGGGGTCACAAGCAAAACTGTACCGACGTTTGGTATAAATACTATAGTTCAATGTCTTGTTTTTTCTCCAACTTACTTGATATGCCATTTATAATCGCTATAGTCTTGTTCTTGCATGGCACTCTCATCGACCAAGTTCTTGTACGGTGCATATTTGATGATATTTAAAACACCGTCTTGTAACTCCACTGGAAGCTGGGTTATATTGACGATGAGCAGGACACGGTTACTGACGAGCGCGGCATCATTGTACTGGTCCGCCATGGGGTCATATGTATCCGTAAAGATATTAAAGTCTTGCGCCATAGTTATAATAACAAGCTGGAAAAGGAAACTAACAACAACTTTCACCAGCGAATCTTTCCTTTTTTTTTTTTTTTTAAATCCTGAGTCTGAGACGTGACTTGCTTAGTGATGATGGAACGCGGGATTGAAAAAATACCACAAACGGGTGGGTTTTCTGTCTATCCCGATCTTCTCATTCCGATCTAAATACGCTTTTAGTGTGCTATTTCTTTGTGACATCCGAGCTATGAAGCGAATCACATACATCATATATATTCGCATCTTCACCTTGAATACAGCGATTGAACACGTTGCTTTCACAACCAAAGTTGGCAAAAGTTTCCATATCAAAATAAAGCAAGGGTCAACCACAAAACTTCTTGGCGAGATAATTTTAGGATGCCACGACATGGGCACTTCGCATGAAAAGAAACCAAAAAGCAAGTGGCCTTTCATTGCCACTGTGGAAAACGCTGGTATGTTCTTATTTTATTGAATGGATTCTGAAGGATTTTGAACCACGATCAGCAGATATTCATTATCTAAGGGGATAAGATGGAGGATGAGTGTGTGCCTTGATTTTATTTGTTCCCTCGGTTCTGAAACCAACTCACCAGGGGCAATCATAATTTCATGTTTCTTTGTGCGAACTCGTAAAAATGTCAATTCATTCTACTTCTTGTGAGAAAACCACCGTTTGATTTCGCCATGCTCACACAAAAACAGTTTTTACCTGGTCATCGAGTTGAGTCACGGTGGATTGAGCTTGTTGAACGAGTTTAGAAATCAGTTGACCATATTGTTTCGTCAAGTCTTGATCGAGCGTGGAACGAATGGCTTGTCCTTCTCCATTGAGAATGACCACGCCTTTCACTCCTTTTCGACCCGATAATCGTTTCAACGTTTCATCAATAGCATAAGCGGTCTATGACACCTTTTCATATTAATACATTGGCCAACAGAAACCGTAGTGAATGAATTCACCATTCTAAATTCAAGAGGGGTATACGGTGATGGAGTTGGTCAACCAAAGTGTGCACGGGCGGAGTTTCACTGTGGAAACAGGAAAATTTGAGGTCAACCGAAGCATTGCATACAATCAACCCGACTCAAAAGGATGCTCAGTTCACGTCATTCTTTTCTAAGCAGTATCCTAGTGACACGCCAATATAAGATTATGCTTTTAAGCGATGGCCAGTTGGTAGTTTTTAGTCATAAATTCGATTTGGATTTTTTTTGGTCACCATAGTAAATAAAAAAAAAAAGAAAGTCAAAATGTTATGACTGAATATAGCATTTGCTATTTGGGAAAAACAATTATATCTCAAAAGAATGACTAGCTCGTTTGCTTTTTCCTTGAGTGTTGGTTATTAGTATGACCTCCTGCGATCCGTCTATTTTGGCCCATGCAACATTTGTTTCCTTTTGCCGCGGCATTTCAAAAAAATGCGTGTGTGACTTTTTGTCTTCAATTTTCGAAAGGGAACGAACGACGCGTACCAAAAAAGCGCGACCTAGAAGCGGGAATCGCGTCAGAAAATTGGGGAATTTTTTCTCTTTTGCTCTTTTTACCTTTTTTCGCATCCAAGGCCCAACTCGTCATGTCTTCACCGACGATGCGCAGAAAGCGCTTGGTGCAAAGTAACGATAAAAAGGATCGTCTCAAACAGCTCATCGAAGCACGTAAAAATCGATCGCGCGCAGACCTTTACCAGGTACATTTGCAAATCAAACCCCCACGAGGACTTCCACCAGGTGTCTCACCAATGGACCATTTTCTTTAGACCAAGAATGAAGACGATATTTACGACCAAGTCACCAATGAAGAATACGATATGATTCAGGATGACGAGGATTTCGTGGAAGACGACGATAACGCCGGTTATGTCCACGGCGATCCAGACGAAGACGAACGCATGTATTCGGACGAATACGACGACGAGAACAAAGACACAGGTACAACTACCCTCATCTCCTATCAACGATTTTCCAATGCTCACCTGCTTATTTACCTTGCTGCCAATCCAGGAAAACGTAAACGCAAGGATGCCTTTAAAAAAGAAAAAATGCCCAAGCCAGAACAACGGATCAATCGCTTCTTTCAGAATTCAGCCGTCAAAACCGAACGCAAACCCAAGCCGCCACCAGTACGTTACGATGAACCAGAAGCAAGTTAGCAATTTTAGCATCTAATCACAACTTTTTTTTGTGCTTTTTTGTTGGGTGTAGGTGGATGCAGCAGAAAGCCAAGATTTTATGGCCAATTTGCTTTCCAACTTTGAAGCAGAAGTGACCGCTGAAATTCAACGACCACGTTCGTCCGTGATTCGACCTACCATGCAACAATCTTCTTCTCGACTTGAAAAAATTCAACCAAAGCCAAGACCCACTGCCAGATCCGCCGTAACCATCCAAGATCATCATCCTAGTCCAGTGGTTTCTGAAAAACCTCGATCGCTCGAGTCAACGGAGTCACCATTTGCCACCACAGATCAAGCTGCTGATGATGATGTATATTACGACGATGATATGGATATGGATTTTGCACAGGCGGCCATGAATCTTGAAGTGCCACCGGTCATTAAAAAGGAGGAAGAGGTTAATGATACAATGGCCTTGGACATGACGGAACCTTCGGATATGATGAAATTTGAAGATCAATTTGCCGAGGATGTGGATGCGCTCAAAGTGGGCAATGGTAATAAGAGCGACGAGCAGAATCTGAAAGTATTTGATGAGGACGGCGGTGTCAAGTTTTGGTGGTACGATGCATACGAAAGACGAGAAAAGGGATACGTTTATCTGTTTGGCAAGGTAAGCCTGCACTTGAATCAGCGGAGAAGTGGCGGCGTTTTCCCAATGGCTAAAAATCCACCTGTTCTCTAGGTGTTGGATCAATCCAACAACAATTACATCAGTTGTTGTGTGATCGTGAAAAACATTGAACGAAATCTGTTTGTCCTCCCTCGATCGCATCGACTCGACAGTAAGTGGATCGGTTGTGTGGCTTCCCTTTTTATCAGAGCCCCTTTCTGATAATGATGGTAAATTAGATAGCGGAAACGCAACCGATGAAGTGGTGACCATTGCAGATGTGTATTCGGAACTCTCGGAAGTATGTACAAAGTATCGCATCACCAAATGGGCTTCCAAGAGTGCATCAAGAAAATATGCATTCGAAATCCCCGGCATCCCAGCCGAAGCCGATTATCTCAAAGTGGTATATGCTTATGATCGTAAGTTTGTCAGATGGATCATGACTGGAGCATACCACTCACTTTTTGAATCACTTCTGCAGAGCCCGCTCTTCCCAGCCATCTGAAAGGCGCGACCTTTAGCCATGTCTTTGGTACGAATACGGGACCGCTGGAACATTTCTTGATCAAACGCGATATCATGGGTCCTTGCTGGCTACATCTTACAGGAGCTGAAGTGAGCAACATTAATGTAAGTTTGACGTTCAGCGCTTAAAGTCCACGTAAACAGGGTGAACCAACTTTTTCGTGTTAGGAATCATGGTGCAAACTGGAGCTCATTGTCAATGATCCCAAAACATGCAATCCTCTTCGGGATGTCAATGGCAATACGCCTACTCATGTGCCACCCCTGGTCGTCATGTCCTTGAGCTTACGGACGATCATGAATCCTCAAAAGAACACCAACGAAATCATTGCTGCCAGTGCCATGGTCTGTCAGAAAGGTAAGTCTCAGGATATCCCACTGGCCTGTGTAATGTGTCCGGAAAAAAAAAGGATATGCCTCATCTAAGGATCGCCGATAGTACAAATCGATGAACCGACACCTATCGACGCTCAACAAAAGACGCGGTTTGCTGTAGTTCGCAACCTTGCCAACGCTCCATATCCCGCCGGATTCACGGATTTGGTTGCCAAAGAAAAACAAGCTGGTTTTCCTGTTCAAGTGGAACGATCAGAATCAGCCTTGCTAAATTATCTTTTGGGTAAGTGTGGCGACAGTCATGAAGGGACTTGTAATGTTTAGGGTGTCCCACTCAACCGCACTTTGGTTCTATAGCCCGAATTTATACAAGCGATCCGGATGTGATTGTTGGTCATAACTTTGCTGGTTTTGATCTGGACGTATTGCTTCATCGTATGAAAGCACTGAATACACCCCAATGGCACAAACTGGGTCGACTAAAGCGTAAAATGTAAGAAGACACTAACAGGAAAGGTTAACAGGTACTCGAGCTAACTCTGGAACATTTCTAGGTGGCCAAAGCTGCAGAGTGGTGCAGGAGGTGTGGGAGAATCGACGTATCAAGAAAAGATGATCATGAGTGGCCGCTTGATTTGCGATACCTATTTGACTTCCAAGGATTTGATTCGAAGCAAATCTTACCGTTTGACGGATCTGGCGCAGTCTCAGCTGAAGATTACGCGAGAGGATATCCAGTTTGACAAGACGGCCAGTTACTACGAGCAGGCGAGTACGCTCGTACACTTGATTCGACATTGTGCTTTTGATGCCTTCTTGTCGGCATCTCTCATGTTTAAATTGCAAGTGTTACCTTTGACGCGACAACTGACCAATCTGGCCGGTAACCTGTGGTCGAGAACCATGACCGGTGCAAGAGCCGAGCGCAATGAATTCCTTTTACTTCATGAATTCCATCGTCAAAAATTTATTTGCCCTGATAAATCATTTGGTGGCAAATCACAAGAAGCCGTGATCGAAGCGGTGGAACTGGATCGCGACGAGGACGCCGAACAGATGCAGACCAAAAAGAAATCGTCGCGTCGCAAACCGGCGTACACGGGTGGTCTTGTATTAGAACCCAAAAAAGGTTTCTACGACAAATACGTATTGTTGCTGGATTTCAACAGTTTGTATCCTTCCATTATCCAAGAATACAACGTGTGCTTCACGACCGTACAGCGACACGGCTTGACAAACGAATCCACAGAGGTTCGTATCTCTAAGAAGGAAAAAAAAAAAAAAGAGGGAGAGACGGTGGTAACCAAAACATGTCATTGTAGAGAGAAGCGGCAGACGAAGAAAAAGTTCCCGAAATACCCGATAGTTCGACGGAACAAGGTGTATTGCCGCGATTGATTAAAACGTTGGTTGATCGACGTCGTCAAGTAAAGAGTCTGATGAAGGATCCCAAACTAAGCGAAGCGGAAATGATGCAGTACGATATCCGACAAAAGGCGCTGAAACTGACGGCCAACAGTATGTACGGTTGTTTGGGTTTTTCCCATTCCCGATTCTACGCCAAACCATTGGCCATGTTGATTACCCACAAAGGACGTGAGATTCTTCAGAATACGGTCGATCTCGCAGGTAGCTTAGATCTGAATGTCATTTACGGTGATACCGATTCCATCATGGTGTACACGAACCAGGACGATATCGCCAAAGTGAAAGAAATGGGTTACATGTTGAAGAGAAGAGTCAATGAGTTGTACAAACTCTTGGAAATCGACATCGATGGTCTCTTCAAGCATATGTTGTTGTTGAAAAAGAAGAAGTACGCTGCTTTGCTCGTGGAAGAAAAAGCCAACGGAGAAATTGTGGAAACCGTGGAGACCAAAGGTCTCGATCTTGTGCGAAGAGACTGGTGTGATCTTTCCCATGATGTGTCATCGTAAGTGCTCAAGTTTTTACAAAAAATAGTATGTTTGTCTTTTTCTGATAATTTGCTTTAGTCGCGTCCTTAAATCCATCCTTTCCGACAAGGACCGAGAAGAAGTCGTCGAAGACATTCACAATTACTTGCGTCAAGTCGGAGAGGAAATTCGTCAGGGTGGTATTCCGCTGGAGAAATTCATTATTAACAAGGTAAAAAATCACACCTGTTTCCTCTCATACTAGCGAATGTAGTTGTTAATATCTTATTTACAATGTAGCAATTGACGAAAAATCCAGAGGAATATGCGGATGCCAAGAGCCAACCTCATGTGCAAGTGGCGTTGAGAATGAGACAAGCCGGACAAAGTATTCGAGCAGGCGACACCATTCCATACGTGATTTGCCAAGTGGAACATCTTCCCAACGGGGCCAAGCAAGGATTTGCAGAAAAGGCGTATCATCCAGATGACGTGAAGCACGGTGAAAAGCAGTTGGATATTGAGTGGTACCTCAATCAACAGGTCCATCCCCCTGTCGCCCGTTTATGCTCGCCTATTGAAGGAACCGATGTCGCTCGTATTGCCGAATGTCTAGGTATGACAATTGGAAAAAGAGAGTGATTCAACCAACATGTCCGTCTAACCCATCGGTCTTGCTGATATTTTTAGGATTGGATGGAAGCAAATATCATGTTATTCAGGCCTCATCGTTTGAGGAGAATGAGGATTTCGCTACTTTGGACTCGCAGATCAGTGATGAAGAGCGATTCAAAAATGCGGAAAAGCTGGTGGTGAAATGCAACCATTGCCAGGGCCAAAGCATCTTTGATGGCATTGTACGCAAACGTGAAAATGATACGGTTGAATGCGGTCTGTACTGCACGGTTTGCCAGCAAATGATCGGTCCTTCAAGCTTACAGATCCAACTCACGCTTGCCATTCGATCTTACATACGACGATACTATGACGGCTGGTTAGTATGTGACGATACCGTATGTGATAATCGTACACGTATGATCTCTGTGTTTGGACGACGTTGCTTAAATCAAGGATGCCGTGGTCACATGGCCCGCGAGGTAAGGAGAAAGAACCAGTTTCCCCCCTCCCATGCGGTGTGGAGACCCAATCACTGACTGAATGACTAACTTGAAACTGGTTGATGCCTTTGTATAGTACTCGGATAAACAACTCTATACCCAACTTTTATATTTCTCTCACATGCTAGACCCAGTCAAAGCCAAGAGCAAAGCGTCCGGTACCGCTTACTCCAGTAAGTATCGCTCATTTGACAAAAGGGAGACCTCTTTCCAGTGATGCTAACTTGTAAATTTCAGTCCAAGTAGAAGCGATTGTGAATCAACATTATCAAATAATCACTGCCCTGAAAGCCACAGTGGAGCGATATTTACAACGATCTGGTTATCGCCATGTCAATCTCGTCAAACTGATGGGCGGTATCAGTCTCGTCTAAACTTGCTCTCTTTTTTTTTTTTCTCTCTCTGCTTTTCTCTTTTCTTCTCTGATTACATTTTTTCTATTACACATTGTATCACCGTCAAAATAATGTACAGTCCACCATGTCTGTCAGCATGGCAAAATATCATATTGAAACTAACTGCAATTTATTATCATTCCATAAAACAACCATCGGCCTTTTTTTTTGCAGATCATGAAGGAAAAAAAATTGGGATGGGAGGAACAAATGTTTGCGAAAAATAATGGACCAGGTTCGTCCATGTTTAGGAACACGCGACGAGATGCATCGGTGTTTGTGCGCTCTCATTTTCAGCGACGCGCGCCAGACGTGTTCTTGCACCCAATTAAAATCGACAAATTCATGCACGACGCGTCATTTTTGAAACCTTTTCCATGGTCATGATGAAATCGAGGCGGTTCCATGCGGTAACCTATCTGATTTTCAGCCGGGGCAAGGCTGCTACACTCATTCACTGTAGGCGTGTACTGTAGACTCGTTTACCGCACAACGTTGCCAAAACCACCGCATCGTTTTTTAGAGAATATTGTAGAAGGGCGTAAACTACTAAGATATAGCATGATCATTTGTATATCGCCAATAGTACAGCGTCAGAAATGTTACCACAGTAAAATAAACTGGTTTGTCGATATCAACAACAGCAGCTGATGACGGACAAGGTGGGCTTAATCTCAGAAAAAGCGACGGGGATTTGGGCCATTTGGCGATTCTCCCGTGATGGTCGGATAGTCAGCTGAGTTGGACACGGTCATAATTAACAGTCAAAAAAAAGTTCCTAGCCATGGGCCTATCCAAGAGAATCCCTTTTTATTTCTGTGTGTTGTACGTGTTGGTGTTTTGCATGTGTTATGGAGAATAATTGCCCAAATACCCTTGATAAGCTGTGGCGCAATCCAGACACCAAGCTGGCTCGTTCCGCCATGCAGGTGTTGGAGCAACGAAAACCCCATGCTCACAGAGGATCTTCAACCGCACCACCCTTACAGTCCTTACAAGCGTCTCAGTTACCACATCGTCCATCGAAACCTTCTCGTGAACCTACTCCTCTTGCCGAATCCACCGCCAAACATGCCATCACCAAATCCAATCAAGAAGTCTTGAAATCCCAACGCAAAATGTTCCAAAACTGTGTCTTTTATCTGGATGCCATTGAGGAACCCGTCGCCGGTCGTTTGAACAGACAAATTGCGATATTGGGAGCTGTAAGTCGTCGCAGGGGAGAACCAATGATGCCAGTTCTACTTGCATTTTTTTTCCGCTCCATACCAAACACTCACTATTTGTCTTCATTTGGATCGAATAGCGTACAGAGACCTTTTTTTCAGCCAAATGCACTCACATTGTCACTTCCCGTCCATTCGTTAAACCCAAACAGAAACAGGCCGATAGCGACGACCACGGCAAATCTGTCGATCAAGAAAACGCTGTACCCACTCATGACCAAGCCAGGTAAAAAATCCACAGGCAAACCTTTATGCATCGATAAAGAAAGAATCTAATTTTTTTTATTCAACTAATGTGGCACCATAGCGATAAAAAACTGTACCCTCTCCGCACTTTCTCCAACAAGGTAAAACAATTAAATGGGCGGTTTGGTTGTGAATGTTTCAGACATGCCATATTGATTCCATTTCTCTCCATATCAGATGAATACGGCTGCCTCTTCCAAGCCGGCCGTGGTGAACCATGGCATTCTGGAAAAAGCCTTTTCCATGAAGATGACCGTGTGGTCCGTCGAAAGTGAGTCTCACCGCCGTATTTGCCTGGTTGGCAAACCATGGTGTTCAACACAGAGAAACTAACCCATCTTGTAGAAATGCTCAGCATCCTGCAACGGTTGTTGGAGAGACCTAATTATCGTACGGAACGTGCGAAGCAAGGAGGATTGGACAAGCTGCTTCAGGAAGAAAAAATGTACGGTATCAGCACCAGTTTAGGTGGTGCTGATGGCAAATCCGCCCCGAAACCACAGTTCATTCCCTTTAGAAAACATTATATGAAAGTCGACGATGCCACAGGTGTGTATCGAACGTTGGTCGCCAAAGAATATCTCCATCCCCGTGAGGATCCCCACGGATTGGCAGTATACCCTATTTTGAGAAACAACAAACCCGGCATCTCCCCCTTTACGCGCGTCCTACCCAAGGATCGTGAGGAAAAGAAACCCAACGTCAAAGCCAAAGACACGGCGGTACCACAACCTATCAAGGTCGCAGCCAAACCGAATCCGCCGAATGACGAAAATAAATCTCCTGCGGAAGGTGACGATCCTATGGAAATTGATACCCTTCCAAAAGACACCATGGCGGCCGAACATGTCCACGCGACCCGTGCCGAAATGCCATGCACGCCCAACCAAACGCCTGATACTCGTGCGATGCGTTCGAGAGCCGCATCAATAACACGAACCCCCTCTTATGAAAGAACCAAGGGCGACACTCCCGGTGTTCTTACACCGGATCACAGCCAACCATCACCATCGCTACGTCCCTCGGGTTTCCAACCTTCCATGACAGGGTTACAACCTTCAGGATTCATTCCCACCATGACGTCTCGCCAGTTGACCACATCTGCGATCAATCCCAAGTATCAACGACCCATGGATGAAAATGTCTCTCGACTTGACAGACGCATGGTCGATGGTGGCGCCGGTCCCATTCGTGGTCCCAACAATCAGCTACCGTCGTTAAGGACAATGACCTTGGCTAAAACCGTGCAAGGATCCACCCAACAACCCTCCTCTCAAAAAGAAGAGAGTGCCAAGTCTCCGGCCTCACAACCAAAGAGACAGCCTTTGGGTGCCATCTCGGAAAAGGAAGCCAAACAGCGAGCTTTGAGAAAAGAATACGAAAAGCGCGCTCATTATCTTCGTGACATGGATATGCGATACTGTGAGAATTGTCAGGTACGGTTTGAGGACTTGGAAAAGGTAAGAAAAAAGCTGATAGCCATCATCGAATCCCTACGTGTGGCGTTTCGACTGACCATTGGATCTTTCTTGTATGAATAGCATGAGAAAGAGGAAAAACATCAAGCATACATACGTGACGAGACTCATTTCAAGGATTTGGATACACTCATGGCCGAAGTGCGCCGTCCGTATCATTCGCCTTTACCGGCCCACATGAAAGGCATCATTAGTCGGAACATTGACGGTGACAATGTCCAGTTTGAGTCCACCATGGTCAGGAAGCGACAGCGGGTCAAAGTAGAAGAATACAACGGCTACGATGTGGCCATGACTGGCATTATTACCAACAAGCATTTACCAGGACTGTAACGTCCATTTGTACATAACATTTTTTTAATAATAATCATAATAACAACTACATCATGTTGGCATTCCATTGTCTAGTCCCCTTTTTATGTTTGTCATATGCTCATCATGTAGAATATCCTCATCCCTCACAACCAGAAGCTTCCCAGATAAATCGGACACCAATAAACCCAGCCAGCCTTACAGAAACAGAGGGACAGTCACCTTGATTAATACAGCAGCGCATAAGCACGATCAGCCCCCCGATCGTTCCGCTTCATCTTTACTACCTGTTCAATGTGCGGCATTCTCTTTTCCCTGTGCACCACGGGAGTCGCCGTCGAGCCGGACCTTTGGGCCGATTTAATGTGCCTGAATACGAAACGAGGTATACACCAGGATGGCATCATGGTGGACTTGAGAGATCAATCAAATTGATCATGTTACGATCGCAGGACCCGATGCACAAGGCACCCATCAAATAACGGCAGATACGGAAGGAGAGAATCCGGTGGATCTGTGCTTCTTTTCCACTGTACTTCATCTCCGAGGACCTCGTGTGGTTGCACAACCTGTCGAGAATCCAATGACCCACGATGTTCTTTGCTGGAATGGCGAAATATTTGGTGGTTTAAAGGTCTCTTATTTGCGTCCCACTTTCAATTCTATGCTTACTAAAGCACCGGTAGAAAAGGTCGATTGCACAGATAATGATACTCGGGTGTTAATGGATCACTTATCACAAATGGACGACCGATCGCCCAACGGATTGTTGAACCTTATTTCGCAGATCGAAGGTCCGTTTGCATTTGTGTACTGGCAGGTAAAATGAGCTGTATTCACTTGAGGGTCGGTTTGTATGGAGTTGCTGATCTGTGTTTGTAGGCTCGTGCCAGAAAGCTTTGGTTTGCGCGCGATTGCTTGGGACGTCGTTCTTTGTTGTGGCGTCGGTCGGATGGGGGACCTTTCATGCTTAGCTCGGTGGGACCTTCGTCGCGGCTGAATAAGAAAGATTGGGCGGAAGTGCCTGCTACTGGTATATACTGCATCGATCTCAGTCAACCGGCTCGCCAAGACGACGTGGCTGTGGGTGGCTATCCGTTGAAAAACTATACTTGGTCTCATCAGACCACGCCCGATGCCGACATTCTTACTTTGGTAAGCCAATGGATTATGAGCTTGGGATTTAGTCGACTGTCCAACTAACACTGATGTGTGCTAGAATTTACCTTTTCCGAAATTGAATACTGAAATGCCACCGGCTGATATCCTGGAAACGACCAAAGTCGATGATGCCGTCGAACCACCCATGGATCCGAAAATGGACCAATCCATTGACCAGTTTACAGAGGTGCTAAGTGAATCGGTGCGTTGTCGAGTGGCCGATATTCCGTCTTTCAGGTAAATAGTTGGATGAGCGAAAAAGCCATCTGGCCTTTTTATGAACGAATGTAACATTCCTATTTCGCTCATTGCTATCATTTAGCGAGACAAATCGAGCCCGTGTCGCCATTTTATTTTCGGGTGGCATCGACTGTATTTGCTTGGCTGCGTTGGCGCATCAGCATTTGCCTCTTTCTGAACCGATTGATTTGCTCAACGTCGCCTTTGAGAATCCGCGCACGGAAAAGGCAAAGCAGCAACCCAAATCAAAACCCAAGTCCAAGTCGAAATCTAAAAAGAACAAAGAAAGCACTGAATCGACGCCTGAGCCTGTCACTTCCGTAGAAAAGGAGGCATTGAACTCCATGTATAACACACCGGACCGCTTGACTGGTCGTGCAGGTGCTGAAGAATTACGGTAAGATTGAGCGTGGAGATTGAGAATATGAGGCTTAGGTTGCTAAATCTGCGTGCTAGACGTATTGCTCCCAATCGACAATGGAATTTTGTTGAAGTGGACGTACCATACACGGAAGCGATGGAGCATCGGCAAACGATCATTGATCGCATGTTTCCTCTCGATACGGTCATGGATCTGGTAATTGATTTTTTCGATATGTAATTACATCCGACCTATTTGTTGATGACAATGTAGAGTATTGCTATGGCGTTCTGGTTTGCATCTCGCGGTCGAGGTAAAATTTGTGGATATGTATCGGTACTGCATCCGCGACTGAAAAGAATTTGTTAGGTACAATAACATACAGTGGTACTACCGAGGTAAAACAAGTCCCTTGTTGATTTTATGTGTGTGTTCTTTCTTTTCTAACGTCATGCTTCAGCCTTACGAAAGTCCTGCACGCGTACTGATATCGGGTCTGGGAGCTGACGAACAACTGGGCGGCTACTCGCGTCATCGAGAAGCGTTCCGTCAAGGAAGTTGGGAACGACTGATCCAAGAAGTACGTACGCCAATAAAAAGAGCAAGTGTGAGCAGTATGATTTTTCTTGTGGTTACTCATGGGTTCAATAGACGCAGTTGGATGTAGACAGAATATCTACTCGAAATTTAGGTAGGGACACGCTTTGTTCTTGAAGATGAGTGGTGGCAGGGACTAAGAAAGTACTTTCCGATATGTTTAGGACGCGATGATCGTATCATGTCGGATCATGGAAAAGAGGTTCGCTTCCCCTTTCTTAGTACAGTAGTAGTGGATTGGTTATGCCGGCAACCTATGCATATCAAAGCTGATATGCGGTATGGTCGAGGCATTGGAGAAAAGCGGTTACTGCGACATGCGGCACGGCGACTCGGTTTGAACGAAGCCAGTCGAAACTGGAAAAGAGCGATTCAATTCGGTGCCAAAACGGCTCGCATGACCGAAAATACCCGCAGTGAAAAGGGACAACATAAGCTAGAAAGTCCATCCTAGATTTGGCATATGTTTATATCATACACTTTATCAAAAACTTTCATGAAACAGAACAGAGCAAACCATGACTTGAAGAAGGAACCTGCAATTTGTATAGCAAATCCAACCTGTCAATATCAGCATGCTTCTTCATAAAAAGGCTTGATGGTGAAAAAGTGAGTCCAATGACAAGCGCAACCGAACCGTGTGAGTGCCAATGGTCATTGATTGGCATTAACGGATGCGCCTTGCATGATGGGATGGTTTCAAAGGTTCAGATTCCGCAACCCATGGGTTCTATGCAGTGGCTTATTGTGTGGAGCATAATGATTCACTTGTTCGTCCATCTCTGTTTCTGCTTATTTTGCAATGAGTAAGGAAACAAGGAGCCCTCAGCAACAAAATGCGCCAAATCAGGACATTGACGCCCAACTACTGTTTGAGCAATACAATCCCGCTCTTCATTTCGATTCGCCTCCGTTATCTGAGAAAAGTTCCAATGGCGAATCATGGTATTTAATTGGAGAACAAACTGCGCCCACGGATCAGACGGCGTTTTGGAACACGGTCGTAAGTCTTCAAGTGGATGGTTACTTTTGTTTTTTTTTTGTTTTTTTTTCCAGCTTGAGCTGATTCCTGTCTCTTGTAGAAACGATGGACAGAAGAACCCCAGTTTGTTATTCCACCGATTGAAAAAGCCAATATTTTGGAGTCCACGGTGAACGATCACGGACAAGATCTGCAACACCCATTTGAACGCGTTCAGCGAGAATTGGTACCTAAACGCAAATCCAAAGATTCTCTTTTTGTCGAGACCGTGGAATACTATGAATACGACAGTGAGAGCGGTACGTGAATGGGGGAAATTTTGTGCCTAAATATGGCAAAGTGAGGCTGATCTGATTCTTTTTTTTTTTTTCGGTGGTCCCAGGTTACTGTGGTCAAGTTGTCTACCGTCCGAGCGAGAAGGATCAGCCATTGCCATTTTATTATCCAAAGGTGTTTATTTTTCTTATGACAGATGGACGGAGGTGGGAGCACAGACGATCTGACGCGTTCCTCCTAATTAGGTTGCAGCGTACCGTTTTGTTTACATCAAGGATACACAATTATCGGCGTATCACCATGACACCAGGTAAAAATGATTTTGATCCACGTGGAGTGTCTAGAATTTGGGGTTCCTGACATGTTTTGGTTTCCGTGATCGTCCAGCGATGAGCGAGGTTTACTCCGATTGGAAGTGGTGCCTCTGACCGGGTCACCCATCGCTGTTACAAATGCCAAAATGGTAAGCTCAAAAAAAAAATGGCGGGGAATATGTGTATATGTATGAAAATCGATGATCATCTCAGCCATTCATTCTATAAGCAATATGCATTGAAAACGCTTTTGCACAAATTGTTTAAATGGTGTATTCAAGCGAGACTCGGATACAAGAAGCAGGCGCACCACGATACCCTTGTTGCCAAGGACACCTATGTTGCCATGTACCAGTACATGAAAGAGAAATACGCGCAATCCCTCGTAAGGTAATTGAGACCCTGAATGTTCGTACTCCCCAAAAAGCTTGACCTGATCTAATCACTTATTCCGCCACCTGCCACGTTGTTTTCTTTGGTAGTAACTGGACAGAGAAAACCGATCCACAAAAGTTTGTCTTTGAAGATATCGCGATTGCCAGTTATTTGATCTGCCTTTGGAAAGAGGAAGAAGCACGAACTCACAGGTAAGTGTCGATCCATGTCTTAAGTCATTTTGTAGCGGAGAATCTCCATGGCTTAACTTTTTTTTTCTTAAAAAATTTTGATGCTTGTTCCTGAACCGCAAGAAAACCGACTTTTGTTGATCTGGGCTGTGGCAACGGACTTTTAACTCATTTGTTGATCAGCCAAGGTTTTAGCGGTTACGGTGTCGATATCGCTTCACGAAAAATTTGGAAAAACTTATGCCGCGGCCATGCCGACAGTCTCAGAGGTAATTTTGATGACCAAAACTGTCCATGGATCACCCAGATTACGTATGGGATGGACTGAATTGATTTTTTTAGTGGAAACACTTTATCCTGCCCAGGCAAGTTATCCTACCGTGGATTGGATTATTGGTAACCATGCGGATGAGCTGGTACCATGGTAAGGATAAATAGCTCAATCATGGTGACATATGACATACTGGGTTCCCCGAATGGAGCCGATTAACCTAATGGAATTATGCAGGATTCCCATCATTGCAGCGAAATCAGGAGAACATTGCAAGTAAGAAACAAAAAATTGGAGCTAGCATGGAAAAGGAGGATGGAGTGAGGACAAGGAACAAGAAGAAGACAAGAATCAGGGAAGAAAGGACCCAAGAAGAAAAAAAAAAATTAGGGAGACGAGTTGGAATAAGTGCAAAAAAAAAAAAAAAAAAAAGAGAAAAAAAATTGATAACGGACATAATCGTCTAGGTTTTTGGTCATCCCTTGCTGTTTCTATGGTTTGGATGGGACACGAAGATTACCACTTCGAGCGACGGCGGAAGGAGGAAAATACAGGGCTTACACCCACTATATCAAGGACATTGCTTCGCAGTGCGGATACCAATGTGAACAAGATTATCTTCGCATTCCCAGTACCAAAAATATCGCCTTGGTTGGTCGACAACGCTCCTCACCGGTAGACATGGCGACACTGAAACAGCTGGAAGAAACCGGGCGTTCATTTGTTCCTCGAAAAACCGACCGAGAAAAGGATGAACGGCGACGGGAGTTGAAGCGGTCAAAAATAGAAAAAAAGGCCTGAGTGACACAAGACAGAAAAAAAAAAAAAAGGTTTTGATGACAATAGCAGATCTTAAACTGAGAGTGAAAAAAAAGGAGTTCATATATTTTTTTTTTGGCCGGTCTGATGAGTGTTTTGGCTGTGTAAGCTTTTCTTTTATAGTTCAAGTGTCCCTTTTTTTTTCACCTCTTCTCTCTTTTTTCATCTTTTTTGGTTCCTGTTTTTTTTTTTCCTTTTTCCTTTTCTCTTTCTCTTTTTCCTTTCTTTCGATTTGGATTTGTGAGCCCTCCCCTTTCGTTACAAGTCTCTTTCATTCATTCATTTGATTGATCTTTATTAGTTTTTTTTTTTTTGACGTCGTTTCTTTTTTTGTTTCCTGAATGAGGTTCAGAGTTACCACTTGGGTATTCTTTACCCTTATATTGCTGCAAACGATTTCGGTGGTCCATCTTCAGCTCCTTCCTGATATCGTTGATCCTTCTACCAAAGCCCCAGCTGTCGATCCTACCTCACCTAGCAACGGCGGTTCAGGTACCGGTAGTGCCGGTAGTGGTGGTGCCGAGACCAAGTCGCCTGCTGTAACGGATGATCCTCCCACCTCACCTTCGCCTTCGGACAAACCACCTACCACTTCGGACAAACCGTCACCTCAACCGACACCTCAACCGACACCTCAACCGACACCTCAACCCAGCACCAATGCACCGCAACCGAGCCCGAATCCTTCCCCGAGTCCAGCTCCCAATCCAGGATCCAGTGCATCGGATAAACCTGCTCCATCGAACCCGGCCCCTTCCAGTAAACCTTCTACACCGGCTGTGCCTCCGTCTCAACCTCCCGCCAGCAGCAATTCGCCATCGCCCAGCACACCAGCATCTCATCCTCCTTCCAGCAGTGTGAGCAGTGCCAAACCGCCTTCTAGTTCAGCAGCAAGTACTCCCCACTCGGGCACTCCTTCTTCCGATGTTTCTTCGACCCAACCGACTTCCTCTGCCAGCAGCGAACCGTCGCCCTCCAGCCAACCTAAGCAAGGTGACAATAAGAAATCCAATACGGGAACTATCGCAGGTGCCGTCGTCGGCGGAGTTGGTATGTAGTGAAACGCGACCCATTAAATTTTTTAGTGTATTTATTGACCTTTGGTTCGTTTTTGGGTGCCATATAGTCGGACTTGCGTTGATTGGCGGTGCGTTGACTTGGTTGAACCGCCGTGGAGGATGTGCCCGTCGTCGAGAAAAACGAACCGCCGATTTTGAAGATTTTGGATTAGCCGAAACCGATTTCCCTCATCATCGTACACCTCCCATGGCCGCCGCGGGCATTCCTCCCGCCAGTTCAGCCGCGGGTGCCGCAACGGCAGGCGCGGTCATGTCACCCACCATTCCTCGAATGAACGAACAAGGCACTTTTTACAACGAGCCGGCTCACGATCCCAACTATCCCATGTACGCTCATGGTGCTTATCAACCTCAGTTGGACGCGAGTCACGGGGTCGAATACGGTCACTTGTCGCCCATGCAGCAACATGCTCAAGCCTACTATTACCCTGGGCAACAGGATGCGTACGGACAATATCCTGCCGAAGGTTACTATGACGACCCCAATTATTATTATGACGGCAGCACCGCGGTTTCCAGTACGGGATACGATCATATGCAGCCCGGTCAACATCCTCAGCAACCACCACCGCAACAACCTTTTTCTCCAGGAGAGTACTATAAACCGGATGCGGCTGATGGTAAACCTCATCAAAGAATGTAAAGCTTTTTTGACAACCGAGAAGCCGTCGTCGCTATTCCCCTTCTTCTGCCACCTTTTTTCTTTTCTTCCTCCCTTCTTTTTCCCGCTTCCAATCTTTTTTTTTCTTTTTTTTCCGTTTGTTGCCGCACGTTTTTGATTCTTCATCTTGGGAACCTATTTATCCTGTAAATGTTTAAGTTTCTGTATTCGGTACAAGAGGACATGTTGGAAAGAAAAAAAAACCGATGGCGAATCAGGCAGGGTTTTCTGTAGAGTTCTTAGTTCTTGTTTCTTGTTTCCATCGCCCTTGTTAGATTTTTTTGGATTACTTTTTAATTTTTTATTTTTGTTTTCTCTCCTTTTTGATTTTTAATCCCACTTCAATTCACTTTGAAAAGCATCAATGAAGAGGTTGTCACAGGGTCTAAACAATGATATTATTTTACTTTTTATTTTCTTTGTATTATCGACAACTTGACCATTTTCCTAGTGCGCAATATGAATTGTTGCATGGTGGTTTCGTTTGTTGTTTACAACTGGGACAAGTCAATGGTTTATGCGTGATTGCCCCGTGATGTTTTATGCGACATGGGTTGTGTCGATCTTCATGTGCTTGTTTTTAATTACATGGTTGCCGGTCTGCATTATATTTTCTGTGAAGAAATTACCATGGACATTGTAACACTGATTGTGCCACATCAAAGCCTTGTAGCACCCTTGGCAAAAAAAAAAAAAAAAAAAAAAAAGAGAGAGAAAACGTGGCCGCATTTAGTGACCCGGCGACTGCGCGGCTGTGCACGAGATAACATAACATGTTTAAAGTCTTGCTGGTTACAGCTTTCTTGAATACATTGGTAATACCGGCTTTGGTGGTATTATTGCAATCAAATTTGTTGATCACCTGATATCAAGAATACGAAACAACAAGTGTCCCTGAATCGGCCGGTTTCTTGTCTTGAAATGTATTTCCACAATCTGATACAGATGAAGCGGAGTTCTAGCTGCATGACCACATGCCATCATTTTCAATTCCTTTTGACAACAGCTTATTCCGATACGAAGCCCACCGCCCCATCAACAACAAACCAATCGATTCTCGCTTCATGGGGAACCTCCATGTCTATTAGGAAGACGTAGAGAATAAAAGATGAATGTCAATGGATCGTCACCATTTACATTATCAGATGCTCTTTTTTCAATTATGTCTTTCTCTTTAATTCATTATCTTTGTAGTGTGTATTTTGCATCGTACATACAATTAAAGCATGGACCACAGTTCATTGTTTTAAGCAACCACTTTATTTATTTTACACGTGGCACAGGTAAAGTTCACCATTTAAGTATATGAAAGTTATATTTATATTACAAAAAAGTTTCAAAGCAAATATTTCAGAGTGAGTATCAAGATGAGGGTGGATATAACTGGGAAAAGAGAGTGGTTACAACAGAAATGGGACGGGCCCAGTAGACGGGATATTGCGGAGTTGACCGACGACTTGGTGCACATGGCGTTGATACCAATCGCGTTCAGACACAGCCATGACCCATTCGCTTTTCAGAGTGGAATGACCGAATTTCTTCTTGAATAGCCACACCACAGGCCATGCAATGATCCACAGACAACTGATGAAGAAAATAAACCGGATCACCCGATTATCAATCCATCGGGCCAAAGGCGTGTCGGTTTTCACCGTCACCTTGTCATCTTCCTTTTCATACGTGATCTTTACAGTATGAAGATATCCTTGCTCACGAATCGCAGCAGTAAAGGCTAAAATTAAAAGTAAAAAAAAGATGATCATGAGTTAGCGCCCTTTTCTAAAAAAAAATATCCAGGTCCAAGGATGGGTAGGTACCTCGAGTCAATTGCGGATAATCCCAGAGAACCACTTTGGTCATTTGTAATTCTTTCAGTTGATTTTTTTCGTGGACATAGTCATCGCACAGTTGACGCACTGTCTTGGACTCGCCCGTGCTTGGATCGGCCATTACATAAACGCCCTGACATGCCGGTGAAATGTCATGGCTGCAATCAATATCGAACAAAAAGTCGTCCACTTGTGTTGTTATAGGTTCAAGTTCAGTGACCAATTTTCCTTCATTGTTACGCGTGGTTCTAGGTTTCCACTGCGTTTCCTCGTGATAGCCTGTATATAAGAATCAGCAAGCTGCTCGCTGAAAATTCAAAGCACTGTTTCCCAAGAAAAATTACCATGAAATTTGACTTTCATCCGGGGCGGTTTGTTATGCTGATACAGAAACTGCAAAAGGGCCTCGCCGTCGTGATTGATATGATCGTCACGGGAAAGGATGCCTTCGGTACTGGTCTCGAAAGGAGCTTTGTAAACAGAGTACGATGGTGGCGCAGGTCGACCTTGAAACGAGTGGTCTTCCTGGTTTGCCAGTAAGGGTTGACTGGCTTCATCAACCACTTCCGGTCCCAGATAGTCTCCGGCATCGAACGGAGTACTGGGCTCACTGGCTAAAAAGGTGGCATCCCGAACAAATCCTTGCAGCGGACTACTGCTGAATGGCGCTGTATCGGTGACCCCGGAAGAAGCGTGCGTCGCAGCATCGTACGATGGAGGAGGGATCGGTTTACTAATGTCGTTGGCATCCGGTGCAGAAGGAGGGAATTCCCGAGACGACCCGGAAGGAAACGACGTTGACGAGTAATAATAATCGTGCTGTTGCTGCTGCTTCTTGGACATGATCAATAGAAAAAGACACAGAAACCACCCAATGCCCAATGCCAAGAAATGCTTACACGGCGAAAATTTGCCCTCTTTTTTTTCACATGAGACCCAAAAATTTCAAACACGAAAATGGCTGCGATTCGTGTGGCCTATCCATCCGATTTCCGGTCCGTCAAACGTGTCATAAAAGAAGAAGTGCTGCGGATCCTTCAATAATATATAATGGGTTTATGTCAATGTTTTCTATTTGCCACCACTACAATTACGCTGGGTAAATAAAATCATGTTTTCTACCTTGCGTCAAATGAAGGATGATATTGTTGTTTATACTGTAGCGCAACTTGCTTGACATTTGAAATTACAGAACTCATTTACAGTTTGAAGAAATTGCGATTGACATTTTTCAGAATTCTTGCGAAATGCCAATTATTAACCCTTATTTGTGCAATCGACATTCTGTTGATGTCGTCAGAGATTTTATATTGTGTAATCACATCCAATCCGATGCAACTGTTTGGAAATTGCCTATGCGTTTGTGTATAATACATGCACTGGTGCGTGGTTCTGTAACGAGAATTTCCTTGGATATGCCCTTGGAACCATATGGAACCATATTTTTGCAATGTACTGCAGAGAGTAATTATAAGAGCTTTAATGGAACACCACTCCAATCGTTATGGCTTGTTTGCCCTGTCATTGTTTATTTTAAAAATCATATCAAGACGTTTCCTTTCGAGGTTCACCCAGGATGATCATGTTTCCGAGCAATAAGAGTGTGTAATCACAGTAGTTTTCATTGCCAATGCAAGATAAAGTGTTGCGAGTCGGATGGCTGCAAGCCAAGTGGCTGGGTTGGCTCGATTCAAAAGGCGTGTGTCGACATATATATAGTGTGACAAGTCGAAAGGGAAATTGAACAGCTGAACGAACCAAAACATTGACAACACTGAACCAGATGCTACGTTTACAAGTGTATTAAACTGTACACTCAGTGTTCACTGAACAAGGATGTAACCAGCTCACATCCATTTCGTACAAGTTACAGTAATTATTTCCAAAAGTCCGAGTTAGGGTTCTCATAATACAGTAATTATGTAAGCCGCAAGATGCCATAAATGCTATATTACGGCATTAGTAGTAAAACAACATACGTTTGTCACAAACGTTAAACACATTGTACGGTTGAGATTTACTGTAAATTGGATTTTCATAGTCATTGGCATTGCAGAAATTAATGAGAAGTTTATTTTTGCAACTGTTGCAGACCTTTTTTTTTCTGTTCTTTGTATCACCAACTGTGTACCTGCGTTAATTTAGCACTGTTTTAAACCTATGGTTCTTCCGCAAAGCCCGTTACTCGATTCGTGCAATGGAACGGTTTTTTGATAGGTTGCAGCTCGGCTCATCTTCAGCCAGATGAGATGAAGCAAGCTGAGTGGAGAAATGCCTCCCACGGGCCGTGTGACTGGCATACAATTCTACGTCATGAACAGCGTCACATTTTTTTTTGGCTTTAATTTTCCTTTCAAAACCTCCTGTTGTTTACAATTTTTTTTTTTCCTTTTTCTTTACTCGCCTTTTCTTGGTTCAGATTGTGTCGAGACCCCCACTTCATCTTCTTTATTGACAGCAATCGTCTTTTTGCAACATTCACCTTTGCAACACAAAAAAGCAGTCGACGTACTTGTTCATGTTTTGTTCATCACTGGACTGGAATCACATTTCCCATCAAGACAGTATAGAGCAGTACCAGTTACATCGTTTTCTTAAAGTCAAAAAGAAAGTCTCTCAGGCGACCTCCTAAACCACTTATTCCTCTTCTCTTTTATTTCTTCTTCTTATTACACACAAACAATACTCTTGTTTCAACCTACTCCATTTTTCCCTCCTTTCTTTATTTGTAATTTGATAACATCCAGTTTGCAACCATGTCTGCCATTAATGTTCGACGTGATGTCAAAGACTCCTATTATCGTTACAAGATGCCTCGCCTGATCTCAAAGGTAAAGTGGAAAAGAAAATATTGCAAGCAAATGTTACAGATGGCTTACCTTCTTTCTTTTTTTAGGTCGAAGGTAAAGGCAATGGTATCAAAACGGTTATTCCCAATATGACGGATATTGCCCGTGCTTTATCCCGTCCTCCTTCTTGTAAGTTAATGATTGGCTAAATTAATTCATTTATGTTGAGTGGATGAACTCACGACGGATTCTTCTTTTTTTTTTTCCTCATCAGATCCTACCAAATACTTTGGATGTGAGCTTGGTGCTCAAGTCAAATGTGATGACAAGAATGAACGCTATATTGTGAATGGCGAACACGATGCCGAAAAGTTGCAACAGATTCTTGACGGTTTTATTTCCAAGTTTGTCCTCTGTGACTCTTGCAAAAACCCTGAAACCGATATTGTAAGTCATCATGTTTACCAAAACAATGGATAACAAAAAGAGAAAGAGTGGCAAGACTTACAAGAAATGGTGCTTTTTTCTATAGATCATCAAGAACGATGATATTCTCATGGACTGCAAAGCTTGTGGTGCCAGAAATCTGGCGGATATGCGTCACAAGTTGTCCACGTTCATTCTCAAGAATCCTCCTGCTGCGGCATCCAAGAATCTGCGCAAGCAGCGCAAAGCCGCCACCGCTCAGGCCAATGGAACCGATGAGAACGGTATGCCCAATGGGCACGATGATGGCGCTGCCTCCGATGATGATATTATCTCTCAACGTATCAACAAGGAAGCTGCCGGTTTGTCACTTGAAAGTCAGCTCGCTGAAGAAGATTGGTCCGAAGATACCAGTGAAGAGGCCGTGGCCCAGCGTATGAAGGAATTGTCCGTCAAGGGTATGGGTGCTTTTGGTGGCGACGATGAAGACGATGGCGAGAACAAATATGAACAGTTCGGTGAATGGCTCGACAGTGAGGAAAATCCCTCGGATGATGCCATCGTTGAAAAGGCCGAAGAATTGGGTGTCTTTGGCAAGTACAAGGCTTGCCAGGTGTTGGTTCAGTGTATTTTCGATGAAACTATCGCTGCTCAGATTCCCAAGCGTACCAAGCTGTTGCGCCGATTCGTCAAGGATGAGAAGCACCAAAAGGCCGTGTTGGGTGGTATGGAACGCTTGGTCGGACTTGAATACAAGGATAAATTGATCAAGAAGGTGCCGGCCATTCTCATGAAGTTGTACGATGCCGATATCATTGAAGACGACGTGTTCTTGAAGTGGGGTGAAAAGCCTTCGAAGCGTTACGTCGAGCGTGAAGTCTCCAAGGAAGTCAAGAAGGCCGCCAAACCCTTCTTGGAATGGCTCGAAAATGCATCTGAAGAAGAATCCGATGAAGAATCGGATTAAACAAGACGTTCTTTTTTTTTCTTTTTTTCTTTTTTTTTCACTTTTTTCCTTATTTCTATTTTTACACCACACGGTTCGTTGATGATAACAATGTAATGTCTATTTTCCCATTGAATAAATAGTCTCTACAATATTGGACTGAAAAAAAAATTGCGCATCATTTTTTACATTCGTGTGCCGTTCAGCCAACCACATCGTCGCGAGCATCAATTACTGTATTGAGTCTTATGGTGCGAATTAGCGTCATTAGGTCACGAATGAGCTCGCAGCACTTGATGGATCGACTTGTTCTTGTATCCGACCAACGATGCGATGAAAATCTTCGTGCCAGCTGAACGTTGGGAAAAAAAAAGGAGACCCTACTGCCTTTACGCCGATACATCATCATTTTGCCCTCGTTCATAGCTTTGGCCATGCAGTCTATTGTTTTTTCATAAAGATGCTACGTGGCACCATACGTGGTGAAGAAGGGAAATACATAATGCTCCGTTTTGGATTGCACTTTGGAATCGTATTTGATCGACAAGTGGGAACTTGTGCAACGTCTTTTTTTATTGGGTATGATGATTGTGTTTTTTATTTACGATATCATAACAAGAAAAAGATACCACTTTAGAATAGTTCTGCAGGGCCGATGGAGATAAAATGAATCGCAGAAAAAAAAAAAAAAAGGTCTCCACCCCCCGCAAAAAACACCCGCTCATTGTTTGTGTGCGTAGTTGGTTCACTCATCATGAACCGGCTGTAACTGAATCGATCTGCACGTCCGTCGTTTCGTCCTATAGTTTGCATTTCAACTTGTACAACATTGGAAGCAAACTAATCATCTTGCGAAACAATTTAAAAATTCATTGGATTCACGCAAAAGGTCATGCTTGTATTTTTTTGGATGTTGGCGTTGATATGAATGAATATACGAAATACGTAAACCAATAATCTAGAAAAGAGGATATCTCGAGTGTCACATGGATTGTCATTTCTCTCATCCCTACATTTTTTGGGTCAAGTGGCGGTGGAGGGTTATCCTGAATTAATGGTGGATGACGATGGTACAATGGACTCAAGAACGATAATGGAGAAAAAGGACAAGTTTCATGTGGACCAAAACAAGCTGGGAAATTTATACTTGCACACGCATCCACATATCCATGATGAAATACCCTGGAATCGAGTAAACAATGGATTATGTGATACTTGTGAATCATCCACGTTTTTTAATTACTTTTTGGATTGAAAAGGAACTGCATGCACTACGCAAACGTTCGAATGGAATCGAAATGCACTGATCAATTCGAACCATAAGATAAGAACAAAAGAAGCAATAAAAAGAGTATGACTTAAAAACATGGTACCACATTTATCAATAAACCCACAGTCCACCTAATACCAACAAAAAGAAGAGAAAAAAGCTATACCGGAGCCTTACAAATAAATGGACCTTTTTAAAGCGGGCGGATCAGAAAAAAGTAAAGCTTCATATCATCGTCAGCCAAAAAACGACACGGTAAGCCACAATGCAGGGTTCATCAAACGCGTGCATATGCATGAAATTTCTAAAATCGTCATAAAGAAAGAAAGAAAAGAAGGTCAGCAAGACAAAACAAAAAAAAGAAAAAAGACAAGGGGGAGGAGGGGGGAGGGGAGAGAGAGAGCGAAAGAACCGCGATAAAAAGGGGGCGAAATATCAAAAAGGTCAAGATGACTGGATCAAGTAAAAGTCGAATAGGCGAATTGAACGTTCACGAAAAATGCAGACGACTTACATTTATGTTATGATGCTTGGACAATGATACAATCAGGAGTACTTCTTTTTGGCCAACTTGCTAATAATAATATATCTAATGTGTATATAAAAAGTCATCGATTCTTTTTTTTTCCCCCTTCTTTTTGTGTTTATATTTTTTTTGTCCTCTGCTTCTCATTTATCAACCTTTGGCCCATTTTGCGCCAGGACTTTCTTGGGGTTCCCTCTTTTCATCCTTTTTTTATATATTTTTTTCTTTTCCTTTGTTCTTCCTTTTGTGATCTTTCATCCGCTTGATCAAGTGTTATTGAGCTTTTTTGCTCTTTGTTTTAAATCCATTTTTGGTGATCGTTCTTGTTAACTATGGGTCTCTTACGTTTTTCCAAAAAGAAAAAGGAAGAACCCCATTGTTCTCCTCCTTCTGCTCCGCCGCCATTACCTTGGCCATCGGATCCCGTGCTTCAGTTGGCATTGAATAATATGTCCGATACCAACCAGACCTCAACCGACGCACCTGTCAAATCGCCTATCGCCGATACTTTTATGAGGTCGAGATTCGACGATCCTGCACCTTCATCTGACGCAACTTTCCAAACCAGTCTTTTGGATGACATCTTTAAAGAACTCCAACCTTCTACTCCGTCGCCGCCGCCCACTACTAGTAAGTTTTGTTTATGTTACTTTTATAAAAAGCTTTCATTCCAGGAAAGAAAATAGTTTGGGAACTCAACCACTTAAAACTATATCTTGTCCAACCATGATTTCAGCTTACAGGCATTCTACTTTAATGCCTGAATCGCGGTCGATGATTCAGATCACCACACCTTTGACAGCGGTCAAAAACCCAGAGACAGTTGACACCAGGTTCAACAGGTATTCATCACCAAACATGATCCTTTCACCATCGACCCCTGCTGTTTCCCCTTCGCGGTTACCCCCTACCACGTTGCCAACGTCTTTGACGACAGGAGCCGTGAAACCATCCGTGACACCTACTACTGCCGCGGTCCAGACGCCTAAATCGACCAAACAATCCAAACGCGGGTCCACCTTGGATTCCGATGATTCCGATTCGGATGGATCCACGTCTTCCAACCATCGACGTATGCCACGGTCCGCTTCGCGCCTGTCCATTCCCAAGAAACCGCATTCGACGGTGGCTTCGGAATCGGGCAAAGTAACGGGAAAGATCACCGCAGGCAAATCGAATGTTCCTGTGGCGTCCTCCAAAGTGTTAATGAATCGGATGAGAGAAAGGCATCGCCAGGAATGTCGATTATCAGCACAACCGGCTCCTACTGCTTTTTCACGTCAACGTAGCTCACCGTCCATGCCCACCATTTATGCTCCTGAACCGTCTCCCCCTGCAGCGCCGCCCTCATTGGTCCAATCCAGATCCTTCACCATCGCCGCTTTCCCTGCTCGGCGTTTGGTTCGTTCCTCCTCCGCGGCCACGGATCTTTTCCTCCAACCCATCCCCCAATCTCATAATAATCCGATGCAAATGCAGGTAGGATCATGCGTCGAAAATCAACTTTATTTGCCAGAAAGAAAAAAAAAGAAGTCAAGGCAAAAAACCATTGGACTAACATTGGATCTTTATACAATTTATTACTTTCTTTTTGGACACTAGATGCCTCCAGATATGGGGATGCCGCCTCGACCGCCATCTCACTTTCAGGCACGATCGATGAATAACCGGGCAATGCCGATTCCCAATCCGAATTATCGCATCGTACGAGATACCACGCCGCAACGATTTTCCATGGACGAAGCCAAACTTCAACATTTGGCGAAATCCAAATCGGCGTATCCCATGTTCCCCTACGCCGAAATGCCCAGTAAAAGTCCCATCATAGTCTCGGCCCCGGCCCCCGCTCCTCCTGCAGCGATGCCCATATCGATGCCGCCACCCAACCATGCCCTGCCACCCACTCCAGCTTCGCCTGGTACAATGCCTTACGCAGCCGATCAAACGATGAGAATGCAAGCGATGGATATGCCATTACCGACCAAAACGCGACCTGTTTCATTACCCGCAGGAAAGGAAGCGGCTCGATTCACGATCGAGTCTTCCGAGGAAGAGATGGATCAGCCCGACATGGTCGCTCCACCTTTGCAAAAGTCAAAACAGGCACTGATCAACGAACAACAACGGATCCTGAGCCACCGCCATGCTCACCAGTCCATGCCACCGACACCTCCTCCCGAAATCAGCAAAGGGACGCCTTCTGGCCCAGTTCAGGAATCATCCGATGCAGCCTGTACACCGTCGTCGCCTGTTTCGCCTACATCCGAAGCATCGTTGGAAACCAAGATTGCCGGCGAAACCGAACCGACCACAGAAACGAGTGGATCCGTCCACGTGCCTCTGACCCGTCTTCCCAGTCGATTGCAGCGTGAATTACGATTTATGCGGTTGAGACGATCACAGTATTCGGTGCCGAATTTAGCTCAATGGGCTGCCAATAATCCATCCGCTTTACCGCCGTTGGAAGACCCGCCTTTGGAACCGACCCTAGCCGGTCCTTCACGTCATGCTGGTCGCGACAAGGACATGTCAGCGTATATGGCTCCTCACGACATGATCATGGTCAATCATGCCTGTGTGGCATCATGTCGCCACCCTGATCCGGCTTTGGCCCACACGATGGCCATGTGCCACGCTTCGTATTTCCCGCCGAATCATGAATTGCTGGCACCATGCAGCCATGGCGTGGCAACGAGTTGTTGCTCTTCGGTCAATTATCACGGTTGCAGTTGCGGCCATGGCGGACGAATGCGTTGTACAAATTCCGCGACACGTAGAGCGGGACATAAACATAGCAAGAAGTGTATTCATAAATCGACCTCGACCCTAGCCACGCCGGAGCTCAAAGACATGGACAAGACCAGTGCCCATACCCACCGAGGCTGCTGTAAAAAGCATTGCCGGCCCGGCTCCAGTTCACCGCACCACAGACAATGCCACAGTCATCATCATCATCATCATAACCACTGCCACAACCGTTCCCAGTGTTCGTCATGCTCCCGACATCGTCACCACCCGCCGCCGCCACCTTCCGTCGCTCCCTTTCCTCCGCAGGAACCATCACTCCAGTTGGATTCCAAAATAGAAACTGAAACGGCCTAATATCTATTGACCTTGATGCGCTGTCATTGAAGCAGTGTTCTTTCTTTCTTTCTAATGATAATATAATATACCACATTTTTTTATTTTTTGCGTTCAATTCAAACAAAGAGAGCAAGTTTGTTAAGTCTCGAGCCATACAAGCATCTTGGGCACCTTAGATTGCATTGTTTATCATCACTTTATGCAACAACAATGTGGACTTGGATGATGATTCCTCCAGAAAATACCACTTGTCAGGCATTTGACTTGATCTTGGCAAATGCCTGTCACTGATCTAATCAGCATGCAATTTAAACACATACGCATGATGAGGAAAAGAATTACAACATTGAGTGGTATGTGGTCGCATGTTTTTGACCTGTTCAATCGCCTGGATCATTCAAAGGCTACTTACCGTAGCCAAGCCTGAATGCACCAAAATACCTGACTGAAACCGGTCATTCGTTCCGTCGCTATCAGCAACAGCATTGCATTTTATAAAATGGTGTTTCACAGTGCTGCATAAAAGGTTTCCATCACCACAGAATATCAAGAACTTTTTCAGCAAAAAAAAGTTCCGCTGAACAGTCTGATCTTTCCAGCCACAATGCACGGATATCGGATCAGAGAATCAAGGTTTTGAGCATCCAGGAACCACGGAGGGGGACGACCTTTGTTTGGATGATCGTTATGGATTTGTTAAATTAGCGCAAGTGTACAGTATGTGCCCGTTGATTTGCAAATCAGAGTTGAATAGTCAGGATGCCCTCCACGGTGACTTTTTAGCAAGAACGCAGTATCAAGGCAGAATACAATATTGTGTCACCTTGCGAACAAACCCCGTCGGAGTCTCGCACGGCAAAATAGTGCCAATGATGAAAGGGAGCAATGGAAAAAAGAAGGTTTAGTGGCATTGACGCCCAAGATTTGAAAAGGAGGAAAGAATACATGCAATGGATACACGGTCTCAGGTGTTCTCGAGGGGTTCTTAAAAAAGGTAATAATTGAGTTGACCTTCGTGGAAAATACATTGATGGCCGGGGTTGGGAGACATGGGATGAAAAAAAAAAAAAAAATAGTGGAATAGAGGTCGGTCAGTTGATGCATGGTATTCCATGGAAAAAGAAGTCGAACGGTATGGATAGATGGATGGATGATCTGTTGATGATATTTAGGCTTATTTATGGAGATTCTGGATTGGAAGAATGAAATAAATAGATTGACTACTGTTTCTGGAATGTGGGTCAGTGTGTTTGGCTATTTTTTGCTTTCCCGGTGTGCTTTGGACAAAAAATAATAAAAAAGCAATATGAGGACGATTAAGCTGGTGTTACGTTTCTTGCACAACGTCAGCCAATCAAAGCTCGGGATTCCATATCCAGTGCAAAGTTGACACTGATATTTTTTGGGCCCCTTCTTCATCCTTCGTTCCACCTCGCTCACTTGTTTCTTTTTTAAACTTTTTCCTCTCTTGTCGCTTTATTTATTTTTGAGCTTTTTTCTTATTTTTTTGCAGCGGAATTTTGGATTTTTCTTGGACAGACCACCACTCCAAAAAATTGACTCTTATCGCCTCTCTTCCCAACTTTCAGCAATTTTTTTTTTGTACACCAGAGCAACCCAACCCCACCCTAAACTCGGTTGTTGCTCCCTTTGAGTTGCTCAAATAAAAAATAGAAGACCATGGGGAAATCCAAACGGAAATCAGTCAACGCCTATCCCAATAATCTTGCTCATCTAATACCCGCCACCGACCAAGCTTGCACAGCCTGTATTCAAACAAGACACGGCAATAATCACATCTATACCAACATCGGTGACTCGCATCTCGTCGTCGTTAATCCTTATCAACCCATCGCTTACAATGATGAACAAACCAGCCTCGAATACGTTGCCCTGTACAAAGATACCCACCCTCACCTACCTCAGGAACCACATCTTTACGGTTTGATCAACCGTGTCTACTTTCGTATGCGACGTACCACCGAAGATCAATGCGTTATATTGTGGTAGGAAATTATATTATTTTCTAAATTGATTCGCTTAAACTTCAGTTCATGAACGTCTGTTGTTGTTGTCGTCGTTTTTATGTAGTGGTGAATCGGGCAGTGGGAAGACAGAGATCCGGCAATTGGCACTCCGCCACCTCGTGAAACTCAGTTGTACCAAGAAAGAATCCAAGGCACAGACGCAAGTGATGCATTCGCAGACAGTATTGCACGCTTTTGGCACCGCGGCCACGGTTCAGAATACGCAAGCTACACGATACGGCTACTATACTGAACTTCAATTCAACGAACGGGGTCGCATGACTGGGGCCAAGACACTGCATTACTGCTTGGATACATCCCATGTTGTCAGCCGCGGCGGCAATAACTTTGCCGTCTTTTACATGCTGCTAACCGGCTGCGATCCAGAAGAACGTCGCATACTCCAGCTTGCCGGTGATGCATCCATGTACCAGTATTTGAAACGAGCTAGACCGGCACCAGCGGATGCGTCTCGCGATACCTTGGACACTCTCAAACATGCTTTGAAAGCCGTGGGCTGTCGAAAAGACCACGTGAGCCGCATTTTCCAGTTACTTGCTGCCATCCTGCATCTCGGTAACCTGATATTTGTTGATCCCACCGGGGCGCGGACCGAAGAAGCCGCGTATGTGAAAAATGAGGAAACCTTGGCCCTCGTCGCCGACCTCGTCGGTTTGGATCCCGTGGCCCTGGAAAATATCTTGGCGTACAAAACCACTCTCATTCGAAAAGACGTCACCACCCTTATTCTCAATGCCGATCAAGCGAGCCTCCAGCGCGATCAATTAGCCCAATGTCTATATTCTCTTCTTTTCTCTTGGCTCATTGAGCGGTTCAATGCCAAACTTTGCCGTGACGAATTCAATAGCTACATTGGTTTACTGGACTTTCCCGGCCTTCAGCAGTCTCCCTCTGGGGCCAGTTTTCAAGACTTTTGTATTAACTTGGCCGTTGAAAAAATCCATCAGACCTTGTATTCTAACCTATTTCCTTCGGATTCTATGCTGGAGGAAGCTTTAGGCTCGCCACTGCCATTCCTCGATCCCGCTCATTGGACCGATCTGTTAACCCGTAAAGCGGGCATCTGCGCTCTGACCAATACAATGACAGAACAATGGCATAAAGGCAAGCGAAAGGTGACTGACGAACATCTCGTCGATACTCTTACTAAGTATAACTCCAACCATCCATCGTTTGCTATCCAAACGTCGTCTACCAATGCTCGTCATTTCACCGTGCGTCACTTTGTCGGTCCCGTTACCTACGATCCCACTGGTTTTACCAGCCGCAACAGTAGCCAGATCCCCATCGACTTTGTCTCTGTGTTCCGAGGGAGTGCCGACATGCCGCCCTGTTCCAATGCGTTTGTCGCTGAACTTTTTTCAGACACCATGTTGGCGGTGCAGCATCATCCATCTCACACATCCACCATCGTTAGTGCTCAACCAATGCAAAACCTTTCACGCCACCCTTCCACCAAAAAAACACGCAACGACGCGGACGATACAAGCACATCAAAAACCAGCTCGACTGTGCTGTCCCAAATCCAACCCGCTTTGGATGGCCTTGAATCTTCTTTGCAAGAATGCAACCTCTGGGGTATATTCTGCATTCGGCCTAATCAAAATGGCCATTCGACCCAATTTGATTCAAAGTACGTGCTATCCCAAGTGCAAGCGTACCATTTGACCACCATTGCGGAACGCGCCAAGGTCGATTACCCCGTGGCATGGTCGCACCAAGATTTCTTGGATCGATACGCTATCCAGCTTCACGCTCTCGATATTGACCCTCATCGTCTGGCTCGGACTCGCCTCGACATGGTCGCGGCCGCTTTAGCATGGTCATCCACCGACATGTTGGTGGGATCGGAAAAGGTAAAAAAAAAAAAAAAAAAAAAAAAAGAACGAAATACAAATTTGAGCTCCATCCATCGGCTAATCATGTTCTACCCTAGGTCTATCTGAGTTTCTCAGCGTGGCATCAGTTGGAAAATCAGATGCGTGCTTGGGAAAAAGACGGTCAGCGCCAAGCCAGGGATACAAGCAAGAGCATGCAGGATCCAGATAATTTACGTGCAGTGGCGGTGGCGGCAGGGTTGCCACCGCCCATTCCTGCTTCTATCACCACAGAGAGTCAGCGATCGTTTTATTCGGACGATGACTACCAGCACGACATGACCAGCACCGTGTATCAAGAGAACGACGAATCCTACTACGGCACCGAATCCTATGGCTATTCAAACGAAACCGAAACCAAAGCGGCTATTGGCACGATTCCGCTCACGGAAAACCTGCAAGCGCCCTTGGAAGACGAAGACGAAGACAAGCAAACCATGACTGCCGCGCGTAAACGGTGGCTGTTCTTTGTGTGGGCCGTTACCTGGTGGATCCCCAATCAGTGCTTGGTGTGGTGTGGTAAAATGAAACGAAAAGACGTGCGCATTGCTTGGCGTGAAAAGGTGGCTCTGTGTACCATTATCCTGTTCATGTGCGGCTTTGTCATTTGGTTCCTTGTGTTCTTTGGCGAACTGGTGTGTCCGCATCAACAGGTGTTTTCCGAAACCGAATTGCAGGCTCACGATAAACATGACAGCGAAAAGACATACGTGGCGATCCGAGGCGAAGTGTTTGATTTGGGTGGTTTTGCCCCACGCCACTATCTGAGCGGGATCATTCCTACCGAAAAAGTCCTGGATTACGGTGGCAAGGATGCCACGGATCTGTTTCCCGTGCAAGTATCGGCGCTTTGTGAAGGCATCAGCGGCGAGGTATCACCGTACGTGTCGCTGGATTACCGTCGCAACCTCAGTGACACCAATGGCCAGTACCACGATTTTCGCTTCACGTCCCAGGTGTACGAACCTAACTGGTACTATAACCAAATCAGCATGTTGCGAAGAAACTACAAAGTGGGTCACATGGCGTATGAAAGCAAAGCCGTCCATGATCAAGCCACCACTGCTACCAAGGTGAACGACATCAAGACGACGCGCAACTGGGCCATTCTAGATAATCACGTCTACGATCTCACGGCTTACACAATGGGAGGACGGTACGCGGCCGGTCCACCTGGAGAACTCGTTCCTTCGGGGATTGACACCAACTTCATGGAAACATCGGTGGTGAACCTGTTTTGGCAAAAATCAGGCACCGATATCACCAAGGAATTTTACGCTTTGAAATTGGACGGCGCTACCAAGCAACGACAACTGGTGTGCTTGCGCAACCTCTTTTTTGTAGGCATGCTCGATACTCGAAATTCGGCCAAATGCCAGTTTTCCACCTACCTCTTATTAATCGTCACCTGTCTTTTGGCGAGTGTCATTGTGTTTAAATTCCTGGCCGCCTTGCGTATCAGCAGCCCGCGGGCCCCGGAAGAGCACGACAAATTCGTGATTTGTCAAATCACTTGCTACACCGAAGACGAAGAATCGCTGCGAAAGACCATTGATTCCATTGCCACCCTCACGTACGACGATAAACGCAAGCTAATGTTTATTATCTGCGACGGCATGATTATCGGTAGCGGCAACGATCTGCCCACACCTCGCATCGTGCTCAATATTCTGGGTGTCGATGCTCACGTGGATCCGGAACCGTTGTCGTTTGTGTCAGTGGGCGAAGGGCAAAAACAGCACAATATGGGCAAAATCTACTCTGGATTGTACGAAGTGTCGGGTCATGTTGTGCCGTACATCGTGGTGGTGAAATGCGGCAAGCCCACAGAACGTCAGAAACCCGGCAACCGCGGTAAACGTGATTCGCAATTGATCCTCATGCAGTTCCTCAACCGTGTTCACCACGATGCCCCCATGAACCCATTGCAGCTGGAAGTCTATCATCAGATGAAAAATGTGATTGGCGTGAGTCCCAGTTTCTACGAATTCGTGCTCATGGTCGATGCCGACACCGAAGTCATGCCAACGGGCTTGAATTATCTCGTGTCCAGCATGGTCCACGATTCCAAAATTATTGGCATCTGCGGCGAAACCACCCTTGCCAATGAAAAGGATACGTGGGTGACCATGATTCAGGTGTACGAGTACTTTATTTCTCACCACATGATCAAAGCCTTTGAATCCCTGTTCTCGACGGTCAGTTGCTTGCCGGGTTGTTTCACCATGTATCGCGTCCGCACCGTCGATAAGAAACGCGCGTTGTTTGTCAGCAACGAGGTGATTGCCGATTACTCGGTCAATGTCGTCGATACGCTGCACAAGAAGAACTTGCTCCACCTCGGCGAAGATCGGTACCTGACCACGCTCCTGTTGAAACACTTTCCTCACTTCAAGACCAAATTCACGGCCGACGCTCAGTGCAAGACCAATGCCCCGGATTTATGGAGTGTGCTTGTCTCGCAACGCCGTCGATGGATCAATTCCACCATTCACAATTTGGGAGAACTGGTGTTCCTTCCTCAACTGTGCGGTTTCTGTTGTTTCTCCATGCGTTTTGTCGTAATGCTCGACCTGATCAGTACCTTGGTAATGCCGGCCATCATGGGTTATCTCGGTTACCTCATCTACACCTTGGCCACGTATGACGGCGATAATATTCCCATCATTTCCATTGCCACCATTGCCGGAACGTACGGTCTGCAGGCCCTGCTTTTCATCCTGAAGCGAAAATGGGAGTACATTGGATGGATGCTGGTATCGATCCTGGCCATTCCGGTGTTTTCGTTCTACATTCCCATTTACGCGTACTGGCACTTTGACGATTTTTCATGGGGCAACACGCGTGTCGTTGTAGGCGAAAAGGGTCGCAAAGTGGCAGTGGCGGACGAAGGCGAATTTGATCCCAAAACCATCCCGACCATGACATGGGCCGAGTACGAAACGTCCTTGCTGGGCCACGACTGGAACGACAGTGAATCGTATTACAGCAGCCCCCAAGGTACCGGTCCCCTTTACGGCTCTACCATCCAACTCCCACCACCGACAGCCCCATCGATGCAATCCGGTATCATAGATCATGCCTTGCTCCCCTCGGCTGCGACTTCCCTGCCTGGACTTCCGTTGGCACCCGTGGCTACAGCGCCTTCGGTGGTTCCACGCTCCATGGCCTCGCGCCCCGTCTCGGCAATGACCAAATCCACGTCGGCCAACTTGATGATGAACCGTAACAGACAGTCGCTCGTCATGGATGGATTCGCTTTAAATGATGCCCAAGCCGGGCCCAACAATGAGCAAATCTTTACCGAAATCAAACGGATCCTGAGTGTCGCCGACCTGACCCAGATCACCAAGAAACAGGTCCGAGAAGAACTCCAAGCCATCTTTGGCGTTTCCATGGCAGGCAAAAAAGACTATATTAACATGTGCATTGAACACATCCTGCAAGGTGGTGGTGTCTAATTCCTATCTTTATTTTTTTTTCCTTTCAATCCTCATTCCTCTTGCTGTTGTACAGATGCATTTTTTCATGGCAATAATTTTTTCTTCTTCTTCCCCTTTTGTACACTATCCATATTTACAGCATTCAATATCAAAATAGAAACACCGAGAACGTCCTTACAAATGCTATAAAGAACGTCACATATTTGAATGGCCTTTAAGAATACTACAAGCTAAACAGCTGTGCATGCTACTCATAAACGGTGGGCTTTTTTTTTTATTATTATTGGCGCATTGAGCGGAGAACAGGGAACTCTGTTTCAGGTGGAGATGGTCCCATCGTCCTGCAAAATCAACCACAAGTATAACCACACAGACAAAAAATTCAACATACACATGCAGCTACTGCGTTGACCTACATCCTACATGATTAACCAATGCGAATTTGTTAACTTAATTTAATGAAATAAATAGAGTGAGAAATCTTTAGGTAGCATCTACAGTATACAGACTAATGTACATCTCTCGTGTGCAACACAAAGAGGACGCATGTTTAAAAATTGAACATTGACAATTGATTTTCCTTTAGAAAAAAGAAGGAGACGTCTTTGCATGGTTATTGGGAAGCTTGCCGCGGCTAATAGGCGGCTGCCAAGCCGTACTTGCGAGGATCACTCGCACCTTGAGCTGTGCCATTGGGCAAGCGACGCACGGCTTGGACGGCGGAAACGGTGGTATTGCGTCCAATCATGAAAAACTACCAAAGGCGCATCAGTAACTTTCTGCGGTGCGTGTGGGTGAAGGGGGGACTTACTTCATGCCCAAATGGTTGGAGCGCTTTGATTTTACTTGGGTCGAACCCTTCTTGTACAAACGCAATGTTGGGCATCAATTGATGGTGGATGCGTGGCGATTCGACTGCTTCGTAGATATCAAGACCAAAATCAAGCGTGTTGAGAATCACCTAAATCAAAAAAGAGTTTAAACTTTCTTGGTTATTCCATCACCTTTCCCATAGTCATTTTTACATCGAGGGATGCGGTGACAATTTGGGATCCTCCCGATCCGCCCAGCGCCATTTCAAATCGATTGTCCAATTCAATGATGGTCGGGGTGGTGCTCGAGAGGGGTCGTTTGCCAGGCGCTGTCAAATTCGTTAGCAAGGAAAAGAAAAACAAATCAACCGGCGACGCGCTCACGGATATGGCCACTGACCTGCATAATTATGATAGCTAGGGTACAATCCAAACGCATTGGGAACACTGGGGATCGAGAAATCGTCCATTTCGTCATTCAGCACCACTCCCGTAACAGGATCCATCACACGGGAACCAAACAACAGATTCACCGTCGACGTTAACGCGACAGCCCCGTCGTCGCGATCAACCACCGACAAATGCATCGTACCGGGCGATTCCAAATGATCGTACTTTGGTTGATAATATAATGGATCATGCGTGGTATCCTAAAGCAGAATGATTTCAGCATATCGCCCTCGACCTATCGTCCTCAGCCTATCATTCAATACAGCACAGCACAGGCCATCCCCTGTTGCGACTTGTGATAGCCCAATTAATGTTGAATTTCTTACATCTGTCAAATTTGTGCGCACTCGTGCGGCCCAATCTTTGGAAATGATTTCGTCGAGTCGGTCCTGATTGTGGGTCCATTGGGGATCGCCCAGTTCGGTGCGGAAGGCCGCGCCGAATTTCATGGTCTCAATGATACGATGCAAATTCACGGGAGTCGGACCTTTGGATGCCAGATTGTAACGTTCAATCACATTAAGCATGCTCAGTAACACCGGCCCGCTCGTCGGTGCAGGCCCTGTAATTACTTTACGACCATGATAAAACGTGCTGACCGGTTCTCTTATCAGGGCCTTGTAATTACGCATATCGTCTTCCGTTAAAATTCCCCCTGCTTGTCGCGTCGCATTCACAATCGCCTGCGCAATAGGACCCTGTATATCCCCTTGTCAATATGCAAATTCATTGGAGAAACACATACATATAGTTTATGAGTCTTACCTCGTAAAATGCATCTGCTCCTTGCTTGGCGATGGTTTCCAATGTTTGGGCCAGATTGGGCCGTTTAATAATGTCATCAATCTCGGCAATGCTTCCTTTGGGAGCAAAAATCTCGGCCCATTCCCATTCATCTTCGATCCAAGGAAGACTGCTCTAAAAAGACACATCAATGGCTAGCTCTTTTTCGCGTAGAGTCCTTTTCCTTAGAAGGACCAGTTGCTAGCATACCTGTAATTTTTCGTTCAAGTAGCGGGTGGTTCGGAAACCTTCACGAGCCATGCGAATGGCTGGTTGGAACAAGGTTTCCCAAGGCAATTTTCCGTGACGTTGGTGAGCTAGCTCAAATCCACGAATTTCTCCACTAAACGAGTAAAAAAAAAAAATTAGGCACGGTCCACCATCCCATGTGTCACAATTGCTGTTGATGTTTTTTTTTCCACAGAAAAAAAAATCGACTTACGGAACTCCGACGGACATGCCACCATATTTGGCAAGGGAAGGATCGTCGACAAACATATCCTTATGGGATGCAGCAGGGGCGGTTTCACGAAAATCAATAAACTCAAATGTGCCATTGGGCGCTCGAATGAGCATGAAGCCACCTCTGAAAAAGGTGACAAAATTCAGTCCATTGCTGTCACCCGGTCAGCGTTCTTTGAAACCACTTACCCTCCGATGCCTAACTCGGTGCGACCCTCCATTTCTTAGTCATCAATGATTCCAAAGCCCATAAAAGGATTTGCATTTACCTGTAGCAAAACTGTTAATGACACCGATGCATAGGGCAGACGCAATGGCGGCGTCGACAGCATTGCCGCCTTGCTTCAAAACTGTGGAACACCGCTCCGTCAGTCATGTTTGATATCGACAACACAGAAAACAAAAATCCATCAAGGACAAAAGAAATCCTTACTGTCTACACCAACATCCGAACACTCCTGCGCTTCAACCGCAACGGCGCCTTGTGTGCCTTCCACCATATGCCCATGGAAACCTTTGTCCAAGACCATTTTTGACAAGTTGGGACCTGAAATGTTGAAGTACCTCTCGAGACATTCCGATCGCCACACCAATGTCGTGCCCATCACAATGAGCATCATTGACATGGCCATGAACGAGAGTTTCCGGAAGACTCTATATCGCTCTGTCGGGCTCTGTGTACTGGTAGTGATGGGAATTTCATGCCGCAGTTTCCCTTTTTCTACGTCCATAACAAAATTTAATATAAAATAGACAATGAGATGAAAGAGTGCCTCCGGAGATTTTAACACCCGAAAAAATATAAAAAAAAGAAAGATTGCGAACGCTGAATGAATTATGACTATGTCCTGTGAATAACCATGTCGCCATTTTTTTTTCTCGCACCCGTTCGTCAATGGCTCACATGATAAAGTACAAGTGGATGCACTTTGGCTCATGGAGGACCACTCATGGCTAGCCGCATGACGTTTTCTGTTGATAGATAACAATAGACATTTCTTACTGCATACACAGGTATCGGCCTCATTGGCATAATCATTTACTGCCTCCGCAATTGCCATTTACAGCCAATCCCAAGTTGGCGATGGCAGGTTTTCGCAATTTCTGAATGAAAAGAGGTCATCCTGTCATTTGCCCACACCACTGGGTGAACGGTGAGTTGGTGACCCACTGGGTTCGTATGACGCAATTTTTCTCTGTTAAAGGAATCTATCACTCATATTGTCCAATTGACATGATTGGATATATACCCGTGTATTGAACCCAGGATTTAAAAAAGGATTCTCCATACCTGTGCGACCATGATCCACTTGTGAAATGCAGAACAAAAAAAAAGCGGGATTCCCACATGGCAACCAAGAAATTCATCTTCCGATTGTATGTAGTAGCGCTGGAAGTTCAGAGGCTTGCTTTGCGACAAGATCAAGCACCCTTTGCAAATGCCTAAATATAGGTGTTTGCGTTTTCTCCATGATCTATTGCAGTAGGAATACCAAGAAAGAAAAAAGCGACGGACTCGTGCGATTCAAGGGTAAGAGATGCTCTGTACTGCTCCTCGGACGGTTCTACAGAATCTGGTCCTAAAGCACTATCTATTTCGTATAGATAAAACATGATATCCATACGACGTATATATGTGATGTATTTAATTTACTGTATATGCTACAGAATATCCTTCCAGTGCGCTTCAACACTGGAATTGCACCTGCCAACGGGTTAACAAACTTACAAGCATAAAAGCAACCCGCCACAGAAAATATTCCAAGGGACAAAAAAGGCGCATCTCAAGTCAGAGGCAGCAAAAGCGATGGAGAATGCCTGCTTACGGTGTTAAGAAGTATAGACAGATTGTTAGAAGAAATACAATGGGAAGCAATGCATGGTCAGGCGGTCCTGGGCAGTATTTTCACAAAAAAAAAAAAAAAAAAAAAGTTAAGTCGGCAAAGAAATTCAATATTGTTATGCTTCCCAATTCGGTCAAACGAAAGAATATCACTGCAATGTCACTGTGTCTAACATTGCCAGTGCGGCGTTATGCATGACTGTATGGCTGATCACAGATGTTCACAATCAACCCCATATTTTATTGCTTCCTTAAGAGGTGTTTCAAAACTTTTCCACTATTTCAACCGATAGTGGCGAAAGACCCACCATCATTGTTCCATTACCCCGTATACCGTGAGCCCATCATCCTTTTTTGCTTGTTTCATCCAGAAAAAAAAAGGTCAAAAAAGAGTCTGTTTTCTTTTTATTGTGTCAATGGCCGGGAAAAATAAAAATAGAGGGCGACAGCGAATTTATTTTTCGGGGATCTCGACTTCGCCAGCATCGATGGCATCGCAGATGGCCTTGGGGCTCTGGCGGTCGACAGTGCAACCAACCGAGTGAGCAGTACCAAGAATCTCCTTCACGGTACCCTTGAGCTCACGAGCATACGACTTGAAGCGCATGGTGCGGGCAATCTCAATGATTTCCTCAAGAGCAATGTTGCCGGTGTGCTTGACTAATATATCGTAAAAAAAAAGAAACGAATGGTCAGATATAAATGACGAATTGGCATGGGCGGGGGGACTCGTTAGAACATGAACTTACTGTTCTTGTCCTTCTTGCGGTCTCTTGGGGGTTCCTTAAGAGCCTTGATGACCAAGGAAGAGGCCGAGGGGACGACGGCAACCTGAGCCTGACGGTTCTGGATGGTCAACTGAACAGTGACACGGAGACCCTTCCAGTCCTTGGTGCCCTTGGCGATATCTTCACCGACCTTCTTGGGCGACAAACCCAAGGGACCGATCTTGGGAGCAAGAGCACTGGAAGCAGCAAGCTCACCACCTAGATGAAATTAAAAAATACATGCCAATGCATTGACAAGAAAAAAAAAGGAATGGCCAACGTTTAATACGACAATTCTCGAAAAGGTATCCATGCGTTCGATCCTAATGGCTGTTCAAATAACGAGAAATTCGTACCGGTTGCGCGAAGGTAGATGATTTTCACCTCAGATGGATCAAACTTGGGAGGCATCTATAACATAAACAGGGATGGAGTCAGTCTCCTTTGGATGTATGGACGAGTTTGCTTCCACGATGAATGGATGGATGCATTGATCTACCTTGGTAGTTTGAAAAGGAAGGCGTATCAGATTTCCAACCTCTTCACAAAGGGAATACCCTGCCGATACCGGTGCATTGACACTCCGAACATTACTGCCCGCCCTATTCCGGACCGGATCTCACCACAATATCCGACAAGCCCTTTTGTCAGAAAAAGTGAATTCCCAAAAAAGTAATTTTCTTTTTTGGCCCCACGGCTTTCCTTTGATGCATGTTTGAACAAAAGCTATCGAAAAGTTGCTACCAGATTTCACCTACAGAAGCGATTTAGACTCAATAAATATGGTAGTGGAATGTCATAATATGTTGGAGATTCGTCGCATCGGCATGGTTTTTACACTTTATGATCAGAGCGTTCGAGCGTTCGATTGATTGGTAGTATTCCTTATTCGGGGATCAACACCCCAACAGGCGACAAATTCTTGCAAATCAATTTCATCGAAATTAGACAACAATTGGAAGCGTCATATATAGAAGAAATGGTCCTTACAGATATTATCAATCTACAGACTTCATAGAGATTGTGGATCGAAAAATCTCATTGGATCGACCGCCTGTCAGAACATCATTTTAGATGTATTCAAACAACCTAGTGGATCTTTGCTCAGCTAGTCCCATCCAAGAATAGTGGAGAGTCAGTGGCATGCTTCTATTTTCTTCGCAGCTACCGAGCTCTCGTTCTTTGTATTGATCCGATCCTTTATAAAAAGTAACTGACCTCCATTTGCAGTAATACCGCCAGTTTTCAATTTTGAGCTAAACGAATGAAAGAAAAGCATCATATCTCACAAAATACAAATCAGTGTGCTGCACTCTTCTTTGATAGTAATGTCCGAAGCTTTTATGAGCCGCGATAAGGTTATGATCCGATCCCTATCCTTTAGCAACAGTTTGAAAGCGAAAAATGACCAAATTAAGGTCGTTTTTCAAATAAATATTAAATAAACAATGCTTTTGCAGAGACCTTTATTTTCATTTCCTTGGTAAAATACCATTACAGTATCTGGTCTTTTAAAGCAGAGCAGACTACTCGGATATCATGCACAAGGCATTGATGCCGCAGTAATGCACTGCGCCACCTTGTACTCAAAATTCCCTTTTATAGTAATTTACTGCGAACGTGTTTGAGGTTTTACCAACACATGTTATCAGAGGAAATAGCTTAATTGAACAAATCACAAATTTGGATCGTGCTTCCATGGTTCGATCCATGAGAAGCACAAGCAAGGGCGTCAAACCCCAGTTTCCTCTTTTGTAATTTTTATCGATCTTTTTTTTTTTTTTTTTTACAAGCTGAAATAAAAAAAAATTGGTCTTCTAATATGTTTATGCAACCCAGAGTTACGTTTTTTGCTATTTGAAAGCATACAAGTGCCATCGGCTGTGATGATAAATGGGGATTTCAAGTGTATAAAGTAACAGTAGGCAGGGCTGGATCATCTGATCGTATTATTACCGTGGAGAGTTGCGAGTACGATTTATCTGAAAGTGAAAATCCCACAAGATATAGCGGAATAACTGGTCATCATCATATCTTATATTCATTCAAACTGTATTGTCTCCATGTATCACTCCATCTTGAGGGTATTATTCAGGGCAGCTTTTCAGCTCCGTTTCTGTGTTTCCTGTACCTCTTCTATCGGATCCTCAGCAGCGATCAGAAATGATAAATAGTTCTATTAAATAGCAAGTACTAGACAAGTGTCATCATCTTTACAGACTACAAGTCATCCTAGGATCGACATGCGCGGTCGAAACGGCAAGGAATGTGCGCATATTTTTGACAACGCCGAATGTGATCATACTTCCCATTGGTGGACTGATTGGCGGAGTTTATATGAGCCAGTGACTGCAAGACGTCTTTGGGAAAGCGTGCACCCAGTTCTGCTCAAGAAATAAAAGTGACCATCGATGACCACGCGAACAGTGCCCGAAATCGAAAACGATCTAGTTACCGTCGATCAGGCCCTGGCAACAGTAAGCGTAACTCTTTTAATATATAGTCTGTGCGTGCTAATCCTTATGTCTATGTTTGGTCTAGGTGTCCGAAATACGGTCGTCTCTGCATCAGTTTACTCGCCTTATTCAGACAGAACGCAAGACACCTAATTTTGTCTATCAATTCAGTGATCGACTAAATACCATCAAAAGAGAGCTTAATCGCCTATCGACTGCTGGCGAAAATCTAAAAGGTAACGCGGAAAATCTGACTGAATTGTAGGTAGTGATCAACTGAAGCGCGATTCTTTAGTGCCTTTGGAATACAGTCAGCATTTAGTGGCAACGAACGGCGTGGATCTGAATTTGATATCAAAGTATGTGGGTAAAGAATAGAAACATGGTACATTGGGGAAAAAAATTAACCCTTGAGGACTTGAAGTTTTCAGAAGGAATTGACCGAATCGAGTTTTGTGGCTGAAGATGAACAAAAGCCCAAAGATACCGGCGCCGTCGTGAAAGAGAAGGCTCAATATCTTTTAAGGTACTAGAGGGAATCGTTAGACCTCCAAGCGCTTTAGAAGCTTAAGCATTGTATATAAACACAGGGAATTAGCTCCTATTGTTCTGCAGCCACGATCACAGTCGCCAACTTTATCATCATCAACGTCTGACAGGTGAGTGCGAGAAAAAAAATATATATTATGGGATGTAACGTGACCTGGCTTAAAACCCCTTTCACAGCACGTTTTTTTCAACATATATCAAACAATGGTTGGCACAAGAGAAACCGAGCGATGTAAATATAGACATACAGATACATAACGAACGAGGAACGATCACTGGATCAACATGTACAGCAAAGGTATGGTATTGGTTCCAAATCAAAAAAGGCTGCACGGATTGTTGCTGACAGTCTCCTACAATAGGTTACCATTATGAAGGCACTTACCGCAGTTTTGGATCTGGAATATAATCGAGCTGCGGATGGTTTGGTATTACATTATTACGCAATCTTGGGACCAAAAGAGGAGGTAACAATGCAAAAAGAAAACATGCTAGCGAGAAGGATGATGATGCTCAATGCCAGGACAGAAACCATGCGGTCAAGATTCACAATATCTAGTGTTCCAAAAAATCGGTCTCATTGCCAAGGATGCTTTTGAAGACATGGTAACCACTTCAGCCACAGAATCTTTGTCAAGTATTTTCGTAAGTAGCAGAGCATCATTGAATTGTGCACAACAAGACAATACAAATTATACCGGGAAACGCACTAATTTTTTCTGTTACAGCATTGGTTATGCAGCTATCATAACCTTTTTGTAGAGCCATGCTGTCGCTGTCATAAACGACTTCAATACGATTCACCTCAATATAAATATCTCCCACCCATGGTACGGACATGGGTTCAACGACGAGTGAACCCTGCTTTTCTTGACCGAGAAACGCCATCAGCATACACGACGGTGGGAATGCCCTATCATATGCGCTGTTTCATAGAAACCACGAATGTGAAATAAAAAAAAAAAAAACTGTGACTTGCCCCATAATTTTTTTAATCTTGCCACTGCGCTTGTTCGGATCTCATCAGTCATCAGATCAACAAAAGTTATGCCGCATAAACGAGCAAAAGCCAGTGTTCGAAACGCAAAGAAAAAGGCATTGGGGTATTGAGGATTATCGATGCAAAAATGTTGAGCATTAGAGCTAATGTGAAGGATATAGTCATGATCTTCCCGTGACAGGGGCGCAGAAGAATGACGATACCCCGAAAGCATTTGGACGGTTAATGCGATTCAAACAAATTACAGAAGAAAAACGTAAAGAAAAGCAGAAACAGTCCAAAGAGAAGGCAAACACAGCGGTATGTTTGAAAGTCGTGGCAGTGGGGACAAAAAAAAAAGGGATTTTCACTCATTGAACTCATCATGACTTTTCTTTTGATCAGACCAAACCAAAGTTGGAGCTTCAGCCAGGTGAACGGTTAAAAGATTTCACGCTTCGAGTGGAGCAACAGTATAGAGATGATATGACCCAAACGATACGTGCAGCCAAACCTTTGACCGATCGAAAGAAAAAGAATCGTGAAGCAAGGAAACAGAAAAAGCTGGCGAAAAAGGAAAGAGATATGGAACTCTATGGTGGACGAGATTTTGATGATCTCAAGGATAACGTCAAATTTGGCGAAGTGGCGGACGCACCCCCGGTTATCAGCAAAGTGCCAAAAGCCCGCGGGCGAGGCAAGGCGGTAAGCAGGGACATTTTTTTTGACTTTGGGGAATTGAAAAACCACAGATGAGGAAGACAATCTGTCTGGTCTTTGGAAAACACATATCTGACAGGACATTTTTTTTTTGTCTTTCTGTTCTATTTCCGCCGATCATTGACGTAGGCACTGGAAGCAAAGACCAAAGAAGCAAACAAGAAACCGGATGGTGGTTACGAATCATCGGAAGATGAAGGCATGAAACAGTTGAAAGCATCTCATAAACGGAAATTAGCCAACATGAGTGCTTCCGCACGTAAACAGTTGGATGATGAACGCGAACGTGCCATTGAAGCCTACAGAGCGAAAAAGGCAAAGAAGATGGCGGAATCTGGCTTGACACCTCTTTTTTCATCGTAAAGTAGAGTTGCGTACATTTTGACATTTAAATATATTATGGTTTGGTCTGGTACTTTCTCAGATACGAAGCCTTTGGAACCTGTCTGTGCACGTAAAGTATGAGGATTGTCCATTCCATTGATGGATTCATGGTTTAGATGGCAATAGGCATCCTCTTGTATAAAACCAAGTGGGTCGGGCACAGGAATTTTAAATTTCCTATTCAATTGTATCTAATTGATCTGTAAAATAATGCGCTACGCTCTTGCATTTGTCTCTGCTATGTGCTTGGCCAACGCGGCCATGGCTGCACCGGCACCTCGCTCAAACAGCATCGTTGACGCGAAAGATTTCGTTCCTGCTCAGCTCGCCCAACTCGAATTGAGCGAAGAATTCCAACCTTTCAACTGGGAAAGCGCCGACTCCAAAGTTATGGTCGACCGCTCCTTCCACCTCTCCTTGAGCGAACCCGCCGAACTCCAAATCACCGACTTCATGATGGGTAAGTCAAATTACTTGAATCAAAATAAATAATTTACCGCCCATAAAACACAAAAGCAACTGCATGCAAAGAAGAGATCCTGTTACGGTGCAACGTTTATTGATCAAAAAATTTTTTCATCGGGAATGATTAGGTGGCGATCAATTCGAAATCCTTGACAATGGTGTTTCTATGGGCAAGACCAGCCGTGCCAACGCCACCGCCGATGCCTTTGTTGCCACTCCCGAAGAAGCCCTTATGGATAAGCGATTCAGCAAGGCTGCTTTCCCTCTCCAGGCTGGTGAACACGAACTCACCATCAGCATTGCCAACTCTCCATATGCTTCCGGTACCGGTGCCCTCCGTGTCGTTCAGCAGCTCCAATCCCTCTATAACAAGAAGGGTTGGGATGATGATGATGATGATGACTGGGAGGACAAGAAGTGGGGCAAGAAGTGGGGAGACGACAAATGGGACGACAAGAAGTGGGGAGACGACAAGTGGGGAGACGACAAATGGGACGATAACAAGTGGGATGGCAAGAAGTGGGACGATAACAAGTGGGACGATAACAAATGGGACGACAACAAATGGGACGATAACAAGTGGGACGACAAGAAGGACTGGGGTTGGGACAAGAAGAAGACCATCTACGTCTATCACACAGTTGCCGCCAGCAACATTCCTACCCTCACTGTTGTCACTGCTACCCAAACCTTGACAAGCACCGTCACCCTACCCACGTAAGTGTCGTATTTTCTTGTTTGTTATGACTCGAACATGACATGAGACTGATTCAATTTTATTATGCAAAATATAGAACCGGTACCCTCTTCACCACCCAAACCAACACCATCGTCGTTCCCCCATCTTAAATGACCATTTTATTGCTATAATTGCTTTTTTGGCTTTTTCTTTCCTTCATAATCCAACTGCACAAAAAATAAAAAGCTGTCCTTATAGAATTAGAAAAAAATACAAGGAAAAAAAAAGTTATATAACTCCGTTTCGTCATTGTGTTGCCATGGCCGCGCGCATGAGCCAGCTGGAGATGAACAATGAAGGAACAATGAGCACCAATAAAACTTCAGCGACAACGTCGGAGTGATCCTTGCTGCGCCAAAGTTAGTGTTTTTGGGATTTTCGGAAATAAAAAAAAAATCCACAGAAAAAAAAAATAATATTCCGTCTCCGAAGTTTTTTTTTTTTATTTTGGCTTGCTGATCAACGGCCCTTTTTTCCTTCATCTTTTTTACAGTTTCTATCTGCCTCTTTTTTTTCTGTCTCTTTTTGTTTTTCGTCTATTGAGTCCTTTCAAGTGATTGGGATGTCTAATTACGAGTTCAAAATCCACGTTGAGAATGAGACGCTAATCCTCCGTGGGTCAACGGAGGAATCCCTGGGCTGTGTTTTGCGTGGTTACGTTATTTTACATCTTAAAGAATGTACACGGTTCAAATCGATCAGTATGAATCTTATTGGCCGAATGAAAATCCAATGGAATGAACGTAGGTGTTATTGCAAGTGGCAGTGGAGTGGGTATTTGTTGATTAATCTTATTTTTTTTTCATGTTGCTTTTTTGTTTGGATCCAGGTGTGGGGCCGCATCAACGTAGTCACAAACGGGAAAACGTTGTTTTGGAACATCAATGGATTTTTCTACCGGCTGGCAAGAAATTGCATAACCTGGAACCCGACACCTACAGATACCCCTTTGAACTGGTGCTGCCCGGCGATCTTCCTGAATCCATTGACGGTAATGCGTTCGGTAGTTTGTCGTACAAACTCAAAGCAATCGCCGAAAGGCCGGCCTTTTCTCCGAACTTGTCCGACCGCAAATCTTTACGATTGATTCGCTGTGAACCTGCCTACCACATCAACCATCCCATGCGTATCGCTAGTGAATGGGCTGACCGATTGGATTACGAAATCATCGTGCCAAAGAAAGTCTTCAACCGTGGCCAACAGATTGTCATCGATGCGACGGTACGACCGCGGGTCCCTGGCCTACATGTTCGTTACTTCAGTTGCTTCCTCAAAGAATACACCTCGTTCACGTACGATAATACAAGGGTACACACGGATTCGCGCATCATTCGATTCTTCCGCGACGAAAGTTTTCCATCCCGTGGACCGGAATGGCACAAACGCGAGACCTTGCAAATTCCATATTCGTTCAATTCTATCCAATGTGATACAACCAGCCAACTATTCCGCATTGAACACAAACTGAAATTTATCATGTCGCTGATTAATGCAGAAGGCCATCTTTCGGAACTGCGCGCATCCATGCCTCTGGTCATCGCCCTGGATGACACGGATGAAAGCAACGCTTTACCGACGTATGAAGACTCGTGGCGCTCAGCACGCTACGAACCGTACCTTGCTCTCCCCAGCCTCGATACCCCGAATACCCTCCTCAGCTCCCCAGCCTCGGATAACCAATCATTCCCAAGAACACCTGGCACCCCGTCACGAGCATCGTCTGGTGAACCGCAGTCCAACCATCACAGTTCGGACGGCGACTACTTTAGCATCAACCATCATCAAAATTGCCCATCCCAGGAAACAACCACAGTCACTCTGGGTCGCGTGCCATCTTACCGTACCGCGTTACGATCACGTCCCGAGCCCGTGATACCGAATAACACCCTACCATCTTATGATATTTTGTGCCAGTCCTACTGATTCATTTGCTGCGCCTCATTATCTCGGCCTGCATTTTTTCCTGGACGGGCGCGGAAAAAACTACTCGCCATTTGTACATACATGCTGCATAGTCATTTTTGGAGGCGGATGTCGATGGAGCCAAACCAGATTTGGTAGATAAAAATTCATCTTTTTCTGTATTGCATTTTTTGCAACAATCTTTAAAATTTGGTAAACAAAGGTGGATAATATTATAGCTTTTTCATTCATTTGTTCAGTTCTAGTTGAACTGGTTTATTAAATTACGTTTTCATGAAGATTCACACTATCTATATGTGAGTTCAATCCAAGGACGGGTGATGTATCATCATTATTAACAAGTGATTGCAAGAGAAGGGGAAAAAAAAAAGGTGCAAAGGGGAAATAATGGATTATTTATCCATTTTTAGAATACATAAGGGATAAAGATGTAGGGGACGCGTTCGCAGTAACGATCCCAATCCTTGCCGTACTTCTTTGCGCAACGGTTCATGTCGCGTGACACACGATGAGTCAAGACAAAAACGAAGAAGCAGAAATAGAAATAGGGTAAGAAGGAACCAAAACCGGTAATGAGACCCCAAGACATAGCCATGATCAAATCCGCGGTATAATGAGGCTTTCTCACGACACCCCACCAGCCGTCCGTCAACAACAAGTTACCATGTTCGGTCTTGATGTAGCTAGGGTTCTTGATGTGACCATAGGGCAATTGAGGGAAAGCGTTGCGAACCATGAACGAGCCATTTTGTTCCATACGGAAACGGTTCTTTTGCGAGTTGCCGGTATCGAAAATGTAGTAAGCAGCGAGCAAAGTAACGAACAAGCCGACGGTGTAGGGAAGAGAGTGAGTGATGGTTTGACCGGTGGTAAGTTCATACTTCATAAGGTAGATGGAAGCATAGCAGTAAGTGAAGGGAACGCCAGCCATGTTCCAGAAGATAAGCATGAAACCTACAACAACAAATCATCAGCGATCCGATCCCTACCTACAGCCGTTCGTGTCTAGCAACAGCCCACTTACCATCCTTTTCATAAAAGATATCCCAGGAAGTAGGGATACATTCTTCACCCTTCTGGCAAGCATTGACGTACAAAAAGTGAGCAAGGACCATGAAAGCAATAGGGCCACTGACAAAGCCCTTTAATTCGTACTGCTTCAAAGCACACGACACAGACAAGAAGAAAAGAACGGGCCAAGGAACACGAGTTTCAGCCCACATCTTGAGATCAACATGTCCAATACGAGGGTTCAAGACCGCGCCCATGAAGTAATCGTAGAAGAAGTTACCGGACATACGATGCTGGGTACCGTTGATCACGCTGCAGATGTAGACCAAGGTGGTCATGGTGAAACCCCAGAGGATGGCCGTCGTCATGATACCACCAAAGTTGTCAATGATCAAGGTAAGACGGAAGATACCCGTAATATGAACCACAGCCGCCGTCACCAAAGTCGCATACCAGGCAGACAAACCATTGCAAAGGTATTTCAACTAGATACGCCGCGCAAAAACGATGTCCGAAAAAATGAAAAAGGATTAAACCACCATGTCTTTGAATTCCAATCTCCGCGACGTGCATCGTCCGGTTTTATGTTTTGATTCACTCTAAAATCGACCTCCTTACCTTTTTACCCTTCAAGGAGGGCAATGCCAAACCTTCGACAACGGGACCAGGCATGATATAAGCGAGAATAAAGCTGAACAAAACGTAACCCATGTAGATCTTGACGGCCAAAGCAGTAGGATAGGCGCCGACCTTGATCTTGGCCCAGAGTTCTTGCCAGAAAAACTGGGACAAGCCTTCCAAAGAGAAGGACGAAGGAGTAATCAATTTGCCTTGGTGATATTCGAGACAAACCCAGAAGTAATACATCAAAGAGGGAAATCCAAGCATCATAGCACAGACACCCACAGGACCTTGGAATTCATAAACCACTTCGTTATCCAACTCTCTGTCGCGTTCAGTCACGGATTGTTTGAACAACGGGACGCCATTTTTGTTCACCGGTTGTGGTTGACCGTCGGTTTTATCTACGACAGCTTTTGCCATGGTAAATAAAAAGTTGTAGGGGAAATTAAATAAAACAACGGAAAAGGTGATTCAAATCGTTCATCTTACACAGCTTCATTTATATTTATACTAAAAATGGTCGGGTGGCAGACCTTTTTTTTTCCACTGAATTCTTCGGCGCCCGTTCCTTTATTGCTCCGCCAGACATCCTTCATCATTTTTTGAGACTCCGTCATGTACTTTGGTTGCACAAGGTTTCTAACGTCAATCTCGGGACAAACATATATCCGAACCGTGAAGGTGAATAGGAATCCGTCTATGAAAAATTGAGGCATCCTCACCGTGGTGATTTTGCTGCTGCAGTGACACGGACTCGATCACCGATATTGGCGCTGCCTTGCGATCCGCATCCATCCAAATGGAAACACCGACCTTCACACGCTGTATCGCTTTCAGGACAACCCCTTCAATGTATGACCAGAAGGGAAAATAAAAGATTCCCTCATCAATAATTTGACATTTGCGAATTTTCCATCCTTGTTCTTATTGTTGCATTTGTCTGGCTGTTACGTATCAATTCCAGCCCCGGTTTCCAGTTAACGCGCTCTATCACGTGTATTTTCCATTAGAAGATCTTTTTTTTTTTTTTTCATCACAGTGAGCCCATTTTAATGTAAGCTTGACGGACTTCTGTCATAAATATGTGACATCCAAAGCTCACCATGCATGGAAACGAGAAACTCCAAACCATTCTTCCCTTTCATAAACACTTGACTTGCTGGTATTGTCTGCCTTCTCGGCTGCCTGTCCTGTCAAAGACAGCGCCTCAGCAATTTATTTATCTTCTAATCAAAAGATGGGGGTAATTGTCAAAGTTTAACCTTCCAGAACAAGAAGGAAATGATGGGTACAGAAAATAGTTTACTGTCTTGATAGTGCCTGAAGCAACAATTGTAGTGGGGGAGCGGATGGCCCTGTGCGAGATTTCATTGGTAAATTTTGTCCAATCAGAATGAAGCATTTTTTCGGGTCGCCCACCAGAGGGAAAGGAAGCATGTCCGGAGAGCAGCTGAGTCAAAAGCGCTGTATCGTACTGGTCGTTGGTTCCTCCCTCTCTCTACATATCCATCCATCAGGTAATACCATCCATCTAATTGATCATCTTGGGGTATCTGGGAGAGTTTCGCTAGAGAAGACGATAGCACTCGATAAATGCTGTTGACGGTTGAAAGATTCAGCACGAAAAAAAAAAGGATACCCATGACCGAGCGGATGACATTCGGCATTGGAATGAATGAATGTTGAAAAACTTATCGGTTATGGATTATATTGTATAGAATGCCGCCCAAGTTCGATCCTTCCGAGGTTAAGATTATCTACCTTCGCGCTACTGGTACGAGAACACAGAATCTTTTCGAAACGATCCACAACAGCATTGAGTGTATCTAATTTGGTGAATTCAACTTTATTAGGTGGTGAGTTGGCTGCCTCCAGTGCTCTTGCCCCCAAGATCGGTCCCTTGGGTTTGTCGCCCAAGAAGGTCGGTGAAGATATCGCCAAGGGCACCAAGGACTGGAAGGGTCTCCGTGTCACTGTTCAGTTGACCATCCAGAACCGTCAAGCTCAGGTTGCTGTTGTCCCCTCGGCCTCCTCCTTGGTCATCAAGGCTCTCAAGGAACCCCCAAGAGACCGCAAGAAGGATAAGAACAGTAAGTTTTTCTGTTTTAGTTGCCATTGGCCAATCGCCATGGTTTTTCCATGCTGGTTTGTTAACTTGCCTCTGAAATTCTCCTTTAGTCAAGCACACCGGCAACATTGCTCTTGAAGAAATCATTGAGATTGCCCGCACCATGCGCTTCAAGTCCTATGCTCGTGAACTCAAGGGTACCGTGAAGGAAATTCTCGGTACTGCTCACTCTGTCGGTTGCACTGTCGATCGTCAGAGCCCCAAGGCTATCTGCGACGCCATCGATGCCGGTGAGGTTGAAATCCCCGAAAAATAAATGGAGTGCAATAAACTGTTTTGGCATAATGGATTACTGTATTTCGTTCAGTATCAGCACCTGTGTAAATGGAATCGTTGGAGAGAGTTATTGGAAGTGTAGGATAGCTGTTTCACTGCTGTGTAAATGTACGACAAATAGGATGACTACTGTGAACAACAATAACGGGAACGATTCGACTATCATCCATTGTCCGATCGATTTCGTTTGTATTCAATGTTGTGGTTTTAGCTCAAATGGGAGACCATGCGTTTTCTGCATCGGATAACAGTGTTTTATTCTTATGGAAGTGATGGTAAAGGAATATTGTAATATCATGATATGAACAATGTCTACTCGATTAAATTGTGTTCCTTATCGATGGGCTAGCTCATGCCACTTTGCATTGTTGGTATATAACATGAATTTTTCTATGGATTTAGCTAGTTTCTCTTCTGGAAGATGACGGCACATCTTGAGCAGTTTCTTGGTCAAGTTTTGCTCGTTCGTTTGCCTCCTCTTCTCCTTCTTCTTCATCTTCTTCTTGATCCGTCTGATTCAACAAGTCCTTGTCGTAATTTTCCTGTATAGCTTGAATCTCGTCGGCTGCACCTTCAAAAAAATTTTGCAGCTTGTCCCACAAGGCCTGACCAAATAAAGTCCATGCAATGGCTGCGAAAATCAATTCGATACCAGCAAAAACAGTGATAAAAGTGAAAGCGGTACTAATTCGATGATAGTACATGTAGTACCGCAGACCACGGAAGTCGGCATGAATACGTAGTTCAGCATTATACACTTGCAAGCGAGGGTTGGACAAGGTCACTATGGCGCGTGTGGTAGGTTTGCCTCGCTGTTCGACAAAGTTTTCCATCAATGGAATGGTAATGCTTTGAGACTCTTCGGTCAATCCAAGGAGCAGTGGTAACGCTTTAGCAACAACGTGAAGTACGCGTTGTGTGTTGGATTGATAACGTAAAATAGCCTGTTCCATCCGTGTCAGATCGCCGTCGACGACTACATATAAAAAATTTTCTTTGTTGTTCAGCTTACCGGTCGACTAGCGTAGGCTAATCTTGATCCACCGCTCGTCTGAAGTTCAGTGGTGACCATAAAATTACCAATATCAAAGTTGATGGTAGAGGTCGGCACATGAAGTTTTACGGACACATCATAAGCTTGTTCATGTCGCAGCGGCTGTGTGTACGATAACCAAAAGAGCATAAGAAAAAAACGCGTACACCTGTATAAACTCTGTTACAACTTACGGCGTAATGATAAGCTCCTTCAGTGAGATCGACAATACCGACAGGAGCTGATCCGGCAGACGTTTCATATTGAAAATAGATGGGCTCAATGTGTGCTGTGCGAGGGACGTATTGTTGGTAAAAAGTCAAATAGGCCGCCATACTTGTCAAAAGGATCCATACGAGCAAAACAGCAGTAACGGTCATTTTTACCATGGTTCGTTGCGCTTTTGGAGTAAATAGGATTCGCACAAACGGGGACAGTAGCTTTTTCATCGTGTCGACCATCATGGTGACGGCAGGATGCCATCGCATAGCCGCTACTGGCTCAGTGATTTTTTCTGCTTCGACATCAGCATTGCCAATGGTTTGTCGTTCAGCTGGAGCAACCCCAGTAAGGTTAATATCATTTACATCGTCGTCGTCGTCGTCTTCGTAACTGGACGAAGGCACAATATGGTAATTACTGTCTGCCTATCTATTACATTAGTTATCAGCACGGTCGTAGAGAGGAATATCGCAGTCTTAACTGGTTCTCTTCCAAGAGCATCTTCGTTATCCGATCTTAGGCTTGACATTGGATGAAGCAATGGGTGGCAAGCAGTAAACTTGTCTCAGAGTCTTTGCGCAGGACTCCGCTTTTAGGCAACCCATGTGACATTTTTGACACATGAAAATTATTGAGCGTGAAAAAATGTTTCGTGTGGCCCTTGATCCCATTCAAGCAAGATCGAACTTGGAACACTTGTCTTTATCAAGGAGCAACCATGTGTAGTTCAAAAATTGGTAGAACTTGGATAACGTTTACCACCAATCATGGATGATAAATAACGCAGAATATGTGTGGTTAAATGGAACGACGTTTTGCAAATAGAGGTTTGAATTGGGGCTGATGTACGAATATGATCCTCTTACTTATACATCCATTTTTAATTCCTCTTATAATCGTTCGTCACAGACAAGATTTTGACATCATCGATTGCTAAACTAGCGCACAACAAACGCGTCCAACAGCGCTGTAAAACGCTTCTCAGGTATGACTGCCCTGGGACATAGGCTGCATTCCCCTGTTGTTTAGATGAAACTGAATTCCCTGTTTACAAGTAAAAAAAAAAAAAAAAAAAAGTTTCATGCATGCAATAACTATGACTATAGCAAGTGGAATTGTGTGATTTTTTGATGAATACATGCGATCCAAGGATTGAACATAATCATTTAAATCGATTCAGCTTGTATTTCAGATTTATACTATCTCTAGGTTATCAACCATGTTGAATTCGCAACGCCGTTGCAACCAATCATTGAGTCGGGATTTCAGAAACTCTTCCGGTTGCCAATCGTGCAACTCAAGGTGCAGTTTATCGCCAATCCACACATACACAGCACAATCGACGGCTTCCTTGACATCGCCTGCCAAGGGCGTGGCCTTGACCGAACAACGCGCATACTCCTAAGTCAGTCGGTCAGTTAGTATTCTGTCTCGTTCTTTCTCATTGAGAGCATTAGAGATGACGAACATCGCCTTCAAAGGTATCCAAGCGGACAATGTCATTCTCTGTCAATCCTTCGCAGAGGATGCCTACTACTTCGTCATCGAGGTCTGCCTCAATGACGGCAGGGTAGTCAAGATTCTTGAGAGCAAAGCGTTTATGGCCCTGAAGGGGGAACAGTATTAAATTTGGGGTATCCATAGACAAATAATGGATGAGTGTGGTTTTACTTTTAGCATAGCGGGTCGACGTCGTAAAGTGTTAAGCTTGTGCGATTTCGTTTCGGCCGATGCTGCAGGCCCACAGAGCACTGCAAGAACGTGAATAGACAGAACTTTTTTTTCAGCCTCGCAGCGCTCGTTTACCAACCTCTACCGAGGACTGCATCATTCATTAACGTGCCATAGAAAAAAGCGGCCATCAGAGAGACTTGGATCAAAAGAAAAGAAGAAACAAAGAATCATCAAAGAAAAAAAAAACATTGAGGACTTATATCCTGCATAAAATTCAAGCGTGAGAAACTTGCAATCGACCGTGTCCCAAGCACAAACACCACAGTGACTCACAGTGAGAAAGTGTCACTCTAACTATGTCGCAAGGGGGAGGGGGAAGCTTTGTGTTGGACTCATATTGACATGGCGATCCTTAGTGATTACAACACGAAAAAAAAAAAAAAAAATCATCAAATTTTTCACCATGGAAACGACGAAAATTCTTATATTAACGTCGTCCTCATCTTGATTGTCATCACATAGCGTCAGGTCGTTATACTGTGAGATCACGTTACATAGACAGGTCTAAAAGTCAGCTTATTTTCAACGTAAATCCACGCCAGCGGGAATGTTTTGCTGGTTACTGTTTTTGGAAGAAAGAACATCATCCTCCTTAAAGAGATCAATGTTTTCATCATCCAGACGATTTGGCAAGAAAATTTAAGTTTTTTTTTTTTTTTTTGTTTTATATTGTGATTCTTTCGAATCTAATAGTACGGATGGAAATCCTCCGTACCTTAAGTTTGTTTTCCATCTTTTTTGTCATTCACAAAAAAGTTATAAAAGAACCATGATCAACATCGATAGAGCCGAAGCGATTGTGCAGCTCGTATTTCAAGGATGTCGAACAGGAGAAGGACCTCAAGCGCGTCGGTTGGCCATTCAAATGCTGCACGATGTAGAGGAATTGGTCGGTATCCGTCAAAAGAAGATTCGACGGTTTTTCCTCACAGTGGATGCGGTTCAACGACAATACGAAAGAAAAAACTACGCTTCGCATCAGCTGCTGGAACGCTTGGACGCAGTGTTGATAGGGCTTGACCAGCAAACCGCTAATCTTTGCAAGCGCAAAAAGGATCTGCAGATGCAAATTGCTGACTTTGAGCAATCATTGCAAGACTTGCGCGACTATGCACAAGCCAGACGGACCAAGAAGACCAAACGAGAGCAGCAATACAACCATTTCTACTTTATCCCGGTGCTGTCCACTCAATATAAACAAAAGTATATCCGTGCACGGGATAAAAATGCCATGGCAGAGCAACGATTATCCGACATTCGAAGCGAACAAGAGCGCTGTCGAGAGTTACTGCGAGAAACCGCCAAAGAATTGACAAAGCAGCAGCAAGATCGTGAACAGGCTCAACAGCAATGGCAAACACTGGAACAAGAAATTACTAAGGCTTCCAAACTGGTGCAGTTCCTGAAGGAAGGTCAAACATTCTGGAGCCAGTTCGACGGTCATCAAAGTAACCTGGTTTTGGAATCCGGTCGGTACTTGATCCGTGCTTTACAAGAACATAAAGTGGCAGAGGATGCGGATTTTCGTCATTGGATAGCGACATTCAAGATGGCGTGTATGGAATACGGCGAAGGCGAACAATATGGTGATCGTAAATGGGATACTGGCCAAATGGAAGTCGAATACGACTGCTCCCGATGCCATCAGTTTCAGCTCGGCTGGCCATGCGTCGATAAAGTTCGTTCCAGTAATCTACTGTGTTCGTCTTGCTATCAAAGCACACGGACCAGTATGATCATGGAAAAGAAGATGGCCATCCTAGGGGAACGTCTGTTGAATATCGAAAACCGCCGATCGACTTCCACCCCGTCGTTGGCCAAACCTGCTTTGCGTAAAGTGATCAGCAGCCTTTTCAACAAGAGTACGGCCTGTGTGGATCCAACGGCCTCGTTGGTGAAATCTCAGCAAATACCAAATACATTGATCACTTAAAACAGATACGTAAAGCAAGTGCTCCACTTGTAACAATCCATGCTTTGTAAATGTTTTTATCTCTCCCTGCATAATATACCTGATCTTACTCTTGCATACAAGTGTGTGTCTACAATGTTTTTATGATATCTTTATCAATTGTTTTTTTTTCAGTGATTTCTTCTGTATAGTTGAATTGTTTATACAATGGTGCCCGAATTTTCTTTGTCTACGATATTATGGAAAGGATAAAAAGAAAAAAGGAAGGAAAAATAAAATATGTCTAGATATCACCAAGGCTATCTTTGATCGCTTTGTAATAGTCGGGTTCAAGATAATCGGCGAGCTCTTCCTTCGTTAACCATGCGAAATCGGAAGCGTCTTTGCCTGTTTTGACTTGGCCAGCATATACACGTGCTTTCATGAAGAAAACCTTTTGCCCACTTGCTTCCTCTGATTTGGGACCGGCCTTTTTGTAATGAGCAATAGGTTGTCGTCCAACAAACCACACATCCATGTCCGCTCCACATTGTTCCTTCAATCGACGTTCCGCAGCCTATTTTTGCCCCCATGAAATCAATAGTTAGAAAAATTCCTCGTATATTTTCCCTAATGGCTATCGAGTTGACAGGCGTACCTCGTGGAGATATTCATTTGTTTCCAAATCCCCTTGAGGAAACTGCCAAGGATGCTGTGATTCCTTTGGATTTTTCACCACCAAATACAGCGTTCGCTGCAAAACACGATCCAGACTTTTCAAATCGTTTTTTCGATCGGCTTCGGTTTCACGGCTCGCTTTTTCGACTTTGTTGCTTGCTGCGGTTGTGTCTTCCTTTTCCAGTCTTTGTTGTGTTTCTTGTACGGCTTCGGTCATGGACAGCGAAAGATCGGCCATGGCGGCCTCACGAGCTGCCACTTCCTCCTTCCAACGACGTTCAGCTACGGATCCCTTCTTGAAGTAGAATTCGGTAGGAAATTGTGGTGCATTTTGACGTTCCAGTTTTTCCTTGTAATCGAAATAAGCTTTTTCAAAAGGGGTGGAATCGCGTGTGATCTGGGGGGCTCGAGATAAGATGACCGAAGCGCAAATTCGATTATTCTTAATGACCAATGATGCCCTTGCAGAAGATGTCGACGCAAAGCATCGTCTCGCAAGTAAGTTGAAATGACGACTCATGGAAGAAACCCCGGTGTGCCTAAACAGAAGAATAAAAAAAAACAAGAGTCCCTCTCGATGTTGTTGTTTTTCTTTTCCCTTCACCCAACGATTTTAAAACTCAGTCGTCAAGTAAAAACAAAAACTGGACGTGAAAAAAAAACAGAAAAAAAAAAATGAAGGCACACGTCACACCCCGAGCCGGGCGGGGAGTTGCTGGCATAACCGGTTGCTTTCCCTTTTCCAGTCAATGTTTTTTGGCAAATCAAAACACATTACCTTGTAATAGCACGTTTCTTATTTGCAGTATAGCGTATTGCAGTAGGTTATTTTTTGTATCAAGAGAATATGAAATTGGGGATATAGGCCACAAGTACAGTTTTCAATAACTAACGAGCGCTTCACTTTCCAGGCGTGAAGCTAGATTATTAAGCAAATGACGGCGGGGTGATTATTTGGGGGATTTTCCGCCTGCAAGATTCATGCTGTCTTTCAAACGTCTGTGGCCATTTATTCCAAAATACGCACATAAAAAACCGCACGTCATTTTTTCCCAGCTTCTTCACATATTACTCCACTATGAAAGCCGTTCTCGTTAAACAACCTGGTAGGGTTCAGGCCGTTCACTTGTTCCGACTCTAGCGGTTAACGAGCTAACCTTCACTTGCAACTGTCAAAAAAAAAGGTGATGCTTCGCAATTATGCATGGGCGACTATCCCACGCCGGTTATCAAGGACACTGAATTGCTGGTCAAAGTCCATTGCTTTTGTTTGAACCGTATGGATATTGTCCAGCGACAAGGTCGCTACCCTCCTCCTCCCGGTGCCAGCCCTCTTCTCGGCGTCGAAATGTCGGGTATTGTTGAGGAAGTAGGCAGCAAAGGTAAAGCACCGACTAAGGAAATACTTTTACCCTTATGTATTATTAATCCCAGCTTTTTTGGTTTCTTAGTAACCAAGTTCAAGAAAGGGGATGCTGTGTTTGGTTTGATGCCTGGCGGTGCCTATGCAGAGGTATAGACTTTCATCCAGTTCGAGCCCATGGCATTATACTCATTTTTTTCTGCTTCACAACAGTATGCGGCTATTGATGAGCGTTTGGCTATTTGTAAACCGGATTCACTCTCCTTTGAAGAGGCAGCCGCCATTCCAGAGACGTGGTTTACAGCTTACCAGGCCTTGTTCTTTGTTGGTAATTTGGAACCAGGCATGGATGTGCTTATTCACGCTGGCGCTTCGGGTGTGGGCATTGCGGCTATTCAGCTCGCTAAGCATGCGGGAGCGTAAGTAACCAACTTCAACATGCTTCGTGATACACGGTCCAGAATCATTGATGGCTCCTTTGTTGTAGCAAGCGAATTTTCATTACTGCGGGCTCGGATGAGAAGCTTGAATTCTGTAAGAGCTTGGGAGCCACGACGGCTATCAATTACAAGACTCAAGACTGGGCGGAAGTGGTAAGTTAAATATTGAGAACAACGGAAGGATATATGCGATCATCCTTTCTTAACCAATCCTTGTATTTAGATTGCCAAAGAAACAGACAATAAGGGTGTCAATGTCATTGTTGATTTTATTGGCAAGAACTACTGGCAGCAAAATCTCCAGACCTTGGCTGTCGACGGCCACATGGTCATTCTTGCCTTCATGAGCGGTAGGCCCTATTAAACAAGCGCACGAGGCTTTTCGATGCTCCGAAACTAAAACTAAAATAACCTCTAGGCAATATCGTGGACCAGGTGGATCTTTCCATGTTGCTCAGAAAGCGTCTCAGAGTAAGTGGATCGCTGGCTCTTCATCTGCAGCTTCCAAACTGACTTTGGTGTCCTTTTTCTTTTTTAGATTGAAGGCTCTGCTTTGCGTAGCCGAAGCATCGACTATCAGTCACGCTTGCGCGATGCCGTTTTCGAAAAGGTTATCAAAGAACTCAAGAGTGACAAGTGTGCCTTCAAGGTGTTCTTGGACAAAGAGTTTGACTGGAAAGACATTCAAGAAGCCCATAGGTACATGGAAAGCAACCAATCTCAGGGAAAGATCGTGGTTAAAGTCACCCAATAGACAAGAAACATAAAATGAAGAATGTAGTAAATTTTTTTAATATCAAAAAGCGAGTGTGAAAAAAATAAAAAGAATAATACATTGGAGAAAACTAGCCTACATACACAATGCGAAAGACGGGGCAGACACATGATGTGATTTTCCTGCCCTTTTTCTTTCAAGTCTTCAAAACAGTCGATATATCTTTTTTTTCGAATTTGTTTTTCTCCTGTTTACTTGATTTTCATCTAAAAAGTATTGAGTTGGTTTTTTTTTTGGTTATTTCATGGTTTGATATGTGGTGTAATTCATGATGCTTCTTGTTCCTGGGTATGACGGGGACGTCTTGTGGATGGTTTCTTAGGACCCGAACGCTTTTTCTTGGGCCGAGTTTCGAGATCCTTGGGATGTAAGAACAGACAACGGGATCCAAATGTACAGTCATCACCAGCACTACAGGAAGCCAAAAAATTATATTAACAAAAACGAACAATGAAAAAAACGAAGCTATGGAAAAAAGACTTACCGGCAAGGTTTCGAAGGATGCCAGTACTTGCAGTTCTTGTTTGTGCATCCAGGCCAGTAGACGCAACGAGCCTTCAATGGTGGGATATATGTCTGTTGCTGCTTTTGAATTTGATCTTCACGGGACGCCATCATTTTGCCTTTTTTGTTGGTAGGATGAGGCCGTAAGAATTGGGAATAGTTGTTCCATGTGAGATCGCCCTGGCGAGACAGGGCCAAGGGATCCATCCATTCGCTTTGCTGTTGGAAAGGGTTCGATCGGGTAGGAGGGGTCCAACCAGCAGAGACCATGGCGAAATCACCGCCTTGATAGGGAATAGCAGAAGGCACCATGGGCTGCTGAGAAAGAACAGGTTGAGCCGCTGAAGCCGAATTGCCCGAGGGTGGAACCGTAGTAGTGGAATCAATGATGGAACGGTTTAAATTTAAAATGCGGTTGGCGTCTTCTTGTTCGTCACTGGCCACTGCTGGCGATGCTTCTGAAAGCACGGTGTGGTCAGTAGATGTGGTCTTTTGTTGGGAATCATCCATCGACGATTTTCTAACAGGGGTCACTGGGGAACCGGGCTCGGAAACACTGGACACGATGTCCTTTGCCAATTCGGTTTCAACCTTGGGTTCCATGGTTTCGCTAGATGACAAGTCGCCCTTGGTCTCAATATCGGAATCTGTCAGGTTGGAGGACAAAAGCACCTTGGTGCTCAACTCTTCTTCCATCGTCGCCGCCGTGGTTTCAGCCGTTTGGACTTCTTCCTGGACCGCCTTGGGAGTCTCGCTTGTTTCCGCAATCTCATGTTTAAGTTCGTCGCTCACTTTATCATCCACGATGGCGACTTGGACTTCCGTTTCCACTTTGGTCACCTCTGGGACCTCTGCCTCTTTTTCCTCTTTGGCCAATTCATCGACTTGGACCTTGATTTCAGTGGTCACGGTTTCCGCTGTGATGACGTTTTCCTCACTCTTTTGTGATTCAGTTGCTGCGCTAGTTTCAACCGTTTCCACCACAGATTCAACAACGGTCTCACTCACGGCTGATTCATCGGTTACTTTATCGTCTGCTGGTGTCACCGTGGATACCTGGTCTTCGGTCTTTGTCTCAGGTTCCACAATAGTCGTATCCTTTGTAGTACTGGACTCTTGTGCAGTTTCACTAGGGTCGGTTTCCGAAGGAACGGAATCCATGACCTGATCTTTGGCAGGGACTTGTTGTTCAACAGTGGTGGCGATGGTGTCTGACTCTACCTTGTTTGCCATGGCAGTCACATTAGATTCAGGGCTACTGGCTTCCGACTCTTTTGCTGCAACTTCATCCACCAACGGTTCAGGAACAGTTTGGTCAACCGAAGCAGACGCTTCCTTATCCATCTTGACCGATTTTTCCTCCTCCTGTTGCTTGGGCGAAAGGGTCAGGGTATCGGTTTCTTGGGAAACACCAGTGTCCTTTTCCTTCAAAGATTCGCCTTTTTCTTTCGTATCTTCCTTGGTGGCTTCGTTTTGTGCTACCACACTGCTGTCGCTCTTCACTTGACGGCTTTTTTGACTTTTCGGACGCTTGCCACCCTCCGCATCTGTATCCAAACAGGGCCAAACAAACGAATATAAAATTCCAGCCAAAGAGAAAATAAGTAAAAAGAACACGAAAAAAATAGCATGGCAGTTAGCATTTATGAAAGTGAATCAGAATGACAAGTTGAAAGAATGCTCTCAAGTGTCATTTGGACCCCATCGCTACCTTTTTTGAACGTAATGTAAACGAACACACCCACGGTGATGAGTGCGACAGGGGCCCAGTAGTAAAATCGTGGCGTATCTATCAGCTGTAATGGCATCGACATTTTTTTTTTGTTTCGCAAATAGCGGCAGGATAAAAATTGCAGGCGAAAGAAAAGTTAAGAAGTAAAAATCAGAGAAATCGGGAGTGGCGGCTTTATACGGTTTGGAACAAATTTTTTGCCAGTGGGATTGTCCTCCGCCGGCCAATAACAATGATACTCCTTTTCTCTTGGTTGCTGAACTTGTCCCACACAATGAACCGTGGAATTGCTTATTCTATAAACCTTAAAACGTCCTTGATTCATGACAATTTTAAGTGTGTTATGGTGCAATGAACGCGAATCCATTTTATCGGTTTTTTTTTTTTGTTTTTTCAATAAATGCGACCGTGGTGATCGCAGTCAAAGCAACCCTGCGGTCCATCAAAATCATATGATCCAATTAGAGTCCCGCTTCGAATTTCCCAGTCTAATCGCGCTATTTCCCTTCCGCTTTTTGTTTTTGTTTCCTTCCACCTTTTTTTTTTCTTGTTCTCTGTCCGAAAAAAAAAGGAAAAAGGTCGACCTCCTGAACTTCTTCTTTTTTTGACTTACTCCTGGATCCTTTTTTTTTTTTTGTATAAAAAAAAAGAGAAAATATAAAAATAACCACTCATGAGCCGAGACGACGAATACGATTACCTATTCAAAGGTGAGTTGCTGGAGAAAAGGGGCGTTATTTCAGAGGACGTGTCGCTGTCCGATGCAGAAGCCCGCATAACGAAAATATTGTTGGAGTTTTTTCTTGTTTCTTTTCTTTTTATTCCCTTGGTTATTGTGAGGTCACTTACCATGATATGGAAACATCTCTGTTCTGTATATGGATGCGGGAGAAGTAGAACCACCATCATGTTATAAGATCCAAAAGGGTGGTGTGCTATGAAACTGATCTTGAATTTCTTTTTTCTTACTTCCACAGTGGTCTTGATCGGAGATTCCGGGGTCGGAAAGACGAATCTTCTGGCGCGCTTCACTCGTAATGAATTTAACTTGGAGTCTAAAAGTACCATTGGGGTGGAGTTTGCCACTCGTAGTGTCCAAGTCGACAACAAAACCGTGAAAGCACAAATCTGGGACACAGGTAAAACTTCTTCTCACCATATTGTAGGCAACGTTGCACCATGACGACTCGTCGGTTAATGAATTTTTTTTCCCCTCCATTGCCATGTTGATCACAAAAAAAAAAAAAAAAAAAAAAAAAAAAAAAGCTGGACAGGAACGCTATCGCGCCATCACAAGTGCGTAAGTACAATTACCGGCTTCAACTCAACCTTATATGGATAATAAGATCAGCTGATGGTGACTGTTGATGTTGTAGATATTATCGAGGGGCTGTAGGAGCCTTGCTGGTGTACGATATCGCGAAATATGCGACTTACGATAACGTGACACGATGGCTCAAAGAATTACGTGACCATGCCGATTCCAATATAGTCGTCATGTTAGTAGCCAACAAGAGCGATTTAAGACATTTGCGAGCGGTCCCTACAGAGGAAGCCAAGCAGTTTGCAGCTGATAACGGTCTTTCTTTCATCGAGACTTCGGCCCTGGATTCCAGCAATGTTGAACTTGCGTTTCAGCGCATCTTGACAGGTAAAAAAAGGAAGCCTAAGTATTCGATAACCAAGTAAAGAGGAAGGCTCATTGATTTTCTTGTCATTGCAGAAATATATCGTATTGTCTCCAACAAAGCTCTTGAATCTTCTAATGACGGTATCCGACCCACCGCAGGCGAAACCATTTCTGTGACTCAACCGCCTTCGGCCGATCAAAACAAGGGCGGTTGCTGCTAATCGTCCAGAGAAGACGACGAAGCGAAAACAAAAAATATACGATTAAACATTATATACCTATATATTTTCTTTCTTTTTATTGAGTTGCTTATCTTTTTTTTCTCTTTCTTGCTTGATTTTTTGATTCTGGAGTTTTTGACTTGTTCCTCCCCTAATAAAAAGTCTCGGTTGGCTGATCAATGTGAACACAACAGAGGTCATTTCAAAAATAAATTTTATGCATGACTACTGCACATGCAAATATTAGTTTTGCTTACTTCTTATTTCTCGTTTTTTCAACCAACAAAAATAAGAAGAAAAAAAACCAAATAGGGATCCAAAAAGCTACCAGGAAAGCAGCATGACCATCAGTTATTATCTTTTCGTCGTTCTCTCCTTCCTTATCTTTACCAAAGAATGACGAAGTATCACGCCGCTGTTCCTCAGAGTTGCTGTTGTCATGACGATAAAGATCTCCAGGAGATAGTAGCTCTGATACATCCGATGAAGCATACGGTTGCCACATTGATCCGCCTCATATTATGGAAAAACGAACAACAGAGGAATCGCTCTTGCTTGTTGATCCTTTTGTGGTTTGCATTATGGATACATACGAAACTACTGCTTTCCCTTGTGCCTCTAGTATTATTTATTCTTCAATCTCAAAGCTCTCCACAAAAAGATACACAAAATTGGGTGCACCGTTTTCAAATCGTTTTGTCCGCTGTCGCATCCTTCACACCATCCATTTTACGGCTGCCTCGCTTTTCACCTAGCTTCCAGTTCTCATCGATCTACGGTTTATGGCTCCTTTTCGTGGCATTTATTTCTCTGCCGTATTTTGTTTGTTTCAGCGGGATACTAATCCTGGTTTGGACCAGTCCGTGGGCCTGCATTCTCCGTAAATTCAGTTTCGCGCTGTACTCTGTCTACATCTGCGACACAGATGCACACCCAGCCGTCCTCACCGAAAACGTATCTCATATGGATCGCATGTATCAGTTTGCGGTTATCCATCATCAGCGTTGGTGGCCGCATAAAGGTTGGTCTGACTTTTTGCTACCTCAAGATCCTCCTACATGGTAACCGTATCTCTCTCGCTGTCTCTTTTTGCAAAATATCGGAGTAGAAAAATAATCTCTATAACCGGGTTTGCTTCATAGGTGTGATCCGTCGCTCCAATCTGTACCTGCCATTGACCTGTTTTCATTACCTCCCCCGATACTCGGTCGCGGTTACTGGTTATGGGTTGATCCTACATGGCAGACCGTCCAAGACGCTGAAACAGACCACGACGGGTGGGAATATGCGAAATGGGACTGGAAACAGTGGTCATCAAACTCAGCTGGTCTCGCAGCGGTGACACGTCGCAAACGTTATGTACGGTGTGCTCGCTTTATTGAAGATGCGGGCGACAATGATAAACTAGAACAAGACAGTATGGTTGGAGGAAGCGCCAGTACCACACGAAGATCATCATGGTGTACCAATAATAGCTACATCAGCTCTTTCACCACCGAGTCTTCTTCTTCTTTTACCTCCACCATCGATTAAACTTTTTTTTTTCACTTGTGCCTATAAATAAGCTTTATGTTAAAACAATTTCTCCCATTATTGTCAGCCATCAGTAACGTCTATTTTAAGCTTTGGAGCGGAAGCAGTAGGAGGATGTTGCTGTAGTAAGCGATACAGCTGGTTCTGGTCCCTCGCGCCATTTCCATTTTTCAACTTTACCCCCGGCTCCAAAGTCTCTTTGGAGCGAGTGTCGGGCAAGAGGTAGTTTAACGCCTAAGATGAAAAATCTCATTTCAGAAGAACGGGTGCCAAGAAAAAAGTAGTTAAAGCTGACGTTACCGTAAACCATTGTTCATGCACCGTTGGTTCAATGCATCGTAATTTCAATTCCCTATCTTGTAGTTTGATATGCAAGGAGGGAATATGCTCTAGATCATCGTCTTTCTCCATCTCAAACGACATCATATAGCCTGGCGGGATGGCGGGATGGAAATAATCACAAGTCAATAACCGCTGTCACTGTGTCTACAGGTCGCACTCTTTACCGCTTTTCACCGTGGCACGGATAGTGGATTGCATTCCGTTTTCTTGTTGGCTCCAATAGATCATCTTGTTGTAGGGATGAATCCAAAAAAATCGCTGGTGCTTTTTACCGCCGCTTCTTTTCAGTAATGACTGGCGTCTATATTTCCACATCCATGACCCCATCATCGTTTGCATCACTGTATAAAGCACATTATCTTGACCGTGCATTGCCGGGGAGTGAGAAGTGGCGAGAAAATTGATATTCTCTTTCTTCAAATACGCGTCCTTTGAATTCTGTTGTTTCCCATCCTTATTGCGATGAGATTCGTAAATATAGCTGGTAGGCGCCACCAGTAAGGAGCCATAATCTCCTGCCGGAGGTTGCACATGCTCATTGCCTGCAACGTTAGTCGTCTCTATATTGGTCACAGATTCCAAGGTATTACACGTAAAACTTTGCGGTAAGGGTTCTTGATGGATGGGGGAGGTTGATCTGTCGACATGCAGCACATGCGATGAAGCAGGTTGTATACCAACCATCAATGTAGGGTCGCTGGACGTCACCTTGCCAGCAGCATCTGAACGAATGTTACTCGTTAAAACATCTGTTGCTTCTACCGGCTTCGCTTTTGGTAGTTCAGAATGCTGTGGGGATGGGCTCCTTGAGTTCATTTGTTCGTTTTTATCTGATTCTGGCATGCTTCCTGCTAATCCTTCGCGTGGCAAAGAAGGACCATTTTCATCTATCTGTTCATTTTTCGCTGATGCTGGCTTTAACCGTGCAAAAGACAGTTCATCTCCCAAAGATGGCCCCTTGTGTTTCGGCTGTCTCGCTGGGCGCAGATGTATGAGCGGTCGATGCCGTTCGAATGTCACGTCTTTGGGTGACGCGAGGTGACTGTGGATGCCTTCATTGTTGACGTATCTTGAACCATCGCCCTCGCTTGGAGAGCTGGGCGACCATAAAGATGATTGCCGAAAATGTTGGATTTGGTCCTGGGCTTCTTGCAGCAGTTTATGAATTTCCATACGTTCTTCTCTTTCATCTTCCAGTTGTCTTTGCATAGTTTCGAGGCGATAGGTGGCTTCGCTCAACGATGCCTTGAGCTGCTCGATTTCCAAAGATTGAACTTCCACCGATGGCTGCTTCATCAACGAACATTGTCTAGGTGACGACGGTTGTGAATCCAGCTGCAACTCTTCGTGTTGGCGCTCGCCAGATGACATTTCTAGGTGTGTCACAGTGCTCTTGTCAAGTAACTCGCTTGCCGATGGCTGAATTGAAGGTGGTCGTGGCTGACTTTCTGACTCTAGCATTTGCGAAAGCCGTTTGGATAAACTTTCGTTCTCGTCCTGCAAATGGCATAATGACTTTCGTACATGAGATATTTCTTCCTGGTGGTTTTGCTGTAAGCTCTCCAATGTTTGCGACCACTGAGTTTGTTGCGATTTCATATATTCCAGTTCTCGTAGTAGCTCGGTTTGATGCCGTGTCATCCGGGCTTGATCGGCCAAAGTCTTTTCCTGCTCCTCCTGCAAATCAGAGAGCTGCTGCGACAGCTCCTGTTTATTAAGTTCTAAATCCCAGATCTCTTCTTTCAACCTCTCTATACGATTTCATTGAGTCAACCCCCCATCAACCGGTATGCGCAAGGAAGAATCGGACGGAGTTGTGCACCCGATTTACTCACCTTCTGCTTCTTGTTTTTGTCTGATCTGTTTGCTCAACAGTTCAATGGTTTGCTGCTGATCTTGTTTCTCTATTTCTAAATTTGCCATGGCATTATCTCTTTGTTCCAATAATTTATGCAGCTTTTGGACGTCGAAAACAAGATTTTGAATAGGATCTGCTGTGTCGCCTAAATCCGTCATTTCGTTTTTAAGAGGAAACAGTGGCGAGCCTGTATTCTTCATAAGACGTCGTTTAACAGGAGTCGCGGGCAATCGTGCTGGTGGTGGCGTGGTTCCTACAGCCGAACCAACGAAACCTTGGTTTTCGTGATCCGAACGTCCATCGTCATTGAAGAACTGTAAAAAGAACAGGAAATCAGCGTGACGTGAGTCTAATATTGTCCGTACAAGTGGCGATAGAAAGAATTATGCCAAGCAGATGCCTACTCACTTTATCTTGGGGACTGGTGGCGACATGTTTTCCAGTTGGCTTAAACTTTTATGCACGTTTAGGAACCGTTTCCATGTAAACCAATGATGTGTGTAAACACATACTGTACCCATATAATCAGGAAAATAGTAGGTCAATCCCACAGGAAGAGGAGCAAGAGCATAACAAACAGGAAAATAAATAAAAAATTGCAAGGCAATTTCTGGCCTTTTTGCGTAATTAAATTATTTTTGTCTTCTATGGAATGTTGCCCAAACGCAACTTTTTGTCGTGCCATGTCCCATATTCCTTTTGCACTGGCATAGTCACATATTTCACATTATGGAAGCATGGCTTCTTCGTCGTCGCCGTCGCAGTGCGATTCCTTTTTGCCGTACAATATGTAGAGGTGTAAGGGAGAACAAAAAAACGCTTGATTTATGATCACTACGCGGTAGATGCTTTAATATATCCGATAGTTGGGCACTTGCCATCATTAACAAGTCCTATGTATTGTTCACGTCAAAAAGACAGTAAATAAAAAAGAATATATATTGAACAAAACAAATCATATCGTAACATATGGAAACTATTGTTTATTTCTACTTTTTTTTTCAAATCCATCAGCCTCTGATAAAGAGTCCTCGTTCTGCGCCGATTCGATTCGCTTGTCCTTTTTTATCAATATGTTCCAAACCTAAAGAATCCTCCACTCGGAATTGATGATCGCTCAGCTTAAAGTTATCTAGAAAAGCGCATCAAACAAGCAGATGTGAGCCTTCTCACTCTAATTTCTTCACGGATTTGTTTTCTATTTTTTACCTTCTTCATCAATAGGCGCTGCTGAATAAGTGGAGACAATGTTGAACCGCACTTTGCTCCAATCCTTATCATTTAGGCCTGTTCTTTCTTGCAGACGTTTCTTTGTATCTTCAAAAGGTTCGTCCTATCGTCACAGCACGTTCACGTCAATTGGCGCTATTCTATTTATATATAAGCATCAAAGAAAGACTGTACCTTTTTCACCATGAATTTGAAAGGTACTGAATGTGAACGGGCCACCTCTCTCTGGAAATGGAATACTCGAATATAAAAGTCGTCGTCACCCATTGTCATTTCTTCTTCTGGGATTTCCTGTAACCGCAAAAAAAAGGGAATTAATTCAATCATTCACAAGACACAGCGTTCCTTGCAAAATATTGATAACGAACCTCTGCATACAACTGTGCAAATGGGCTGTCAGAGATCTGTGATATCGGATCAGAAGTTTTGAATTCAGTGTTGAAGCGATTGTTCATGGCTTCAAATAGTCGAACGTTTCTTGTCGCGTCGGTTGTCTTAAAGTTGGCCCCTCGTGCATCCAGTGCCTTGAGAAGATCGGACATTCGACTTTGTTTGGGAAGCAACAATTCCATAGTGGTTGTATCGTTCAGTGTGGGGGAGCAAACGGTGACTTTGACCAATTTCTTGGACTCTAGTTCCGCAAGACTGATATCCAATACATCATACAATAATTTGGCTTTGATGGTATTAGGTTGCAACGTCATTTGGTACATATCACTCAAAGTCATCGTGGAGCTTCGGCGAACCGTGTTTTTGGGCTCGTCAAAGGGATCCGATGTAAAGAATTGAAGCTTGTCAGGATCCGCATCCAGTTTTTTCGCTACTTTAGCCGCGACTTCGTCGTACGTCATATTTCGCTGAAGGACAAGTGTGAATTCCACATCGGGATTGTAGACCTTGGGCGAGAAAGTAATATGTACGATGTTACGCTGATATTCCAAAAAGCTGGGCACAGTAAGACAGTAGTCCTTGGCTTTCAATTCGGCCATCCTAAATAATTCGATAATGTTAGGAATATCATGACAAACATGCCATTTTCCAACCAAGTAAAAAACGAAAAAAATACTCACTCTTCTTCCGTAAGTTTGGGTTGCACGCAGATGATATCACCGTCCTGAATTTCAGCAAGCATAAAGGTGAAGTTCAAATCCATTTCTTCAATCATCGTGGGTTTGATTTCCTATCACCCATCCAGATTCCGCAATCAGCACCCTATAAAAACCTGCCATCGCTTCTTTTTTGCTGAATCAACTTACCTCGTACAAAGTGATGGATGTACCGGGTTCGAATCCAGCCAATTTATTCAGATCCTCAATGATGGAACCCACTTTACCATTCTTGGAAACGTAGAGCCTTCCAATACCACTGTACACAGATATTAAAAAAAAAAGAGTGAGCATGGCACTTTTCTCTTTTTCCTTGTATCAAATTCACTTACCGAATTTGTTGGGTTCGGGGGTCAAAGAGCTTGATAAAAACTAGCACCTTGGATGCTGTAGGGGATGGTGGTGCGGGGAAAACGGCATTGCCGCTTTCATCAAACTGAGTGGCTGTTTCCACGTATAAGCGTAAATGCGGCTGGTTGGTGAGATATCTCTGACGAATGAGTTCCAAAGTAGAATTTGCTTCTTCTTCAGGGATAGGTGAATCTGGGCGAATGGTTCGATTTTGACGATTCACCAAGAACCATAATCGGAAATGATCAGCGGGAATGCTCAACCGTTCACCAAGGTCCTTTTTGAATGCCGTATACGTCTGATCCTTTCGAATACGCAAGGTTTCCATGGCATACTGAGGGTTGCGCTCATCAAAGCAAGCAAAATCAAATCCTTCGTTCGCCTTGAAAGTATTGTCGGTAGCAATCTGATGAAACGGGAAAATAATTGCATGGTCAGACCAAAATTCAACGTTGTCCATAGTTTTGGTAAATAGAAAAAAAAAATACCATGACTCTCATGAACAGGTGTTGCTGTTCCTTTTCTCTGCGTCTTTCTTCCAGCAATCTTTCTTCTTCTTCCAAGCGTTTCTCTATGCAAGATGTGATCAATAGCCAGCTCTATCGAGTATTGTGAGAATTCCCAGTCACTTACTCAAGTGGTCAGGAATATCATCTTTCGTAACGTCACCGAGAATTTCATCGATCATGGATTCACGAATGTACACCAACATATAAGCGTTCGTGAATCGTTTGTACACGCGCATGTTAGGTCGACCGGTCATGCCAAATTGCTCGCCGCCGAAATTTTCTTCTAACACTTCTTCCAACTTGGCGGGAACGACGCGATCATCATCGAATTTCAACCTAACGTGGTGTATTTACACAATTAATTACACCAATTTTGATATTTCTGAAACTCTTCTTTTTTGCCACGTACCATTTTCCATCCTTGGTTGGCTTGACAAACGCAAAGTAATGACCACCACTTAAATCACCGCTATGCACAAGCACGCTGTAAAGAAAAAACTCATCTCATCAGTCTCAACACATTCCCACCAGCGCGAACGGCAAATGAATGAAGCTTACCCGTGAAGAACGTATTTGTGAGACTGTGATCGATCAGCTTCCGCATCCAAATAAGGTTCGAGATCAATCTCGGTGGGGAACTCGTGTCGATCATTGATCTAGAAGGAAAAAAACCGCGTCAGATGACCCATTATTGTAAATTTTGTTACCGCCGGTGCAGCAAATGTTGGCATACCTTGACCATCGTGTCTCGCATGATGTCGTACTCAAAGCGCTTCAATTGCAAGTGAAGCACGGGAGGAAAATTCTCAAAAATGACACCTTTCTTTGCATCTTGAAGACCATGGCCTTCAGCCATATATTTGTTATCTCCCTCCAAGGTCTCTTCCTGAATGTAGTCTTTGAACGAGTCTTCGAGATTCTTGCAACCCTTGACATTCAGCTGAATATCTATTTTTCACAAAAGAATCCATCATAAGAATTTGCCACACGAAACATCCTTTTTCATCTTGAATATATACCATAATAATCTTCCGATCTCGATGATTCATAATCGACATTGATACATTTGATATAACTCTTCATTTTTCCAACGAATAACTTTTTGATGGCACCATCTGCAGGCGTACCCTAATGGAAAAGAAAAGCAGGTCAATGATCCTCAGCAGCAATACATGGATACGCTGACTTTTTGATACCCACTTTCATCTTTGCTTCAAGATTATCCTGCAACACACGATTGAATTCTTGCACATCATGTTGCATGAACGCTTCGAGCGAGTCCCAACCAAACGACTTTGTCAACTCAGTTGTACCTAACATAATCAGCCCCGTCAATAACGATAAATTACATTGTATATGTTTCTATGGATCAATTGATTTGCCAACATACCAACAGCTGTATTCTGGAACTGCAGATTATAAAAGACTCGCTGGAGGGCAAGCGCTACACTCTTTGTTGGTTCATCATTCTCTGTTGGGATCTGATACACGGCCTTTCGGAAGTAGTTGGTACAGTACAGAGATTGGAACAACGAGTTCATATAGCATGTGGCACCCTGATTTTTGAGACCGACATAACCTGTGGTTTCTTTGGAATCATAACTACCAAGGATCCATTGCCGTGTTACACTCCATGCAGGTTGACTTTTGTTTCCATCCATCCCAAACTTACTGTACAAAATTGTGCCACAAAACACCGGTAGAATCCTTGAGTACACGGATGATTGCAGTAATTCTCAAGCTATCATTTTCCAAAAATGGTGGTCTGCCGCCAGCATCGGCATTGCACAATTGGTTAACGTCAATGAAACGCGTAAAACCCCAGTCAGACTCATCGGCGTCGAATCGATGTTGAGCAGCTAACGGAAAAAGATGCGTAAGTTTTTATCGGTTCCTTTAACAACGGCCATCACTTTGGTTTTTACCATGGCTAATATACTGTGTGGGATTGGATGGTGGCGAGACACAAATGACAAATTGAGCGCAAGAATAAATCTTCGGGGATCCAGACTTTGCTTCGCTGAATTCAAGATAGATGGAAGTGCAGTCCGCTTGATTGTTTCCTCTGGGAAATAACAGGATATTCCTATTATCAACATGATGAGCCAGTCTATCCCTCTCCCCAAAAAATAAGGCCCTCCAAAAGAAAGAAGTTAATCGGGACCCGACACTGTACCATTTATGACCACCGGCCTCAAAGACGGGTCCTTGAACACGATTGGGCAACGTGCTCCAATTGTCAATATCCCAATGGAAGCATTTTAAATCGATTACTTCTTCATTGACAGGATTCATTTCGGCTTTCGCAATGCGTTCGTCTGTCATGGACAAAAGGAAGAGGTACGCCAACGTTAGAATTACCAGTGTCGTTATTCCTGTAGCTTATTTCTTTATACTTACAATCGTCAATCACAGACGCCGGTGCAGCCGATTTTTCGGCATCATTCATGCACGTGTCACCGTCGCGGTCTAGTACAATCTGATTCTTCACTGGATCACTCTACAAAAGAAAGACTCTAAATTTTAGTGCTAAAATGAAAAAAGAAAGAGAACGAAGGAAAAGACAGTGGACAATCCAAAAAAGAGTCCTATGAATGGAATACAGTAGAGAAGGAATCGTGTTTACAAGGAAATGCAACGAAAAAGCATACCATTAGGCAATTTCACTGAATGAGCCCCTTTCTGTACGAGCGTTAAGTTTGTATTGCGCAGCCAGGTCTCAGAAAACGGCAACTTTGGAATCACGTGTCACACGAGTGACGTGCTTCTGGGCAACCCTGCCTAAAACGGTAATTACGGTATATTCTTTGAAGCAGATCCGCTGCGCTCTGCGATCCATGATCAAGCAACGAACTATAGGTGAGTGAGTAATACCACCATCTTTTCCTTTTGGACGTTTAATGACATCAAATAATTAAGCTTCATCTTCCTTTTGCAAACAGATATACCTACGGACTTTCACGACAAACGCGTATGTCGCGATTACCTATGTGGGTTTTGCCCGTATGATTTTTTGCGGTACTTATACTATACAATCGACGTCTCTGAATGTTCATATTGACAAATGGCATCTTACTTAGGGATCTCGTAAGTCTTGAACCAGTTGTTATTTGCCTTATATAGATGGCTGACGAACAACTACAGCCTGTGAATTACGGATCGTGTCCTTCGGTGCATTCTCCGATATTAAAAGCAAATTATGAGAAGGCAGTGCAGGCCGATCCTCGACAAACATTTGAATCGGATCACGTTCACAGCACAGAGCGATTCATTAGTAGTATCAGAAAAAGAGCGTCAACATTGCATACGCGTTTACACAAGTTACCGAAAGATAAAAAGCAGGCACGAACAATGGTATCCATCGTATTATGTGCGATACGGGGTGGGAAATTTGGCTCTCATGACAATTATTTTGTTGCAGCGTCAGACAGTAGATAAGATATACAGTAATCTTTTATTGAAAATGGATCAAGTGGAACGGCTAGGCAAGTCAAGTCGGGATTCAGGTTTATGCGGTAGGCTTCAACGGCTAATACGAAACGGCAGGCGATGAAGGCAAAGTAACCGAAGCAATGGAAGCCTTGAAACAGGTGAAAGAATTGCGACGCAACAGACAAGCCAATCAGGTAAAAATAAAAAATAGAAGAAGGAGGAGGCATTAATAGCCACGTATTGCTTCAGTCGATTGATACGGAGGAATCCATTTTCTCAGGAACAATTGCATTCATTGAACAACAGCGAAGGTCACACGAACAACGTATCCATCTGCGACATATGTGCTGTGTATCTGCCGGCAGATAAAGTGGATACTCACAATAAAGGCGAGGTATATCATGCTCTGCTTTCATGGATTTTACGAAACAGACCGATTGACAAACTTGGCATAGACACACCTAAAGTTCTTTGAATTGCGGCAGGTGGCAAAGGAATTGAAGGACTCGCATTTACGGAAGTCTATCTATCGACAATCATCTCGTGCAGATAGATCCAGTAGCAAATCAGAAGCCAAACTTCAAACCGCTTAAAACTGCCAGTTTATCATAGCGTACAATCTCAAGGATTGTACTGTATATTAATTATTGTCGAGATGTCTTTCTCTTTCTCTCCCCTCATGTAGTATAATTCTCAGACTCATCATTTTCTTATACACAATATCATCTACATAAAATTTCCTAATTTGGAACTTTCAACACCTCCACTATGCTGTCAGATCAGCTCAAACGGGACTCTCGTGAGTCTATTGCCACTTGGATTTTTGTGTGGCTTTTGACTTCACTCCCTCAAAGCAATCTTAAAGTAAAAACCGTAAAACCCTCATAAAGGTTCAAGGGCGTTGGCATGACTTTTGGTGCAGCAAAAAAGCATACAACTTCAGGTGAGAGTGGCGAATTATGCTGGTCTGGTCGAACCAATGAGCAGTCACTGCCGTGATTGATTTCTTTCATCCGAAAATCCGCTGCTTGGACGCTCTCAGTGGTTCATACATAACATCCATACGTAAACGTTTATGAGCGGATCTTCGCCAATTTCTTCCAATGTACCGTCGACACCGGTTTCTATTACCATGGGCTCGGCATTTCGACGACGTTATCATCCATACATGACTAAACGGCAATTGGCGACACTGAACAGTCTGAAAAAGTCGAGTCATTTAGCGGTCAAAGAAAACGCTGCTCGTAACTCGAGTTGTAAATTCATTCAAGAAGTGGGCAAGAAACTGGGATTGTATGTACACATAACATGGTGGAAACTTTTTTAAAGGAGTTATGCACTTAATCGGTTTTCTTGACAGTCCCCAAACGACCATCAGCACGTCTCAAGCGTTATACCATCGTTTTTATCTCTATTATTCTATACGGGACTATTCACCACAGGTTTATACAAGAACGGAGAAGAGACTTTGAAGAAAATGTTATACTGATACATTTGAATGGATTTATAGGATATCAGTGTAACCTGCCTGTTTGTGGCTTCTAAAATAGAGGAGACCATCAAGAAATTAAAAGATATCTTTGTCGCGGTGCACAGCGTCAAATACCCTGACAGCAAAGAATTGGATCCAGAAAACGTAAGAGAGCAACCAAAGTGGAGATCGACAGGAAGGGGGCAAGGTCATTTTTGATTTACGCGGCTGTTTTGTTAGGTATCTGAGGAACGACGACGCCGCATTATCGGATATGAAAAACTATTGCTGGAAACCCTGTGCTTCGATTTTCAGTTTCGACATCCCTACGAATATGTGGCCAAATTTGTCAAGTGGATACAAGGTGGGAATTCTATGAAAGATGAGATTTTAGGAAAACGTAATTAACGTGATATATGGCCAGCTTTTCAACCTCTCGACGGAAAGAGACTGGCTCGCAAAGCTTATTCATTGGCAGTAGATAGGTGAGTTCATTGGAAATGACAAGTTTGGCGTCAAGAATGGGGAAAATCTAAGTGACTGTCTTTGGATCAGTTATCGTACGCAGCTCTGCGTAGAATATCCAGCACACACCATCGCTGCTGGCTGCATCTACTTGTCTTCACGTTTACTAAAGGAGGAAGACAAAGACTTTCGAGGCTTAACAGAGGAGCAGCCATGGGATCAGCTTTTCCTATCGAGAATGGAGGATATTGAAGGTAAGAGAATACTAAAATTTGGCAGACGGACATTACATACTAATTCGGTCTTTTCTGGCAGATGTTTGTCAGCAGATTCTTGATCTTTATATTATGAACAACCGAGGCGACGTCACTCTTTACACACGTATGAAAATCGAACTCAATGAGCAGGCTCATGAAAGGGGTCCGGATCCTGATATGGATGAAATAACACGGCAAGAACTGAAGAGTCGACCATCGGATTGGGAATTCGAAGGCATGAGTCCGCTCGACGTTGTGAACACGAATCAACATACAGTTTCTTATCATTTTGCCAACAGTAGCACTTGATAAAAATCACGATATCCTGCCTATGCAACAATTACGCTCTCTGCGGTACTGTAGATCCAAATCAAGTTTTGGAGATATTTTTATGCATGTACATACTTCAAAAATCATAAACTAAATCATTCATTACTCGACACATCTATTCTTTTCAGACGTCACAGCACTCTTTCTACTTTGATAGCATCCACCTCCTTCAATAAAAATCTGCCTCAACAGACCATGATCTCATAATGTTCCTTTCAGACCCTTTTCATCACCTTTTTTGGAGTTCAAGATATCAACTGGCCAATTTGACGATCCCAATGAAGTCACTGCAGTGAAACTCTGCACCCCTGAATATCATGGGGCTCGGATTTTTCTGCCGACTGCCGCGACGCCATTGAAGGCTTGCATCATATATCCTTACGAGCCGTTTCTTTTAGAATGTCAAAAAATTACTTTCATAGGACGTTTTTGACAACAACGAATAGGTAAAAGGCTTTTAATATTCATACAGTGATAATGGACGATGAAGAAAGAGAAAAAGGAGAAAATGAAATAAAAGAAACAAAAAATCGGTATAGCTTACATGAAAAAAGTAAATGGGGAAAATATAAAAGGATGTTGAAGTCGAATGGGTGAAAAAATACAAAAAAAAAAAGGTCAAAGGTCTCGAAGGTGCATTTCTATCGACGCATAATCCAGTCAGACCATGTTTTGTTGGAGGGAGCAGTAGCGGGCGATTCAAGGGCAATTTTCATATCGGCCGTCTCATCTCGTGATTGTTTCAAAAATGGCATGACGTTGGTTCCACCTGTACCTCTTACGACACCTGTCTTGGGATCAACATGCTTGGCCAGACCGAGTTCGGGAAATAGATGGCTCACTTTGGCAGATACCGATCCTTCACGAATGCCGGGCGATGTCTCCAAGGCCGTCTGAGGATACAACACATTCTGTGTCTTTTCGTCCTTGGCTTCCGCTGCAGGCTGCTCTTCTTTCTTCTTATCAATAGCAAAACCGCCGTGGGGGATATTGGGACCTTTGCGCGCTTGATTGACGATATACAGGCTAACGATCTGGACGTGCTTATCACGGAATAATTTGAGCTGGTGGATACAGTTATTGTATAGTTCAATGACGTTCAGTTCTTCGGCCGTGATATCTTCTGCTTGCATTTTTTCTCGGAGATGGAGCATGAAAGGACGGATATTGCTTCCCGACTCCAAATCTTCGAGGAACTCGCGATGAGGGCGCGGCATATACTTGCGCATGGCGCGAAGGAAGGCGTTACGGTTGGTACGGGTGAAAGGCGGTTGCGGAGTCCGGCTACCATCGGAACTGGAGTCGTCAGTCGGGACCGCGGAAGGAAGACGGGTGTATCTATCTTTAGGCAAAGGATTGTCCAATTTCATGACGGAGGGTTTTTCACCGGTAGGATAATGTTCCACGCCAAATGCAACGTCCAAGGCCGCGATAAGGCTGCTCTGAGCCGCGCTGCCTCCTGCATAACGACGGTACTGACGCAAGATACGCTGGCCTTCAGTGAGATGACTCATGTCTGCATACTCGTCCGTTTCGGCCGACCACAGATGATCTACACCTTCATACACCAAACCAAATGGCAAGCCGGCTTCAGCCATGTTCTCCCAACCAGCCAAGTAGGGTCGAATTTTCCAGTAAAACACATAAGGGTCGCACTTTTCGTACATACGCTGCAAAATTTCGTTCATTTTCACCAGTGCACCATACATGGTTTCAAGGTTGGACTTGATACCGTCATAATTGCAGTCATTGATGTGTTCAATGACCGACAGTATTGCAGGCAAACAACATGCACCCGCACTTTCAATGGCAGTTGTGATCAAGTAGAACCACGCTTCATCCAGTGAACCCGAATAGGTTGTCAATGCTGCAAGATTACTAAAGTGCCGTAACATGACAGATTGGTTGCAATTTTTTTTTATTTTTTTTTTCGTTAGCTCGGTGTTTCCATACACACGGTAAAGCGTGCCTTTTTTTTCCACGGTAATTCTTTCTTACCTGAGATCGATGGGACCATCGGCATCGAGGAGTCGGTAATTCCATAAATCGACAGCAGCATGACATACGACCGGGCATAATCCCAAGTAGTTAGAGATCCCAGTCCATGGGACGGCCAAAGTCGCAGGCAGTGTCTAAATATCGTGGGAAAGATTGAAGGAGAAAAAAGATTAGCCAATCGTCTCACAAGAAAAAATTAGCGATAGACGTAGCAATTCACGGCAATTGCAACTTAAATAGGCAGATGCTTCTTCAGATTGCTGTTGCTGTGCAACTCGACATCGTCATCTCAATAAAAAAAATTGTCTTACCTCCGATGTCTTTTCAAGCTTTCCCCAAACATAGCTGTGTGAAAGGAAGCAGAAGATGACAAATGCTCTTCGATATTCGGCTGTCGTGGTTAACCGAGTATGATCTAGAAGCGGCATCTGATGAACCCAGTGATTTTCAAAGTCAGTGACAAGTGGCGTTTGGTTGCTCCGGTTTACTTTTTTACCTGCAGGACCTTTTCTCTGAATTTACCGGCTAAAAGAAGTCCATTGAAATTCTCCATCATCTCTTCCCATGGAGCAAAATATGGATCGGGAAGACGTCGTAAAGGTGGCTCCACAGGCAAAAACCCGGTGATGGGTGAAATGTCATAATCTTCCAATGAGCGCATGCTGTAATACAAATGTCCAAAATGTGACTTGTAAGAAAAAAAAGGGCAAAGAAGGAGACAAAGAAACACAAAAAAGATGACCAAGGGAGGAAAAGTGGGGATAAGAGAATGATTTATAAATGAATAAAAAAAAAAAAAGAAAGAGACACCTCTCAAAAAAGATGCATTTCAAAGTCAGAAAGACGCTGCCAAAAAAATCCGGGTTTGCGCATTGGTAACGCGTTAAGATCACGTGCAATATCGGTGGAACTTTGTTCGCATGGAATATGCAGTGGTCCCCTAAAATCAAATAAACTTTGGCCCCCATTACCAGCCTAACCCCTCTTTTACCATATATGAAACTCCTCCGATAGGTCCAATCTCTTCTAATACTATCAACATCTGCCGTAATAAAGTTACTTGGCCGCGACGTACCTGAATACCATCAAAATTCAATACGCTGAAATTTGACCATCAGCGATCGCCGTAGATGAGTCACAGAGAAATGAGGGTCCGCTAATGTCAAAATATATATTACAATTCGCTGGTGGTGCTCATTTATGTTTCTATGCCTTTTTGGCACGAAACCCCTATGGTCGCTGATAAATCCGTACGGTGTCACCACTTCACTGGACCACAGTGGAACGCCAACCTCGGACTGGTACCTTGGTTGGATAGCGGCATACAATAATTGGTTTCGCCCCTTAGGTCTCCGACGAACTGGTGGTGACTATCTGATAAACTCTATTTGAGGGAATATTTTTGCCACAACGCCCGAACAGATCTACAAAAGAGTGGCTGTGCCACGAATAACCCCTTGGGAAACTTCAATAAATGGCTAGAGACATAACGATCATGTGTGACAGTGGATGGGAAAGACGTGGAAACCATGTTGAAAAAAATTTAAATCATGTTTTTCCATATTCAACGAAACAACCGATTAGAGCAAGGAAGCCCTCCATCATGGAATAGCATATTATTGGGGGCGAAACGGAGACTCAAAGAAAAAAAAGGATGCTAACCATTATTTCCCGTAAATGGGTCAATAGTGTCACCCCACGTTACTAGCAAGGCGCCCGTAACAGGACGCGCTTTTTGGAAGACATGACACGTAAGATTGTAGTGAATGAAAATAGGCAAGATAACACAAAAGACTAGATAAAAACAAAACGACGGATGATAAGAGAAAAAAAAAAAGATAACACAAACTCATTCCGATAAAGTAAACATGGGCATCCATTTTTTGATTATCAAAAAGCAGAAAAAAAATCGTGATAGCCGTTGGATCTGCCTCTGGTTTACCAGAAAAAGTGAGTTCACCGAACTTGCTCGTCTTACCCGAAACCCTAAGTATGAATAGAGTTCACCAATCCGTACACCGTAAGTGTTCGAGGACTGCCATCACTGCTCAAGGTACGTGAGGTACTGAATTTTCTATTTTAGTGAGATTGATTGCCCTTGCATGAAGTTATTAACAAGTGCAGAAAGCACATTGGATTTTCGTCCCATGTCATTGCACCGATCGGAACTTCCTAAACAACATTTTGCTCCAACAAATACTGCTTTTCCAAGTCAAAATGAGAATCTCTACACATGATTTTACCGTGCCGTGCCGTGGTATGCCATGCATGCGTGCATGCATCAAAACCACCTGCACATACAAAATGGCAAATAAGTTTCGAAACAGTAATCGCGCCTGATTACGCATACGATGAGGTAATATAATGCAACCAAACGGCGCACGAAAACGTTCACTACCAAATACCTTATTGTTCGGGGTAATGCATTGTTTTAGCGATAAAGATATCCATGTAGGCTCTGTGTACGACCATGACGGCAATTTTTGACGGCGGAAAAGATGATATTATATGCAGAAACAGGTGACACCAGAGTGAGAGTGACACAACTAATCGTAAGTCTGCAAATACCGAAAACGCGTTTGTATACATTTTTGTTACGCCGTCGCCGTCACGATCACGGTCGAAAAAAGTCGTCAATGTATGGATTATGTAGATTTATATCCTCAGTTATGAAACGAAATGAGTACCTGAGGATTGCTTATTTTTCGCTTCATTTACTGTCTTTTCCGATGTGAACAGCGAAAGGAAAATTATTCTTATCAAACTGATCTATCAGGTATGGGTTTCATCATTTCGTGGATCAAAAAGATGATCAAGGAACATTACGACTGTTATACAAGACTAAATAGAATCATGCACAAATCACACACACGGGCCTCTTTTTGCCCTGGCCCTTTTTCCGCATCATCGCTTTATGTCCATTGCAACACTTGTAATGCTCCACAAAACGGGCTTTTTTTTTTCTCTCATAAGCTGGTTGGACAGGACGACACATACAAAATTTAATATTTGCTGCAAGATGTTTAGTTCCACTCTCCTAAAATGGTTTTCCATGTGACGTCCGCGTAGGTTCAAATTAAAGAAAAGGGACCCACCGTCCATCAAGACGTGAAACCACTAGTGCATCTATTCTTAAAGTCTATCAGGTCCTGGCAAGAAATGATTTGAAAATATGGAATAAAAGGAAGCTCGTATTCATGGTCACATTGAAGCCTAGAGGTTTACTCCTTGGGAGTCAATTATTGTTGCCACACAAACAGCGTAGGAGTCTCTGCTACGCAAATATGGCGGTGTTCTTATGAATCAGTCACGCCGCGTGCCCTTATCACGATCCGTCCATCCATGAGCAAACCCCAACCACTTTGGAATACCCAGATACTGATGTTGGGGTGTTGATTTATGCAGAAAGATTCCATAATAAAATAATGGAAAGGTCCGCCCCGAAAAAACGCGTCTTTGTATGCGCCGCCGTCAGGACAGAGAACAAGTCGTCGAATTTGGTCAAATTGCTTTACCTCATTCAACCCGCATACCTCAATTGTTAGCCTAAACTGTGTAAATACGTTAATGACAATGTCCGAAAAAGTGAAGCGTCAATATTTCTAGGTTTGCATTCATTTTTTCGCGGTTGCTTTCAAGCTCAAATATAGGCTGAACCACCTACGGGTGTAGTTCCAATTATGCAAAGAACAGGGGATAATGGGATTACTGCAGAGAATATCTCACAAATGAATAACTGGTTTATCTTTTTCGAGTTATGGTATACTGAATTTCAACTTATTCTAATGGAACTGCCGGAATCAGCATTACCTATCCGTGGCCTCTTACATTCACAGTCACAAGCCAAAGTCGCATCCCATTTTGGGTTACCGGACAGACGAAGACAAGACGAGAGAGGCTCAGTAACAAAAACATCAAAAACTCATGTACGATGAACGATTTATGAAAGAGGCTCTTAAAGTAGCTCAAGAGGCATATGATCATTTGGAAGTGCCTGTGGGTTGTGTGTTTGTAACAGACAACCAAGTCATTGCACGTGGCCGAAACAAGCCCAATGAAACTTTTAACGTAACTTGATCTCTACTCATCGATCATGGCGGCATTCACCGACAAAAAAAAACTCATTCAGAATATAGGCTACTCGACATGCTGAGATCGAGGCCATCGATGACATCTTAAAGAATCACGATAAATCCATCTTTGCCGAAACCGATCTTTATGTCACTGTAGAACCCTGTGTTATGTGCGCCTCGGCTCTAAGGCAAATAGGTATTTGCTCGATCCATATCAAACAGCTGTGACCTGAAAATCGTACTAAAAAAACGAGAATACAGGTATTCGACACGTTTATTTTGGATGCGGCAATGACAAATTTGGAGGCAATGGTTCGGTATTCAACATTCATTCAGAGTATGCAATTCGTTCGTTCACCGCTGTGATTCGCATAATACTAAATTGGGTCCCTTGTAGCCCTCGTCTGTTAACATCTGAATCCCATCACTATCCTTCTGAAGGCGGTTATTTTGCCGAAGAAGCCATCATTCTTTTACGAAAATTCTATGTTCGCGAGAACAGCCATGGTAAACTGACCAGAGAAAGGACCGATCATGATTTCTTTGCACGCGGCTAACACTTTTCTCTTTTTTCTCACCCACTATCGTTAGCCCCTGTGCCAAAGAAAAAGGTCAATCGCGTTCTCAAAACAGATATACCCGATAAAATCAAACAACAAACTCCCCAAGAATAATAACATGATCAAAGCTGATTCGTGAACAATATAACGGACAGAGTAATGCATGATCATGACGAATGATAATCAACCATGGGAAACAGTTAAAAAGAAAAAAGAGGAGAAAAGAAAAAAAAGAGAAAAAGAGAAAAAGAGACAGAAGAAAAAGAAAAAGTAAGAAAATAAATACAACGAAAAAAGAAGAAAGATTACTGTCAGCCGTTCGTTCTTTGGCGAACGGGAAGTGGTAAAATATCAACATTCATCTCGATGATTAGTTCTTGTTGTCATTTACAGTGTCGTCCGATGCTGCATTGATAAGCGTGGAGGGAGTCGTTCCATCATCATTATCGGTATCAGATAGCTTTTCCAAGACTTCGAATCGTTTTGGAGTCTCTTCACGGAGCTTGCTGTCGCCGCCTTCGTCTTTCTTGTCTTCCTTATTCGTATCTTTTAAATCGTTCTCCTTGGCGTCTTGACCTTCTTCGTTTTCAGATTCGGAGGAAATCGTGTTGCCCAAAGCGTCCGTCTTTTTGTTCTTCGATATGCGTTCGATCATCCAATCGTACCATTCATCCTCGGTCTTGCCGTTAAGCATAGCAATGATCATGATAGACATGTTATCGCATCCCACATTGCCAACCCCACTGTCCGGTGCCAAACAGTGATCCATGGCAGATTCGCAGATCTCGTCCAACGGAGTACGCTTGATAATTTCATTGCAAATGAAATCGACCACTTGTTGATTCGTCATACAATCCCAGATACCGTCACAAGCCAAAACGAAGAATTCGTCGTCGTCCGTGATCACATGCTCAATGATGTCGGGATTACCTAGTCCATCCCCAGTGTTGTCAGCCACCATTTTCCTGTATTCGACAACCATGACATCTTTTTTTGGGGGGAAGAGGGGCTTTTTGACTTACATGTAACGATCTGCTCTTCAGCAGGAAGATCTTCACTTTGCTTGAATTCGAAATCGCCAATGGCACGCGAAAGAGCCAGATTTCCTTTGTGATATAGAAATGAATATTATTCGAACAAAGGGGAAAGAGCATCCAACATACCATTCACACGCCCGTATTCCACGAAACCGCCAGCTGAAATGATACGCTCCGACTCCAACGGATCCACGGGTTTATGATCATAAGACAAAGCCTTGCTCTTGCCCTTGACGCTGATAATTGCTCGGGAATCCCCAGCATTGGCCTACAAATAAAATGTGTGAATCACAACGCACAATCCCAACATCAATATCATCATCAAAATAGTTCTCTTACACAATACAGTTTCTTATCGGGTGTCACAAGCACAGAAACAGCTGTACATCCAGAAGGGTCATAAGCAAAGTTTTGGTCTAAGAGGATTGAAAATGATGAGATAAATACTGTTCAGCCAACAATCTTGGAACTTTTTAAAAGGGCTCAAGTACCTTCTTTCAGCTCTTTGTCCAACGACAAATACGCATCTTTCAAGGCTTCTTTATACTCCTTTTTCTTGAAATGTTCACTCTCGTGTAATTTCAAATGCAATGCTTGTCCTGTATATTGAGCAATCGTCGATCCTAATATCGGCCATTCGTTGAGACAAGACGCATCGACATGATAGAATGTGAATACACTTTTTACCTCCGTGTCCATCATACACGCCAAAGAAACTTGTATCGGAGTCTTCGAGTTTCAAAAGGGTTGTATGCGCATCTTCCATAGCTAAGACAAAAGTTAAGGATAACAAATGGTCATGATGAAGCTAATTATTTAAACTCGCTTCGATACAGCTGTATATGCAAAGACCCCAATCTCAGTAGACAGGATCAAGAGCACTGTCATTGTTCAAAAAAAAAAAAGGATACTCAAACGCCACCCTTGCATGCAAGAAACACCATACATGAGTTCCTTGTTCTTCTCCTTGTGTGAGGTCTTTTCAACTATTGGCTCAGAAAGTGTCTGTCCCATGATCTGGTTAAAGAATGAAAAGCGGCAGCGTAAGCAGGATTTTCCATAAGCAGTAAAATTCGTAAAGTAACAACAAAAGTTATGCCACTCACATTGAAGGATAATTCTAGTAGTGTATTCTAAAGAACCAAAGTTGAAGAGAGAAATAAAAACCGCGCCTCGCTTTTCTTTTTCTGCGTGGAATTTCCTGACTCTGGAGGGGGTTGAATTCAAACGGTGGACAGTTCATTTCAACCCGCGATTTTATTTTCGAACCATACGTCATCCCAGTCGAACGCACTTCCCATAAAAGGAAGCGAATGATGTGTGTAATGAGCAAAGCCCAAAGCACCCCAATTCGCAACTGTTGCTTAGATGGATGTTGAGATGGAAAAAGAGGGCGTGTATCTGTCTTGGGATTGGCGCAATTACGGCTATTTGGTTTTTTTGGTTCTTTTTTGTCACCTAGAAAAGCGCTGAGTTTCCTTTTTGGCATGGCTGAGGATCCTATGCCGCTTGTAGCGCATCTTCAAGGCATTGCCCTTTACTGTCTTGACTGTCCTGGCTATCTTTACTGCCTTATTACTTGTGTTATTAGATTCACTCCCATTGCATTTTAGCTGGAGCATTAGACCATCGAACTGCGAATGGAGTAGCGTTATCGGTAGAGGTGCTACCACATTTACTGTCGACGGAACAATTATGGCAAAATATGACATAACTTTTAATTTCCAAAAACGTTCGCCACTTTAATCAAGATAGGGGGTGTCTTGAAGTTGACAATTCGTCTTTTGTACTTGTACAGCACACTTTCTCCTCCAAGTAAGCTGGCAAACATTTATGCTACATGCTTCCTTGATCACCTTGTTAGCCGGTGGGAGGATTTGAGATAAAGTCGTCTGTAACTTCGAATCACAGTTTTTGCGGTAGATATTCAAACTCTGCTAATCATGATAATGACGGTATTTTTATGATCATGGCCTCAGCAAGAAACCACCAGGGTCTTCCATATAAGAATCGATCTAGCCATTATCGCGATGATTGACTGCCTATCGCTATAATGAGTCATTGGTTCATTACTTCAAGGGCAAGGTTTTCGGATATATTTTCCTGAGCAGCTGCAAGGTCTGGCAGTCAATACAAAGGACAAATGCTCCGATTAAAATACGCAACGCAAAACAATGGGCAATGATCGCTGAAATACCAAAAAAAAAAAAAAAAAAAAGGTACATCAAAGACAAGAGTTTCGAAGCCGCTAGTCAACTTGGTTTATATAAGCCTCAGATAAGCTTCCTCATGAGGTATAATGAAAGTGGATTGATGGCATCGATCATGGCGTTTTTATATACATCAATATCAAGCCGAATTTGATTTCTCTTGAGACCAAATCTTAGCGAGTTCCAACAGCACCAAGCACGAACCTTATACATTATTCTATTTGATTGAAAGCGTGTTTTGTAATGATCCCATCACATTTTATATTCATCTAACCTTGTAACAAAACTAACCCAAACTTTACCCTACCACCGACAAGCCGTTCTCCACCCCAAAGACATGACTACGAGAAAGGCAAATATGGCTACGAGGAAAGTAGATATGTCTACGAGCAAGGTGTGGAGATGGGTACGAGGAAGACGATGGCTTCATTTTGAGTTGTCTCCATCACAATACAGCTACAAGCTTGAAAAGACTTGCGAACGTCTTTTCTGACCTTGAAGGATTTTATGCCAACAAACACCGAGAAACAGTGAGTTCGCAAGACAGTTCGAATAATATGCTTTATTCCATTAAATGCATTTGTATATAAAGAAACAAGAAAATGAAAAACTGTCGATCGAGCTATGTAAATGTGCTGCATTGTTTTTTTCGAAATAAGATTCGTTTATTAGCTTGCAGTGGAAAACTGCTCAATGCAAACAATTGTTGCTATAATGGATAAACCACCACAACTGGTCAAGTTAATAATAAGAGAGTAGAAATATCGCAATCTGATCTTTGACTACCCTGAACCTAAATCCACGCGGTTGGGGTTCCCACATTTGGGAAAGTATTGCTCTAGAAAATAGGGATACTGGTAGGATCATTGCCTGGGGATGCATTTTCCATTCCATGTCAACGATGCAGTCAAATACTATACAACAAAAAGCTCGTACACAACCAACCACAACTAAAAAAGACACTGTCCACCTTCTCCCTATCACGTTTTTGACCAATCTATGGCAAAATACAGAATATACGGGAAAAACATAGATCTGTGGCGACAAATCAATTGGAGCACACCATATATAGTCGAAAAAGTCCGGCATCCCCAGCTCCCAGTCCGGTGTGTCCGGTCCGAACTGTAATTTACTATGTAAAACATACTGAAACATGAAATATGAAGCCGTGATAGTATAGTGGCAGTACATCGCGTTGTGGCCGCGCTGACCCTGGTTCGATTCCAGGTCACGGCAATTACTTTTTTTATTGTTGTCTAATATTTCGGAGACTGAATTATTGGCCAATGAAGATACGTATTTTTTTGATTTTTGCTGGCTGGTTTTGTTGAAGCATCAGTGGCAAACAATATATCGCTCTAATGGCATTGTAGTTTTTGCTAAACGAAAAGTACAAAAGATGCTTTTACATATTATTAATCGGGCACGTTGCCTAAGACGCTATTCAATTTGGCGTGGTTTTTTTTTGCTACCGGGATGTTTTTATAACGATGCAAGACTAACCCTATCTTTAACACCATCACCCTATTCACGCGATGTTTTATAAGAACATGGAAAACATAAAGACAATGAACGTAAGTCTCCATAAAGATTTAGAGTAATTGTTTGAAGCCAATCTTGTATGCTCATTCCATTAATACGATGCCGCTGCTGTATTTAGGTTGTTTTTTGTTGAGGCAATTGAATACATGTGAGTACAATCAAATTGAGCCTTCCTTTTTTAAATTGAGTTGGCTCATTTAATATGATTATAATAGTTTTGGTACAGCAATGCAAAAACGTTTTCACGGTTCAACTAGTACTCATATATTCATTAGAACAAGTAAAATTATTTATCTTTGGTTATGCAAGGCATTCTTTCTCGGTAGAACGCATGCAACAACATGTTGTAAATACGATTCCTCCTTGCTCGTCTCTTTTTTCATCATCATGGTTGACATGAAAGAACCACACGTTGTTCAGAGTCTGGAAAAATAACTGTCCATTTGATGTTCTCGTGAACTATGGCGCCAAATACAGAATTTGTTATTCTTTTACTGGCAGAGTGGGGCTTAGGCTTCCCAGCCAAGCCCGCTCGCGTTTAGACCAACTTCACATTGGCCGCATATATACGAGTTGATATTTTGACACACTTGTTATTCATCCAACACTTCGACAAGGATCACAGAAGCAATATGACCAAAATTTACGGAAAAAATATTGGGATATATCCTTTTACCGGCTGTCCAATGTATGGGCGAAAAACGCCAGATGACCCTGTATTTAATGTGGCGCAGCCAAGATACAAAGTCTTGGCTTGTTTAACTGTGCGGAAAAAATTGTATCATCAGGTCACATCACTCCGTTTCAAAGCAATTGTTTTGACAGTGCAGTTGAATTCCATAGATCGTTTAACAGCTGCTCCTTTTATCTTCATGTCAAAAGGAAAAAGATAGAATCAGCACTAATTGTTATAAAGAATCCATCACTGGGACTAGTGAAATTGGTTCATGCAAGCGTTTATGAATAAAGAGCAAGTTATCGATCATTATAGTTGTGGCGCTGCCATGGAAAAAAAAAAGAAAAGGAGTCCCACCGTTTGCAACGATAGAAAATATTCTGTAATCAGTTTTGCTTATGACAAAACCTCATTTACCAAGTCGTCATTATCACTCAGTGGCTCGTTCCGGTCCCAGCCTCACTAGTCAAGCACAGGTGAGTCAAGCTATCCAGGAACGAGTAAAAAAGGCAGGAAGTAAACTGTTGCACAGCGAAAACAAGGGAGCGAATAAAAATAGATAATTCCTCATGAATTTGGAACCGCGCTTTCAGAAACTACCAAGCTTCCATCGAAGTTTTGAGATCCAAAAGCTTGGCGGAATCCATGGATTCAAATGATTTGGCATTATAATATTGCATTCATGGGTTGTATGGAAGAGTTATCTGTATAGCAGCCAATACGCAAATGTGACAATGGAAGCCAGATGGGGCGCACAAAGTAATGGCACAGTGGAAGCAATAAAAAGGAAAGCCGACCAGAGGGAAAACTGATTCCATGGAATCTCTGAATCTCCTTTTTGAGCCATCACGAGGATCGGGGGGTGAAGTCTTAAAAATAGGGAGCTTGCAAAGACAGCTTTTTGTTTTCTCTCTTTGAATTGCACCATTTTCTCCTATATCAATCAATGGATCAAAAAGGCTATTCCTACCCACCACCGTCGTATCAGCCGCCTCCACAAGCGCAGTATTATAACCAGTACCCTCCTCCACAACCACAGGGCTACTATCAGCCCACACCTCCACCTCAGACCGTCTATGTCCAGCAGCAACCGCAATCGCACAGCAACGATATGTGTTGGGGATGGTAAAGAAATAACGTTCGATATTCATTCTACCGCTCGCTTTTAACGAAAACTGACCCTCTTAATCCATATAGTCTTGCCGCTTGCTGTATCTGTTGCGCGTTAGACGCCATATTTTAAAAATCATCGTTGCTATTTTGTCTCCATAATCTATTATACTTTGGGATTGACGGACCGTGCTACTCAAGATCGATTCTATTGCCCTTACCGCAGGAGTGCCTAATGACGTGTAAAGTCAAGCTATAGTATATATTTTCACCCATTCAATTCATTAAAACCATTTACGTTCTATTTACTCTACCATCAACAACCTTTCTTCAATATCAAAGACCACGTCGGGTTAGTCAGATAAAACAGTCAAGCAACGCTTCCTCCCTTGTGACATGATGATCGAGAGGAGAGCCTAGTGCGTCGATTGAGTTCCCTAATTCTACCACCAATTAACCATTCATGCTTCCATTTTTTATTGATCGTAAAAAGCCTTGTTTACGGAGGCGATAAAAGAAAGGACAAAAAAAAGTGAGAAACCACAAAATGTGTTTTTTTTTTTTTTTTTTTTTTTTTTTTTTTTTTTGGGTTGCTGTGCCCAAAGTCACGACTCGTGCAATTTTTTGTTGGCTCTTTACGATACCGAATACACATATTCCACCATGGACCGCAAACGAAAATATGATGGAGAATCAGCTGCAAGTAATAAAGTGAACCGTACAAATGCCCATCCCGATGCCGCCACAGGGGCGCATTTGGTAGCTCAACATTACAACGAACGTCCCGATGTCGGTGTGGAGAAACGAAAACAGTCAAAGATCATTCGCATGCGAAGCTTCAACAATTGGATCAAAAGTGTACTTATCAATCGCCATGTACGTGCGCGTCAAAACGTACTGGACATGGGATGCGGCAAAGGTGGCGACTTGATCAAATGGGCCAAAGCCAGAATTGGACATTTGGTAGCTGCAGGTAGGTTGGGGTTTTTCCCTTGGAATGAATAGAGTACCATGACGATGACACAACGTATTCATTTTATGATGGCCATCACGCAGATATTGCTGCCGTCTCCTTGGAACAAATGAAGGATAGATACAAGTCGCTGCGATATAAAACATTTGACGCTGAATTCCATGCGTTTGATTGCTATTCCGTAAGGATCCAATGCCTTATATGATACCGTTATGCTTATAACATTCATTCTTGCTTCTATCTAAAAGGAATTACTTGCTCCTCGGTTACGGCCGCATCATATGTTTGACGTTGTATCGATGCAGTTTTGCTTGCATTACGCTTTTGAATCCGAACAAAAAGCAAGGACAATGCTACAGAACGTATCCCATAATCTTCGTTCAGGAGGCTGGTTCATTGGTACTATTCCAGATGCGAACTGGATTGTCAAACGTGTACGGCAAGAACCTCGTGGATCGTTTGGATTCGGCAACTCGATCTATCGGATCGAGTTTGAAAATGTGAAGGATACCGATGATGAACGCAAAAAGATTGGCTTCAGCCGGTTCGGTTGCAAATACATGTTCCATCTCACCGATGCCGTCGATTGTCCGGAATACCTTGTGCACTGGCCTACCCTTGAAAAGTAAGTAAGCAAGCAATCTTGGAAAGCGGCAAAACAAATAATAGATCAAACATGATTAATCATCCATTTTTTCACTACAGGTTAGCGGCAGAGTATGGTCTTGTACTGAGTTTTCGACAGAATTTTCACGAACTGTATGCCACCGCATCGAGAGAAGACGAATTTGCTCGCTTGTTGGAACGCATTGGCGTGGTTGGCGGGGACGCTCCAGACATGTCCTCTGAAGAATGGGAAGCTGCAGGTAAGCATCCTAAGAAAATTGGATATATTCAAATCGATCATGTCTCTTAACAGAGTTGTTTCAGGCATTTATTTGGCATTTGCATTTCGAAAAAAGTGATGCATTGAATAGTACAAATATAGAAAATAAGAAAATAAGCAAAAAAAAGAAGGGAGGATTGGAACAAACGGACATTGGGCGCATCTCGCGAAGAAAAAAAGAATTCCCCTTTTAGGCCGATCGTGCCAAGCCGACGCGGTTATTGCCAAGATCGTAAATACTGTAAAACTTGCGGAGGAACACATCACCGACTAGTTCATGGTGAAAAGATAATGCGGATTAGTATTTGTAAATTTTTTGAGCGCAAAATATATACATGTATTCCTGATCGAATCAATCGATCAATACTTACTAATCCAGAGGGGACCTGCAGGTTCCGGGATATCCATACCCATGAAGCCGGAAATACATTGGTTCTGAACTTGAAGGATGTAATCTTGACTGGAAAGACAGAAATCCTTTCCAGCAAAGACCAAACAGAATTCCGGAAGACTGCTCAAGGTTTCGCAAGGAACCACATATTGACCAGCCCAGTTCTTCGTGGCACCCAAGTCTTTGTTGATAAGCTCGGCGACATCCGTAGGTACAACAAGTAAGCTGGACCCGGTGTCGATGGCAGCACCCACAGGATCAAGATCAACGTTCTTGCCGTTAAACTTGATATCTTCAAGCTGGATTTCCCAATAGCCCTTTCGTCGAATAGGAGCCCAGGTGATTTCACCGGTGTAGTGGGAAGGATCCACACCACCAAATACCAGCTCGCCACCGTTACCTTCATCATCGCCGTTACCGGCATCGTTCAGCCAGAAAGAAAACAGCGGTTCGTCCACCAGATCGCGATTGATCATGTTGTAGAAAGGGGGCACGACATGCTGGACAGAAATGGTGTCATAACCAAGACCCAAAATGCCGTCGAATTTGGCAAGTGCAAATGTAAGCCCGGGCTCCTTGGTTGATTCGGCAAACCCTTGTGACTCAATTTCAATGCCACCCACACGGAGCGTGTCTTGGCTGATGAAACCTTCCATAGCACCGGTGCCGTACTTAATAGAGAAATCGGTTCCGTTTTTCACATACGTTGATGACTGCTTAGAGTCATAGCGAGTGTGAAGGAAGCAAGCAATACTGGTGCATTGAACCGATGGCACCCAGAGGTTGGATGAGCCCGTGTCAAATACAACACTGAATTTTTGAGATGGGTTGCCAAGCTCAATCTCACCATAGTACTAAACATGTCCATTTAGGTTACACATTCGGTTTGATCATGCACGTAAATAAAACAAAAAAAAAAGGGGGGGGGGGCAGATGGGTTCAACGGTTGGACCACGCAAACAAACGGATGAAAAAAAAAAGGGCAGTTGAACGATGACAAAATGCAGTTTATGGGAAGTGAGTAGATAAGAAGATATATGTACCTGAGCATTTAAATAGTTGGATAACGGCAGACCATGCTCCACACGTCCTTGACCGTCCGCTTGCAAAATATTGCTAAAGGATGCTTGGCCGCGTTGCGCTCCAAAATACTTTTGGGTGAGATATTCGCCTGTGTGAGAGTAGCGATGGAGCTTTTCAGCCGCTGTTTCTATAGTTTTCTTGATGGGTACCCTAGTGAATCAATGAACCATACCCCGAGTGAGTCCAGCGCAAAAATTCCATCGGATATTCCGTTATAATATAATCAGACCTTTGAAGTACTCCTTCAGAGGTAAAAACGAAAAGGGTTGCTATGATAGCAGAGACGGTAACTAACTTCATAGCAAGGAAAAAATAAATAAACGAAGGTCAAAGAAAAAAATGTAAACGAAGAAAAGAAAACAGAGGTGTTGAGGAGGTAGATAAAGCCTTTTTCTTGCTGCGAAACGTATTTCACTGTCCTGTTGTTCAAGTGATCAGATGATGAGAGTGATCCGATGATATCATACCTGGAATGCACGATCATGTGGGTTAAATGTTCTCTTTTTGGCAGTTTCTGACAACATTCACAGAAATAAATCCTATTGAATATGGTTTGGCCTGGTTCCGTAAACCAGCAGGGCATGTCAACTGGGATGGTTACAGCTAATTCTGAAGAAAAGCATTTATATTTACGTAAGTAATGGAATTATCATAATAACTGAAGCGTCGGTTGAATGTGGTTCACGAAAAGGCAACATCAGATGCAATATGAAACGTTCCTCAACCAGTGTTCAGCTGTTCATTTGTCCTAAATGCGAGTAGCTAAATCATAAAACCCCACACAACATTGGTTTTTTCGGTGTCTGGGAGTTGTGTTTTTTTTGCCAGGGATCAAATAGCTCCAAGATTCTAGTCATTTATACTTTAGATGAGCTCTCTTTCAAAGTTCCTAATATCCTCAGTAACTGTAAAAAAGCGAGTATCCACTGTCTACAGTGTTTGCTCTATTCCCACCCCTTATTGATGTATCGAAATATGCAACCTTTTTGACAAATATCCCCGTTGGTTCCTCATTAGACAGCATGTTTTCACCGGAATGATTTTCTTTCGGATATCCCACCCCTTGCAGTTGAACTTACTGTCATATTTCACTACTAATGCTATTGTTTACACTGTGTCCGGCTATCCGGGATGAATTTACGATACAAATATTGAAAATTATACCAATTGGATGGAACCTGCTGATGCAATTTAAACCGCGTTTTTGATTTGAAGTTTGGGAACAAATGGATCGCCACATTCAAATATGCAGCGTCGGGAAACTGGACGCTAGCGAGAGTATTGTTGTCTCCTTGCAAATGATAAACTACGCTTGAAACAGAGCGGTTTAAAGGGTGGAAGGAGACTGCATTCGCTGTGCCGGATTGCTCTTTGCTTGGAAAATATTGCTTGATCCGGTACTTTTCTTGTTCTCACTTTGATACAAACGCATTTTGTCCTTATCTCATTAAATCCTTGACGAGATCGAGAAGATGCAAAACGCCGATCATAAGAGGTACAGCTGGAATGGTACTGCAAGGATGGCCAAAATTTAGACGACCAGCTCCAACCGGCGGCATGGTTAGTTTCGAGGTTACGCACTTCAAAAGTTGCAAATGAAGAGAAGTTTATAGACATTTGGAAAGCATAGGATATCATTTTAAGCTTGTCAAACCGCTTTGTGAGAGCAGCTCTGATTTTCTGAATCACATCTCTGACATTTGAAACTACTTTTCGCTCTGTTTTTGGGATTTGGTGGAACGTTTAGCACTGTTTTGTATGCTGCAGACATAATAACATAAAGTGATTTTTTTGGTGAAAAGATCACGTTTCAATGGGTCACTAATTGCCCCGTGATCCACGGTAGCTTCGTCCCCGACCATTGCGACTGCCTCGATAGCGACTATCGCCATATTGAGGATTAGGCTTATTGATAATTAGTCTGTTATCCTTGAGCAACTATTTCAACATATTCCGAATGAGAACAATAGAACGCAGATCCAGTAACTGATTTTTTTTGTACCGACCTCTCCATTTTGTGCTAAAGCGTTCTCCAAGGCAACCGGATCAATGAAATCCACGTAGCAATGACCTTTGGGTAACTGGGTATTGTAATCGAGTGGAAACTTTACTCCCGTAATCTATCCATCACCCGTAATTTATTATCTCCATTATGCGAATACGAATGATAAGGGGGCCAAAGGGGCTCACACCCCTTACACTTCCGGGTTCACTTACCGTTTCTGACCCGAAAAAATTTCTAATATCCTCTTCCGTGACTGTAGAATTGTGGAGTCCGCCAACATAGGCGACATATGGACTTCGCTATCATTCGGCAGTCGTTAGTATAACTGGATTCGCATCGCAACGTGCTTGGTTATTGGGCATCTTTTTTTTTTTTTTTTTTTTTTTTTTTTTACCAGACTGCTTTGTCGTTTTGAGTTTCTATGATGCTCATCTTTGGGTGGATCTCTCCAGTTGCCTTCATTGAACTGGGAGCTGTTGTCACTCGGCGCTTGTGTCGTGTCCCCAGCGAATTGATGGCTGTTGTTGTATTGATTCGGCTTTTCAGGTTGACTTTGCGATACAGCCGTTGAAGATAGCGCCGGAGAATGATTGGAAGCTGGGACACTTCTGCGGTAACTGAAGTTGAAGCCTTGAGATTTAAGTTCAGAGCTGACTCGGCCATCCTTGATGTCCAAAACGAGCCAGCCAAAAGCAGCATCCGGCAAGTTGAAATTCCACATGTTTTTGAATGCAAGTTCCTCTCGTTCGGAATACGAACCATTTTCTGTCGCAGAAGCAGGCAATCGTTTAACGACGGACAAAGCATTCTGTAACAAAACAGCTTGATGCTCACTACAATGAATATCCAATGAGACGTTCCAGTTCGCAAATGTTTTTTTTTTCCTGTGAACCACTTACTCCACATAACTCTCCACCTGTTCTTTAATGGAATCCCACAACTGTAAGAACTCGTCTTGTGCTCGAAGCAATCGTTCGTAATAGTGTTCTTGATCAGGCTGGCATGAGAATTCGTTGTACGAAATCCCGTATCGAAAATGCAAGCCTGCTGATATTGTGAAATCAGCCTATTCAAGGTGAATCTTTAGCTCCATTGTCTACTCCGTCTCTTGAACACCAAAATTACATACACGCAAGGTGAGAGCCAACTGGGCCAAAAGACCTTCACGTCCTGAGCTTGCATGGGTAACCAGTATTCTTGTCTCTGATGCATCAAACACCTACATGAAAGCAAGATTACCAAAGAGTTTCGGGTAGGCCATCTTCTATCCTGCGTCTGCGGGGGTATGGGCATGAATAAATGAAGCTGCATCTTATTTACCTTGTTGGCTGTTTCTACCAGTTCACCGATTTGCAGTGTCGTCGTCCACATGGTACCTGCTCCACCGGCAATCGTATCGCCACCTGCACGTAACCATACCGAAAAAAAAAAACGCATGCCTTAGATTCGGTGTTCTACCTGCTCATTGCCCTTTCCAATGAGTGTTTTTCTTACCTTCACCGTTATCAAAGAGTTTATGCTGAATGACCGCTCCTCCCAAGCCGAACAGGCGGAGACTGACGCCTCCGATATCCAACAAATAGGTGGTCGCTTCGTCGAGAATGAAAAGATTGGGTATCTGATACTCTTTGTTTCTAAATTTTTCCAGAACCGCCACATCTTCACATGCACCCCACACCGTATAGACCGGTACATTCAAGCGTTTTTCACCCGATAAGAAGCTGGGGAATTCAGATAACATGGGTTCTGCAGACTGCTCGACGGTTTGGCGCACTTGATCGATTGGTGTGTTGGAAAGTCGCGTTCGCATAGCGGCCGGTAACATGGTGCTGTATTGGATAAGGTGCTTCAAAGTCCTAAAGTCAAGTTGTCACACATTTTCAGTCCGTCGATATGTTTTCCCTCTTTATTTTCCCAAATAGAGTGTAAAATATCAATATACCGGTCACTGATACGTTCTAGACTCGATTGTTCTACAAGTTCTGTGCATCAGTCATTCTTCTCCTTTACCTCTGTATTCACTGACCCTTGACCGGTGGTTTCCGGTCCGTGTATCCTGCTCCGCTCTCTGACCCTCACTTACCATAAAAACCGAAATCGCCAGTATGAATAATGAAGTCGGCATTAGCTTCTGTCGCTAGCTGATTGAGTTGCGATATACATCCTGAAGGACAACGGAAAAAGAGGGAAACAGAAAAACCAAAGAAAAAAAAATAAGGTAGTTTAGAACAGCTGTCAAAAAACCAGGCCTAGTGGCTATGTCTCAGGTCGGCCCTACCTCGAACATCGGCCGTGCATAATATTCTTTTTCCTTCAATATGAACGACATCAGCTCGCGATGAGTTGCTTACAGATGAAGGATTCGAATTGCAATTCATGATGATTAGATGAAGCAAGACAGAAAAATGAAAAGAAAAAAAGGGAACTGAAAATAATCCAGGATCGGGAATGGCGGAATCTGAAAACCCAAATTTGTTGCAACCCATTTTTTGCCCTTCGTGGAAAAAGCGGAGGCTTTTCACACATTTCATTTTATCTAAACCAGTGCTGCCCTGCGCGTGTTCAGAAACAAATCACGTTGCAACGTATGCCATAAGGTTGTCATTAATATACCGAAGTTCCGTCAAGAGTTCTCGCCCAGGTTATGCCGTGTATGCGTTAGGCTTTTTGTCTGACGAAAGTCGCTCAATGTAAGAGGGCGACCTCCGGTGGCAGGCGGCATCCATTGCACAGCGGGTGTACGGCTTGTCTATATAATTAAAATCTTTGAAAAATTAGCGATTTTGTAAATCACATGATCTACACTAAGTTATCAAGACCTGTTAAACCTTTTTTTTTATCTTTCAAACCATGCCTCGCTACCCACTTTCACAATAATAGGCGAAACAATCAGCAGCAAGATGCCGTTTGCGCCAGTTGTGGTCAAACAGAGCATCGTCGCCGTTCACATAAAATGTGAGTGGAGCTCTTTTTTGAAGAAAGGTGATTGACGATACGACGATCTGGTGTTTTGTAGCATCATTTAATTTGGGTTATCTGTCAGTTATACTGTATATGCCCTTTCATTCTCTTCAGTAATCGAATGATACATGGAGCAGATATGCTTCGATCTGTGTAGCTCATCATTCATGCATCAGTGAGGTGACTATTGTTTCATCCATGGAAAATCACATATTTTTGTCCGAATTTTTTCTTCTTCTTTAGTTTTGCATCTCTTCTGTTTGCCTGGAAATCCCTCACTATCATTGCATCCATCATCCATCATCCAGACTATGGCGTGTATCTGATCCGGTCGATTCGATTATTATGAAAAAAGGTACCTTTTGTGTGATACGACTATCCGTTTTTCGACAAGAAAAAATTTACCTGTCCTTTTTCTTATTCTGTCTTTAGCTTTTGGTTTTCTCTCCGGTTTTCTTTTGCCTGGCAAGCCATTCAAGCCATCCATCCCTCCAAAGCCTTTCTACTTTGTTCGGGCACCAGATTGTGGCCAATCCGGTTTTTGTCGTCAAAGGCATCGTCGGTGGTGTGACTCTCTTTTTCATTGGGAAACGCTGACGCGTCCTCCCCAGGTTCCTCTCATATGGATTGCTGCCCGTGGTATCGCCTTCGATATTTCTTCCCGACCATTTTATTTTGTAGTTGTAGTATGTATTTTGTATTTTAGTGAATAGTCTTCTTGCAGTCTTTTCCTCCTTTTTTTCCCACAGGGTTTTTAGGGGGTTTTTACAGACGCACCTATTGTTTTACTTTTTTTATATATTTGTACATTTCTTGTTTTTCGGTCGGGAAGCTCTCAATATCTGCTGCATCGAATAACAAAGGTAAAATATCTCAACGAAATTTGAATCAACCAAAGAGCTTACTAACTCATTTTTTTTTAAATACCCAACATTCCCAGACATCTTTGTAGATCTATCATAACCTTGGGCGGGACAGAACGGAGGGGTTCAATAAGTGCTGCTTTGTTCATTAAAAGTGTTTCATGGTATGCCAGAGTATTGACATTAATATACCAAAGTTCCATCAAGAGTCTCGCCCAGGTTATGCCGTATTGCGTTAGGCTTTTGTCTGACGAATGTCGCTCAATGTAAGAGTGCGGCATCCAGTAGCAGGTGGCATCCATTGCACAGCGGGTGTACGGCTTGTTAATGAGAAATAAAGTGAACCGAGGATCAAGCGTAGATCTAACCATTAAATTCGATCTGCACAAGAGGAAAAAAAAGAGACTGGTTCTTATCAACTGTAAACTCCTTTTGCAGAAAGATTGGAACAAAACGCAAGATTTTATTTTATACTGCAAAAGCGCTTCCTAAGCTCACCACACCAACGAGTTTTTAAGCAATAAAAAATGCTTAGAATTTCATGTTGTGGGGGAATTGACCCTTGCTCAAACCGAAGGTGGAGCTCAAGTACTGGCGGAGGAAAGGAGTCTTGACAATGGCATCGATGATGGCCTTGTCAACATTCTTCTGATCAGCAACCTTGGATTCGGGAAGAGCAGCCTTGGGCTAAAGGAAAAGATCAGTGCATTAGCTTCCGTTGCCAATCAGGACAGACGAGTACATTCCACCATTCGACTTTTTACCTTTTCACCCTCAAGGAATTCCTTGTTAGCCTTCTTCTCGGTCTTCTTGAAGTAAGCATCGTTGAACTTGTCATCAACCTAGAAAATTGTCCGTGATGAATATTCTGGACAAAACGCTTTTCTCATATTGTAGTGTCCAGTTTTCTTACCTTGCCAACGTCAATCTTGGTAGAGGTGGCAATGACATAAGCCTGGTTGACGCGTCTCAAAGGAACACCGTTGACCTTGAAGGGACCAGTGACGAGCAAAAGACCGCTGTCGAGCTGCTTCAAGACAACGACACGCTTACCACGGTGACGACCAGCCAACAAGATGACAACGGTACCGGGGGTGATGCTGGCACGGGCGGAAGCAACCTTGTTCACCTTGCGGGACTGCTTGGGCTGAGGAACATCCTCGGCGGGGTAGAAGCGAGGAGCCTTTTGAGCGGGAACAGTGCGCTTGCCACCATTCTTGGCACCCTTGACTTCGACAGTCTTTTCAGCAGCAGTCTCCTTGGTAGGAGCAGCAACGGCCTTCTTCTGACGCTTGTGCAAAGCCTTCTTGGCGTAGACGGAAGAACGGCTGTAACGGCTGACGCCAGGAGCGAGGAAGCTGTTTCTGGGTGCGTGCGGCATTGTAGCTAGGAGAAAAAACCAAATGTAAGTGAGATGTCCCTAATATAATATTGACCCAAGATAAACCACCACCCAAGACAGCCATGATCTCCTTTCCCTCTTTTTCGTGAACCAAAAATAATCCTCTTGTTTGCAAAGCCCATTACTTGTAGAGCAATGGATGCTAGGATTGGCCGATACATATTAGCCATTTACTTTTTAGCGATTCGTCGTTTCGCTGCGTGGGATTGGCAGAAAATCGTACAGAACATGAAAGTCATCGTTTTACTCCATGTCCTTTTCTGTTGAAACGTCGTCGGGCAAGAAGCGCAATCCATCCATATCATAGGTGTATCCATCCCACAATCACCTATCCATCATCCCCTCCTTCGCTACCACCCGATCCGTCTTCCCCATTCCATGTAAGCGATATCTACCTTTGGCGATGGGAAAAGAGGGATGCCACAAGGTTCACTGAGCTTCATTTTTACGGGAGGGTGAGCGGATAACCAAAGTTGGCCCTTTTTCGGGCGCGAGGGCTTAATCACGTGATGACCGTACCGGACCATTTGCGCGCTTGCTTGTACGGTGTTTGGAGCTCAGCCAAGGCACGTTTGGGTTCCCTTTTTCCTCACGCCTCATGGACAGCAATTTCAGTTATCTCTTATGGACGAGTTCGAGCATTCCAGTATTGGCGGATGACTGGATTGGTGAGGAAGTAACCGACGAGAGAATTAGGATTCCCGAGGAATATGAACTCGACATGGACGATGAGCACCAGGCGGTACCGATCAATACCTCAAAGAAGCCCAAGCGCAGAGAATGGAAGCATCATCCTATGGAACACGACTAAATCATCCTGCGCTTCCCTTGCCTGCCCTGACTTGTCACCCATGCGCGTGTTTACGGAAAAAGTTACGACCGGAGTATGACTCGTAATAACAAAAATCGGCGAAGCAGCAAATAACCATCTGAAGCGACTCGCGCGAATATTTTGTTCCTCGGCTGTATTCCCAATTCTATCAAATATTTGCTCCAATGAATCCTGTCGTGTTTCTCCTGACGCTTTTATTGTATCAGCGATAGCTATAGCATAGCATACGGATGTCGGATGATTAGAAGTTTGCGAGACTTTTTTTGAAACGGTTTCTGTTAAGCATAATGTATAAAAGAAGACGAGCCATCGGCCTCCGTCGTGGTCGTGTCATTATATTTTTCATCTACTGTATTCTTTCGCTTTGCTGCCAAACAAATAGCTCCAACAAGAATGAAATCGATCCTAGTGTTCCTCTGCGCTCTCTTCGTTGGCGCTTTCGCCAACGATAGTCCATTCTACATCACTGAACCTAAACAAGGTGCTGTTTATCGTGCTGGGGATGTGTAAGTACATGTGGCTCAGATATCGCATTTTCCCATATTGCCGTCTAATGCCATGGTTGCTGATTCTTTCATTTGTATAGTATCCCAATTTGTAAGGATCATCCATAGTCGAGAATCAAATGTTGGTATATGTGAATGTATTGACTCACCAAAATTGTTTTACAGCATGGTTGAATGGTCTGGATGTCGATGCCACGGTCGTGTTGGTGGAAGGTCAACCTCCGGACAGCATGCATAACACCAGCCACATGTTCAAGATCTCTGGCAAGTCGAATAGTTATAACTGGACGGTAGGTGAAAAATGAGCATAAATAACCACACAGAGCAATGTATCTAACGAAATTGCATGATTATTAGGTTCCTACTAGTGTGAATTCCGAAGCCACCTATGCTTTCATGGTCCTTTTCGACCACAACGGTAAATTGTAAGTGTTTTTGAGTCCCTCTGCAGATCTCTATTGCATTGTCTGATTCCATGTACTTTGTCAAATCCGTCAGTACTTCGTCTTTCTCTGTGCCTTTCAAGCTCGGTGGTGATGGCAATGGCAACGGAAACGGTAATGGCAATGGCAATGGCAACGGCAACGGAAACGGCAATGGTAATGGCAACGGCCACGGCAATGGTAACGGCAACGGCCACGGCAATGGTAACGGCAACGGCCACGGAGGCAACGGCAACGGCAACGGCAACGGCCACGGAGGTAACGGCAATGGTAATGGTAACGGCGGAAACGGCAACGGCAACGGCAAGCCTACTTCCGTGTCTGCACCTCCGTCGATGACATTTGGTGCTACTCAAGCCACACACGTCAAGATGGCCACTAACAAACCCTCCAGCAAGCCCTCCAGCAAGCCTGCTACGCAGAACAGTGGCTCACATCTTACTTGGGCTACTGTCAGTCTCCTTCCTGTGATCTTGGCCAGTATCATTTTGAACTAAAAGTATCTGTTGCGTGAGTGAAAGTGGAATTCACTATGGAATCCACTTGTTATAAAACAATTAATAGACTACACCGTTTTCTAGTACATAAATAGTAGATTTGTTTCAAGCTTTCTTTTAGTAATAAAATAATTATAAACTCTCTTTTTGCAATGATTTTTTCTTTCTCACTTTGAGGCCAACAGTAACAATGCTTGCATAAAAATGCCGGCACTTGGCGCTGTCGGAAGCGGCGTTGAATTAACATAACGGGCATATACGACGACTTTGTACAAACCTTAATGCACAGACATGGAATAAGTTTATGACCCATGAATCATAGTAAGAAGTACCGTCGTATATTGTGGTTATAAATTGTTTTAGAAGTTTTCTTCTTTATTTCATAAAAAAATGCTCTTTGTGTCTCTGGTACCAATGATAAGAATGGTTATCTAAAGATCTTCGGCCGAACTCTCAGAAGCGGCATCCGCAGTGCTGGCACCATCGCTTGACACCTCAGATAAAGAGGATGCTTTCGGAGTTGAAGCATTGGCTTGGCTGGTGACACTGGAAGCAGCCGTTTTAGTACTGGGGTTGGCGGAGGTTGTCGAGCCGGCGGAAGATCCCATGGTGCTGTTGGCGCCCATGGGGAAGGCGCCTTTGCCGATATAACGGAACGTGCCGGAATACGACCAGTTGTCCTTAGCGGCTTGCCCGATGCGCACAAAGTAGTCGCCGGTATCGTAGGTTTGAAGTGGAGAAGTGGTGTATTGGTTCACAGAGCACGGGATAGGTTTATCGGCCGCGGTCAAATTAGCAATAACGTGGGCATGGGCATCGCTGCCGGTCAACAGCTGGATGTCGCATACAGTGCCAAAATCAGTGGCATTGGAGACCCATGCAAGGTTAGCGGGTTGGTTTGCTCGCCAAGTCGTTTCTTCCCAGGGGGTTTTGATAACAATAGCCGCGTGGGCCATCGAAACTGCTGTTAAAGCGAGAATGGCAGTCTGGAGAAAAGAAGGCATGATGTGTAGAGGAAAAGAAAACCAATGAGATTATAGGATACCAGTGACAAAAGATGAAGCTTTTTATAAATATGTCGCGGAGTGTCGTGAGACTAAAATAAAAAGCCGTGTTATCATCGTCTTGCTGTCTTTTTTTTTTTTCAATTTATAGAGTACATCCTTTTCAGAGTTAGTTCCAAGAGGGATCCAAAACTGACAACTTACGGTTGTGCAATGAACACAAGAAAAGCAACAATACCATGTCCTTACTTCAACGCCATAGAGAAATATGAGTTTTTTGCCTCTTTTCGCGACTTTGCTACTCATCTCGGCCATGCCGGGTGGCCAAGCAATCCCATGGAGCGGAGCTTGACGTCAATGAGCTTCAAATGATGACATTACCATAAACATGCATGCGCAGCTCGCACCGCGCAATGACCAAGCGGTGATATTTTCCGTGGTAAATTATCTTCTCCGTTCGGGAGCAGATTTTCCCCGTGATTGGAGTTCCTGAAAAAATAGAAATAATTCTAATATAAGTGATTAGTTTTTTGTCGAATTCATTTATCGCTTTTAGGGTTGACGCGATTACTGTTATTTTGAGAACATGACAAATACATTTCCAAATTTCATTAAACTGGAGAAGTCTCCTTATTTTTAATAAGTTTTCCTTTCCAAGGATAAATCAAGGGGATTCTCAAATGGCCACTCAGCAAGAGAGTAAAAAAGAAAGAGGAAACACTCTTGGGACATGTAAAACTACGGGTGTGAAATTACAGATTCACTGTTTAACTTCTTTCACAAAATTCGAATGAAGCCGTGTATGTATACAGTTTAATTGAAAAAATCTGGGTAAAAATTTTACAAATCAGAAAATTTTAAAATAGGCAAGGTAATGTTGTTTTAAGGTATCAAAAAAGAGAGAAAGCCAAAGGACAGCGACATACAAAAAAAAGATGGATGCATTAGACAAGCCACACTTACTCTTCCTTGTTTTTACTTACAAAAAAAAACTGTTTTCACCACACTGTGGGAGCCGCCACCGCACACCACCAAGGCATGGGCTTTGTTCGTCAGTATTTTAAACTACACAGTAGAAGCACAAAAAGGAAGCGAGTGAGTGATTCGGCATAACATCCAAAAAAGAAAGCCACTTGAGCACAAATACATTACCTTTCAAAAAAAAGTTTCATTATAGGCCGCAAAAAAAAAAAAAAAAAAAAAAAAAAAACCAGTTTTCGGTGCGCAACTACAATATAATATAAAGGATTAGATTCCTGACAGTTGTGATCATTATTGAGAGTATACGTACGAGATCGTCACGAGTAAATTAAAAAAAAGCGATAGAATACAATGTGTTTTGCGAGAGAGAGCGAGCGTATGTGTATTCAATTAAATTGAAAAAGTAGATGTGCGATGGAGAAAAAAAGAAGAAGGAAAATGCGTTGTCTTTTATAGACAAGAAAAGAGGCGGTATCGCCCGAAAAATTTCCTAATAGATAAACACGTCCATCTTCTCTGTCCAATGATAAAACTGAAAAATGAAGAGAAACATTGCATAATCCCATACTTCTCATAAATAAGAGAGCCCGGTATCATCGCATGAAATAGGTGTCAGGTACGCTTAAAGATCGATCGGGATGCCTCTATTCGAGGGTTCTTGTATTGGTTAGCCGGATACAGATGATACACCTGTACGCTTCAGAATGAGACTTTTTCTTTGTAGCGAAGGAGGGACCTTAAACTGGCATCCACGAGATGGTGGCATTTTTTTATTTTTTATTTTTTTACATCTCTGATAATGAGGTCGTCAGTTCCTATTTTTGTTATGCAGAAGAAGTATGAGGAAAAATCACCACAGAAAAATGCCCCGGCTCCTGCTTTCAACCCGCGATATGGTCATATGAAGGACAATTTCACCGCTTCGTCTCATTAATGCAACATCCACGTTTCAGCAGCTTATCCCGAAAATATTTCGAGTTCCAGAGAGATTCCTTGCTGAAAATTTTGTTTCTCAGTGCATATCCGTTGCAACAATTGGGAGGTATATGGTAACAATCTACATGGCTTTTTTTGTATAAGCTAGCGTATGTTGAAGTAGGACTCTTTTCTTGGGACACCTAAAAAATTCCCAGACCCAAGCTTAAGCGTTATACTTCAACAACCAGTAGCTCTATCCTAAAAAAAAAAAGAAAAGAACAAAATTGGAACCAAAGAACCAAGATGCTAAGCTTTTGCTTCATACAGAGGTAGACCAAAAGAAAAATTTGTTGTTTATACTGTGTCGAAATCGGCACAGTCGGAGCATATTCCACCCAGCAATAATGAAGCAGGAAAGAGACGCCATGTGTCTCTTCTCATTGCTTCACGTCATATTTATCCTTTGATAAGAGAGTGTGGCCTCATCGCATGAAATAGCTGCATGAAGTAGGTCTCAGATACTGTTAGAGAGAGATCTTTATTCTCAAGTATTCATATATCGGCTGGTCGGATACACAGGTGCACATAACTTTGGTACAGACGTAATACGTGGCTCGTTAAACTATATTTCAACTCGTATTATACACTTTATTGAAAATAGAAGTCATCCTAATGACGATGGCCTCTTCTTTTTGAATGGAAGTCGTCAGTTTTAGCGGATTTCCCTATCAGGATTACGCAGGCCAAGGTAATATGACGAGACCCCCCCCCCCCGCACTCCCCGCCAATAAAGGATCAAGTCATTATTTTTGCTTCCTTGCAATTTATTTGACTATCATTTCTTTATTTCTCGAGAAAAATGAACTGGAAGATGAAAAAGACATTAGGGAAGTCAACAAATTTATCGGGATTACAAAAAATTTTGCCAGGGCACTGTACAGGGTCAATTGTAACAAGCCGTACACCCGCTGTGCAATGGATGCCACCTGCTACTGGACGTCGCCCCCTTACATTGAGCGACATTCGTCAGACAAAAGCCTAACGCAATACGGCATAACCTGGGCGAGACTCTTGATGGAACTTTGGTATATTAATGTCAATACTCTGGCATACCGTACAGTCATGATTTCCAAACATGTGTGCAGCAGCACTTATTGACCCCCTCAATCCCGTCCCGTCCAAGGTTATGATAGATCTAGAATGATGTGTGGGAATGTTGGGTATTTAAAAAAATGAGTTAGTAAGCTCTTTGATTGATTCAAATTTTCGTCAAGATATTTTACCTTTGTTATTTGAGTTTGCAATAGCCATTGATCGCTTGACCTGACTTGGATTATATGACATTGAAAAAATTTTGAATTAGTATACGTTCATTACATCATAGCAAAGGAAAAGAAATTGGACTTGCCTTTGAACCAAATGGTGTACCGGAAAAAAAAAAGATGATACGGACCGCCAGGTAAGCTTCTTCTTCGATGCGGAAAATAAAATTGCTTCCAGGGACAGTTAAGCGATGGATCGATGGTGTCAGCTTGAGCAGGCAAAAAATATTGACGTGGCCAGAAGTGTCGGTAATTTCGAGCTGGATTCCAGATATCGAGAGTCCCCCGAATAAAAAGAAAGAAACAAATAAAGTACATGATGATAAAAAAACAATGGTCGCGTCAGTAAAACCTCATGTGGGAAAAAAAGAGGAAAAGACTGCGAAAAGAATATGTACATGAAATACAAAATACAAAATACAAACTATGAACTACAAAATACAATAATCGGGTAGACATCTCGAATACCATATGATGAGAAGCAATCTAAAGGAGAGAAACATGAAGAGGACACGTAAGCGTTGCTGATTAAAAAGAGAGTTACACCACCAATGATGGCCTTTGACGTCATCCGGTTTCGCCAGATGAATGGATGGATGGTGAGAGAAAGTCAACTTGTAGTATCCAGAACTTGTCAGGCGAAAAGAAAACGGAGATGACCGGAAGCTAAAAGAAGGATGGAAAAAAAAAGAGAGGTAAGTCTGTTTTGCCGAAGCAAATTGATGGTGGACAACTCGATGCTTACCTTTTTGAGGATGGTGGTCGATTTAACCAAGTTAGATACAGGGGATAAGAATGGTCTGGATGATGGATGCGGATGGATTCTTGATACAATGATAGTGAGGGTTTATCAAGCAAACAGAAAGAGAGAGAGAAAATCAAAAGAAGAAAGATAAAATCGAAGGCAAAAATATATGATTCTCCATGGATGAAACAATAGTCACCCCACTGATGCATGAATTCATAGATCGAAGCACGTCTGCTTATGTATTATTCGATTCATTGAAAATTGAAAGAGAATGAAAGGACATATATAGTATAACTGACAGAAAAACAACAAATTGAATGATGCTACAGAAGAACGCCAGTCGTATCATCAACCACTTTTCTTCAAAAAGAGCTCTACTCACATTTTTATTCGAAAGACGACGATACTCTGTTTAACCACAACTGGCGCAAACGGCATCTTGCTGCTGATTGTTTCGCCTATTATCGTGAAAGTGGGCAGCGAGGCATGGTTGAAATATAAAAAAAAAGGTTTAACAGGTCCTGATGACTTAGTGTAGATCATGTGATTTACAAAATCGCTAATTTCCCAAAGATTTTAATTATGTAGACTAGTAGTACCTGTTGATCTTAAAGATCACAAAGTTATGCTCTTTCGGTCTGTAGTTTGTTGTTAATCTGAGGCTAGTGGGAATAGTAGCTGATTAAAGATGCGTTTGGAATGGGATGCTCCATTTGCAATATTAAGAACTCCGCACTCGAATTTGTGTACCCAAAGGTCTCGCTTGATGGTACTCTAATCTTTTGTCAATAAGCGGTTGATTTTTCGGTAAGATTTAGTTGATGTGCGCATAAATCTTTGCGTATTCAATGGACAACAGAGTAGTACAGTCTCTTTTTCTTTTTTCCTGGGGTCTTGCCCCCCCTGACCTACCGCCACATAGCGATCATTTTCTTCATCCACGACAGAGGAACAACAATATGTACACAAACTTAGGAACAGAAATAGTCAGACATCGTATAATATTAAATGGAGAGACAAAAATAGATAACAGAAAAAATCGTACTTGGGGAAACATAGCATAAGGATAAAATCAAAAGGAACATAAGGACAAAAAGCATACAGTAAAACATAAAGGTGAAGAATAACTTGAAAAATCATAGCAAAGGATGAAATCAAAGGAGCATAAGACAAAATACATACAGTAAAATATAAAGGAATAATAAAACAACAACATAAGGGTAAAGACGCCACCAGGACCATCAACAAAG